TCGCGTGGTCGCGTTGTGGCGGTGGCGGCGGTATGTTGAAACTCAGCGTTCCCACGGATACACTTCTCACTGGACCCCTAGTTCTTCGCCTCAGCGTATATCATGAACACCTTCGTGCACCTTGGGTCTCCCCAACTTCGTTCTGTATCCTGGACCTGGATCTTGCTCCCACGGCCATGAGACGTTCTTTCGCATCTTCCGTCTGTGCACCTTCTTCCACTTCGCACTTTAAGTTTTCCGATTTGCCCCTTGGACCTTAGTTGTCATGTTTCTTTCCCCTAGAGCCTTTCGATTTTCAATCTCGGATTTGGGCCTCTCCGTCCCGCCTTGTCGTGTTTAGCATTGCCGCCTTGAACCTGAATTTTGTCATTGCGATCACTCGCACCATTTTCCTCTTGCGCCTTGGCACGTCTTGAGTGTGACTATTCCCTCCTGTTGCGCCTAAAACCTTGAAACTTTGCGTCCTGAATCTCCTCATCTTGTGTCCTCGACCTTGCTGTCTTTGACATTTGATACATTGCATCTCACCCTCCTCCCCTTCCCTTGCGCGACTTGCCTGTCTTGCGCCCTGGACCTTGCCGCTTGACCTTTGCCGCCTTGTATACTGCAACCTTCGGTCTTGTCCATCTTGCGCATACCCGCTTGCGCTCTTCCTGCAGCCTTATTGTCGCCTACATTCATGCTTGCCGTCTTGAGCCTTGATTCTTTACCTTCCTATTTTGGTTTTTGACCATCATGTGCGTCCATCCCTGCCGTCTTTGTCTTGGTTCTTATATTTTGCTATTGTGCCCCTTTGGCATTAACGATTGTGCTCCGGAAACTGGCCTTTCACCTCTCATCTTGTGTCCTGAATCTTGTCTTGCGCATCTCATCTTGCATCCTAAATACTGAACTTTCGCTGTTTTGACTTTTGCGGATTGAACTTTGGATCCGGCCCTCCGCTTCCCGTTCTGTCTCTTGCGTTTCAATCTCGCTATGTCAAGCCTTGCCGTGGCGTCTTGAAATCTGGCCGGCCGAGATCATGCAACGTGGGTCTTCAGCTTGCCGTCTTGTGCCTTGTCCTCCTCCCACTATCCTTATCTTGCGCCTGCAACGCCTCGTCCGCGGGTAAACCGAAGGTTATTCTGTCAACATCGCCAGAGTCGGCCAGCGTTGCAGTCCAATTTTATTCGCACAATTGAGACTTTCGTGCAGGGAGTCACCACCATAGCTGGCGCCAGAGGCTGTGAGGACGTTTGCACTCGTGCGACTGTCATACTTGCGTATTCAAGCCAGGCTTAGAGGATGACCACACGTGGGAAAGAGTCAACAGCGCACCACGTTGATCTATCGAATCTGCGGATGATAAACCCTAAATCGAAGAGGACTCCAGACCTCCATTGAGGATAGCTGTCCATGACGCTTCCAGTCGAGCATTAAGGACATGTGCCGGAGTAGTTGGGGACATCGCTAGAGCCAGGCCAGGTCGCCGCATAAGATATTCACCAAGATTGGCTCCATAGATCCACATAACGCTGACACTCAGCTTAAGCTGTAAGCACCGGATAAGCAAACGAGCGTCATTTCATCACGGCCGACGTCGATGAGGACCGTGAGTCACGCATATATCAACGAGCGAAAAAAAAATAACAAGCCTAGATCGGCGAAGGCAGACAACGGAGCCCGTAAAACGCGGCGCCACAGTGCGCCCTCTACTACGTCTTGATCGGCTATTGCCCAGGAATAATACAGTTTCAACCTGGCCAATGCTTGGATTCCAGCTTGTGGCGCGCAAAGGACGCAAGACAGTCGAACGTCGGTATAGGCGAGATGCATTGGGGGCGAGATGCATTGGGAACGAATGAAGAGTATTCGAAACCTGAACGCGTCGACGCTTCGATCTTGCAACTGTCGAAGACTAGAAGCAAAGATCATGAACGAAAGTCAGGAGGTCGATGACAAGTGGAGCGTGACGCGTCGAGGGAGGCACAGATGATGGTGGAGGAGATGAGGGCGATAGGCACGAGGGATTCGATGCTTTATAGCTCGAGAGTCGAGATCTGAGACGCAGAGCCACGGTCAGCCTCGTGTTCGCGTTTGTCACGTGGTGGCGCAACCGTTGTTCATTGAAATTCACATTCCGCTCGCAGTTGCCGCCGGGCCAGAACCACTGTTGACACTCCGACAATCTCGAGATGTGGCCCATTTACCCGAAATTTGGGTACACGGTTAAGCATCTCTCAATTTCTTTTCTCAACACTGAACAGCATGCCCTCCGCCCATACTGCTTGCAGTCATAATAAGATGTAATATCAGAGTGGCAATTAGTTTCTTACAGGAGTGCTACTGCATGAAGCCTGAGTCCGATCTGTTCTAGTATGTGATCTCGTGACTCTATCAATTCAGTCACGTGCGTCAACGCGTCGCGTTCGACTCCCGGGTGCCGGGTTGCTCGAATTTGCGAGCGCCTATCTTTCTCCCGCGATGCGCAGAGGGCTCTTCACCAGACCGACCCGGTGGCTTTATTGCCGTATATTCCTCAACATTCTTGCTTGTCCTCAATTTGCTCAGACTACATCCAATGCCAATTTTGCTGCGATCTCCAGTTGCTCTCTCGCGCGGCAGGAATAACGGCAGTGTCCGGCTCTTCTGCTTCCTGAACTTCTCTCGGCTAGCAGGTCGCTACTTCTTGCGTGGCTAGGCGTGTGCCACTCGAAGGACACTCGAAGACACAGTGCGGCATGTTTGGCCCTACCGCCGGCTCTCTGTCTTGCACGAGGCGGCGTGAATGGCGTATCTCCAGCGAGGAGTAGTTGAAATGTGAGTTGCCATACTAATTTATGGCAGCGAAGACCGTGCTTAGTGCAACTTACCAGTCGATCACAGTGGAATGCATTCTGTGCGATGGCTGCCATCCTTCAAGTTGGACTTTCAGTGGCGTGGAGTGTCATCCGCTGTTCCAGTATATACAGAAATAATTCGACGACAGACATATACATCACTTGCTTTTGAAATGAGAAGATAATATGGGAGTCTGCATTGGAACGAGAAGGACAAGAACTCATCCGACTCTACTCGATCCCATGAGCAAGTGCAAGATTAGTTGCTTTCAATGCACTGAAATAACTGCGTGAAGCTCAAGATGTGTGATTGAGTGAACGAAGAGATCGACACTCTGGCATCAGCACGCAAAGAAACACAGCAGGAATCACCACCATAATGGCAGACATGCAAAAGGGAAGAGGTCCGAAGCGGAGGACGCGAAGTTCAAGCCCAATGCGCACGTTACGATCAGGATGGATAGACCGAACAAGAGCTACAACGCTATACAGAACGAATTTGCACAATGCGACGAGCAAATCGTATCAGAACCAACGTACCGGTCATGAAGACTAAAGAAGAAAATGAATGAAAGCAAGTGAAGATATGTCAGCAGACGGCGATCTTACACAACAGCAGCATTCTGCTGCGTTTTGGAGTTGTCAATACAAGGAACCAAGCTACGAAGCACGACGTGCGCGAAGAGAATGATAGTGGGAGTGATCGGATTGCAATCAGTCGAACGGCGGCGTTTAGACCAGCCCCTTCCAAGCCGCGCCGAGCGACAGCACGCTTACTCGATGAGCGCAAGTCTGGAGCCCCATATCCAGCTTACGACAGCGCGTGTCTGTTGGGCCATCTGGGCCATCTGTTCGACCGCAAGCACAATAGACTGTGTTGAAGGTGTTCAAAGGGCTGCACAAGGCGCAAGAAGACGAAACAGAGGCTCACATCAATCACGACCGCGATAAGCTTTCGCGGCGAGACGATTGTGGACCTGTCCCGGCGTTCCATCAGGTCAATTTCAGGTCCGCACGTAGCATCCAAATCCAAGGGCAAGACATCGTCATCGGGACCTTCTCCAGCACCGCGGATAGGGCCCTGGCAACCGGCCGTCAATCCATCTCAGCTCCTTTTATTTTCGATCTAAACTCACCAAAACCACTGCTGGAGGATCACCCAATGCATACCTGCTACCCTCCTGGAGATCGGCCTGAGCCTACAGACAGCTTTCATTAATTGCTGCGTGGTGGCAGAGCAGCGGGACGTACTCTGAGAAGGCGCGAGCGTCTTGACATTGAGTAAGGGTGATACCTATGTCGGTAGCTTGAACGGTAGCTGGGCAGCCGTAGAAAAGAACTAGCTGAGTCGGGCATCATCATCGAAGGAACGTAGCAAGAAAGCAACTCGGGATATCCGCTCGAACGCGATGTACCGTTGCGCGACGACTCACGCCTCAGCACGATACGGGGAGTTCACCTAGCGGGTTGTGAGTAGCACAATTGGGGAGAATGAGAGAGAAAGCATCGTCAGCCTCGAAGGGGGTCCATTTTATTGCGCACCAACCGGTCGGCTGCAGAAAATCGCGTGAAGCGGCGAAGACGGCCTACATTTGGGTAGGATGAACCCGTTGAAACGATATATTCAAATCCCGTGGCCGCGACGCGCTGCTCTCGGTTTACCTCCGCGATCCTCCCATAAACGCTTCCAAGAACAATGCATAGCGGTCCTACCCCTCTCTCTACCTGTCTCTTGCCTCGGAATGTAACAGAATGAACAAGAGCATCAACTGCACACCAGGCTATACGAGATGAGCCATTAGGGCTGTGAAGGTAGAAGAAGTTCACGTAACATGATTGTCATTGATGAAGAATGAATATCCTGTAAGCCGCGGTGACACGTCTCTACAGTCTCTGGAACAAACCCTGGTACAGCACAACCCACTCTGAGGGCACCATCGGCATATGGTATGCGAACGAACGTCCCTCGTAGCGTACTGTAGAAGGATTGTCAAACCATAAAAGCTTAAAGCTTAACGGCCTCTGAAATCACTTCGGGATCACACAGCACCGATTGAGAACAACATACACTGTCGTGAGCTTTCCATCACTTATTGGACTGATGCCGTATCTGCTTCAGAGACCATTAAATGTGCTTCAATCACTGCTCTCCGCCGCGCCGCGGGACAGCGACAACAATCACCGACACAGCTGTGACTGTCACGAAGTCACGTCACAAGGCGCGCCAGTACCAAGACGCCCATCAGCGAGTGGCCCTCTCCATGGACACAATATGCAACGGCACGATTTATCTCCCAATGTCAAGGCATGTCGATATATATGATGACAGGATGTGAGAGCAAAGCACGGAGGGTCTGCGCGCCACATCAAATGGAGCACCACTCGACGAAAAGAAGGCTGTCAAGAAACGTTTCCGACCTTGCAAAGCCATGGCACAAGAAATAGGTTTCAATGCAACAGATACGTCGAAACATCACGAGTGCCAGAGGCATTGCATATGGAGGACATGCAGTGCAATCCAGAACAAACGAAACACCATTTCTAGCGGCCGTGCGTCCGGGCACAGAGTATATCAGCGGCTTACGTCGCTCTTTGGAGAGAAGACCAATGGCATGCATAGCAAAAGCGAAACAATGATGCACGATGTATTGGGCGTACCTTCATTAATCCCGTCGGTGCACGACGATGTCGCCCACCATTCACGTTCCGCAATGTGCAGAGAACATCCAGGACGGCAAAAGAAGCATGGGGATGTTCTCTTCCAACGTCAGCGAGGTTGACAAAGCGAACAGCGTGCACCGTTGCGCATGCGATCAACAGCCATGTTCCTTGAAGCAACCGCCTCCCCCGCAAAGAATGTTTCTTCACCACGCTATTTTTCGCTCATACAACAGCAGAGCCCCATGTCCGGAAATCCTCAAAGGGAGCGGAAGAGTCGTCGGACACGCTCCTAGAAAATTTGAACCGTAAAGTCCGCCGGCAGAATTCGACGAGCTCGGCAGCTACAGATACAGCAGAGAGAAAATCATGGATAATGCAAACATTGTAAATCCAGTTTCTGGAGATGCTTAGACAATATTCGAGACAAAGCAAAAGAAGCCCCGGGCAGCGAGGAGACATCTGAAGGCGGGGTGAGGGTTGCGGAGGTCGCCGCGCTTGTCCAAGTTAGGTCAAGCGCGAGAAAGCCACGCGAGGTTGCGCTCAAGATCGCACATCGCTCGCGGACGTCCCTGGACGTCCACATCCCGTTCACAATGCCCAATTTACTACGTATCTATTCCCCTTCCACGTCGACGATGCCTTCTGATTGTTGAGATGTTACCATAGCACGGTGCCTCTCCTTTGTCCCTCACACATGCCCAACGTCAAACTCCCGAACTTTGAAAACAACGACAACTCTCACGCCCGCGCGATGACCTGCATGGCTCGCCATCATCTCGTTGGTTCTCTACTATCCATGAACTATCCCTCTCTTCCGAAATATGAGCCGTGAAAGTGCACATGCTATGTAGAAGGAATCCTGATTGCATCTGTCGCCCCGTGAGATTCAACAATGCGAGAATCCATGGTCTCGTCTCCCTTGTTTCTCGGGTCCAGGAGTCTTATGACCATTTTCCTCCGCCGTACTCGCTGTGCTCAAGTCTGAGAGCGCGCATATCGCATGTGCAAGGCTAGAGTGTTCTCACGAAACCGCGGCACACCGTCGGATGAGATGGTCTTTTGATCGCTATCTACATATTGGGGAGTTCAGCGTTGCGAACATCTCAAGCCAGACAGGCGTGAGAACGAGCTCTCGTAGCCGGTGAGTCTATTTTCAGCGTAGAGGGCCGTAATGCATAGCTTACCGCGATGTTTGTTGGATCACTTTTAGACCTGCGATCCCTCGAGATACTTCGGATAACACCTAGTTGAGTACAAGACGCGCCTCAAAGTTGGTGATCTGGTCCCTTGATTGGTCAATCACGCTCGGCTCATACTGACCTTGAATGTCCCTCTATGATTGCTCGTTCAACGTGGTGTGTCGGCATCACGATTCAGAGCGCACTACCTCAAGATGATCGCAAGACGAACAGCCGAGGTGGGCAAAGAGTGGCCGTTGCCACTAACGATATGATGACCGGATAACTGTAAGCAAATGATGAATGAACTGTTCGGTGAACTCACCATACTTATCCCTCTTTTTTATTTTTCAAGAATGCAAGACTCAAGATTGAAGTCAGGCGGAGAGTGGCCATTGCCTGTGGTGATGCAGTAAATGGATGACGGTGAGCACATCCCGAGAGAGTCGTTCAGCATTTGATTCACATTCTTTTGTATTGCTATCGGATTGGACTCATGGACATGAACGGGCATGTATTAGAATATAAGGCAGAATAAAGGCGATATTCAAAGCCAGTTTCCATCAATAATGCGAATATGAGACTGTCGCGACGTTCAACAGCATTAGTATCGTCTCAAGATCATACTATAAGCCTGCGTGATCGGCATGGATGTAAATGGGACTCTATCGTCAGAGTCACTAGCATCAGGCTTGTCAAGGATATGATGTACATTCGTCATAGTGAATTTCCACACGTTGCTCCAACAACACACGCCCAAGCGATTCCGCTGAGAGCGTACCATCGTGACGAGCAGTTCAACAGCATTTCACAGCCGTCATTATGGGTTCCAAATCACCAAAGAATTATCGTATGAGCTGTGCTATCAGTTATCTGTCTTCTAAGAAGAGTGCCTTGTCATGAGCGAGGAACTCAATACCAAGACAACTTCTTCAAATCCGCGCGGGTATAAGGATACCAGGTTATGAACCAAGTGCTGGCTGGGGAGGAAAATCTGTTCCACTGCAATACCTGTTACAGGTGCTCGCAGCGGAGAGTCTACGATTGACTTTCGCAGGAAAGGATGGCATCAAACATCAGCCAGAATCTCTACCAACACTTCCTTCACCGTCTTCCGGTCTCTTTTCCCCTCACCTCCCACAGTGTCATCGAAACCCTCCGGGAGGATGTCAACCGCGGGGAACATCACGCTGCCCGTTAACTCGTCGTCAGGACCATCCCTCACTCTCAAGCGGTGGGAGACGACGCGCGGGAACACCCTCGCGACGTCCACTTCCGACACATCCCAGGTCTCCGCTGACTCGGCTGGAGTTTGAGAGATATCACTGACGAACGGTGCAGAATCTGCGAGCTCTGATGAGCTAAATGGCAGGTTGACTCTGACTGCGCCTTCTTCTTGACTGTCACTTGTGTCTCCCACGTCATCTTTGGACGTCTTGTCCACCCAATCAACACCGTTGACATCCTTACCCCATTCCGAGCTTGAACTCGCGCCTGTGAATGCACTCGCACTCTCCGTGGTCATCCCTGCGCTGCTCGTAGGTACCTCGAAGCCCACAGAACCGGCAGCTTGAACTAGCTCGGCGCCTACTGAATCTCCTGCTAAGACGCGGAACGCACGGGCGAACGCCTCTGCAGCTTCATGCGCTCGCCGCGTGAGCAGTGTCCCGTCCAGCACGGGGTGATGACGGGTCGCCGAGAAGAGATCGCGGATGTACATGCTGAGCGACGGGTGCATGAATGTATGCGCGTAAGCCTTGGGCATGGGCGTTGGACTTGCAAGTGCACGGAGGAGGTCCAGGTCATCGGTAGAAACTATCGGCATCGAGTTCGTGGTTTGTGAGGGGATGGTGGTCGGAAGCGAGAATTGTCGGGCGGGTTGCGACCGCAGCGGGGACGTGGGTTGGTGTTCCACGTGAGTAGGAAGAGAACGCGATGCAATGTTTGGTGATGCGCTTGCGGGCGCCCCCGGCATGCCACGAAATGCGGCATACGCTTGGTGAGTGGAAGGCGTGAGAGTGATGTCTGCGCTCATCGCGAATTGGTCCAGCTACAGATAAAATGAATTGATTGTGGGGATCTTACATCAGATAGATTGATACTCACAAGGCCGCGTAAGGGAGAAGGACGCTCTCTCATGTCCGCTTTGCACACATAAACCATAAGAAAGTCATCTGGCAAGTCCCATGTACCGCCATCATCTCCTTCGAGTACCAGTTGCCTATCTGACAGAACCTGCAGCAACGCTCTTTGCTCTGCAAGTCCTAGATGTTCCAAACCCGTGACAACCACAGCTTTCGGCAACACCAATAGCGGCGGACGCACTTCTTCCTCCAACAACTCCGCGGCGGCATTGATGTCGAAGGGTTGCCTTCTACTCCCTATAATAGACATGGGTGTTGGAGTTAACACTTCTTCCGGTGACGAAAAGCCGGTCATATTTAGATTCAGGGAGAGCGGTTCGCGGTCTCGCTCTGTATTTCCACGGCGCGAGCGAAGAGTGGAATGCGGAGTATTGCTCGACAGAGACGTGAACGGACGTCTGGACGATGCCAGTGAAAAGTCATCGAAATGTTGAGTGCTCCCGTCATTCGACGGTTCTCGGTCAGAAAAGTAGGAAAGGCGGAGAGGAGAAGGTCGTGGTGTTTGTGAGAGTGAACGCCGGGTACTGTGCGAGGATGATATTGGAGTGCGACTGTCTGTCCGTGGTGTAATATCCGCACTCGTCCGCACCGGAGACAGGGGCGATGGTCGCCGAAAAAAGAGAGCACGAAGAGAGGCCTCGACCGAGGAAGTCGTATCTCTATAACTGGAGTATGATTTCGGCTTTGGCGAACGACTGCGATCAGCTTTGAGCGGGACCCTGTGTCTATGCGTCGGAATGCCGAAGACTTGTGTCAATATCTGCGATGAAGCGCAAATCAAATCATATAGATTATAGAACGAGGGCCGGCATAGGAGCAGCGTGTGCGTGAGAGGAATTGTGAGTACGTGATAGACTGGATTCGGCAGCCTCACTCACCAGGCTCACAATGTGTGCCAAAAGTATGACATCTTCTTCGCTTGTACGTAATAGCAAATTCGCGCAAGTAGCCGCATCGCCTGAACTCGCCAGGCTTCCCGTCCTGGCGGTCTTGCCTCCCTCGATTTCTACACCATGAACGTCATAACGAGAAACACTGGGAAGGGGCTTCGGTATGCGAGCAATCAAGCAGAGGAGAATTGTTTGGAGCACGACGGTATCGACAGGAAGAGAAGGATGGGTAGCATGTATAGTTGAAAGTAGAGTTGGTATGTATGCCTGGCTTCCCGGGATAGGTCCAGCTGACAATGAAGCAGAAGGGGTATCACGATCCATTTGGTGTAATTTGGATATAAGTCGTCAAAACGGAGTATTTCACTGAAAACAATATTGTCATATAGCGCATTACAGGAATGTTCACCGTAACGTAAAACCGACGTCAGTTTTACTGGACGCGAGGTGCAAACACCTGGAGGAAAACATAGAATTTAGCGGGCATTACTGTTACTCTGAACTTCTTTTGACTTACTAGGCACTAAAACTACTTTCGATACCACACTATTATTGTATGCCGGTCTCAAACAATGAAATGCCTGGTTCTGCCTGTGCTGTTCCGAGCCCTACGCGTAGGTTGTATATCCCAACTGAGCCAAGATGTCGCAACGCGCGCTCATGTAGCATGAGAAGGCATCCAGAGGTGAGAATTGCCCTCCAGATTACAATAATTGCAGAGACGGCGGCAACGGAAATGATCTGGAGCAGGTGGTGGTATGCGCACGGAAGGCCGCGCGGGCGCTTGGCGATTGTGTATTTGTTGGTCCACCTTCCTAGTCGGGTCTCCGAGTTGGGCCACAGTTCAATCAACAGGTATCTCTCTTTCACGTTCGCGCTTTCAATGCTTTCTCAGTCAAAATATGCATACACGTTTAACTATATGCTCAATCGCATGCGGATCGGCGCATGGCATCAAATATTTGTATTTGATACATAGTTAACTCTGACACTGGGCTGGCGTTCACATGCTAAGCGCACGAGGGTACCTGCGCTGTGGCTGCATTCTCTCCAGTCTCTCCTCGTCGCCGGCTCGCCTGTCATGGTAGTTTAGTATATCGATTCCGATCCAAAACGGCAGTCGCGCGAATAGAATCATTGAAACAGGCAATACCCAGGCAACATGTACTCGCAGCACAAGCGCCCGCTAATGCCCACTACGTTACATGGGTATCCGTGAAATGCTTCCTCCGCGCGCACTCCTCCTAATCTTCTTTCCGCCATCCCATGGTGAACGCGACTGCCTGACGCAAATTACGATAAGTCAGCATGGTGCACATGTGATCAGAGATCAATGCAGAATCAGAAGTGTCAAGATCTGGAGCCCGCCCGTCCTGTTAAGCACAAGAGGTATACTCCTTGAAGAGATTCCGAAGAAAAGGCATCATCGAGATCAAAGAGAACGACGAACTCACCAGAGGCCTTCCGACGCGGGGCGCGACAGAAACGAAAAGCAAGAAATTTGCGGAAGCGCCAGAATGAGGCGTCTGAAACGGCCAAACAAGGGGCAACAAAGCGGTATACGTGGCAAGCGACGTGGCATGCGACTTCCTTACGACTACCACGTACGTCCTGCGCCCCAACCGCAGTAGGCTCTCTTCGTACAAGACTTGTCATTCCTTTGCCCCCTCCCTCCTCCACGTACCCCCCGTTGCAAGCATGAAGCGAACAGCAGACAGCGACCTTGACCCTTCTTCTCCTGCCGAGTCGTCTCCATCGCCAGCACCATCCTCTTCTGACTCACCGGTCGCTGGCCCGCCACGTAAGCGGTCCCGCTCTGAGATTACTCCTGAAGAGCGGAAGGAGGCGCGCGCACATCGCAATCGTATCGCAGCGCAGAACTCGCGCGACCGGCGCAAGGCACAGTTCTCTTACCTTGAGCGCCGCGTTGCTGAACTGGAGGAGGAGAACCGGCAGCTCCGTGCAGGCATGGGCCTTATCGGGCTTCGCCACTCCGAGGGAGACAGGACAACTGAAGAGCAACGCGCACGAGAGAGAACGAGGGAGAAGGAGAACGAGGAGCTACGGGAGAGAATCAAGACGCTTGAAACGGGTTGGGAAGCCGTCCTCAAGGCTCTCGCTGCCTCCGGTCTTCCGCTTAACAGTATACCCTCCGCTCCAGCATCGTCCTCTTCCTCCAACACTTCACCATCATCGTCATCTCCCTCGTCATCACAGCCTATGACTACTGCGTTTTCAGACCTAGTCCCCACATCACCCACCTACCCTATGACACCCACACCGTCGGATCCCAGCACTCCGCAACTATCCCACAATACTGACGATGATTCTGTGCCCACTCGCCACCTAGCACGGGTGGCGACCACCGATGCCCCTCGTTCATCATCGGTGTCCCTGCAGCGGGTGAGCCAGATTTCTCGTCAGACTTCAACTTCCTCCAACTCCACTTTGGGCCCGACGGTCCTGATTCCTCATCCTATCCCACCTCAAATATCCTTTCCGGTGAAGAGCCGCCTTGTTCAGCCATGGATGAGGTGGTCATGGAAGACCTCCTCCGGGAAATTCTCGCTCCCTCCCCCACCCTGCCATCGGCCTCTCTTCCTGACAGCACCCTCCCAAACCTTGCCAGTCAGCTGCCGACCACAGGTCCCACCGAAGCCCTACATAGTTCTCTATCGGCCATGTCGACGTCGGCCGCCGGGGCACCGTCGTCGGTGGTGACGCCGACGTTGGAAGCTGTAGGCTGGGAGGAGGCCCAGGTGGAGATGCAGAGATTACTGGACATGCTTCCTAATGTCCAGTCTGACGCGGGCGCGGAAACGAGTGTGAATGCGGTGGATTTCCCGTCCGCGCTCGACCTTGATGTCGGCGGGTGGGATTTGGCTGGTGTTCTCGATGCGCCGCTTGGTCAAGAGGTCGGCGCGTTTTGAGCGGCCTCGCTTCAGCTCGAAATTCACTCATCACCTAATGTTTCTTCGCCTTTTCGAACGCGTTGGGCTCTCTTGTTTTCATGGGTTTCTTGTATATCTATCGGACCAGTCTCAGTCACTATACTCTAGTTACCTTCGTGTTACATCTTTTTTCTCCTCCCACTACCGATACGTCATCCGCTTCGTTCCCGTGCCACAGCCTTTCTTTCTCAGTACGTACTTCTGTGCCCTGTTGTGCGCCGTTCGTTGCAGTCTCCCTCTTACTTACTACGCTGTTCTCCCCTTCGGGGTCGATGAACCGCGTGTGTGGTGGGTGGTGAGCGCGCGTACGCGTGCGGTGGAGTGCAGTTCAGTGTACGATGCTGTCAATAGTTGTAGTCTTTGGTATAGGTACGAGGCATGAATAGTATCTTTGCGGGTGATATGGGTGCTCGAGTCTGATACTTGTTAGTCTTTGCAACCATTCGACTCCCCGTCATTACAAAGGCGGTTTTTGAATATTTGGACCCTACAGCTCGCTATCAATACCCTCGTCGCGAAGGCCCCGAGATGAAAATTTAACGCGACGGTTGCGTACAGCTCGAGAATTGGATGGGTTACATCATCCAATTTGACGCGGTGACCATTCTTCTTGTTCAATCCATGCATTTCAGCGAGGAATTCGTTGATGGATGAATTGGTCTTTTCATATTCATCACGCGTACGGTGGTCAGCAACCATCTCGTTGACAGATGAGGCTGATTGACGCTCGAGCGCGGGCGGAGCGTTCCCGGCGGAAAGACCAACGGCAATGGCTTTCCATACGCGGCGAGTACTAGGACTTCGCCAAGCTCTCGCGAAGCGCAGATGCAGAAATGCGTGCTGATCACGTCCAAATGCACTCACGTCCGACGAGTGTCGGCGTATGTTTGAGATGAGCCTAGCCTTGCTTGACCGGGACGCCCACCAGACTGTGGGAGACGGCGCGCCGAGCCTCACTGTGCTCGTATCATCGTAAGTGAAATGGTGACGGGTGCGGGTTGAATACATACATGGTACAGCCTATGCGAGACGTCACATTCCGGGGAGTGGGCCGGAGCGAGAAAACCTCCGACCTGGTCAAAACGCCTTGTCGGCAGAAGAGACAGAAGCGGCCGTCGCTTGCAGCTTGAACTCGATGAGTCCGCGTCTCAGATTGCCGCGCAAGGCAGGTTTGGTGTGGTGGCTGAGGTAAACGAGTTGACCAACCTGAGGAGCCTTGGACTGTGGGAAGCTGCGTTCTCGCGCCACCAATATGCCCATGCTCAGAAAGCCTGGTACCACGATGGGGGCGTTAAGTACGTCAAACTAAAAACAATTACTGTCATTCAGGTTATAAGTAGGATAAGGCGCGTCGCGCAATACGATGGGTATCTGGAATATACCCTACGGGATATGAGGGGAGCAGATACAGAAATAGACAACACGCAACGGTGATAAGGATACACTTCTTTCGCCCTTCATCGACTCATTTTTGGGCGCCCACTTGGTGGCATTAGGCGGACATTACCCTGGGGAGCGTGTTATGCAAGGCGCTAGTCATCCTGCATGTCCTCGTCCTTGGCGACGAAAGAGTCCTCGCCTTCGTCATCGTCCGCGCCCTCCGGCTTGAGACCTGCTTTCGCGAGCGCTGCCTGTGACGTATAATCGACGCGTACACCACGTGTGCGGCGCGACCCAATGATTGCCGAAGGGTCTATTTCGCCGAGGTCGTCCTCCTGCGAAGATAGCGCGTCAGGACGCGTCGAAGGCATGAACAGACAAAGCGCAAGCGCACCTCCATGTCGTCGTCATCGTCCTCTTCCTCTTCCTCGTCGTCGTCCTCATCGTCGTCGTCCACGGGATCTTCATGAACAAACTTTCCTTTGCCTTTATCGGCAATTGTGCCATTGGCGGATTGCGCGCTCACTTTTTGCGCAGTGGCGGAACTAAGGAATAGACGTCAACCAGGGTCTAGACGAGCGCATCAGACCACTTACCCGCTGGAGGAGGTAGCTTCGGTAGACATTGCCGCTAATAATTAGTTTGCCAGAGACGATGGAAGCGCAACAGAGCGAGTGGGTGGTGGTGGAAAGAGAAAAGACGCGCCCTCAGCAGTGGCCAAAACGGGTGGCCAAATCAGGCGACGATCACGTGGGAGATAGTGGGCGCGACGGGCCGCCACGGGCGCCAGCCAGCAATTGCGAGTCGGCGACGGGAGCGCTCGCCAGATCGCTCGGTTTCGCTCGGTTGCAAGTGCGCGCATCTCGACCACATGCTCTCAGCAGAATTCACTGTGGGAAGAGCAGCGCGTGTCGCCGGCCAGGACGGGTGCTGATACGTATCCTTTCCTCGTAACCTAACTCAGGAACCTGGTTTCGGCAGTTGCTGCGCTGAGTTGTCTGGTAGGTGGCATCTGAACAGCGTCATTCGCCGCTCGGAACAGGTGCGTCACCTTTTGAGTCAAATACGTTGTCCGCAGGTATGATGTGAATGCAGATCCCCCGCTCAGATTATGATTTTATGTAAGCGTGTAGCAGCAGGACTGCTGTTTTAGTAGGGCGCTCATCTCTAGCGCGAACAATTCCCAGCGCCGGCCAAACGTACAATGGCGAAGGGGGAGATCACCCCGTTTCCTCTCGACTTATCCCCCAACACCCGACCAGCCAACTCGTCCGCATCGACGTCCAACGCCGCCAGTCCGAACACCGGCACGGCTCCGTGCAGACCACCCTCCTTCTCCCTCCCTGGCCCCGTGCAACGCCTCCTCGATTTCGGATCTAGTCCCGTGCGCGAGGGCGAAAAGCCCGCTCCTACGCCCTTGCGCTCGCGCAGCATGACCGCGCCCAGTTCTCCTACGGAACAGATCCCGATCCTCACGCTCAGACTGAGCGGACCATCCTTCCTGGACACAGTCATCCGCGATATGTGCACAAAAGAGCCACTGTATATCATCCAGACTATGGCGGATCTGACTCAAATATACCGCCTGGACACCAAGGCAGGAGAGGCGGGTAAGGCCGCCACGATCCAGTGGCCTCCAAACGTGTCTATGACAGGGAAGGGCAAGATTCGATCAGGTAAGAGCGTGCAGATGGGAAGCGGGAGCTGGAGGGAAGTGGAGGATTTCTTGAAAGTTGGGACGCTTGGTGCTTTTGCGTGAGTAGGCAGCAATCTCTCATCGGTTTTCCACTCAACAGCGATCTATCTGCAGGAGCCGCAAGTTCAATCTGCCTCACTTCCCTCACAGTCTCAAATGGAGGCTTGTACCCGGCAGTTGCTATGTTGTAAGTGTTGCTTTCGTACCTGTTTCTATTGCCTCGTGGACTCGCAACCTGATTGTTACCGCGCGAAATGCCTGGTTGCCTACTGACCATGTGAGTTAGGCTCCGGAGATCAACATGTCTCGGCGTCACGATCGGTTCACGGACATGATTGCGTGAATGTTGGGGCCAGGGGTACTGGCACGCCAGGGGGCTTGTTGTCTCGTCATATCGAATGTTGCGAGGGCTTCCATCTGTCAGAACGCTCTGCTCACCTTTCCTTTCCCAGTGCAACACTGCCGGGATCAAGGGCCCGATCGCCGTGCTTGACGCTGCAGTGCTTTCCGCTTCGCCACGTCTGCGGATCTACGAAACTCTCATCTCCCCAGACCTGGCGCGCAGTCAACAGAATTTTGCCGGCATACCGTTTCTACTCATCGACTACCTAGTTGCCACCGCCCTCCTCTTGACGACAACAACGCAGGAATGGCTTGACCGGCCAGCGAACGCGCCTTTGCCTGGTTCGAGTTCGCGTACAGTGCAAAAATGGCTGAGGATCCTCCATCCAGAGTCATACCCGGCTAGGGAGAATGATCGACCGGTTCAAAATACGAGGCCGCAAGGTGAAACACCGATATCCAGTCCTACGACGCCATTTTCGAGTGCTGGAAGTTCCTTCGTCCGGGGATCGCACCATTCATGGCCTGCGAGTAGTGCATCGGGCGGCAGTGAGCAGATCACGACGCCTACAACGCCGTCTACGCAGTCGTCTTCGTCAGGAAGCCGTCGTCCGGCGAGCGCAGAAGCTCTGTCGTCTACAGTGAAGGAACCAATACAAGAGAGTGAGAGGCAGGCCGGACCGACGCCGGCTGACGTGTCCGTTCCGAACGCTGCTACTGTTCCTCCCACTCCATCTGCGCCACCACAGGTTCGATTCCGTGTCGCAAACCCTGAACCTAGTCCCAGTTATTTTGCCAGCACCTCCACGCCAATGCCGCCCCAGCCGCGGGATTACACCTCGCCGCCTCCCGCCACGGCCCCGTCTGCTACTGCTCTCGAGTATGCATCAGTCAATCCGAGACCATCGACAATGTCTTCGCATCCATTCGCTTACGACTCCTTTCCCCGCCCATCTTCCTCATCCCGCACGACTTCGGTACGCAAGCCCAGGCGGCTACCGACGCCTCCCATATCGCAGGACCAACGTGCTATTACATCGCAGGGCCAGCCGCAGATACCTGAGCTGTTCCGGGCGAAATCCGGTCCCTCTGCTCACCGCCCTCTGCACACCTCTGCGTCCTACGCAGGTTTGAACGCTTGGAGCGCCGCTGCTCAGGCAGAGGCCACTGTGAGCGGGTCGAGGGCACCGGTGAGGCGTAGTTTACGGTCGATGCGGATGATACCACCGGCTCTTCCCCCTCCACAACACGTCCCGCTGCCTGTCCCGCCGAAGCTCTCGATGGAGTACGGACATGGGGATAGCCTGAACGGCGTCTCAGAGGCGGGATGTGGACGGGCACAGCGTGACCTTGCGCCGGCGATGAGGTCACTGGCCTTGACGTCTTCTGCTGACCCGCCCCGGCCGCACCCGCTGCCGCAGCCACCACCGCAGATTGAGCACGCATATTCCCATTCTCGCGGCGCTATGGATGGAGGCGGTGTGCACGTAGACGCTGGGCGTGTGCGCGCGTCGTATCCACATGTTGACCATGTCACGGAGACTGACAGCGTGTACGAAATGCCTCCGCCGGCGTACGATGCTATCGACTTTTCCGTGAGGGTGCAAGTCCCTGGCGGACATGGAAGGCGCAGAGGCCGAGGCCAGTGACGTCGGCGTTCACCCTGTATGCGCTGGACGCCGTTCTCCGCTTTCAATTGCTTCATGTCAAGTAGTGCGACTCAGGGGATTGATTTCCTCGATCTTTCACAGAGCTGCTGCGTTTTCTCAAGAAATTTCCCTGCTATGAAGTCATATCCATAGTGCTCTCCCACAAATCTCTCGGCTCGGCCATATATCAACACATCTGCATGCATAGCTGTCTCCCATCGATGCAAGGTGTCACAGCCTTCTCTTGTCTCATACCCACTTCTATCCAGTCGCTTCGTCGCTATGCAATTCTCGAGTACCGCCGCACCATGAAGCATTGCTTGTTTACATTGTATCTTTATACTATCTCTACAACTGTTCTTTTTCTGTCCGTGTCTTCGCAACGTTACTTTCTGCTTGACTCATCTTTCTACCACTCAATCTCTCATATCATACCATCGGATCCCCTACAGCTTCCTGCATTCTTCACTTCATACATATTGCCGGATTTCTAATTGTTTGTCTTCACCCTCTCGCGCAATGCAGTGCTACCGTGGGCTCGCTTAGACTGGCTCAGAAGGCGTGTCACCTGTCGTGTTTGCCGTACAATAGCTCTGTTAGTCTATCTACATAGTGTAATTCTCAGTCATCGAAAGGAATACTGTAAACGCGTTGTTCAGCCACTCCTCCCTTATTCGCGTTGTCCTGCTAATACTACAGCTTAAGAACCGCTCTCAATGCTGAATGACAGAATGTCATACCTTTGCTCGAATTCTACATTTGCCTTAAGCTCATGCAACTATCCTCGAGCGGTCGATAGCAGACGCGTTCAAACTGCTGGCTGAGCTGAACGCGATCACATGGGCGTGTTCGCGCCACGTGTGCGCTACAGGTAGCTTAGGTGCATGACCACTATTACTTTGCGTTACTGCCATACTTCTTCTCGTCTGCCCGCACCTTTGCTTGCTAAACGTTCCCAAATTTCACCCTCTGGCCACTGCCTATGTTGTCTATGAGAAGTCCAGAGGCCGATGATCCTGGAGACCCGTTAGAACTTGAGAGGCTCGCCGAAGAGCTTGCCACGAGAGAGCTCAACTCACGCGCTCTGGATCACGACACAAACATTGACGGGCTGACCAAAGCGGAGCGGGATCTGCCTGTCTATGTTCCTCTGTCGCATGACAACTCCAACCTCTCCGCAGAGACGTTCAATGTCGAAGAATTCCTGCTCTCTCGTGCATACACGTCTCTCCCTGATCTTCGTTCTGAACTTCGAGACTATCTGGCAAAACTCAAAGAAGAGTTGGTGAAGCTTATCAATGATGACTACGAGGCGTTCATTAGTTTGAGCACGGACTTGAAAGATGAGGGTGCGAGGCTAGATATGATGAAAGCGCCCTTGGATGGCTTGAAGTCTGAAGTACTCGTACGTTATGCCCATGTTTAAATGGTGAATAGTATGCAGATAACATGAGTCAGGGTGCAAGACAAACGTTACAGAATATCCAGGCGGCTATTCAGGAGAAGCTGATCAAAAGGAAAGCTCTGAGGGAAGACAAGGTACGTCATTCAACCCATCATCGCAGGAATAAGGCGGTAAATACTGTTAAGCCAGGCTTTTCTGCATCTGTTGCTCAAGATATCCGAGTTGATCACGCGCCTGGAGTTACTGCTGCTCATCGCAGCGCCTCCCGAGGATGACACGACTTCGTCTAATGTCGGTACAATGGGACTCTCGCTCCACGATGATGCCGCTGAAGACAGGTGAGCCACTGCGCCTCTTCTTTTCAGTCAGCTGCAACGTGTTCTTGTAGAACTGAAGGTAATCGCGCGAAACATCTTGCTCGTGTCGCAGCGGAATATACCCAGCTTCTATACCATGTCTCGCGGGCGCGTACTGGGGGCAGTGCCTTCATAGACGAGTCACAATGGGTTTGTGAGCTTCTCTATAGATGTGCTGGTCTCTCTCATACGCCTGATGTCTCATCGCGACGTAGCGCATCGATCGGATACGATCAACATTGTCGTCCGACCTCGACCACCTATTTGCCTCAACGGTCACCGCCCTATCAAGCGGTAAAGGTCAAGGAAAAGACAGCAAGACTGCCGAGGCTGAGCGCTCGAAATGGATTGCCGACGTGACGGAGTGCCTGAAGACGTATGACATGCTTGGGCTGTGGCGCGATGCCGAAGATGTCCTTCGAAAGGAGGTCGTACGCGATTTCGTCAAGAATGTGCGTCTGTTAATGATTCCCGCCTTCGAATGCCCTGATGTTATCACAGACAATCCATCCCGGTGCGCTGACTGCACCTCACTCGCCCATTCTCCCTCACACGCCATTCAATCCGACCGCCCGGGCACGCTCGCCACAGCCTTTGACAGCTTCCCTTCCTCCTCATACACCATACACTCCATTCACTGCCTTCGCCTCCAAACAGAATCCATTCGACCTCAGCTTGGCCGCAGGTGCTGCGGCGGCCTCAGCTCATATTCTTGACGATCGAGATGATCCGTTGGCGGCACTATATAACAATGTGCTACGATTCGTTGAGCGCGACCTGAAGCGGATCATGGAAATCGCGGAGAAGGTGTGCGTAAAGTCAGGGTCAAGGTCGAGTGAGGGTCGTTTAGTGACCGACGCTAAGCGACAGCAAGATGCCCATGGGTTTGAGATCATGGCCAATGTGATATGGGCGGAATTGGGTAGAGCGATGATGGACGAGCTCGGTAACGTCATCTTTGCAGCAGGAAAACCGGATGATTTCAGAAAGGTTTTCCTTCACATTCATCTTATTCTGGGGTTCAAGCTAACGACGGCATTCTGCCAGCATTACGAGACAACGCAGGCGTTCATCCGCTCGGTGGAGTTCCTCGCGCCTTCCGTTCACTCAGTCGAGGCGATGCGAGCACATCCAGTATTCGTGGCATTCGAACGGCGATGGCAATTGCCTGTTTACTTCCAGCTTCGCTGGAAGGAAATCGTCATGAGACTAGAAGGCTCGTTGGCTGTCACTCGATTAGAACGAGCAGTTAGCAAGCGTGCGTGTTCGCTCTTCACATGCTGCGGACGGATTTAAATTCACAGTGTTGTCCACATAGCAGCCGAAGCGTTCGTCACTTCACAAGCAGCCGCGATATGGGAAGCGATCAATGCATGCTGGAGTGCCGAAGTCTTCATACCGGAACTCAGCCATAGATTTTGGAAGTTCACATTGCAGGTCCGCCCGTCAATGACAGCGAGATGTGTCCTGCTGACAATGCGGCTAGATTTTGAGCAGGTACAAGACATGGCTGGAAAGCAGTCTTCCTGTATTTCAGCCTTCCTCTCAAGTAGCCGCAGCTGTTGCAGCGGAGAAACTTGCTGCTGTGCGTGCTGTCATGACTAGATATGAAATGCTCACGTTGACGTAAACCTAGGCACCTGGAGGTTCTCCTGTTTCTGCATCTCGCTCAGGCACACCGCTGCCCTCATTGGAGATGGCCTCTGCGGAGTCCACTGCAGCTGATGAGGCATCGCTGCAGCGGTTCTCTATTGCGATTATTGACATCAAGGCTGTGGAGTCGCATGTCATGAAGCTCTGGAGAGAGGAGATCAGCATGATGCTGCCAGAGCTTAGCGACCGAAGCATTGATGTCAGTCCGGAAGGTTCGTGAAGCGGATATTGCAGCGTGAGCAGTGTTGACAGGCTCCTATAATGCAGACGCCCTCAAACGTTCAATATCCTCGTTGACATCCCTGATTCCGCCTCTGTCGAGCCAAATCATAGCTATTCTAGCACGACGTGCATGCGATGCTCTTTTGTCGATGCGGTCCATACCTTCTCAATTTCGGGCCATGTCTTCCAGTCGACGCATGCCGACCGAACCAAGTTACTTCATTTCGCTCATCTTCCGACCAATCAAAAATTTCTTCGCCATTGATAACGCGGAGGGTCCGGGCGCACCTTTGAGAGGCAATTTTCTGCAGGCATATGCTGAGGAAGTCTTCGAGATTGTTGTGCAAAGGTGAGCCATTACAGCTGTCACTCGAAGCCTAGCTGACCCCATGACAGGTACATCTATTATCTATCAGCCATGAAGAAAACCGAAGAATCTCTACGTAAGCTGAAGAAGGGCAAGAAATCTGCGTTTTCACTGTTTGGTAGTAGCGCCAAAGAGGACGATGGGAGAGCGGATGAAGAAAAAATTCGTGCCCAGATGATGCTAGATGTAGAAGCCTTCGGCAAGGACGCAGAATCACTCGGGGTTGCTACTAGTCAGAGTGGCTCGTTTAAATCGCTGCGGGACATGGCCAGTGCTAGCTTGTCCGACGAGTGACATTCTAGCAAGTCTCCACCGACGCATGAATGTCATCGATTCCAGGGTCATTACAATTCTCATATGAAACCTAGTCTAATGTACGCTAATGGTATTAGGATGCTCAGCTGTTGCACAGGTACTGTGGTATATCTCGCCTGTCCGTGATACAATGATGGGAACTCCATCGCTCGATCCTGTATTATTTTCTGGTGTACTTACTGTGTCAAGGAAGGGCTTTCCGCATGAACGACAAATCCCTTGAAGGGCTGGCCATCCTCGGGCGCGTTGCTGCGCTAGCATTTCAATCGTCGCGAACAGATCATCGTCAACGAGATGTTTGGTAATGACTAGCATGTCTGTGTCTGAGCGATAGGTGTCCAACATCCCGGTAAACAGCGTTCTGAACTCCGCGTATAGGGCAGGCTTAGCCACGTTGCTCTGTGATGCAGAAGTGATAAGCCGCTTGAACAAACGCGGGAGTGACACTTCTTTTGCAGAGTTGATCGACATCAAAGAGCTAAACGACTGCTGCACTAGTGAGCGCAGACTAGAGATGGTACGCTGTTGAAGCTCGAGAAATTCTCTGTTCTCTGAATTGTCCTGATGTGCGTCGGGGAACCCAGATGAACAGACGCTGGCGACGCGTTGAACAGCATCGATTTGACATCGGAGAAGCTGGAACCATACTTCTTCCACTGGGATGACTGACTTTTGCAATTGTTCAAGGCACATAGCAATTGCAGCCTCGCCAATAGCTTGTATCATGGATAATGTCGAGGTGACGGTAGATTCCGAACCAGGATGTGGTTGCGACAATGCATCACCAAGCCTAGCTGACAGACTGGATTCATACGCCTCAGCTTTGGCCAGAGCAGCCATGGCATCACCACTATGGCTCAACATCCAGACAGCTGCGTCATACACTTCGTGTTCCTCGCATATTTGGACGACGGTCGTAACGTCAACGAAATTTGACGGGAGATAGCGAATAGCAGGAATGACGCTCGAGGGGTCAAGATGACAGCACAAGGAAATGTATATTTGCCGGAGAGCGGGGGGTACATGAGGTGACGGTCCACCCCTGCGAAACGGGACGAAACAGCAACTCTCGCCCTCCGTTGGTGGACCAAGAAGATACTGCAAGTAGGCATGGCGATCTTCTTCGCTTCGAGAATCCAAGAGGGCAAACGCGCTTTCATGCATTGTGGGTAGATGCTGATCAAGCAGGGCAGCCGTGTTCATTACGCTGCTGCTGAGCAACGAGGGTAATGACCTAACCACCGTGTTCGCCACCTCAGTCGGTAGTGTTCCTTTATGTGCACGTTCTACCATGACCAAGACGTCGCTGATGTAAGGGGAAAGATCGGAACGAGATAGGTCGGGATCATGGAGATACGTCTTGAGCAAGGGAGTCCACTGACGCTCCTGTCGGTACCAGGAGCGCAATATTCGATAGAATCCGGCCTTCTCGAACAGAGCAGCGAGCCTTTCACTTTCATGCGGAGTGTATGCAGACAGCAGATATTCTGCAGCTAGCTGCCTGTCTTCGCGTGTAGCAGAGTCCGGGTCTTCAGCAAGACTGATGAGAATGTTATGAAGAGCACTAGGAGGGATTTGGATGAACTGCGGATATTTGGGAATGTTCCGTGCAAGGAAGACGTTAATGAAAGTGAACTCAGTGTGAGGAAGAGCTGGCGAAGACAAGATCTCCAATAGAATCTTAACGATCACGAGTCGATTAACAGCTCGTGTTTTATCGTTGAAAAACGCGTCTTCAAATGCCAGATCAAGCGTGTGCAGAAACGCCTCGGGGTCAAACCGGAGGAGCAGACGGGTATATGGATATGTCGGCTCTACACCGTTCTCCTCGTCGGCTGTTAGGATCAACTCTTCTCCATTTTCTATTGGCCGCACACTAGATCGACCATTGAACAGGAATGTGTACACATCTTTCTTCGCTTGCAGCGACTCCTCTTCCGGAAGTGGCTCCGCGGATGGATAAGCCAGCCCTGTGAGAACGTCGGCAAGATAGGAATACACCTTGTATGCATTCAGCACTACTGGCTCGATAGCTTCGTCACCTGCATTCACAGGCACTGGAGATCCCTCGCGTCGAGTTTTTCGATATTGTTGGACCTTTCGCACAAGACCGATGAGTTCCACCAATGGCGAGACGTAATCTTTCAGCGCTCGATTGTAGACGTAGATCAAGGCGTCGTAGAGATGATGCTTCTGACAGAGCGTAATCGCCTGATTCACATCGAGACAGTCAGGATCGATATGCCAGATGACACGTTCCACAAAATCAGGCTGGTTGTTCTCCTCATGCATGGCGACGAGCCTTTGAGTGATACGAGGAGGAACTTGATGGATCTTCCTCTCCAGGATGAATGGTTCCAATTGCAATAGAAAGATCCGCGCGATGCCGTTGTCATCATAATATTGGAAGAGATCCTCAAATAGATATTCGTAGTCGTCCAGTGCGATGCAGGCTCGTGCGCATGTCCTGACCAGCCCTTCGAATAGAGAGGTCCGATCCACACCGCGTCCGTCCAGAGTGACATGGGTCTCGTCAATCATACGATCTTCCGAAAAGGCGTAATCAGCAGAGGCTCTCATGAGCTCGCGCATCTTCTCTCCAACGACATCTTTGAGTTTTTCCGTCGACTCTGGGAGCCCGTTTTTGTTGCTTGAAGTCTCCCCGACGTAATATGCACGAGTCAACTCGATAGCACTTAAGAAGTCGCCCTTCTCGACGAACGCTAAAATCCGATCGGCCCAGGTCAACAGCGTCCCGACCTGGAGCTCGTGTTGACCCTGTGTGCGGAGGTGAGTCGAGCACGCGGTGCAACATGGTAGGACTTACAAGCATGAAAATCTTGCCCTTATAAACTCGCATGCTATGTGCCACCTCGGTCACGGCATCAGGGTATGAGACACTGCCGTTCGTTGTGTGGCTCAACGTCGGAGAGACGAGAGTCCAAGCGTCATATGGAACACGCTCAACCAGCTTCGTTGAGCGAACGTCGTACACCTCCAGATTGGTGAGAGTAAGGACAATAACTTGCTGTCAAATGAATGTGAGACGGTGCAATTCAAGCGAGACAGGACCCAGGCAAACGAACCCACATTGACATTCAGCCATTGCAATGCCAGTATATCGCCGTCTACTGTCCATTTCCCGGCTTCTTCGAAAGTGACTATGCCGACCTCGGCTGTGTCCACCTTCCCTGTCCGCTTGTTGCGGACTTGCTGTGAAACCTTGGACTCGAAAACGCGCATGAGATACAGCGTATCGCCCCAAGAATATATCAACATAGGTGTCGATGACGATTGAGTAGAGCATTTGGCTTTAGCCTTCTTGTCGTTTATCTCCGCATAGGAGCCGTCATCCTTTACGATGCTTGGATACCACGCGAGGGTACCCTTGAATCTAGATTTAATGCTGACATCGTCCGATTCCCTATGACATCGGTACCAAGTTCTGGGCGATGGCTTCAGCCCGACGATTACGAGCTTGATTGGCGTGAGAAGCGCGACCAGGTTGTATTGATCGGTCGGATGTGATGCTGTGCCAAGCGGAAGAGGTCCCGTTGCTAGGATAGTACTGGCTTTGCGTGTCTTTCGACGGCGGAAGTGATGCGAGGTCGATGCAGTCGGCAGCTCCTCATCAGGATACTTTCCCAACAGTCGCAGTGTATCCGAGGCATCCATGAAGAAGACCTTGCCCAAGCTATGGTAGAAGGCAAGGCCGCTGTCATCGGCTGAAACGAGGGCAGTATGTCTCCCGGCGATGAACCCGACACTGACTATCCTGGAGCCAGCCAAGTGCCCTTCTTGCCGCCCAGATGCCACAGCGTCAAGTGTCGTAGGGACAACGAAACGGACTGGGGCCTTAGGAGTCTTCAAGTCAAACAGCTGTATATGTCCCGACGCGTGGCCCGAGGCTACGAACATATGATCGAATGATAGAGCCACAGCTGTAACCGGTCCGATCGCTCTATCTAGAGAACTGCGGTCAAGACAAACACCCTTCGGAGATATTCGTGCGCACCTGAGTTATCAAAGCCGCAGATGCACTTCAAATGCTGTTTGAAGTCGAAGACCATAACTTTCCCAGCGTCTGTCCCGATGCAGATGAGCCCATTCGCCGCGAGAACGGTTGGTGCTCCGATAATCTCGGTCTCTAGCAGGGAGGTGATCCTTTGAGAATTGTTTGAGTACACCAGTTCATCAATGGCTCTCAACTTCGTCCATCGAAAGACTTCTCGCTGCGCTTGACCGTCCATACCCTCCGACTTCCCTAGCCCTGCGACTAAGTTGGTCGTGGAGGACGTGGGTGACAGTGCAGATACGTGCGAGGGTGTGACTGACGCTCCTCCGTAGCCGTATGAGAATAACGTCCCCGCGCTTGCCGAGGATGGCACTTGTGAAGGCTGAGGAGTGGAAGAACGCAGCCTGGAAATAGCAGGATGAAGAAATGGCCATGACATTCCGCTGGGCGAGTTTGTTTTCTTGGGCGAATGAATCTTCGATGGAGAGGACGATACAGACGTAGACGGAGGAGAGACCGGCGGCGGCGAATCCGCAGCTACGGGGCGGTCTGCGTCCGCCTGCGACACACGGGCTATGCGTCAAGAACCGTGGCACTGAGCCAAATGCCGACCTCACCTGCGCTTCATCCTGCATTGCTGCAGCCAGACTCTCCTTCTCCAAAACTTCCTCGAGGATTGCATTCTCTTTCTGATGATGTTCGAGCTCGTCATCTTCATGCTCCGGGCCCAGCACCTCTCGCAGTTGTTCTCCGTATCCCACAACGTGTTCTGCGTCGATTCCGTTGTACAAAAAATCTTCTTCATCGTCATTGTCGTCGTGGTTCTGACTACGGGGCTCTGAGCCGCCATCAGAGTTGCTCAAGAGCTCTTCAAGACGCGTCGAGTAATTTCCGCCGAGGTCGTCTTGAATTTCCTCTCCCTCATTGTCGGAGAACTCGAGCGGAGCCTCGTCGCCGACGCGACTTTCACCGTCGCCTTCGAAGCGCTGTGTCCCATTCATGAACGAGCCGTGGAATGGTATATTGGAGCTGAGCTAGAGGCGGTGGATCGTGATCAGGAGGCTTGAGGAATGACGGCAACATCATACAGATTGGAAATATAACAGTCCTGATAAAGGCTTATCCGAGCCGGCACGGGTATAAAACTACCAAATCAGAAGATGTGCAAAACTAATTGGAAACCCTAGCTGATTGTCGCACGGAGAGGCAATAATGGACCTCCGCCAGGGTCACCGCGAATTCGACCTTGAATCCCTATCTTCTTGTCCCTCGACGGCACTCGACCACTACATCCTCCACGCCTCTGCTGCATCGACACCACCATCCTCTGGCGCCAGGCCATGGCCAATGTAGCAGTAATGGGTCCTCCACCCTCTCCGAAGGAGCCCCGCCGCTCAGGCAGACGTTCCGCACCCTCAGCATCCAAATCCCCGGCAGGGTCACCAGCCGCTGATACGGGTCCCAAAGCCAAGGAAAACTCGATCCGACCAGCTCTCACGACATCAAACAGCTCGAACAAGAGCAAGCGCAGCAAGCAGGATGACCACGACGATGTGCTCGAGGACGTTCGCAAGAATGGCGTCAACGGAAATGGAAACGGGCGCGCGAAACGCAAGGGAAGAGACAAAGAGAAGTTATCTGACGTTGCAAACGGCGATAGCCACGACGACATTGCGTATGTTGACGCGCCTGGTGCGGAGGCGGCGGCAGACGCTGAAGGGGAGAACGAGGAGACGGGTGTCACTCGATGTATCTGTGGTCAGTTCTACAACGCATCGAGTCACTTCTATTACTCAGGTTGCATCACAGGCGAGGAGGACTCAGACGCTGCCGGAGACGCTATGGTGCAGTGCGATCTATGTGAGGCCTGGCAGCACTGTCTATGCATGGGTTACCCCGCCGTCGAAGCCATCCCTGATGAGCATTATTGCGAGGTGTGCCGGCCTGATTTATACGTCGATCTGCTCAAGTGCGTGCGCCTTCCATCGCATTATAGCCTATCTGACAGAATGTCGGTCCTGTAGAAAGCATGCGAAGCGAGCTCGACAATCATCGACCAACTCACATCACACTGCCGCTGCTAATCCGTCTCGCGCATCCCGTTCCCACTCTCCCATCATCCAGCCCAAACCGACGAAACGAAGGAATACCATGAATAGCAGGGATGCCGCATATGAGGACAGCGTGCAGGCATTGATTGAGGCGACTGCTGCTGAGGCGGCGGCGGCAGCGGCAGCGCAGGAGGCTGCAGATACGCCTGTCGTCAATGGTACAGGGAGCGATGTTAACGGGCACGCGGGGGCCGAACAGGACCCATTGACGGCTCCAAGCAGTCGGCGAAAGCGCAAACGCTCTGATGATGATGCGTGAGTTGCTCGTTTGCCCTATCTTCATCGTGATTGACCGTCTACCGCTAGTGTGGCCTCGAAGCGGACAAGATCGGCGTCTATTGCATCTGATCGCACAACTGTGGCAAACGCTATTGCTCGTGATCCCACACCGGTCGTCAACAATGTCAATATCAAAAACACACCTGCTCCAGCATCGACGGCGAAGAACCCACGAAATAGACGAACAAACGCGCGAAAAGCACAAGCGCAGGATCTGGTGTTGGGAGAAGGAGAGGAAGGTCTGTCAACCTAGATCTGTGACGTATGTCACGTGCCTGGTAACTGACTTCTGCTTCAGTCGTGCCAACGTCTGCACGGAAGCAGGCCAACAACCGTTCTAAAGGTAGCATTATCCGTCATGATTGGTTATCTTTGCTCATGTATCCTCGCATAGCAACGACGGGGAACGATCACGGCGGACGACGGGCGCAAGCCAACTCTGTGACCGGCGCTGGCGGAAATCTTGGCTCACATGCCAATTCCTCTGCCGTGTCGCGCGCCTACTACCACTCGCATGCATACGCCTTGTCGCAACAGCCTCTCTATACCTCATGGGGCTTGCCAGATCATCTTGCTCACCTTGAGCCTATGCTGCCGAGCGAAACACCACGACCATTAGAAGTCCGAGGATCTGGCGTCGATCCTAACGGCCGAGAGTCTCTCGAGCGCACAACCGAGCGAGGAGTGAAAGTAAAGTGGCCGGCAAAACGAATGAGTGTTGGGGACATGAACAAGCGCGTTCGAGCGCTGGTGGAATGGGTGGGAAGGGAACAGGCGAGCGCGTTGGAGAGAAGCAGGCGGAGGGAGTCTCTTGAAAAGGCGTTGAAGGATGCCCGGGCGTCCAACGAAGAGGAGCCACGGCAAGATGGAGACACCCAGGTATCCGAAAATGGCAATACTTTGCCAATAGCGGTAGAGAATGTGCCTCTCACCGACTCACCACTGCAGGAGAAGCAGTTGAATCTGCTTGATGGCATACTTTCCATTCCGCAAGAATCGAAACCGCCAAGCTCGTCGCCGCCGACCATGAAACTCATGGAGGAGTTGATGGAGGAGCTCATTGACTTCCAGGAGCGCTTTGGACCCGGTGCGAAGACAAAAGAGCGGGAGCGGAGGACGGTCACCTCATGACGTGTTTATGGTTTCTCTCGTTCTGTCTTACCATTTGGATAGCTATCGATTCTCATCTTTCCGCGCTCTCTTTGTTGTTCCAGTTGTATGCTTCTGTCCGCTGTAATAATTGCTCATGCCAATATTTTCCGATTGTATCCGTAATCGAGCCACTCTTCTCATACCTCCATCACGAGTCCGAGTGCACGCGGCGGGTACAGCTCGCCGCAAAGTTAAAATTCGGCCATCGTGCTCGGCCATGCCGTAAGTCGACACTGAGATCAACTCTTCGAATTCCGACGGTGGCGCCCATCAGTGAGTCATTTTGATTTTCAGCCAAATTTCCACCAACTGCACACTGATCATCGACGTGCGGCATTACTCTCTGCAGTAATTGACAGTCATGTCTGCTGCGGCCACTCTCGAATACGCCTCAAACGCCCCCCAACCGATTGCCTACGCTAGATTGTCTGCACACCATCTGCTGCCTTCTGGTACGCCGGACTATCTGAGGCTCATCTTGACCTCCAAAGTCTACGAGATCCTGAAGGAGACGCCGCTCGTATTCTGCCCTAACTTGAGTGCGCGATATGGAAATCAAATATATCTCAAACGCGAAGATCTCCAGGAGGTGTTCAGCTTCAAGATCAGGGGCGCATACAACTTCATGGCGAGCTTGACAGAGGAGGAACGCTGGAAAGGTGTCGTCACTTGCAGTGCGGGTTAGTGTGCGTAGTTTTCGGGCTTGGTTCGGTCTGCAATTGAGGGCTCGAATGATATGGTGCAGGGAACCATGCACAGGGTGTCGCTCTCTCAGGTTCAAGACTGGGTATCCCGTGCACTATTGTCATGCCCAAAGGCACACCATCTATCAAGGTGCGCAACGTGTCGCGCCTTGGCGCAAAAGTCGTACTGTACGGTCAAGACTTCGACGAAGCAAAAGCGGAATGCGCCCGCCTAGCGGCTAGTCACGGGCTCATCTTTGTCCCTCCGTATGATGACCCGCTAGTTGTAGCAGGTCAAGGGACCATTGGCATGGAGATTCTCAAGCAAATACCGGACGCTGAAAGTCTGGACGGTGTTTTCGCCGCTGTCGGTGGCGGTGGGCTCGTGGCTGGAATCTGTGAATACATCAAAAGGATAGGTGCCCCGAAAACAAAAGTTATCGGGGCCGAGACCCACGATGGAGACGCGATGGATCGCAGTCTCAAGAAAGGAGAGCGAGTTACGTTAGACGAAGTCGGACCGTTCAGCGATGGAACGGCCGTGAAGATCGTCGGCGCTGAGCCGTTCAGAATCTGCAAAGAGTTGCTGGATGGTGTGGTCAAGGTGGACAATGACGAGCTCTGCGCGGCCATCAAGGATGTCTTCGAAGGTACGCAGGTCCGGCATATGAACAAGCTCAACAGGCTGATACATCTATATCAGAGACACGTTCTATTACAGAGCCCGCTGGGGCCTTAGCTCTGGCAGGACTAAAGAGATACATTACAGATAATCAGCTCATTGGCGCACAGAAAAAGTTCGTGGCGGTGGTGAGCGGCGCAAACATGAATTTTGACCGCTTGCGATTCGTTGCCGAGCGCGCAGAGCTTGGCGAAGGCCGAGAGGCTCTTCTCAGCGTCGAGATACCAGAGAAGCCCGGGAGGTATGTGCATTGCCGGTTCTCATCCGCCCTACTTGAATAACCTGTGCCTCTTAGCTTCATCAAGCTACACAGTGTGATCCATCCACGCGCCACGACTGAATTCATCTATCGGTACAGCAACCCGCAGCGCGCTCAGATATTTTTATCCTTCAAGCTTGAGACTAAGTCTCGCGCAAGCGAGGTTGCGGACGTTCTCGCCGCACTTGAGCGGCAAGATATGAAAGGCTTCGACATTAGCGACGACGAAATGGCCAAGACACATGCCCGATACATGATCGGTGGTTGTCAGAACGTGCCTAATGAGCGGCTTTTCAGGTTCGGTAAGCTGAATTCCCGGTTCCTGAGACGCGCAAGGGCTCATAGAGTGACATTTGAAGAGTTCCCTGAAAGACCTGGAGCACTTCGAAAGTTCTTGCTCGGTCTTCATTCTGGATGGAACATTTCGTTGTTCCACTATCGGAACCATGGTGCAGGTGAGTGATGGGGAAGACGTCGATTCGGCAGCTAGTGATAACTCGGATTGCTTAGACCTTGGGAAGGTGCTTGCAGGAATTCAAGTTCCACCCGAGGAGTCTCACGAGTTTGCTGCCTTTTTGAGTAACCTTGGGTATCCTTACGTCGAGGAAACACAGAACGAGGTCTACAGACGGTATTTGAGGGTTTGAGGGCAGTTGGCACTTCTCGTCATGGTCTCGATCGAGTAGAATCGGCGGCACTACTCAAACAGAGGTCCTGAGGGTCGTTACTGGTTTGGGAGGCAATAGATCTAATGTAGTTGTGTATTCCTGGCTTCTTCGGGAACTGGGCTATGTAACATAGCATGAATGCGTACAGAAGGAGTTATATGAGACGAGAAAACTCGCTTCCCGCCGGGTGTTTCATCGCATTCCGCTGGCGAGAATGCATGAACAGCGGTGCATATGGTTCAAGTGCAGTGGCAAATGGAAGCGACACATCTGATTCTGATGCGTCAAAGCGTATCATGCAACTAGACTCTGGCTACATGTCACGGATTGTCGATGGCATGATTTAGAGAATGACACACCTCGGGGAAGCCGGACTTCAATGAGACTCGGGCTTTGCATTCAGGTAGAGGTTATCCACGAGAACATAGGTAGCAAAGGCCACTGTAGCGATGCCCAAGCCGGGGAACGTGCGGGCGAACATAGCGCGTTTCGCGAAGATCGGGTGTTTCCGCCAGGCCTCCCGCTTTGCCCAGGGGTCTCGGAAAAGAGGGGGAGACGGTGGTGTGTTTGCCATCTGCCAAGGCGCGACCGTCAACGATCCTGAGGTCGAGAATGAAGGGAAATAAAGCCGTACTTGGTCGCCAACTACGTATATCTGGAAATGGCTCGCAGACCACGGCAGCTCGCGCCACAAGATTGACTTTAGGGCAGGCCATCTGTCACTTCAACTTATGGAGCCGATCAGGACAAACACCCCAGATTATTGCTCCTTCTCCCAAGACCCCTTCATCCCTCTAGACTACCCCTGCACTGCGTCTGGACGATCATTCCTGCCTCCCCCATCATGTCTGCCGACGTCGACATGTACTCTGATGACGACAAGCCCATCCGTCTCAAGGCGGGCCCAAGCCATCAGAACGGCCACGTCGTGGCGAATGGCAACGGGCGGGCAGCCCAGGAGTCGTCCATGAGCGAGGACGACGACCAGCCACTCGTAAGTTTTTTGTTCAGAATTGTTACCAAAAATGCATGGCTAAGGCGCGTGATGTGCTGGCTTGATTGCAGTCACAAGTCTCGCGCGTGAAGTCTGAGTCCATGACACCTGTGCGCGCTGTGAAGCGCAAGAAGCTCCCGTCTGACACCAGCTCTAGTGAAGAGGATAAGCCGCTATCGTCTTCGCCTGCGAAGCCTCGTCGCCGGGCGCGTACAAATGGCGCGCGCGCTATCAACGGGAAGAAGAAGTCTGTTGAGACCGACGACGATGACGATGACGCGCCGATTACGAAGAGCAAGCGCGCTACGACTACTTATGGCAAAGCTGCCAGCAAGCCGGCCAAAAAGAAAGTCAAGCAGGAAGAAGATGCGGATTACCCTCCCGGCTCGGAATCCGACAAAAACCCTATTACCAAGAAAGCTCCTCGTAGAGTCAAACGCAAGCTCAAGTCGGACGGTGATGACAATGGGGAGAGCTCGTCCGACGACGAGAAGCCAATCACCAAGGCGAAGAAAGCCCCGACGAAGCGGGTCCGGAAAGAGAAGGCAAGTTCGGCAGCATCTACTCGCAAGCCGAATGGCAAGGTGAAGAGTGAAGAGCCAGAGCCGTCTCCGAAAAGGGGGAAGAAAAAGAAAGAGGGGGAAGAGGACGTCTTCCGGTGGTGGGAGCAGGATCCGAACGGGGACGGTACTGTGAAATGGCAGACCTTAGAGCACAACGGCGTCTACTTCCCTCCTCCTTATGAACCTTTGCCTCGTCATGTAAAAATGAGGTACAACGGTACGTCTTATATTGTGCTATAGCATAAGTGTGGCATAGTCTAACACCTGCCGATATATAAGGCAAAACGCTCGACCTTCCCCTTGAGTCGGAAGAGGTTGCGGGGTTCTACGCAGCAATGCTGGAGACGGAGCATGCAAAGGACGCAACCTTCAACAAGAACTTCTTCAGTGATTGGATCAAGGTGTTGAAGAAGCACCCTCCTGTACGTATGCTCCTATCCAAGTTGCCTCGCTTGGCCCTTACATTCGACTATTTGCAGCGTGACGGAACTAAGGTCACCGAGTTCAATCTGTGTGACTTCCGCCCGATGTATGAGTTCTTCGAAGAGGAGAAAGCAAGGAAGAAGTCAATGACTGCTGCTGAGAAAAAAGAGGCGAAGGCAACTAAAGACGCTCTCGAGGCACCGTATACGCACTGCGTCCTTGATGCACGTAAGGAGAAGGTGGGCAACTTTCGAGTGGAACCACCCGGCCTCTTCAGAGGTCGTGGTGACCACCCGAAGAAGGGTGCGCTGAAGGTAGTATGCTACATCGGATGTATGCGGCGGTTGTTGATATATGTGGATGTCATGCAGCTGCGCGTGCGACCTGAAGATATCACGATTAACATCGGCGAGGGCGTTCCCATTCCTAAGCCCAATGTCCCGGGCCAGTGGAAGGAGGTGATGCACGACAACACGGTCACCTGGCTGGCAACGTGGACTGAGAATGTCAACGGCAACCATAAGTACGTCTTCTTGGCAGCAGGCAGCTCTATCAAGGGCCAGAGCGATATGCAGAAGTTCGAGAAGGCGCGAGAGCTGAAGGTTGGTAGTGAATTGCTCCTTATATGCATGCGGATGGCTTAACTGACCCCTCCGCAGCAATTTGTCGATCGTATACGGCAAGATTACAACGTCGATCTGAAGAGCAAGGTCATGGCCGATCGACAAAGAGCGACTGCGATGTACTTCATCGATCGCCTCGCTCTTCGAGCTGGAAACGAGAAGGGTGAGGATGAGGCGGATACCGTTGGTTGTTGCTCTCTCCGGTGCGAGCACGTCACACTGCTGCCACCGAACCAGCTCGTCTTCGACTTCCTGGGTAAGGACTCCATCCGCTACTACAACCAAGTCACCGTCGAGGACCAAGTATTCAAGAACATACGAATCTTCAAGGATGGCAAGGACGACAATGATGGGTTGTTCGATCGCGTTAACGTAAGTGCCCACCGGTCTGCACCTGACAGAGGAACTTAGCGCAAGGGCAGACAAGCAGCTTGAATAAGCATTTGGCCTCATATATGAAGGGCCTGACTGCGAAGGTCTTCCGAACATACAATGCCTCGATCACGTTCCAGCAACAGTTGGACCAGGGAATCTCGGATAAAAAGACAGTCCAGGAGAAGCTCAATGCATACAACCATGCGAACCGCATGGTGGCTATTCTCTGCAATCATCAAAGGGCTGTCCCGAAGACGCACGAGCAATCAATGGGCAAGATGAAGGATAAGGTTTGTCGTACATATCGGCACGAAGACTGCGAGCTAATTGGACATCGGAACAGTTGCGTGGCATGAAGTACGAACGCATGAAGTTGCGGCACGCTATGTTCGCCATCGACTCCAAGTACAAGAAGAAGGCGAAGTATGCGCAAGACGAGTCTGACCTCGATGACGATGCGATCGCCGAGCATGAGGAGCAGGCAAAGGCGAAGGAACTAGAGCGCGTCGAAAAGAAGTTCGCGAAAGACAATGAGAAGCTCGTCGAAGAGGGTAAGCAGCCACAAGATGAGTCTGTCCTGAAGACGAAGCGCAAAGAGGTTGAGGATGAGTTCAAGATACTGAAGAAAGAGCGTGGGACCGGGAAGGCTGTGTTGAAGAGGGACCGGCCTTTAGAGAAGATAGAAGAGGCTATAGAGAAGCTAGATGAGAAGGTAAAGACGTTCAAGCTGCAGATGGAGGATCGGGAAGCCGGTAAGGAAGTTGCGTTAGGCACGAGGTAGGGCGATTGCTTGTTGCGTGATGAAACTGCTTTACTGATTATGACATCAACAGTAAGATCAACTACCTAGATCCGAGGTGAGTTCGCCGCTGAGATGCATATCGTCTTCTACAAATTCCGTTCTCGATAGAATCACGGCCGCATGGTGCAAAACGCACGGCGTTCCCATAGAGAAGATCTTCTCTAAGACTCTCCTGACGAAATGTGCGTTTCAACTTCGGTTGATCTACCAGCTTCTTACTGACTTGGAATGCAGTCCCCTGGGCTATGGAAGTTGAATCGGACTGGAAGTTCTAAACACTGCTCGCATCGTTGCATGGATCCCGCAATATTAGCCTTCGACACATTTTATTCGAGATATCCTCGTGGACTCGTCATTCCATCGTTCTATCCCATTGCACCCGTAGTCGCATCGCTTCTCGCAATTGCGTATTATTCGTACAGGGTCGATTGTACTTGTTATCACCTTACTTATTGGCTTTGCTGCTCCTGTGCTCTGGGGGCTCTGGTGGCCTTTCAATAGACTATACTGTATTCATGTCATGGGGAGTGGCATGAGTGCACGCATCATTCAAGTAGCTGTTGTGTTCTCAGTTGATCAATGTGTTAACGCGAGCTTTAAGCAAAATGGACAGCGTATTCACGTGGATTTAGTACTCCACGTACATGGTCACTGACTCCACGTTATCCCCGCCGCGTGTCAACACTGATGTGCTCGGCTCTAGCAAGGCTCTCTGTCTCTTGCCATTCATCACTATCGTGACCAGGCTGTATTGCCCTGCTCTCGTCAGCCATGAGCGTGAAGTCGCAGACAAGTCGCCCTTCATGGGTCTCCAGAACCGCCTTCGACGCGCTGGGAGTCGAATCAGGGGAGGAAAGCGGGGAGGAAGCACGCGAGGAGTCTCCCCCGGCGTCGCCGCCGGAGAGGTATGGATTTCGCGCGCAGTTCAGTTTCCTTCGCTGATATTGGCCCTCGCAGCGGAGAAGAATCCGCTTCAAAACCGTCTAAGTCTGCGTTGAAGAAAGCGAAAGCTGCAGCGCGCTACGAACGGCAGCAACAGCGCAAGGCGGCAGCGCGCGCCTCCCGCCTGCAGGCAGCAAGCTCAACATCGGCGCCCAGTGGGGAACCATCGCTAGCAAAGTCTTTAACATCTGATGCTCTTTCGTCCTCGAATGAGTCAACCGAGGAGCAGGCAAAGCCTTCAGTGCCGCCCTCGAGGGCAAATGTTTCCTCAGAAGAGGGCCCCCTCGGTATCCCTGTGGAATACTTGCACAAGCACATCCCATCAAAAGCAGCACTGCCACAGTCGCAACAGGAAAAGCCTGGTGTGTCCGTGACGTCCGCGTCTGCAACAGCCCCGCTCTCCATGCCCAACGGCAAGACACAAGCACTGAGATACGCTTCCAACGAGAAGCCGCCATTATCGGCCCGTGCGAATCGTCATACTGCGAACGGTGACGCGGGAGATGCATTGGAAAAACAAGTTCGCGCAGAAGACAAAGAGAAGGTGAAGAAATGGCGAAGTTTCCTGACGAGGACGTTGTGGACATTCATCATGATCGGTGGATTCATTGGTGAGTGATCCTGATGTCATGACATGCATGCTGGCACTGAGAGAACCAATTCCTTAGGATTACTGCTCATGGGTCATGCATATATGATTGTCCTCGTCATGCTATGCCAGACGTTGGTGTACCGCGAGGTCACAGCACTGTTCTCGCTGAAGAAGAAGGGTTCAGATGATGCAGAAGCGAGCGGTCGTGACCCGTGGAGCAAGACTTTGAACTGGTACTTCTTTGCCATTACCAACTACTTCCTGTATGGCGAGAGCATCATATACTACTTCAAAGTGAGCCTGATCCTCCGTCTTCTCTTGCAATCTCGCCCACTGACGAGATTTCCCCTAGCATGTCGTGTTCGCGGATGCGCAGCTCACCCTCTTCGCGACAAATCACCGAATGATTAGCTTCTGCCTGTACACCATCGGTTTCGTAGGATTTGTCCTATCTCTCAAGCGAGGATATCTCAAGCAGCAGTTCGGCTTGTTCTGCTGGGTACATATGACGTTGATGTTCATCGTGGTGTCAAGGTATGCGCTAATTGTTCACCTTCATGGAAGACGGGCTAAGAGGGCGACAGTCACTTCATCGTGAACAACATCCTTGAAGGAATGATCTGGTTCTGGGTTCCTGCATCGCTCGTGATCTGCAATGATGTCTTCGCCTATATCTGGGGCATCACATACGGACGGACCCCTTTGATCAAGCTCTCGCCGAAGAAGACGGTTGAAGGCTTCGTGGGTGCCTTTTTCAGCACGCTTGTCTTCGGCGTCCTCTGGGGAACGTACTTTATGCGTTTCGACTACATGATCTGCCCCGTTCAGGACCTGGGTGTCAGTGCTTGGAGTGATACCGCGCACTGCAAGCCGAACCCGATCTTCGTCTGGAGAGAGTGGGAAATACCGTCGCCAGCGAGGGCTCTCTTGACAACCACTGTACGTTCCTTGCATCTCCTGGTAAACGGACTCCAGCTAATGTCATCCTGGAACAGACTGGTTACGAATTTACGACAATTCCGTATGCACCGTATCAGTTCCACCTGCTCGTGCTGTCTTGCTTCGCTTCTCTGGTCGCACCGTTTGGAGGATTCTTCGCATCAGGCTTCAAACGTGCATTCAACATCAAGGACTTCGGCCACAGCATCCCAGGACATGGCGGGATGACAGACCGCATGGATTGCCAGTATGCGCTCTTCCCGATTTCAGACGTTGTAGCTCCGTCCGTGCTGACATGAGCCGCAGGTTCCTTATGGGCGTCTTCACCTACGTGTATTACAGCAGCCTCATCCGGGATCACCACGTTTCTGTCGGCTCACTCCTCCAGATGATCGTAAGCGGGTTGACACCGCGCGAGCAGCTCGAGCTCATGGGGGACCTAAAGCGGTACCTCGAGGGACAGGGCATCGCTGTGAATATCTGACCCTGGCATGTTGCTCTGTTACCTGATCTTCCCGTCGATCTGGCAATCCATTGGAGGCCTCATGTCGTCAATCGCAACCACTGGTTGGACGAGTCGATTACCGTCAGACTGCGGTTCCTTACCCGTGATATAGTAGCAGGCAATGCCTGTCAGCTCTCGAACTATGATACTCTTACTTAGTTACACTAAGATGGCTCCGTCCATTGGATCGTCGTAAACCTCAATGGACTTCCGAAGGCTATGCTTATCTCTTTCACACTGCATCGTGAGCTTATCGGCCCAGCATGTTGGCCGTTTCATGAAGGATCATGTCTTTCGGTACCAGTAGGATTGACGAAGCCAGAAGGTCGCGAATCTTCCAGTTCCTATTGGTTAATCCCGACAACATAGGACACTACTGTTTGCACTACGGTACGACATGCCGGAAAAGCATGCAGGACCTGCGTTTGCCTGGACTCTTCACACAGTCGATTGAACTATGGAAGACAGTGGTGTGAAGCACCGTGCAATGGCCAGAAGTCCTTGCAGCGCATTTGGGCCATGGAGAAAGGCATCCCACTGCAAGTACTAACCGCTTTTTGGCTTGGCATATGGTTCATTAGCAGGGGCATAGCGTCGCATAGATAGTACAAGTGCATGTGATACCAATGAGAGCGGAGGCGGACATGAGCGATTGTATCGACAAGAGGAAGTCCAAGGAAGTGGAGTGCTCATGACCTGGGCTTTTCCTGCAACGCGAACATGTCAGGAACTGTCGGATCAAATGGCTGTAACCATGAAACAAACCTTCTTCTCCTTCCAGAGCGCAAGCAGACCAACACCAGAGACCTTGACGACCTTGAATCGGACACCCGGAATATCACCCTTGGCCTTACCCCGGCGACCGAAACCAGAAATCAGGACCTCATCGTTGTCGTCGACGAAGTTCAAGCAACCATCATTCTGCAACCACCATTAGCAGCCGTCGTACATGGCGCCGTGAAGCGTCTCGAACGCGTTGAAAGCGAACGGGCCGCCCAACGGCGATCGGGTATGGAGATACGCACCGGCACGAACGCAGTCACCTTCTTTCCATTCTTGATCAACTGGACACGGACACACTTCCGGATAGCCGAGTTGGGCTGTTTGGCCTCAACCCCAATCTTTTCCAGGACGATGCCCTTTGCGTGCGACGACCCTCCTGTGGGGGAGGTCTTATAGATGTTGCCCAGGGCACGCTTTTTGTACGCCTTGTCTGCCTATAAGCGCATATTTCGGAAAACCAAAATATCCAGTTAGATTTGCGCATTAACGGCGGAGAGCAAGGTGGACGGACCCAGCGATTCTCGCGGCGGTCGTTGCGCAGCTTGCGCGCGGCTTGCAATCCGCGGGGTTTGTTGGCTGGTAGAGGACGTCAGAAAAACAAGAAAAACAGTGGAACAAGCAGCAAGCGCGACGTACAGCCCATTCTTGAAGATGCTGGTCGTCGGCGGGGGAGGGATAACGAGAGCAGTCGGAGCTCGAAACCTGAGATCAGAACTGTAACAGTACCTCCCGAATCCCATCACGTGCCTCAACGCGCTGTTTGGCGCCTCCCATTCTTCTCAGCGCGTAAGCGCGTATCTATTGGCGCCGACCGATTGACTGCGACGAACTTTGCGTAAGTTCCGGTCCTGTGATTGTCTGATATGTTTCCCTGCCGCTGCCATAGCTTGAGGCTTCACACTCCGCCTGTTAACTCCTTCATGGGAGGACTTGCATAGGCTTGGGTACAGAGAGATACTTGAGTACGACGGGCTTGTTCATCGATCTCACTTCAAGACTCTGTGAAATCCCCACCATCACTTTGGTCATTTCCCGGTTGAGGATGCAGTCTTTATGTCACGATGGCTGGTGCTGGACGTATGGATCAGGAATCTATGCATATTCCTTCCCTTGTAAGCTTGACCGCCTGTGAGGTTAACATTGATATCAAATTGCAAGCAGATAAACGGTCTATCTAATAGACTCGTCGCCGCTGCTTTCATTAAAGATCTTAGCAGAGCGGAAATCGCATCATATATCCGGTTTGCACAACGTTTTCTCTGTCGTTTGTACTCCTGCCTATGTGAAAGCTTCAAAAGCGACCGTTGCTTCTTTCGCTGATACGCATAACAAGGCGGAACTTAATTTCGCCGTGGCTGCATATAGCCGGGTCTTCCTGCACATCTTCACGGACTATACGTGAGCCTTTCTTGAATTGGAGGCAGGTACCTGTGTTGGCGTACGAATCCTTCAGCATCCTCACGATCTCACAGTGGTTGCAAAGAATGGGTGTCGTTTCCTCAGTGACATGCGAATGACTTTCTGGCCCTCATGCACATGTCGCACCAGGGATATGGATGGCGGTCTTGCGGACCTTATCCTCGAGGGCTTGATCGTGCCTTACGAGGCAGATATCTTGTTCCCGGTGAGTCCAAGAGATTGCATCACCTCACCAGCGCAATGCACATCACAGACAAAACACTCTGAAGAGAAAATAAAGATAATCGCTTCCACCCGTGGCAGTGTCAAGCCTGCCATGGGAGATTCATTCTCGCCATACATGAGTGAGTGTAGACGGGCCTTTCTCGAGTTGGCGCCTCATCACCTTCTGCCACTTTTGGGGTTTCTACCCTGCAGAGGAGATATTAATTTGGAAGAAAATCCGCAAATCATCTACCTAGCTTACGACAGGCCTGTCAGGATCGAACTACTGCGACCCCATGCTGGTTGACTGCTCTTGACGGATTACTACTTGAGATTGTCCTACCGTGAGTTCTCGGCTGCCTGCAGTGTAGTCTGGTATGCTGTGTAGAGTTCAACATACTCTGCAGTGATTAATGGGGCAAGCTAGTGAGAACCGAACGGGTCTCGGTCATGGGACACAAGACGTGCCTTCGGTGCCTCTACGTGAGTCATTGAGAGCTGCGAACGCGTACGTGATGTGGTCGCCTGACTATCGCGACCACATTTTCTGATTATCCGAAGTTTATGGCGGATCGACTTGATGCTTCTATTCGGCCTCTATATGTCTCGAACTGTCGCTGATATGGGAAGACTCGCATGCTCATATAAGTGAAGGGCCTGCTCACCGGTCAACCTCACAACTGCATCTCTCAGGATGTCTGAGGTTCTCTACTATCACCACGGACGCTTCCAACTTGCGGGAGGGGTCCTTCCCAATGCAATTACTGCGTATCGGACCTATGGTAATCCGAAGAACCCTTGCATACTCTTTCCCACCTGCTATGGTGGGAGACTTGACAGTATGTTCAAGTGGCTCTCAAGCGACAGCGCTCACAGCTTGCGGACAACAGATAGGGGTTTAATGGGTCAGGATTATATGATTGGCGAGGACAAGGTCAATAATAGAGTCACTTGTCCCGCGGTTGCCTGACATTACTGACAAAGCTGATAGGTTTTGAATCCATCAAAGTACTACATAGTCACTGTCGCCTTGTTTTCCAACGGGGAGGTATTATTGTCATAAATGTGAATGTACATGGGATATTCAAATAATTTTACAGTCTTCATCTCCATCCAATACAGTAAATATCGGCGCTTTCGTCTGCAAGTCCTAACTGACCATACATCAGCCTGCCCCTTATAACGGGCCACACTTTCCGCACGTCTCCTACGAAGACAACATGTGAGTGACTTGATTATCTCGTGCAACGCAGCTGATCATAATGATACATATCGTTTCAAACCATCACAGTCGAGCACAGCATGCATTATTGACTAAAGGGCTGGGCATCGAGAAGCTCTTCTGCGTGATCGGAGTATCCATGGGTGGACAGCAGGTGAGCCGATGCTAGGATGTGCCAGCAATTCCCTAAGTTTCGTGTCGAGAATAGGCGTATCATTGGGCAGCAATGTATCCGGATTTTGTTGAAAGGTGAGGACAAGATCAGTCCTCTGGAAAGCGACGCGCTTCTGACCATCGGTCTTACAGATTCGTTGCTATTTGTTCCGCTGCTCGCACGAACGACCTCAGCAGAGCGTATGATGAAAGGCTCATCCGGCTACCGCCACTTATTCATTCGCCCCTTTTAGTTTCCAGGAAGGTTTCAAGGCGGCCTTTGTATGTTCTAAAGACTTCGACAACGGATACTACAAAACCCGGCCTGAGATCGCTATGCATGCATTCAGTCGGGCCATCGGTCCGTGGATATATTCGCAGGCTGTATGTCGTGTTCCATACGAATGAAATGTTATTTCAGCATTCCACACAGCTAATCGGAATTTCTTCAGTGGTTTGCGCAAAAAGGATACCTACATGATGGCATGGTCTCCTCAATGGAAAACTTCATGTGCGGCGCATGGGATGCCGGCTTCCTTCCTTGGGACGCGAACGATCTCCTTGTCCTTATGCGTACGTGGGGGCAGGGGGATATCTCCTTGGTCAATGGCGGGAACGGTGACTTGGCGCAATGTCTTGCAAATGTCAAAGCAAAGGGCTTGATAATGCCCTGTAAAACGGACCTCTTCTTCCCGGTTGGTCCACGCAATGTTCTATCTCGAGACTCCCAGTCGAATGCTGACTCATTGATGGCCATCAGCCAGAAGAGAACATCAAAGAGGTCGCGAGTATGCGGGGCAATGGCAGGCTGGCTTTGATTGACTCGATATGGGGGCACATGAGTGAGCTTTAATCAGCTGGTGCTGGAAAGCTGATTAGTCATTGACTTCGCGAGGTTGTGGATGTTTTGATCCTGCCGACGAGGCTTTCGTTAAATGCGAAGTCAATAAGTTCTTGAACGAGGCTTAGGGTTCCCGATTGGCCAGTTCCATTTTCTATTGACGGATTATTTGTTTCGTGAGGCGTATGTGCAGAATTGCCGTCCGCGAGTATTGGCTGCTCGTATCAAAGCTGTAGGTGTGATGTATAGATTCTTGTTCCATCAAAAAGCGCGCCCGAGCGAGTTGGTATGCATTGGAGTCCTCGCCATTTCAAGATCTGCAAGTGTTCATGCAGTTCTGTCAGTCAACGACCAATCATGATGATCAAGCAATATCCTGGAGCCAGAGTATGTGATACTATGGTACGAGTCGCACCTCCGTCTGCACTTGTGCTGTCTTTGATGCCAGCAATATTTTGTGGCCAAGCGCGGCGGTGGCATCTTAGGCTAGCGCCTTTCATAACGGACTCACTGCGCCGGGGTCTCCTATTGGGCCACTTCTATAGTCCGAGTCTCTCTGACTCGATCAACCAAAACTAAAACCTCGATGGCGTGATGGTATTCGTAAGCCCGCACTTATTTATTTATCGCTTCCGAAAAGCTTCTTTAACCTTCTTTCTCGTTGCTGACAGATCGACTGTGGTTGCTGACATATCGCCTGTGAGAACATGAGACATAAAATGAACGATCGTGCAAGATTTCCCAGCGCATACTTGCTACCACTGCTATCTTATAACTCAACCCTGTCAAGCCCGGAATTGACAATATTACATACCACCGCCATGTCGAAAGTGCAATACTACCATCATGGACGCTTCCGGGTCGCAGGAGGCGTCCTCCCTAATGCAATCACTGCCTATCGCACTTATGGTGACCCGAAGAACCCTTGTATCGTCTTTCCGACCTGTTATGGAGGGAGACTTGACAGTAGGTCACACCTCCTAGGACGTTACTGTAATTGCGGTTGCAGGACTGAGCATAGATGTCGGGATGCTAGGCCAGGATTACATGATCGGCGAGGATAAGGTGAGCTGAGCAGACAGATGATTTCTCGCTTTTGGAGGCTGAGATAGACGATCAAGGCCCTCGACCCTACGAAATACTATATCGTGACTCTCGCCCTGTTTTCTAATGGGGAGGTAGGTTATCGCAAATACTACGGGATTGGGCTGCAACTGAACATTGAATCATAACGACTCATTTAGTCGTCGTCTCCGTCCAACACCGTACGCTGTTCATATAGTTGGAGGTCGTTCTGGATTGACATAGAACGCTACAGCCTGCTCCTCATAACGGGCCATACTTCCCCAGCGTCTCCTACGAAGACAATATGTGAGCTTATAACTATGCCTTATGGCGAGCGAGCGAACCTGACATTCCTTCTGCAGCCGGGCCCAGCACGCTGTCTTGACCAAGAAACTGGGCATCAACAAGGTGTATTGTGTCATCGGGTTCTCCATGGGGGGACAACAGGTGAAGCGTATTCAATACACTTCGTGTATGGTCACTAAAGGGTGATTACAGGCATTTTACTGGCCGGTCGTCTACCCTGACTATGTAGAGCGGTAAGACCGAGGACTGCATATGGGACAACTCTTTACTCACTGTTGTAGGTACATTGCAATATGTGGCTCTGCTCGCACGAGTGAGCACAACAAGTGGTGGAGTGATCTTCATACGAATGCAAACACATGTTGCTGACCATTGTCAAGCTTCCTGGAAGGACCCAAAGCGGCTCTCGTGGCATCCAAGGACTTCGACAACGGACACTACAAGACACAGCCAGACATCGGCTTGCGCGCCTTCGGTCGAGCATACAGCGCCTGGGCATACGGACAGACCGTGCGTCGTGTGCACTGACCTTCTGAGATCCTCCATCATTCTGACCGGGGTTACGATTTGTAACAGTGGTTTCGCGAGTACGGCTATCTTCATGATGGGAAGTACTCCTCCTTGGAAGACTTTCTACGGGCTGAATGGGAGGGCGGGTTCCTCTCGTGGGATGCAAATGATGTGCTCACCCTGCTGCACACCTGGCAGACAGGCGACGTCTCCCTCGTCAATGCAAGCAGCCAAAGCAGTCTCCCACACTGTTTGTCGAGCATCAAAGCCAAGGGTTTGATCATGCCGTGCAAGACAGATCTGTACTTCCCGGTGAGTGCCATCCGGTCGTATAGAGAGAAAAATCATTCATCAGGAGAGGAACAGCCGGAGGACAGTAGGATCGAATTGTCGCTCTTGCCGCCAGGCAGCGCGAAGCTCGTTGAGATCGACTCCGTTTGGGGTCATATGGGTGAGCCGTGCTACCTCGATTGGCAAGACAGCAGTGCTGATGACGACACAGCGGGTGGTGGAACCAATGCTAGCGATGACGCTTTCATCAAAGCGCAAGTCCAAGAGTTCTTGGGAAAAGCATGAGGACTTTTCCACACTGTACGGCGAGCGTGCGTTGAGGGCGGATATTATTGCACTGTATGAAAAGAGTTCCGGTGTCTGAGTGATCATGCAGACGTTATGGTAGCAAAGTGGTTGATCAAAGTATTTCCGGACACCCAACGTACTGGACAGGAGATGAGTGATGATAAAGACGGGTACTACAGATGCCGAAAAGAGTCATATAACACAGTGGCACAGCTAACGGTCACATTTACCTTGTGAAACCCCAAGCAATGGGTCATGTTCTCTGGACGCAGCGTGACTCGCACGCATATTAAGTCCCAACTTGCCTCAGGCGGGGTTCACCTGCAAGCCAGCGAACGCTCCATTGACCTGCAGCCCTCCTTCTTCAAGAATGCCCTTCAGCTGGTGCTCATCGTGTAACAGATGGATATCATCAGAGCCGCCCAGTGATTTGCCCTAATTCAGGCAAGTACGTCGCTTGTCAGCAATGTGTCAAACTCTATCAGGCACGACTTACATGGAGGAGAACGTTTGGTACAGTGCGTCGACCTGTGAGGCGCGCTAAGATCTTCTGGATGATGGGGCCGTCCGATCTAGTGTTCAATTCAACCACTACCGGTGGAGGGTAGAGCTCATAGTTTTGTAAGAGAGACTTGGCACGCTGCGAGTATCTGAAAAATATCATTATTTCAATTGTCATACCTTCTCTATGAAATCACGACGCACGGGCAGTACGTTTTGCTGAAAACAACCACAGGATTCTCTTCCTGCAGGACCCTCACGTATGCTTCCCAGTTGATCTCTCCATCCGGCGCATACACACTGAGGTCAACGGTCTTCTCGGGATCCACCATCACCCGCCCGACGTCCTTCACGTTGATGTGCCCCTCGTCCTCGTTCAGTCTCCGCTCGGGATACTGAGTGACGAAGTGCAACAAGGCGTCGATCTCGCGCGCGCGCGACTTGCCCCACGTAGCTGCCTTGAGCTTCGCGAGCGCCATCTGGCCGGCGCGAGACGAGGATGGTGAGTAGCCAAGGTCTTTGAGAGACTCCGGGAGCGAGAAGAGTGGTGAGGAGCCGAGGGTGCTTACATAGAACAGGAGGGCTGCAGTGAGCAGCACGATGGACCAGAAGATGCGTCGGCGACGGTATGATGTCGCCATGGCTCGTCAACGTACAGCGAACAAGTCGAAAGGAAGGTTATGAATATGATGCAGTGCGCTTCGCCCGCGAACGCCTGTGCGCCCAAGTTTGTTGCGATCTGTCAGCTTCGGCGACAGCCACGCAAAGTTTGATGGTGATCCTGCAGACGCTCTGTATCTGTGGCTAGCGCCGCCGTCAGAACGTCGAGGTTCAGGGGCTTTTGAATGCACCGGGCACCAAACTGAGAATGCTAGCTGAACGTGAGGATGATGACTGCGGATGGCAGACAGCGAGCACCATGCGCGCTCGACGCGGTCACGAGACCGCTAATTACTCTGTGGCGCGTGCGACCGTGTTTCATACGTCTCATGCTCGTCTCAGAGAATAACGATTTAAGCATACTGTTTTAAAGTAGCAGAGCTCATGTAACCTCTGCTAGCCTATCGCGACTCGCGCTTGTATATATCATCCTGGCACACGTCTGACTCAGTACTGCAACGGACAGATTGAAGCCAGAATTGGATGACGGAACCTGATTGAAAGCTGATATATACTGTACAGTTTGATTCTGTAGAGGACGTAAAAACCGTGCCATAGTCTATTTGGCGGGGATTTCAACCCTTTAACGACATAACTATCCCTTCTCAATATCTAACAGCTTAACAGCGAACGAATAGCCCGGCTGCAGACGTAACCAAAGTGAGCCACGATCACAGTGCCGCATAGATTAACTTTGCAGGTCAATCAAGGAACAGCTTGAAGGAACGCCCCTGACCGAAAAAAACAGCTAGTCTCAGGCTCGTTCCAGCTATCTCGACCATCGAGAGTTCGCACGGCAAATATAGATCGCCTTTTTTCAATGCACGTCAATTGCGCATTGAATTATGCGTTGCGACTGATATCTATGGTCATATCGCGGCATCGTTCGCTGTTGAACAGGCGCGTCAGATCGGTAACCATTGCAGTTCTAGACTTCGGTTAACGAGTCAGCGTCGACTAGTTCGCATATATTGCAGACACCTGATGGTGGCAGCACACTTCCTGAGTCAGTCACTCCGCATCGAGGTGGAGATGGCGTATGTGGCGCACGGCAGCTGTCGGCTTGCGTAGCTTCCGTCAGATGTGCGGTAGGAATGTTTCTGCATTCGTTTAGGCTGCTCAGTTGATGCGATCTTCGGAAATGAACCCGACATGACTTGTCCTCATGCCTTAGTCCCTAATTGGAGTCGTGTCGGATTTATCAATTTGTGCTGCTGTTGACGAGCAGTGTTGGCGATTCTGGGGCAAGGAAAACTGCTCGGTGGAAATCTGCAAATGACCCTCGTCGATAGAAGTTGTTCGCAGTATTTCGCAGTACGGTTCTCTGGATTTCTTTCAGCAGCTGTCATTGTGCGTAAAAGCAGTGGCAGACTATTTCAATTTTGATCGTACATACGCATGGCCCTCGGGGAAGGGCCTGTGCTTGCTCTCGGTAAGCTCGCGTGGCGTAATTGCTCAGTTTCACCATATGGCGCGTTGTCTTGGCCAGGCGGCGGCTGCGTGCCTACGCAGAACAGACAGCTTCCAATAGCTATAATCAAGAGCGCGAGTAGTATGATCAAAGTCGAAACGGTTTCAACTGTCTCTGTGCACACTGCACGAGAACTATGGTGGAGTCATCTAGTCACCACTAGTTTTGTGCGGTGGCAAAGCTGGACGGTTGGAACTAGAGTACGGGGATCTTTTGAATGGCCTGTGCGCATTCTGAGGGACAACGACAGCGAGAACATTGAAGTTTCTTGCTGTCTTGATCATTTTGGCTCGTCTGCACGGGCGCTGAAGAAGCTAGCGTGGAGAAAAATTGCCTGGTTTGAAAAGTGTGGCAAAAATCCGTGGCAGCCCAACTCCGTAACCCCATCGGTGTTGACAATCTGTCGCTTCAGTCATTGGAAGGGAGTGCTGCTACTAGGGAGACAAGTCATCGGTAAAACTGCGGGTAAGTACTCTATGGTTGTTAAACAAAGTGGTGGTGACTAGATGAGCTGTACCTACCATAGTGGCGGGAACAGCCCGGAGGCCGGTATAGTGACGTGACAGGCACGGAATCGCGGCCCGCCTACACGCCTACGCGAGGAATGCCGAGAGATCAGCTTGACCTGAATATGATGATGCCTTGAAGTTGCATGGTTCCTCAAAGTTTTTGCCGCGACAGCATCTTATTTGCTTGGCTCGGAAGCGACGTCTCCGCCCTGTAATGTATCAGTGGCATCAGTGACCGGTCTATGCAACGTGCTAACTCTGACTTAACACAATTTGTAGCCTACTCTTATGCACTGTTCTTAGCTCCTTTCAGCGCTCAAAGATAGAACATGAAACGCGCCTCGATGCACGCTGCTTCCGCAAAAGTCCTAGCTGTGACACCTCTAATCAGCAGCTGATGCTTCAGATATAGACGAGCAAGGATGAGCCGTAGGCGTTTTACCACGAGTCATTGAGACGCGAACCACCTTCACAGCCTTGCGCGGCTAGACAACGGATGATGGGGAAGATAGTCCCATTGATTGTGATACTTCTCCTCGGAGGAGGCAGCGCTCATTTGTGTATGTGTAAGGAAAGGGAATCCATACCACGCACCGGGCTCTCTTGCTTGCGGCAGTATGTCTCAAATCAAGGCTGATAGCCGTGCATCGTTGGAGCGGGTGATGGACGTCGGACACTTGCATTCAACGCGCGCTGGAGGGCGCATCGCGATCACGTGTGGGGTGGTGCTTCCATGGACGGTCGACTCGAATAGCGCAGGCGCTTGGGAGGATCGTTGTGACAACCGCGGGCGATATTCTGATCGGCTCATGGGCAGGCACCGCTCATATACTCGTCCTTGAGTGCTAACCCGGTTCTCTCCCTGGTCTTGGATCCGCCTTTTTCTCTCCTCCTCACCTTCATCGCTGGCCGACTGGCTTGCTGGTCTGGCTGTTCTTCCCATCGCCTTCTAGCCGCGGTCAGCAGATCGCATTCCTCCCTCCATATGCATGGCAGTTCCCGTCTTTTCCGTCACAATAGACGACACTTCTCCGACCATTGCTTATGCGCCGTTCGGTGACTCTTTCGGAAAACCAATCTTGCTCCAGGGCTGGAATCCTTACTTCACAAAGTCGGGCTTCGCTACGGATGCTGGCTCATCATCTTCGGATTCGGGTGTCAGCAACATTGGGGACGGCACCAGCTTGCATCTGACCGCCCACGATGGTGCTGAACTCGCAATAAGCTGGAACGGTAGGCAACTCACACTTTGTCTGTAGTTTCTTTTCTCGATCGGTGACATACGCGCGTCATGCACCTGGCTATCCGACAATTACTGTGTGATTTTCTGGTGTTGCTTCTTTTGGGCGCTACGTAATGACATGATCTTGCCGAGATCCTAGTGTTGAACAAAATTTCATCGCCGTCGCCTTTGATGGTTGACCCTGCATCAGTGGCTTGATGGAAATCAAACATTTTCCCCTCTCGCTCTTACCCATCGCAGTCCATTTTGTCTTCGCATGATATGTTGATTATCTCATCAATTTAGGCACCGCCGTGACCCTTTACGGTACGATCACTGCCAATTCCTCAAGCTCCGTGAGTTACTCTGTCTCGCTGGATGGCAACTCCACCACGAACTACTATTCTTCCATCTCTTCCAATGCGACCGTGGATACGGCATCGGCTGATATTCTCGCTGCGTTTTCGAATTTGTCCGATGGCCTCCATGAGGTCGTCCTGACTGTACATAATCCCGGTATGTCAAATAGTACCGATGAAACCGATTTGGATGCAGTCGTCGCGTTCGACCGTGCTGATGTTTTCCTAGATGAGCTCGAGAGGTTAGTCGTACAATTTCCTTCAGACTTTTTTTTCTTTCGCTGGGAAAACGTGAACATTTGATGTCATCAACCTCGTCGTTCTCGATTGCATCATCACGCTATCTTTCCTACTTTCAATTTCTCTTCTCTTTCCTTCCCGAAGTGCCCCACTGCGGATGTCCTCGTCAGTGGAAGCTCTGAACCTGCAGTCACCGCCTTCCATGCGCACAAGTATGCCCCATGAAGCATTCTTTCGACTTCCGCTTGTGGCTATCATCTTTTTTGTGTTGTAGCGGACAGCTTGACCTTCTGATGGTCGAGCCAGCCTTTCGACTTTGTCACATTTGCATTGTACTCCGTTCACTTCGGATCATCATCAGGACACAACGCTAATCTTTCATGTTACAGCGAGCCCACTGCCACATCCTCATCATCTCTCGTAGCGCCTACGGCCACGGAATCCGTCACAACCTTCGTCCTACCCGACAACTCGATCGCCTTCCGTGGACAGTGGTCCTACGTGTCTGGACTTCTGCCAAATTCCCCCGATGAAGCCTTCCATACCAGCATGAACGTCGGGGATAGCGCGAACATTGTGTTCAACGGTAAGTTTAGTTCTCACCGACACTTTGCTCGCAGCGTTTCGCTTTGACCTGTCGCCTTGGTTTCCAATATGATGCGCCATACTCCGACACATCGGACTTCACGCTGATGTTGCGGCTGAAGCCCAGCGCTTGCCATCCGGGGCTTTCATTCTGCCCACATTTGGCATCTCAGGGTTGGTGTCCCCTGTGAAGCGTCGAAAAAGCGCTGCAAGTTGGCTGTATCTCGTTTCCACTCAAACGCCGCGCGTTTCTTGGCACCGTCTCGCGTAAGGAGGTGTTGGTTGACCTTGATGTCCGGTTCCGCAAGTTGCACCCTCGGCTGCTTGTGCGCCCAGTGATCTCGTAACATTCCGAGCGCGAGGGCTGCACGCGGTGAGCTTCGGGATGCGACACGCAACAGACATCATTCGTGTTGCCTCTAACTTGGGGCCTCTATTGGTGTCACGTCCTCGCAATTAGCCCGCCATAACTGACACCCTTTGTGCATACGTTCCACAGGTACGGCGGTCACGATCACAGGTCTGACGACACCGTCGTCTGGCACGTACAACATAAGTCTTGACGGCCAGCAAGTGGGGAACCTGTCAGCACGCGCATCCTTCACAACTCCATCGCCTACCGTGTTCTTTTACGCTGCTGGGCTCGACCCTGGTGTGATGCATGATCTCATGATTGTGAACGCAGGCGCGTCGGGGAACGGCAGTGGGTCCTACCTCATCTTATTGGCGGGAGGTGTAAATGTGACGATGGTGGGAAACGTTTCTGTGTAAGTTCCGTTCGTGAGCTGCTCAGTGCTTCACTTCGAGCAATACTCATCTGTCTTTTCTGATATCCTCTTTAATAGGTCTACAACAGGCTTTGCCTCGAGCTCCTCCCGCCTTGCCGCCGGGACAATCGCTGCAATTGCAGTTGGAGTGACTCTGGGATTTGTCCTTATGGTGCTTCTCCTCGTCCTCGCGATCTATTGGCACCGACGACGTTGTCGAAATCGTGATCTAGACCATGCCCTTCCATCGCAATCGCGGTCGACATTCTGGAGACGCAAGTTCCGTCTCTGTACAAGACAGCTTGCGCAGTCACATGATCATGAAGTGGTCGCGAAGTGGGCCGAGGAGTACGTGGGCGGGACGGCAGAACAGGGTGTCATTCAGATCGGGAGGCATATTGATGAAAAAGTGGAAGATAATTCTGACGACGAAGGAGGTCCTAGCGGTCGTTATGGTGAGTTGAGGGTGCGGACAAGACATACATCACAAAATTCCGACGGCAGCTTCTCAATAGAGCTCCCGATGCTGTCTTCGACACCTCTAGAGTATCCTCCAGCCTCGTTCCCATCTACTCCTCATCCGATTTCATTACATTCCCATGTTTCGGCTCTGCCTCGCACTTCAAATCTAACGTCTCCGCCGAGCTCTCGACCTCGTGGACCACGCGACATGCACGGCCCCGATAGTGCTCGGGGAATCTTGCTTTCCGACGCCGCTTCACCCACCTTTGAAGGGAACGTGCCTAGTCTACGGGTGGAATTTGCTCACCAGCAAGAGGTGCCGGGACGTCGAACAGAGCGTCACCTGAGTACTGGAGGGATGTCATTCACACAGTCTATCCGGCAGGCTCTTAGTCGCAGCATTGACAGCGGAGACGACGACGGCGTCTCAAGGCCGTCTACCCTACTCTCCTTTTTGGAGTTCTCTTCGTCTGAGTCAGGATCACAGTCTGGCAGTGGCAACCGCTCGAACCGCTTGTCCTCCTCGGACTCTCGGTCGAATTCAAAACGATCGACCCGCAGCTCGCTGAAGTCACGGAGCAACGCAGGCAGCGAGCGCAGTACAAATAGCGCAGTTCCACCCGAGAGACGGATGTCGCTAGGCCTCTCTATGACCGTTGCTGGGGGACCCACCTCGAGCCGGCCGTCGCTCACGCCCGATGTCTCCCTCAAGGCAGTGTCTATACCCCCACCCATCACCATCCCGCCTGACACTCACGCACGAGATCCTAACATGCTGTCCGCTGACGCTGCCGGTATGCTCCCCTCACCGACTGACTCCCTCCCCATGACCGTGTCCGATATTCACTTCAGGCACTCATTGCCCTCGACCACCTCTCACGGGAGCGAATCCCGTCGGACCAGTGCAATCCGTATCAGTGGCTCGCACCGACTACCACATCCACCCTTACCTGGAGCTTCGCCGACCACTCCTTCCTTCCCGTCTTCACCTTCACATGCCCGTCAGGATTCCCAGGCCAGCAGGCCATACATTGTACAAAGGTTGATGGGCATTTCGGATACGACGTCAAGTGCCGGGACAACGCCTATTGGAAGTCCTGCAGCCCCAGCAGCGACGGAATTACGAGCCGGCGACAGTAGGCATGGTGCTACGGGGAGTATCAGCAGGAGTGTTATACACAGCCCATCGACATCGAGCTTCACGCCGCGAAGTCCGTTCGGATTTACTTTTCACAGACAACGGTAATTGTATGGACTAGGAAAAGAGACAGTCGATCTCTACAGCTGTTCGCGATGTCTTCTTACATCTGCATTGTGTATTGTACTGTAATTGTACTACTGACGACTGCTTTGCCATCCATCACATATACACATTCCCTTTTTGCGTGCTAACTTTACATGGAGCCCTCGTACTAGTAGGATTGGATAGCTGATTCTGTGCTAGTTTTCTCGATCTCTTAGATACCAGCTCCTCCGCCTCTGCCCTCTGCTCTTGTTGGGTACCAATGTTTGCCCCATGCTGTGAAATGATTAAAACATAAACCCTCGTCAAATGATAAGTTACGATATTGATATTGCAACGCCGCTAGGGTCCACGCTTCGCATCCAACCGCCGAATCCGATATGAAAGATGCCCGCCCTTGACTCGTAGATCCAATTATATTCCTTACGACATACCATCACGACCTTTGTAGCGGATGTATCGTCTGACCTCGTTGATGATATCCCACCAAATTTGGAGCTCGTCCGCTCCAGTGACACCTATCAATAGGCGAACTCTGATGTCTCTTCTGCAGAAATGATGTGAGTCATTATGGCACAGAAGAAAATAAACATTGCCGTACAGAAATCCTCGCTCACTTATGAATCCGGTATCCACGAACAGCCGCTCAATATTAGACTGCGACTCGAACCGCGTCGCGTCCGCCGCGAGAGAGTGTGAACCGTCAAAGTGTGCCGGAATGATCCATGTGCGCGCTCCACGCGGGACATGCACATCGCCGGTGATCTTGAAAGCCTCCAACGTGTCACGTTCCTCCACCCATGCAAGGTGCAAACATTCCGTCCCGCTCAGGCCATAGCAGCCCAGCCAAAGACCAGCCAATGTTTGCAAGGACCATTGCGCATCACTGGGATCTACTCCACTTTGTATAAGATGCTTGAGTGGATAGTACCGTAGAAGAATTGGAGAGAGGTTGTCGAAGGGCAGCGATGTAGATTGGAACTGTGTACATCCTTGGTCGAGGCAACGAAATGAGATGGATCGGGGCTTGAGGCAGGCAGTCGGAGCAGTGAAAACGATGGGAAGACGGACAGCAGGGTATATACGCACGACTTCGCGCTGATCGATAGTGGTCGGCATGCAAGGCTTCAAGCGGTGGGAATCGCGTTCATCATCCTGCCAATCTGCGTCCTCCGATGGGAAATCAGGATGTGGAAAGGTGCGGCGGTAATGCTGAAGGTAATGCCCTTGATAGGAAGATGGACATACTTCAAGCTTGGCACAGTGTCTCATCGCATCATGATGCTCCTTGCTGCCGACCCGATGTGTGCTGCGACAGTAGGTGCGAATCAAAGCCACTGGCGGCTCTAACTCAGTAACAGAAACGCCCTCCCCATCGCCATCAACCGCAAATTCGATCTTTAGCTTGCGTGTATAGGTCGGCTGACGGGGAATGCGATGAACTGCAAGTGAGCTTGAAAAATCCCAGGCATCTCCGACAATCCCGCCCTGTTCGTCCTCGTCGCCAACGAGCAGGCGAAACTCCATGATATGGCCACTGTATGGATAATCGCTTGCCCACAGGCCGATTAAAGGCCCGTAAGGATGTAGAAGCCGCGTGTATAAAATGTAGAAGGATAGTCCATGAAAGTAGGTGGTATCTCGCAAACCGTAATGGGCTGAGAGACGCTGCCAGATCGAGGGTTCCCGCATGTATCGATGCAGGGGCTTGCAGCAACTGAGCAGCGATGAAAACTCGATAGCAGAAAGATAACTCAACAGCTCAAAGAGTATGTCGTAGGGCATGTCGATCATGCCAATATCCCTACCATCAGGACGCTCGGTGAATGTCTGTGGCTTGGATGCGGCGAGTTCCTCCATTGATGGAGAGAACAGAACGGCAGTATTAATCGTCTGTCCTCTAGTTTATCTGTCCAAGCGACGAGAAGGGAGGACGGCGTAGCGGGAGCGACGAAGAAAAATCGGAGAATTCATGACTTTCGCGAGCGAGGAAGTGAAGTCGAGAGCGTGACTGGATGTAACAGGTCTGACCCCGCTGTCACTACCGCGTGGCCGAATCATGGCCGAGCCCTGCTGCTCTTCGACTGCCACTCACTCTGCCGTAACGATGTCTACATATTTCTACGAGTTGCCTACCACTGGCGCGATATTCTTTACCGGAATATGCGATGACCGTTCGGCCTTGTATACGGCCGAGGTTGCACAAGCGACAGAGGCTCGCGCTAACCTACGCGCAGCTCTGAAGGAGAGTAAGCGTGCGGACGATGGCGGCAAGGATTACCTGAAATTGGTCAAAGTTAGTTGATCCTAACTGCTTGCGCATCTGTCTATGGTTTTTACACACCCATAGGTACTCGACGACTATCTCCCGCAATTATATAGCATATTAAATTGCCTGGAGTATGGAGAGCTCGTGTTGAAGACGGAGCCAAGTACGCCTCCTGACTATCGCCCTCGATGTTACCAACGATTGAACCCCAGTGTTTAGCTGGCGCACCACGCTATCCTCGTCTGTCTTCCACAACTCACCACGCATCTCGATACCGACCTTATCCACTGAGCTGATCTTCACCTTGTTGACTTATGCCTTCGCCCTATCAAACCTCGCTCGAACTGTGGTCCATTCACTTGGAGAATACGAGAAAGACCGTGCTATCTCTGATGCGGAGAGAAAAGTGAAGGATGAACGCCTTGGCTTCGCTGTCACGCTGCTATGCAAAGCCGCTGGGGTCTTTGAGTACATCGCAAAAGACTGCTTGGCGGAATGGGAGCGAGAGCGAGAGCGAGTGCTAGCCGCTGGTTTAAACTGTCCGCGTCCTCCAGATCTGAGCAGAGAAGTCATAGTCGGGCTAAGCAAGTACGTGCGGTGTCGTATGCATGGTTGTCGATTGATATCTCATGAATATGTGCAGAATGGCTCTAGCCGACGCGCAAACACTTGCCATTCGGAAACTTCTCTCTAAATCAGCGTTTGACAGCGCACTCACCCCTGGTCCTCCTCTTCCCAAGTCACATCCTTCTCCAGTGCTCATCGCTAAGTTGCATCTCGAATGTGCAGCCCTCTATTCCTCTGCCAGGTCTCTTGCGAAGATGCCAGGTGACTATCGCCCTGCGTCTGGCAAGAGCAAGATACATCTGCACATCGGCAAATCCAAGGATCGGGATAGCGCGGTCAGAGATGAAGGTGGAGAGGAAGTTGCGCCCGAGTTGCGCAGATACCTCGCTGAGGAAGCAGCATTCCACGCTGCCCTCGCCCGCAAATGGTTGGGGGTCGATGCCGGAGAAAATGGTGACACGGCGAAAGGCGGCATAGCGGTAGCTTTTCTCGCGTGGGCCAAGAAAGAGTTAGAGGACCTCAAGAGCGGCACAGGTGTGTTGAACTCGGATCGGGAGAAAGAGATGCGGGAACGAAGAAGGGACAAAGTCACGCAGGAATTGGAAAGTGTGAATGTATTTCTTAGAGGTTACAAAAATATGAATGATACGGTGCGTGTCCTCCTTAGCGACTAATTTTAAATCCTGATGAATGATGAATTAACACGGACAGGTTGCATTTCAACCCGTCCCACCGCAATCGGAGTTGCAGGCAGCCATTCCCGCAGGACGTCTGGCAGTGACTGTGCGACCGTACGCGAAGCCTACTCCTGCATTTGGCCCTGGCTCGGTTGAATATATCCGACGACAGGCGGAGCAGCTTGAGCTTGCAGAGCTTATGAGCGAAGAGGATGTGAAGACCCACCATATCACAGATACTGTGAGCTCTCAAACTGCTGGTTCCTATGCTGGAGAAGGCTCGTACTTTTAAAGTCTCTTGTGAGCGAGCACACGGTTATATTTGGATAATGCGGACTTTGACTGATTTTTATGTATCCAAACGCTGTAGATGTAGCAATATTCCACGCAATTTAACTCATGATGACGGCGAGCGGCTAATAGCTGTCCAGTTCATGTCTGTCTTATTACGATGGTATACCCACAGAATATCTATACATGCTACTGATGAGGGCTTCCTAGATCTTCGCGATCGACTGAGGTTTCTTGATATCCGACTGAACGGATGTCTCAGCCTTCTGCTGCTACTATATTTTCTCAAGGATTTCACATATCCGGATCATAGAGAGCTCCTATGTCGGTTGGGACTCATAGAGAAAACAGAAAGAGGCTGCAGCTACCTCATGCTGAACATCACCATGCATACTTTCCATCGATATCTGACATGCCTGTGAGTCACGGTAGTGGCAGCCCAACCAGGGCGGCAAATTTGGTGGAACTCGGATGAGCGGCTATCTCATCACGGTCACATGACTGACGCGCGGCGGGCGGCTGACAGTATAAAGCGGGGGCCTGCCTCCAAGTACTTCGTCTCCAATCGTCATCCCCGAATGTGCTTCGTCACATCATCTGCTTACTACTCTTATGCATGCTCGCCCTCTGCTGTTTATCCTCCGCAAGTTTCGACAACCGACCACCTCAAGAACCAAAGCCACTTGACCTGACGCCAGCGGCGAAGTTGTCTGCTCAACGGCCCGGACATACCTGGGCTTCTAGAAGATCACGAGCGGCTATATGCGGCTTTTCATCAGTGCGTTGCATATTCTGCTTGGCATTTACCATCTTGCTCAATTGTCCAACGTGGAATCTGAGATTAGTGTCAGGACTGAAATGAAATCCATCTCGACGGCTGTTCATTCAACGTGTCTCAACATCGCCAACGACAAGGATTTAATTGAACGAGAATTGCCGCCGACGCAAGGCGGTTAGCCATGATAGTGTCAACGTTCGATTGTCATTACGGGCTTGGTGCTGGTCGACATTACCAACGTCAATGTCAATTCTGTGAGATTTGGGAACCACCAATGAGATAATGCCAGATCCACTGGCACCCTCGCAACCAGACTCCAAGGATGCATTCAAGATCAATAGTTAATCGGTGACACCACAAAAAGGGTCATAGAGCAAGATGGTCAAGGACGAAGTTGGTTCTGCAGTCAGTCATGTTTGAGCATGGGTCAAGCGAATTGACGGGTAGGCCGAAATGATCTGACCAGCTATAAGTCAGTGACGTGTAGAGCTGCCTCGTGTCGGCCAACGGAGAGCTGACAAGCCTTCAAACTCCAAGACACAACCTCACGAAACTTGTTGGCTGCGGACCGATGCGCCAAAGCACGCTAGAAGATGATCGCAAACCTTCACGCTGCATTTCGCCCATTCTATTGATAATACCTACACAGCTCTTCATATGGATAGCTCAAGCCGCTCGCACCAAGATCAAACCAGCGTTCGAGGGTAAAATCCGAGGTCATCGTCAAACCTGGGCCCTATCACCTCAATGTCACGCTCGAAATGGCCTACGGCTGCAGCAGCTATGACCTTGGCCAACGTCAAGATGGCACAAAAATGCAGGTCGCAATTCCGACATACTGTACGCTCCAAGTGTAGTCACCTATGTCAATCGTTGATCATCCTAGCCCTGTTCCCAAGCACGATTACCTTAAAACCAACATTGACTCAAAATATAAGCTCAACGACTATCAATGCAACGTGTCATGACTGTTAGCTCAAAACCTGCCCGAGTGATGATGATCCGTTCGGAACAGGACCAACTTATACTGAACACATCAGAGTGCTCGGGCTGTTCAGCAATGTAATGTTGTCAAGCTCATATATTCTACAGCTGTCCATATCAATGGCGAGCGGAAACTTTGCTACCACAGGAGCATGTCAAGAAGACGGCAGAGCGATGCTGTATTGATCGGTCCTCAATTTCGTAGGCTAATTAAATCCCACCAGGTCTCCTCTGATATCACTGTTGACAGCGAACCGTGCTCCAAAACCGCTCGATCCAGCTCATCCGAGCGACAATGCAGTCTCGGAACGACTTGTGGTATTCTTAATCCCGTCTCCTTGTCGTATTCTTTCTGGATTTATGAGTGGATCCAGGATGAGGCGACCCGGAAAACCACATGACGACATGTATCGCGTACCTTGACAGAACTGAAAAGCTCTTTCCTCAAGGCATTGTTTTTCCGCAGAGATTTCGAACATGTCATCCGGTGAGCAGGCGTGCTCATGCGGAATGCAGCATTCATCTGTCCATAAATCAACTGTTCGAGGTCTGCGACCAAGTCAAGAGCGAGAACAATATATGATGACTAGCCCGCAGCCAAGTTGTGGACGAATAATCAAGACCATATACACAGCTCTGCTATTTGGAACCCACGTAAATCAAGGTCATTGGAAGGTTTGCGAAAAGATGAACCGTATGATGAGGGCAAGTAGTGCCACCCAGACACGGTTACCATTTGTGATGATCCGACGGCATTCTGTACGGTCAGAAACGGGCCCCATGTCTATAGGATGCCCATGCAGCGCAGCGTCGGGCAGAATCAGGGACATGCTATTTTGAAACCATATTAGCAGTTTATTTGCAGCAAGGTAATAAGTACAGGTCAAGGAAAACCATCCAATAGGATTTACACCACAAGTCCACGCGAATTACATGAAATCGGTCTTCCTATCTCTCAATTCTGGATCCACCTCATTTTGCATAACGGCCTGTGCCCGCACTGGCTCGGTAAGATGTGGTTGGGAAAAATGATCTCGTAAATGGTTATAGGCTTGACTTTGAACCTACGATGATCTTAGAGGCTTGTAGACGTATGCAAATGAAGGCATCCACATACCTCATTCACTAGTGTCCTCGTAATTTGGAGCAACGGTCCTGCCATGCCCAGTTGCACGACAATGTAGCTACAGGGCGGATCAGCGAGAAATGTTTCTGCTATAAAGGTTGAACACGTACGCAGCGCCAACCATGCACAAAAGCATGGCAAAGTACAACGGATTGAACAGCACGAACATCGCCTCATTCCAACCCAGCACCACGAGGACGCCATACATCCAATAGGGTATCTGCGCCACGCTGGATACCATGCTGCGCTTGGCCTCGACGTAGTATGCATCCGCATCCCGTCTAAAGCGGCTCATCAAGTCCAAGATCTTCGTCTCGGAAAAGATAACGAGAGTAGCAGGGAAGTCGAACTCGTCCGTCGACGAGAGAGGGTCGGATTCCTCAGAAGGCAAGGAATATTCCAACGTGCCATCGATTGGGTTGATCCTTGAGTATAAAGGAATGAGCTCCAGTGTCTGATTACGGTAGTTGAGTCATTCGACAATGGCGCTTCAGAATCGGTCTGACGCACCTGATCCCTTGCCTTCTTGAACGCGCCATCAATGTCGTCCGAAGGCTTCCATACTCGCGGAACGCCGTGTTCGTCGTAGCGGAATCGCTCCTCAAAATGAGTGCGGAGCTTAGTGAGGAAGGCCGCGTCGGTCGTTTGTTCGTCAACCTTGGCGCGCAAAGCGAGCCATGCACGTTTCCTCAGGATCGCCAAGGAGGTCTCGTTCTCCTCGTCAGTGCAGTTGAAGCCTGGTCAACGTACACAAGGTTAGAGCGTCAACGTTCGCGGGATAAGTTGTGCACTGACTCTTTGCCTTCGTGAGGTACATCGACTCCGCCTTCTCGAGTAGTTCACGAAACACTTTGAGTATCTCGTCCCACATGTCGGGCTGAGGCTTATTGAGCCAAATCTCAACAGGATCCGATATCTGCTTCTTGATATTACGCTGCAGGCTCGTAGTGTCACAATGGGACTGCTTCGACAGCTGAGTTCGCCCACCTCGATTGCATTGACCATCTTCTTCGTCTCATCTTTTCTGCACTGGTCAGCCACGATCCTTATCTCGTTCCTGAGGAGCTCAAGTTCCTCCTCATAGTTCCAATCGGTACCCTCTACGAGTGCCTCCTGTGCACCGTCCAAGAATCGCTTCTCGCATCGCTCCCGCGCAGCAGCAACGACCTCAGCAAAGTTATAGTTCTCGCCCCGCATACCCTCGAGCATTTCTTTCTTGAACGTGACGAGAGACGCCTTGTGTAGATTCTTCAGCTGCCCGAGGAACAATGGCGAGAGCGTCGAGTCGAGGACAGACACGAGATCAGCGCGTTTCCGCTTGTACACGCCCTGGTGATAACGTGATGCATCTCGGTCATAACGCTCTGCAGGTTACCGACTAAGCTGCAATTGAAGAAGTGAAAGGATGTATGCGCACCGAGTGCACCAGAACGCCAAGCACGCATCATGCCGCCGAGATTTTCGATCACCTTGCCGGACTCGATAGGCCGGCGTTGGGGTTTCGCCTGCTCATTGAACTCCGTCAAAGCTGCAGCAGAGATCTCATCGCAGCGGAATTGAGCCAATAGTTCCTGTTGAGTAGGCAAATCCAAGTCCTTGTTCGTCTGCACTTGTTCCTACAGGAAGAAAGACATTCAACCAATCAATTGACAGCATATCCTAGAATGTGCTCTCACCCAGATGCCCTCCATATAGAACGCAACACCATCAGCAGGGATGCGTTTGTGGTACGCAGGCTTGAAAACATAGTCTTCGCGCCCCTTGTCCATGAAGCGCTTCCTTAGCTCCTGCACCTCGGACTCGAACTTGTCGGCCGCAAGGATCTTGTGTGGTAGCGCTACAAACGATAAGTCGAAATAATCAGACAGTTGCCTATCTTGCAACTCTGGTGGCTTCGAGAGCGTCTCCCAGATCTTTTGCAGATCCGCAGTGAGCGTGGCTTGCAGATTCGCCAACGGTGTGGTACCGATGTGATCACGTATCGCGAACAGAAGAAGCGTACGCTGGTTACGTCTGCCGGGAGTGTTCAATGATGTCGCATGCAAACTGAGGTTGGACATACCCGTCTGCAGTCTTCTTCCCAAAGATACCCAGATTCACTTCAAAGACGGTCTTCAGAAGGCCCATGTTAGCGCCCTGATATAAGCCAACTTGATGTTCCCAGAGGTTGACAATGAGGACCTCTGACGACGCAAGGGAGAATAGAGCTGATTTGCGTTCAAAATCCTAGCACCTGTCAGAACAAGGAAGGAAAATAATGGCTGGACACGTACTTGATCCTCTCCCCTTTCTCGCCCGTCAGTACCTTCAACATCCATGACCATGACGTTCATGCCCTTAGCTCTGCACATCCAAATTCCTACAGGCACGTTAGCCAGTCGCCATCTTGGTCCTCAAGTAAACCCGACATGAATTGGACATCGATAGCTATGGCTTTCTAGGTTCCCAGAACGAGACCGTGCATGTAGCCTGCCAATGGTTTGCTACGGGGTTTACCCACAGAGAACGACGCATATAGTCATCTCTCCTCATATGTGACCGGCTCCGGTGCTGATGATTTTCCTCTCCTGGCGTGGTCATCGCAAGTAGAACCACCAGCTGGAGCTATGTATGAAGACAGCAACCATCAAGCAGAACAAAGTCGTACGGGATACGAGAGTTTTCCACACCAGGCTTTATAAAGTATATCAACATACCTTTAGTGGTCTGTTGCCGTCTGGTCTCGTCCATAACATCAAAATTCGTGCCAAAAAGGCGGTTCAACAGCGTGCCTACAGTCATATGTCAGCGTAAAGAGGTGGTGAACGCGAGCATCTTTACTCACTTTTGCCTGTGGATTGCGACCCAAACACTGCGACAATGTCATAGTCGAATCCGGCACTGTGCAAGTCCCAACGCTCAATCTGCTGGGTCAACTCCGGTCTAACAAAGGCAGCAACTCAGACCGGCCCGTGCTTATGCGCAAACTGCACACACATGAACTGTTTCTCATCATTAATGATTTGGACGCGCTCATAATTCGGCCCCTTCGGTGTGGCCGCGTCTCCGTTGACGTGACCGTTGATGGCCATTGCTGTGCCTCGTTTGTAAGGTTGAGAGAGACGATTGATATTGTGGGAATCAGATGCGAAGGAGATGGTGGTGGTGGTGGGGAGAGAAAGGTGCGTTGCGCAGGGGGGCCGTTGGGGCAGCAAGCCTGGCATCATCTCAGTCGGTCGAGTTGCCTGTTGCAGTCTCGGCAGTGGCCGATCAGTGAGGCGTCCTTGCTGAGACCAACAAACATGCACGTTCACGCCTGTCCCCCAAGAACACGTCGCAATCGCCTTGCAGCCCCAGATGCAATTTCACGTGTGCTTGCCTGCATGCGATCAATGTATGTAGACAAGTCACAAGAACGTATACATGGTATCCGCGTAAAATTCCGGGTGTTTTCGACACTTTGGTCAATTTCTGCATTGCCAATGACAAGTCTGGGATAAATCTGTTCAGGTGATTGACTCCTTCGCCCTATATGGAGGGGATGTTGATCCGGAGGCCGGTACCACTTTCTTTTCTTTCCTTCCATCCCTGGGACAGCTGAAAGAGCTGTTGAGCCATCTTTCTCGGTGTCTGGCATAGAAAACCCGCAGAATTAGATTCATAGAGATCGCAGCTTATGGCAGGACATACGGAGTCGCATTTCGCGCAGTCTAAACTTATCTGGCGACCTGCTCATCCATCACGTACTTCGCTCGACGTGTTTCGTCGCGTTATCAATCGGAAGCATGGACTGAATTTGAGTATGTCTACCGCGCGCCCATCTACACTGGACAATGTATCTTGACCGCTCTCACAGGAAATTATCACGAGCTTCACAAGTACTCTGTGGAAGACTACACTTTCTGGACTGATGTTTGGGAATTTGTCGGCATCATATATTCCGTACCACCAACACAGGTCGTTCAGCTTGCAATCCGCACCACCTGATGTTGCAACTCAATTAATATTACCTCATAGGTTCTGCAGGACGGTCCCATCAAGGAACTTCCTACCTGGTTCCCTGGCGCACGGCTTAATTATGCAGAGAACCTCCTCCATCGCAACGATGATGGCATTGCTTGCACTGCTGCCAGAGAAACAGGGGCCATCTTCAGCTATACTTACCGACAACTTAGACAGATGGTCAGAAGTATGGCCGCAGCTATGAGAGTCAGCGGCATCGTTGCAGGCGATCGAGTCGCAGGTAGGATTATATCATCATTCATTACAATGTCATGGCAATTTCTGAAGTAATTCATTGAAGCTATTGTCACGAATTCCATAGACGCCGTCGTCATTGCCCTTGCGTCAGCTAGCATAGGTGCTATCTTCTCCAGTACGGCTACGGACATGGGGACACAGGTATAATCCAAGCATATCAAGCCAGCGTCCTGTCAATGCTCATTGCCTATTTGTTCTGTTAGGGAATCCTCGATAGATATCGGCAAATTCAGCCCAAAATTGTCTTCTCTGAGACGGAGGTGACCTGGGCCGGCAAGCCGATCGACTTGATGCCCAAAGTCTTGGAAATTGCGCAAGCCCTGCAATCGCATGGCCTCCAGCGTGTGGTGCTCTTACCCAGTGCGCGGACGGGACAGGAGGTCACTGCATCCCATATGAACCGCGTGCCCGGCAGGTAATGTTTTTGGACATTGTTCCACGGATAACACAATTTGACTGAAATGACCTCTGACCGTAGCACATCACTGTCGGCATTCCTCTCCGCCGGAGGCAATCTAGAGCTAGTCTTCGAACAGCTTCCATTCAATCACCCTCTGTACATCCTATACTCTTCGGGAACAAGCGGTCCACCGAAGTGCATCGTCCACACTGCTGGTGTACGTGCTTCGTGTCAAAGTATTAGCATGACATTGGTGTTGATACTCTCATAGGGCGTGCTTATGCAAGCAAAGAAAGACCTCCGCATCTCCCTCGGTTTGACTGTTGATGACACCTACTTCCAGTACACTACCGTAGGTTCGCAGAAATAAACCGTGGAATGTGTTCACTGACGATGCGGTCGATACAGACGGGATGGATGATGTGGCCCTATATGCTGCAAGGCCTTGCTTGCGGCAGTCGCATAATCCTTTATGACGGCTCTCCATTCTATCCAAATGTGACAGATTTTTTGAAGTTCCTCAGCCGCCAGGGGTACGTTACTTTCTATATCTAAGCAGTTGATGAGACGGGAGTACTACAATTCGATGTAGCGTAACGGTCTTCGGCACCAGTCCGCGCTTCCTAAGTGAAGTGCAAGGGAAAGGCATCGAACCGTGTGAGTCTCATGCCCCTTTGACTAAGGTCGAGGCTCATGTCGATCATTCCTCTAGCGACGATCGCTCCTTTCGACGCATTACGTACCGTGGGCTCTACAGGCTCCGTCCTCGCTCCTGCAATGTTTGAGTGGGCTCAAAAGGCGTTCAATCCAGATGTCCATCTGGTGTCTTTCTCCGGAGGCACGGATATTTGTGGTGCATGTACGTGCCATGGCAGATTGACAGTACTGCTCAAGACTGATCCAGTCTCCAGTCGTGGGTGGAGTTCCTACCTTGCCTGTATATGCAGGAGGTACGCTTGTCGGCACGCATTCATTTTTTTTTCTCATGGCAGAGATGCCGCAGAGATCCAGGGCAAGCTGTTAGGAATGAAAGTGGAAATATTCGACCAAGATGGGAAGAATATGGAAGATACGGGACTACCAGGAGAGCTGGTCTGCACTCGGCCTCATGTTTCGCTTCCTCTCGGATTGTGGGGCGATAAGTCGGGCGCGAAAGTCAGGAAAGCTTACTTCGAGAAATATCCCAGTATGTGTAGTGCATCACGATGGCCCAGCTTCGACTTATTTGTTGCTAGGCATCTGGCATCAGGGCGACTTCATCGCGAAGAATCCTGAGACGCAAGGCCTCATGATTCTAGGTCGAAGGTTCGTGTACCCCGCAGCGGTCGTGTCGCCCCACGTCTCATGTCTGAAATGATACGCTCAGCGATGGGGTCCTCAATCCAAGCGGAGTGCGCTTTGGTTCTGCTGAGATTTACACCGTACTGGAGGATTTTGCCGACGTCATTGATGATTCGCTATGCGTTGGCCAACGTCGGCCACAAGATAAGGACGAGCGTGTCCTGCTGTTCGTCAAGATGCGCGCAGGCCACGTCCTGACTGAGAGTTTGAAAAACAAGTTGCGCGCGGCGATCCGGAAGTCCCTCAGCCACAGGCATGTACCGGCGTACATATTCGAGATTGAGGACATCCCGGTTAGTGGGCGTATCATAGGAGCGACTCATAGCGATTATCTGACTATGCCTCACAGTACACTGTGAACGGCAAGAAGATTGAGATTGCCGTAAAGCAGATCGTGTCGGGCTCAACTCTGAAACCGAGCGGAACGGTGGCGAACCCGGATTCATTGCAGCTCTACTACAAGTATCGGGAGCTAGAGAAGTTCATCGGCGGTACCAGTGCGGAGAAAGCCAAGGCAAAGCTGTGACTCCATCAAGCCATTGTTCCGCACGATATACGGTGGGAAGCTGATATGAACAGAAAATACCGTGTCAATCGTCTATTCCGTGTTTAACCAGCATCGCAGCAAGCGAGGAACGCACCGAACATAGCCTGCAAGGTATCAGCATGTTGCCTTAGAATAGAAACGAAATCAGCGCAAATAAATCTGTCAGAACTCAGTCACCGTGCTTCGAGATTGGCACGCATGATCATGTCTCGTCACAGCACACGGTTCAACCCTTGGCCACAAAGGCTTACCTTCGATTCAAGTAGTATATTTCATACAACATCGAGCCTCGACCACTTTCTGCTGGAGATACGGTCCGCTACAGTATACATATCACACCTCGACTGGATTCATCGTCTCACCTGCATCGCATTGCACCCGATCATTAGACATGAATGTCCTGTTCTCCACCTTCCACATCGAGTCCGTTTCTTCATTCTTCCTTGTCATTCCCTCCAAGAATGTATTCGCGGACGTGCTCAGGAGACAATTGACGATGACTTGCTTATGCCAATGTCGAACTTCTTGCCCATGTTGCAATCGGCTACGCCTCCATATCAAGAGTAATCTATACGATGCTTGATGTTAGTGGTAAGAGAATGCGATATTCATTGCCCTTACAGCATTGATTGCCTGTTGCACTTTGACCATGAGCAAATCACCAAATTCTATGAGCTGCTCGAAGGTCTGTGGTCCACAAGTCGGGCAAGATGCGGTTTGACGCATAGCGGCCTTCAGCAGGGCGGGATCGCGAACGATCCGTTGAAAGCATTCCCGGCTTGCTTCTCAAGACTGCAGCTATCCCATTCACATAATCCGCCCACCACGACCTCGGGGTAAATTCGCGCGTGAGTGCTTCTATCGTGACCACGAGGTTTGCCTTCTTATCCGCTTCGCAGCTGGTACATTGAAACCATACCCACGAATAACCAGCATTGAGATGGCTGCTCGTGATGCGGGGTGAAGGGCCGCTGTAACTGTAAGTGTGTTCGGCTTTGATTGCACGGTGAGGAACGTCGGTCAGACTCCAGCGAGCGTCTGCAACGAGGTTCACAGCAGCCTGTGCGCAACGGCTGTGATATTGTTGCAACCGCCAAATGGCACGAGGTGGCAAGAGGTTCATTTCTGCAGGCATTTCCGGTAGCGGGTGAAGGACGTGCTTCAAGGATTTCAATGCTGCGGCTCGAGACTCCTCCATGCATTTGGACAGATATGCGATCGCGAAGACTCTGAGCGGCTCGTCATCGACAAAATCCATGATGGCACGTCTTAGGTTGGAAGATATCGCTTCCATCTCGTACTTCCGGCCTGCCTCCAATAAGTTGCATATTTCATCTAGCGACAACTTGTCGGGAAACGACACGGGATATATGATGCTGAGCAGCCGCCGCAGAGTGTCCTGATCGTCAGTAACGGGCACTACGTGGATGCCATTAACATCAACCGTGTCACCGCCTTGCTCTTCGTTCTGCGGAAGAGGTACGCGAAACATATCGCAGAAGATCGGGGACGCTCTCGCGAGGATGAGCTTGTGAACATAGAAGTTGACGCCGTCGGCGGAACGGAGAATGATGTCTGCATCGCAGTTCTCGAATATATGAACAGATTTGACATCTACGTCGTGCTCCATTGTGCGTCTATTTTATGATTTCTGGGCAGTTTGTGGGGAATCGTGCCAAGAGCGGGAGCAGTGGGCCAAGGGAAACGTGAGGGAGACGCTTCAAGAGAGCTCGAACACTCGAACCTATAAATGTTGTGTGGTTCCCGTGTGAGACGACCGGTTGTGCGATTTCTCCAATGCACAGGTCTTTTATTGATATACAAAGTACTTTGATTGGACCGCCGAAGGAGCGCGAGCGGGTATGTTACTACTGCAAACAAAGGTCGACATGTGGGCCCGCATTACATAGCGATAGAGGAGACTCGAAATCGGAGTGTCCGACTCTGAGAGGATGAAAAATTATTCAGGGTTGTGCCGGCGACCGACATTTTTAGAATGCATCGCAGTGCCAGCGCTGCCCAACCCTTTTTTCAGCCCAAGATGACCATGATGTCGACGGCTGGATCCAGAGATGGCATGAAGATGGCAGCGTGCATGCTCATTGAAGAGCGTGCAGGTCATCCTGCAGAACTATCTGAAATTCTTCTTATCTTCCACAAGACCCCATTACCGCATACGTCGTGGACGCTGGTATCAATGGTCATTCTGCGGAAGCGACGCGCCCGCAAGACTGGTCTCGACCAGCTGTGCGAGAAGTGATTGAAGACTGTCAACGTCTCATCTGCCCCCCACATCCAAGTCTGAACAAAAGAATAGCGATTGATGATATACAACAACACAGCTCTTTAGATCGTAGGAGTTCGATGCGATCGAGAGACGTGCCGTGCAGATAGAAACACACGTATGTCGCGCAAAGTGACGAATGCCAACGCGTGGCGTTCACTCTGAATACAGCTCGATAGGGATCTGAGCAAAGCATTCATGCCGCCGAAATTCAGGGAAGTCCAGTAAAACGGCTAAATCCTCTCATCTCGTCTGAATCTTCCCTTCGAGATGCTTACTGAGAACCATCAGCTGTGCCCAAGCTTGTGGTCTGCACGTGCGACAGCCACCCATGTGATCCAGTGGTACGTCCATGCATCGCACATCCTTCACAATGCTGGTGACCGGCCGCTCTTCCAGCGCTGAGGCGACATTGTCCATGTGCTTTACCCACTAGGTTCTTAGCGCGAAAGTGGTATATTTGAGGTTCACGGCGACTTGGGCGGGTTTCGTGTGGAACCAGAGGGCCCAGGAGGTGGCGGTGCGTTCATCCTGGTCAAAATAACCTTGGCCTCCGGAAAATCGTCTCATGCATTCATCACCAGTCTCTAGTCGGGATACAAGTGGCCGTCCTGCAATTGCGGCGATATTGAAGCACCAACCTAACCTAACCGTGATATGTTGTAACATTCAATAGATAGGATTGAGGTTGATAATAAATCCGTGACCGGAGGTTAGGCTTTGGCCGCTTTTCGTGCTTCGTCCTTCGAATCATATTCGCACGCAGTTGCGAAGACCAATGATGGTGTTTGAAAAGAGAAGTCATCAAAGTCTCTCGTATTTCGGAGTCAGTTCCAGGAGGGTTGTGGCACGTCTTCCAAACGTGAGCTGAGGAGGAGGCTCTGGGAGTATCAGCCTGAGCTGGCAGTTGCTCTATCGTACGCGAGTCCTTTGTGACTCGCACAACCTGTACGCAATCTACAGAGTCGTCGCCGGTTGACCGATGGGGCGCCCATGGACGTGCGCCTAGCAGAACAGGCAAAGAGAAAGTGTCGCTGAACACGGAGGACACCAGCGCCAGAATGTTTTTGTATACATGGAAATCGACGTTATCCGAAGACTGGATAACGATGTCGGCGCCACTGTGTTGGAACGGATGGGTTTGTCATTGAATCGCAGTGAGATCATGTTGTGCCGGAAGTCAATGGACGGAAAGTCAAGGACCGTAGAAGGATGGCGTAGGAATGGAAGCGAGTGCAACGCCGCCCGGACGTTCGATTATCCGGGGGCTGATCGCGGGCACGAGGCTACCATGAGGCTGAGAAGTCGGGCCAAATGAAGAGGGTGATTTGCCTGGCAAACGCCTGCCCTTCAGGCTTCTTTGGGTCGCCGGGCGGGGTGCAGATATGGACCATGGTCGGCGGACAACGATCTGTGCAAACTCGAACGTGCTGACTCGGAACACATGTGAGCAGAGTGTCCGTCAACTCAATGATCATCCTCTGGTGGACGAGAGATCTGAGATGAGCACAGGTGAGGAGGTGTTCTCGAAACGTGCGCAATTTGTCAACGGATTACCGTTTGTGATCCGTGCTCTCCTTCCAGGAATCAAGCATGCTCAGAGCTGCGAGTAAAATGTTGGCTTGAAGAGGACTAGGTCATCACGGAAGACCATCATGCACTGTTCGACACTTGAGCGTGGACCGGAGATACCCACGACGCTGATATGACCGTGAACCTAAAGAGGCTCTTCTGAGTATGCCTTTCACAAGAGTCGACATTCGATGACAAGAGATGCTTAATCGGTGAGGGCCGCGCGCATCGCGGCAGGTCACGCAAGCGGCGATCGCGTCTCTGCAGTGTTTCATGAAGCGGAGGTAAGCTGTAGGCTGTTCAGCCCGCGGAGCCGAGCAGCTGCCGTCTTGCAATCAGACACGTTCGCGATATGATAGCGCACGTCAGTGTCGACAACATTTTTCGTGCGTGGCGGAATGGGGGTGATACCCCAAAAGGGGCAGGAGAGGCACGTGGAAGAGGGATATTGTCAACCGCCGGGACCGACGAGTTGAGCTCCTTCGACCGCAACAATCAATCACAGCTGGCCCACGCCCATCGCCGCTCCTTTGCATTGTCCTTCTCGTGCCTGGTCCCCTCTGTCGTTCTTCATAATTATCTATATTTTCCATCATGGCACATCGTCGCACCCAGTCTGCACGTTTCCCTGTCGACTCCCCCATGGGCAGCCCTCACCTCGACTCTCCGCCCCTCACCCCGCCCGCCTACGCCTTGGCAGCCTTCCCCGTTGCCTTCGCGTCTCGCAAGCCGAGGTCCTACTGGTACCGCACCACGTTCCTCGCCCTCTTTGTCCTCGTCATCCTCTCCGTCTATGTCCTCCTTGTCGCCCAGCCCTCCCTCACGCCCATCCCCGTGTTCGACGCTGAGGGCCGCAAGGGCTCACGCTTATCGCCCGACGCCTTCCGCCTCGCGACGCTGCGGCATAGCTATAGTAATAGTATGAAGAGTAGTCCTGCCGGAGACGCCAAGGCGGGACGGCCACAGCTCACATTAAATCAGACGGAGGAGCTCGCTGCCGTGTCAGGCTTTCTCGCCAGCCTCCCACAGAACGTGATCCCCTCGTCAGTCGACCCCTCGCAGCCAATAGACCCTCAGCTGGTGCTGGACTTTGACACGCGGAGCGAAAACGCCGGGGAGGAGGTGCAACGGGTCGTGAATGAGGTGTGGGCGCGGAATCCGGTAATGCTATACTCTAAGGTCAGTTACGTGTATGCGACCCCATCTCATATGCCAGCTAACGTCGTGACACATCAGTTCTACTCCCCAATATCACGAGAAATCAAACAGATGCTGTCGGATCTATACTTGCGCCCAGCCCCCACGATCATCGAAGTTGACCAACGAAGTGCGTCTCCCCCTCGTCTACACATCACTCGTTGCTAACCTGCTACCTCTACTCCTCCCTCACCTCAGGTGACGAATCAGTGCTCGCTCCCCTCCTCTTCCGACTCACATCACGCAACGAACTACCCATTCTGATTATCGGCGGCCGTCCACTCGGCGGAACCATCGAGGAGCTCCGCTATTTGCGGAAGAAGGGCGAATTCCAGCGCATGATCACCGCCGCAGGCGGAGAGGTCTACGGCTCGCGCAAGAAGCCGAAGAAATTGTAATCCGAGCACCAGGCTGTACGCGACTTGTGGCGCCGCCGCAACTCGCTACGTGTGTGCACGATTTGTACCATATTCCCGTGGCATACTCACCATGCTACTCGGAGCGGAGGAATCGGAAGACACGATGCGGACTGATACGTTGGCGCGTAGCGGACGTCTTGTATCCCTGTCAGGCTGACCATTTGCTTCGAGGCCATGTCTTACTCTTACTCATGTTGCCGCCGTCGCTCTCTCTCTCGCATATATGCGCTCCGGGAGGGATGTAGGTAGCGGTACCCGGCTGCGGGGTATTTTCTTGGGATCTACAGTAACTGACATAGGCGCGTGCTGGCTGTACACTACCCATCGACTTGGATCTACTCCACATATATCGTATCATACACATTCTTAGCGCTCCTTAGACCAAGAAGCCCTGGAGGCTGGGGAACATGGCTGATGCTTCCATCGTAGATGCGTTTCTTATTTATGCGGATTCCTTTGCAACTCCGCGATTCACAGGAAGTTTAAGCTGTGGCTAGTTATTCCTGTGCGGTGGGGAGAGTATCATGCGTCATGTGCTGACATCAAGTAACGACCCTCTATCATATAATTCAAAGGCACACATTTGCGGGCACAAGTTGGGTTGCTTGGTAGCCATGGTTTTGACTTCGATTTGAGTAGTAGCTGGTCCACGGACGTCGACGAAGACTGGAGGCTGACACTAGTCACACTGAGCAGTCGTTGGTGCGCCGTCGTCGATGGGATGTCCGCCACAGTATGCCCACTGTTTAGATATACAGGCCCCTTTTGAGTTTATCGTAGCAGACATCAATACTCCTCGACAAAGGACTATATATCCGGGTATGTCTTCTTCAGATTTCCTATCACATAGTTCGCCCAGGTGTTCTGAAAGGTTTTAATAGACACTGTAAAACTGAGAGAAATCCAGGCACCGTGGAATATATTACAGAGTGTCAGACTACGTAGCATGAGGAGACATACAGTAACTTCCGAAAACAGAGCGATTCCAATCCGACAGCAGAAAACGACATATATCTAACAGGATGAATTTGGTATGAAGGAAGATCCGCTAACCACTTCGTGCAATGATCTCAACTTCCTCTTCACTTCCGCCCTCTGTGACGGGAGATTCCTCACTGCCCACGGCAGTCATCTCGGACTCCATCTCGCCTTGAGGCGGAAGAGCGATCTCGAGATCGACGCCATTGAGGCTTTCCCCAAGCCTGTAAAAGGCTGGAACATTGACAAGCAAGTGGACAGTCCCCGCTACCACCGCGATAGTCACCACTATTGCGGACGCAGCCGAGAAGTAAGGAGCACGGAACGATGCCGCGCTGAAGTTATCGTTCTGGACCGTAGAGTTGTCCCAAACGAGTATGAAGACAAGGACGACGAACGAGATGCAGGCCCTATCAACGTAGATTTGATATAACACTCAGTATGCACGAGAAGTGATCCTAGAAGACGATGCGTACCAACAGCACCACGCCGCCGGCGCAGCGAGTAGAATAGTAGGCCCTTGCCACTTGGACGGTGAGACGCGTTTCGCGTCCTAGCAATGAAACACTCAGCTATCGCACGCAAGATCCAGCTGCATTGATCACCTGAAGCCACCCCCTCGCATCCACATCAGTTGTAAAAATGTGGAGCCTCGTGCGATATGTAATCGCGAAGGCAAAGCAGAATAGACAGTCGACCATGGACACCATCCACAGACTGTTTGCTGCTGAACTGTTGCTGATGGCTGGTAATTGTGACATGGCACCATTTATGCTTCGCACACACAGCGTGAATGATAGCCTCTCAACCAGCGAGCTAGGGACCAACCAACTCACGTCAATATCACGGAGCAAATGCCGGAATACAATTTCCATTCGTGCAGAAGTCCGTCTCGAAAATTGGCCCAAGCACGGCGCACATCTGAGTCGTCATCTTGCATAGCCACAACAAGACGCCCATAGCGAGATTCATACAAAAAAACAGGGAGGTGAAGTAGGAAGCCGTCGTGGTAGACATGTCCAAGCGCGGAGGTAATGAAGCACGTCGAGATCAGGTAACTCGTTCGCGCGTATGCTCCTACAGCTCGAAAGAGGATGCACCAATGACGGAGAGAGTGCAGAAGTGACAGAAATGGAGGAGTGGTTGGGGATGATGAGTTTGAAGCGTCCAGCGTTGCGTTGCTAAGATCAGACTCGACAGGCTCGGTCAGGTGACTTGGTTGAAGAGGCGCCGGGGCGCCGGTTCCAAATGACACGAAATCTCAACCACAGTAGCGGAACATGCGGTGTGTGTCACTTATGCGAACATAGCTCTGTTTGCAGGCTCAGGCTGTTGAACAGGAACAACGTAGGGAAGAGCGAAATAGGATGAATCGCTTAAGAAAACGAAGGAATTCGAACATTGTCGTACAACGATGAATACACGTTACAGCTACGGTAAGCTGTCCCAAACTTCTTCCATGTCATCTCGAGACCCCGCCCAGACGTCGGGCCCCCGTTCCGTCACCGAACACGGCCTACCGCAGGGCAAGTCCCTGATCCGCCAGGAGACGAAAACATCGTGGACTGTGTGGGTGCGTGCGTTGTCGAAAATGAGGTTGAGGCATCCATCGTCAGCGAAGAACCGTCGTCGGTGAGGGCAGCTCCAGTGAGTGCAGGACATGGTGCGGATGTCGTCGAACGAGAAACCTCGGTCTTCGTACTTTCTCCTTGCGGTGAGTGCCTTACCGATAATCACTGATGGTGTATGAGCAAATACCGCGACGGCTGAGAAGATGTGTGGGGTATGCCGACACGATCGCATCAGCGGAGATCGCGTTCATGATGATGGTCGACCAGAAGAAGCATAGTGGGTAGAAGACCGATTCGTTGTGGCTACGCATAAGATCGACGCGGATGTTTGGTCCGGTGATTCGAGCCATACGGTCCATTCCCTGTTTCAACCAGGGGTACGGTTGCTCCTGATTCTCCTCGTCCGATGCATCTATGACATATTCAATCACGAAACCCGGTAAGTTGCTGATGTAGTCGAGTACCACATCCCACTGACTATGTGGTGTGTATAGATCGTAGTCATTAGGCTGCCACAAAGCGTCGACGAGTAACAGTCTGGCAGCAGCGGAACCGGACAGTATGGTGCCGGTGTCGTGCATCATGGCGCGGAAGTCGTCGGTGTCCTCGGAGATGAATGCAAACCGGTGAACGTAACAGTTGCATGAATAGAAAGCAAATATGACGAACCGAACATGACGGAGAACCCGCTGACATCATCGGAAAGACAGACGCAAGATCTTCAATTGGCTCCCCCCACCGGAGGAGTAGCCAGGCCCGTAACGTGATGCGACCGCACATGCTTAAAATTGTCACCCCCCACCGTGAGGGTGCTATAGACATGAGCATAATGAATACGCGAATCATGTAACCCGTTCACCGAAGACGGCAGAGGCGGCGGCGGAGGAATGAACAAGAACAAACAGGTGTAGTACACAACGAGAGCGACGACTGTGAAGGAAGGAGACACGACATAATCAGCACTGCAGACATTGCCACAGAGGAGTGGACAAACGTACCGGTGAAGCAGATATCGAATGCGTTAATAATACACCTGGTGAACGACATGGAGAGTGACATGAGGATGTCCAGCACAGAGAAGACAGGAGGTAGAAAGCAATGAGGCCTGAGGAGCCGGATATCGCGAATGAGGGCAAGTTGTGGAATGAAAACAATATTTCGTAGGAGGAAATATTTCGTATGAACCAAAGCAATATTTCGTATGAACCGTGCACAAAACGGGCCGAATCGCAACTTAGGGATCACGTAAGCACAGGCCATCCCCGTACGTCAATAGCCAAATTTGTCATTTGGAACCGCACTCGGCCATCGCGACTTAGCCTTTTGACAAGTGCAAGTGTTACGGATTTAGGCGCCTACGCATGTGGTACAGCGCTAATCAGTGTCTGGTGCGGGCGCCTAAGCGTGTGGTACGCGCTATGGGCGTCTTGTTGTGGCTGCTATGCAAGATGACGACTCAGACGTGCACCGTGCTTGGGCCAACTTTCGAGATGGACTTCTGCATGAATGGAAACTGTATTCTGGCATTTGCTCCGTGATATTGACGTGAGTGGTTGGTCCCTACCTCGCTAATTGAGAGGCTATCATTCACGGTGGATGCGAGGAGGTGGCTTCAGGTGATTAATGCAGCTGGATCTTGCGTGCGATAGCTGAGTGTTTCATTGCTAGGACGCGAAACGCCTCTCACCGTCCAAGTGGCAAGGGCCTACTATCCTACTCGCTGCGCCGGCGGCGTGGTGCTGTTGGTACGCATCGTCTTTCGGGATCATTTCTCATGCATACTGAGTCATATATCAAATCTAGATTGATAGGGCCTGCATCTCGTTCGTCGTCCTTGTCTTCATACTCGTTTGGGACAACTCTACGGTCCAGAACGATAACTTCTGCGCTGCGTCGTTCCGTGCTCCTTACGTCTCGGCTGCGTCCGCAATAGTGGTGACTATCGCGGTGGTAGCGGGGACTGTCCACTTGATTGTCAACGTTTCAGCCTTTTACAGGCTCGGGGAAAGCCTCAATGGCGTCGATCTCGAGATTGCTCTTCCGTCTCAAGGCGAGATGGAGTCCGAGATGACTGCCGTGGGCAGTGAGGAATCTCCCGTCACAGAGGGCGGAAGTGAAGAGGATGTTGAGATCATTGCACGAAGTGGTTAACGGGTCTTCCTTCATACCAAATTCATCCTGCTAGATATATGTTGTTTTCTGCTATCGGTTTGGACTTGCTCTTGTTTTCGGAAGTTACGTCTCGGCATGCACTGTGGTCAGATACCCTGTACTGTATTCCACCTTGCCTGGATTTCTCTTGTATGTAACTCAGTTCGCAATCGCTTTTATTTCAAGTGTAACGTCTCCGCATGCACTGTGTGTAAGCGTGTATACTCTCTTGGTGTAGCGACTTATTCTATTCACCTGTACTCTCTTAGTCTACAGAGTATGCACGATTACAGTGCGTTACACGGATACAGGTCAACTCACCTCAATCCTCAATCCTACGGCAGTGTAGTGACTGAAGGAAACAGCTGTGATCAAACGTGATCAAATCTGCTAAGATTATTGTGTCATTGAAGTGATCGGCGTTCAACCTCACGCGGGATCGTAGCGTATGACAACGTCAGACAAGGATATCCGGAGCGTTCCCGTGGAGGTTTGAAGGAATTGTCTCGTCTGCCCACGGGAGACTAGTAGTAATGACAACGCGCGCGGGTCGAATCGCAGCGCCCAGAGCTGTTCTCCGTCTTTGTGCCATATTCTCGTCCTCAGATACCCTAATCACTGAATATTTGAATTGTCGCGAATCTTTGTGATCGCCATGGTGAAAAATGCCTCCAGAGCAAAAATCGAGTATGTCATTTTCGATATGGACGGTATGTGTGTCGCCAACTTTGAAGAATCCCGTAGCAGTAACACCCCTGCTGGCATTTTAAGGCCTCCTGATTGACTCTGAGAGGGTATATACGGAGGTCACCAGTGCGTATTGCCAATTCACTTGAGTTTCTCGTGGATTTTGTTTGACTACTTCAGATCCTCAGACAACATCCTATCTCAGTACGGCAAGGAGATGACCTGGGACATCAAAGCTGGTCTGATGGGCAAACGTGTGTGCGCATTACCAAACAAATGAACCACCCGTTTCAATGGACGTTGTTTCTACGTAGCCGAACGTGAAGCAGCCGCACATCTTCTCTCTTTTTTCCCTGATCTCCCTCCCGACTTCACGCTGGACGCCTACCTCGACCTCCGGCGCAAAGGCCAAGATGAGCTCTGGTCCACCGTTCAGCCGCTTCCAGGCGCAGTCCGCCTAGTCCGCCATCTCCACCAGCACCGCATTCCCATCGCCGTCGCGACCGGCTCGCAGCGGCGGAACTACGCGCAGAAGAGCGCGCACCTCGAGGATGTGCTCTTTGGCTGTTTCGAGGGCCGTGTCGTATGCGCCGATGACGGACTAATCGCTCCCGGAAGAGGCAAGCCGCATCCCGACGTGTTCCTGGTAGCAGCGGAGCGCATGTTGGGGCGGAAGGTCGGCATGGACGAGATTGTCGCGGACGAATGGAAGATTGAGCGTTCGAAGGGATTGGTCTTCGAGGATGCAATTCCAGGCGTCCAGGCTGGCAAGAGGGCCGGGATGAATGGTCTGTGTGCTCTCGGACAATTCTCCCAACTGTTGCTAAGCTCATCATTGTTCTCTGTAGTCGTCTGGGTCCCGGATGCAAACCTTCTTTCGCTGGGCGAGGCAGGTCCGACGCTGGACGTCGAGCAACCGGATCATACCATACGATCTTTGGAAGACTTCAAGCCCGAGGACTGGGGCCTCCCTCCATTCGATGACACTGCATGAGCATGTCGCTACCCTTTCGACCAGATGGTGTTGGAAACATCTCAAAGCAGACTGGCGATGCTGGTTCCTCTGACGGCAGTGTAGATGAGGGATTTGAGCGCAAGAACCACAGAATCTGATGAAGACCTCCATCTTGTGAATGACTGTCACACTGACAGGATTAATCACCCAGGATACCCTTTCACAGTGCCCGACAGGAATATGTTTTGCCCATCACATCTAGAAGAGCCATCGATAATCTATGGGCATCCGTCAACAAGTACTCTCGGCTGATGTTGTTCCCCTCCCCTCCCCCCGATCGACCTTTCAAAGATGCTGAGATATTGACAAGATGTTTGTACGTGAAGCTGAATATATGCTTTGCATATCATAATGAAAGAGCTGTCCTGGACCGAACACTGGCTATTCGGTACGTAATAATATCTATGAGAGACACTAGCTGGCTACATATCTGGAACGGGGAACGGAGCAGGATATCTGATAAAAGGAGTTGTGTAGAGTATATGACGGGAAGAATTGTACAAGACAGTCCAAGTTGATGTTGAGAAATACATCCAGTATGAGGAAATATTGCGAGGTATGTCAATCGGTAGAAAAAGCATCCGCAGAGCTCATTAAATATGCAGTAGATCGTCCAGTGAAGGATATATATGTGGAAAACTTTGCGGAGGATATTGTCCGGGAATTCTTGCAGGGTATATCCTGCTGTGAGGTCATTCGAGGTTGATGTGTGAGTGTGTGGAAGGTATCCGAAGGTATTGCGACGACACTATGTTCGGTGAGCATATGCTCAATAGTCATTTTCAATGCAGGTCACGCGGCTGAGGGATCGGGAGTGTGTGCCAGTCTCGCTTGCAAGATAGTGGGGGGAGAAGAGCGGAAGAATGAAGCAAACAATTGACATGAATGACGTGTGGATCATCGCGCGACACAACCGTGAACGCAACAACGGTGATTTTGAACGTTTGATAGAGCTATTTGCTTACCCACAGCACCTTCTCGGACAGAACTGCTCTTAACCGCGAGCAATACCCAGAGCAACTGAGACTCACCAGCACTGTGGGCTTGCATCCGTTCGTCATTCTTCCTCGATCTGACAGTCACCACGTACGGAATTCTGTGAAGAGCTGTCCAGAGAAGCGCTGCGAGTACAGCATCCTTCAGCCGGATAGCAATGTCAGCGTCGCAATAAGCCACAGATGCGTCAAGGGCATACCAGTACTGTGACTTCGCACTCTAACACTATTTGTCCTCTGGATAATGATCATCGTACGTCGTTCTCTCGCTTGCGTTGCCTAACCTAAGGTATCGGCGTGATGCGTCTCATGGAGTGAGCATTGTGCGAGAGCGCCAACCTTCGCATGCCGGTGCTGTTCAGCAAAGCACAGAAAAAGGGAAATGGGAGCATACCGGTGCCACAACCACACGGTTGCTCATCCTGGGTGTCGTGCATAGGACTGGTGTAGACAAATTACCCTTTAACCGTTTTCTCCGCAGGAACGTGCCCTTCCCTTGTCATCTTCAACGGCTGAGCTCTGGAGTACGTAGTGAATATGGGCGCAACGACATACCGACGACCATTCACAGGCGTGTCGCGGCAGAGGCAGCACCTATATGCCCCTGGACGACGGAGATTGCGGCGGAGGTGAGCTTCGATCGGGGCTTGGGAGTGTGTCCAGGCATGGTGTCCTGATCGATCCATGTCAGCGACAGTAACAGATGTGAAGAGCCTGGTACATACCGGCACCATATCCTCGGACGTCATCATATTTCGCGTCGGCAAAGCCAAAACATTCCGCACATTATCAAATAAAGCAGCTCGCATGGACGCAGCGTCTTGTTTCTGTCGCTCTCTCTGTGCACGGAGACAATTCACGCCTTCCAAAAACCGGACTCTGTAACCTGTGTATGCCAGCTCCAACTTGTTCAGCATGGGCCCTTTCTCGAACGCCCTCGGCTAACCACAAACTTAGTACTACATGCAAGACACTTGAAGGAACAAACTCACATCAAACACACTGATCGAGCGAGAATGACGATTGAAGAAATGGCCAAGCTCCTCCAGGTTGGGTTCAAGGCGTCCAAAGTTGGCGGGGCATTCAACGGTCCTCTGGGGCTTTGGCAACCGTACATCAGGAAGGCCTCGGATGCAGCACGGTAGCGGCAGCTTTGTCTGTGCGGCGAGGTTCCAAATGGCAGCGGAATCAGACAGGCAGTCGAATGGCACATCCGAAACAGTGCGATCCGTGTCTGATCGTGACCTTTCAGCCCGAGGGAGAGCGAAATTGATAATTGAAACATCTGGATGATCCTCTTCTTCATGGAACGACATGACGGTATGCGTGACGAGGCCTTCCATTATGTGCGAAGCTGGTAAGTAGTTGTCGCCTTCGTGAATGGGTCCGAGTCCAACGACGACAGGCGGAGGCGACTCCTTCTTTGATGGCAATCTCGTCGTTATCGTTATACAATGGAAACCGTCAGTCGCAGCTGCACAAAACGGAAGTACCAATGGCTCGTCTATGGGCTCCGCAGTGGTGATCTCGAGGCCGGCGTCGCCGACATCAAATGAGACATACGGAGACGCTGCCGAGTTATACCTGCAAGATAATCCGGAAGTACCGACATTATGCGCAGTGTCTTCTTGCGTGAGGACAACGACCGGAGAGGCCGTCGATCCGTCAATTGTCCACAAGTTCTCGAAGTGGGACTCAGAACGAAGAAGGTCGATAGCAGGAAGGAGTACACGAGGAGTCTCCAGATCATCGACAAGCTCGGCATCCTCAATGTCGACAGTAAAAACGTCAATCTGGGCCTCTTGACATCCGAACTCGCGTGGACTGTCCTTCAGATCGAACTTATCGGAATTGATGCCCAACGTTGTTTCTTCAAGTGTGTCATGCGGCGATAGCTCGACGTCAGCCCGCTCATACACGTTGTCAGTGCTTAAAGCACTGGTCTCGACGTATAAGCACCCTGACGGGGACAGCATCGGCCCGGAGAGGACGGTGCTAGCGATGGGGAATATGGCCGGTTGGACTTCAAGGTGTGACCCTGCCACCGATTTCTCGACGCTATTGGCGACATCTGAACACAGTGCATGATCATCCTTTTGGTCGAGCTCAAGTGGAGGTGCCGGCAGGATTCTGACGGTCGATGGAACAATTTGTGCAATATCGGAATGGGATCCTCCAGAAGAGACAGCGGCATCCTCAGGCTCTGCATTATCGTTCGTGTTGATGGTCAACGCATTTTCGCGGTCATATTTCACTTCAGGATCGACGGTCAAAGTGCCAGCAGAATCTCCATTGACAGGCAGGGAGTTGGTGTCATCAAGTGTGCAGATGTCGACGAGCGGGCTGGCGGGCCTGTCCACAAGTTTCTTGGGGCTGTCCGATAACTGTTGACGTGATCATGCAACCTGGTCATCGACGTGTCCTTGGGCCAGGCCAGGTGTAGCTCACCTTAGCTTCAAAGTCACGATTGGCATCTACGGCAGTAGGCCTGATTATACGACTCTGAAGGCTCTTGATGCCTTGCCAATGCGCAAACAGCCACAGAAGACCAGAACAGGATAACCAGCCGAGACACATTAAAATGAAGGTCGCTATGATGTACGCCAGGACCACGCCCGCAGGCAGCGGTTCCCGGAGAATAGAGATCGCAGGGATATTGGGCCGAACTGCCGAAGCATTGAAGACAGCACGGAGTACGGAAGATAAAGACCTTGCAAGGAGACGACGTAGTCGCTTGGGCCCAAGCTGGTCAGTTTGGACCATGGTGACCAGATCGCTTGACATCCTGATGGTAAGATCTGTGCAGTATAACGGCCCAACGAAGACGCGCTCCGCAGCGGCCAAAGCGACATGCGATAAGACCGCGTCTTCGAGGGGGGAACCGTCGAGCAGTTGGCTAGCTAATGCGTTAACGACAGGCGAGCACACAACATCGGCAAGTGATGGCATACCCTGATAGCGAAGACGGGTCTCCGAAGTCCACGTCGCCGGCCAGCTGGAAGACTACGGGGAGCAAGAGTCTTCCAACTGGACGGGGAGTCGCAACGAGCAAGAGGTAAATGGAGGCGAGGGTGGAGATGAGTACGTGAAATGGGAGCATGATTGTGGCAACTGTGGCGATGTGGCAAGGCAAGTGTGATGATGGTTGGAAGGAAGGACGATGGATGCCCACAACCCGCTTATAAGATCTCCTTGGGCCTCTGCGTACCATATGCGGACATGCACACTCAACTGTCTCCCGGGTTGCCATGGGTGGCCATGGGTGGCCATGACGGGCCGCAGCCGCCTTACTATTTGAATCCTCTGCAATATATGCGATGCAAGAACGTATCGATCGGCTCTCGGGCGACCTCTGCATAGATGTATTGAGAAACTGATCCGATCAAACTACTGGCCTTTACTTCATGACTGCAGCAGCAAACAAAGTGGGCAGAAAGAGAATGCAAAAACTTGAGTCGGCCCAGGATCGAACTGAGGACCTTCTGTGTGTTAGACAGATGCGATAACCAACTACGCCACCGACCCAATATCTTATGAGGGTGGCAGTGAAATTACTTAAAGACCTTTATTTCGAGTTAATCGTCCAGAGCAGTGGCCCGATGCTCTAAATGATTCTCCCCAATACTTTCAGGTCACTTTTCGTGGCCCAGGCTACATGTCATCGGCTGGGATCCAAATGCTATGCGAATGCAACACGATCCTCCCACAGCGTCCCTGTTCCTCATGAAGGGAACATAACGGGATTACCGCAGCATACGGACCTGTTACAGCACTACCGAGGCCTAGCCACTCTCGGCAAGATCACATACGATGAGGAACAGGTCAGGGTTATTATGCAGGTGTGCATCTGATCCTTGAGCTGAGTACGCCGCTTATCAGATGTGCAATAATACTTCAAGCTTAGGAGATTACAGAAGGAGTTAGACGGTTACGCTCCTCCTGCTCTCTCTGCGCGTTACCTCAACACAAAGCCTCTGACGCCTGGGAGTTCTACCGAATCGCTTGATTCGTCTCCGTGGTGGGCGCCTTCCGAGGATTCTTCTGAAGACGCCAACCCAGACAAGCTGGCTTTGATGCGCATTAGAACGCATGCGGAAGAGATTGAGGCTCTCACGACTCCTAAGGCAAGATCGGTATATGCTCATGATACGACTTTTAACGTAGCTTCAGGGCCTTCTTCTTATCGGACCACCAGGATGTGGCAAGAGCTTCCTAATAGATATGTGGTTCTCTATGACGCCTACCCCGTACAAGGCGCGCAAACACTACAGCGAACTGGTGCTAGAGACCTATCGTGGTGTGTGGGAAGAGACTCAACGTCGCATGGCGAGTGTCCACCAAAGAGACACATCTCTCGAACAGTCCGAACCGGTTTCTCCGTCATGGAACAAAGCTATCCGCGAACGATGGCGAGAGCTACTTGGCTCTGGACAGTTGCCCATCCGATGGACACGCACACCAATGAGCGGCTGGGTATCTAGCCTCGAATCGGTCAAACCGTCGATCGCATTTATGGTCGCTCAAAGGCTGATTTTGCGACATTGGCTACTGGTTTTCGACGAGATCCAGCTCCTTGACGTCTCTAGCGCGACATTACTCGCGGACGTGCTATCCTGGTTCTGGCGTATGGGTGGTGTGATCGTGGGCAGCTCTAACAAGGTACCGGACGATCTGTACAAGAACGGTGTTCAGAGGGATAGGTTGGAGCCTTTCGTGGAAGCACTGAAGGCGAGATGTCCGGTGCTCATCTTGCGCAGTGATCATGACTGGAGAGTGGCGCGAACTGAGCGCACCTCGGAGAAGAGTTGGTACGTATACGGTCAAGAGAATAAATTCTACCAGAAATTGAGGGCGTATTCTGATGATGGGTCCGGTGAGTTTTGTGACCGTTGAGATCCGCATCTGATTGAATACTTGTATTGGGATGCCAGGACCTCGGTTGACCAATCTCACTGTCTTCGGTCGAACTCTCGGCGTGCCATGGTCTTCTGGTGACGTATGCAAATATACATTCTCAGAGTTGTGTGACGAGGTAAGACCTTTGCACGCACGACACCGCGGTGAAGGACTGATTTCAGGCAGTCACTCGGACCGGCAGACTACATGACATTAGCATCTACATACCGAACAGTCGCAATCACGGATATCCCGATACTCAAGTTGTCGGCCAAGAACCAGGCACGACGCTTCATCTCATTGGTCGACGCGCTCTATGAAGCTCGTTGCCGGATCATTTGCCTCGCGGAGACCCAGCCGGAGCGCCTGTTCTTTCCTGATACACCTCCAGATACCTCCAACGATGATGCAGACAGCGGCGCGCAATCGTCCGATGTGGATGTTATGATGGCGGAAGCGGTGGCAGAGACACAAGATGTCTACCGTCCGAACGTATCTTCCTACGATGCTCCAAACATGGCGGAAGCCCCGGAGGCGCCTGCTGCGCCGCTAGCCCTTGACACCTTGTCGATCTTCTCGGGTATGTCAAATACTGACCTATCTCATCTGGGCGCCGCTGATCTGACATTGTCCAGGTAAAGACGAAGAATTTGCATTCAAGCGTGCCTTGTCCCGCCTGCTGGAGATGACAAGCGAAAGCTATGCGGATGAAGAGCGCTGGATCCCTCTTCCCCTTTCCTTGCGCAAGTGGGAAAGCTCTTCCAGTCCATCGGGCACTGCCGGCTCTCGGGATCGCGCCATGCGGGTGCCCGTATGCGTCTCGACAGACAGCGCGGGCGCTGATTTTGCTAGTGAGGCGGCGAACGAAGCGCTGTCGCAGCCCGTGGGACGCCCTGAAGCTCCACGCCTGAGTGAGGTTCATGTGTGGGGTGTGAGAGAGGATTGGGGCGAGCGAGCCAAGGCATGGGGTCGTGGGGCAAGGGCGTACGAACGTTCGCACCCGGATTCCAAGGATGACCGAGGACGTGGATGAGAGCCACAGCATCCTCCGAACTTTATTGTTGATGCCCGGGCTCCGGTGTGGATAATGTTATGCGGCCGAGGCTGATCATGGGATACGCCTGCCCTTGTGGTACATGTCCGCAGAGAGATCAGGATAACATCATCGAGATTGTGGTTCGCTTCCCGCATGGTCCGACGGTCATCGGCGAGAGGTGTATCAGGATCAGGCATGATATGGGTGAATGTGACCTTGAGACGTGTACGTTACTCCACTCCGCATGCGTAATGCCTTGCCAATGCGAGCTCATGCAGCGTGTCCACCCCGAGGCGGGAGGACTTTTGTGTCAGCAGACTTGCAACGTCACTAGAGATCTGTCCACGACGTTTCGAAGCTGGCTCATTTCCGACGCAATTGTATTGGGACGTGGGTACTATGCAGACTAAAGGGCAATCTAAATAGCGGCGTCGCCCGCTGTCAAGACTGTATAATGAATAAGAATGTGTGAAAATCGAGCGCAGTGAAGAATATCATAAATACATGGCGTTAACGAGAGCAATCGATACGCGCGACGCCATCGAGATCAGCGATAGTCTTCAGGAACAGCAAAGGCAATTCAACAGGGCATGGAATCAACTAGAGGATGTGAGGATATACAAATGATATTATGGGCAGTGCAGTACGGGATAGCAGGCAGGGCAGGAGCAGTCGAACGGAAAGAAGTGGCGGTACCAGTGTCCGTTTCCGAGGTATACATAACAGCCGGCGACGTGGATACGAGCACAAAAGATACAGAGCGACGAACAGGACGTTCGTGGTGAGAGCGCAGCATGGATATGTAAGTTATCGACAGATACGTGACACTGCGTCTTTGGGAAGCCAGATGATGAAAGCTAGGCGATAGGAGCATTTAGTCAAGTGAATTGACAGTGGTATGCTGGTTGGGTAAGGCCAGGGGCCGATGAAGGCCGTACTCGTGAGCGGGCCGTGACAAGACGGTAGAGAATGGCAGAGAAGTTGCGATTGTTGTTACAATGCTTGATTATTGTACCGGGGCAGCGAGCTCGATTGCGCGTGGCCTTCACGTAACGTCAGGATAGGCAAGAAAGGAGACGGAAGAATGAGAGGGACCCCTTATCGTTGCAGCCGTCCGCGATATCTCCGTTCGCGCCAGGGGAACGGCGGAGAAAACCGATCGATGTCAACGGGAATACCGACTGCAAAAGGCTCAGCATGTCCACGCCAGCCAATGAGGCATAGAAGCGCGAAGGATGATGGATCTCGACAACGTGAAATGGGTGGACAGCGTGTTACGATGGAGGAGTGGAACGATGAGGAAATAGGAAATAATGCACGAAACATTAAGGCCAATGCCGGTGTATTGATCATGATGGATGAGGATGTCGTGACGTGACGATTACGCGCTCTGCTGCTCGGTACCGGCCTTTATCCTGCCGCATACTGTGAATATTTTTGTCAATTTGCGCGAGCTCCATTATGCAATCCTGAAACCGCGGAGGACATCACTGGCTGTTGCTATCGTTGACGGAGTGAAGCAAACGCGAGAAGATGCAGGGGTGGGAGCGGACATGAGAACAGATGGAGATGGGGGTGACAACCGTACATATAACGCAGGTGCATCGAATCACTTGCGCAGGCTCCACGAGGTCACAGATGCATGCGCCGTGGCACGATGACCCTCAGGAACTCGCCGTCGAACTCAGCGCGCACTTGGCCAAGGTCGGCATCATATCCGAATGATATCCGCCGCTCGAAATGACCTGTCAAACAACAAGGGGAAGAGAAGAACAATCCGCAATCAGTATCTGCGCCCACCGGTCGGAGCTGAAAATGACGCACCCCCGTTCGGCTCCCAAGAGTCAGCGACCACATGCAAAATCCGCCCTTTACGCGTCGACAGCGTGCTGCACGAACACAATTTATATGAGTGACGATAGCTGACACATGGATCTCGTGCGATGACTCACATTGCATCCCGCCTAAATCCCGGTAACTTCACCAGCAGTCGATACTCCCTCGGATTCGTCTCAACCGCGATATAGCTATCATTTGGTGCTGGCTCATGTGCTAAAAATGGTTCGTGCGGCGCCCTTTCAGATGTACCTTCGCTCAAAGGTGGTGGAGGCGGTGTTAATACGACGGGAGGAGCGGGTGGCGGGAGCGTTGATGGATCCGGAGATGGCGTCAGAGGGGATAGAGAGCCCCAACAAGAGTGAGAATATGCTCGTTCCAGCAAGCGCGAGAAGGGCGGAGATATTGAGCGCTCATATGCCCAATCCGAGTATGACGACTGCGATGGAGACCGGACCGCCGAATGTGATGGACCAGTCGTGGGATCCATGGACGCAGATGAAGATTGCGTAGGCACCGAAACAGCGCTAGAAGAGGAAGATGACGACAGAAAATATGGCAAATTAAGACCTTCACCCATGTTTATGCTTTCCTGAGTCATACTTCCAGACAGCTCTGGGAGCGTGTGATAAGGCGTATGCGATGGCAGCGGCAGGCTCACAGTAGAGCACCTGTCTGACCCGGCAGTGGGCCTCACCGGCCTGGGTGAGTGTATGCGGGGCGGTGCTTGACAAATGCCGCTCGCATCCGGTGTCGAATATGGCCGCGCGAATGGGTGTACAGGGCTCGCCTGTCCTCGGCGCTGCAAGACCTGCGAGAACGAGACGGGAGGGCTCGCGGAAGTGGACCCAACAGCAGACATGTCTGCGAAGTAAGAGCTAGCGCCGGAACTTCCGCTAGTGTCCATGGGGGTGTCGACGCGGGACGACGTCGGCGCGGACATGGCTGATAATGATGCGCTCGGGAGGCTATCGTTCGATGACGACGACGCTGATCCCGCGTGATCAGTAATGACACCTGACCCTGCGCCGCCTGGGCGCTCGAAGTCGTATGTCGTGTAGACGTTGTGCGCAGCTCCGCCAACAGCGTCGCCTATCACTGCGCCGTGCGTCCGCGTGTGCGTAGCGGCGTTCGTGCTTGAGTAAGACAGATGGTGGGAGTGCGGCATGTATGGCAAGGGCACCTCTCTAGGGCTGTCGAAGGAAGCGTGCCGCTTGGTGAAAGACGAGGTACGATGGGGGAGGTCGGGACGAGGGGGAGTCGCAGCTGGTGGGAGAGAGGAAAGGAAGAGCAAGGCATCAGTAAGTCATCCTCGGGAAGATAGAGGGAAGGGGAGAGACGGGAAGGAGAAGGGGAAGCGAGAGCCGTCCGAGCCGCGAGCCGTTGCGCGGCCGTGGGGGCATGTGTGCGACAAACAAATGCAAAAACAAAACTGCTGTCGAAAAAGCGATTGGCCTCGTGGTGTCGGGGGATGTGCCGGTGATGACGGCAACGGCAAGGTACATGCCAAGGTGAAGAACACTCCGCTCGCGTACTCCGCGAGTCTGATAAGAACACGCAGAGCCAAAAGCCAATTCCATATGAGTTGCCGTCAGTCTTCCCTCCCACGCTGCTCTGCCTCCTCCCTCCGTTCTCTCCACTGTGACAGACAACCAGTAGAGCCCTCAAAGCGACCTGCCGGCAACCGGGAGCACCGGTTGCACGCGCGCATGACAGGCTGGTAACACAAATCTGACGGCGTCGTCTTTGCGACACGGGCGACTACTAGGCGCGGATGCAGTAATAATCAGCCGGCATCGACGGCCGCAGCATGCCTCATTCAGCGATCGTCGACAGACTGCTATACGATCATGCTAGCCACAACCGTGGCGCGCGCAATTATGCGTCGGGGACCAGAGCCAAAACAAGCAGGAGCGGGAGGCAGCACGAAGCCTGGGTGGAGGCCTTCGACAACATACGACGTGATGCCCAAACCCATGACTTACCATTCGCCCGACTGTTAACAACGTTATCCTCGGCAGTTCTCCCCGTCCCCTTCTCCTGCCCATTCTGCGCAATCCCGCGGATCATGCTCTCGTCGACGTACGGTCTGTTTTGATTGTGTTCATTGCCGACGGACGGGTCGTGTGGTGCGTGTGAATGGTCGTAAGCGATGCGATGGTGCTTCATAAGATGTTGCTCGTCATGCAAGGAGAGTTGCTCGAACGGAATAGCCAGGCCAGGTTCAGAACTGGTGCTCGGGGTACGCAGCGGTGAGCGGGATGCGCCAGACGAGGAAGACATCGCAGCAGGCTGGCTGTCGTCGCCAGAAGCAGATGGTAGTTTGGAGTTGAGGGGCATGCGGGCGTTTGGATACCAGGAGCGAGGAATGCGGAACTAGAAGAAGACTCGATGACCGTGGAAATATTCAGCGACGAGGCCCCGGCCGACGCCGGGGACGCCGGCCAGAATCACCGCATCGGGATGGAGCATGCGCCACCATGACGTACCCGGCTCGGGGCAGCCAATCGGAGGCGGGGGATGCCGACCGAGCGGCCGCCTCCCAATCGGTCCCAGTGGCGGGCTCTGACCGCCACAAACTTGTAAGCTGGCGTCCTTTCTGCGCTTGTTACCACCATCATTCCAATGTTGATGCACATGGTGAGAGCGGTGCGAAAACAGTTATTCTTCGCACCCAGCCACCTCCTGTGCCGTCTTCTGGATCCACACCCAGGCATCCGCGATGGTGACGACACGTCTCCCGCTCATGGAGTGATTACCTGCCGCAGAACACTCTGGAGTGGTGCGATCGCTCGCTTGGTGATCGTTCCTATTGAAACGCGTTTGTGAGCAGCATATCAGAGACCTTGACGCTGACGTTTCCAGGGCGATTGAGCGGCTCCCACGCGTGTACTCGAGCACCTAATGTAGTTTTCGTAATGCAACATCCGATGAAGCTTATTGATGGCGTCCAAGCCAACAAAGTCACAGCATCTCCTAAAAAGACTTTGGGGATGTCGGCAGATGAGCACCGCCTGCGAATAGATGGAGCACCATAGTTCCGAGTACAGCAGCCATTAGTACGAACATCGGAGGGGTGGTAATGATGTCATTCGTCCTAAATCCAGACACAGCAGCAGTGAAACCAGCCTAATACGCCCTACGCCCAGGAGCATTATTCGCCGTGAATTTCATCCTGGTCCTTGGAAGAACGCGTCGGCGATACTCGCGCTGTATTCGTAAGCCACAGAAAAGCTATCTTCCAGTGGGTTGATCAAGATCCGGACAAAGCACAGCACACGAAGACGATAAAAGCACAGCGGCCCGCGAACGGAGCATGCTAAGATGCAAGAGAACCCGTGTGCGCGCCGGACTCAGTATGCAGCTTCGGACGCACCACTACGCCCAGTGTGCTGGTTCAAGCCAGCGCAACAGTAGCATGAGATACAGCATGGAGGGTGCCGGCGAGCTCAGAGAACTCGAAACGCGAAGGGTTTAACGTAAGTATCAACACACGGCAGAGAGGCCGGCTTGTTCCTCGAGGGACAGCCATGGCGTTGTGGCTAGAAGAATTCGTCAAAACAACCGAGCCTGTCGGGACGGCTCACGCAACGCATGAACGTGCATTAACTCGTGCTCACGTTGTCTGTGATCGTGATCATATATGACTTGCATTTCACGCCACATGGATGAGACGTAGCAGGGCTCCGCAGGACGTCGATCATGAACATCTCCATTGCTTCATCGTTCGCCAATCTCTTGGAGATGACGCACATTGGCTGAGTTGGATAGCTGTTCAATCGATGAATGCGGGGAGTCTGCATGGCGACTAGGGGTAGTACGCCTTCTCCTGACGCGAAATCGCCTGGAGGATGCATGTAGCGAGCTCTTGATCCCCGGCCATGTGAAACATGCTTGTAAGGTGCATGGCAGCCTTGATGTGCCATTAGTCCTGTGACGATAGTTGAGACAGTCAAAAGGGTTGCAAGGGCCCCGGAGCAACGCGTGTATCAGGACCCTTTCCTAACCCGAAACAAACGCTGCGTCCCGCAAAGAATCCCGCACAAAATGATCTATGAATCATACACGCAGCTCCGCAAGCCGGTAGAGGCATGCATATAGTCATCATAGCACACGATCTGCACGCTTGGCAAGCGCCTGCAAGTTGAGCACCTACAAATACCGCAGCGACAGGCAGTATTAACCAACAGGCACGCACTGCCTGTGATAGAGGTCGCCTCTATGAGTTTCCGTCGACACCACATGGCAACACGGCACGTCCATTATGCATGTCTGCACACTGCATGACACGTTGACGATCCGGAAGTGACGTGCACTGGCTAGGTCAAATAATTGCCGGGTATAAACAGAAGATGTGCGTGACGACTGGCTATGTGTGATCCGATATCGTAGATCATGTGTTTGCCGCATGGATAATGTGTTCAGCGAGCCCTTGGGTCTTCACTTTCGCCAATCCTGAAAGGACCTTCTCTAGCACATGTCGCCTTCATACACCAGTTGCCGAGCATTATAGATGACGCACGGTTGCAGGCTAGTCGGGACAGAGCTAAAAGGATGTCGGGAAATGACCGTGCTAATGATTCTTAAAACTTGCAAGCCGTCGGGGGGTTGGGAACGTATAGCATGAGGCAACACATGCATGCCTGGTAAACGCGCATACAATCAACAATCATGCCCTATACACGTCAGGGAGTCCCGAAGAACATGATTCACAAACCTCGAAGACCCAAGTAAAGTGCCCGTAGACATCACAGTGACGAGCTTACACAACACAGCTGTCGTGCGTGTCGGAATATGCACAGGCTGAGATGACTTTCCTGGACCACTGACAGTTCTCAATATATATATCAACCCTCCGGTTATTCCTTTCATACATACCTGGAGTGACGTTGTGCTTCAGAGCCCGTTTCTTTCTCTCCAAACGCAAGGTATTCGAGAGCGAAAACGATGATCACCCAGAGGATAATTCGGCAGAGACCTTGCACCTGCTTCGACGCCGCAATTACGTTTGAATCGCGGAACGTCCGCCATCAACCGAGCTCAGAATCAGATCTCGATTCGTCTCCGCCATCCGCCACACAGCCACAGCGTACACAGCGGCCGCAGGCACGCCAGGGGCTCCAGCAGCTCGGGTTGGCTGTCGGTATTTAGATGAACATAGATAATAAAACCCCGATTGATGAGAAGACCTGGTCGGAGTTCAAGGCAGCTGAGGATGGAAAAGCGAAAGCCATTCTGTTGCTGTGCATACAGCTCCCGAGAGGCCTGTCGGATCTGGGTTTCTAATTTCCCGGAATCGCTCAGTTGGCGACGTACACCTGCAGGGTGCATCGTAGTCGTTTGCTGCTGTTTCGAGGAGATACAGCAGGACTCCAGGAGCCACTTTCCTTCCAAGATTCGTGTGCTGGATGATGTCGAGTTGCGAAATGGTGTGTAATATCTGCAGCTGCTTCGAAGATCATTTACAGTATTTTTGATTCATTAAACGATCAGGCCGCGCACCTCGCGTTGTTCTTTATAATGCGAACACCGATTCTCTAGAGAGTGTTTCAAACGATTTCGACGAAGGAGCAATAGCCGCCCGTGGTTGATCTGCCATTTGGATGGCAGTGGCCTGGGCTAGTCTGCTTTTTGACGCGGGGGTCGAGAGGTCGGTTTTTTCGAGCGGAGATGAAAATCTATTAGGAGTAGGCTTCTCGGACTTTGTAATCGCGTGTAATGTTCGTTCCAAGAGTTACGTTTATTGTGTAGCCCCCTTGCTTCTCCTGCCATGTCTGCTGCTGCTGCCGCTGTTCTCACTGCTAGTCTGTTATGCGGTGGAGCTACTCAGCCTCTACAACAACCCATGGATTCAACTAGGGCTGCGCACATGGATATCATACTCGGTGAGATCCAGAGATGCGGTTGGACAATCGGCTCCTTTCTGTTTGACCTCTTCACTCTGCCCCCGCACTCTCGAAAGGACAGGGATATTGCGCCAGTATCCCAGCTCCGTATCCAGATGGTCTCAAAATTTTTTCATGAAGAAACGAGCATGAAGGCCCATCATCATGCATACTTTCGCCACTTCGCACGTCCACTGCCATCCAGATCAGGGCAGTATCGTCGCAATCCCTTTGTGATACGCACGCTGTCGGTATCTACCAGGATATGCTAAGTTTTCGTCTTCACATTGTCATGGTTGCGAGCCTTTTCTCGATGAGTGCTCACAATCTTCATTTATTAATGTTCTACAGGATTATTGGTAGCTGGCTGTTTGCTCACACTGCACACATGAAATCTATGTGCTCAGAGGATACTTTTCAACTTTTGTAAACTTTCTTCGGAAATGCAATAATATTGTAGACTATCAGAGTCTATTGGAGATTTGCTAGATGACATAGTAGAATGTACAGCTAAGGGATTGACAACGTAAGCGGGCACAAATGCGAAGAAGCAAAGCGCATCTGAGCGCGCCTCAGACGCGTTGCGACGCGTCCAACACGATGTTGTGCTTTGTTTGTAGTCACACGTGATGTCGGACTTCAATTTTTGCCGCCCTCCCGACAAGGACCCCCCAATAGAAAGCAGACGTCAGACAAGGATATCCGGAGCGTTCCCGCGGAGGTTTGAAGGAATTGTCTCGTCTGCCCACGGGAGACTAGCCTGGGCATCAGATCGACTTGTGGTCCACGAACCTCCTTCTGTGCTTTTTCCTTGTACAAGCGAATAAGTGAACAAAAAGAAGCTGTAAAGCCGGAGAAAAGTCCAAAACAAGGAGGTCCTGAGACTTTCTCGGACTTATCTCCTTGTTTGATCCCAACAAGCCCTATGCAAGCGGATTTGAGTTTTCCTGACAGTGGGCGCTCGTGTCTGGTCCCTGCCTCCATGACCCTCGATGTCGACCTCTCTCGTGCCGGCGAAGTTTCGGGTCTCAATGTCCAACGTTCAACCTCTGAATATCATTGTTGCTCATGCCCGACTCAACCGTTGCCAAAGTTTAAACTTCAAGCTCATGTTTGCGATCATCCTGAGACATGGTCGCGCCTCGCGGCATATCGAAATGCCCGACGATGCCTTCTGGAAGAATATCTACTAGTGACTCGCTAGCGGTGCCGATATTCGCGCGAGGGCGTCCTCCATAGGTGTCCTGTCTTCCACTGCATTGGGCCTAAGTATATCACCATTCTGGGCAAGCCATTGTTAGGACGACAGAAAAATTTATATGTACTAATGCAGTTTAACTGATGCCTAAGGTCTACGTGCCTCTCCTTTAGGGGCATGCGAACGGAGGTTCTGCACGTCGGGCCTTCGCCTTGTCGACAATCAGGTCTCAGGTCGCGGCCGTTGGGCCATGATTGCAAGTATCGTATAGATGAACACACTTGGACTCAGTTTTTTTGTCTGCTACCGAGCTCGAAGCTGTCTATCGCCCTCGACGCGCACCTGTGAGTGCAACGTCAAGATTGCCGCCCTTGAATTTGAATTGGCTATGCGTAGATTGTTCTTCTGTACTATGGGAAGCGCTACCACTTCGTCCGATACTTGACAGACGCTTCGCTTGACCGGACGCAATGGTTGCCACGCACTGGTAACATCTTCATGAGACTATAATGCAAATGCCTGAACTTACGCCGCGTTCTCTACGTGTACTGTCCTGATTGGCGGCCCATTCAACTATCCTCCACACGCAAGTGCCGCAACGCATGTCTCTTTGAAGGAAAATATACACCGGCGTGCCTACGTGCTTGCTTGGAATGCGGACTACGCATTCCGAACAGAGTCTTTAGCGTCTGGTCCTTGCGTCTATTCGCCTGCCAGCTTGCTGATGGCGTCGGCGACTGGGACGACGGGTGAGGTACTAGGGTTCTGCGGCCATACGGTGGGTACGACGCATTGCCTCGCTGCATCCTATGACAAGTTAGGTTATATATAGACTTCGACGATGCATTTGAGCGGAAAAAGAGCACCGGAGATCAAGTCACTCAGTGTGCGCTTTCCATCCGACCTAGCTGTATCGGCCAAAACGCGCTCGCAAATTTGTTTTCAGACATGCTTCTTTCACCGTGCCGCCGTCCGTGTGCATGTCTACTTGATCCACCTGTTTCCGCCACAATGATCCTTTCGAGGTATATATTGGACGCGGTGAAAATCCGCTGGTCTTGCTTTGTGTGCCTTCCCTCCTTGTGTCGCGCCTTCTAGGGGGGTTGGGCTTGTACCTCCGGCATTTTCCTTCCGCGACTAGGCCTCAAGATGTTCATCAACAAGGCCGCGGTGGTCGCGGCTGTTCTGTATGCTTGCAGGGCGTACGGACAAACTGCTGCGACTCCTGGTCAGCCGAGCACGACAGATGCTCCTTTGGGTCAATTTGTCATCGTCGGGAACAGTATTGCAAGCGCGCAGCAGGTATGCCTTGCACAGTATCTTCGAGAGCATTATTCGAACCAACTCCGACCTGTTGTAGATGTTCGTCGGGACCCTCGATAAGGTGTACATTGTGGACAAGACAGAGCGGAACCCAACGCAGATTGATGGGCATCCCGCTTGGGGAGCTGGTACAGTCTCGTGTTCAAGACAATCGCTTTAGAAATGCTCAAGTCGTGCAAAACAGAGTACACGTTGAGCACGAATGAGGCACGGCCGATGAACGTGATTACGAATTCGTTCTGCGCCGTACGTGATGGTTGCCATTGAAAATTGACGTAGAAAGTTGTTTCTGAACTGTCAAGGTTTCAGGGAGGAAACGTTCTGGGGAACGGGACCTGGGTGAATGTTGGCGGCAATCAGGCTGTTACCTACGGCGGGTTAGCGGCGGCTAGCCAGACGGGCGGTCCTCCTTACGACGATCCGGATGGTGGTCAATCGTGCGTCTACTTCTGTATCATGACTGGATGAAACGCTCATCTATCCGCACCTTGACATGTTCGCAGAATCCGGTGCGTTATTTATACGTTCCTATTACTCGTGCCTTGCAAGATCCGACGGCGTTTATAGTTTACTCAATCCTTGTGACAATGAGCAGTGCGACTGGACCCTGACCACGCCAATGACCACTCGGAGATGGTATCCCTCTGTGTGAGTCTCAATAGATTATCCGATCGTATCGCAACGCCACTCAAGGCTATTCCCGATCTGTATAGCGAAACCTTAGAGAACGGAACCTTAATAATTGTATGCGCCATTAGCTTTCAAATAGTAGCGCCCCTCACACTCATCTTCGTTCTTGCAGATAGGTGGCTGCGACTGGGGAGGATACGTCAATGATGCTTCACAGACGAACCCCACCTATGAGTTTTTCCCACCTATTCCTGGTGTAGGCCTTACAACGTCGCCACTGCTAGTGAACACGTTACCTGCGAACCTCTATCCATTGACATGGCTACTTCCTTCTGGTCTCTTGTTCGTGCAGGCCAACTGGGGGACTGCGCTCATTGACTACAAGGCACGGACAGAGACGGAATTACCAAGTATGGTCGATGCTGTGAGGACGTATCCTGCGAGCGCAGGCACCGCCATGCTTCCATTGACTCCGGCGAACAATTGGACCGCGACCATACTATTCTGTGGGGGCTCCAATATATCGTCTTCTCAGTACGTCGCTCTACACGCAATAGGAATGAGGACAATCGCTCACGTCCGAATGCTAATTTACAGATGGGTGACCACATGGGATATTGCTGAATACCCGGCATCGAACTCATGCGTCACCGTTACTCCGGATATTTCAGCGACCTACATCGAAGACGATCCTCTCCCAGAGGTTCGCTCTATGGGAAATTTGATACTTCTTCCCAACGGCAAGATCCTCTGCCTGAACGGCGCCGGTACTGGTATGTCTGAGAATCTATCATTGTCATCGATAATCAAATAATGAACATCCGCTATGTCGTGTCAGGTACCGCCGGGTACGGTAACGTGTCCTGGGCGATTGGTCAGTCATTCGCAGACAATCCTGTGCTCACGCCTGTCATCTACGATCCTGCGGCTCCTGCCGGGCAGCGCTGGTCACGGGAAGGGCTGAGTGCCAGTACCGTTCCCCGCATGTATCACTCCAGCGCTACACTGCTACCAGATGGTTCGTGAGCCATAATTGACGTCTAATTCGAACTTAATTGAAAATTGATGTGAATAACCCCCTTAGGCTCGGTCATGGTTTCAGGCTCAAATCCCAACGCTGACTACACCGTCGGCGCAGACGTCAAGTATCCTACCGAGTACCGCGTGGAGTACTTCTATCCTTCATACTACAACACGCGGAGACCGGAGCCCCAAGGGCTCCCAACAACACTGTCATACGGCGGGCCGTACTTCAACGTCTCGCTCACTTCAGATGACCTCTTCGGCAATGTACAGAACGTGAAGAACACAACTGTCATCGTGATCAGGACGGGGTTCTCGACGCATACAATGGTGGGTCCGAGCAGCATCTGATTGATGCGATCGTCTGAGTCATTGTCTCCAGAACATGGGTCAGAGATACGTACAGCTAAACTCTACCTACACGACTGCTGCAGACGGCTCCGCGGTGCTTCATGTCAGTCAGCTCCCACCGAACCCTGCTGTTCTCGCTCCCGGGCCTGCATGTATGTCTTTGCTGCTTTTTTTCTCCTATCGCTGCTTTATAACCCCTTCCTCCTCGAAGTGCTGTTTGTGGTTGTCAACGGAGTGCCCTCAGTCGCTGTGCAAGTCATGGTTGGTTCCGGCCAGTTGGGGACACAACCAATTAGTGCGGTGGTCGACTTGCCGTCGTCAAGTGTTGCGGTGAACACCACCACTTCGAGTACAGCTCCCGGGTCTGTGCAAACGGGTCAAGGTAGCCATGATCAGACGTCATCTGGGATCTCCTCTGTGTTCGCTCATCGTGGGCTCATGGGTTGGCTTCTGCTCTTTACGATTGCACAAAGACTACTTCTGTAGATGATTCTTACTGGTTTCCACTACGCTCGTATACCTTTGGACGCTTCTGACAGTACATTCTTGACTAACCCACTTTCGTTACTTGCGCACTCCTTAACTGTTGGGTTGACGGGGATATGTTCCTATGACTAAGAATCATACGTGGCAATTTACGCTATAGACTTGATCAGCCTTTCTGTTACCTGGAAAGCGAGTCGAGCACAGCCCAATATACAGTTATACGATGCTGCCTTCTATTAGCTTCGAGAAAAATGAAAACCAATGAAACATGACTAAAAGTGAGTCGGCCCAGGATCGAACTGAGGACCTTCTGTGTGTTAGACAGATGCGATAACCAACTACGCCACCGACCCTTCGAAAATGTTTCGCATAAAAATATTTGTCTAAGATATCGATGTGCCCACCGGCTCCGGTCGCCGCTTGCAGTCAATAAATGCCTGAGTCTTTTCTTTCTCATATCCCAGCAGCGTCGCTCATAGGCAACTTAAACCTAAGCACATTGATCAATCCATTTGCGGGACTTCGACATGGCCGTGGAGGAGACGAACGCGATGACTACTCGACTGTTAACTTTGCTGAACATCTCAGCCACCAAGGCCGGCAGCCGAAAGCGTACTTTCGAAGAGGAGGAAAACAGGCCTGTTCAGAGACTGAACAAGCGTCGTATGGTTCAATTCCATGATGATGACTTCGTGATAAACAAGCGTCGATCAGAAGAAAGCGTGGCAAGCAAAGGCCCAAACGGAAACGGAGAACAGGAGATGATGCGTTTGGAGGACAAGGAGAAACAGGAAGAAGACACACTAGGTATGCCTAGCCTTCTAAATGCACGACCCATAATATGGATGATCAAGTGGTAGATAATTCGCAGGATCCGTATGAGGAACATTTTGGGTCGAAGTCCTCTCTAGTGACTAACGTTGCACGAGAGGCAGCGGATCGCGGAGCTTGGATGAATGCAAGGGAGAAGTACGGCCGCTTGGAGAGTGTCATAGTATCAATACCGGAAGGATGCAATGTGTCCGCAGCAAGTCGAGATACCCAGAAAATCGCTGTGCGAAGCCATCTTCAATTGCGAAGCTGATTGCATCTAACTCTACGTAGGTCCTGGACAAACTGAGAGAACCATTTACCGCCCGCCAGATTAAACTACCCCACGGTAGGTGAAGAGTGTTCGGCACTGTAACTCTCTTGGCTGATATAATGTCAGATATTGTCGAGCTTCAGGATGATTTACTGGCGATGCTCTCATCCCAACGTGACCTATACATCACACGAGCTGCATTAGATACTCATCAGAGCATGAGAGAAGTTGTAGCCTTGCATGCTCTCAATCACATCACCAAGTATGACTAGCTTTGCTTCAAGGTGCTGTTGTCCTGATGATCTTACTATCTCCAGAAAACGACGACGTGTACTCAAGAACAACGAGCGTCTCACCCATGCCTTAAAGTCTGGTGCACCCTCACCTGAGGATGTTCAGGATCAAGGGTTCACACGGCCGTCCGTGCTCATCCTTCTTCCATTCCGTTCCTTCGCTATGAAGTGGATCATGGCTCTGACAACGCATACGCCATCGCCTTCGTATCAAGTAGAGAACCGTTCACGCTTTAACGCAGAGTACGGTTTGCCTCCAGGTGCAGTGGACAAGCTTGCAAGCTCCGAACCCGGGACATATCCTCGGGACCACGTGGAGATGTTCAAGGGGAACGTGGACGATGCGTTCCGGGTCGGCATAAAGATGACGAGGAAAAGTGTGAAGTTGTTCGCAGATTTCTATGGTTGTGATCTCATCATAGCTAGTCCCCTCGGATTGAGGATGTCAATAGAGAAGGAAAAGTGGGTAAAGTACATGAGCTATCGACCAATACTGACCATACATTCACAGGAGTGCTGATTTCCTTTCATCCGTCGAGGTTCTCATTGCGGACCAGATGGATGCTTTGACGATGCAAAACTGGGAGCATGTCCAGGTATGATAATTCACGCACACCAGACGGTCCGCTTACCTTCGTCAGTTTATTTTCTCCCATTTGAATCAACTTCCCAAAGAGTCGCACGACGTTGATTTCTCGCGCATCAAGCCATGGTATCTCGATGGACAGTAAGTGCTTCGCTCGTGCAGCCGTTATATACGTGCTCATGCAGACTCGATAATTTAAGTGCTGCCTATCTTCGCCAATCCATCCTCTTCACAGCCTATGAGACACCAGAAACAAGAGCACTTTTCACAGGATCTTTAAAGAACGTTGCCGGAAAAGTCAGGACGGAGAGACGTTGGCCGCCGGTGGAGGTGCCTGAAGGGATTGACCAAGTGGGTTGATTGCTTGCCACTTTTTTTCCATATATTGGCCGACAAGTCATGGATGCATTTCCAGAATTTTGTTCACTTCGATTGCAGCAGTCCTAAGGATGAAGTGGACAAGCGCTTCCAACATTTCACTACTCACGTGCGTCACCAGTGAAGCACTGTTGATATTCTTTAAGGCTCACTTACAAAAATAGCTGCTACCGACGGTGCTCAAGTCCGCTGTGCAGAGCTCCAACACTGTGGTATTCATCCCTTCGTCCTTTGACTTTATCCGTGTGCAGAATCACTTTCGGAAGAACCTCAGCGTTACATTCGTTGTTCTATCAGAGTAAATGTTTTCGACGCCTCTATCTTATCACAGCTCCTGATTTGATGCTAGATATTCGTCTAACCAGGATATCTCTCGCGCCCGTGAGGCATTCTTTTCCGGCAAGAAAGCCTTCCTGCTCATCAGTGAGCGATTTCACTTTTTCCGAAGGTGAGTTTACGAACATGCGGTCGTGAGGATCCTTACAAAATGAGTATTCTTTTAGATATAAACTCCGCGGTATCAGAAATATCATTTTCTATGGTCCCCCGGATCATCCGCAATTCTACACGGAGTTCCTTTCATACCCATTCCTCGACGATGGAATAGACGTCTCGGATGTGACCTGCCGCGTATTGTACTCGAGGTATGACTGGATGAGATTAGAGAGAATCGCAGGCACGGAAGGCGCGACCCAGCTAATCAGGCGAAACGCACTTTGAGATTTTTTCTCTCCGTCTGTTTTCCGATTATATGTCGATACTCTATAATATGATGTGAATCGGTGGTCGCTTAGTCTTCCATGTCATTCACGGATGCTCCTCGCTTTTCAAACTGAGAAAAACATCCGCTATAGTATGTGGTCGAGATGATAACTTGCAAGACGATGTCAAGGAGTACACAAAATCATCAGAAGTCATCTGCTGCAGCAATGCCCGACGACTTCTTTCGTCCTCTTCTACTGTTGGTCCGTGTAATACCTCCACTGTTGCGTCGGGCACCTCGTCCTCTCTTTGAACCCCTTGTCGCGGAAGTCTTTCTGCCAGTGCCTGGACATGCTGTAGCAGAGATTAGCAGCGGCAATTGGCAGTTTAAGTATCCGCTCACCGCTGCTGTAATGTCCTTCTTCGTTACATTTATAGCATCGGATGCCCTCCATATTGCTACTTTGAGCACTGGCACTGCCAGGACAGGCTAGAGCAACAGTTAGTCGAATATTGTGAATATTGGTGATTCTGTCAGCAGCATACCACTCGCGAAATGGCCTTCTTGGCCGCACTTGAAACAGGCACCCATCGCAGCAGAAGCTGTCACATTGCTCTTGCTTCGTTTTGAGGGTTCGAGCTCACCATTCGGACAAGCTGCACTTTATCATTAGATCATCGAAGACAGTATGACTGGTTGTATTCAAGACTTGCCACTTGCCCAGTGACCCTCTTGATGACACTGCCGAGAAGGATAGCAGGAACTCAGCACAACCCGCGACATCGCTGCGATCTAGCTTCCCACCTTGTAGCATTCTCCAGAGACGGCACCGCCTTGGGTCGAACCGCGATTACTCAAATATGCTCCCCTCTCTTGATCGGCGTCCAGACCACTTGTCTCGTCGGCCATCACGAAGTATCCACACCGAGCCTTGATAGATTCATTAGGGCAGCCCCAGTATTTCTTGCCTATGTTCGCGCCCTTCGTTGTTTCTCTCAGCTTTGCCGTATATCCACACGCGCAGCGCCGACGTTCTCCGTTCTGATTGCTTATCGATCGCTTTGTGGGTACCACAGTCGGAACAGCCAGTCCGCCGTTCGCAACAGCAGAATATCCGGCCGACAGTCCGCTAGATAATCCATCCGCCCACTCGAAAAAGCTACATCCATCATTGTTGTCACATCTCCAGAATTGTCTTCCCTTATTTGCTGTCTCCTTCGATACTGTGAGCAGTACCGCAGGTTCCCCACAATCGCATTGAGGCACAATGGCAGAGCGAGGTACAGGTGGCCCGACGTTGTTTTGCCTCGCGGAAGCGAGAGGAGCTCGGGCTGGAGCAGGCTCATCCCAGTCTGCAGATATATTGAGATCAGTGTCGTCGCGAAGCTGTTTGCACTTACAATCATCTGAGTCATCATTCTCTGGTCGTGGCGGTGGCGGAATTATAGCCGTCCCTCGCCCACCTCGTCCACGGCGAGAAGGTGCGCTTCTTGAAGGACCAGCCGCTCTTCTGATACCCCTTCCCCGAGGAGCTCCCCCTTCGTTCCATTCGTCATCACTGCTGTCGTTGTCCGCAACACCCCTCCCAGCGCCAGCTCCCCTGCCCCTACCACCCCTGCTGCCTCTGCGTCCTCCTGCACCCCTTGCACCCCTCCCGCCTCTGCCACCCCTCCCGCCTCTACCACCTCCGCCACCTCTACCGCCTCTTCCTGCTCCGCCACCGCCTGCAGCGTCTGTATCATCCGATTCGACATCCTGCACATTGTTCCGCAGACGGTCGCCAACGCACTAAGGGCATCATAAATCAACGTTTAGCAATAGACCGGATAGAGTACGAGTGGCACGTACAGTGAGCAGTTTGTTGATTTCGAGCTTCGTCTTCATGAACATCTCTTTGTACTGCTCGATGCTCTCAGTGAGCATATCAGCTTTCGTGCGTGTGCCTTCACATATCTCCATCATACGACGTTCCGTCTAATCACTCAAAAAGGGGTCATGTCCAGCTGTATACGGAATGGAAAGGAACGGCGCACCTCTCGTCGAAGCTGAGGCCTGCTCATGCTTCTCTCAAATCCGATTGCATCATAGCCCTCCACGAGCCCGATGCCAAGCGTCGAGGGTACAAGATACTTTGTAGAGCCGTGCATGCGTTCGATAACATACTCGCGATCTATGATAGTCTGTATATGTTGGGCAATAGTAGCATCCGTGCCTGAAAGTGAGCGCACTCGCATGCATACGCATGGTCCATAAAGACATTGATTACTCACCGATACCATTCTTGTCCATCATGCTGACTAGGTCAGCTTCGGTGAGCAGAGCAGGCTTCGTTGTCTGACCGGTCTTGAGTTCGCAAACAGTAGGGACGAACTCTTCGCCCTGTTGGAATTGGGGAAGCTCCTTGTCGGACCACTTGTCGTACGGATAAACTTCCAGATAGTTCCTTTCTCGCACCGTCAGACCTAGTGCGATGTGCATTTATCATCTGCGTGACGTGTCGTAGCAAATAAAGGAAACTGACCGGTTGCATAGAACTCCTCTCCGCCGTACTCCACGTCCACTGTGGTTTCCCAGCCTACTGCGTCTTTGGAACAGCAGGCCAAGAACCGCCTGGTGATAAATTCGTAGACCCTCTTCTCGTCCCCAGCGAGGTTGCCAGCGTGTGCTGTGGGATGAATCGGCGGATGCGCCTTATCGTCCCTCTTGCCCTGGCGCGGTCTGCTGAAACCGCCATTCTGAAGCCTCCATATATCGGGTCAAAAATTTCCATCATAGACCATGATGAATGAGAGCCTACCTTGTCGCAAAGGCACCCCACGCTGGGTCGACCATCTGCTTGTCTATTAAGTACATGAAGTCAAACTGAGGGTCGAATCGGTCAGTCTCCGTACGAGGATAGGAAAGAAATCCTTGCTGATAGAGACGCTCTGCGATCTGAAACAATGCGTGTCAGACAAGATGTCCAGTGTGCACATTGCCCACTGCGCACGTCGAGTATCGTCTTTGGAGACATTCTGAGTAGCCTGGACCCTGCCTTCTGCAGCTCGACAGTCGTCAATGGCAGAGGCTTCCTGCAGTACGAGATCTGATGAATGCGCGCACATGATTGTAGTTGCGACGTACCATTTTTTCGTGTCCTTGCTAACGACCTTCGTAACGCGGGCGCGCGGGGACTCCAAAACCATTTCATACAAAATGAAAGCAATGTTGAACTCGAACAGATGTCCTCTTCTCCATGAGAATATTGTCTCGTCCTCATTTCCGTTGGGTGATTCACGTGCGAAAGACATGAATATGTACCAGAACTCTTCCGGGACGAAAGACTTGATTTGATTGTATCGCGACACGACAAAACCAAGCGTCGGGAACTGACATGGTCCTGTGATAGAGTACCCATAAAATGATCCGGCCCTGAAACACGAAAAACCTACCATATGAGACTACTTTGGCCTTTAAGTCCTCGAATCTGTGCTGCAATTTAAGGGTTTGCAAACGCGTGAAAGCTGCACCAATTCTGAGATCGAGATGTATTCTTGCTTCCACGGCGTTCGCTTGTGCCATATCTAGTTGCACTGGATGTTGAGCGGCGCGGTGGATCTGTCTATACGTGGTCACTGTTAGTTCGCTCCTGGCGTTTGTCGTCGTCGACTTGATCGCAAACGCACTGCGGTATGATAGCACTGAATCGGGCTCGATTGACTGTAATGTTGCGCTGAGATTTTCGACATATGCTAACAATCTCGGCGCCGATATTCTCCCCCTCCCGGTCACAGTCGGTCCATATCATCAGTGTTTGTGCACGTCTAGCTTCCTTCGTGAGGTTCTCTGAGACGGGTTTCATGTCTTTGGTCACCGATGCGTATATATGCGCCTCAAACAGGTCAAATGGGTCACAGTCGGACCATTTCGAGTATAATGGATCGAATTCGTATTCCAACAAATGTCCAGAGACCGCTGTGACAGTAAAGAACGAGTTCGTTTGGGGGTAGCTGAAGTCATAGTTCTTGATGTATTTATTGGCTGTTTGTCGCTACCGACTGACATCAGATACACAAGGGATCGCAATGATGTCTGCCTACCGTGGTGAATTGTCCTCCTGACAGGATCTGAGTGATTGCCTTCGCGATCGACGGCTTCTCCGCCACACACAAAACTCGCATTAGCGGTGGTGGATTCGGTCGTCAATAATGTCGCCTTCGTCGATGTATGCAGCTCAGTCAGGCAGGCGACCTCTGAGCACAAGAATTGGGGAGGAGGAATGTGAGACAGCTCGAAGAAGACGTTGAAGGACAACATTTGCCACAGACGCGACGCGTATAGTCCCACGTGACGCCGTCGTAGTGACGGGTGTGACCTGTTGTAGATCTGGGCGCTTCAGCAAGGAGAGCGCCTTACAAGTTCACCAGCAGGCTTGCAGCTCTTCTTTTGCGATCTCTTTTCTACTACCCTGTGCAGCACGCGGCTTTTACGACCTCGCTGTTTGTCGCGTTCTCTTTGTATTCTGCTTTTCCCATGCATCTCTATAATTTGACGCTACAGCCTCCCACAGCAATTACGCATGCAATTGCAGGGAATTTCTCTGGATCTAGACAGCAGGAAATTATCGTCTCTCGTGGCACTCGTCTGGAACTGTTACGCCCGGATGTGCAGAGCGGCAAAATCTCGACCGTAATTGCGAGCGACGTCTTTGGGTCAATCCGATCTCTCGCTGCATTTCGTCTGACCGGCGGGACCAAGGGTGAGCCATTGTACGTATGCCGGTCTTCATGTAATTCACTTGCTATGCCTTCTTAGATTACGCCATCGTAGGGTCCGACTCTGGCCGTATCGTCATCCTCGAATATGACCCGAAGACAACCAGCTTCGTCAAGGTGCACCAGGAGACGTTTGGAAAGTCCGGGGCTCGTCGCATCGTACCCGGTCAATACCTCGCTACCGACCCCAAGGGACGAAGTGTGATGATATCCGCCGTTGAGAAGGCGAAACTCGTCTACATTCTCAATCGGGATGCAGCTGCGAATCTGACTATCTCCTCCCCGCTCGAAGCCCACAAGAACAACTCCATCATTCACCACATTGTCGGCTTGGATGTCGGCTTCGACAATCCGATGTTCGCTGCTCTTGAAGTAGATTACTCTGAGTCGGACCAGGACCCTACAGGAGAAGCATTCAACAATGCCGAGAAGGTAACGTCGCATCGAATATCGTCCAACAGAGTATGCTCACGTCTTTCTAGATGTTGACTTACTACGAGTTGGATCTCGGTCTCAACCACGTCGTTCGCAAATGGAGCGAGCCCACCGATCCTAGAGCAAATTTGCTCGTGCAGGTTCCTGGAGGCCAATTGGCCTCGTCTGACCGTTATGACGGGCCTTCTGGTGTGTTGGTGTGCTGCGAAGACCATATTATTTACCGACATATGGATGCGCCCCAGCACCGTGTCCCTATACCGCGAAGACAGCATCCTCTTGCAGATCCTAACCGCGGACTCATCATTACGGCAGCAGTCATGCACAAAATGAAGGTAAGGAAACACCATTCACCTTGTCTCCATACGTACTGACTCTCCACCCCTCCCGTGACAGGGAGCGTTCTTCTTCCTCCTTCAGAGCGAGGAGGGTGACCTGTACAAGGTCACAATTGAGCACGAAGAACAGGAAGTAAAGGCCTTGAAGATCAAGTATTTCGACACGGTCCCTGTGGCCTCGAGCCTGTGCATTCTCAAGTCTGGCTTCCTGTTCGTTGCAGCGGAGTTTGGCAATCAGTTGAGTACAGCCCTATCTTTAGATCAAGAGCATGAAGCTGACATTGATATTGTACAGCTACCTCTATCAATTTCAAAAACTGGGTGATGATGACAACGAACCTGAGTTCTCATCTGCGAACTACCCGTCATTCGGTATGGCGGAACCCTCCTCTCCTCTTCCGCATCCATTTTTCAAGCCTCGCCCTCTGGACAACCTGGCCCTCATTGACGAGATGGATTCGCTCTGCCCTATTCTTGACTCGAAGGTTTTGAATCTACTGCCAAACTCGGACACGCCCCAGATTTTCGCTGCCTGTGGTCGTGGGGCAAGGAGTTCGTTCAGGATGCTCCGTCATGGTTTGGAAGTAGAGGAAGTCGTCAGCTCTGATTTACCTGGTATCCCGAATGCGGTCTGGACGACGAAGTTGAAGGAAGATGGTAAGTGCTGGCATGTCAACTGCTTACATGTGCATCACATCACATGCACTATTTGCATAGATCCGTACGACTCATACATCATTCTGTCTTTCGTGAACGGCACCCTTGTCCTCTGCATTGGCGAGACTATCGAGGAAGTCCAGGATACCGGCTTCCTCTCTTCAGCGCCCACGCTCGCCGTGCAGCAGATCGGCTACGATGCTCTGCTCCAGGTACATCCGCATGGTATTCGACACGTCCTAAGTGACAAGCGCGTGAACGAATGGAGAGTACCGTCTGGCAGGACCATCGTTGCCGCCACGACAAACAAGCGGCAGGTCGTGGTTGCGCTAAGCACAGGAGAGCTGGTCTACTTCGAGCTGGATCTGGATGGGCAACTCAACGAGTATCAGGATCGTAAGGCGATGGGTAGTACAGTGCTAGCTCTCAGTATCGCGGAGGTGCCGGAAGGACGGCAGCGGACGCCTTACTTGGTGAGTCGGTCAGTTTTTGTCAGGATTGCATCGCTGATGACCTCTCCTAGGCTGTCGGTTGTGAGGACCAAACTGTACGCATTGTGTCGCTCGATCCAGAGAGCACGCTTGAGACGATCAGTCTGCAAGCACTGACGGCGCCGCCCTCCTCCATCTGCATCGCCGACATGCTCGATGCCGGTATCAACAAGGCGCAGCCGACGACATTCGTCAACATCGGTTTGCAGAACGGTGTGCTTCTGCGTACTGTGCTGGACCCAGTGAACGGTCAGCTTACGGACACTCGTACTCGGTACGTTGGATGGATGTAAACTTACGTGCGAACGTAGCTGACGATAGTACAGGTTCCTTGGCACCCGTCCCATCCGCCTCCTCCGGGTGCTTGTTCAGCAGAACCCGGCCATCCTGGCTCTGTCCTCGCGGTCATGGCTGAATTACACGTATCAGAACCTCATGCACTTCACTCCCCTAATTTTCGAGAACCTGGATTATGCGTGGAGTTTCTCCGCGGAGCTTTGTCCTGAGGGGTTGATTGGAATCTCGGGGAGCGTCTTGAGGTGAGTGCGCTTTCTACTTGCTTTCCTGCAGAGATGAGCATTAGGGATCGTATTGTGCCCTCATGGTATATGCCGACTCACTTTTCAATTCATACCAATTGTTCCTACTGAACCTTTGCTGTCAACTTCGCATCTCAGTCAGTGATCGAAATTACTGATGCACTTTATGATTATTAGGATTTTCCAGGTACCGAAGCTCGGCACAAAGCTGAAGCAAGATGCCATTCCCCTGTCATACACTCCACGGAAATTTATCCCTCATCCTACGAATGGACTGTTCTATCTTATCGAGGGCGACCACCGTGTTAGAAGTGATGCGGCTGCCGCGAAAGAGCTGCAGAAGCTGGTACGTATTCCGCTGCGCGATTTGACGTATTCTCAGCCCTGATGTGACGTTACAGCGCGAACAAGGCAAAATGATCGATGAGGACGTGGTGAATCTCCCGCCAGAGGTTTTCGGTCGACCAAAAGCGCCGGCGGGAACATGGGCATCGTGCATTCGCATCATCAACCCGGTGGATGTGAGTCATCTTCTAAGTATCTGTTCCGTGCGCAAGAACTAAACTCTTCGGAAGGCGAAAACGGTCACCGTCATCCCGCTGGACAACAACGAGGCAGCGTTCTCGATCGCTGTCGTTCCATTTGCTGTACGTGGTGGCGAGCTTCATCTTGTTGTTGGTACGGCACAGGATACGTTCCTGGCTCCCCGTTCCTGTACAAGCGGATTCTTACGGACCTACCGGTTCATCAATGACGGGCAGGACTTGGAGCTATTGCACAAGGTATGTGACCTCTGCAGTTGCAGTTCAGCGCCGTCGGCTCATGAGATGCCGCTCAGACAGAGACGAATGATGTCCCCCTTGCAATAATGGCTTTCCAGGGGAAGCTCGTCGCTGGTGTCGGCAAGGCGCTTCGGCTGTACGACATGGGTAAGAAGAAGCTTCTGCGAAAGGTGGAAAACAAAGTACGTGCTCAGCCCTCGTCCAAATATCCCGCTCATGTTACTGTCAGAATTTCTCGTCTGCGATCGTCACTCTCAATACACAAGGCTCACGCATCCTCGTTGGAGACATGCAGGAGTCTGTCTTCTATGCTGTATACAAGGCGCCAGAAAACCGGCTGCTCGTCTTTGCTGATGACATGCAGCCTCACTGGATAACTGCGACGACCATGGTGGATTATAACACCGTCGTCGCCGGTGATCGCTTCGGCGACGTATTCGTCAACCGGCTCGACCCGAAAATATCGGACCAGGTAGATGACGATCCTACTGGCGCAGGCATCTTGCATGAGAAGGGCATCCTGGCGGGCGCACCGCACAAGACGCAAATGCTAGCACACTTCCACGTCGGGGACATCGTGACGTCGATCAATAAAGTCTCGTTGGTTGCAGGTGGTCGCGAAGTACTACTGTATACCGGCCTTCACGGTACGATCGGCATCCTCGTGCCGTTCGTGTCGAAGGAAGACGTGGACTTCATCTCGACACTCGAGCAGCACATGCGGACGGAGCAACTAAGCATAGTCGGCCGTGATCACCTGGCATGGAGGGGTTATTACGTGCCGGTGAAGGCGGTGGTAGATGGGGATCTGTGCGAGACGTTTGCGCGACTGCCGGCGAACAAACAAAGTTCGATTGCGAATGAGCTGGATAGGACGGTCGGGGAGGTGCTGAAGAAACTGGAGCAGCTGCGTGTAACGGCGAGTGGATTCTGATTGCGGCGAGCCATTCTCGTGCTGTGCGTAAAATGTATTATATTGCTGATAAGTACAGATTAGCTACTGAGTTGATGCGAATTTCTGCTAGCTTCTCTATTCAAAGGTAGCGCTGGTTTAGTATGTCAAGTTTGCGATTGCTTCACGGTATCCTCAAGGGATCTGCCTGCCGCTGGGTGTTCATTCTGTCTTACTACGCCCTCTTGAAGCTTGACTGTGCGTCACTGACGCGTTCAGGATGTATGCGCGACCTCGTTGATCGACATGACTTGCTTCCTCTGGTGTCATTCTCCATCATCGTCTGTCAAAGTGGGCTCGCGCACGTATAAGATGGCGACATCCCTCACGCCGTGTCTCACCCTTCTTCCACTTCCCCAAGTATGATTGCTGCTGTTCTCCGGCCCGCACCCCACAGTGTGGCTTTGCTCAAGCGCACCAGTGCACTATACCAGCCTACGCGTTCGCTGATCACGCTTAGGGACCACAAGGTATTCCTTTACCGTTTGGTTTTTCGATACATAGTTAACTCAGCAAATATCTGAATATAGTATACGGCCCATGCAACGGCGCGAGGTCAGGGCCGCAACGGCCAAGTCAAGTCTGATGACGACTATGGCCTTGACTTGCGCCTGGCGATGCCCAAGTCCCTTGGAGGAAAGGGGGATGGGCAGAACCCTGAGATGCTGTTCGCTATGGGATATGCAGGTAAGACAGCATTTTATGCATATTCCCGGACTTGTCTGATACATGGCAGCATGCTTCCTGAGCGCGATGCAGCTTGTCGCTGGCAAATTAGGAAAGTCTGACATGGCGAAGAACGCGGTCGTACATACGCAAGTGCACGTGGGTGAGCCAAAGGAGATGGAAGGCTTTGGTCTTGAGGTGGATATCCAGGTGGAAGGCGTTGACGAGGATCTCATCAAAGCTGGGCATGAGGTGAGATCCCCCGTCAAGATTCCTCCTAGTTCTTGTGCATCACATTGATCAACGTCTTTCTCTAGGCGTGTCCCTACAGTCGAGCATTGACGCAAGGCGTGGTAGTCAACGTCTCGAAGGCTTGAGCGCTTTGCGCTGCTATGAAATAAATAGTGCAATTTTCCCTGGCCCTGGTGTGTCGCAGCTGCCGGTTGCTCCGCTCTATGGAGAATACTCCCATCAATTGTATGCGAGCCGCGCTTATTGCTATTTGAATGCAACACCGTCCGCAATGGCGCATCGAGTCGCGCTTGGTCACGATTAACGCGACCGGCGCGTACCTAAGCGCATGACCGTGCCACTCCTGTCCCTCGGCATCTCCCGGCCAGCACTGTTTTGAGGTATCTATGTATTGTGCCTGATTCCGTGGCCGACTATGTCCTCGGAGTTTCCAAACATTTCGACCTTTCCCGCTCATGGTCACAGTACTCATTGCTCCAATATTCTGCGTCATTTCGGTGCATCCCTCGGAGCCGGTGTCGGAATAATATCTGCATCAGCAAGGCTGTAATAATTGTTGAAATAGTCGCGTTCAGCGCTCTCCGCGATATATAGCGTCTGTGGGAACGGCACCAGAAGTCGGTAATTCTGTCTCTGGCCACCTTACCAACAACTCACACCAACGTTCTGCACTCGGAATTGTTGCGGTTCATCGTCAAGGCTTACTACATTCGCATTAAACGTCTCTGTAGTTCTAGCACTAATTTACTCCAATCTAATCATCGGTTTAATAGCCAACGCCTAACCCAAGTCTACCTGCTCATACGTTCAGCATGCATCCCTCTCAGGCTGCTCTCCGTCCCCTCACTCATCGTGTTGTAACCGGTGCTATCCGTCATATGCACAACCCGAACATGCCTCGCGCCCGCGGCATCCTCACCCTCAAAGACCATGTCGTACGTCTTTTGCTGTGTCTCCATATAATCGAGTGTCACTCACGTTAGAACCCTCCCAGTATTTTGCCAAGGCAACCGCGGAAGGCCAGGGCAGGAACGGTATTGTAAAGTCTAATGGTGACGCACCCCTCGAGCTGAAGATGGCCATGCCCAAGGCCATCGGTGGCAAGGGTGATGGCCAGAATCCCGAACAACTCTTTGGCATGGGCTATGCTTGTATGTCCCCGTTAGCTCATTGGCGTGTTTATGTGTTTATTCCTCTCCTGCAGCTTGCTTCCTTGGTTCGCTCCAGCTGATGGCGGCGCGGGCGGGCAAGAAGCACATCGCTGAGAACTCGAAGGTTCACACCAAGGTGTATCTCGGACATCCCTCAGATCCCGAGCTGGAGGGATTTGGTCTTCGGGTCGAACTTACCGTTGAAGGGTGTGATGACGATGAAGTCATCGCTGCTGCGCACAAGGTGAGCTCCAATTTCAAATTGTCCAATTGACGATCCAAGTCTTGACTTGGCACTTTTGCAGTTCTGCGCTTACAGCCGTGCACTTAAGCACGGCGCCGAGGTGACGGTCAATAAGATATGAACGTCCTTGCTTTCTGTCGGGAGCATTTGCCATGATCGCTGCGGTTTAGACTTACGTTTTCTCACCATACGCAAACCACGTTGTTCTCAGGGCAGCAAGCGGCTCCATTTTCGTCCGACCGATTTGTTTTGTGCATCGTTAATCGTCCTTCAGTGTAGCTTTACGAATCTTGGGAAGTCGTGCAGTAGTTCTTCGCCGGGAGTTGATTGCGATTGTCACGTTGTGATGAATATCCAGTCTCGAATGAAGTATCTGCACGCAATCGTCAAGGATCACGTTGTAGTCACTCACAAACTCGGAGGCCTTAAAAAGACTTCAGTGGATACATGTTCCGGTGCTCCACATTCCATCGCATACAAGGGTACGCATTGTTGAACATGCGCCAACACTGGGAGCTTGGTCGCCACCGGAGATACAAGCTTCATGCGCACCTTCGCGAAACGGAGGATCATGAGACTGATATGCGGATGCGGATCATGAGACTTAAATGCATATGCGGATCATGAGGCAAGCCTGACGAGCAGCTGGATGGAGCGAAATGGAGCCGAGGTGGGTGCTCAGCCAAAGCGCACGAACCCTGATTTGAGAAGTATAACGGAAACGGGACTTTAGGGCCTGGGGCGCTTTATAAAGAGATAGTCGACAGCACACGCCAAGCGTTTGGTCATAGAGCATGCGCATAGTTCAGCCCAGGAAGTCATAGGCCAATGTTGAAAGAATACATGGTGCGTATGCGAGTGCGCGGAGATGTCGGCGTGGTGCAAGTCTCCCCTACTCCCATTATACAGCCAAACCGAAGCATGAATATTGGAGGAGACGCGAGAGCGGAGAGCTTTAAATATTGAGCTTTGTGCGTCTCCAGTGGCGGCGCTTGGCGTTGTACTGCTGGAGGGTGAGTGCGTGGGCACATGCGAAGTTTGGGCGTACGCACCTGGATCTTGGTATCCGACTTCAAGCGGAACCACTGGGGGATTGGCCTGGAGGATATATGCGTCGATATCGCTGTCTAGACGGGCAAGAACGACGCAAACTCACCGGTTCCGGCGGGCGGCCTTCGCGAGAATACGCTTCGTCCTGAAACTCTTTTGCGATGGCTACACCGCGATAAATGTTCGCGTCAGCATGCACGCTCGACATATAGTCGCAAAATGGGCCAACGCACCATCGTTCTTGATGTCAGGGATGGCTTGAGAGTCGGTGGAAGGTGAGGAAAAATAAAGTTTCCCGAAATACGCGCTGTACAGTACTGACTAAGCATCAGATATGGCAGTTTGTTTCCAGCGCCAATCATAAGTCCCACGGGTACTGATGTGACTTTAGCGCGCATACGTAGGCGCGCTGGTCTGCGCTGGTCTGCGCTACCTCCGCGTTCACTGATTTCGAGAACGATGAAGTTCGGCCTGTTCACTTTCTTCCTTGTTCTCCTTCTTGCTATCTTTGCAGCTGCGGAGGCGCCAGAGCCGCCGACCGAGCTCGAGATCAACACGACTTACTTGCCGGAGGATTGCAAAGTGAAGGCACAGAATGGTGACGTGCTCAACGTACACTACGTGAGTCGGGAGCGCGGTCTGTGTGCACGCTGGCTTTGTGATCTATATTATATTTGATCCAGCTAAACACCCGAATCCATAGACTGGCAAACTGTTCTCCAATGGGAAGAAGTTCGACTCGAGGTAAGAAGCGCTCTCCACACGGTCTCTCCACCGAATCGTGATGCTGACGTGGCCACCAGCTTTGACCGCAACAAACCGTTCCAAGTGACCTGTGAGCATGCAGCGCTACTTGTGTACTGCAATAAATTGTCTGACCCGGCTATCAGTGGGCAGAGGCCAGGTCATCAAGGGCTGGGAGCAAGGTCTCCAGGGCATGTGCGTAAATGAGAAGCGCACTCTCAGCATCCCATCGGATCTTGCGTACGGTGAGCATGCCAGTAAGCGTCATTGTTTAACGAAGTTGTAAACGGGCTCAAATTAGGCAAGCGTGCTATGGGCTCCGCGATCCCTGCAAACTCGGCCCTCGTCTTCGACGTCGAACTCGTCTCTTTGGATGCCAAGGGACCGCGTGAAGAGCTATAGACATAACGGGCAATGTAGGGGAAAGGCGGAATGTGGATTGACATAGCTCATCACGGTCTCGATGCTATTAGAAATGTGCATTGATGCGTCTAATCGTGTCGCGAACCGATGTAACAATATTTCATGAGAGCACATACGAGCAAGAATTACACTATACTCTGACGCGAGCATCGCTTCACTTCGCAGCTCCCGACTTGAGCTTATCTGTGACAAGCTGTTGGAACTCCTCGCGTAAGATGGCCTCCCGCCGCTCGCGCTCCTCCTGCTGCAGCTTCAAGATCCCGCGCTTCTCCTCCGCACTGATGACCTGATTTTCCTTCCGCATCCGCACCGCGTTCATGCGCCGATGCCGGCTGCCACTCATCACGTACCCCACCCCCTCAAACATCGCGATCTCGTCGGACGCCAGCCCGATCTCACCACGGCGTGGGATGCGCACGTCCGTGCCGTCTTTGAGGAACGCCGCCATCGCACTACCCTCTCCACGCAGCAATGCGCCGCCGTATTGCCGCTCGTCGACCTTGCGCGAGGACATGATCTTGTTCGCGGGCTGCGGGCCGACCTCCTCGTCTGATTCGTCCTCAGCGGCGTTTGCCCATGCCTGCTGTATCTGGGCGGCATTAACGGGAGCATTAGATGTTGGTGCCTTGGACGGAATGCCGCTGGCCTGAGCGGGAGCTGCAGCTGCGAGGAGACTTGTGGTGGCCGGCTTCTCGACCCACTCGTCCTCCTCTGGCTCAGATGTGGGAGGCTGTTCTTCAGGGCTCTTCGTCCTGGTCGTGCTGCGCCGCCTCTCTTTACTCTCATTTCTACCAGCGCCCTTTCTCTTGTCTCTGATTTCGCGCCTTCGCCGTTGCTCCCTCTCATCTTCGGAGTCCTCCTCGTCGCTATGCCGCCGGGATCGCGACCTGTACTTTCGGCGCTCCCGCTCCTTCTCCTTCGATCTGACCTGCTCCTTCTCCTTCGACTTGTCCTGCTCCTTCTCCTTCCGTGATCGCTTCCGCTCCTTCCGTCGGTGCCGGCGTTCCTCCTCGGATTCCGTGGCGGAAGATTCATCAGAGTCGTAGTGGCGCTTGTGCGTCTTCTTCCGTCTTTTGGCATCGGGACTCCGTGATCTGGAGCAAAGATTGTGAGCTTCGGAATACAATGAACGGATGGAACTTACAAGTCACGCGTAGGTGCTTTGGGCGACGGAGGCCAGATGCTGAAAGTGATGTTGTCTCGCTGCTGTCTTCGGCTGCGGGGTACAAGACCATGTGAATACGTACGAAATCTCATGATACATGCGGAAGACCAGTGACATACCTGTCCATGTAATCAGCGCCGCCAATATGCGGGGCACGGTCCCTCCCCCTTGGGTACACGTTTTGTTGTTGCCTCCACGGAGGCCGTGCACCTGCAGAGTCCTCCTGTTCCCGGGGTGAAGAGGTCCTTCGGTACTCATTGTACTCTGGGCTGGGCCGTCGCATCCTGTCCTTCTCTCGTCTCTCTCCGCGTTCACGATCCCGCTCCCTATCCACGCTCCTGCTTCCTCCACGCCGCCCCGGCTGTCCCCCACTGCCGCTGGCATCATCGAAGTAGTCATCAGCGCGTGCGCGGCCTCGCTCGTGAAGCTTGCTGCTTTCCTCCTCTCTACCCCTCCGCGCCTCGTCCATGTAGTGTCTTTTCTCCCTGTCAATGGAAGGCGTGCGTCGGCGAGAGTATCGAGGGGAAGGCGACCGGCCACGGTCTCTCGCCTCCCTCGAGGATGGGTGTGAATCTCTAGAGTCTTGTGGCACTAGAGCCATGCGAGACGGATGTATTGTTGCCATGTCGGTTGTCCAGCAAGATGAGTGAATGGACAAGTATGTCGTATAGGTTGCTGGTCTGCCAATTGAAAGCTGGCCAGAAAGCGTGCGAATTCGTGCGGGGCAAGAGCTGTCTCGGCGATCGCCGAGTAGTTATCAGTGAGAGCACGTGACGTCGACGCTGGATGCGCGCCAGTGCATCGTCAGCGTGGCCGTTTCCTTGAGCTCGAGGCTTGAGCACTGTCTGCACTGCTTCGCTGCTGGTCTGATCAATTGTACCGTACTCACCTCTCAAGATGTCCTTGATTGCGACAATATTTCTGCTTGTGTTTATCACAGAGTTTGTATCATGGATTGGGCAGTCTTTTCTACTTGAGCTTGTGAGCCTCATCCGTTCATGCTAGACTTCGTCGATCTCCTCGCTCATCTCGTACTATGTGTACTGGTCGATAACCCAGGCGTACGCGCTATATCTACGCATATTCTATGCTGGGACATTGTCGCGCCAGAAGAAGCTCAAGTCTGAGATCCTGCTAGACAAGAAAGAGCTGCTGCAGACCAGTGCGCAGGATGAATTCGCGAAGTGGGTGAAGCGAAAGAGGAGCGTGGATAAGGGCCTTGGGGACTTGGAAAAGCTCAGTGAGTAGCTTTGAAATCGTATGGTATTCGGCCGCATAGCGTTTGAGAGGCTATGTGACACGGCAGCATGGTGCTGATGCCTGTGATGATGTTTCCTCCTTTTCTGCCCTCACATTCCTTATTCTACGGCTGACCGTCTCTCACCGTACCTGCCGAATGCCTTTCTTATAGATAGCGAGCTGTCCTCCGTGAGGACGTCCTTCTCGCTCAAGTTCAATTCGGCTATATGGTTCCTCACCGCCGGGGTGCAATTCATCGTCGGGTGGTGGTACCGCAAGTCCGCCGTGTTCTACCTCCCACCGGGATGGTTCGGGCCTCTCAGCTGGTGGCTCGCCTTTCCATTTGCCCCCGCGGGCTCTGTCAGCTGTGGCGTGTGGCAGATGGCATGCAGGCGTGTAATCAAAATCGGCGAACGCGTCGTCAAGGATCTCGCAGGTAAGCATCGGGATTCTAGCCGAGACGGAACGCGTTCAGCTCACGTCCTTCCGCGCGTTCCATGTTTGGTGGTGACGACCGGCAATCGAGCAGAGCCAGTACCGGTTCCGTCGGAACGCAAGGTCAAAGTCGAGTAGAGCGACCCCGCATCTGGAGAACGTGGGGTTGTGTGGGGGTATGTTGTTGTTATCGTGACCCGCCCGTGTAGATCGTCTGCCCAGACGTGTGTTAGCAGTGCTTGTGATAATCCATGGTTTCTTCGTGTGGTGACGAGGCCTCGTGTGGTCTCTGTGAGTTCACTCGTGAGGAGGCCAAGGCCAATATAGAACGGTCGGAAGAACTCTGGCCCAAGAAGTGCGAAGATTAACTTCATTTAGATTTACATGGAGCTGATCGTCGCCCGACAGTCCGAAAGGGCTGATGTCCGTCGCCCGATCGTGTTGCTTCAGACGCAGCTGAGCGACCTGAGCTTGCATGGAAACGCGCGGATGGCGAGGCTGAAGGGTTCTGCGGCGAGGCGTACGGAAGCTGGCTCAAGGGGACGATGGAGGGCGGGACTCCGGGGCAGCTGGCAGGAGGTTCCCACGGTGCTCCGGGGGGCCAGAGAGGCACGTGAATTGGCGGAAGGGTGCATGACGTGAAGCCTTCCCGCCGAAGGGGGACGGAGTGCCGAGTACCTACTTATACCAAGGTCTGAAATGCAACTCCTTCCAGCCTCCTTTCTCATCGCCCATCTTCCCCTGAACACCCACCACTCCTCATCATGCTCACCGGCGTACAGATCCACACCAAACAGGCCCAGCAGGCCCAGGCTGAGATCCTCACCGAGGACGCGGTCAAGTTCCTCGCTGCCCTCCACAGGACCTTCGAGTCCACCCGCCAGAGCCTCCTTACTGCCCGCGAGGCTGCCCAGCAGCGCCTCGATGCCGGCCAAAAACTCGACTTCTTCCCCGAGACCGCCCACATCCGTGCCGACCCCTCGTGGCTCTGCGCGCCCCCTGCGCCCGGTCTCGAGGACAGGCGCGTCGAGATCACGGGCCCGACGGACAGGAAGATGGTCATCAACGCGCTCAACAGCGGCGCGAAGACTTTCATGGCAGACTTTGAGGGTAAGCAAGCTCACCTCGCGATAGGGGTTCGCGCTCACGCACGTGTTTTCAGATGCGAACTCGCCCACCTTCGCGAACATGATCAATGGCCAGGTCAACCTGCGCCTTGCTATCAGGCGCCAGATTGACTTCGAACTCGGAGGCAAGTCTTACAAGCTGAGCCAGAACCCAGCGGTCCTCATCGTCCGGTACGTCTTGATCCTGCGCGGTGCAAGAAAGTGACATTGACATACCGATCTTCAGTCCACGAGGATGGCATCTTGATGAGCCTCGACTGACGATTGACAATGCACCGATGTCCGGCTCGCTCTTCGACTTCGGTCTTTACTTCTTCCACAACGCAAAGGAGCTCGTTGCTCGCGGTTCTGGCCCGTACTTCTATCTCCCGAAGATGGAGCACTACCTCGAGGCGCGTCTGTGGAACGATGTCTTCAACTTTTCCCAGTCATACATCGGCATCCCGTTGGGCACGATCCGCGGGACCGTCCTCATCGAGACTCTGCCTGCCGCATTCCAGATGGACGAGATCTTGTTCGAATTGAGGACGCACTCGTCCGGCTTGAACTGTGGACGGTCAGTCGGATATCGTTGGTTGTCCTAGAAACATGTTACTCATGGAATGCTTGCAGATGGGACTATATCTTCAGCTTCATCAAGAAGCACAGGGCTGACAGGAGTGCCGTCCTCCCGGACCGCAAGGATGTCACGATGGAGGCCCACTTCATGGACTCGTACGTGCGTCTGCTGATCCAGACTTGCCACAGGTGGGTCACACATATGTAGCTTCTAATTCAGTTTTACTGATCGACTTGTGATTTTAGGCGACGAGTTGCTGCGATGGGCGGCATGTCTGCCCAGATCCCAATCAAGAACGACCCGCAGGCCAACGAGGTCGCTATGAGCAAGGTCCGCGCAGACAAGCTGCGTGAGGTCACCTACGGTCACGACGGTACTTGGATTGCACACCCCTTAATCAACCAGATCGCCATGGAGATCTTCAATGAGCACATGCTAGGTCCAAACCAGGTCAGCTGTTTTCACATATTAATCTTATTGGTTATGACATACTGACTCCATCTTGCAGTATCACATTCGTCGTGAAGATGTGAAGGTGGCCGCGGCCGATTTGCTCGACAGCAGGGTGCCCGGCAAGATTACTTCTGAGGGTGTCAAGTCGAACGTCGCGACGGCGCTTGCGTATAGCTCGGCCTGGCTCGGCGGGAACGGCTGCATCCCGCTCAATTATCTCATGGAAGACGCTGCAACGGCGGAGATCACGCGTGTGCAACTCTGGCAGTGGGTCAGGTACAGCGTGCGCATTGCAGACACGGGCGAGACCATCACCGCCGACTACGTCGACCGCATCGTGGACGAGATCGCGCCGACCCTCAAGAGCCCGTTGAATAGCGACAAGAACCTTGACATCGTGGCGAAGTATCTTAAGAGCCAGATCCGCAAGGAGTGGCCGAGCGAGTTCTTGACGAGCGATTTGATGGGTTACTTGGCTGTTGCCGATGGATGCCCGGCTCAATGGCAGCGCAGCGTGCTGTGAACGTCCTTCATTTCGTCTGGACTTCGTCTTCTGCATCTATCACGAATCAGCTTGTAACTGTATGGTGTCATTGTAGCTGTATCTCTAGCGCATCACAACATGGTTAATATCACTATCATATGAGCAAACCCAAGAAGTCTCGTATATCCTCGAGGTCTACGAAGACATGCACGGTGTGGCCGACTCCGACAAGTTCAATCAGGAGAGGCGAAGTCTCCGGTAGGCACTCACATTGCAGAGTAAATAGCGAAGCGCGAGATTCAAAGTAGACCGAGATGTGCTCGAATGCGAGCGTCGTCTTCCGCGTCACTCTCCTCGGATGCGAATGCTGTCATACTTTCGGCGTCTTCGACGTCGGAGCCCACGGTAGTAGTGATGCCCTGCGTCGAAGGCTCTGTATTGTCAAACGAGACGCGGGTGGACAATGCATGCGATTCGGCGGCCATGGACATCGTCCTGCGCTGGAAGTCCTTGTCATAGCCAACGCACTGCATTTTCCAGATAACGACGAGCTATCAATCATAGGGGCAGTCGTCACCGTCTCAGCGAATGGGCTTCACTGTCGAATGGTTCTCACCAGCTGGCGCGAGTCAAGGGCGGCCAGGATATCTTCCGCAGTCAGGATATCTGATCTGCGCCTTGCTGCCTTGAGCATCTCGTCCTCGGTCTCCCTATCGCTGGCTTCGCGGCCCATGCGGAGGTAGAGGCTCAGCCACGCCCGGAGGTAGCGGTAGCATGGCCGGCGGAGAATTGTCTCTGCGAGCCTCTGCTGCATCTGTGGATGATAGTAGCCGTGCAGCGACAGTGGGTTCAAATATAGAGATATTTACCTCAGCACCTGCACGCTGCCACTCGTGACGAGATAGCAGCTCTGTTTGCGTCATGGTGTAGTCGCCCGCGTACAACCATGCCTGCGCTGCCAATCGGACGAATATCCTGGCGGATCGAGATCGTTCGTTCGTATTCGCATTGGTCCGCCTTTTGTTGGCTGCTATGACCGTGTAGAATAGGCCGGGTTCACCCGGCCTCTGTGGTGCATGTGTATATACTTGTGGGTCGAAAAAGAGCACATCTTCGGGAACATCATGGGAACCCCTAGGATGCACCTTCTTTGCGCGCAGCCTTTGCGGGGAACCTGAGTGGATGCGCGGGATGCACGCGCGATTGACGGTCGTTAACGACGTGCCGGCATCCAGTGTGGGTGCGAAGGCGTGGCATCCACGCAGTCGCCGATGAACCGTATCTTCCTGCAGTAAGAATCCGCTCATTGCAGTGGCCTCCTGGGGATCACACTACATACGCAGTATGAGCTTGTACCGTTACAGAGTGCATGTATGCCTACTATGTCCGCTTGTCTCCGTCGTGTTGAATAACTGGAGCGCGTAGGAGATGGTACGACCTCGGGTTTCATACAGGCTCTCTTCCGTCGCGGGCCGGTATCTGTCTCGTCTGCTTCATCCTTGGAGATTTGCCCCAGCAGTTCGGGGGCAGGTGGCCAGTCGTGAAATGTAATTGGAGATGCAGACCTCTTTATAACCCTATCTGAAACATTTGGAGATGAGCGACCTCTTGGAACGTTGTCTGCGGATGATTGGGAATGGTTTGGTGATGACGAGCCAATGACGAACTCCTGCGGCTAATCAATCACTTTCAGAAATGTAGCAATGCTATTGCAAGCCGATATGCTGACAGGAGCCTTGTGGCTTACATGCTGCGTCAGTTCTGTTGAGATCTCCGTCGAATCTCCAGGATCATCTTCACACAACAGACGGAGGCACTGGGTTGAAATTCTGGATAAAGATTCCGTTTGCAGAAAGATGGCATATCTTCACTCACCACATCGACACTTGAATTGTTGTCATCGTCGTCGTCATCATCAGCACCTCCTGCGTTCGTTAGATCAGTGGTAACTGCATTGGAGTCTGCAGCTCCGTTGACATCGGATATCTCGTGTTGCGAGGAATTGCGGGCAAGTCTGCGGACTTCCTGCCTCAATTCAGATATTTCGTGTTCGATTCGTCCGAGATGTTCGTTGAAATAAGTCTCAAATTGGAGCAGATTTGTCTGAGTTCCAAATGACCAATTTGGCTATTTCGCTACTCTTGTCACGTGAACACGTGATGCATTTGTTGCAGGTTACGTAACCTTCTACTTACGTAACTCATGCTCACGCCACCGTCGCCGTCTCTCTCGTCCCCCCTGTGCTATTCTTTTCCACTTAGACTTCTTTTCCGCGGCACCTGCGCTTTCATACTGAATAGCGCATTGACGACATAAGGTATATTTCTGTTCATCACCGTCTTCAATCCATTTTTGAGATTCACGGTACTTTTTTCAGATATCATGTTCGCTGCTGAACGCCTCTCGTGGCCATATTCGTGCTGCTGCTCCACGTTGCGTTTTGTTGCGTGGTTGTTATATCTAATGGTCTTCATCGGTACGTTCGTTACATTCATACTTGCAGTTCTTCTCCTGATCTTTATTCTTCGCTGTAGGTACTTTTGCTTTTCATCGCTGCCACGAGTTATTCCGTTGGCTATGGTTTTCGCCGTCCTCGGTCGACGGTTTAAAGCTTGCGCGGTCGCATGGCTTTGGTCACTCATCCCCCCTGAGGGGGGGGTGCACGTTATCGCTCCTGCGTATGTTCTTCTACCGATCTGCATGGTCACACCGTGTTGTTTGGGTCTTCCCATCTGCTGTCATTGCACTCCTCTTTCATGTTTAGGGGTGTCGAACTTGTCAGCTCGCAGGATTCATCGTGGTCGACGAATGTTAGAAGTGTTGCGGTCAATGTTCCGTTGTCGTTCATCACTCGACGTTTCCCCTTTCGATCTCTAACGGACGTTGCTGCTCTGCATTGTATATTGCGTGGTTCGCATACCCGCTCTGTACTCGGTCTGGAAAGCGCTCTGCTTGAGCATCGGTGTGGCCTCCAGTGCCGTTCCACTGTTGCAGTCTTTGATGTTGTCGACAATGGATATCAATCCATCAGTTCTGATGGGCGTTGCATCTTCGACCGTCGTCTGTTGGACCGGTTTCTGCTTATGAGTGGACGATTACCTTGGACAGGGTTGCAAACATATATGTTTCTCGGTGTCGTCGATTGCCATTCAGGTATGCCTGTAGTGAATACCGACGATGTATTAGTGGATATGCCGTTGATTGATCTTGTGTGCTGCGTTGACTTTGCATCGCTTACCGACTCGCTCACATGGTCTCGTCCCTCCTACCGGCAGATGAACTGCAGACACCGTCTTGCGGGATATCATCGCGCATTGTTGCTGGCTTTGTTCCAGGGTGTATCCAATGTTTCGCGTGCACAATCCATCCATCGATCACATGCCTTCCAATCCACGTTCGGATGCACAAACATCGTCCTCTCCCTCCACTGCTTCGTCAGGAACGTTCCCCCCTTCACCTTTGAACCACGAAGATAAGTTGACCATGTTGCGAGACTGGAGTGACTCGATCGACGTTGCATCAATGTTCGAGAAGCCATGCGCTGTCTGTGCTCATTTGCGTGTCGGGCGAGAGGTAGCGTTCTATCCGAATAGATGATATTGACCTGTCATCTCTGCACAGGGAAGGCGAGTTCGTTACACGTCAGGAACATTATGCATCTACAGATTCAGTTACAGCATGTGCCGGTCTTATACTGCTCTCCGAGGGCATTCATGTTACCGACGGCATCCGGTACATCAACGTATGTGAATCGTGTCGTTCTGTCTTGCAGCAGCAAAAGAGATTACCAAGTACTGCACTGGCGAATGGACTATGGCTCGGTGACGTTCCAACTGTTCTACGTCAGCTGACCTTTGTGGAGCAGATATTAGTTGCGAGGGTCAGACATAACTCGTTCGTAGCTAAAGTGACCAAAGGACAACGGAAATGATCGCGGACGCAATTGCATTTTCGCAGCCAGTGGAAAAAATATACGATGTGCTACCCCCTCCAAGGCGTGATTTAGACGATGTACTCGCGATCTTGTTCACCGGTCCTTGTCGTCCGAATGAAGATGACTTCAAACGCACTCCTTTACTAGTTCGTCCTTTTGCTGTTGTTGCTGCATTGGATTGGCTTCTACTTAATCATTCCGATTACGGTGGTGTCTCCATATCGCATGCTAATCTTTCTGAGTATCCGGAACATGAGCCTCCAGTCACTGTCCTCCGTCGTGGATCAGATGGCTCAACGCCTGCTGAGTCGATGTCGGTACACGAGGTTGACGAAGAAAGAGGAACTACGGAAGGTCCTTGTCCTTTTGTAGTTCACGGTCTATCAGCCGCTGACGTTGCTACCATGTCCTATAAACCCCGGATTGTCACCGCTCTGCAATATTTTCATGGTGGAGGTGCTGTTCTAGGCTACGGACACAGTGCGAAGCCCGAAAGCATCTACCACAATAGCAGCTTGCTTCCAGGCATGTTTCCATGGTTATTTCCATACAACCTTGGAGGTCTCGAAAATGTTTTGCTTAAGGCTCACATTCATCGCACTGCGCATATTCGGTCTTCCCTTTCATTGTATTCAATCAGCAACAAATTAGGAACTCCGCTCGAGGTGGTTATCTACTGACTGAACGTAAAACTTCTGGCAGATAGCTGATTTGGTAGCATCTCTTAAACCAGACATTTTCCAACGATTGATTGATCGAGGTAAAAATGGCAAGTACCTTCGTCTGGAGGATGATGATGAAAAAAATTGTTTTGAATTGATATCCGTTCTAGACTATGTTGCGGGGCACGTAGATGGATCATCTGCTAAGCGCAAGCAGCTACGAAACGAGATCAATAGCCTTATCATTGCCCGTAATGTGCCGCTGTTCTTCATTACGTTTTCGCCTGTTGAAATCACTCTCTATGTTTATATTATTGTGGCGAAACTATCGACATTTTCGATTCCGTCAGTGCATTTCCGCATTACGCGCAACGCTTACGCATGATAGCCGACAATCCGGTCGCCTGTGCTCGTTTCTGCTGCTGCCAGACTCCTACTCGTCGACGCTTCCTGGCAGCCGAACGACTACGATCTATACACGCCACACAGTCAATGGCATATCGTACTCGACTACATCAGCAACTTACCGGGGTACGCGATCAAATACATCATTGATGCATCCGACGACGACAACGAGGAGCATCCGTACCCCTCCTTGAACCAGGGAATGGACCGCATGGCTCGAATCACCGGACCTACCATAGGCATCGACCTTATGCGTAGCCACAATGAGTCAGCCTTCTACCCACTGTGCTTCTTCTGGTCGACGATCGTCATGAACGCGAACTCCGCTGACGCGATCCTGTCAGCATACCCCACGCATCTTCTCAGTCATCGCGGTATTTGCTCGCCTACCATCGCCGACAACGCACTCACCGCGAAGAGAAAGTACGAGGGCCGAGGTTTCTCCGTCGACGACATCCGCAGCGTCTCTTGCACTCGCTGGAGCTGCCCTCACCGACGACGGTTCTTCCCCGATGGTGGATGCGTCAACCTCGTTTTCGACAATGCACGCACCCACAAACTACACGACATTTTCGTCTCCTGGCGAATCACGGACTTGCCCTGCGGTAAACCCAGTGCGGCAACGGAACGAGGGCCCGATGTCTGGGCGGGTTCACAATATGACATGGAAGAAGTCATGACTTAGTGTAGACATACTGTAACGAATAATATAGTCTTCCTCGCAAATAAACCTTGCATAGCCGTCATTTGGAACCGGCGCTCGTCACCTCTTCGACCAAGTAGTCATCGTGGCGGCAAGTGAAACGATGTAGCGTAGCGTCACGCGACTTAGGAGAGGTCACGATCTCGTGACGACCATGCTGCTGTGGCCCAGGCATTCAAGTCCTGCTCATCTCCGACGATCTAGCTGTCGTCTGCAAGCTGAACGCGCTGCATTGCAATTATCTGTCATAATGTCCATGACCAGGCATGTCAAGAAGGTTACGCTGACGTCCAAGAAGAACTGGTGGATGGGTGTGTGCTCGTTGCGCCTCCGGTGATGGTATGAAACTAAGCCTCTTTATCAAGTTGAGCTCGATGAGGAAGATGGAACAGCTACTCCTCCATCAAATCAACTGCCAATTACTGAGGAAACGCTGGTGAACGAACGTCCTTATCCCTCATTCATATCGAACGCTTTCTCCAGTCGAATACATGAGTCCAATGTGCGCGAACCAAATCCATCCGTCCCCGTGTATACCCCACCAAACAATCCACTAGCCATATTCTCATTTCCGACCCCGACGACCTACTCAGCACCACCGAATCCTACCCAGAACCTTGCTCCTTTCGCTTCGGGTTCTGCTTCAGAGCTGTTCAAGTGCGTCGTGAAGAAACCCAATGTTGTACAGGTTGAGATCAACGACGAGATGCAGACGAATGCACAGGACGTCATCACACAATTCCTTGCCGAGTTGCGTGTGTATACGACCGTCACGCGTCACCGGAATATCGCTGCCTTCTTGGGTTGCCTCGAGAACGTCGGTATGGTCTTGGAGTGTATCGACGGTCGGACACTCTGGGATGTCATCAAGGAACGACCGGGGTTTACGCGAGGCAAAAAGATTGAATTTCACAACCAACTTCTCGATGGGCTCACCCATCTGCATTCATTCGGCTTGAGCCATGGCGATCTCTCGCTGTTGAACGTTCAGGTGACGTACTCATCTGATACGATCAAATTACTGGACTTTGGTCGCTCAGTTTCTACCGATTCTACCTACGCCTCCCCTTTCGAAGATATCTCACAGCCCCCTGCCGCACCACCACCATCACGCCCGCCGATCACATCTCGATTCGCTTCCAAAGAGCCGTACTCCCCGCTCTCCCCTACGATACCACCGCCGCCGCCACAACAACAACAGAAACAGGTCGAGCAGATCCATCCTGGAACACGTCCGTTTGCTGCACCAGAGGTCCTGCGTGGCGAATGTCAAGACCCACGCTTGGCAGATGCATACAGCTTCGGGATGATTCTCGTCTGCCTCGACCGGTGCGAGCTGGTCGATGTCAAGCCTTGGGTGCAGAGGAAGGATGCACTACCGCAGGGGTTCCTCGACGGTCTACTGGTCTTCGGGGAGAGGTGCGAGCAGTACCTGAGACCGTGGGATGGAGGCCGGAGACGGTTGCTCAAGGAAGACATGATGGATGTCGATGTACAGATGGCCCAATAAGTCTGTGAACTTGAAGTGTTCACTGTGGACAGTCTCAAACGGAAAGGATTATACCACCTCTATCACCATTGCAAGTGTATTCTATCATGCTGCATCACATTCCAACACTCATCAAACGCATGCATAACTCTCCAACTCCGTCGTATTGATCACTGATTACACTATATCATGCTTGACTTATTTGTCAGTCTGCGTACCTCACTTTCCCAATATGCTACTAGCATCCGATCTACATTCATCTTCAATGTACTCCCAGGCAAGCAACGAAAATACCTCTACTCCGTAAACAAAAAAGAACGCGATAGATGATTTCTGACGCTATCAGATGTAATCACGCTACGATAGCTTGCGCGCAATTTCGCGCTGGAAACGCTCATCATACCCAACACATTTCAGCCCCCAGATATGGATCGTCTACGTGGCGAAGTCAGTCACTCACGTACATTGGAGAATCGCAGAAGACTGACTTCATCGCCTCTCTCGAATGCCTGTATGATCTCATCGTGAGTGACGTCTGTGTAGTCGTTCTCCTTGTCTTTCACTGCCCGTTCGACCTCTGCGGGTGGTGGTTCGCGGTGGTCATTTTGGCGGCGGAGAATGACCCGCACGCGTACATTCTTGCTTGTAAAAACATATTCGGCCCATAACCATTTCATCTGAGAGGATGGATCAACGTGTTGATGCACTGTCCAATTGGATCAAACGGCTGACTAGACGCACCCTGATAGGCATGTCTCGAAACTCCTGCTTTGAAAGCGGAGCTGCTGGAGACAACACATACTCTCCGACGTATAAATATTTGGCATCGCCAAGCCCAATAATCACTTTAACATCGCCAGGTAGCCATTCCTTTTCAGTTGTTGCTCTGCACAACAACCCTGGCTCTCCTGGCCGTTGAGGAATGTGAGGATTCATTAAAAGATCAGGGAACATGAAGTTACGGTAGCCATGATTGAACTTGGCTTGGTCCGGTGAGGTGCAGAAGCGGTGCTGATCTCCTCCAAAGTGTTTGTCAAAAAACCCACGCCTTGCAACCTTGTTGCGGATGAATGGGTCCAGCGTCACCGGATAGACTGTCAAGTGAATTGCCTGCAGGCGACCTTGGACATTGCGTGCATTCAGCATGTGGTGGCCACGTTTAACTTTGACTGGAATCCATTGGGGCTCGAGCTTGATAACTACATCGATCTAGAAGGGCGTTCAGACATTCATGACTTAAGCGACGAGGTCAATCCAGAGAACGGACAGACCTCTTGGGCATCAAAAGGATGGTCTACATCATCCTCTTTTATTTCCTCCTGTCCTTCGATCCCGGCATCGACAGTAGATATAGCTATTTTTTCTTCTCCACCAGAAACGTCCTTATGTTTCAGGAGAGCTGCAGTGGTGGAACTGCCCGAAGGCACGCCAGGACCAGAGGATTGCTGAACGGGATGGTTAATTACCGACAGTGTCCTCTCTTGACTTTCTTCGGCCGCACCGTGCGGAGAAGGCAGAAGGCCAACTGGTGAGGCAGGACTCGATGCAGGAGGCTGTTTAACTTGTCGATGTGGGCCGCTCTCCACAAATGGGATGAGCTTAAGCTTCTTGCGCAGAGACTCCGAAAGTCTTGCATCCGAAGGTATGTTTTGATGACTGCGCTTCCTCAAGCGCTATGGGCGCGCTTATGGATCCCGCATGCTCGTGGTACAGCGCGACATTGCTCACCTTCCTATTACGCTGCGCAGTCGGAGTCGCATTGGATGACGATCCCGGCACATCTTTATCGTCATCCACAGCGACCGTGCCATTGGCGCTGACAGCAGCGGCAGACGGACGCGCAACCGTGGCGGACGTATTAAATACACGGGTCGTTGTACTAAGCGATGACTACGATACCTGAAATAAGCCATTATTGTCCAATGATCCAGTTGACGGTTCACACACCCCGGTATTTGCTTGTAGACGGACCTCAGACGGCTCCGGTGTCAGACTTCTGATGAATGGCGGATTCTCATCTTGTGAATCCAAACGCGCATGTTTGACCGCGGCCTCCAAAGCGGATATTCGCGCTGTTTGTACTTTTGCTTGAAGTTCTTGGGCGGTAACCTGAGCCTTCAAGGCCTCGTTCTGGGCATCCTTTGCCTGCAATAATTGCTCGTAGTATGCTCTGATTTCGCGGACCTCAGTTTGAAGCGACATGATCGATTCGGATGCACAAGTTCATCAAACTGGGATCAACCAAAGTTTGAATAACATGGAATCAGCGATACGGTCTTGATGATCTCGAGCAGGTTGGGGGCGGAGGGCTCACTATCAAGTTGCACAGAGGGTATGCGGATCTGTGCGGATGCTGGCAGCAAAATGATGAAGCTTGCGATACGCGATGCGCGATATAACCAACTACGCCGCCGATCCTAAACAGCGAGCTTTCAAGTACAAAATCCTGTGTGAAAAATCGCGTTACATTCAGATTTAAATGATAAATTCTATATCGTTAACGCTCGCTAACAGTCGTTCCAAACACAATTATACACAAATTGTCCCTGATTACAGCTCTAATAGTCAGTAAAGGGGCTCTCTCTAGTATCTAGTATGTACAGCCATGGCCGTACGAGATCGAGTCCAATCATAGCATTCAGCTCCCTGCGTCGGCCGAGGAAATTACAAAATGGGCCTTTTCCGAGCCATTACTCACTTGATGGGAAAGGCTGTGGTTAGTTTTAACACCTTTCCTGGAAGAAGAATCGGTGCTTCTCTACTGTGCAAACGCATGCATAAGTCGCACTAGATCTCCAACTCTGTCCGACCGAATTGATCATGACAGTCACAGTGTATCATGCTTGACTGCTTATTTGTCTGCCTGCATACCTCACTTTCCCAATATGCTATGAGCACTCGATCTACATCCATCTTCAATGTACTCCCAGGCAAGCAATTGAAATACCTCTAGTCCGTAAACAAAAAAGAACGCGATAGATGATTTATAGCGTTATCAGAAGTAATCACGCTACGATAGCCTGCGCGCAATGTCACGCTGGAAACGCTCATCATACCCAACACACTTCATCGCCCAGATATAGATCGTCTACATGGCGAAATCAGTCACGTACATTGGAGAATTGCAGAAGACTGACTTCATCTCCTCTCTCGAATGCCTGTATGATCTCATCGTGAGTGACGTCTGTGTAGTGGTTCTCCTTGTCTTTCACTGCCCGTTTCACCTCTGCGGGTGTTGGTTCGTGGTGGTTATTTTGGCGGCGGAGAATAATCCGCACGCGCACATTCTTATCCTTATCTCTTGTTGAAATATATCCGGCCCACAACCGTTTCATCTGAAAGAATGGGTCAACGTGTTGTTGCATTGTCCAATTGGGTCAAACGGCTGACTAGACGCACCCTGATAGGCATGTCTTGAAATTCCTCTTTTGAAAGCGGAGCCGCGGGAAACAAAGCATACTCTCCGACATATAGATACTGGGCACCGCTAAGCCCAACAATTACTTTATTATCACCACGTTGCCATTCCACCTCAGCTGTTGCTCTGCACAACAACCCTGGCTCTCCCGGCCGTTGAGGAACGTGAGGATTCATTGAGAGATGAGGGAACATGAAGTTACGATAGCCATGGTTGAACTTGGCTTGATTCGGCGAGGTGGAGAAGCTTTGCTGATTTCCTCCAAAGTGGTTCGCAAAGAATGCACGCCCCGCAAACCTGTAGCGGATGAATGGGTCCAGCGTCACCGGATAAACTTCCAAGCCAATTGCCTGCAGGCGTTCTTGGACAGTGCGAGTATTCAGCACGTTGGGGCCATGTTCAACCTTGACTGGAATCTCCTGGCGCTCGGACTCGAGAACTACATTGAGCTTGGGAAACGTTCAGACATTCGTGACCTAAAGGACGAAGTCGATCCAGAGAATGGACAGACCTCTTGGGCATCGAGAGGATGATCCGCATCATCCTCTTTCGTTTCCTCCTGTCCTTCGGTCCCGGCATCGACAGTAGATATAGCTATTTGTTCCTGTCCGCCAAAAACTTTCACTGGAGCTGCAGTGTTGGAACTGACCGAAGGCACGCCAGGACCAGAGGACCGCTGAACATGATGATTGATCATCGGCAGTATCAATCTCTCTGGACTTTTCCCAGCCGCACTGTGCGGAGAAGGCAGAAGGCCAACTCGCGAAGCAGAACTCGATGCAGGAGATTGTTTAACTTGTCGATATGGGTCAATCTCCACAAATGGGATGAGCTTGGGCTTCTTGTGCAGAGACTCCGAAAGTCTTGCATCCGAAGGTATGTTTTGATGACTGCGCTTCCTCGAGCGCTATGGGCGCGCTTGTGAATCCCGCATGCTCGTGGTACAGCGCGACATTGCTCACCTTCCTATTACGCTGCACAGTCGGAGTCGCATTGGATGACGATCCCGGCACATCTTTGTCGTCATCCACAGCGACCGGGCCATTGGCGCTGACAGCAGCGGCAGACGGACGCGCAACCGTGGCGGACGTATTCAATACACGGGTCGTTGTACTAAGCGATGACTACGATACCTGAAATAAGCCATTATTGTCCAATGGTCCAATTGACGGTTTACCCACACCGGCATTTGCTTGTAAACGGACCTCAGACGGCTCCGGTGTCAGACTTCTGACGAATGGCGGATTCTCTTCTTGTGAATCCAAACGCGCATGTTTGACTGCGGCCTCCAAAGCGGATACTCGCGCTGTTTGTACTTTGATTTGAAGTTCTTGGGCGGTAACCTGAGCCTTCAAGGCCTCGTTCTGGGCATCCTTTGCCTGTAATAATTGCTCGTAGTATGCTCTGATTTCGCGGACCTCAGTTTGAAGCGACATGATCGATGCGAATGCACTTGATCAACGCTGGGAGCTCCCAAAATTTGAATAAGAAATATGGAACCAGCGATACGGTCTTGACGTCTCGAGCAGGTCGCAGGGCGGAAGGCTCACTGTCAAACAGAGGCGGTGTGAATGCTGGCGATGAACCCGAGTCGCCGCCGTGGGAAGCTTGGTACGCGATCCCCAAATTAAGGCGCTTCTTGATATTATATATGTTGAAATGATAAACAAACTCCATCCCACTAACGTTACTTCCTAACAGTCGTCCCAACACAATTATACACAAATTACAAGTACATCGTCCCTGATAGCAGCCGATCAGTAAAGGGGCTCTCTCTAGTGCAGCAGCAAGTGTGACATGGCCGTACGAGACCGAGTCCAATCATAGCATTCATATCAACTTTGCCTCCTTCTTCGCCGCTGTGACCTGCGCCAGCCGCTGATTTCGCAGGGGATGTTGCGCATTTTGTGTGCCGCCCTTCTTGGTCGCAGTGGTTGCAGGAGCAGTAGGTGCTGCAGTTGTTTGTGATAATGATATCCGCGTCTCATCAGAAGCAAAGCCAGGAATGCGTATATTGTGGTTACGCTCTAAAGTGACACGTTTCAGACGGTGTGTTCAGGCCATATAAGATATACGCACCTAGATGCAACTGTAAATCCTTGACTTCCAGCGTGTCTCCTCCTCTGTGCTTCGCAAGGTGACATGCGAAGTTGGTGACGGAATCTATGAATTCATCCGCAACGTCTAGCAGTAGCTACGTTGACCGGACTCTGAATCACTGAGATGAAACACGAGAGAAAATGATATTCACGCACGTCTTCCACTTCCGGTTCAATCTTTACATTGGGATCAATACTGGACACAAGATCTTGTATTGTTCGCCGCATGCTTTGATCACCTGGAGTATTCTTTCTTCGCGTTCTGTTATCATCTGTTCCCAGCAGGCTGGCGTCGTCGGAAGGCTTTGATAACTGTGCCGGTGTCCCTATCACGATAAATCGTCAGCTGGAACAGCCAAGTAGCACGTGTATCAGCACCATTGACCTGCTACCCTACCGCTGGGTATTCCGCCTGTAAGAGTGGGGCGACCTTGTTGAGCAGCAGTCCACGGAGCGGGGCCAGCATTGGTGGGATTAGGTGATTGGCTGATGGGGTAGGAGTCGACGCTCGGGTTGGCATTCAAGAAGGGTGTGTTAGCAGTTTTGAAAGCAGGGTTTGCCGGTGTTTGCTTATATCAGATGGACATGAGCATGACGTTTGAGAAGGGCGTTCAACTTGTGCGTCACGAAGCACACACAAGAGCTGGTTGATCACTGTCGGTACCTACCGCTTTATGCTTGTCTGCGTATTCTTTCAGCTATAGTGGAAAGATTAGACAGTAAATTGTAGCTGGACCAAAAGATTACTCACCTGCAGTATCTGCGCCTGATTCAGCTTCCCTTCCTTAGCCAATTGGCTCAACTGCGGCATGTTCTGGATGAGAAGCTGTGCGATTCGATCGCTAGACAACGGGTCTCCAGTTTGCGTCTTATATGCATTGTTCAGAGCCGTGATGATGTTTTCTTGGTTGCTTCGTTGCGGTGTTGGTGTACTACTTGGGCCGGGCGTGGAAGACATGGTCGGTGGCGAAGGACGATCACAATGCCGCCGCAGGTGGCCGCCTAGTTCAGCGCCGAATCGATTATGTATTTATTATGATGTCAAGGGTTGTGCCACAATCGGGGTCGATGGCGTAGTTGGTTATCGCATCTGTCTTACACACAGAAGGTCCTCAGTTCGAGCCTGGGTCGACTCAAGTTTTTGGTTTCCAGCAATTGCAAAGCTCCATCAACGCGTTCCAACTATCCCCAGCCTTTTTTACTTCCACCTCAAGAGCTGGCTATGCCAATGGCTCATGTAAATTATTTGGCCTCATCATAGATTCGTTTTACTTCGCCATCTCAATCAGTGGCTAACTCAGTGGCAAACAGCAGGAAATTGATCACCACACGTGGTTCCCTCGACACGCCTGTGGCTAACAGCATTCGGATTTGGGCATGTCCTTGTTCTTCGTGCGTGCAGAGTCCAACAGCACGGCGACTGCGTGACCCACCCCCCTGCCTTCCTTCTCTCACCTTTACGACCCGTCAGCCATGACGACCTTCTGCGTCGAACAGCGGGCTCCGCTGCAATGCTGCATCAACAGGACAGCTCCTAAGCTCATCGTCTCAGCCAAAGCACAGAGCAAGAACTCGACTATATTCGGTCTTCCGGACGATGTCATACTGCTCATAATCAGCTTCGTGGACGTCAGAGATATCTTGTCGCTGCGCAAGGTAAGCAATTTGCTTTCCTTGTTCACTTCGTGTCACCCCTAACCGAGCGTAGACGTCCAAGCGGTTCTACTCCATGACGAAACTGCGCTGGGTATGGCATGATGCGATGAAACGCCATATCATAGACAGAGGACTACCAGTACCAGCTGCCGACAAGGACATACAGAAGTTTTCTGCGGAACACCTCGAGGCGAGAGCTGTCCATGCCGCCAGATTTCATGAGAACTGGTGTTCGCCAAAGCCGAAAGCACGACAGAGGATAGAATTCCAGGCGGACACTATCCTGTGTAACGAGAATCCAGAGCTCCACAAGACGACAGTCAGCAACGTTTCTTTCCTCTCTGGACAGAACGGAGAGTTCCTCGTGACAGCCGTGGAACGGGTTATCACTTGCTGGGAAGTGCCTCTTGATGGCAGCGGCACATACCGGGTTGCAGATTGGGTTTGCAGCAAGAAAGTGGAGCAGCTGATCGTGAACGAAGACCCCAAGTCTGAAGCGGTCGTAACGTGTGTGAGCGCGAATCGCGCAGTGTGAGTCGGTCCTATTGCCAGTTTAACGAAAAGGCTGATGGTCTTCCCTAGGGATAGCGAAGTGGAAGTCTGCGCTCTTGCTCTCGACAAATTCCACGGCTGCTTCAAGTTGCTCGCTCGACTGCGTGGCGAGAGGCATTCTGTGATGCCTCTGCATGTCATGCATGGAGACTATGTAGTATTTGGCGACCCGCTGGCAGTGTGGTTTTACACTGAACCGGTCGAAGTGCGTAGCATGGCCAAAGCGCACACTGTACCGTTGTTCGCTTTTGTACGTTATTTCTCTTGAAGGCAGTGAAGTGAGATTGACTCATATATGTTCAGCAGTCCGATAAGGTTTTGACGGTCAAGATCATCAACCGCTACATAGTAATTGTTGGTGAAGTGTCGATACGAATCGACTACACACCTAGCTGGAAGAATAAACGCACCATGTATGCAGCTGGATGGGGTGCATGCGTTCATTTCGACTGTTCTGCGGTGGAAGCTGCGGTCGTCGTGAGGGATGCTTGTGCCATCCATGACGAAAAACAGGAATGGTCGACGGAGCCCGTCACGATTCTCTTGCGGTGCGGTGGAGACGATGTCGATACCCTGCAGCAAGTCGACCTACTGCCTCTGTCCAAGGCAATGCTGGAGCTGAGGGAAGAGAGGCGCCAGAAGGATGGACGGTTGCAGCCTCCTTTCCAGTTTCCTCCGCAATGGGCGAATGCGGTTGTCGTGGCCCCGTCCTGCCGCGATCTGTTCGTGAGCCCGAGTGGGAAGGGCTTCTGGATGCAGACACGGAACGTTACCTCACGCCATGCCGTACACCCTGCCCGCTGCCTGGTCGGATTCCACATCACTCCTGCAGCCTCGAAGCAGACGTCTCCTGTGACAAAGGGTCATCCCGATGGCGCGAAGGGTCAAGCTCTATCGACGGAGCCTATGCGAGGCAATGAATTGCATGTCTCTAGCGACGTCCTCTACTCCCGTAGATGCGATATGAGCGAGATTATTTGGAAGAGGTACTCCATTATCTCTGCAGCTCTGGAAGACACGGTGGGGCGCATCGCAATTGGGGACAGGATGGGCAGGGTCGAGGTTCTGGACTTCGCCTAGCGGATTGTTTGTTGTATATTTAGCAAGCACCCGCAGGTCGGGCTTGTGTGCATCTGGCGGTATTAGATACTCGGCGGTAGTGTCTGGGAGAGCGTCCTGCATCGTCCCCGCGCTGCTCTGTAATATATGTTTTGGAGAACAATAGCAATGCCAGTTCTCTTGCGTCACAGTCTCGACAACAAACGTCGACCACATAACAATAAAGTTTTGTTTTGTGGGCGCAGGTTTTGCAGTCATGGACTCAGCGCTTATCGAACAGTAGCCTCGCAGGGCGGGCTCTCTTTCGTCCAGCAAACCCCGCATCGAGGGCATGCATATTCCATGGACAACGTCTTTGCCATCGGCGTCGGCCTTGCTCTGCGTGCACTAGTTGACGTGGTGACCCATCGCAACCAAAGGATCAATGGCACTCTCGTTGGCCTCTGGGAGGGGACTGTACTGCACCATTTCCTGTACAAGTTTCCAGGCTCGCTAGACCCGTACGTCGCCCTCGGCTTTCGCCTCCTTGTCGATATGCTCTTCACAGCGAACGTCACAAGACTCACCATTGTCTTGCTATGGACCGGAATTGGGTTGCTGCTGTCCGACGTCAGCTTGGATCTCGTCGAGGACAAACGGTTTCGCAGGCTCTGGCGCCGCATTCGTTCTTACTTCCTACTCGTTACGCCCACTCCTGTACGCTCCCATGTGCAGTTTCTTCAGATACCCTCATCCTCTTCCGCTGCCTCCTCGAACAGAGCACGCAGCCCGCTCTCACAACCGCCGATTGTCGCGGAACGCGCACCCTCCCCGCGGCCCCCGCTCACTCCCGCGCGACGCCCATCGACCCAGCCTGTCCCTGGCCGGTTCTCTGATTTTTCTGAGACAGAGACAGAAGCTAGTCGCGCTGGCCGCGAACCTCGTGCGCCCTCAGAGCTCGACTACATCTCTTTGCCGATCATCCCTGACACACCCGCGGTCGAGTCGTTTCCGGCCTTTGACGGACGCGCGCTTTCAGTTTCATCGCGCCTCACGACGTCAACGGAAGATAGCGGTCCTTCACGCGCACGCCGTATCCTACCGTCAGATGACGAATCCGGCTTAACGACACCCGTTGAGCTGCTCTCGCCGCCCCCGCAGCGCAGGAATGAGGATGGGCTGCCGCCCATGACGATATTTAGCAGCGAGGGCGACGAAGAGCGCACGCCGACGATGGGTCCTGTAGAATTACCAGAACCGCCGCTCATGCGCTTTCCCCTTCGACCTGTCTCAGACGCTCCACCAGAGCTTGTGGATCTACAATCGATGCCGGACGTGGAACCACTGCCCTCAGATATGCCTGACATTCCTGAGCCAGTCACTGACGGAGTCGGGGGCGATGGTACGCGCACACCGCGGGGCACGGCCAGCAGAGGCCCTCCGCCTGCTTATGATGAGCCAATTGAGCTCGCAGACGACAATGCATCTATAGCAGAGTCGGAAGGGACGATGTCGAGTGTCGTCACGTCGCGCTCCCTCAACGCCATCATCACGAGGGCGGTGTCCATCCGAGATGAGGCTCTCAAGCTGGACGAAGCTAGAGCGAAGCTGAACTTGGAGTATCAGGCAGCGCTCAATGATAAGAACTATTGGCGAGCATTCCGACTGAAAGTCGAGCGCGACCAGGCAGAGCAGGGTGCAAGGAGGTTGCACGCGAAGGCCGAGCGACGATTTTTCCGAGGTTCGTCATCGCCGTTGTCTGCTTGGTAGCTAGCGACCTGAATTTTCGATAGCGCACAACATGGAGCCAGCACCGCAGACAGTCGACGTTCACCGTCTGCACGTCCCAGAAGCTGTGGCCAGAACAGAGCAGGCTCTATACGATGCCATGGTCGCAGGTGCACCTGAGCTGCGAATAATCACCGGTCGCGGGAAGCATTCAAAAGGCAAAATCCCCATCCTTAAACTTGCGATCATCGGTGCGATGCGAGAGTGGGTGTATTATGCACGGGTCTCGGGTCATTGACTGATAGTTTGGCGCCACATAGTCATCACATCGACGCGAAGCCTGACATCTTGAACTCTGGCGTACTTCTCGTTAGGCCTCCAGCCAAGCCGGCTGAGGGTTCGTCTACCGCTTGATTTACCTCATTTTGGAGTGATACCTGGATATATACACCCTATCTGTATTTGGATATATGTATCGTATACTGTTCGTGTTCTCTCTCCGTATTGATACCCTGCGCCGTTGCTACATTTATCACTTTATACGCCGTCTCTACCGCACTGTATCGAATCCACCCGTAGAAAGCGAGTACGGCACCGATGCACCGCAGTCGTCCACCGACTCCTTGTCCGCGGTTACCTCGATCACCACCTCCCCGCCCACTCGGAAGACATCATAGAAGTCGAAGTGGCATCTGGAGGTCTGCATCTCGCCGTTGATGGTGACGCTCTTGACATATGCGGCGACGCCGGCGGGGATGGTCTCCTGCACAGAGCGTGGGTCGAAATTGGCTACCGTTATTGTCGTGTTGACACCCAGATAGCTGTTGTAGACGGTGTAGGTCGGTAGGAAGGGCGACAGGACAAGCATCTCTGTCGTACCGGGAACTGCCATGCCCGGGCGACACGTGAGTAGATGGTGGAGGACGGTGGGAAATGTTCATTACCAGGGTACAGGCCCAACAAATGCCAGGTGAGTACCGTTGCCATCGCTGCTTGATCATCATTTCCAGGAAGACCGGCCGGTGCTGGAAACATCCAAGTCAGTCCTGTGCAATGTTACCCGTTCATGTTATACCGTACTAATATCAAAGTAGGAGAACACCGTATTGTGTACTTGATCAACGCTCCTCGTCGGGCTGTTCGCATAATGGTAGTTGATCGGCGTCTGCGAAGAAATATTTGAGCCAGGCCTGCGTGTCCGAAGCATGCATCGACCCCTTACATTGAAAGATGGCTCATTTCCAACATTGAAATAGCTCGCCTGGAACGCGAAATGAGGCCTGGCTGACAGGAAATAGTAGATGACTTACATTGAAGAAGTGATCGAGCCGATCGATGAAGGTCGTCTGCACGACTGAGTGAGTAGGCAGGCATTCTCATATCAAAGAGCGCCACACATTGCCACCCATCATATCCACCAAGGAGGCCATATCGTGTGGCGCAAAGCTGTAATCCCTGCTCAGACAAAACCGCATGTAGTCAATTGTAGACTGCTCACTAGCTGTACTCCCATGAGGAGGACTCGTAGAATCCGACGATGTTATCATCTTGCAGCGAACATTCCCTGTTAGGATTAGGATCGGCCGGTGAACAGTCGATGGGGTCCGTGTAGTAGAAGGTGCCGTTCGGATAGCGCTTCTGCGCGAAACCTGGGCATCTTAAGAGGTTGCCATTTCGATCCACCACACTTCTCACTCACCTGTGAAACCATCGCTCTCGACAGTTGCGTCCCAGACATTTTTGTAGAACTACTGCACGCTCAGCACCCACAGCAAGTCGCAACGAGGTTGGTCACATACATATGAACGGTTGGTGTATGTAGCCACATCGTCAGTCTTGTTAAGTAGAAGCGCGACTTGGCGAATGGCAAAGTCTTCATACGCATACTGAAGAATTCATCAGGGTGTGGTCACGACGAAAGATATGACTCTGACCTCAAGCGTTCTGCTTCCTTCTCTGGTCATACGACCCGTGCTAGCGGTATCAAGCACGGCGAAAGGCACATAGCCGTATTGTCTGGAGATGACTGGAATGAGCAATGATGCTATAGGCGAGCAGCCAATTGTTTACTTGTAGACATTCGTTTGGCGGCCTTGAATGTTCCACTCTGGTGGGTTCACTTCTCCATCCTGTATCATGGCCGCATAAAGCTGTTCTAAGTCAATACCGAGAGCGGCTGCTTCATCGTGGTACGTCATTGCAAAGTGGCCCACGATGACATCCGCACTCGACCCTACCAAGCAATGTGAGACAAGCTATATTCAGACGGGGAAGTCCATCGTTACCTCCTTGAGTCCAGCCAGGAAGGTTGTTTGCACGGCAGTCTGGCATCCACCCTCGCTTCAGATAGCTGTCGATATAAGTGTCGACGATTTGAGCGAACTCTACTGGGGAGTGCAGAGCCAGCAGAGGATAAAACGTGCGGAAAGTATCCCAGCTGACAGAAACGTGAATACTATCCGAATGACTTTGAAGTCGGCATACCTGCAGTACAGCGAGTCAAAGTAGAAGTGAGTTGTATTTGCGAACACGCCTTGCGTCTCATCCGTGGCATTGTTCTTTCGTTACAGTGAGCATCCTATTGCAGCATATCTGGTCTGAACGACAACTTACAGGTGTTAATGATGCTCGGTATAGGGAGGAGTACAGCAGCTCGGTAATATTCGGCTCCGTGCGAGCAAAGTCGATCTGGACCTTGCTCAACTGCTCATTCCACAACGCTTTGGATTGAGCCATGATCTCCTCGAATGTCGCGCCACCAACTTCGCTCTCTGCATTGCTGCAGGCTTGCTCCACAGACACGAACGAAATGCCTACGCGGATAGTAATCTCTTCCGGCTGGCCTTCGTAGGAGAAGAGCGCGCCCGATTGGTACACATCGCCGATGAGGTCGATAGAGAGATTGAGGTGTGTTTCACCGAGGCCCTTGGCGTCGCCCCAATAGTCAAGGCCATATCTGCAGTATGAGCCTTCAGTACTTGCGCATCAAATCGGCCTTCTCGCCTACACAGACGAGTCTCACGTTTCACCTGTCCAGACACCGTATTCATCCAGTGTCTGATTTCCACCATTTAGAAGATCGTAGCATGCAAAAGCCTGATAATGGAACGCGCCGGGTCCGAAACTGAAACGAAGATGATTAGCAGCATTCAAGATCGCACGATAGGTTGATGGGTTACCTGGAGCCCCAGTAGCCGCCAATGGTGATTCTACCCATTTCGGGGTCGATGTTCAGCGATCCACCAGCGAACGATTCGGGAAGGTCGTTCGCAAGATCGAGAACAAAATAGGGCTTCGAGCCAGGAGGGAAGGTGAAACGCTCCAAGCCTGCACGACGTGTCGAGGTTGCCTCCATCTTGATGTCGTTGTTCATGGTCTGGGCGAAATAACCAGGATACGCTTCCTGCAGCGTAGAACAGTGAATAAAGTGCGATTGTCAAGTCCATGAGAGCATTACATCGGTATTGTTCTTGCGATAACGTTCACGGTCATCCAACCTGACTGTACACGTCTCAAAGCCTCCTGGACACAAGAGAGGCATGATCTCAAAGTTGCCATAGGTGCCTAGACCACAGTCATCGCAAATCACCATGAGATTCTCTGATTAAATAGGCGAAAGTAAGTATACCCAAAGACGATCCTGTGCCACTATCATGCATAGGACTAAGTCCACGGATCTTCTGTGTAGGGTCCGTAACATATCCTGCCCTAGAGTTGTCATCTTATGCAGCAGCAATGACATTACCCTCATCTGTACCTGCAGGGGCATAACCTGTCAAGTCTGTGGAAAACTTCACCTACGAGACGTCACGTTCAGAGCGAGACGAGTCCCACTAGCGGGCTTAACTCACCATTCCAAACGGTATCGAAGCACCAGGACTTGACGCCAGTGAGCGGGTCTCATCAGCTGAGGAAGCTAACTTACCAAACGTCGCCATAATTGTCAGTTCCGATGAAGACATTCACTAGGGACGTGTAATCGACATTGTAGGGGTCTGATGCAGCCTCGGCGATTGCAGCTGAGATACTTTCCTGCACGATTGAAGACGGCTGTGCATGCACGCAACCAAGAGCGATACCGATGGCCAACAATGAGGCGAGCTTCCTGGGAGGCGTCATGGCGACTGTCGGGGGCGAATGGCTCTCACTCCCTGTGAGACCGCCGACGAATTTGGCGATCCTTAAGTATTCCCAGCATCCGAGGTTGCCGTGTTGTTATCATTCATGAGCATACCATTGTCAAAATGCAACACATGCATCGCGCAGGGAATCCGATGTCAACCCGGGCGCGTGACCGAGATTGTTCGCGTAACTGACGTCTATCTGCCGTTAGGAAGCAATTCTGGATGCAATGGCGACCGGCAGAAGCAGAAACAGAGGTTCGCATTCTTTCTTTCCCTGTAATCCTCGGGGAAGCTGACTAGAGACAAAGGAGAACTGGTGGGATATGGGAACTTCAGATAACAGCCGAGAAGTGTACCTTTATGCGACCGAAAGAGCCCTTGTCTGATCCTGAAGATGACACATCTGTCGCCTCGAACAAGGGACTTCAGCTGAGCAGTGACATTCATTCACCTCCATGGTATGCTTTATCGGAGTCCTGCGCAGATCTTCGTAACCTCTTTCCACACAAGATCAATGCCCTGCCCGTCTGGACCCCAGAACTCAAGTTCAGCGGTAGAGAGTGGGCTCAAGACATAGTCTGCCGGATCGGTATCGTCCCGTCCAATGCCAATCCTCAAACGGTAAAAGTCCATGTTGTTACCCAGCGCGGCGATGATACTGCGGATACCGTTGTGTCCACCGGCAGAGCCCCCGGACTTCGGAGAGACTGACATGGGCCTGTGGTCCAGATAATCGTGGATCACGATAGTTTCTGATGGCGATATGGAGAGGGTGTGAAGAGCCTCAGCGACTGGCTTGCCGGAAATGTTCATCAATGCTTCTGATCGGCAAGTGGGAACTCAGAGAACGTTATGCCCGCGTGGTGGATGAATTTCATACTAGGCTTGTATAAGGTGATATCAACGATGTTCTTGCCCATTGCGACACCTGTCTTGCTCGCTCTGAGTCCGCGAGTGGGTCTATCAGACACGAAGGACACCCCGAGCCGTGAAGCCAATGAATCAACGACCAGATGACCAACACTAGAGAAGAAACAAACGTTTTCGAAATTGGATCCTACGCCCTCATGATTGATGGTCATACCTGTGTCGCGTCAAAGGGTAGGGCAGATTGCCAAGGCCGACGAGCAAGAAATGTGGCACAGCATGAACCATATGGAGCTCGTTTCCCGGTGATCGTCCTATATTCAGTCCCAGATATTATGTCTGCAGAACACTGATTGTTGAGGGGTTTGCAGGGCTGATGATGTCCTCGCGGAACAATGCAAGGGCGAGGCTGGGCAAGGTCAAAGGCGGCGGCGGGATCGTTCAGTTGAGGATCCGGATTTGGTCATCTTTCCCACGGCAGCTACAGTCGGCGTAACGCACGCACGTGAATCCCCGTCCTTGCTGCATCCTTGAGCTCAGTCTCTCTCTCTCTCCGAACGTGCAAGACGTTCTGCGGACAACTCTGCAGTGCTCGCGGTGCACGATATTGGCATCGAAGAGTCCCGTGAGCACCTGTTTCAATATTGATCGTGTGGTGATGAAACGTGCGTCCGCGAGCGCTCAGCCCGGTGCTCCAGGATGACCGTATCGCCCTCACACCACTGCCCCGACTATCATCTCCGCTGACCGCTCTAATTTCTAGCCAGCGTTCTTTGACACTGCAAATTGCTACTACGCTACGCAACAAGCAGAACATGGCTACCGTCACGGAAACCGCTGAGCTTCGTCGCCGCCGCGTCCCCAGCGGACGTCGCTTCTCCACTGTACAGGCTGGATCTCACATCACTCATTCTCTCTGCCAGTCCCTACCCCACTCTCTCGAAGCTCTAGATCTCCATAATGCGTCTCTCATTCCATCTCTCGCCACCCTACGCCATCAAGTTCTCTCCTGTCTTGCAGATCTCGAGGCACGTCTTTCCATGCTCGACTCACCGATATCACCCGAGTCGCTCAAGACGAAAGGGGAGCTTACGGTGGAAGAGGCAAGAACATGGGCCAGGGATGGGCTGCAGATGCTCCGTTCGATCCGGGATGATGTCTGCTCCCACTTCCCTGACTTCAACCTCGAGAACGTCAAGTCGCACATGCCCGACGTCTCGGGACTTGACGGTATGCGAGCGCACTTGCCAGACATGCCAGATGTGCGCTCTCGATTGCCTGACGTGGACATCTCCGACATGCGCGCTCGTCTCGACGACATTCGCTCCCGGATCTCCGATATAGATTTCTATAGACCTCGCGACTACGTTAACACGCTCTCGGAGCATCTACAGTCACTTCAAGCACACTTATCTTCGTTCGAGCTTCCTCATAGCATTCCCTTGTCAGCGATGTCACCCAGCACTGCACTCGCCGACCTATACGACAGAGTGATCTCTTCCGAACTCATCTCTGAGATTTCCTCTGACCTACGGGAAGGCGAGAAGGTCGCGCTAGACATTGCGTGTGCCGTCAAACAGTCATTGAACGGGTCTCGTCTAATCCAATATGTTGATCTGCCCCACCCTTGGCGTAATAATCCTTTCGTCATGCACGGCTACCGGTACGTTGCCTACGAACTCCCAGGCTCTTGCAATGTAGAGGCTGAACCGGCTACAGATTTATTCCTCTCCAAGAATGGCCTCGTCTGATTATGTCCCTATTTGCGTTGCACAATGAGACTCGTACGTTCCTACCGACAGCGTCTTCCACAAATCATACTGATGTCCGCGGGCAGTGAATATCCACACGCATTTGATACCCTTTGTGGCATGGCTTGTCGCGCTTCTACCGTTCTCTCCATTTTCTTCTGCCTCAGTTCAAACAGACCCTCCAGTACTCGCATTCACCGCATTCGCACTGCTCTGCCTGTTCACGAGTGCTCTGTGGCACACCATGGCCGGATGTGCACATCCGAAAGGGATGGAGCTTTGTGCGCGAATAGACTACGTTGGTATCGGCTGGTAAGTGCTGAATCCGGGTGTTCACTGAACTCTGACTTAGCGGTGTCGTAGGCTTATCAGCGCCTCTGTTGGGACTGTGGTGCATTATGGATTCCGGTGTAATCCGATGGCTTGCAGCGTGTTCTTGACGCTGTGCTTGACGATGGGACTCTCGGGAAGCATTCTCCCCTTCACGGAGTGGTTCAACAAGTACGAATACCGGGTAGGTAATCTTCGCCAATAGTTTGCTGTGTTTCCTCAAACTATCCTGTGTCCAGGGTTACCGCATCGCATTTTTCGTGGCTCTGGCGTTCACAAGTATCGCGCCGCTAGCCTGTCTTGCTTACCTCCACTCCACAGCCGAGATGCTCGCCTTCATTCGTAAGTCTCCACGTTCACTGCCATATCTGATGTCTTGCTGATGCCTGCACAGGACCGATCTCGCCCTCGTTCGCCTCCTACATCGCAGGGCTCGTCTTCTACGCGACACACTTCCCGGAGTGCTACCTCTCGTCGCGCTGGGCGCATTCGCATGTGCTCGACCGATTTGGCGGCGGGTCGCACGCGATTTGGCACATCTTCATCGTCGTTGCGATCAGCCAGCATAAGGCTGGGATGGATGAGCTCAAGAGGGGTATCGGAGAGGCGTGTTGGTGACGTTGGGGTTTGCGTCGGCGCTTGATGTGCAGGGATGGTACTCGGCGTTGCGCTGTGGTGTGCAGTGTATGATGCCCCTCGTGGTCTCTACCGTAGTAATGCCTATTTGCCGACTCTGCATTAGTCGGTGCGGAGATGATATGTTCACTTTGATGAACATGCGATGGAACAAGACCTGGTCGATGAGATCTTACATCAGACCAGCGTACAGAAGGACATCTGAAGAGTCCTGGCACTCGATCGTGGAAATGTCAATTGTGCGTGAGTGACTCTAGAAGTACATGCGGGCATCATGAATAAATTATGCGCAACGGGGCAGATCAAGCGGCGGATGAGGCAGGGGATGCGGCGACGGATGCGGCGGCAGATGTAACGTTCCCCGGCGCATCAGAGACTTCCGAAGTGACGTTTGTGATGTTCGGAGATACCACCGGAGGGCGGTTGCTGTCGATATTGATGAAACCCATGTCTTGCCACGCCGGAGTAGACGTAGCCTCTGATGTAGCGTCCGTATTCGACGAGTCAGGCAAGAGAGCGTCCGTGTCCAACACCATACTGTGACGTTTGCGCGGACCCATCTGTCCAGTCTGAACATCGTCCCTGCGGGCCGGCTGGGACGGCGGCGCAACGTCCATGGTGTCGGTGGTGTACCCGGGGCCTTTGGGAGGCGGAGTCCAGTCTGCATTCTTGGAGAACGTGGACTTCGCGACGCTGGCGGTTGACGTTGCAGTGCTCTGCTGGATGCCATCGGGAGAGAAAACGTCGGCAAGGACGCTGTGGATCGCATAGGAGCCGTTCGTCCTGACTTGGCCGAGATCCTGCATCCCTGAACCCGGGGCTTTCATGAAGGACGAGAGACCGGGTCCTGACGGTGGTGTAGTGGGCTGCGGAGGGTCAGCCTGCAAGGCTTGGAGACGCGCGCGTTGTTCTTCGTCTGTCTTCTCGTTTCGCTTCAAGATATCCGCGCCATTCATGAGGGAAGACCAAGACGCATTCTGAGTGGCATCGAAGTTGTTGACACGGATCTGACGACGAAGGATATCCAGGAAACGGAAGTCTTCGAAGTGCTCGTGAGACGAGGGAGTTGCATGGGGAGGAGTGGTCTTGTTCATCAAAGGTGGGTTGGGTATTTCTGTGAGGCCCGTGACCCCCAAGGTCCCGTCCGGCAAAGGGACGGTGAATTCGATGGGGACCGCCGAGACCGATGCGATGGCGAGCAATGAGAAGATGGTGGCCGCCGAGAAAAGCATGATGGACGACTGTCGTTCGTTGAGAGATGCCGTTGTTGATGAGACAAGATCAGAAGGGGCGGACAAGAAGGCGACCTGTTGAATGACGAGGAAGAAAGACCAGTGCGACTCTGCGGACCGAGAGTATCTCTTATTTATGTCGGGCAGACACTGTCAGCCCTCAGGGCTGACAATCGCGTTGCGCGGACATTTCAATCCCGATCAGTGAACATCGGCGCGTCCTACAGTCAGCAGTAGTACCTGCTCAAGAGGAGCATCATCCACCCCTGCGTAAATTTGCACATCGGGCCAACAGCTGGCACATCGTTACGCGGGATCGACGGCTTCGGCACTGGCATTGCGGACACGAGGCAGGCTGCGCGTCCTAGGCGTGATACCGAAGCTGATGAGCCAGAATATCTTGCGAGCAGACAGAAAAAGCGGAGACGGCTAGTAATACGGGGCATGATGCATGGGGGCTTGGGTGCGCAGATGGAGAACGCATGGCAGGATATGTGAAGGTGGGCGAAAGGTGTGCGTTCGCAGACGGGGTGCGGTACGCGGCCACGTGCGACGCGCCTAGCTGGCTATTGTTTTCCATCCAGACAATGAGGACAAAGAGATTAAAACACAGACATGAGGCTAGTAACCCGGGCTTGTTTTTCCTTTTCTCTCGCTCGCTGCTACGTTCGTCGACGACCCCTCAAGCTGCGTCGCCGGTCGACGTAGTCTATAACGATGTCTCATGATCGCTGGAATTCTCCTCCGCCTGGCTATGGTGCTCGCTCCTCCGTCTACTCCTCCACGGCTCTGAAACCCTATCTCGAGCTTCCGCATTTGCTCTCCTTGACATGGCTGGCCTATCCAATCCTTTCTTTACTTTTCGTCGCGTTCCGCCTCAAACTATCTGCCGACTCTGCCCAAGACAGCATCGCATCTGCCAAAGATGATCTCTTGACTGCTTGCAATGCTGCGCAGAAAGCAGCCACCTCTGCGGCGAGCATGCCGCGCTATCTCGCGTTGAATGCGAATGACCACATCGCCGACGCCGTGAACGACACCATGGATCTCGCGCGCGATGCCTTGACTGGTGCACTGACGGTCATGGAGGCGATCATCAATTTCATTGTGGACACGTACCGCTCCACTTTCCTCTGCTTCCTGGAACTCGTGGTGCGTGGTGCACTGGACCTATTGATCGGTGCAGTTGAAGAGGTGAGCGCCTACATCGGTTCCCATTTCTGCGCGTATTCAACGTCCCCCAGATCAACACGTACATCACGAGTCTATTCAGCGGCATTCGCACTGCGATCCAGGGTAGTGTTGAAGGAGTGAACGACGTCATTCAAGAGGTCGCCGATGAAGTCAGCAAGCTCAAGGTCTTCGGCAATCTCAACATCTCCAATATTACCATACCGGAGCTGAGCGAGCTCGAGAATGTCACGCTACCGACAACGTTTCAGGATGCGCTCCAGAAGCTGAACAGCTCGTTGCCTACTCTGTCTCAGCTGAAGAGCGACATTGACGACTTGTAAGTGCGCTTCGCCACGGCTCATGGGACACGTCTAACGGATGTGCAGGATTGACACGCCGTTTGAGCTCGTGAAGAAAGAGATCAACGAGACTTTTGCGAGTCTTTACTTCAACAAGTCTGTGTTACCGGTGCCTCAGCAGAACAGCCTCAGCTTCTGTGACGACATGGATACGTCGTGGGTGGACGACCTCGGGCAGGATCTCGTCAAGATTGCTGAGATAGGCATCGCCATCATTATCGTGATCGCGGTTCTGCTAATTGCGGCGAACTGCATGTTCGAGTGGTACAAGTGGCGCCTGCTCAAGAGGCACCTCCAGCGGACGCGCGAGGCATGGATGTCGGACCCCGCTGTCTACAATAAGGGTTCGGCACCGATGGTGGACATGAGCGATCACAACCTGCTGATCCTCGCAGCGGACTCGCAGCACCCTCATCTGATGAAGATTGCCAACGCCATGTCCACTCTCTTTCGACTGGGTCCTTCACAGTATATCAACCTACGATGGTTTCTTCACTACGTCTTCCATCCACCCGCGCTCGCATGTTTCCTCATAGGGTTCTTCGGTCTGCTATCGGTCGAGATCCAACTTGCTGCTGTGCGGCCTCTCGCAGACAAGTTTTCCGATGCGGCCAGCGAGTCGGTCTCGAACTTCACCTCCCTGATTGCCACAAACATCAACAGCAGTATGTACAACGAATCCTCTGTGTACGCAAGTACCATCAACGCACGCGTCGACGCGGTGCAGTCGTCCCTCAATGGCGGCCTGTTCGGCTGGATCGACAACACGACAAGCACGCTCAATGCAACGATCAACAACTTCTACGATGACCTTCAGGACGCCATACAGACCGTTTTCAACGGGACAGTGCTCGAGAGCCCGATCGAAGAGTTCATCAAGTGCTTCATCGGCGGCAAGGTCAACGACATCGAGGAGGCGCTCACGTGGCTACACGACAACCTAAACGTGAATTTACCGACGGTGAATGAGTCTGCGCTCGTCCTGTCGCCGTCCGACATCGACGAGATCACCACGCCGATCGCCGGTGCCGCGATGGGCAGCGGCGACGGGGACGACGATGGGATTGTGGGCGATATCGTCAATGCATACATCAAATCCCTGAAGGAGGAGCGGCTCATGTTCGGCATCTTCATGGCTTTGTGGGGCGTCGTCGTCCTCATGGCACTCTGCATCCTTTTCTGGTACTCGTACGGCCGGAACTGGGTTGAGGCGTATAATAGACGGCGGTGGAGGAAGACACAGCGGGAAGGACTCGATACTCTCGTCATACCCGTTCGCGAGAACAGCACCCATGCCATTGACAGAGAATGGAATAACAGCATGCAGGGCATGCAAAATCCAGGGCGATACAGCGAATTTGGCGAAAAGGGAAGAGATACCGGCTCGAGTTCTCTTCGTCGCGCACCAAGCGTGCGCAACCCCGAGTACGAGAAGAGTTGGGATAGCTACCTCGATCACGCATACAGCAATCCGCCTTCTGACGGCGCAGCCGGACTAAAGATCAGTCGGCCGATGAAGCTCATGCCTACGGGCAAGGAGCGGAGTGGAGGAGACGCTGAGGATCGTCATGATGATCCGCAGAGCGATGCACATCGGTCAGCATCGTGGTCGATGCGCCTGAAGGGTCTCCTCCCGAAGCACGGCGGAGGCAGCACCGAGCACGGTGGGCATCAGGAGCAGCGCGGTTCGTCGCGGTACACGCGCATGTTGCGCAGACAGCGGGGCCGCAGCCGGGAGGACATCGAAGACTGGGTCGATGTAGGTGAGGATGGGTCTATGCGTGAGCGGGCCCGCCCATCGCTCATGATCAACACGTCGTATGCGTCCTCTACGACGCTTGGCGACCTGCCGGAGGTCGAACTGCCCAAGGAGGGCGCGGGCCCGGTGTCGGCGTGGTCAACGTCCCCCGGTACACCGCCACGGATGCCTTGGATGAACGCGGTGTTCCCGACTGTAGCGAGCAAGGCCACCAACCCGTATCTGCGCTCGAAGTCCACGAACGCTGACCACGCGGCTGTCGACTCGCATACCATTGGCATCAAGGCTCCCACGCCTCAGGTCCCTGTCCCTCTATACCACGGCTTTCAGGCCCCGCCAGAGACGCCCTCTGCTCGGCTCTCGATGACACTGCTTCCTCCGCCTGTGCACCCCAGCAGGAAAGAGATCCTTGTCGATACAGATGACGCGGTGCGCCACTCGTTGACCTCTGAGCTCTCTCCATTCAGCCTCTACCCGCAACAGCCCACACTCCGGGTTCAGAGCTCTATACGCCTCGTGACTATCACACAGGCGCGACAGCCCTCCCTGGTAGACCCATTCGTGACGCCCTTTGACGACGAGAATAGGGTCCGGGGGCAGGTCTCCTCGGGCGACCACTTCGCAGACTTCTCTGAGAGAACCAATTGGTCCACAAACCCGTTCATTGCGACTTCTCATTGAGACTACTGACTTAACGAACACGGACAACTTTGGACCTTTTTTGACTAATGTATCTCAAAGATCATCTGGCATGTTGGCTAATCGTTGTTGCTTTCACGTTACATACTTCCTGAACTACACTGATATTGAGATTCGTTGTTTACGACTTGTAGCCCATCAATGTAGCCCATACAGCACCTGCTGACTGCTTATTTCGTCGATGTAGCACCTTCTACCTCAGCGCGTGGCCTTCTTGACCAAGCATATAATACATCGCATACGCGTAACAATGGGGATTACAAGACAATTATCCTGGCTATTTTCGACCTATCTGCAGCATGAGTCGGAATCAAGCAGTTGGACGGAATAGTCCGCCAAAGGTCTACGGCCGTTTAGCACTTTGGTTCCTCTTGAACAAATAGTGACCGATGCCCCATCTGCGCTGCAGGTCAGACTTAGAAAATAGGATATTGAACAATATACGGACTCTTGACCACCGTTCAGCCCAAACAGCTCCTCGCAAGCCATGTAGAAGACGCGGAACCTGACGCACGCCAACAGACATGAGATTGCAGCTTGTCATTCTAGATGATGGCGCTCCTCACCGATAGAACGTCTTCTTGCCCTCCTCTGCCTCCAGCCCTTGAAGAAATGCATTCTTTCGGAGCTCTTCAATGCCTTCCGCGGTATGCAAGTCCTGGCGCTTGAGCCAGTCCCTGCATGTGCGCGCGTAGTGCTCCCCACTGAGATACCAGCTGCGCACGAGGGCGAGGTCCTCCTGAAAGTAGAGCTGGATGTTGTCGATATGACAATATCAGTACCTTACAGAATTGCGAGTGCGAAAAACATACAAGAAGATCATGCGAAGGCATTGTGCCGCCTGTTAGAACAGTCAAGCTCAAATGTGGGGTTATGCAAGACAAACGAACCGGAGAAGAAATTCTGCGCCATCCAGCCGTCATTTTCTTCGAAATGGTAGGGAGTCGTGCGATGGCAGAATATATGCACGAAAAACAGCGAGTCAGAGTTGGGACGTAACCAGGACGCCACCTTCGCCATGAGCATCTTGTAATTTTTCATATGCTCAAACATCTGACAAAAGTTACTTCGTGGCTGCACGGCACAGCAGCTGTCATGTTTACCTCGATTGACAAGATACGATCGAACCTGGTGAGAATGATCGCTTCGCCTTCAAATTGGCTATAGAGACGGACACATCACGTACGGTTTACCATTCTCAAAATCGAAGTCGTTGACATCGGCTGTAATGACCTATGAGCCCGTCAGAACTTGCCAACGGACGCATGTTAATTGCTCACCTCAATATTCGTGATTCCACGCCGCACTTTCTCCGCTTCGATATGTAGCTTCTGCGTTGCAGAGTTGGACAGCGCCGTAATGCGAGACTTCGGATATTTCTGCAGAGAGAGGTCAGCCGGCGATTACGTGCGTACTGATAATTGTACCTCAGCGAGATACAAAGTCAAGCTGCCCCAGCCTGTATCTATATCAGTAAAGGCTCTTCATATGATTTCGAGCATGATCCGTACCGCATCCAAGATCGAGTATATCCATGCCGTCCCGCACTTGTGCTTTGCGACAATAGCTATCTAACATCAGGACCTCTGCTTCCTCAAGTGTTTCTCTTCCTGTTGGGAACAGACAGCACGAGTACTTTGCGTACGGTCCCAAACAAGACAGCATGAAATTCGTTGAAATCTGCAGAGTGTTCGTTAGCATGCTTTTAGCACATGCTTGACGTATTATCAACTTTCACCTCATAATGTTGCTCATTCGCTTTCTTTGTATGATCTGCGATGCTATCTCGCGCGCGCACCCGCTCAATCCATTCCATCTTCGCAGCATGGTTGGCCTCGAATGAGCCGTGGTCGATTTCACGCAACCTCTGCCGACATAGAGCGCGTATCACAGCGCGTATAACAAAGTCTGGTATCAGACCTTTATGGCGACATGAGGTAAGTATCCCATCCTGATGTGAATGCAAAACGCTCGACTCACTTTATCCAGCAGAGCATAGCCAACTCGCAGAGTGGCATCCGTGAACGGCATGATGGCTGTTCAGTGAGAGAGCTGTTGTGCGTCATGCCTTAAATATATATGGGCTTCGAGCTTAAAGGATAGAATGTCAGCGGAAAGAGGAAATGCATCTGCTGCGTTGAGAGACTGTCAGTGCTGCCGCGATGCATTTCGCGAAGACACATCGCGGAGCACTGGTCCACGTGACCCTGTGCGTTACTCTTCTCCAAAGTTGCTCCAAAAAGGGCTCACACGAGCAGCTGCCTCTCGTTCTCTCATCTCATTTTCGCAGGTTCACCCACTCGTCTGGATGTCCATAACACGGGGATGGTCCTCATCTACTTTGCGGCATACTAGTCGAGCTCATTCTGCGGCCGCCTTTGATCGGTACAATACCATCCGTAACTTCTTCAGCTACCGTACCCCGTCATTGTCATGTTCTGGTCCTCAAACATCCCCTCAGGGGCGACAACGCGCCGTTGTAAACGTGGTCAAATTGCAGCTCCGTAATGCACACCCCAAAGCAGATCTCCGTTGGTTCTCCTTAACGGCCCGCCGAAACACGGATCGCGAGCGAAAGGAACTGGAAGAGGAGAGCACGAAACATAAAATAACGCCATCATCGAACAGTCAGGTAGATATGCACGAGGAGTATTCTCCTGAGAAAACCAACCCTCAGCAGCTCGAAAACTACTCTCGTTTCTTCCGAAGGCTTGCCAGATCTCTCCCGCATGTCCACCGACCAAGTCGAGACGACTTTCTAAACGCCGCCAATGGCTTTTGGCAACGCGCACGAGTACGCTTCAAATGGCTTACAATCAGGTCTTTTCGCAGGTACAATGCAGACGACATATCCGCATTTGTTACTTGGTTTTTCATGAGTCAGACATTATGGCTCTTTGTGGGAACGTATGTGTGCTTCCTCTGGTATGACTTGAGGATTGGCTCACATTGCTTTTGCAGGACCACTTTTTTCTCAGTCATATTTGCCGTGGCGAACAGCTTGCGTTTGCAAGGTCTGTTTTCCTTATCATGACGAGTTGAGACTTCCGTTCACGCTATGTCGAAGAATACGTCGCTCGCGCTATAAGTGACTATCTCACTGCTGAGACGGGCATCATAATAATCTTCGAGTCTGCCGTTGTGCCGAAGTGGAAGGACTCGCGTATCTCATTCAAGAATGTCTATATCATCCGTGGTCCAGCAGGCGTTGACATCGCAAAGAAGCGAAGGTCTGCTATTCAAGCGGGCCACAAGGTGGCAGCCGGCTATGATGTCAGCAACCATCCCTCATACCACGCTATCGGAGAAGAGACCGAGGAGGAACAGGTCGAAAATCATTCGGAAGATGACACGAACTACTCAATGTTCGATTTGAGCGTGGACTCGGTTGATGTCACACTTTCGTTTGCTCGATGGATGGAAGGTAGAGGTCTAGTTGTCGACGCGGTCATCAAGGGTGTCCGAGGAGTGTTAGGTGCTTGTATCTGCAATGAATGTTCTGTGCAGCAGCTCATTGGGATTCATTAGATCGGCGCGAGGTGACCTGGGATCCGGATAACCCGCCCGACCCAGCAGCGTTCCGTCATGTTGCACAACCTGGAGATTTTGAACTCGACTCGCTCCAGCTCGAGGACGTGTTGATTACTGTATACCAGCCTGGAGGGTTCCGCCCGTACACAGCATCTATTTTCCGCGCCGATATACGTACCTTTCGCAAGCAATGGCTGTTCTATGACTTCCTCTGTGCAGAAAATGTGGTCGGTCAATTCGATAATTGCCTATTCAGTTTGCACAAGCCACAAAGCATCGGAAGAACTACGGAGCAAGATCTTCGAGATGGACAATGGGCGCGCATGGTATGTTCATGTCCCCGTAATCAGGAAATGCCATTGTTCATGTCCATATTTCGTATCTAGTCTCGCTTCCGCATGGACGGTGTAAATGTTGACCATCTGCAAAGTATGACAACACAAGAAGGTCCCTTTTCCTGGATTACCACAGGCAAAGTCGACGCAGTACTTGATATCAAGTTCCCTCGTGACCCACAGGAAGATTTGCCTCTGAATGCTCTCTTAGGCGAACTCGCAGACGCGATCACAACTGCGGCGTCGTCAGTCACCACCGAACGCATCCCAGGTCAACGAGAGCTAGCAAAGCCGCCGCTCAGTGCACCATCAGACGGCGAACGTGTGGCGGAGGACGAGCCGCACGTCGTGATTGACATCGATCTGCGATTCCGGGACTTGAAGGCCGCCGTGCCGTTGTTTACGCATGATTTGAGTTATGTGAACTATGCGTTAATCAGACCTATCGTTGCGTTCATGAAGTATAAACAATTGTCTAATGTTGTTGCAAAATTATATTGACATGCACGTTCTAGTGTCAATCGGACATTGGTCCCCATCCGATGCCGAGTCATAAAGCCGCTAAACGACTTTGAGGGTTCATGGACTGTGAGTGCCCTACCTGCTATTTTCTCTTCTCAGGATGCTTACGGTTCATTTCCATAGTTATGGGAAAGTAGGTGTGATCATGGGGTTCTTTGTGCATTTCGCTTACCAATTTCTCTAGCTGGTCTCATGGATGCTATATCGGAGAAGGTAAAGTCTTTGTTCTATCTCTAAATAAGCGCCAATGCTTAGCCGCTCATGTCCATAGGTGTATGAAGCAATGGCATATCACGTCACCCAGGTCAACTTCAACCGCAGAGTAAAGGCGGTCAGTGCATGGAGCTTGCAGCTGACTGCAAGCGCAATGATATCCGCCTTGAAGACCCTCGTCGACCCGGTGGCTGCACACCTCCGTGACTTGTACAATGAAGGTATTCCACATGACGTGACGTTTCATGAGGACCCTTTACAGCATCGAGTGGCCAACCATGCGCATATCGGAGACTCTGCAGCTCATTCTGTATAACCATACATACCACATTTCTATCAAAAGTATTCTAGTACATATAAAATCCGCAAACGCTGGCAATACCGACGACATGTATCATTACAAACATTCTCCCTCGCTTAGTACGAAAATACACAGTAACATGAGTCTAGACAGAACGCGGGACAGCATATATGTTGAATCGTGAGGACAGTAGCGGACTGATGTGGAGGCCAGAGCTCAGTCATCGCGGAACTTCTTCAGCCGATCTGCGAACGTTCCGCTGAAGACCGCAAGGACGACCATGATGATTACCCAGAGGTGACCGTCGAGCACGTGCTTGGACACCGAGAAGGCGAACAACGAACTACGACGTTCGTAAGAGGCGTTGTTGACGCGAAAATGAGGGAGCTCCTACCTGACGATCGTCGGGGAGAAGACCGCCGCCAGTGACTGAGCAAACTCTGCCAGTCCGTTGGACGTCCCGAGCGACGAGGTACCGGGCGTGTGGTCCTTCGTGAGAAGCATGATGATTCTGCGCAAAAGCTGGTCGAATCTGCATCTCCGCTTTCAATGTGACTTACTTACGAAAATGCCATGGTGCCGATGCGCGAGAGGAACAGCACGAAGCTGACGGCCACCCATTCCACCGCACGTCCCTCCGGCTGGACTGCTCGCTGTGCGATCAGCGAAAGCAGCGACATGGATGCGAACGTCACCGGCCACGAGCGCATGCAGAAACGGAACATCGTCAGCGTGCCGAAGCGCCGCAAGAGCGGAGGCAGTGATAGCTTGAGAAATATTGAGACGGTGCCCATGATCGTTAGCGCTTGGCCTATCTGGGCCGGCTGGAAGGAAGAAGTAACTGAGCGCGAGTCCAGATATTGTATTGTAAGCACAGCTGCACACCTTCAGCCCAAGGCCGCCGTTCTCGACGGAGGTGTAGGATTGGAGGACAAAGACGGTGTTAAAGCAGCTTGCGACGAAGGCCAGTGCGCCGCTGGACGCGCAGACCATTAAAATGACGGGCGTGGACAGGAGGACCTTGACGCCGAGTGGCTTGGAAGGAGAATCCATAATTTCGGCCTCGTCGATCGTACTTTCCGAGGACTCTATGAGCGCAGAGTCTTCATCTAGATCCTTGAGTAGCGCAATTCTTCCCGGAAGGGTCTGCAACGCATACACGCTACCTTTAGAGTGAGCGAATAGAGCGGGAAGTCTTGCGTACCTCTTCTAAGACAAAAATAGCCAAAAATAGGGCGACTAACGCCAATAATGTTGTAATTAGGCAAGGGAGAAAGTACGGGTAGTTTCTCCAGAATGGTGTATCGAACCATCCCGGATACTCGGTAGCGGGGTTGGCAAATGTCCCCCCGATCAGAGGACTGGATAATGTTAGCGTATCGTAAGTTGCTGGCCCGGACATTCACGCACCCGAGTGCGAAGCCGACTGCAGAGACAATATCATAGAGAGGAAATGCAGTTGCCTGGTTTGTAGAGTCTGTGAGCTCGCCAACGACGGAGTGTATGGCGCTAGTGGTCGCAGAAAATCCTCCAACTAGTGTGGACAATAATGAGACGATGAGCTGACTGGCAGGAACGGTACAGGACGAACTTAGGAACTTTGTTACAAGAACCGAGGAGAATGACCGAGAGAGGCCAAATAAAAGCGTACAGACCGCAGTCAAGGCGGTCCCGGAAATGATGATCGGCTTTCTTCCATACCTGTCTTCCGGATTTATGAGCGGCGGTATTCTTACTGAAAGCACGAGTCGACAACTTACCGGACAGACGCCCCCAGGCGTATATGGTCAGGATGTGAGCTATTGACCCGGCGGATCCCTGCGTATTTTACAATCGTTCTCGATGGTCTCGGGTGAGTAATGAAATCACAAACCACTAGCCCGCTGTAGTATCCTGTGTCTGCATCATCCGACCCAACGAGTTCCGCGACGAGGAGATTGATGTACGGCATAGACTGGGTTGTTGCCAGCGGTATCATCAACTTGACTGCGTACACCACGGCGAGCTGCAATTTGGGTAGAGGGCTCGGACGCGTCGCCTTTCGGGCACTTTCAAGGAGAGAAGTGGACTCAGAATCCATGGTGGTATTGTCCTGAGCGAGAACTCGAGGCTCCTGGTCAGACATGGTGAGCAGCGAGCTTGGTAACGCGTGTTCGCACGGACCCGAGGCTTATATATCGCATTGTGGCAGTAGATGCAAGTTCGCCATCCACGCCACCGAGCACGCTCAGTACCATGCCAGATCAGTCCCGCGGCCCCGTATAACGGCCACCGCATCACGTGCACAACTATGACATCCGCGCCTAGCTCCTTGACAGGCGCCCGCCACTTGCATTGCCTTTTGCCCGCATCCGTTTATCCCCTCTTGACTACCGACCGTCATGAGCACCGCCGAGTATACTACTTCACCTCCCCCCTACCGGGGCTCTCCAGCGAGCAAGCACTCCAGTATATCGCCAGCAGATGAGGCTGCGCAGCCCCTCTTGGGAAGCCCTGCAGGCCCCAGTACAGGTCTCGCGGGCGGTATTTATGACCAACCTGCATTCGGGGACGTCCCTGACGATTTCAAGGTGCGCACGCTTCCATTTTAGCCCAACTCTTGCTCATTGAAGAACATCATAGTATGGGACCACGGTGTCCGAGAGCGTATTGGAGATTCGGAATGCATTCGTCCGAAAGGTGTACACTATCCTGTGTGAGTGGCATCTCCTAACGGCTTCTTTGAAAGGAACTGATGGTGCATTTACAGTCTGTCAGATCGTGAGTGTGCTTGTAAATTTGTGTCTATGTCATTATGAGACTAAGCTGTGGCGCTCCTAGTTGGCCACTTGCGTTGTAGCGGGCATCATCTCGCATTCACCCAGTACCATCTTCTGGGTCACAACTCAGTAAGTGTTACCACTGTTCCCGTGGGATCTACTTGTGTTCTAATTCAGATTCGTTCAGTCTGTGGTCGTTCTATGTACCTCTTTTCGGCACCCTCATCAATCTCGGTCTGCTCTTCTGGAAGCGTCACAGCCACCCAGCAAACTTTATTCTTCTCTCCACGTTCACTCTTTTTGAAGCGTTCACGCTTGGCGTCACCACTGCGTTCTTCGACAACCTGATTGTTCTGCAGGCGCTGTGAGTACCAAGACGGGCAGGTCCGCTATACTGCGCATGACTCATTCGATTCGTGCTTTTAGGCTCATCACCTTGGGTGTGTTCCTCGGTTTGACGCTCTTCACTTTACAATCCAAGGTAGTTCCCCCCGATTATTGGTCTCAGGTCATGTCGTTGACAAAGAGCTGTCTAGTATGACTTCTCCGGAATGGGTGCCTGGTTGTTCGGCGGTCTGATTGCCCTCAGTACGCTTGGGTGCTTCCTTTCCCATCATTATTGATACTCAATTTGCATGTGCATGTAGTGATGACTGGTCTCGTCGGCATCTTCGTGCCGTTCAGTCGGACGATGGACATCGTCTTTGCTGCGGGCGGTTGCCTCATCTTCAGCGGCTATGTCGTCTATGACACGTACGTCATCACTAAGCGGCTGTCTCCCGACGAATACATCCTGGCTGCGATCAGTCTCTACCTCGAGTGAGAGATCTTTGCCTTTCATATATCACCAATTGCTGACGCTTCCTTCCATGCACTCAGTTTTATCAACCTCTGTAAGCATCATTGTAATACATCTGTTGTAACTCGCAACTTAAAGTTCTCCTCGTTTGCAGTCATCAATATCCTCCGGCTCCTCAATGATACGCAGAACAACTAAGCAACGTGTGCACGTGGAAATGAGATGTTCCTGATCGATTTTTTCGGCTGTATCATTGCTGCTTATAAGTACAACTCCGCCTATTGTTATCTGTTGACTATCTTCCATTCCATGTATTATGTTCTTTTGCTGCGAATGTATGATGACAAATAATTTGACAGCGATATTGTGTCGTTCGTCATGAGTTGGACTGAAGTTCGACATCCGCCAAGGTTGGAATCACATTGAACAGGAAAGAGACGTCGACATTCCGGACAGGCCGCTTAGCGAGAAATTTGTGATCCATCGTCCGGTTTCGACGGTGTCGAGTACTTCGCGCTTCCATATTTCCTGACCTTCCTGTATCATGGGTAGCCGGTCCTGCGACACGAAGTCTAATGCAGCGGATTGTTTCGCCAGTCCAAGAGTCCCGTTGCCTTTCAGAAGTTGTCCAAGACAATTAGATCCGCTATTAAATTGAGTCTACAGATACTCCCTCCAACATCTACCACGGTGGCGATGCCCAAAAGGTTTCAGAAAAAACTGATCTCCAAGGCGTGTGGTGACTATCAACAGACCAAGGAGACATCGGCGCTTTGGCAAGATCGGCTGTTCGGCGATGAAGTCGTATGCCATCATGACCTTGATGCGCCCAGTCTTGACAGCATCAATCACTGAACGCCGCTGTCGCCGTGGCGCTTGGGCCTCCATAGTTACGGACAGCGTGTCCTGCAAGACAAGGCGGAGATCCAAACATCTCTTCACTGATCTGAGAATCAAGTATCCTGGATGATGAAGGTAAAATGAGTTGGATTAGCATTTTGCAAATATATACGTACTAAAGCCACCTCCGATGTCAAAAATAGAGCCTGCATCCACTCACTCTCAAGCAGTGTGTAGTATTGCCGTAATTGAACGTGAGGGAAGTGTGAATAGGCAGCAGAATCATGAAGACGATACATGCCGGCGTACACGGCGGGTTCTAAGCCCGACCATCGCCTAACGTCGCACGATTGAATGTGTCTGAAAACCTGAATTCAGCATAGAGAACGAGGTTCAACATAAAACCTCATTCTCGCGCGAAAAATTGAGTCATACCAATTTACGTTCCGCGACACTTGTTCTCTGAGCTATTTGCTGAATGTGGTTGGCGTTCGTTTGGGTCAGCATCTGCCAGGGTGTCCACAATACTCCCTCCCGCAGCGATATGCAGAGCCCTGGAGATATATTGTGTAGTCACACTTCAAGCAAGCGATGGCGCGACTCCACTACGAGGTCCATGAGCATACCACATGCGCTACTCATAGCGTGCCTCGCTTTGTAAAGCTCCGCTGAAGAGACACCACATCTGTCTTCTTTCTCCGCGGGCGGACTAAGGAACGCAGCTTCTTAATTTTTTCGCGGTCGACATGAATATGCTCGGGGGATTAGCGGGAAGATAAAAAAAGTATTGAGGGACACCGGGCGAAGGTCTTTTTTTTCAGCATGAGAAACAGGTTCCCGACTACGCCCTGAACGGTGAACGCATTGAGACGGTGTGCATCAGGCCTGTCACGCGAACGATGACGAAGTGATTTAGCCGACCACTTGGCGAGCACACAGATTTACCTCGCGAGAACGGCCCTGTGGATTGTCACAGTGCGGTTTTTTTGGGCCGCTGCAAATGCACTGTGGTGGTGACACTGGCCCGAATGTCGACACTTCTAAACGCCAGAATACCGGAGAGATGATGTTAAGCTGTGACGCAGGGTGCACAGCACATTTTTGGAATAAGTAAAGTTTAATCTTCCACACAAGATGAACCATAGGGTTGTCCAAAATGCTCCAAGACTTAACAAGAGTTTTCTCGTCAAAACCATGCTCGTTTTTACAAAGAATTAGTCAAGCTGAGAGCAAGAACCCGTTTGGCATAGAAGTTTTTGCTAGTTGTCGTGAGCAAAATGGGCTCTGCATCCGGTACCGGATGTGAATCACAGCCATTTTTATAAAAAAAAATAACATTGCGGAACCAATTTGATTGCGCAGCCTCCCTCTACAGAGCAAACTCGGCGGCCCGGAGCCTGTTGGCCGCGACGACGGAAGATCAGAAATTCAAGTTAATCCGATCGCTGTCTGAACCTCCCCGCCGACTGGCGGCCAAGCGCTTCCTGTAACGTCCAAGTCGTCCGTGCTCCATGTCGAGATAAACTCAGGTTAAAATATCTCTTATTGTATAAAGCTCAGTGAACAGGAAGGTATCGAACCTCAGCTTCTTGCCATCCCGCTCCGCTGATCGTTATTTATAGTTCGAACTTCGGGATTACCTTGAAGCCGTGCATCGCTCATCTCTTCGTGATGGTCCGACAAGTTCTCAAAAAGAGCTTTGATTCACGTGACTGCACGCATAAATGACCACTGCAAAGAAAGCACCATTTTCCCATGGTAAAAAGGTATCGGAAATCTAGATATTTGTGATATCTTCATTCAATTGCTGAATCTCACCATGGAGCCAATCAATGAAGAGGAAGACGTGAAACATACCTTTCTCATTGCCGTCTTCCAAAGACAACACCTTAGTAGGAAAGGCTTGAATTTCCGATTCAGCTACAATGCATTTCCTGTGACGAAAAATAGTCAATTCTTTGCTGTGGACGGCGGATTGCCGCTTCAACGTCTCTCTCGTCCTGCGCTGGATTCTCTGTTGGCACATACAGCTGCGCAGAGCCCTGGGCCGCCAAGAAATTGATATAGCAATACATCGGCCGTCGTTTGCACAGGTCGACTGCAGCCTGTGCTCTCAACAGGCGCCCCTAGAAGGCGAGAACCCGTGCACGTTCGCTGCCACGATCTGTCCTTGGCGAAAGTATTTCTGTTGGTGACATGAATACCTCGCTCTCACGGCCGTTCGTCGGCAACCGATTCCGGCATGCTTGTGCAGCATCCTGGCGACCGGTTAGGCACAACGTACCCACTCGGCTTTTTATTGCCTGACGCTGCTGCCCGCACGACAACCGAACGCAACCTCGACACCGTGAGACGCAAGTGAGTGGCGTGTTCCATCCGAATACAATTCAGACCGCAGTAAAGGCGGTCACATATACTCGACAATGGAGAAGATATGGCGATCTATGTCCCCCTCGGCGTCAGCGAGCGGCCCTTTAAAAAGGCAAGTCTTGGGTCATGTCTGACTTCCCTCTTCTTTCACCGAACTCAACATGCACTGGCTATTCTGGATAGTTCTGCACCCCTGGAAAGCACAAAATCCTGTTCAATATGAGCCTTTATCTCCAGCTGTCAGTCCGTGCCCAAGTCATGCCGGACGGCGACATACATATCCCAAAAGACGGCATTTACATGTCTTTGTGATCGCTGTGACTCTCTTGATGACTGCTGTCGGGCTGTGGCTGTTGCTGCTCTTGACTGGTTATCTTCACATCCCGACGCCAATCTTGCGCATCATGACCAAAGAGTCCAAGCTTCCGCCGCTGTACTCGAGATATCATCAGCATGAGTTGCAAATGCCCCAGCATAACCTGAGTCAGGCCGACGTACAGGGCACCAAATACCTCTGGATCTCAAACTACATCCGTGGTAAGTCGCCCGACCGATATGGATGGTTTCGGTTGATATTCACCTCTCATGAAGGGAACGGCTGGGGAAATGTCATGCAAGAATTGCTACTGAACTCATATTTGGCCTACCGCGCCAATAGATCGTTTGTAGAACTCCAGCTTGCTCGTCAAATGAAGTGTCACTCACCTTAGCCCAGGTTCGTCTTCACCAACTACACATGGACTGAAGGCGGCCCCGATTTTGCGCTGTACAACTTGAGGCCCATCCCAGCGCGGATCCCTCTTACGGCATTACTCGGCGGTAATTGTCCTGAATACCCCACTATAGCTTCTCGCAATGCTCATGAGCAATGCAGGACCGACTGTCGGTGCACCGATGCTGGCCGCACCCGACGCACCGCTGGCAGTCACCAAGGAATTTTGGGATGAGGTTTGCCCACATGCTACCGTGATCAAGGACGACGATGTTGTCACAAGCGTGGACGGCAGTCCCACTACCGCTGGCATGAAGGTCGAGAAGTGGCTCGAAAAGCTCCGCACGACTGAAGACCGCTGCGTCGAAGTCCCGAGAGACTCGTGGTCGATCTTTGATATATGGTGAGTTGTAGTGGGCTCATCATGTTTGTCCGCGGCTGATTTGACGATAGGATATTGCAGGATGCTAAACGTCTCCTCGATGAATGGCCGCCTTTCTCTCATTCACCCATCCTCACCGAGTTCGCGTGGTCGCCCCTCATAGAGCTGGCCTTCGACATGAACCGGGAAACCATCTCTCCATCATCTCCCTTGCAGCCGTATCTCTCCTCTGTCCCTCTTACGGTCAAGAGCGCAGAACGGTATGCCCGTATCCCTGGGCTGCTGGCCATCCATGTCCGGCGCGGAGACTTCGTACGGCATTGCAAGCGCCTCGCACAATGGGAAGCGAACTACGTCGCGTATAACGCGTTCCCGTCCATGCCAGACCAGCAAGACTTCCCGCCGAACACCCCTGCCCCCGCGAGGACTGAGATGTACCGCGCCCGGTGTTACCCCGAAATTGATGAGATCGTGAGAAGAATCGAAGAGATAAGGAATAGCGAGGCAGGCCAAGGCCTGCAGAACATTTACATCATGACCAACGCGCCACCCGACTGGATATATGACCTCAAGGCGGCATTGCGGCGGTCATGGGGATGGGCGGATATAGCCAGCAGCAGAGACCTGTTACTCAATCAGGAACAGGGGTATGTGAAACAGGCCATTGACATGCTGATCGGCCAAAGAGCGCAAGTTTTCATCGGCAATCCGGTACGGGAGCTATTTTTGTAATTGTGTTCCAACGTCTGAAGAAACTATACACAGTTCTCCTCCCTGTCTGGGCAAGTCAACATGCTACGAATGGCAAACGGCTTTTCCCCAGAGTCATGTAGACTTTGGTGAGACCGAGTGTTTACTGGCATTGCGCAAAGGTCTGTTGCTTCAGTCAATGTCGGTGCTTGTGGCAATTCGTGCGATGCTGTATGTCGGAGAACACGCGAAGACTGGCTACGATAAATTCATGAGTAATCGCTTCATGCTTGTATATGTATTTCTGCCATCCTGAGGTTTTGCTATCTCAAGAGGAGAGTTTAGGAGCTCACGTTACCCGTCATGATAAAGCTCATGTACACTCTATATGTATCCAAATAGCGATTATTAGAAAGCCATGGTCCATGATTTACGATAGACCGCATCATCAGAGTGCCACGGGGGCACGGTCACGAAGTGAGGTTAGCCTCGATATAGGCAGCAAACCTGTCCGCAACACTGTCCTCGCTCCAGTCCATGGTACCCTTTTCCGTAGTCCCGAGCGTGATCACTTTCTTATGGACAGTCACGAACTGCCGTTTGAGCCGTTGCAGCTCTGAGAGCGTGATATTGCGGGCAGGGAGGATCAGACGAGGCCTCAGCGACGCACCGAGGGAAAGTGTGACGGGCCCGCCGGCGCCTTGCAGCGCAGCCTGCTCTGCCATGATCGCGGCAACCATCGCGGCGGCTGTGCTCTCCAGCGTTCGCAGCGCGTCGGTTGGAGCCTTGGGAACCTGGATGATAGTGATGTATCTGCTGTGAACTACCATTGTGATGGGAAAAGGGCAGTACGCACAGCTTGGGTGCCGGCGTTCGGCGGCTTGACTATGCCTGCAGTAATCACTTTCCATATCTCGTCGGCAGGTACGTCCTCATCTGTCCATGGCACGGTCATCAGGGGCGAGTCCCACCGCACCATCGACGACGGCTCTTCAAATCGGAGTAGCAAGTTGTCTAGACTGATAAAATATCAGTGAAGGCCGTCCTTTCTCCAAGGACGTATGCTCACATCTCCGGCGCATAAGCATGGCCATCTTCACGGGCGGCATTCCACTCTTTGCACAACTCCGGAGTCGCCACGACGAACACCTACTTCGCTCCAATCAGTTCAGACGGCACCTTCCGCCCTTCTGTGTCACGTAGACTTACAGTGCACACTCTGAGCTTCGCCTCGCGGGCTGCGCAATACATTTGATACCGGAAGCCCTTGATGTAGTTCATCGCATCCACGATCAGAATTGTATCCTGTCTCAATTGTCGCTGGATCGCCGTGAAGAGAGCGGCACGCGCAGGCTTCTCTGCTCTGCCGTCTTTATGTACAGGGTGAGCCGCACTACGCATCTCGCGTGAAAGGGGCTACATACCGCTGTACACATGTCGCTCAATGTTAAGCTCGTCATCAGAGAGCACGGACACCTTCAGCCTAGGTCCAGCGTAGTTTGGGTCTTGTAGACGAGCCTGCAAATGTGCTTTGATCTGTTCGGCCCTTCTTGTTTTTCCAGAAGACGGGTAGCCGGAGATCGTGATGAGTGCCATTCTCGGGTTGCTTTACTTCCTTTAATTTGCGATACTCCAGTGATATTGTTGATAGGGCTGTATAAATGTTCAAACCGTGACAGATGGGGGTAGGAAATTGTGTCGGACCGCGGTTGATGAGGCTCTGGCACACAAGGTACAATACAAACAGCCTTGGCCGGACAGTCGGACACCATTCAGCGCATTCAGCGCAACAGAAAACGTTTCGGCGCAAGTACGTACGATTTCTGGTACTAACTACCAGCGCCCATCCAACGACATTTGCGCTACAAGCTGTATTGCAATGCAGCTGCACTCAGGAAAGTCATAACAGAACACAATTGCAATGTATTCATCACAATTATATTGCTATCCTTACAAAATACACATCTTTATTCTACTCTACGATCCACCCAGTTCCCTCAAACACAAGGCTATCATCAGGAAGAGGAGGGTTTCCAAAAATTGCTGGAGGCCGAAGCCAACAGACGTGTTCGGATGTGTAATTTGCAATCAGCAAAAGACTGTGCCTCGGTATGGACCTCACTGGCGACAGTACGTGCCCGAGCACAAGAATGAAGAACGAAACTGTGGCGCGAAGGCATATGAGGAAGATTCGCAGTGCGCACGGACCACTTTAGGGCAGGCTCGCGTGATGGCCGGAAGCTTAATCGACTATTTAGAGGCAGACGCGTCTTGGGATTACGCTGCGAAAGTTCTGCAATGTCTCATAATTCTGGCCTTTCAACCTACCGCGACGAGGCGCATATGTTTTCACTGACTTGAACATTCCATTCACAGTCCCGGTCCGTGGTTTCAAAACGTACAGCATACGAGTCTACGAAAAGGCTGGATGTGCCATCCGAGAACGCTTCCTAGAATCCGACTCGTACTTTTCCCCGGCCGCTGTTCATTTAGCAGAGCCTGCAGGCCATTTCCTTCTTACCATCGGCGTCGATCTCGCATTTCCACCTGTGAAGGTAGATGCCGCCATCGATGGACTAAGTATTCGATTCAGAGATACCATAACAAACTGCATGGCGTCCTAGACCGACCCAGGTCTACAATCGTTGATGTTGATTTCATAGCTCTTGACAACGATAGACGAAACTAGCCGAGCTGACCCGCCAGGCGTCCTCTGAGTCCGAGGTATCATGGAATGGCTTGCAGTCATCCGCCAGCTTATTCCTCATTCGCGAGTACGTCTCAAAAGGACTGTTCCGCCAGCATCGATTTCTCGATGACCTCGCGAAATAATTGTCCAAGGATGAAGTCCGTGCTACATACGCGTGTATCAGAGTCGAGCGATCTATGGTAGTACCTCCGATGTACATTAACGGATCTCTTACTCCTTCACAAGCGTGCATCATGATATACGGGGCCGTTCGGGTGACGACGGCGGAGAGTCTAATTGGCTCAGTTAGGTTTTCCCGTGAAGGGGTAAGAACATAGCGTTATCCTGCTCCCTCCCCGTTGTACCCTCTTCTCCTCCCCCCGTTCGTCGACCCCATGTTCACCACCACACAATCTCCGTTGCTGTGCGACGGTCTCGAACGCCGCTATGGGCGTCTTGTTCAGGGACGGAGACCCTTATTCTCACGCACAATTGAACCGAGCGCGACGACCCGAAGGGGACAAGCACACGCCTGACAATTCTGAGCAATAGCCTTCGCGACCTTTCTCTTGTCGACCTACTGCCTACTGCCACCGCCCGCGCCAGCCTCCAGGGCTTGTCAGCATGGCCGCCGCCGATCCTGCAGATCAACCCGTTGCTCTCCAGGTGATTCTGCCTGCCCGGCCTGAGGCGAGATCGAAGCTAACTCATCACTTGTCGCCGCAGCCCCCGGAACCAAGCGGCCAGAGCACGGACGCCACCACTGAACGCATGCATCAGCCTAAGCAGGAGCATGAGATCAAGGGAATCGCTGTCGTGGATGGTGAGGGTCTGGCGCAGACCTCTCCTGCCAGCGGACAGAGTTCAGAACACACTGATGTCACCCAGGACGGTGCGACCACATCCCCACACCACTCGTTAATCAGCAGCACTGCAGTGCAGGCAACATCACTCTCGGCTGGGCCGTCTTCTTCCTCGAGCCCCGCGTCAGCGACATTGACATCGCCTGCTCCCTCATCTCTGGAGAAGCATGTAGAGGAGAAGAAAGAGAAGGAGCAGAGTAGCCCATCCACTTCCTCCATCGCGATGCCAACGAGCAAGCGCCGCAAAGAGACGCACGCAGTCTCCGAGGAAGGCCACACAGCTTCCAGTAAAAGCGAGCGGCGCTCGTCTCTGCGTTCTGGTCGAGCATCGCTCAAGCGAGTCAAGAAGACGTTCTTGTCGAAACTTGCCCGCATTTGCTTTCCATGTGGAAGGTTGTCCGGACGCGATCATGAAATCGACTTGGACGAGGGAGTGACTCGTGTCGTAGTAGGGGAGAAGCAGAAGGAGGCAGAGACACAGCAAGACACGCAGGAGTCCTCCACGTCTTCCTCAGGTATACATGCTTTCTACTATAACTATGTGCGACTCACGCATGAATAACAGTGATACAACCGCCTGGTCATCCTTTATCCATTACACTCCCGGACAAGTCGGTTGACGCGGACGTGATCGTACCGCCCACTCCGTCGAAACTCCTCCCTCGCTCAGAGACGGATGGGCTGACTTCGGGAGCCGTGCAGCCTCCCGGATCGACTGGACACGACGTCACAATAGAGCATATCCACACCCATACACATGCAAGTGACTCCGGCGAAGAATCGGACGGCTCGTTCACAGAAGAAGATGCGCTGAGGGAGATTATACAAGTGAACCTCGAGGCTGAGGAGCGGATGCTTATCCAAAAAGGAGGCGTCGGAGTGCCCTTTGATTCTGTAAGTGACATCTTTCCTGATGCTGCGTTCACTGCTGAGCCCCGCTTATCATCGCCACTAGGATGGGATCCCATGCCCTCTATTACCACCCATCGCTCCACAGTATGTCGGGCGGAAATGTCTTGTGCTGGATCTAGACGAGACACTGGTACACAGCAGTCTCAAGGTGAGTCTTATGTCCAAACAGCATCTGCAAAGCGCGATTTTACGCTGTTTTATCTATTTCAGCCTATAGCGTCATCAGACTATATCGTGCCAGTGGAGATTGAGTCCTTTTGGCACAATTTCTATGTGCTCAAGCGGCCGGGCGTAGATACGTTCTTGAAGAGGATGGGCGAGGTTTACGAGGTGGTTGTGTTCACCGCGAGTCTAGCCAAGGTGCGTATCGTTTTGTTCGCGCTCTCACCCCCGCTTGCCATCGTATCTTCCATCTGCGCCCCTATTCACGTTCTGCATCCTGCATCACGCATTGCCACGCTGCATTCGCTGTCGTGCCTCAGTATGCCGATCCGGTCCTAGACAGACTTGATCCCGACCGTGCGGTCGCGCATCGACTGTTCCGCGAGAGCTGTTACAACCATCGTGGCAACTACGTAAAGGTCAGCTGAGCCCAATTTTTCTGTCGTATATGCGGATAACACGGTCGGACTCCCGCAGGATTTGTCACAATTAGGCCGGCCAGTATCAGAAACGATCATCATAGACAACTCGCCGGCGTCGTACATCTTTCACCCGCACAACGCGGTACCAATCTCGTCGTGGTTCAACGATCCGCACGATACAGAGTTGGCCGATCTCTGTCCTTTCCTCGAGGACTTGGGCACTGCATCGGGCGACATGAGGGGCATTCTCAACACCATCATATAGCTACCGTCCATAGACGCCATCTTTTGCGCTGGTTCCTAAACCCAATGTCGTCCGTTATCGTGGTACCACTAGTTCAGGCCGCATATGGCCGATTCGTCAAGGTGCCGTCGGTCGATCGATGCGATACACCACTCCCGTTCGGTAGGCTTGCTCTGCTGCTCCATCTGACGACCGAGCGTTCCTCGTCTCCTCTTCTTCTCCGCGGACTCGGTGACCTCACGCAGCTGACACCGTCCCCCGATACCCTGCATGCATGTAAGCACCATCACTCCTTACGTTAGCGTGTGAGAACGTGTCACTAATCAGCCATTGTTCCATGCGTACTCATCACGGATTGCTCCTTATCTCCCCCCTAGGATTCCCGCCACAGGCATTCTACAAACACTCTTACAGTGCCCCTTACATTCGCTTGAAATACCACAATCCTTTGGAAGTGCGCTTTTTCCCCACATGGAATATGAACATTCGCTGACGGTGATCTGTCCCGCAGACCTACGTCGTAATCATTTATATGCGTTATACCCTGTGCTCGTCGGCCCCTCATGCAGTATTGCTGTCGCGTCCCCTGTTGCTCATGTGCTCATCCATACTATACATGACATCTGTCCTGCGTGCCCACAGCTCAGCGTGTGCCTCATTATGTCATGCTTTCCGGGCGTGTGATTACACGGTCAGTCTCCGTTCTGGCGGCTCTGGCTGGACATTGCCCAGATATAGCTGCCCACCCGGTCGGCTCCTGTGAATATCTGAGCGCAGCAAGTTACGGTATCCCCGTGGCGAAGTTGAATGTGCCACAGGACCACTCCAATTGCACATTGACCCTTGGAACAATCAGCATTATGGGAGTTGTCGGTATATTTACCCATTCTGTCAACGTCAGCGGCGCAGCCTCGCCCACTCAGCTTCACACCATTAATGGAAACGCTTATAACCGTCGAAGTTCTGCGCACTGCGATTTCAAATCTCGAGTACATTGTTACTTATATCCCGCGAGGCGGGCTCTTCGGCTTGCCGTACACATGCTTTCCCCCCTTGCCGCCCTCTACCTCTCCCCTGCAAATATTGGCACAGACATTTACACTCTCGATCACATTAATAATTATGAGGCCGCGTTCGCGCTTCACTGGCTACGCTTGCCGCCCTTTGCCTCCCCGACCTCGTCTTCCCACGGGCTGAAGGCAGGCTTCCTCATCCGCGGCAGCGACTGCAGCCACGACAACCCCGGTGGCAACAGTGTCCTGCTCGACCCCGCACCCGGCGACGTGCGCTGCGCAGCAATTGCATGGACATGTGACGGTGACGATGGCATGCTCGCAAGAGAGACCTCGCTGAGGGTCGGCAGGCGCTCGAGGCTGGTGTTCGACGAGCTCCCCAACGCGCGCTGCAGTGCCTCTCGCTCTGCCGGTGAAGGCGCGAACGCACGGTGCATCGAGAAGGACGAGAAGAGCGAGTCGGGCTGGGAGGCGAGCGACGGGGCATTACCAGGTAAGTCAAACACGGCGGACACCGCATTCTTGGGTTTGGATTTGAAGAGCCCGAGTGAGGGCGGGTGAGAGAGCGTAGGCAGTGAAGTCTTGTTCAGGCGGAAGACCTCCGCCTCGGGGTTCAGACCCTTCTTTTCTCTGTCCTTTTCCTTCGGACCCACAGAGTGCCACCGCCGATGCGCCGCGCTCGCCTTATTTTCCGCCTCCTGCTCGTTCACCTGCGGTACGTGCTGCGGGTCGGAGATCGTGCGCCCCGCGGTGGGCATGAGCGGGCGCGGGGCCTCGAGCGAGTCGCCAGTCAGTCGACGGCGCGCCACGAGAGGCGGCGGGCGGATCTCGAAGGGATCCTCCTGATCGATGCCGTCGAACGAAGGATTCGTGATGCTCGTCGGGCTCGAGTGGACGTAATCCGTGCGTGCGCGCCAGTTGGGCTCGAGCACGTCGTCCTCCTCTGTGTGAAGCGCGCTGGATCCCGAACCTAGTTCTGCAATGTCGTCCATGCTCGCACCGCGCTCGAGCGAGCTGATAAGGCTTGACGGGATGAGCGACGTGCTGCGGGGCGAGATCGCATCCCCGCCGAAAAGCAAATCGTGGTCATTGTCTGCGAAGGGCGAGAAACGTGTAGCGTGTGACGGTCCGGAGGACAGCGAGCTCGAAGCCTTGTCATCGAGAAGCGAGAAGCCATTGGTGGGCAGCAAGACGTCTCCGTTAGCTTGGCCGCCGGTGCTGGACCGAAAGCGGTCGCGGAAGTTGGAGATACCGCTGAGGGAGAGCGTCTTTGGCCGTGGAGAGACTGCCAAATGCTGCTGCGATACAAGCGCATCCGGTGCACGATTCGAAGCCTGAAGTAGCCGAGGCGAAACCTGAGTGGATTGCGAGAATATTTCAATACCAGCAGAGAAATCAGTGTTGATCTGTGCGTGTGTATCCTGTTCTTGCAACGAGCTGAAGCCGGTAATAGGTGACCAGGGAGCCTGCGCAGCCTCCTCAACAGCAGGAGCCACATGCAGCGGGAAGAATGACCTGTCCTGTTTCCTGAGCTCCGCCTGCTCCCGCGCACCTCTTAACCGCTCCTCTTCCTGCCCAATCTTCTCCTCCAGCTCCTTAGCACGCGCGGTCAATGCCACAATCACATCTTCTGCAACTTTGATCTCTTTCCTCTTAGCCGCAACCTCCTCTGCTATCTCCCTCTTTGCACACCCGCCATCGTCCTTTGCCCTTGCAGCTGCCATCTCATCCTCCCGCATCCGCTCTCTCAGCGCCCCGATCTCCTTGTCGAGCCGCTCGACCCTTCGGCTCGCGCTGTCCCGTGCGCCCTCTGCTGCACGCAGCCGCTTCTCTGCATCGCGCCGCCCGCCCTCTGCGGCACGCTTCTCGTCGTCGAGTGTCTTCGTGCGGCTCTTGAGCTCAGCACGTGCCGCATCTTCGGTGCGCTTGCGCTCGCGCTGCGCATCAAGGTCACCCTGAATCGTCGCGTGCGACGCTGCCGCGGCCGCGCGCACGTCCGAAAGCTGCGTGTGCACGTCGAGTACCGCTGTCTTGGAGTGGGTGATCTGCCGCAGGATCTCGGCGATCACGGGAGACTGGTCGAAGAGCGAAGTGGACGAGGGCGAGTATGTCAGGCTGGGAGAGGGGCTGAGCCGGAGTGAGTCGGTGGCGACGCAGGTGGAAGGCTGTGCTGGGTTGTGGTTTTGCCGTGAGCTACAACTGCGGTCGCGTCTGGAAGGTGTCGTGGAGTGCCGCGGCGCGTGCAAGGGTAGGGAGGCGGACTTGGGCAACGGTGGCGGAGTGGTGCTCCGCGTCGAGTTGCTTACCGTTCGTTGCGTCGAGCGCTCTGTGCCCCTGAGCTTTGATGTCGAATCCGTGTTAGGTAAATGCAATGAAGTCGATGTAGATGACGTCGTGAATGGTAATCCTGGATGGTGTCTCAAGCCCACGAACAATCAACGTACTCAGCAATGCTTACCGTCATAGCTCTCCAGACTGTCGAGTGCCTTGACATCGAGTATACCTGAGTTGAGCCGCTCTGCGTCTTTCGCGTTAGTGATCGCATCGTGACACCACGCGTGTAAAGTCCCGCCACGCCACCACCTGCCAAAAGCACCAATGAACCACGAGTCGTTGACGGTCGAGGGCAAGCCCTCTATGCGCATACCACGAGATGGCGGTGGTCCGTTGGGATATACGGCGGCGATGGTGCAGATGCCGAGGCTGTGGAAGACATGCTTCGGTGTGCGTAGCGAGATCGAAGCGCGATTGACGAAGTGGAACGGCGAATGCGTGTCGTAGTCGCGGCCGGGCTTGGGAGCGACGGATGGCAATCGACGGGAGACGGTGTAGAGTAAACCGGTGCGCTTGGGGTCTGCGAGATCGTCCTGGGAGGTGTCGTCGAGGCGAGTAAGATGCTGGCGGAAAGATTGCTCGGTAAGGTATGCGCGGAAGGACGTCTCCGAAGGGTTGGTGAGGTAGGCTGATGGTGGCGAATGGTCGTATGCAATGGCGGGCAATGAGAAGAACGTAAACCAGGCAGCAAAGGTACAATCAACTCGTGCAATGACGTCGAAGAAATGAAAGAACGCACCCAAGACGAGAACAACAATGACAAAGATTGTGGCGAAGAAGACAGTGCGCATGTCGACCTTGCGGAGGAACATGCCTACGGAGAGACTAGGATGCCCGCCATAGAGCATGGCGCTGAGCCCACCCAGGACCATGGAGAGGGCGGAAAGGAGGGCACGCCTCCGGTCTGAATGGCGGCCGTTGCGGGCTAGGGTGCCTGTCGGCGGTGCAGGGACGGACTTATGTATGGAGTGGGAGGCCGACACTGTTGCTGGGGGACTGCGCGGTGCGTCCCCTGCGAGCGATGGTGGTGGATGTCGCGGACAGCGGTGGCGACAAAAAGGCGGAAAATGACGAGAAACGGTCGAGAAAAGGACAGGATTATTCAAGCGGAAAACGACGCGCAAAGCCACAGTGGGCGCCTATGCGAGCGGCCACGAAAGCTGACCAATCACGGCTCGGTCCCGCCTCTTCCGGTCTCCCTCCTCACTGCTTTCTCCATCGTTTCACTCGATATCTCATCTGCGGTGATGACCACTAGCTGCATCTGTTGAAATGCTCGCCGCATTGCCACTTACTGATGCACCTGCCATCGATTTATCCATCCTGATGAGAACCACATCCGAGATTTCAGCTCCATCTGGTGTTCACGGGTTTTCTACCTCTTGCCCACCTTCTCTTCCGAGACACGCTGTGCTTCGCGTTATCTCGCTCGAGCCACCCTCGCGGATCCTTCCCCAGAGCCCTTGACATGGTCAACACAATCACATCGCGCGATGGCGTCTCATTTCGACGGAGTTCAAGTTACATTTGATGGTCTCAGCTGTCTTGTGTCTCCACTGCCACCTGTGTTGAGTTCTGTCCCATATCGGCTTCTCTTGGTGACTCGGCCGGCGTGTGTGGTGACTCTTGCCTTCTAGCGGATCATAGGACCCGCTATCCATTCATTCTCTTCCTTCGGGTCCACGATACTCGGTAATGAAGTCAGACGATCGATGTTCCATCCGAGCGTCTCCCATATCTGGGCATCTTCTGGGCATCGAGCTCCTGCTATCCGCCGGCAAGCCGTCCCATCGGTATGATTCATTTTTTCGCATCGACACTTCGATGGTAGATATGCCCAATGTAAGCTGTCTCTTCTACGGGAAGGATTCAGAGATACATGTGGGCACAGTAGTAATAGTTGTGGGCGCCCGCGACGGATAACGCGATATAGTAGGTCTATCCTCAAGATTTGTGGCTACCGAAGGTTTATGTAACACCGTCGAGCTTCCAGCGTTGCTACGAATGCTACAGCTAATCGTGAGCATTGCGTTCTTATGCGTGCTGTGTTGTACATTTTCGTTTACTATGGTTGATCAATGTTAATAATAGACAACGTGAGTTCCTACGGACCTGTTTCAGGTAGTGGCTCGAGAAGCTCCGGCTGGCGCCGGTTGCAGACAGAGGTAACGCTGTAGAAAACTCGGATGCATGTTCTATCGCGATACAAAAACGTCTCTTTCTTCCATGTACTCATCTCTCTAAGAAACGCAGATTCAACCAATGAGTGTTTTATTTGGAAAAGCAAAACGCCCAGCCAATCATGCGGCTAGGACCGTTCCTGTACGCCTGCCTTTCCTGGTCATCCTCGAGCGCCTAACATATATCCGTCCCGTCTGCTTCCACTGCTCCAACGGCCTCTCCAAAATGTGCAACCCGCAATAACGACCTCATACGCATCATGCGGCACCCCTCAGTTGGCACGGCCGCATCTGCGGATGCACTCAGTCAGCGCGACCCACATCCGAGATGCGCGCAGTGTCGTATGTATGTGCCTCAGAGTGGGATTGGCAGCCTCCCATCCTCTGTTCTTTGTCTTGTACTCTATGCACACCGTCTCGCATCTCTAGCACTTTCACAGTTCCTTAACAATGTCGTCTAGTAGCTCTCTCCCGCCTACCAAGCATTTTGCGGCCGTTGGATGGCAGGTCACTAGCTGCATCATTCATCTGCTTGGTATGTCGACTTTTTCCACGTGTCGAAGGAAGTAATTGAGGGATTGAGTACAGGCGTATCGGCCATGTCCTTCCTACTTTCGCGCAGGCTCATGCGCGAACACTTCACATGGCACGGACTCAAGCGTATTGCGCTTCCACGACTCCTGGTGATTCTCACATTGGTGGACTCGTACGTTGACAATCTCCGCTAGCTTTCTATCTCCTATTTATGAACTTTCGCGTAGGTGGGCGTTCTTGTTTACAGGTGCGGACGCAGAATCATATCAAGCGACGTTTCTCCATTGAATAAAGCGCCTTTCAGCTGGTGTCCTCATTCAAGGAGCGGGACTTCGGCTCAACGTGACAGTCTGTTCGCTCGCCATCTTCAACTGCATAGCGTTTTACGCTTCGTCGAAGATTTTGATCTACTGGTTTCTAAGTGAGTGCCTGTAAAAATATGTGAGCGTCTCATTCATCCCACTTCCATCGACACACTAGTCGAGAAAATCCGCGTCGTCTGGAGCCCAATACCGAACGCCAGTCGGCTTAAATCCCCAGTTTACATCGTATGCGCGATTATCGTGAGCCTGTACGTTGTCGTCGCCGCCGTGTTGGTTATTGGTACGTGCAGGTTGACCTTGAAATGCATATATCTACTGACACGGATTACTAGAACGCATCTCTTTCTTCCGTGACGATGGGTACTGCGTGATCGGGCTGAAACGCCCGGCGTCGGTCCTGCTCCTCTCTTACGACCTGTGCGTACCGGATATATGCGCGCTTACTGCCTAGTAAATTGACCTTCCCTGCAGATCGATCAACATTTTATTCACGTCGCTATTCCTGTGGCCTCTGTACCGCGCGACGTTCCGCAGCGCACGCGTGCGTCAAGTTGCTGTTCGCACACTCTGGCAAGCATCTCTCTCTTTGATCCCGATGACAGCATTTTCTGACACACTCGTAGGGCCGCCGCCGTTGCTCTCACCACGTCGTGCGTCAACATTCTCGTGCTGACGCTTATGAAGGGCAAGCAGCTAGGCTGGGTCTGCCTGGACAGCTGCGGGACAGACGTACGTTACACCCTCTCGTCCTGTGCAGTGACGTACCGATATCGACGCGCACAGGTTATCATCAACGCCATCGTGCTCTTCTGGGTGACCTCTAAACGCAACGAGTCCGGCTCGGAAGCAGCGCCTCCCCAGGAGATCCCCACGCACGTCTCCAACTCCCGACAGAGTGGAATCCAGCCCAGCATACTGAGCGGCTCTTTGTCCCGTATGCCCTTCGTGCATACGCGCCGTGGGAGGGACAAGCAGTTGGTGCACTCGACAGATGTGAAGGCCGCTCCGTCGGAGGTGATCGTGCTGCCGCCGGTCGAGGTGGAGAAGGACGTCGAGATGGCCGCTGTGGCGAAAGAGGGTGAGAGTATGGAGGTGCAGGAGCCGGATAGGAAACCGCAGCCAGAGAGTGGTGGGCTGCTTAGTAGGACGGTGGCTACGCTGTTCGGAAGGACGAACCGCTCGATGCCGCAGGATATCGAGGTGTGCTGTCTAGTTTCTAGATATTCATGCGAATGGCACTCTGATGAATGTTTCACACAGATCGTCGTCACGAGGCACTGCGATGTTCTTCACGAGGGGATACGAAGTCAGTCTTCGCCTCAACTGAGCACCACTTTTTCTACATCCCAAGGAGATGATTGCCATATGAACAGGATGAGCGCGGCAGAAGATGCGACATAACGAGAGGAGAGGATCAGTCTGTTGTGGGGAAGACCGTTTGGGTAACCGATCACTATCGCCGTAAATACCTGCAAGCTAGGCATGCCTTGTACTCTGAATGTCAATATAGCCATATAACATGCACGGTACACGAAAGGAAGCACCGACATCTAGACTTATAGCTCCTCATCGCTGTCGTATCCTAAATCGTGCCATGCATTCTGAATCTTCTTAATCTCTTCCTCATAGGCGCGCAAGTCCGCCGCGAAATCCTTCAAAGCCTCTAGGTCCATCATGTCTATCGGGCCCTCCAGCTCTGATTCCGAAAAGGTGATGCTGTCGCCATCAGTCTCTTGCTCCTTCTCCTTGAGCTTCATCACGATCCGCGCCTTGTCCGAGAACAGCGCGATGTACTGCGGGTAGCACTTATTGTAATACTGCCGCAATCCTTGCTTGTCCGTCGGCAGCGGCGTCGTGCGCGCGCGAAAGCGCGGTGTGTACTTCGATGGTGACGCCTTTGGCGGCTGTGGTTGCTGCTGCTGCTGCTGCTGCTGTTGCTGCTTTGGACGCTCATCCTCATCATCGGAAGAAGTGAAGACGGGCGACTTGCGCCGCTTGAAGGAGCCACTGGACCGTCGCTGCTGCGGCTTCTCATCTCGCGCGACGGATGTGAGAGGAGATGGCCGGGACGTTGAGTCTGTGAGGCGCCCGGGCGACGGCTCGCGCTTGGCTTTGGAACGAGGAGGTGATCTGTCGCGACGTCTCGACGGCGGCGGGGATTCCTCGCGTTTAACCGCCTTTGACCGCGGAAGCGGCGACTCTTCGCGCTTCATGGGCTTTTTCGCCTGCGGAAGGGGTGAGTCCTCTCGCTTCACCGACTTCCTCGAATACGACGCAGCGTGGGGTGATCCTTCGCGTTTCATGACCTTCTTCGGCGGCGGAAGAAGCGACGGCGACCTATCGCGCTTTATTGACTTCTTCACCAGAGTGGTGGGCGACGGGGACATTTCGCGTTTGATGGGCCTCGCCGACTCTGAACGCTCCTGTCCTCGGTCTCGGCCTCCGTCAGGCTCTCTTTTCCTGTCCCTCTCCCTTTCCCTCTCCGCTCTGAGTGCTTCAGCATCCTCGATTTTGCGCCTCTTCTTCACGCTAACGCTGAGTGCTTCTTCCTCGTCCGAATAGTCGGATTCTTCCTTCGCAGCCTTCTTCCGCTTGACAGAAGGAGGCGTATTTTTCTCACGTGTACGATCCCGGTCTCTGGCCACCTCTGCCCCAAGCGGAGAGGGTATATGCGTCTCTTTTGTCTTCTTCTGCACACGGATGCTCGAGCCTAGTGGAGAGCTCGCAGTGTGCCTCCGCTCCATGGGAGGTGCCATGGGAGACGTCGGCTTCGCTGACGCGGAAGGCACAGATGCCTCTCGCTTCTCACGGACATCGAATAGTCCTGGCCTCTTTGGACGCCGAGCTGGTGATGCAGCCCGGGCTGAGGACATCGGCGCGGTGGACGCATCAGTTGCCTTCGTTTTCAGTCCCGAGCCGGGCACCTTCCGCACAGCTGTCTTCGCGTCTGAAGCGGACGTTGGGGCCCCGGAAGCTGGCGAGCTCCTCTCCTTGCCTCTACTGACTGCATCCTTCAAAGACCGTACACTCTCGTCTTTGGCAGGTATAGGTTCAGTATCTCTCTTCCTTGCGCCTTCCGTTGTCTTCGGCTTCTTCTGTGTGGTTTCCTTAGTAATAGAGCGCTTCATCTCCGATCGTCCTGCGGGATCGGGGGTCGCTGGGCGGGTATCATTCCTTGACGAATCCAGTGTAGATAACGATGGCACGCCTGCACCCACAGCCGTATCGCGGTAGCGGGCGTATTCCCACACTGGGTCCGACTCTGGTATCTTGAGTGATTGGAACGCTTGGCGAGCTTGACGCGCCAGCCGTAGTCGTTCTTGAGTGCTAAGTGACGGCCATTCGAATGGGCGGACGTCTGTCCATGAAGCAGTTTTGAGTTGCCATTGTGGAGTAACGTTGCTCTTCTTAGGCATGGGGATGTGTTCCGCGACCTAATGGTCGTCAGCTGAAATGATGATCCGCATGACAACACAAGATTTACATACCTGTTCTAGCAGCCTGAGAATATCACTGCGAGTTGTAGCATTGCAATTTGGGCCTCCAATGCGTCGTACAATGTCGTCCGTTGATAGAGATTGCGACGACGCAACTAGATGAACCAGTCGGTTTCGCATCGGAGACGCATCGCTCCGTTGTGACGATGAGGGTAAGGGTGACGCCACACGCGTTGGCTGACCGCTGGACGGGACTGAGACATTGCGTGGAGATGATACTCTCGTCGGCTGAGCACTTGAAGGAACGGACAGATTTCGTCGAGACTCGGGACCGGTGAGTCCAATCCGACGATGTGCACTGTGTGCATCCTTGCGCTGTTTCGTCGCAGATCCCTTCCCGAAGTCGGGAGGGGTATCCAAGAAGATAGCTTTGCGCTCAGTGCGCTGCTTCTCAGCTTCGATTCTGCGGTCGCGCACGAGGGACTCGATCTTCTCTCCGAGCTCGCGCTCAACGAAGAATCTCCCTAACACATTCGCGTACAGCTTGAGTGGCGCCATGGGCTTCCCGGCGGACGACGTCCGCAGGTAGATCTCGCTCGGACATTCTTCTATGCTAGAACGCATAGGGAAGAACGCGTCTCCGATGTGGATGCCCTGAGGTTCGCCGCGTAATCAGTGGTTTTTTGGCGCGCGAGGCATCGGAGGACATTACAGCATTGTCCCCGAACTCGAACTCCATCTTTGGCTGATTCTGCAGAGCATCGTATGTCTCAGATGACATGCGAACGAGCATAGCCTGTTTTGGCCTCGTGTGGAGCGGGTCTCCGGGCTTCGAGTGTCCTTGGATAGACAATGCACCATCGGGAAGCGGCATGATGGTTTCTCACCGAAAGTCTGATGTCTGCGGGCTGGAGAACTCGTGAAGTCGTCGTTTGTAGCAAGGAGTTCAGGTGGATGGCGGACGAAAAGGACGACGTTGGAACTGAAACAAGACTGACGGGAGTGGCAGCGTGAGCGCGGGCGTTCTGTGGCCACCTCCGACAGGAACAAGAGCCTACCCACGTGGCTTGTCTAGCCTCATGGACCTTGTTCAACGTGGGCTATGCAACGACCACAATAATGTTACGTGCAACACCTCTACAGAACTCAATAAAAGAAGCTACTGCAGTTTCATATCTGACTAGCTAAATCTCCTCGTTGTCCACAATGTACTCTATCCCGATATCCAGCGGTTCTTACTAGCATTAATGCGCCGGCGCTTACCTGAAGGCCACATTATTGGTACTTCATCAAATTCTCACGGTTCATCGCTGCCACAACATTCCCTCTTGTTTCTCCCAGCACCAAGGGGGGGGGGGGGGGGCACAGCTTATAGAGTTCTCGACCGCAGGTCGAATTCGTGCGTTAAGGCTCCCTCCCTAACCCCAGGTCTCGGATTCTGCCGGTTGCACTGGCACTCATTGGAAGTTTATGTTTACATAAAAGTACCTTGAAATTTGCCTTGCTTTCTGGGAAGGGAGAACACGAATGGTAAACAGACAATAATGACACGCGTGACGCCAGGACATGGGCACTCTTCTTTTATCCGGAGCAGTCGATCTCTCCTCACACTACCGTGGTAGATTGTCGCTTTCCAGTGAGCCTCTTGATATCTTGCTCCTCCATACCATCCGTTCCTAGGTGTGAGGAAATTCCACATGCAGCACGTCGATCAGCATGCCGGGGAGATGTATCGCCGAGCGGTGACCCTCCCCAAGCGGTTTCCTTCGAACTCGGATTCACATTCTGTTTGAAGTATCGGCTTCCCTTTTGCTCATTATCGCAACTTGCACGACTCTTATCCCCATCATCTTTGGGGAGAAGGGCTTGGGTTCGGACTTGCAGTCTTCCGAGAGGCCGTGTTGTCGCGAGCTGCTGACAGCCAGGCAAATATGCCATTGTGATATCCATGACAGTGAACTTTGCGCGAATCCCGCACGTTTTAAAGCTGCACTAGGACGCTGGTGATCGGACAGATGTTCCACGCGATCCCTGAGCCGGTGATGAGTCAAGGATACTGATATTTCGCTGATTACCTGTGCCCTGGTGGACCTATATCAGGTTTTATCTGGATGTTCGAACAGTTGGAAGGTGATCGATGCTCATTGCTGCACGAGGTTCAAGCGTTAAGATCGCTCTCTTTGACAGTTCTAACGCTAACGCTCTGCGAGATCATAATCGCGAGTTAAACGTTGTATGCAGCGACAAACACGCTATCGACTCCGACATGCACGATTCGGTTGTCAGCCACTATATATCGTCTTGTCTCCCCCTGGTGCTCCCACCCGTATCTCCACCTCGCGCACGTAGCCATTCATATAGATGACTAGCCTTGCGGGAACCTTCGGCACCAACTTGGTAGGAGTTTTTGCGACTGCAATGTGTGTTTCATTGTTGTTGGCAAACTCTGCGTCTCATGGACCGGTATTCCAGATTGTTTGGAGTTACCAACCTCCAAGTCTTCATATACTACCAGCAATACGGCAGTGACCCAAAGTGGCTGAAGATTTCGGTCTTTCTTTTATGGCATGTTCAAGAATTATCTCGCATAGGCCATTGATCATGCTTTGCCTAGGCTCATTGATGCTGCCCACCTGGCGTTGTCGTTTCATATCTTGTGGTGGTACTTCGTTGTCCATGATGCTTGGGACCCTTCTGTTTTCTCAAGCGTGGTATGGAGCTATAACGTGAGTTTCCCGATCCTCATCATTGCATTCACGACTCGTTATCTAAACGTGGGCTGTGATCAGGCTGAAGAGATTCTTTGCGTGAGCTTTGCTAATTTTCAACCAAATCCGTTGCGGCAACAATCTCATGCTGTGGACTTGCAGGCAATATGCGTATCCTTTGTGCACACGTAAGTAAGCCATCAATAGATGAATGCGACGACTGAGGGGTCTCCTGCAATCTTAGTTTGTTCTTAGTGAGAGTTTGGAGATGTGGGTATTGCGTCCGATCCGCAGATCATGTGCTGAAGAGGCGTACACAGTATGTTCAAGTCTGCACCCGTGTTCTCGACGCTGGACTATTGTACCAATTGTCGCAGTGAGTACAATCATGAAGGCTTTGATTCGCATCATTATACTTGTTACGTAGTCTAGCTCCGTTCTTGCGGGATACGGTAAGTGTCGACCTTCCTATGCGACGCCTTACATTGAGCAAACAGTATTGTACCGAACGCAGCAGCCACACTAGGTAAGTAAACGTAGCGATCACGTAATGGTGTCTCTGATTCTCAATGGGACTAGAGGCTTGTTTCGAACTGTGAGTGCACGCCCATGCCTTGGTTTTGCCTTAATGTCCGTCGACTCCATAGCTCACCAGTTTCTGTCTAGAGGAAAAACAGCAAATCATGTCAGCCCAGCCTATCTGCTCGACACGAAGGTGAGGAAGAGCGTTTTCCTTATCTGAAGGCCTTAAGTGTCTTCATTGGCAATGAATATTCCGTAAATGCGCATGCTAACAATATGGTCGAATCGTTCTCGAACTATCCCATGATGGTGCAGTGGCTAACCTATGTGCCATTGTCCATCTGGGCGGGGGCCGACACCTTCATCGCCATCTCATTGATTCTACTTCTTATGTACACCCGCACTGGCGTGAAACAGTACGTTTCCGAACTCAGCGGTAGACCTTGTAAACATGACAATCTTTTAGGACTGAAACGATGGTTTCAACGCTCATAATATACATATTGAGCACGGGGATGCTGACTGGGTACGTTGACACGCTAGAATGGTAGCTCTGCATCGCTAATGTCAACGCTGTCACACTGTAACAGCTTTTGTTCCATCATGGCTATCATTATGGTGCGTGTAGTATGCCAATGCAGCGGCTCAGTGGCTTTATCGCTTACCTGGCTTCATGCTCGACGCTTCTCGACCAGATGGCAACTCTGCCTCAGACGTTCGCAGTTTCTGCGTTCGAAATTCCGCTCATGAGTTGTACGTCTCACGAATTCACCAGTTCTTGCAGCTTGATTATTGTCATTGTCACAGTGTACGTCAACTCATACTTGGCGTTGTAAGTTCGCGGGCTATTTGCGTGCTCGAGATGTCTGCAATGCTCATCTATGGGTCCTTGTTTTAGGTTGAACGCACGTAAGTCCTTACGTGAGACTGGCGAAGCCCGGAGTATAGTCTTGGCCTCTCTGTCATTGCATTTTGCGAGCGATCGTCCATCTGCGAGCATTGGTCCGTTAGACAACTTGGGTCGCATCGACTCTATTTCGCGCGAGGATGTAAAGCCTGCGAATGCAGTCGCCGCCGGTGAATTATGCATTATGTGACCGTTTCACTGGGATGTGTTCTTTACCGAATGTATCTTAACTAAACCTACTCCAGTCCCAGATCACGCCTGCCCTATCATACATGTACCACCTCAATTATTTACCCAGCTTGCATGCAGTATCTGCGTGAAAGTCAACTGACAGAGAAGCGGAACCATAAGCATTACTTTTGCGGTACGCCCTATTGGAAGATTTTGTCTGTTTAACAGCAGTGACCAGCTTCCTCGCACACGAATCGACAGATGATAACCTCCTACCAGTTTCCAGAGGATGTGTGCACCTGTTACCCAGGAATGCTTGATCATTACCGACTGTATCGCACTTATTCAAAAGGTATGACATTCGTCGCAAATATGCGCGCGATTCCGCAATTATCGGCCAGGTATGGAATGCTTGGCCGTCTTCGACGGACCCAATCCCGACGTCCGAGATCATTCGCGTGCTGCCCGTCGTTTGAGATTTATCCCCATTTTAAAATGCAGCGCTCTGAATGAGGGGAATTCATTGTTGAATACGGACTGATGCGACCACCTGTTTAGCAACTGGACAATGAGTGAGCTCGTGCCATATCCGATGACCTGTTGCTTACCATTTCCTTTCGCGCTCGTTACTTCGCTCATACGGGCTCCACCCGGTTCAAAGTGCGCTACGTTGAATAAGCGACCATACTGCGATAGAGACCACGCTCCCGAGCGACATCGGCATGGGGCCAATGATTGAGTTTGGTAACGATGTCGGGTTCAAATGACATATATACGAATGTCATTCGCGATGTCATTCGTTGACCAAACTCTGTACGACTTCGTCCTCGAGCGAGCACCCCGTTCAACTGCAAACTATCGGGCAAGTCAGCGCTTAAGAGGTCGTTGTTCGATCCGTTTACAACCGTTGCTGCCGCATCAGATCATAAGTCTCAAGTCCATCGTAGGATGGATTCTATCACCCGTTACTGGGTGTCTTGGTATGGGATCCCGGAGTGCGGGGAATACTGCTCCTGATAAACCTACGGCCAGTCTGTGTTTTCCTTTTAATCCAAACTCTGTGACGTGCTAATGTTTGACTGTAATGTCTGACTTGTTGAGTCAGGGCCTGCTGCCTCTGGAGCTCAGTTTGCCGCCGCGGACTTCGGCGCTTTGATCCCTATTGCTGGCATGTAGCAGCCTCGCTCCGGTTTTGGCTTGGAGAGGTCGACTGGTTTATAATATTCAGCAATGTAACGATCCGAATGCCGCAGGCCACCGCGTGTTTTTCAATCTACACATTCCGATTACATGTACGAATTTTACACGTATAAGGCAACTCACTTGCGCATCTAAGGTGCCGAAAGCGGCGATTCCCAGTACATAATACGCAGAGTATGCAGTCGGCGAGTGATTGAGTTCGGGATGACAGGCTTCTTCCTAGTACGCTTTAAAAACTGGACGGTCGAGTGCCGAGTATATCCCCCCCCAACTTACCCTCTCAACTCATTGCGGATATCAACTCATAACAAGCATTCTTAAAAAAGTGAGCCGCCTTTATGGTCATAAGTTCACATCACCAATGAGCATACTGCAGTGGCGCTAGGGAGATGGCAGAAGCTGGGGCTATGGATAGCGGCTGGGGCATTGATAGCATGCATTGTAATTCCGTCTTGCATATATGCAGGACTTGCCATCTTCGGTATCGCTGCTACGGGGGTTATTGCAGGCAAGTCCACGGAGTCATCTTCAAATCCTTTCAAATGCTGATGTCGAGCTGCAAAGGCACCGCTGCGGCAGCTGCACAGGCAGCTATAGGATCCGTAGCGGCGGGCTCCTTCTTTGCTGCCGCCCAAAGCGTCGCTATGGCAGGCTTGGGCATCGGCGGCATATCACTGTGTGCAGTCGCCGGCGGCGCCATAGCCGGCCTTTTGAGCACCTTCTCGGGGTGATCGGGCAGAGCCTCAAAAAACGAAGATAGCTTGTTCTTGGATCTATGATTGTCAATTTTGCGGAACTGCATGTACCCCATCCGACAGATTCAGATACAGCTTACCTACATCGAAACGTATACTCTAAAATTGGCGTCGCGATAAGTATGGAAGGTGTGCCACTATGTGGCATGCGTCGACTCCGTCATTGCGATAGTCCTGTGAATGGGGGGTGATAGAGGTGCAAATGATACTACAGATGTAATACGTCTAGCGGATCCGATCATATCCAGTCAGCTTGACTGGTCTTTCGGTCCAGAGGATGATGAGGACGGCGGTGGTGGTGGCGGCGGGGCATCTGTTGTTGAAGCCGATGGCTGCTCGCCCACCTTGAGTTCCGCCTCTATCCGTTCGCGGGCACGCACGACTTTGGACTGGAGGTAATGCGAATACGCGGGAGGAGGCGGCACTCTTTGGCCGGGCACAGGCTTTGGTGGTGGCGGCGGTGGCGAGTTTGCTTTGAAGAGGTGTTGGTAATGCTACAAGAATTGAGGAGGCTTGGAATGAGCACCTGGTGCTGTGGACAACTATTAACGGCGCACCTGAAGGATCCTCTCTAATGGATCATCCTTCTTAACGTTCAAGATCATCCTGGCTTCTTCGGCTGTCATCCTGTGTTCCCGGGTGATTTTGTCCGTTATGGAACCCGTTGTGGCATTCCCGACGCCCGCTGCATCGCCGCTTATTCCACCCTCCGGTCGATGTTGAATATCTAAGGGTCGCGATTGATTTCATCTCTATTCCAAAAACCTGTGGTATGCAACGCACTTCTATGTGCTTGCCTTCCCGCCGCGACAAACGCCTTTACGAAGCTCTGTGCCCCAATGACCACCAGCTGTACCAGGGCTTTGGGAGACGACTGAAAGACAACCGCATCAGCCGGCTTGCATGCAGATTCGCTTGAAAGGCAACACACCATCAGCAGACGCGAGCGTCAGGCTTTTAAAGGCGGGAGGAGGGAAAGAGAACTATGTATGATCGTTTTGAATGCAGAAGAATTGGAATGATGTCCGACGAGCGGCGAGCGATGCGCGTAAGTGGTAAGTGGCCCCGGCACGCACGTGAGGAAACGCTTCAAAATTTCTGATCGACAATCGTGCACCTCCTACCGACGCGCTGCACTTACTTGCCGTTCTGCTTTACGACCTGCTCTAGTCGCTCATGAATAAAATCCTCGAAAAGAAGGCGAAAAAGCGCAAGCATGCTGTGGCGGATATCGGGCTGGTCGCAGAGCCCTCTACCAAGCGTGCAAAGAAGGATAAGACGAAGCGAGACAAGGGCAAGACACGCGCGACGGACGACGGGAGTGAGTTCCGCGTCATACAGGCGACGATGTCTGTGTCCATCCCGCCTGTGTTTGCGAACAACTTAAGGAAAGGTGTAGAGGAGATGCTGGACTCATTGCTCATGAGGTGTGCATCGTCATTTATCTGGTTGAGCCATCTCAAGTAAGTGGGAAGGCTCGTGCGGCCTTTAGGTATATCCCCGCGCTGCAGGGTGTCATGCTCGCTCATGATGAGCTGAGTTTTTTGGACTCGATGGCGACTATCAAGGCGGACTGTCCTTTTGCGAATTGCCGAGTAGCGTTTAACACAACGGTATGGAGTCCGCAGATTGGCATGAAACTTGGTACGTCAACAGCATGGGTTACTTGCATGATCACGCTGCCTAACCCCACTTCTGCAGTGGGCAAGGTCAATCTTTGCTCGCCAGGCCACGTCGCGTTGCTCCTGCGCCGAACGTTCAACGTCTCAATACCCCGGCACCATATACCCGAGGATCAGTGGGAGTTTGAATACGGGCCTGCAGAGAATGACCCAGAGTTTGGCGCAGCAATTGCTGATGAAAAAACCGGCACGCAGGATGGTGAGACGGAGCAGGTGGGAGGAAACGGCCGGTGGGTGCACAAGCTCACAGGAGTTAGACTTGGAGACAGCCATGGCTTTCTGGAATTCACAGTCGTTGGGTGTGTGACGTCGTCCAATCCTCGACTATTCTCTAATGTCTATCTGCAGTCTCACAATAGCTAACCGAATGCTGTCCCTCGTCGGATCGATCCAGCCTGATCCATTCTCACCTGAACATGTCCCCAGACAAACAGTCGCTGCAACTACGGATGTGCGAGACGAGCCCGGAGTTGATGAATTTCATCCGGTTGAGGAGATCAACGAGGACGACGGTAGTGAGGTTGATACATTCGAACTGCTTGGGCGGATGGGGGATCAAGCGAAGGCACGGGAGGCAGAGTTACGGAAACAGGAGGAGAAGGAAGCAAAGAGGGATCAGAGACGCAGACGGAAAGAGGCGAAGGGAGGAGAGGGTGCTGGTGGGGTTGATGCCGGGGGACGTAAAGGCAAGAAGAAAAAGAAGGCATAGACGGATGCACGGGGGGTCATCGATGCTTACCATGTTTATTTGCTTAGCTATAGGTTTGCTGTTACCATTGGAGATCTAGTCGGTGTCTTCGGACAGACTGGCATCCCTGAGAGTTCGTGGTGTGACAGTATGAAGTTGCGATACTGTCAATGTGTGGACTCGGAATCCCTAATGCTCACATGAATTCTATAAAGTCGCTCGCATGTCGCACAGGACGAGTGGACACGGCGAACTGCAAGAGATGGTTACGCGCGGGAGGCGTAACGCTCGCTACGATCATACTGCGCTGTGGCGGTCGCAGTCGTACGCGTTTCTCCTCTTCCCCTCCACCATGGCCATGAACCCTCCACACATCCTCATCGCCCGCAACTCCCGCGGTCCAAACACCATGAACCCCTCCGCGTCGCTCAGCTCGCCCACCGAAACTCACGCTGCCGCCGCAGGCATCTTCCGATCTGCCGGCTCGCCCCCATGGTACCTCGAAGAGTGCGAGTCCGATGAGATGGTTTCCGCACTCAGCATCGATGGCGATTTCGAAGAGCCCATCGAGATTGACGAGACGTTCACCGAGCACAGTCGCTTCCCCGGTACTGTCAAGATCATCGTCGAGGCGACCACCTTCTGGTAAGTGAACGCCCCGCACGCCGGGTATGCCAGGACGCTTGTCGTGTGTTCATCTTCGTTGACAAGGGCGCACAAGGAGGTGCTGTACTTTGCCTCGTCCTTCTTCCAGGCGGCTCTCAGCGGTCAGTGGGCCGAGACGGGCAGGCCCCAATCCATCACTTCCGTCGTGACCATATCTCAACCACCCTCGGTGCCGGGCAGCCGACACAAGTTGGATGACTCGCCTGAGTTGACGTTCGCGCCTGTCGACCCGAACGCAGAACCGGAAGACCTGGACCTCGGTGCGGACTCTGCCTCGGAGAAGGACGTGGATGCACAACCAAGCCCCGTGGACAAGACGAAGGCGCGTGAAAGCAGTCTGAACAAGCTGGAGAGCGCCGGCACTTCATCATTTGCGACTGCGATGTCCGGAGAGAAGAGCAAGCCATCGACGTCAGAACCAAGTGGGTTGAAAGCTAAGCGATATGCCAAAGGGAAGAGACCAGAGGCCATCATCATTCTGAAGGAAGAGAAGGTATGAACAGGAATGTGCTCGAATAATGTACATGGCCTCCTCACAGCATGTTCAGGCTAGCATTTTCCACGATTTCCTTAAATATGTATACCCACAGTGAGTCCTTATAACGCACCTATCGCATTCATGCATACTCATATCGTCTTCTCGCAATCCTAGTCTCGTCTGCACGATCACATGGAACAACGTCGAAGGGCTCATGAACATCTCGCACAAGCTGCACGTCTCCGCCCTCGAGCGCGAGTGCCTCACCTTTCTGCTCACGCACGCCGCAGGGCGCCCGCTCAAGGCGATGCGTATCGCGGAGCTCTTTTGCGAGGAGGAACTATACCGCGAGGCGAGCCGTTTCGTGCTTGACAATCCGGAGGGCTGGGGCCCCGAGGAGCTCCGTCAGCTCAGTCCAGAGACACTCTTGAAGCTCGAGAAGAGGTGCGTCGCACTCTCGCTGCCCATTGCCTTTTGTGACAGACCGATTCTGATGCGAGATGATATGATGCACAGGCGAACATGGTTCCTCGAGCGCGTGATCAAGCTCGGTCTCGTCCAGGTTGCAAAGGAGTACCAATGCGTACGTCGACCGTATCCGTTCGTGTATGACCCGCCGAGCATCATTCGACCCATCACCCCAGTGTGCGACCTGTCCCGAACCAGCTAATTGCGCGCGCCTTCTGGAGGAGAAGTGGAAGCAAGCGTATCATGCCGTCAATCGCTTTGGTGAGCTCCCTTCAATGATGCATGTTGGGTAATGTTCAGTCGCTGAGTGTTATTCTCGACGACGCAGGCCCTTGTCAGCCCTCCATGGTATTTCGGTATTTGCGCACATTGGAGGGAATCAGCCCGCCTCTGTCATTGACGCATCTCAGTTGCCAGACAACGGCAAAAGCCTTCATCGCAACCTGTCAGTTTCCACATTGACTTGCGGATCGTTCATGCTGATGCGGTCGTCTTCTCGCTAGTGTTCGATAGGATGTTCTCGCTGGGCGTGCGAGGCAGCGGCACCGATACTGCGCCTCTTGGCGCGCGCGTTGCTGCTGTGGCAGGCGCGACGACTGGTCCCCGCCGTCACTTTCTCTTCTGCACGCTCAAGAATGATCTACCTGCACGCGGCAAGCGGTCGCGCGAGATCTCTTGAGTAGTAATTATTATCCTCGCTTCTCGCATATCTCCCTCCACACATTATGGATACTACGTACTACATCCCAGCCGCACCGGCGGCATGAGACTATCCCATCCGTATAGTAGTGTAGCCCTTGCGACGTAAATACATATTCATAAATCGGCGGGTATATGTGTGTGTGGGCGATGCGATAATGCATGAGTAGGATGGGGTGGGGCGAGGAGTAAGGAGCCAGAAGAGGTGGTTTAGCTGGCAGAAACGAAAGAACGGAGAAACGATAGTACCCGGGGAATCTGGAAATAGAGAAAAAGAGTGAAAGAACGTGCTGTACAGAAGGCGTCCGCCGTACACAACATGGCCTGCCGGGAAATCGTGATCGTGAGCTCATTGGTCGAACGAGGGGGGCTGCTCGAAGATGGTATGCGCATTTTCTACGAGCCATTGCACGGAGGTGGCGGAACCGCCCATGGTCCCGAGATCAGCTAGCGAGTCCTGAGAGCGCATGAGAGTTGCTGGCGGGACGAGCGTGAGACGAAATGAGAAAAGAGATGAGGTAAGGTCACGTACGTCCGAAAACGACGCCGAGATTTTGAGCATGCATCAAGTTCTGATCGCTTCGCTTGCTGACCCTAAACAGATGTGAGATGCGTGCAATGTGGCAGATCCAGTACATGATGCACTTACCTGTGCAGGTGGAGGATCAAGGCACGAGCTGTATAGTAATGTTCCTTCGGAAGCTCGGCAACGATCTCCGTGAATGCCTTCGTTCTCGCAGCAGGATCGCGGATGGCCGCGGCTGACATAAAGTTTGAGTGCAGAGCAATTGTGAATAGTGGATCCGGGAGGGCTCGGAAGTACGACTTTAGCACGGAAGTAACACTGCATATGTCATTAAAGCGATCGGTGTCGCGCAGGTCAAAGCCGTGGTAGTCCCCTCGTTCGAAGAGCTGTGTGATCATCTTGGACTGGCCGGAACCACCAGTCTTGCGGTAAATGCCCTCAAGGTCCATCGCTGAAAGAGGTAGCAACGGTATCAGACACTGTTCAACAGAATGCTAAGGAAGAAGCATACCTAGCGCCTCCACTGCCTCAATGCATTTCTCGACGATGATCGGAATGAGTCGCGGTTCGTCGCGGGATTCGTACCGCACCTGCTCAGTAAGGTCACGTCCGAACATCGAAGGAGCTATCAACACATGTCAATGATTACTCAAAAGGGTTCTGACATGATTGTACGTACGAAAGTGCGCAAGACCCGGTGTGGAGCTGTCTTCGCGGCTATGCATTGTCTGTTGCGAGCATGGCAGATGAACATGATGAAGACAACGCGTATGCACTGCAATGTTGCAATCTGTCACATTTCGCTGCCTCAGTTATGTGTTGATTCGATTGATATCTAGATCCTCTCACTTAAACAGCGTGATTGCGAACCCCACATCTTGTCTCCGCAATGGTCACATCGTGCGACGCGCAGGACACTGATTTGTTGGAAAACGTGCTCCTTACGGGTCGGAGGCTTCGCTGCTTCAGGCCAGCTTATCGCAACAGCCTCCTTTGGCGCCTTGTGGCCCGGCCACTTGATGAACTTCGGCGGCCTGAAGGCACCGGGAGCCTCGACAGCCTCCGGTCTCGACACCTTGATGAACCTTGACTCGGACTCTTCTGTCAATGCGACAGTCGAGGAAGTCGCGGAAAGAGAGGGGCTCTGCTCATGTCGGGCTCGATCATCTGCATTGTCAAATTTGTCGCGGGCGTCAATGTCTTGTCCATGCTTAACAATAGTGGGATCGAGCCCGGCTGTCTCCAAACGCCGAATATACTGCGCATTTAACTGCGCCAACTCCTCATTCCTTGCGTTGAGAGCTGTGGTCTCTTCCAAGAATGCGTCGCGAGAAGCCTTGAGCTCGGTGACTTCGCGCATCAACGCCTCGCGCTGCTCCGTCAACGGAACGAGTTCGTTCTGGTATTGGTTCTTGATGTTGTCGAATCGCGTGGACAAGGCCCTAGTCAAGGAAGCGACGCCTTCTTCGCCACCTACGGGAGTACTTGACCTGTTCACATGGACGTCAGCACATACCGGGAAGATACCAATTTTATATACCTCTTTGACGCAGATAGTTGTTCCATCTCAGCCAGTGTCATGTCGCGTTCGACTTTCAAAATAGAAACCGATCTTCCAAGACTGGAGAGGTTGTTGCTCAACTCCTGTGACAGCTGCTTCTGTGCTTCCTGACGCTTCGATTCTCCTGAAATGACTGAAAGCCGCACTGTTTGCCCTGATAGCAACACTCGGAGCCGCGTGACTTCTGCCTCAGCATCCCTACGAGCCTTCAGCTCTCTATCATACTCTGCCTGAGCCACAGTGAGACCATCCATATAGTTCTGACTTGTCCGCTGAATAGGGAGAAATATGAGCCATGGGTATTTCAGAACACATTTGCGGATCCCATCCGTACCCTTATGCCGTCCAACTTCCGCTTAAGCTCCTCGTATTCCTCCTTCTGCTGAGTGAGAAGTCGAAGAAGATTCTGAGCCAGATCCACCCCCAGGCTGACTTGCGTCGCTCCGCGTTCTGAGGCAGCTGACAAACTGTCCTGCAGTTGCCGTATCACGATGGCGAAGGCTTCTGCGCTGGATGACTCGGGCGCTGTGTCGTCAGCAGAAGTAATCATGATATTCGCAGCTAATCCACGAGCATTCTCATCGTCTTTAGACGCCTTCAGATAAGCTTTTGCCTCATCTACGTAGAAGATGTGTGAGTGAGTCTGTTGGATGTTTCTCAAGCCGGGCCTGCAGAAGGCCCGATCTCACCTTCGACACCTGGTTTTAGAGATGAAGGAACATCGGGAAACTTCGACAGAACTTCGCTGTTTAGCGAGGAGATATTTGAAATCGAAGAAGCCATGGTACCGCCGATTCCTCTGACAAGACCCTGCGGAAGTGACGCTTCCATGCGCCTCAAAGCGGCCCCATTAGACTGCATCTCTGCGGACTCCATGACAGTAACATCGCTCCTGGGAGTCGATGGCTGAGCGGTTTCGGTGTTAGTCGATGTAGCCGCGACCTGAGTTGTCATCGCAAGGTCGAGCTTCCGTCCTCCTCCTTCAGTCGTCTCCGCGAGCTGCTCCAACTTCGTTATGCTTCCACCCACTGACCTCAGCAGTTCCGAGAAGTCCGTGCCGCCCATCGATATACGTATCGGCGGGAGCGCAGGTGCGATGAACGTCGCATGAGATGTCCGTTCTACAGGCGATGACTCAGACGACTCCGTTGCGCCATCCTCATAACTCGAACGTCCTGCGTCCGATTTGAGCTCTGCAGTGTTGAGGCGCTTCAATGCTGGGCGCGTACCATTTCTGACAGAGAAAGCCTCTTTAGGCGGCAGCGCGGGCGGCGCGTCCTGCCTCTTCGTCGTCCTCATCTCCTCCGACTCGTTCTCCGTGTCTGTCCCGCTTTCAATGCTGTGCGGAACATCCACATGGTGCGACGGCGAGGTGGGCGTCGGAACGCTGTTCGGGCGAGGCGGCAAGTCGAGTTCGGCTGTACCTGATGACGAGCGATGGTCCCGGGTCGCGCGGAGTGAGGGCGTCGGACTTGCTCGGGACCGGTCATCTAGAGCCTTCTGTGCGCGAGCATTGTTCCCAGCAAGGAGATTGAGGCTGGGCGGACGCTTTCCCTCAGGTCCACGTCGTCCGGCGTCGTGATAAGGGGTGTCGTGTGCGGACTCCGAGGCAGAGCTGTAGGGACCCAGACGGTGATGGTGGTCAGCACGACTATTTGGACGCGACGGCAGACCCATAGCGGAGCCCGGTCGGGATGGAATTTGTTCGTGCATTCGGGGAAGCTTGAAGATATATGCGTTGGATGACCCTGCTCGCGCACGACCCGTAGGGGATGCTCCATCATCCAACGAGCCGCGGGGAGACGAGGGTCCGGAGGGTCGCGAAGGATACATGCCCTGAGGTGACGCCGTCTTGCCGGCACTGAAGTGGTCTCTCAGAGGAGAGACAGAATGAGGTGAGTCACGTACCGGGCTCGTCAAGGAAAGGAATGAGCTAAGGTCTTGCGCCGTCGAGCTGAACGTCTGAGTGACAGATGGATTGATAGACTTGCGCTTGTCTTTGCGCGAGGTCTCTCCATGAGTGACGTTGAGCCCGTTGCTGTCGCCGGTAGCGTTGAGGGAGTAGGCACTTGGACTTGGCCTAATCTGGGGAGCGAGCGAACGCACACCACCGTCGAAGCTTTTCCTGGTATGCAGCGCCTTCTCGGCAGTGTCAGAGCCGTTTGGAACCGCCAGCGAACCCAGTCTAGAGGAGGCGATGCGAGAGGCGTCCGTTGACGCTGATGGCGCATCAGCGGAGGGCGCGGTTGACGGCCGCTTATTGATGGATAGAGGCGCTGGAGACGTAAGTGTCGTGGTTATGAAAGGCACGGGCGAAGTCGTTTGTTTGGCTGGGGTGGAAGAGGTTGATGAACGATGGTCCGGCTGGCCGTTCGCAGACGAGCCATCGGCAGATGTACGGGCAGATGAAATCTGACCAGGAGACGTGGATGACGGCCCCGTTGCTGATTGCTGCCCGGATGACTGGGTCTGTGCAGACGATGGCGAATTGTTCTGCTAGCGTCGACCAGATCAGCCATCAAAACTGAATCACGCCGGAAATCATATCACACACTTTGATAGAGTCTTGCGCTCTCAAAGCATCCTCTGTAGACCTGTTTATACCTCCTGACCCACTCCCGACTGCGGCAGGACCCATAAGCGCAACGGCAGCTTTCTCCCGCTCGCGTTCGCGCTCCTTCTCCTTCTCCCGCTGGCGTTGTGCGTGCCGCCTACTCCGCGCTACACGCTGATTGTGGCAGTCCATGCAGTATATGCCTTGGCTAGTCTTGGCAAACACGAGCTCGTCGATGCGGTTTTTACAAACCTTGCACTTGAAACAGTGGGCATGGTACGAGTCGTCGCCGGTCATTATGGCCTCGTCGAGGATTGGCTGTTTGCAAACATTGCAGCAATAGGAGCAATTAGCACAGATTGGAGAGCCATCCGAGAGTAGGAGCAGGTTGGTATCCGCAGTGACCTGGTTCCCACATTTCGCGCACTTGAAGCAGTCAACGTGGAAGAATGATTGACTAGTGGGCAATCGTTCAGCAGGGTGCGAATGGACGGTGAACGGGGGACGCGCTTCCAGAAGTATGGGTGGGGCTCAACGACACGAGCACGAACGCGCATACAGACGACTCACGTGCGACGACGCACCCCCCCGCTCATCAGAAGGTAGAACTCACCCAAACGCCACCACCACCATACCACCGTTCTCATCAACAACAGACTTGTTGCATCCTGGGCAGATGCGATTCTCCGTCAAGAGGGCTGATCCAGTGGCAAGTTCGTCGCCAAAGGCGTCGAGAGGAGCTGCAGAAGACATTGATGGTGGGCTCGGGGACAATGCAGCAAGCATCCGTGGGGTTAAAATAGTTTAATCCAGAGAGGGTATCGGCAATGTAGGCTGGGAAGTCAGAACGCGTGCAAGGGATGCAACCGGGATACGACTCCTCTGTTCTGCGTCCTGCGCGCGAGGTGTAGACAGAGCGAGAGGACCGGCGTGTGGGGCAAGAAGGGAAGAACCAGACCGAGTGTGGAGAGGTGAGGGCTGTCCGGAGCCCGGTAGAGGACGTCAAGGACAACGAGCACGACGTGCGCCCATCAACGCACGCTGGGCGCTCCACGTGACTGTCGCGCCGCTACTGCGCAAGGGCCCCAAACATTCATCCCTGCGTGAGCCTCGACGCCAAGCTTCATATTTACCGAGAACCATATCCTTGTCTCTGCATTGACTACCAGCTTTTTTGTCAAACCTTGGGCTACTTCATGAGAGAAGACTGTTGTGTCAGTCGGTGCATTTCTTCTCACGAGGCGTATCCGGGCGAATGACTTCTTGCGCGGCGAAGGGCATTATGACGACGTGCAGCAATTTTGCGAGAGTATATGTCGGACTGCTTGAGGAGCATGGAGAGTTGTCTGTTTGCGGTGGAGAATGGCGGGAGATCGTTCCAGACATCGACATATAAATCCGACGGGCATGCAGCATGACAATAACACCGCATATATGCGCCATTCACGCTTCCATACATGCTCACTTGTCTCCGCCCCGGATGGTGCTGCGCGATTTGTTGGACATAGTCGTTGGCTAACTTATTATCATCAGCGTTGATGGGAAGGCGAAGACATAATTTCTGCTGCGTACCTCAGTTAGAGTCCTCGTTCCGCGCAAAGGCGGCGTGGCCTGCGTGCTATACTGACGGCGCGAGGCGGCGAATAGCCTCGTGGGCCACGAGTGTCTCTCGTGGCGGAGCGGGCACACGAAAGGCCGACAAGCGTGACGTCATGAATCGTCGATCGTGAATCTTCCGCAAATGCGTTCTGCATAAATACCACCTGTGAGCTCCTTGTTCCTCCTCACGGGCCTCCGTCATCTCAGCTGCACATTGATGTCGGCACTCCTTACAGTAGTAATGTCAGTCACATTTTTGACGTGCCAATCTTCTGAGCAATCTTCCAAGCAATCTTCCGCTGCATCTTCCGAGGTGTCCTTCCACAGGCTCCAGAAGCTCTATATGCTTCATAAATAGAGAAGACGATACACCGAGGTATTGCCACAGCTATGTTATAATGAACTGAGGCTCGGAAGGTTGCTCGGAAGATCATTCGGAAAATTGAAATCGACGTGCCAAAGGAAAGGCGACCTGCCATTACTTTTGGCAACCATAACTTCCAGTTCATTCGCAGTCGCCATCATTCTCGTAGAACAAGCTCTACAACAGCTCCTTAGCCTGGACGATGCCACCCAGCATGTGGCTCAGAATTTCCGGTCAAGCTTTCTTCAAGCTTTCTTTGAATATTATCTCAGGACTGACTCACGTGTCCATGCCCCCAGGAACGAAGCACAGTATTGGTATTAGCTGCATATCGGTGACCTGTCCGATCCTCCAAATGCACGGACGTGTGCGCAGACGTCGTATGTGTGTCTCAATCGCACAACCTCTCTTCCCCGATCGCGCAGGGCTTCCAATTCAGATAGAGCTCTTTGCGCATCTCATCACGCTATGTCCTTGCACAAATACACATATATTGGCTACATATGCGCATTTCTCTGACGTTGTTTGCAGATCACTGGGTGGGGTTCGTATGTTTCCTCTTTTTGGCTCTTTCGGACTGCGGGGAGCAAACTCTGTAGATGTTGGACGACTACATCTTAGTGCGGTGTAATTGCCGGATCCTATACGCTCTGGTCTTAGCGCCGCCCATGCTTTGCTCCCAAATGGACCCGTGCAACAGACAACTGAGCTCGGATCGTAAGCATTGTCTTGAATAATTATTCCCCCTACTAACGCCTAAAACCACCTTTTGTCCTTCTGACCAATTATTCCTGCACTGAGCTTTGACTATTTGACATCCATCTAAGTATGTTGTTGCATCATTGCCAAATTCGTGGAGCAACAAGGCCATCTCTTTTGATTTTCTGTATTTTGTTTTTGCCGAATATCAATTGTTGCATAACTGAGCTCGATCACGATCGATCGCAATCTGGAGCTCCAGTGTGGTGGTGAAAAGTCATTTAGCCCAGCGCAGCTGCAGCCCACCGATTCTGGTTGAGGTACGCAGTCTGCGCCCCTCATGTTGTTTCCCGCTCACGACGTGCACTTGCTAACTTCGCAGCTTCAAGGACGACGTGAGTCTCGCCTTTTCTAACCTCCCGCAATCGACGCAATATGGGATATAACGGATAATTCATCGGGCTATAGATGATTTCATCATCGGCTGCCATGTCCGGTTCGACCTATGAGGCTGAGAGTGACTCATTCAATTGACACTAATGAGTAATTAAATCCCGTTTTGTCCGCCACCGTTTCCTTACAGGTATCTCATGCAACCTGTGAAGAGGTCTCGGATTCGAAAGGCGTTTAGAATGCAGTTCGGAAACCCGGTTCCAGAATCTATTAATTTGACACTTAGTTCATGGAGATCGACGCATTCTGATTTTCTGTGAAACATGCACACCTCTCATCCAAGCACACCGAAATTCCTTCAGGCATGCCGCGCATTCTCTTTGGCCTTTTGCGTCTTGAAATTCAAATCGGGCGGGAGGTACTCGTTTCTCAGCTTCAAGATCATCATCCGCGAGCACACCACGTAGTTACGCGATGCCCCGGGTCTCAATATACAGAAAAACAAACTGAATGCCATAAACAAGAATTTCTTCTAGAGCTTCGCGTTACACCTCTAGGATAGTCATTATGCGAACGTTGCTTCGATGAATACGATTGACAAGGTGAGTCCCTCTGCACTGTTTATACGAGCTGTCTACATACCAGTACAGGCGTCGCCACTCAGTACTGACAGCGCAGACGCACATCTATTCGGCCGAGTCAAGCGCTATGCGGTCGACATATGCGAAGCGACGCTCAGAATCATACACATCCGTATAGCCGAGGCGAGTAATGGACAGGCGTAGCATGGAAAGCGCGAATCTGCAGGCGGGACGCCGGATTCACGCAGAAGAATGGCCAAGGTAGAAGTCGTCTGCAACTGATAGTACAAGCCTACATCCATAACAGGACAGGTGTAGCCAGACAGCGCACTTCCTGGAGAACAATATGGACCATCCAAGTTTAGATTCGCGTTTGTTACCCAGGGACAGGAAGCTTATGGTACGTATTAGTTGCGTTGCGCAATGCCTGTAGGAAGACAGGGTCTTGAAAGGAACGGTCCCATTGAGGGGACGGTTCGCACCTTATTCTCTTCAAAGGAGGGTGTGTGCTCCTTGGCTCCTTGCCGCAAGGTGGACAGGGCTATCGAAAATGGAATTCGCAGAGATCAATAGGCAGTCATGGCTATATAGCGATCCTTGTGCTTCCTGTTCAAGGTCTCGCATGAAGTAGCGACTCGAGTTAGTCTCGATGACTATGCCGCGATAGTATGGCACGCGACCGAGGCGTGAAATCTATTGAAGGTAACATAGCGACAAATCGACGCGTGGATACCGAGATCCGGAACGAGCCTCGGGAACTGTGGGGTAAGTCCTGGCGCGCGGAGAACAAGACGCGGAAGATGGATGAGGTCAAGACTCGATTTGGTTGCCGTGTACGCGTCAATCTCAGCGCTGACGGGTATACACTGCGGCCTTCTGCGGCGCGGACAAAGGTACCCGGGGCAAGCGACTTGACCCGCGAGGACAAGGCTGACGCAACGGCTCGCTGAGGCCCAATTGACATTGCGCATCAGAACACGATGCATGGCAGCGACGCCGGCTGAAATAATCCCTTGCAGCATGATGCGATGTCTGCTAGCCGCTAGTTCAGGCGGCGCTGCTTCCTAGGTGCATAGCCGCACTCGGCGCGAGCACCGAGTCAGCCGAAGATGGCCTGTTCCGTGTGGCAGGCTCAGGGTTGTCGCCCAGTGCGCTCGCCGCTGAGCGGCGGATGACCGTCATGGATCTAGAGGTGCATCGTCCGCGTTCGCGATATCCATGGCAGACGTGGCAGGCTGGGGGCATTGGAGGGGTGCGGTAGCCTTGCGTTGTGCGAATTGCGGCTGCGCGTGCAGAGCGTGCAGGGCCGTGCATCTGCTTCTGATCGACCTGCAAGGCTTCCTCGCGAGCGAATGGATGCCGAGGTTGGGCGAGCGTTTGTGGTGCGGCTGCGCTGGCAATCCCGCATGCAATGCAGGCTCTCGGTCCTGTTACGAGAGGCAGTGCGAATGATTGACGGATGATGAGCGAGGAGGGGATGGTGCACGGGAAAAAGCAGCGGGAAATGGCTCGCGAGGCGCACAGCTGCCAGAAAAGGACCTCGTTATTCTCACGCAAACACGATGCAACGCGCCGTCCTCCAAGACCGTCCTGCCTGTCCCCCGTCCGCTCTCTCCTCCTCATCTCCAACGTCCTCTGCAGTGCTCGCGACAATGGCAACAAAGCACTCGTCGGACGACCCACTGTCCCAGGTACTCAACCTCCCATCATCAATCACTGCATCGCACTAACCACTTTCGTCCGTCCGGCAGAACACTGAGGGGGAGCAGGTTCGGGGTGAGCCAGCCATTCGTCGGTCTGCAGAGGTCGCGCAGCTGCAAAATAGCAACGGATCTACGCCCCAGGCAGACGCCCAAAATCCACGTTCAAGGGTGCCCAGCTCCGCTGCCAGCGGTCGCGCGAGCGCTGCAAGAGACCGCCCCACCATCGACAATGCCCCCGGCTCAGGGCAGGCCCCTGCGACGCAGGCATCCGAGGCGCAGCTGCCATCCCATGACACGATGCGGAGCCAGCCTTCCACCTCCTTCGCGCCTGTGGCGGCCACACCCAGGAGTACCACGGACGAGTCTCACAAGCCGAAGGACCCAGAGAAGGAGCAGGGTTCGCAAGATACCACACTCAACACGCGCGCCCACTCCGATCGACGTAAGGAACCTAGGTCTGCCTCGGATGGCGCGCATACCGCGTCCAGCAGCACTGAGCATCGCGACGCCACGCGTCCCAAGTCCAAACCGAAGCGATCGCGTCCCAAATTGTTCGCCAGGATAGTCCACATCTTTATACCATGCATTGGGCCCTCGCAGACCAAGCATTTCGAGGAAGAGATGAAAAGGACCTCTACGGCGTCAAAATCTGCCCCAAGCCCGACTGTACTGAAGGAAAAGCAGGCCGCGAAGGAGGCGGAAGAACTCCCGCCGCCTCCGTCTGCACAGCCGGTGCCTCCCCCCTCCACGTCCGAGCAGCCAGCACCTTCGACAGCAGAGGAACCTGTGTCCGAGCCTGAGCATATCCCTGAACCTGAGCATGCCCCCGAACCTGAGCATGTCCCTGAACCTGTCCCTGCCTCCGCGCCATCCGCCCAAGGTCTCCAGCCCATCACGATCCCTGCGCAAGAGGAAGAGCCTGCCGAACCAGTGATAGTCCCGCCCACGCCGACAAGGTCGCTTTTGCCGCCCGACGAGACGAAAGGTGTCACGGCGGGCGCGGTGCAGCCACCTGGTTCTACCGGTGAAGAGACCTTGCATGAGCATGAGCATGCACAGGCACAAGCACGCGAGTCCGGGGACGAGAGTGATGTTTCAACGAGCTTCACGGAGGACGAGGAGATGGACGAGCAGGGCGCGATGGAAGACATTGAGGACGAGGAAGAGCGGCTGATTATGAACGGTGGTGCGGGAATACCTCTAGGACCAGTGAGTATGCAGAAGTTCGCGTGCCGAATTGAAACTTGATTGCATGCGTGTTATTAGGATGGTATCCCGCGACCACTGCTTCCGCCAATCCTGCCCAAGCACGTGGGGCGGAAGTGTCTGGTCCTGGACTTGGATGAGACGTTAGTGCATAGTAGTTTCAAAGTGAGTGTCACTTGTATTCTCAACCTTGACTATGCTGAGCATCCATTTAGTCAATACAGCAGGCAGACTACGTCGTACCTGTGGAGATTGAGTATCACTGGCATAATGTTTATGTGATCAAGCGGCCAGGTGTAGACAACTTCTTGAAGCGGATGGGTGAAATATACGAAGTCGTGGTTTTCACGGCAAGCCTCAGCAAGGTCAGTTTAGCCTTCGTGCATTTGAGACAGCATCAACAACGTTCTGCAGTATGCCGATCCTGTACTAGACAAGCTCGACGTCAATCATGTTGTAACACATCGACTGTTCCGAGAAAGTTGTTACAATCATCGTGGTAACTACGTCAAGGTCAGTATACTTTCTCTCTGGAGCTTCTCCCTCAATTATTCATATCCTACGCAGGACCTCTCACAATTGGGACGCCCGATCTCGGATACAATCATCATCGACAACTCCCCTGCATCGTACATTTTCCACCCCAACAACGCCGTCCCTGTCTCTTCGTGGTTCAACGATCCGCATGACACGGAGCTGACTGACCTGTGTCCGTTCCTCGGGGATCTCGGACAGGTGGATGACATCCGAGGTGTCCTCGATGGAGGTCTGTAGTCCGCGATGCTGGCGTGGGAGCTGTCTGGACAGTGATCCTGTTTCTTTATAACTATCTGTCCCAGGCAGCCAGTCTGCCTATCGTTATTATGTGGCCCATATGATGCAGCACTGCCGCTCCCGGCCGCGTCCACTGCCGGTGCTGCACTGCGGAACTATCGCTCGCTACTGGACATTCCTCCTCCGCCTCTCGCTGTTCGCCGCCTGTTGTCGTCGCTGCGCTAGCATCCCTGCACATAATCCTTGCTCGTCATCCATCGTAAATACACAGTCAATTCAGCCCTCGTATACCCTGCAATCTATCTGTCTAGCCCATTCACCCTCTCTTGGTCGCCTGTGCTCCCAACAGCCTCTTCCACATCCGTTCCGCCGTTCGGCCCCCAATATGGATTCGTCGCAAATCATTGCCCTTGCGTTTTCAGCCGTTTTCCATACGTGTAGCTTTCCTCCTCAGCTCCTCAAGGTCGTTTCCTATTTATGCCAAACACACACTCTTTCAACTCAACGCCGGCCTTCGCGGCGCCGCAACGTCCTCGTTTGCCCATCCATCCTTCGTCCTTACAGTCATCATTTTTAGAGCATCTCCCGCAAGTGTGAGCGCTCGATCCTTCTTTTCTTGGTCACAGTGCCGTCTTCGCTCCTCCATGAGTATGGACTCTCAGGCCGACGTAGTAATAAACTATCCCCGCGAAATCTGTGTGTGGGCGGAGTTTTTTATGCAGTTGTTGTTGCCCTTCGAGTGTTGTTTAATTACTAGTTCTGATTTTGTTTGGCAGACGCGATATACTATACCCTAACGAATCGGGACGAACGCGATGACCATGTCTATACACTGGAGCACGTTTCGCCTGCCGTTTCTCTCTACCATGGTATTCTTTGGGCATTGGGGATCGCTGTACCACCTAACTTACAGATCGATTTGTCTTGCCGGTGGAGAGGACTACTGCAACTCGTATCTTGATATCGCGCGTTTGGCCGCGTGATGAGCGTGTGTGGCTGAGCCGGTCGCGGGCCAGGCGGGGGGCGCCTGTCGGAGAACGAAAGGCTGCCACGCGAGATTTCTTACTAATACATCGTGTCCTGGACGGCGATTGCCCATGTTGGGACACGCCCCGTATCACTCCCAGCAGCCTCAGCAGGCGCAGCAGCCTCAGTCCGCCCCGCCCGCCACCATCAGCCCCTCCGACGCCCATGCTGTTTCCCAGCAGCACCCACCTCCGCCCCAGCCACAGCCCCCGGGCACCTTCCAGACCCTCCGTCTACGCGACGAGCCCCCGCCCGTGACCCACCAAACACCTGTCCGATCTCGCAAGCGCAAGTCGCCATCATCAGCAAATACAGAGCAGCAGCAGTCCATCCAGCCGGGTCCCCCGCCCCAGGGGCCCCCACCACCAGGGATGCATCCCGCTCCACCACCAGGGATGCACCCGCTCGCACCCCCGCACGGCATGGTCCCACCACCCCATCTCGGTGGCCCACCAATGCCTCCGCATGGCTACCAGTATCCGCCGACCGACTACACCACAGGGGGTATGCCCCCGCCCCCACCACATCCACAGGGCCCACCCCCACCTCCACCACAGGAGGGGCAGCCCTCGTCTCCTTCTGCCTCCTCTGGGCGCACCCTCAGCCAGACAAAGCGCGCCGAGCAGAACAGAAAAGCTCAGCGCGCATTTAGGGAGCGGAGAGACCAGTAAGCACGCGTCTTTGATCATCGTCATTCGCGACTGTTCCTCATTCTGTGTTCACAGACACGTCAAGGCGCTCGAATCGCGTTCCCAATTGCTAGATGCAGCGCTCGCGTCTGCGGACGAGGCGAACCGACGATGGGAAGAGTGTCGTACGCTGGTGGACAGTCTCAGGATTGAGATCACGAGTCTCCGCGGGGCGCTAGGCGCGCTTCAAGACGAGAACGCGAAGCTACGTGCAGCGCTGGGCCAGCCGGTTCTCGAGCCAAACGGTGTTGAACCATCCGCGACAATCTCTGCACCCTCTCAGGAGCATACACTTGTAAACAACAACTCTGAACAGAATGGGATACAGGATGGCGGTGGAGGCGAGAATGGAGGCGAGAAGGACTGATAAAATCGTGATGCATGCGGATTCTTGACGCGTTTTTATGGTTTACGCTGGCTCTCTGACTTCTACCTGACCCTTTTTTCGAGCTGCACAATGTCATGTACGTTCGTATGTGTACCAGCCTGACCGTTGTTGTGAATGAAATACATCGATCTCGGGCCGCACCTCCATGTCTCGGAGACCTTCCATAACAGGCAATGTTCCGTGGCCCCAGAGAATCGACGCGGTCACGCGTGCTAAGCGCCACCGGCTTCATCGTTGCCAGCTGTTGCACACGCCCACCATGTCGCAGTCGGAAGAGAGGGGAAAGTCTGCGGGAAAGACGAAGAAGGGTGGGTGGTTCGCTCGCAAGCTGTCGCGCAGATCACAAACTGTTCGCACAGGTCCGTCCACTCTCGTCAAGTACTATCTCGTCGCGTACAACGTCTTCTCTGCGCTGGGATGGTCCTATGTTCTTATCATCACCGTCGCGCATCTCCTCGGGCTCGACGCATCCGTTCCTGCGTCTGCCTCGCCATCACGCATCCCGATCTTGTCAACTCTCGCGTCCTACCTGCCCACACTGTCGCTCCTAAAAAACCCCAGTCCCAAATGGGAAAAACAGGTTCCATCTTTTCTCATTCCTGTGTTGCGTCGCGCAAGCACGACATATGCAGTGGTAGGCCCGCAGACGGCCATCGTGCAGAGCTTTGCGGTACTCGAGGTGCTGCATTCGCTTCTCGGGTGGGTGCGAAGCCCGGTCGGGACGACGATAGCGCAGGTCGCAAGCAGATTCTACCTCGTTTGGGGAATTACAGCTCAGTTTGAACAGGTAAAATCAAGCGCATAATGCACAGCCTTTGTTATTCTTTCTGACGGTATACGGCAGACGCGCAGCCACCCTCTCTACGCCTCGATGGTCTTCTCCTGGTCCGTCGCGGAGGTCGTGCGCTACTCATTCTACGCGTGCTCTCTCTTGGGCTACGAGCCACGCGCGCTCCTATGGGTGCGCTACACGTTCTTCTACGTGCTCTACCTCACCGGCGCGGGCTCCGAGGCTGGACTCATCTACGCGTCGCTCCCCGCGCCGCCGCCATCGATCCCGTTCTTGTCTGCAGAGTGGGCGGGGTGGCTCCTCCCTCTGTCGTGGCCATTTGCGACGGCGCGCTGGGCCGAGGTACTGCATGATGATTTCAGGGTGTTCATGTTCTTGGTTTGGTGGCCTGGTGCGTTGGCGTGTTCTCTCTTGTCGTACGTGGACGGGACGCTGATGGTGGGTGTATGCGTAGGCTTGTACGTGCTGTACGCGTATATGATAAAGCAGCGTCGAAAAGTGCTTGGGAAGGGCCCTGGAGGGACGATAGGCTCGAAGCCCAAATCATTCAAGATCCAATGAAGATCTGGTTATCGTGGCCTGCACATATCACACCAATGGCCAGAAAGTCCGGATATTGGAATCTACGAGCATCCGGACTCTACGGTCTACAGGGCGCTATCATCGAGTCTGCTGTTCTGCCCTCTCGCTTCATGCACAGAGCTTTAGGTCAGCTGTCATGGGCTGCCATGGTATCTTCAGATATCCCTCTACGACCATTATGTGTGCAATAGTTGTATAGATGCAATGTCAGTGATGGTCACAGGTGACCTACCAATTAAAACATGTGACAGATAGTGAGTGACTGACCACGACAATCAGCCACAGCGTGACAATGCACTCAAACTCAAAAGCTTCATCCCGCAGTCCCACCCACCCCCTCACGTTCCTCTTCGCTGTCTCACCTTCGCCAGTCAAGCATAGGTAAGGGAGTGCGCAGAAGATGCACTGCTGGTTCTGTCTTGCGTCATTGGCTGTGATGGGCTGGCGCTGTATGATGAGATCTCGCGCTGGTGATGGTAGCCTGTAGGTACCCAGGAGAGATTGATAGCTCATTGAGAGGACCGGCTGTGGTGGTGGTGATATTTATGCTGATATGGTGGTACGTATCCAGAAGGGATCATTGACAGCTCACTGAATGGCGGTGGAGGAGAGCCAGCTGCGGCGAAGCAGAGCCAGAGCAGTTGCTATGGACGATGGGCGCTTGCCGAGAAAATAAATGTATATACCGTTGTCGTGTAGATGTGGAGTTCATTTAAGGTACGCCAGCGAGCGGGGTACCCGATGAATGTGGTTCGGCGGCAGGCTGCGGTTCCGTTGGTGGGACCGAGCGGTTTCGGGATGTTGTAACACGGTTCAACAATGTCGGTTACATGCAGAGAATCTCTCAATAGTGACACTCAGGTTCTAGTCTCCAATCTGGGCATATGCATTCTGATGTGGTGGAGGAAAATTGGGAGTAAGTTATTAGTCACGTGACTACTGCGAATACTGCACCTTCCATAACGGGCCACGCTGTGCTCCCTCCGCGCGTGATCGGTGGTCAGCGTCAGTATTCAACGCCACAACGGCCGACTGCCACCCAGCACATAGCCCTTGCTCTCACGCTCCTACCCTATCATGGTCTGCAAGAAATGCGAGAGTGTAAGTAGCCTTTTCTTTTGAGAAATGTGGGGTGTGTGAATGTGTGTGTGCTGACGTAGGATGTGTGCAGAAATTGTCAAAGCTCGCGGCGCCGGACCCGTTCACGAAATAGCTCGCAGAGCATCAACAGAGCATCAAGGAGGGCTCGCGCAAGGTCGGGGAGAACAAACTCCTTACGAGGCCGGGCAGTTCTAAAACCAGGTTTCAGGTGCGTATGCCCTCAAACGTTCGTGCTGACTGAGAGACTAATGGTGGTTTGTTGTGCAGCCGTATTAAGGGAAATGTAGAGATTGCAAGTCGACCGTCACGCAGAACAAAGCCAAGTACTGCCATGGTATGTTTTGTTTCCATTGATCTGGATTATCGACTCACGGGATATTGTAGGATGTGCATATAAGCGGGGCGTGTGCGCGATATGTGGCATGAAGGTATTGGACACGACGGGTTACGTGATGTCGTCGAAATGATACAGCGGATGGACTTTTCAGCGTGTTTTAGAACTGCTATCTTGTATGTAATGTACATAACTTATTATTATTCGCTCTGTTGCTGCTGATCATGCATGGTGGGATCAATTATCGGTTTCGCCGCTGTGCGTCGAGGAGTTGACATGTCTCCGCCCATGCCCGCGATAGAACATACATTCAACTATCTGTCGGTTGTCTGCTTTCTGCAGGGCACATGCGATGCGCGATCGCACATCCCTTCAACAGTGTGGTGCATATTAATGCAGTGTTATATTTGACGATGGGATATAAGTACAACTATATATGTAGCATACATGAAGAGCGGAGATGCTGTGAGTTTTTGTATGAATTCGTGGAGTTGAATCCGATAAAAGCGATACGGGAGCAACAGTATCAAAGCGAGATACGCACTGGAGATGCACGAAACTATCCGACTCTTCGCCATGAATCTAAACAGTCCCAATCCGACGGGCCCAACCAGACCGACAGTCACCAAAGCGAGACACGCACATCCAACATCTAAATTTTCACCTTGGCCCTCTGCTCGTAGATCTCAACGTCGATCGTGTTTGTGCTGAGGAAGCGGTAGATGTGAACAAGCTTCGTCTGCCCGTACCGCCTCAGCCGCCCGATCGCCTGTGTCTCGCACGCATCGTAGATCTCTTGCGTCGCGGCCAGCAATGGCGACAGGAACACCGCATGGTTGGCTGACGTCAAATTCGCCCCGCTCGCGCTCTCATCCATGACATTCAGCAGCAGCACGCGTTCCTTGCTGTCCGTCTGGAACTGCTCCAGGTTCTTGCTCTTCTGCGCCGCGGATCCCCGGATCTCGAGGAACTTGACATCGTTCGCGGCGAGCGCCTCTGCGACTTTCTTCATGAGGTCGGGGAACTGCACAAAGACGAGGACCCGCTCTTCCTTGGGTATCTCCCTCCTACAAAGAAAACTCATTAGCAACCGAGCGAAGATCTCGAAATTGCAACTTACTTGATGAGGTGAATGACCCTCTCGAGCTTGAGGCCGTAGTGCTTGCCCTGCCCATCGCGCTGCTCGTCGTCAACGCCCAGAGTATCGCCCTTTACGACATTCAGCACACGAGCAGCGGCCTTGCATGCACCAGATGCGGCATATACGCACTCCTCTCTCTCCGCACACTCTGTCACACACCCGATGCAGCCCATATGGCCACAAGACGAGAGAACCGCAACCTCCTCGATCGGGACCTGATCCCGCCCACACGACGGACACGGCACCACAGGGGCCACATCAACCTGCTTCTGCAAGTCCCGAACGGCGGTGAAGTACCGCAACGACCGCACACGGCCCACGAGCTCCTTCGTCAGACGACGTATCTCATGCGTCTGCTCGCGGTGCTCCCAGATGAGCTGCTTGACCTTCTCCGGCAGGCTGTCATCCTTAGACTTGCCCTTTCCCCGCGCGTCGACCTGCTTGTTCGTGATCGCCCGAAGGGGAGCAGTGACGTTCGCCTGGTCGAGCAACGCCTTCATCTGCTCCGTCGCGTCCTCGTCGCCCACGCCCTCGTTGCGCGTGACACGAATATACTCTCGGAAGAGCGACTCGGTCTCCACTTTGCCGATCGTCTTCTCTTTCTTGAGTGCCTCTGCGATCATCTTTTCGAGCTCGGTCTTGCAGTTGTCGAGCTGCGCGCGCCGCTCGCGGACGATGACCTCGCACGCTTTCATTGCGTTCTCCTTATCTGAAGAGTCGAGCTCGAAGTGTGAGCAGCGCTTGAGGAGGGCTTCTTCGGCGGTGCTGGAGAGACCGATTGAGAATCTTGAAAAATCAGTCTGCAACGACGACGTACCTGCTTTCCCCGAGCGCTTGGGCCACTCGCTTTTCCCGGTCGCTTTCGCTCTTTCTGCTTCGCTTGACGGTCATGTCCAGCGCACGAAGATGGTGCTCGAGTTCTAGGTAGATGGCACGCTCTGCTGCAGGCAGGTCCACCTTCCTGATCTCCTCGCTTGACGGGATCTCGTCGATCTCAGCAATGTTCTACCAAAAAAATTAGAAAAATGTACTACATAAAAACAAAGCACTCACTTGACGGACGAATTGATCCAAGAAAGCTTGCCCGATCTGATGGCGGTGGGCATGCCACTCGAGACTGTGAACCTCGCGGAAAGAGTGAAACTTTTCGACAGCTGCAGTAGTTGTCAATACAAGCTCTCAGATACTAATGGTGAATAAATGCTCACCGGTCTGTTCCCTGCGGCGTTTCTTCACCTGAACTGACTGCCCTTCACCGTCATCATCCACGCCGAGGTGCAAGTTGAGGAAGGCGGATATAGTCTTGAGAGTGCCAAAGTCGTGGATCGGGGGAGTACCGGAGAGAACCCAGTGTCTCTCCGCCGTAATGTTCGTGACCATAGAGTGGATCTTGCCGTCAAGATACGTATACTCATCCACAACCTTCCGGAAGAAGTGAAACATTTCAAGTGGCGGAGCCTGCATCTGCGTCCAGTCCTTCTTCACCGCGGTCGACCCCAACTTCCACGGGTCCTTGACTTCTCTCTTCTTCTTCGCAGGCCTCTTGCCGTCATCCTGAGCCTTGCGCTTCTTGATAGCCTTCTTCGGCTTGCCCTTTGAAGAGGGCGGTTCGTCGATGTCCATAGCATCAGTGTCCGAAGTGGCCGCAGACTTGTTGCTGCCCTTCGTCCCTTTGCCTTCTCCCGCTGTCGACGGCTTGGACAACTTGCTAGAATAGTCATCGTCCGATGTGACCACGTCATCCAAGACCATCTCGCCCTCGGACTGAGTTTCTTCCGCCACAGACTCTTCATAGTCGGAATCGTGCGACTTCTTGGAGCGTTTGACGTAAATCGCCTTCTTCGTGGAGCGTCTGGCCCTTGGATCGTTCTCGTCTTCATCAGGCAGAAAATCGCCGTCAGACTGGGCCTGCTCTTCCTCGTCGTCCGAAATCATGATCGGACGCCTCTGAGGGCCTCGACGACGACGTGGCCTGGCGGGCGCGTCCGAATCGTCCTCTCTGTCTGTCGTCTCAGGCGCAGAGGACGACACGATGCTCATCGCTGAGGGAGACTTGCCACGCTTGGGCAGAGGAGGTATGACAACCTCCATGACCATCCCCGTTCGCGGGCTCTTTGCCTCTGAGCGATCTGACTTTGGCTTCGCTGCAGTTTCTGCGACTTCGGCTGCCTGACGGTAGGTCTTACCCTTAAGACGCTTTGTGGAAACCAGGAAGTTGGCCTCGTCCTCGTCTGGTAAAATGAATTAGCATACAGCAGCAGGATAACAAATATAAATATCAGACCTAGCTTCCTGCCTTCGTTAATTTTTCTCATCACCGCTCGCGCGCCCTCCTCTCTAAGCCGGTCGACCTGTCCACGGAGCGACGCCAGCACGTTCTCCAACCTCGCATTGAAGTATCTGCCTTCTTGAGTAGGTAGACTCCCGGCGCCAGCGAAAATTTCCAGGTTCGCCAGGTACACGTCACTTTTGAACAAGTTGGACGCGACGACGACAATGTCCGCTTCCTGGATATCCTCGACAGTCAAAGAGTTCAGGCTGGAAACGATGGTGATCACGACGACCTTGAACTGCTTTCCGGTGAATTTCTTCACCTCGGAGCCCCACTGTCTGGTCAAATGAGGAGGGACGACTACGAGGGTCGCCTTGACCCGGATCTTGCCCTTCAAATTCTCCATCTTCCTAAACTCCTGCTTGACGCTCTTCGACGTGCAGTCAATGAGACCCAGCGTAATCGCGGTCTTCCCGTACCCGACTTCATCCGCAAGCACACCTCCCCTCACACGAACTGGCCTCTGAGCGCGACCTTCCGCCCTCCACCCAAGCGGCTCCAAAATTGCTTCCGAAATCTCCTCCTCGATGAACGGAGGCGCATCCGGCTTCTCCTGCGCCAGCATCCAGGTGAGCGACCTCAGCTGCTCTGGGCGCAAGTCAATGATAAAGCTAGGTGGCTGGGCGTGTTGCACGTCGCGCCGATTGCTCAAGAGCTTGAACTTCGGGAGGCTGATCTTCGCTGCTGGGAGGAAATCGGTCGTTAGTCGCCACGAGGTCTTGATCTCCCCTGTGCGTCCTGCGGAGGGCAAACGGGACATGGCCCGGTGCATGAGCGAGGTGATATTGACACCGATGCGGACCACCCCGACGCCGTTTTCCTCAAGCTTGAGCTGAGTGACAAACGGTGCGGGGCGGCGCTTCAGCCTACGCTCATACTCCCCAGCCTGCGCCGTATCCTCTATCGCCACGATCTTATTCTTATTCTTCGTCCAGCGTAGATCGGGCGCGGTGGGCGCGCAACGCTCGCAGTTGACATGGTGATGCATCACCTCCGCATCCTGCCAGTCGCCAAAGTGGTCGCCGACGTTGCGGATACGCTCGATGAGCCATGCGAGGGCCTTGAACGTCACTCGTTCGTGTACCTTGTCGACTTCTCGCCAGGCGCCGCGCGGCCACTCTGGGCCTGCCTGGTTAAGGAGTGGGACGCGGCACACGAGGAGGGCATTTGCGCTCGAGCAGGCGTCGTTCGATACGCTGATGTTCAGATGGTCTCCGGGGACAGCGAAGTGGGCTTCGTGGCCGGCCACAGGCTAACTCGAAGCGTAAGTTATGCCTATGATAGAACTCATAATGGTACTGCTTACCACCAGATGCGTCTCAGACGACTCGACCCACTTCTGCGGAATATGGCACTCAATGCTTTGCTCCTCCACGGTATCAGACTGCCTCCACTTCGACTCAAACTTACAAACCAACGGCCGCGTCTCGCCATACTCATAACGCCGCGTGCTGATAGAGATGACGAAGCAGTCATCCGCAGGATCTCCGCACCGCGTCGGGTCGAGCAACAAGAACAGCGGCGGCAAATGGGAATCGCGCTCGTCAGACGTCTTCTTATGCAACGCAGAGTTCGCAGTGCCGCACTTGTCCAGCAACGTATACACACCCGAGATATCCCTGTCAAAGTGTACCGCGTCCTCCCGGGCAACGCTAATCTCAAGCCTCGAATTCACCATCTTATCCTTGAACTCCTCACCCTGCAATCCGAGTTTCTGCTCCCACGACGGAACAGGCTCACTACCAGAAATCGCGATACGCACAGACTTGCTATGCGGCAGCGCAAAGTCCCACCGTCCGTCGAACAGTCCGCCCGTGCAGACCATCCTGCCCACAGGTGCCTCCAGCAGCCTGCGCAGCTCCGAGTTGGCCGGCTCGCTCTCCTCCGGCTTCGCGAACAGGCGCCACTCGGGCTGCTGCGGGTAAAGCAGGAGTTCCAAATAGGCGACGGGCGACCAGTACGTCGCCACCCAGATATCCTGTCGCTTTGGCTCGACGAACCGCAGCTCCTGCTGGGAGACCCCGAGGACGGCCTCGCACCAGCTTGACCAGCGCTTGCTTAGGATGGAGACTCCTGACGCGTCCTTGAGGCTGTCGAGCAGCGCTTGGGAGACGTTAGATAGGGAAAGAGACATGGGGAGCGTCGACTTGAGCTCCTTCGCAAAGGCGGTTGGGGACATCCGTGGGTTTGCCCAGACGTCGACGGGCTCAGGGTTGTGCTCCGGCCTCCCGCCGCACTTGACGCAGGACGAGGAGCCGCAGTCCTTGCAGCGGTTCACCTGGCGGTCAGTTATATCCTTCCTGCCCTCACATTCGCACAGACGCGCGCTCTTGACCGCCTTGTCGAGGAGCGTCGCAAGAGGAACAGCGGCGGTTGATGCCAGGTCCAAGGGCTGGTCCACAAGCTGGTTCTCCCCGGACACCCGATCCTCCACGGGAATATCCTCAGGCTCCTGGTCAATGTCCATTGAGTCGTCCTGAACATCCTCCCTATCGATATCCATTGACATGTCGTTTCGAGACTCGTACGTGCTCATGTCGTTGCCCTCCTTCAGCAGCTTCCTGCCTACGATGAGCGCAGCCATGATGCATGCACCGACGACGGTCGTGGACATCGCATTCCCCGCGAGGTCGGCGAGCTGATCCTCCGTCTCGCGCGTCAGGAGTAGCTCGTCCACGGGCAGACCCTGCATGGAGAGCGCCTCGATGCCGACCATGGGTCCGCCGCGGTTCGTGATGTAGGGTATCATGGAAGGGGTCAGACATGGACAGATGCCAGCTTTACTGGAGCCAATGGTGCGGTCAACGTTCTGCGACAGGTTCCATACTTGCCTATGATGCGTTTCAGTATCAGCAAACGTACACAAGAGCGAGCAGCGCTACTCACGTCTTGTACGACGGGTCAACGCCCTTCTTGGCAGATCGGAGGAGACTGATATCCATAAGGTCCCAAACACGCTCTACTTGCCCGACTCCCCAATCGTTCCACGCAAAGTCTGGAAGCTTGCAGGAACCACCTGAGAAATGATCAGCACGCGCCATTCAGCAATGCCAGACGTGCAAAATGACCTTCATCCCAGCTGGTCAGCGGACGCTTCGAGCCGAGCTCTTCCTCCAACCTGGCGCGTTGGTGGCGGGACTCGCATCGGCCCCAGTCTGTCCGGCCTGTCCGTCGATCGACCGCGTTGTAACTTTCAGAAATGAGCTTTTCGCGTGCCTGATGAATGCGTGGATCGTCCGAGGGGAGCAGGAAAGCATCGAGCGTGGACGACGCGGGCCGCTTGAGCTTGTTGAGAAGTCTCTTCCAGTCACCTGGAAGATCCGAATTTCGCTGGTCCACAGCGAGGAGATACACACGGGTTCGCGTATGAGGTATGTAAAAGTTCTTGGTATCGACTCGCAAGAAGTCGGCACTGTATTCATTCTTCTCAAAGTACTCGACGACGCGCTTCCATGGCGCCGAGCACACGTTCTCCAGGATGACCAGAGGTGGTCGGTGATTCTTCACCCAGGACATCATCCCTCGGAAGGTCCTTCCAGACTCTCCGTTCGCGTCGATACCTTGTTTCTCATTGTTGAGATTGGAATAGTCGACGCAGGAAGTACCCGCGACGAGAATGTCGACGTCTCCAGGTACGGGCGCTAGTGATCCGTATGCTGTCGTACTTCATTGCACACGTTAGATCACTTGTGATCAGACGAGAAATTACTGGAATACGTACGCATACTTGTCCCCAAGCTCGCATACATCATTGAACAGCAGGGGAGGCTGAAAGTTCCGCTCGATGTATGCCTGCTTGAAAGGCTCGATTTCGCACGAAAAGACGTGTTCGAACTCGAGATTCACGTCATAATGCTCGAGTATGGATCTGCGAATAAGGTCGAGCGCGAGAAGTGGAGATTCAGTGCCGGAACACATAGTAGCGACGCGCATCTTGCGGCCTTGCAGGTGCTGCGCCACTGCCTTGATCTGGGGAGCGCGTGCAACCAGGTCAGAGAAAATAGCTGGTATTTTATGAATCGGAGGCAGCTCAGACGCGTCTGGAGCTGAGCCCTTGCTCATTCCAGCGAAGGGTTTCTCAACTACTTCCTCAGAGTCAGAGGCCTCCGAGTCACCGCTGGCTGCGTCTGTTTCAGGTTCAGGCTTTGTAACACCCTTGAAGAATGAGGTGATGTGCTTTTGGCCCCGCACGGGAGCAGACTTCTTTGCTCGCGCCATGTCAAAGTAAGCAGGGGGGAGGGGGAGAGATGAGGAGAAAGCATGTTGAATGGGGACACACGCGTCGTGCGTGCGCCGTGTGCTCCATTATGAAGCGTCACAGTCGCGATCAGTCATGACGTGACATGCCCGTGACTAAACGTGTATGCGGCGATCCTCCCGGTTCGATTCAACCAGGGATATCTAACTTTGCAAGTTTCCAACTCTCGGACTCTGTCCTCGCAGCTTTGGGTTCTCCGAACGGACTGAAGTAAACGTGCATGTTCTTCGTGTTCGGAGCAGTGCATAATTCCTCATCTAGAAAATTTACTTGCATATACTACAGAAACAGCTGTGAAATCACTATAATGTGGACGGTGGCAGGAAATGTCCGACGGCTACGCCTGCCAAATCGGGAACTGTGGCCACGCAGTTCCTGGCTACGGCGACTCGCACTTGGCACTCTGCTGCGGACTTATTTGGATGAGGACGATGAGACACTCGCCCCTGTCCATTATTCCTCACCTGCTCGGTCCGGGAGCGTTATCAGGGATAGCACTATTGCAGTCGCAAAGAAGTTTCTTTTCGATTCAAAGTCCGCTTGTTGTGTAAATCATGCTATTGTTCGCCTAAATAAGCCAAAGCCACGGGATTTCCTTTGAACTCTTACGATATGTTTGGTTCAATATTTGGTGCGATTTGCAGAACCTCCGCCTTCGCCTCTTTCGTCCCAACCACATCGTCAGATTCCCCGTCACGGTGGGTTCCGGCCAAACGACCTGCCTGGTTGCTTCAAATGCACCTTAGCCTTGCGAATCGACGGCATCAAGATCATCTAGCATGCATCATGTGCTTTTGCTGAACGAGCTTTTGTTGCAACTTCTCCAAGTTCTCTGCGAAGACGATCTACGCGCTCTCGCAGTGCTTGCTAGAACATGTCTGTCCTTCTCCCAGCCCGCGCTCGAAATACTCTGGGAGTCTCTAGATAATCCGTCACCCGTCGTCCAGCTTTTTCCAGATGATTCCTGGACGGTTGCATACCATCTGTACAGCAGGAAACGGTGCCTAGTACGTGCAGTCCGATATCTCGCTCTTTCTCGGCGACTGCTGCACAGCAGAAATTCACAAGGCTTCTCCATCCTGTAGATTGGATCAGGCCGCTCAAATATCTACCACTCATCAAACGTCTTGGCTTGGAGAACGACAGTCGTTGGGCGTATAGATCATCTAAAGTGTCATTCCAAGCACTTCAATATCTGTCCATATTTCGCCCAGTACTTGCGATACTTCCTAACCTTCGCGTGCTCAATCTAACATCCCATGTGGCCACGTCGAATCTGCCAAAATACCTCCAGTATTCTTGGGCCTTTCTCGGGTCTGAGCTGCGCAGTTTTACCTTCGACGGCGAAACGTTTGACATTGAGAAGCAGAAGTCACTCGCGCGACTCCTGTATGCGTTGGAATATACCTGTCCTTTGCTTGAAGAAGTCTGTTTGTCATGTCGTCTCGCATGCGGCCGAATCGTCTCGGACGCCTCCTCCTCTCTCGTAAGCAGACTACAGAATCTACGGGTGCTAGAGTGCGTTGGCATACCTCTCAATGCTCTGGCGGAGTCCAGCCTCGGAAGAAATACGACATTATACCATCTCCATGTTTCCCTCCTTCGACAAGGTGCTCAATGGCATTCCCGACACGTATGGGATTCATCTTGGTTTCAGTCTATAGAGACCCTTGAAATCCAGACTGATGACATACGGTCGTACGTCTCTTTTGCCAATAGCGTGTCCCTATCAAGAGTACACTCCTTCATCCTGGAAATTGGTATACCGTTCACACAAGACCTCATGCAACGGCTGTTCAGCTCTATCCGTAGACAGTTCTCAGATTCGCCACTTTCCACGTTCAGAATCAGCTGTGACATCCCCCTTGAGACTACGGACGATCCGATAGTGCTTCTGTGCCCTCAGCATTTACAGGAATTGCTGATCTTCCGTCACCTGGAGAAAGTCGACATTAGCGGCCCTTGGTCTATCCAGACCAACGATAACATCCTTCGACAGATGGCTTTTGCGTGGCCTAATCTGCGAAGGCTTTGTCTGTATCACGAGTGTTACATCTCCCAAGATCAAGAGTTCAGTTCCAACGCCACACTCCAGGGGCTAATGGGTTTCGCTCAGAACTGTTTGCAATTGCATTCGCTATACATTGAGCTGCACGCGGATGGCTCAATGCTCCCCGAGATTGCATTGCCACGACCGTCCCGATGTCCTCTGCAGGACCTTGAGGTGTGCTGTTCGACGACATCCTCCAAAACAGAAGTTGCTGCCTTTTTATCGTATCTCTTCCCGTCTTTGACAAAGATCGAAGCCTCATTCAATGCCGATTACGAGATTGAAGACCGTCAGTGGATGAAGGACTGGTCGGATGTAGACAGGGCTGTGCACGCCATGAATTACCCGAACGATACAGCTGCTGCAACTGTTCAACATACAGCACGCATGGACGAGGAGATGTAGCGTCCATCAGGTGCTATATATACTCGCAACGTTCTCAAACGATCATTGCCCTTCAATACCGCAGTGACTTCTCAAAACCCAACATATCACGAGCGTTCCGCCTCATAATGGCCATTCAACTGGCCTGGGAGAATCAGGTGCGCGCATAAGCTACATTGCACAACCCATCGTCCTTGACCGATTCCAGATGCATACAGCGCTATATATAAATCATGATGTACGGGATTGGACCAAGACCTGTTCTATTATGCATGGCTGTCTTCTTATCATGATCAAAATATGCTAGGATAAACCTCATTCAGCGGTTATTGATGCTCGGGGCGAACCCAACTCGGCTTCCTGGGTAGTCGTAGATCGAGTACCCTGAGGGTTGTGAACATCTTGGTGTATAAAACAAATGCGCAGAGGCTACTCACAGGACTTTAGGAATTCGTCACCTATCATGCACGCGAAGAGGTCACGTCATCATCAAATTTCAAGAGGATGCGTTTGTGCGAGCTCACCAATGATAGCCAAGTTTGCCGGAAAGCCCTTCCCAAGTGACAGGATGCCTCCGACACAGTCTCTGCCGCAAATGTCTATCCGTCAGCAAGCAACGATCAGACAGCACATGCAAGAACACGAAGGATTCATACGATACGTACGGGGAATCTTCCGCGGTGCGTCCGAGATTAAAGTCGACCATGTCCATCCGGTAGGGCTGTCCGTTGAAGGAAAGACCGACGGCCAGTGGGGCCGAACATGGGAAGGTATAGAAACCTACCGTCAGATGGCTTAATCAGTGGACTCGGACGGGATGAAGAAGGAGGATGACTGACCGGCGCCGTATTGCATGGCAGGTTGTGAGCCAGGGATCTGTGTTGACAGCATGATTCAAAGTGCAACAACCAATTGGGCAGCTTAAGATGGTTTACCAGCGCATAGAAGCTCTTCGCAACCTTGTCCGGTAAATAGATGAGCGTCGTTCCTGTGTCGATAGCCTGGATGAGAGGTGTGCTCAGTTACAGAGTTTTCTGCAGGAAAATGGGACGTACTGCGGTCAGATTAGCAGGCACAGAATGGGAAGCATCGGAGGAGAGGCCGTCAAGCAGAATCGACCAGTACGTCTGTTTCTTGCTGTTAAGCTGCTGTATACAGAAGGCCATGAAGAAGCTAACCCGTGAAATGACTGAATTCCAGATGATAGGACCTATCGCTTTCGTAGTGTCGAAGCATCCGAAACAAACCTGCACGACGGCATTCAGTTCACTTCTCGGAAGAAAATACCAGAAACCTTACCTCCGATCCGGACGTCTGCTCACGTTCCAAATGCACCGAGAACGCACCGGCTGCGAGTTGTTTCGAGAGCATGAGATTCTCGAAGAACGTGGGCTGCTTCGATCGTGCGATGCTTCCGAATGCCAGGCCGAGCAGCCCATCGGATGGTTGATCATAGAAGTCTGCCGATTGGCTGCGCACGGCACCGAAGGCCTGCTGGGCAACTGAGAGTCCGCCCACAGTGACGATGTCTTGGGCTATCGTTCCAGAGACGTGACCAGTGCCCTGTTCGCATTCGAGAAGGACGAATCAGCATCACAAACGGCGAATGAGGAGCAATAGCACGCGCGTAAGTGACAGAGAACTTCTGCCCCAGGTTCCTGTATGACGAGCTGTGTTCACGTTGGAAGGAGTTTCCCGCGCATTCTTGACAGTCTACAGGCACCCAGAGGTCTGCCGAGCCCGTATCGATATCGACCGTCAGCTCCTGCTGCTGGGAGCCAAATCCCAACGGGCCATAATATAGAATGTCCAACCCTCCCTCGGCGTCGTCCGTCAACCCGAGCTGCGCCGTCCCGGGCACGGTCACCAGACCTGCGGAGGTCTTCTCCGAGGCAGCCCAGCCGACCCAGGGCTGCTGCTCTGCCGACACGGGCAGCTTGCTCGAGTTGTGCGCTGCTGTGGCGTTGTATGTGGTGGCATTGTTCGCGGTGGAGTTGAGGAGGCCGATGAAGGGACGAGTGAAGGGCTGATAGCCTTTCTCGGGGTGCGTGTCCGGGTTGAGGCCGATGCCGGAGAGGAACTGAGCGGCTTGGGAGTACTTGGCGAGGACGGCCTTGAGTTCATCGGCCTTATTATGGTGTGAATGAGGGCGATGATTGTGGTAGATCACCGTGGGGCACGTACCGCGTACGTAGGGTCAAAGACGCGGTCGGTGTCGCCCGGGTTTGGAGGCGGCTGACCTGAGGAACGTCTGATCTTGGCAATGAAGCTCTTCTTTCCAGACTTGTCGGCGCTGAGTGGGGACGTCCAAGCGCCGAGAGCGAGGAAGAGAAGAGCGAATACGGAACGCATGCCAGTGCGGAGAAAAAGGGTCGACTCGTCAACCAGGTGCACCGGGCACTGATTTCACGGAGCAACTGAAGAGAAGGAGATGGTGGTGTTTCTACAGACGTCCGACAGCTCATGTTGCCTTGGCCAGGCCCTGCAGGCTGACTGCCTGCGGACCGTCAGCCACACCTGTCACCAACAGACCAGCCACCCCCAGGATCGATCAGGATCGTCCGGATCTGGACGCCCAATCTGATCGGACATACCGGATCTGTTTATCGGGCTTCCTCCACCACGTCCGCCAGCCACGCAGCCCGTGATGCATCTAGACATGGTCGACTTCTTTACTCCGGCAATTGCAGCTGGTTTTTAGCCCGGAGAAGGGAGTCGTGTAGCACTCGTTAACTCCCCCCACGTCGACACCGCAAGCGATATGAGCCAGCGAGCCCACTGGAAAGACCTTGTCGCTGACAAGAAGCGCCGACAGCAGGAGTCGATACCAAAGGACTGGATCATAACCGTCCCGCCGGACAGCATCCGCGATGTCACTAGTGTGCCCAGCACTTGCGGCCTCTTGTCGCCGAGAGAGCTCGAGATCACCGATACGACGGATGTCGAGGCGATCTTGAACAAATTGGCATCGGCGGAGTGGTCGTCGGTAGAGGCGACGACCGCTTTCTACAAGCGTGCAATTATCGCTCACCAGCTCGTAAGTTTTTGCGTGCCGACAAAAATATAGGGATAGTTTGATTGAAGCATTTTCAGGTAAACTGCCTGACGGAAATCTTTGTCGACCGTGCGCTCAAGCGCGCGGCCGAATTAGATGAACATCTTAAGACTACAGGAAAAGTGGTCGGACCGTTTCACGGCTTGCCCGTCTCCCTCAAGGACCAGGCTCAGGTGAAAGGACTCGAGACAACCATAGGTTAATATTGAATGCGGTCATCAGATGATATAGAAATTAACCACTTTCGCAGGGTACGTTTCATGGGTCGGCAATTACGCCGACAAAAATGCCGTCATTGTCGACATACTATACGAACTAGGAGCAGTCCCGTTCGTTAGGACCAACCTTCCTCAGACAGTGATGGTGAGCACACCATCGCGCGAGTGAATGAGCCCGTGATGACCGGCCATGTAGTGGATAGAGACGAACAATCTTCTCTTTGGTAGGACCTTGAACCCACACAACCGCTCGCTCACGAGCGGAGGATCCTCCGGAGGTGAAGGTGCACTGCTCGCAATGAAAGGCAGCCCACTTGGCGTCGGCACCGACCTTGGAGGGTGAGCACCAGGCATCCTGTTCTCCCACGTTCACGTATGCTCATTCGTCCACAGTTCTATCCGCATCCCTGCCGTTTTCAACGGAGTCTACGGCCTGCGCCCTTCTACCGGTCGTCTGCCCTACTACGGATGTGCCAGGCCCCTCGCCGGACAAGACTCCGTCAGCACCGTGCTCGGGCCTCTCGCCAACTCCGTCGGTGGGATGAAGCTGTTCCTCAAAGCCGTGCTCGCACAGAACCCCTGGGACAAGGACCCCACTGTGCTGAGGAAGGCGTGGGATGAGGAGGCGTACAAGCTGAGGGACCATGGTGGACAGGGAGGCAAGCTGTGCTTCGCGATTATGTGGGATGACAGGGTTGTTATGCCTCATCCACCCGTGAGAAGGGCCTTAGAGATGGCGAAGGAGGCACTGACTCAGGCGGGGCATCAAGGTGGGTTTTTTGTCCACGGCGCTGACGGTGAAATATTGACAGGCGACGTAGTGATCGATTGGGAACCGTACAAACACCTCGAGTTTGGCAATCTCATGGTAAGCTTTTTGCGCTTCATTTAGGTTGCCACGTCATTGACGTTTGTCTATGCTAGAACGCCATCTGGCGCGCCGGCTCGCGCCAGGACATCGCCGCCGCCGTCTCCAGCAGCGACGAGCCGCTTCTCGCCTCGATGGACCTCATCGACCCCGCGTTTCCGGACGCCTCCTACGGCGCGTCGTATTTCTACAGCGGCGACGGCATCTCCGCGTACGAGCTGTGGCAGCTGCACAAGAAGAAGGAAGAGATGCAGAAGGAGTATCTGGACCGCTGGATGAGCACTGCGGAGATCACGGGCACGGGCAGGCCTGTGGATGCGATCATATGCCCTGGGGCGCCGTGTGCCGCGCCGCCGCATGGGAGGAACAAGTACGTTCGAGTTTGTGTGCTATTGATGTCGTATGTTGATCGGTGCGCGTGGTAGGTTCGTGAACTATACGCGGGTGTGGAATGCGCTAGACTACACCGCGTGCACGTTCCCCGTCACGAAAGTTGACCCGGCGTTGGACGTGAAGCGGCCCGCGCACAAGTTCCTGAGCCCTACGGACAAGGCATACTATGACTTCTGTGCGTGTTCAGTTGTGCTTACCATCGGGCGGCACAAACTTTTTCAGTAACGGTACATTCATGAACAAACAGATAATCCGGCGACGTTCGAGAATGCGCCCGTCGGACTGCAGCTGGTCGGAAAGATGCACGAGGAGGAGGCGGTGCTTGCTATGGTTGAGATCGTGGAGGCGGCGCTGAAGGCTGGCGGCAAGCCCAAGTTGTAGACTTCAGGTTCAGCGACTTGATTCAAGATGCAAACCTGGCTCATCATAGATTGTAGCTCATTTGGTTACTGTGTGACACGATAGAGGTTGAGTATGTACACGAACAGCAGTGTATGCTCCAGTGCTTGGGCATTCCATCCGCGGCATTGCAGCTAGAAACAATTCTATTCCAGTTCCGGTCTCATGACATTCGCGCAGCTTCCCCCATAAACTTCGTCTTGATAAGGTCATTTGTAACTTCTCACTGAAATGAAACACTGCAAGAATAGTCTTCATCGCCAAGTTGCGGCAGATCCACAGCCGCATCATTTCTAGCGGCGCGCTGTGGCTTTTGCGAGGCGAGTGCTACCAGTGCACGCCAGCGAGCACAGACACACTAAACTCAAATCCATTAATTTTGTCATGCGGGACGTTAACATTCAAGGTGCATTGTAGGCAAACTCGTTGCAGCAACTCTGTGGGAAGTTCAGACCTAGGACTGACTCCTGAGTATGTCCCGGGGCTGCTGTTCACCTGAGGGGATGGCATGGTCAGAGGTCGTCTCCTATTAGGTGCTCGATGCATGCGAGCTGGAAGTCGCCAGCTTAATTGAACGACATTGAACATTGAACGTTGAACGTTGAACGTTGACTCCGTTGAACACTTACCGTAACATTGGCGCGGTGGCAACGCTGCAGCCACAGCTAAATTGAGTTCATCACCTTTCCCTACACCCACCGTTTCCTCGCGCTGCTGCAAGCGTCCGACGTCGACCCCCTTCATCTGCTGTCGAGTCGCCCCAGGCAAGCTTGGACGTTGATCGCGACCACGATGGTATGTTCTTCATTATCGACTTGATATGTACGGTGCACACGACTGACAGGCGATCGGCTCCAAATCCAACCTCAGAAACTCAACATGTCACCCAGCACCCGCTCGGTGCCCACTCTTCTCATCGTCGCGACCTCCAGCTTCTTCGTCCTTGTCATCTTGCTCTACGTCCGGCCGTACATCGCCGCTGCCCTCGCTCCCTACCGCGACCTACGCGACCCATACCAACATGCGTACTGGTCTTGCTATTATCCTCTCAATTGTGTCCTTCGTCCTCACGTCCGCTGTTAGAGCACATTATGTCCTTGCAGACTCATATGTCGGCCGCGAATTCTTTGACAGCTGGACATGGGAGACAATGAACGACCCAACGAATGGTCGCGTGAACTATGTCTCGAAAGGCACCGCAATGGGATTGAACCTGTCATTCGGTATGATACGTATCAGTTATAATGGGCTTAATATGCCATTCGTCAACTTTTTTTTGGTGTAGCGTCGGATGAGAAGTTCATCATGCGTGCGGATTACAGAAACGTGGTGCCATCATCTACACGCGGCAGGAGGAGTGTCCGTATAACGTCGAACAAGGCCTACGGCGACTCTGTCACTGTACTTGATCTCGAGCACATGCCGGAGGGATGTGCAACATGGCCCGCATTCTGGTCACTCAGTCAGAAAGGGCCATGGCCTGCAGGAGGAGAGATTGATATCGTCGAAGGTGCGTGGTCTAGCCAACACACCAAGTCCTGTCATATCAGAGAGCGCGTCGTGGGCGTTGTCTGCTCCCGATAGTCCGCTGATACATTGCCATTAGGTGTCAACCTCCAGACACAAAACCTGATGTCGCTGCACACACTCCCTCAATGTATCATGCCTCAGCAGCGAGCACATCTCGGGTAGGCGTTCCCGCTTTATATACCTCATAAAAGATGGCATAGCCAACCGGACATATCTTCCCAGGACAGTGTCCTCGACGAACTGCGACGCCTCCGTGAATTTCAACCAGGGTTGCGGCGTGAACGGTCCTCCAGGCTCGTACGGAGCGCCGCTCAACGCGGGACGCGGAGGCTGGTTTGTCATGGCACGCAGCAAGGCTGAGGGTGTGCGCGTGTGGTTCTGGGCTCGTGGGGATCCAAACGTCCCAACCGAGGTGAGCACTCATCCGATGTAGCTCCCTTAGCTGACACCAATAACATGATCCATATGTTCGCAGGTCCGCGACCCGATCTCGAGCGAGGGGATCCTCGGTATAGGCGCGACAGGCACACCAACGCTCTTCCCGGATCCGACCTGGGGCCCGCCCACCGCACTGTTCCCGATGGACTCCTCGTGCGATTACGAGAAGCACTTTGACGATCACCAGTTCGTGTTTGACTTGACCTTCTGTGTAAGTGGTCTTGGCAGTGAGATTCATGCAGCATACTGAATAGAGGATGCGTACCCTAGGGTGACTGGGCGGGGAACGCCTATCCAAATTCTGGGTGCCCCGGGTCTTGCACGGATTGTAAGCGTTCTCACTGCGTTATTATGCTATCCTCGCATACTAAGCATCGGCTCTCTCGCTTGCCATCAGACGTCGACAATCACCCTGAAGCGTTCGAAAACGCCTTCTGGGAAGTTAACGCCGTGCGCGTGTACACACCTGTTGCCAGATCGAACAAGCTTCTATGACCAGCTCCAATCTACGACGATGCCACTCATTATTCATACGTAGAACTGCTAATGCGTAATGTATGGAACAGTATACCCTGGCACGGCTACGGAGACAAGGCATGCTATCACTTCTGATGCTGGCAGCGCTAGTTCTTGTTTGATGGTGTGACTTTCATGTCTCGGGACTGTATGGGAGTCGAATAATCTTTCGGGCCTTGCGTCCCTATTGATCAGCCTATCTTGTCCTTCATTTTGAATGCTTGCGAGAGCGCATGTTTTGCTATAAATAGACCTGTAGAGCTACCTCTGGAGTAATGATACTCTTTCTATACTGGAAGCGGGTCCGCTGGCCGTCGTGAACTTCCCCATCGGTTCAAAGTCGTCGAGAACTAGAACGAATGGCCGCTGGCATCGGCTATAGATTCGAATAGTATATGACCTGCTGAAGAGAATCATAGCTACCAACCCTATTCCTGATCCTTCACCCCCTAGGAAACCTGATCGCTCATCAATTCCACTGGTTCCTGGACGCCCCTCAGGAAGTCCTCTCGCTTGGTCCTGGTTCTAAATGATCTCTCAACACTTCGGGGACGCTCCTTAGGGTGCGACCCATCGTGTGTTCCGCCCGACTGGATGAACGAATTGAGCCCGGACGACAGCTCATACCCGCATTCCAACAACTCTTCCACCGCGAGTTTGTACCGTGGGTCTCCAAGCGCGACACACTTGCGGATGATCGCCTCGTACACTGCGAGCGGTGGGAGATGACCCTCGGTCTTCATCTCCTCGAGGTAGAAGAAAGCGTCCTCGTACACCGTCTGCGTCAGACAAAGCACGATCAGCCTCTCGTATGTGCGGATGTCGGGCTTGATCTTCGCCTCCTTCATCTCAGTCAGCAGGCGGTCACCGAGCGGCCGGTGTTGCGCAGCGATGCAGCCTGCGAGGAGTAAATTATATGTATCGATGTTCGGCTTGACACCGAGCTTGCCGGCAGTCTTGTACGTGCCCACAGCGCGCTGGAGATCCCCAATCGCCACGGAAGCCTGGACGACGACGTTGATCGCTGTAATGTCGATGTTCTTGCCTTCCTCGTGGAGCGTCTCGAGGATACCCCACGCTTCGTCGACCGAATCCGCATCCTTTGAGATCATCTCAAATATAGGGAAGGCTGTTTCGGCTCCAGGGGTGATGTCATGGCTTCTGATCAAGTCTAGCATGGCCAGAGCATCCTTGAGATTCTTCTCTTTGCCTTTACATAGAGCTTCGATGACCGGCGCGAAGTGGTATTCTTCCCAAGCCACACCGATCTTCCCGAGAACTTGAAGCACATCGAGGCCGAGGGCAGCAAGTCCATTACGGCCTGCAGCGTGCAGGACTTGCAAGCAACAACCTTCGTCAGGCGTGATGTGGAGCTCGTGCACGACCTTCTGCCACGTCCGCAGCACTCCATCCTCCTGGCGAAGAAGTGAAAAGCTGAATGAAAAGCTTGATTGTATCACCCACGTATAATGCTTCGGCAGACGAGAGCAAGCATTCTAACCAGACGTCGCCATCAAGGCGTCGTACCGAAGTTGCTTCAAACGCCTCAGCCAATTCCAGTGCCAGGCGGGGGTATCCCAGCCGACCCGCCGACTCTATGAGAGTCGTTGCAGTTTTTAGCGTCGGAGAGAGGCCGCGTGCACCCATCTCTGCAAGGTTTTGCAGGGCGAGTTCAATATGGTCGTCTTGAGTATACCGGAGGATGATGATCTCGTATGTAGTCTCGTTAGGAGCTACGAGGAATTGCCTCATTGTCTCCAACACGCTCCACATTTCTCCGGCATCTTCTCTGCGCAATACCTGTCGATGAACGTCAGATCTGGCGAAAGGACAGCGCGTGCAGCGCATGGAGGACTTCACCTCACATAGAGTAGATGATGAAACATTGTCCGTGTCGGTTGTATCCCCATGGCGAGCATATCATCGAATGCTGCGCGAGCCTCCGCAGGACGTCCTTCAGATGCGCAGGCCTCCAGGATGTATTCGTATGTGGTGGCATCCGGCTGAACCCCTTCGTCTTTCATTTCCTTGCAAATCTGCATGGCAATACGAGTGAGTTTGTACTCCGTTCCATCATGTGCTGCCCTGGGCAAGAGTATGTCGCCGAGTTTCATGTTGTACCGGGCGGCAGGTGTCGTCGCGTTCGACCTTCGAAGGAAAGGGCGGGGCTGGAAAGAGTACGGTCCACGTCGCGGACCATTTGGACGGTTGTGATTATCTTGCCTTAGTATCTCCGATTTAGCTACTACTGAAGCGGTCGACGTCTCGCGCTGCTGCTGGAAGCATTCTAGGTCGATCAAGCATGTCAAGATCATCAGGAAGAAAGACGAACGGAATCATTGCGTACTTGACAGGCTGGATGATGCTGGCGCCGCTACACAGGTTTCTGTCGCCACATGCGATAGTTTGCCTCGGGCTGCCTTCAGAGCATTCCGGGAGGATGAAGCCAGCATTTGAGCCAGCGGCAGTTGAAGGGAAGCAAAATGCCAGACTCTCGGATGGGCCTAGCGCGGTTGTGTTTGGGCGGAGTCACTCGGCCACGCTGCGGAGTTTCTATAAGAGGTCACTCAGCCCGTCGGAGGTTGAACGTTGCGCACGAGACTGAACGCAGAGTCCTGGTTCGAATGTCGCTCCGCGATACCCCCTGACCTCTTGCCACAGTCGCGCTCGAACGCGTCCCTCGTCTTGGATACCCTTCAACATGGTGCGCGCTCTTGGATGTTGAAGGCTACAGTTCTGACTCGTGTGTACAGTTCTACTCCGAAGCGATACTTTCTCGCCGTGGGCCGCTCGCAAAAGTATGGCTCGCCGCTCACATGGAGCGCAAGCTGTCCAAAACCCAGACGCTGCAGACCGATATTGAGCAGTCAGTTGGTGTGTCTGATACTCGTTTCAGAGCGTATGGCGTGCCTGACGCGTGTAATTGTAGACGCGATCGTGGGCCAGGAAATCGAAGTCATGGCCTTGCGGCTCAGTGGCCAGCTGCTGCTTGGTGTGGTCCGGATATACAGCCGAAAGGCAAAATATCTGTTGGATGATTGTAATGAAGCGTTGTTGAAAATCAAGATGGTGCGTGCATTCCTTTACTATGAGAACCAGTCCTTAAAGTCTGGCTGCAGGCTTTCCGTCCTGGTATCGTGGATATGACGGAGGACCAATTGGCCGTTAATCGCAACGCCATTACGCTGCAGGGTAATAACCTTGATCTCGATGCCTTTTTGCCCGATATTCATTGGTACGGCAGATCCAACGTCTTGCTAATGCATTGCGCTGATTATATCAGGGATATGGATTTTGACGACCGTCCCGTTCAACCGGGTGGTCAGCACATAGCTAAAGCTGCGGATATCACACTGGCCACAGCCGATGATTTCAAATTCGGTCTTGACGATCCTGGCTACGGTTTTGACCTCGGCCCCTCAGACGGAATTGGTTCTAACGACTATGAGCCTCTCGGCATCGATTTCGGTGAAGGCCCTCTCAGCGAACATCAAGGGGAGTCTCACTTTGGGGACGACAGCATGAGCATCGAGGTAGGCCGTGACGCCGTGGCGCCGCGAGCACCGCGCGATTCGTTGGACTCCCATCTCCTCGGTAAACCAGGTGCAGATACGGACTTGGATCTCATGTCTGTACGGAGCAGAGAGGCGTCTGAACACCCCTTCGGTGGAGACATGGATTTGGATTTTGGCCCAGATGCAGGTGGCATGGACATTGATCTTGGTCTCAGCTTCGAGCCTTTCAACGAACAGGCTGCAACACCTCGTACACCTCGTCTGACGCCTTCGCGAGCATGTAAGTACTCTACATTTAAGGCTATCATAGGCTATATCCTGAGACTTGTGTAGCTTCCCCTCTCACAGAACCGCCACAGACACCACCACCAGACGTGGAACTGACGCCTCAGGTGGACGCTCAAGCTCAGGAGGCTAAGGTAAAGAAGAGAAAAGAGAAGAAGCAGATTATTGACGCGGTGACCGAGCTCGCGAACGGACCCGGAGCGAGGGTCGGACGTGGACGTAATGCAGGCCTTGGCTCCCAGGTAGCGGCAGATGTCAGCAGCATTGTGACTGAGCACCACTACCTGCCTCGTTCTGCAACCGTCATGCGTCTCCTCGAAATTCGCGGCGATCCGATTGCTCATTTCCTCCCTACGAAAGTGACGCCTCACGGCACGTTCTTTTCTGCTGCACCGCCTGGCCTAGCTCCTCAACTAGCAGACCTGTTCCTGCGTCCCCTGCAGAGTCTCTCGAACGCTAAGCGCCGCAATGAACAAGAGGAGAAACCTCCAAGCAAGAGACCAAGGCTTGAGGGCAGCGTCGTTGGCGATGATGACGAGGTTGAGCTGCCGCGACGTGCTGCGAGCCGGGAAGAGAGTCTTATGTTGGGAAGTGATGTGCTGGGACAACGGAGCGTCGCTCCTGAGGAGTTCGACATTATTGCTGGCCTTGACAGCTTCCAGATGCCCGAATTCGAGATGGCGGGCAATGAGCTCGAGCGCGCGCGCTCCAAGTCTCTGGCGCTGTCGGAGTTGAGTCGATTGTCGACTCCTCCACCAGACGGTGTGCCGGTCGAAGAGGGCGAGGAGTCATATGCGGATATGGCTTGTCCCATTGCGGCCTTCGACGAGCGGACGTCGCAGAGTCAGGGCACGGAAAGTGCACCTGGTCAGGGCGACGACGCGTCTGGCTACAGCAAGAACACTGTCAAGGCATTGTCTGTTATTCGAAGAGAGTTGCAGCCCGTTGTTGGCCAGCAGCGGCGCGAGAAGGTAATGAGCTTCAAGAGGATGTCTCAGAAGGTGCGTTGCGGTTTATTGATCGTATTCGATTGCTATTGACATGGACGATCGTGATCATTCAGGCCAGTCGCCGAGCTGCATCTGCATTCTTCTTTGAGCTGCTTGTCCTGGGAACTCGAGACTGCGTGAAGCTCTCTCAGACTGCTCCATTCGAGAACATCGAGATCCGCGCGAAGGACAAACTTTGGGAACGTCAGCGACACGGCTCTGTCGCTCCATCGCTCTCTTCTGGTTTGCCCCAATCATCACTAGCTGCCTCCGCTGCCAGCACTCCTAGACGAGGAGGCTCCATCGCTCCGTCGATTTCTTCTGCATTTGGTCTGTGATATATGACACGTTTGATGCTTGGCTTCCGTCGCGATCTTCGTACTATCTCACTCTATCTTGTCCCCTCTGAATTTTTGGTCTTTTGGAGAGTTGCAACGGCTCTTCTCCTTTTGATACGATGCTCTTGATATTGATTTGTCACATCGGTGTGGTTGCAGCACATAAGTAGTACCTGTTTTTCTAGCCGTCACATAGCTATAGCCGGTCGTAATGACCATCCAAGGGTAAGGACGTATGCTAGTGTCATTGAACCTGTATCAGATATTGGAACATCACACCTTTCTGAGATATAATATTTTATCGGCTTGACAGCCGGTACTTGTTTGCTTCCGCGTCAGGGAGAATGGCTCATCGTACGTGGAAAACGGTCCTTCGGAACCATCACCTGAGCTGCACGCACAGCTGAAGATAATATGCTGCACTCCCCCATCATACCATGATGAGTGAATTGCTTGTCCCTTACAGTGATTGACCTGTATCGGACTGTAGTCAAACTCAAGCCTGAATAGGCAATCACAGAGAAAAGCACTGCATTGCGTCACACTACCTGTAAGATATGCAGCTACAAAAGCATAGTGAAGCATAAATGAGAAATCGGCAAGGATGTGTAACGCTACACTATCGCAGATGAATGCCGATGAAAGGACCGTGCTTGAAAGTAGGGGTTTTCAGTTTTTCCGGCGATACGAGCTCCCTAAAAGACTGTTGTGTCCAGCATCAAGAATGAGAGTCGTTGCCAATGGGACGCACCCTCAGTCAGTCTCGCCTTTCCACCGGTAGGTTGGCAGAGTACAGTACTGCATGCACTGCAGAGGACCACGGTCTGCGCGTGCGAGAAGACAGTCGTGATGGCAAAGCAACCTGGGAAGAGCATGTGCGAATGAGCACCGACATTCTCGTAGGCCAGAGTCTCAAGAATTACCGGGACACTTCACGTCCATGAAGTATGAATTGGGGGACTGCACAAGACGTTTGAGCTTGTGCTTCCTTTTTTCTGACTCAGCGGAGGGGTTGAGGAGGTCGACAGCGAGAGTCTATACGTGAAAAATCATGGAGACATCGCCTGAGTCTCGGTTTTCCGAGAGACACGTTAAACACATACCATTTTTGGGTGGCGAGGAACTCTGAGCTATACCGCTGGTCAGCGTCGACGAGGGAAGGAGTGGCATGAGTGTGCGACATACCTGTTAGAAAGAGCGCCAGGAGGCGTCACGTGCCCTAAAATGTCCATCAACCTCGCGCCACAGACGCGTCGCGGCACGGTGTTCGACTTCGACTTTTCTTTTATTAGCGTGCAGTGCCGCAAGCAGAGGGCGCACCAAGCTCGTATATCTTGCACACATCTGGAAAAGGAGGATTGCGCGAGGCGGCCATGTTCCCAAAGGGCCCACGATTCCCCGCTACGAAAGGTGAATTGCAGGCCGGTTCGGGGTTAGCGATCACGCTCAGGATACTGTGCCCTAGTGTCAGACGTCCCAGGACCAAACGCATACAATCCTCAAGGTCAGACATGATGTTGTGAATTTAATAATGACATATGACGAGTAGCTTGACTAGACCCAGAATATGACGCCTACAAACGCGGAGCCTTCCTGGAGAAGACAAATCGCTTTGCAAAAGATGAAGCAGATGACGTTCCCGGTGAGCGGTATATCTGTCCCGCCATCTCTCTGTATGAACACCCCATGATATACTCAGGACCCAGCACCTACAATACGGATAGCAAGGGCACCGATGGCAAGCCATCTCTCGGTAGCAAGACCACCGCGGACCGTTATGCGATGCTGCAGCGCAAAGTTGAGGATCTGGAAAGAGTGCATGCAGAAGGGAAGAAAGCTGTGAGGAATATCACATCTGACAAGATAAATCGTGTTTGACTCAGAGCAGCATCGTCTAGAAGTCGAGCGCTTGAAGCTCGATTTGAGTCGGGCACAAAAGTCTGCGACCGAGCATTCCGAACGTGCAGACAAACTGAAAAAGCACAATGATATGCGTGAAAGTAGAGTGCAGGAGCTCAAGAAGACCACGTCGGCGGAGCAGGGCGAGCTTCGCGAGTTGCGGACGAAATTGAAGGCTAGCGAACACGAGCGTGCTCAACTGTCCTCAAAGCAAGGCGAGGCAAGTGAAGCGAGGAAAGCTCTTCAAGCGGCAGAAACGAGGAGGAGAGAAGATGTGCGGGAGCGGGACAAGAAGATTTCCGATCTCGAGAAGACTCTCAGCACAGAGAGGAAGAAACGCGAGCTGGTGGAGGCAAGATTAGCAGAAGTGAAGGGAAAGGTTGACGGAGAGGTGCAGGAATCCCGAGCGGCAGTGTCTGATCTGAAGGCACGACTGCAAGAGTACGAAGCGCAAGCCCGAAGCGCCAGGACTGCATTGGAGAGTCTCCAAGCGCAAACTGCGGACAAGGAAGAAGATATGCTGGAGAAGCTCGAGCAACACCGAGCACTTCTCACCCGTGTAGCACAGGAGTACGGTCGGTTGGCCTCTGCTACTGTCCTAAAGGCACAGCATGATCAGCTCAAACACGAAAGCGCCATTCTCCAAATGCGCATTCTCAAGCTAGAGCGCAAGCTGGCTAATACAGAAGGTCAAGTCATCGAGCTCGCCAATCTCGTACGTCAGACAAGAGAAGAAAACCAATTCCTATCTGCTCGCTTGCAAGAGGTCGATCAAGAAGCGCTATATTATTCCCAGCGGCTCGCGGAAGTGGCGAAGGAAGGTCTCCCAAGTCCATCATACCCTTACCAAACTCTTGAGGCTGACATGGCTACAATTGCGGAGCAACTACGCGATTCAGAAATTGTTATGCGCAGGGCTATTCACGCTGACCTAATCGCATGGGCGGAACTTGATCGACTCAGATGCCAAAGTGCCATAGCACATAGCTCAACGCTGCTCGCCGCCTTAGACGGCGCTGATAAGCAAGCTCAGAAGCTCGCCGCTGAGCACCACGCGGTGGAGAATAGATGTACGGAGCTGAACAGCATGCTGGAGACCTTGCGTGCGGAACATGCCGCTGTTGAAGGACGTCTCGCGGAGACTAGCACTGCTCTCGACATCTCTAAAGCAGCAGAAGTGGACCTGAAGAGACAGCTCGAAGATGCACGCGTTCGCGCTCTGACAGATATGTCGAAAGTGCAACAGATGCTACAGAAGGAGAGAGAAGGGAGCAAGCGGCTTGCTGAGGCTGCACACAAGAGTCGTATTGCGGAGGAAGCTCTCCAGATGGAGATCGAACAGTAAGTCGGGTCCTCACGAGTTCTACTGACTTTAGTGCTAAAGCGGACGCAGACTATCTGCGGAATTGGCGGAAGCAGAAAGGTATCAGGACGCGTACAATAGCCTCGTCGAGGAGGTCGACGCCCTCGTCGCACGCAATGCGCTGGCGGAGGAGGAAGCTGCACACCTCAGCAGGTTTAATGCCGAGATCGTTGGTCACAACAACCCAGCACAGCGTATCATGTATGTTGAAAAAATCCGGAGGGAGATGCACGAGACAAAGCAGGTATGGCTTGCAGCATCGCTCACACTATCTCCGCTGTTCTGAAAGATGCTTAGGAACTCCTCATGTGCACGCGTGAGAGGGATAGCATCCAAATGCAGAACGAAGACCTTCAGCACGAGCTGTTGATGTACAAATCGGTCGCGGTGCCCACTGAAATGAAGCCACGGACGATGGTCACACGCATTGCGCGTACGACCATGCCGATACGGAATGATAGTCTCAACTGTAGGGCCACAGCCGAGGGACCCGTGAGGGATGGCCAAGTACATACATCAGGTATGAGAAAATTCGAGACGGCACCCGAGGTCGAGGACAGGCCCGGCGACATGACACTGGAGGAGATCATGTAGGATACTGGGAGAGGATCCCTGGTGACAGTTCTCGCATACAGCGTGGATACCATGGCTGTCGCTTTTATGCTACGATCTAACATACCCAATCTGCCTCGCTCTGAAAAATGGTTGATTCCATGGCATTATTTCTTCTGTCCGAAACTTGTCAATCTTCCAGCCGGGAATAACAAGCACTATTCAAGCAATCGAACATAGGAGTAGCAGACGGAGGTAGAATTGGACACCGGAAGTCCCACCAAAACGAGAGAATTGCGCTGCATACATCGCAACTGTGCAATCAGTCCAACACCGCGTACTTCTTCAGCTGCGATGGGATGGCATCTTCGAGGGCTTTCTCCTTCAGCCATGCTTTTGAGAACAGACGGCTTTGGTATCGGTATGCGCCGTCGCAGAGGATGGTCGCAATCGTTTTACCTGGAAGGATCGTGAGTCAGCGTACAATACCACAGTCATGCACCACGGACGAACCTGGTCCGAGCTTCTCGGCCAACTTGACGGCAGCAACAACGTTGAGTGCTGAGCTAGCACCGAGGTACAGACCCTCAGTATCCAGCAGGTCGTATAGCATGGCTATTGAGTCCGCATCAGGTATGTGCAGAGCACCATCTAGATCCTTCACGAGAATCGCCAAGTTGTTCGTGATGCGGCCCTGGCCGATGCCTGGAGTAGAAAGAGTAAGTCTAATCTCACTTATACCGCATGCACAACCGACCTTCCGTGATCGACCCTCCGCTCCGCTCCGTGAGCTTTCCACCACTGCTTATGTAGCTGTATAGAACACTGCCTGGCGGGTCCGCGAGCCACACCTGCGTCTTCCCATCGCTCTTCTCCTTCAAAAGTTTGCCCGTCCCTGCGAGCGTGCCCCCAGTGCCCGTGGCACAGACGAACGCGTCGACCTTGCCCTCAGTCTGCTCCCAGATCTCCGGGCCAGTGGTGAGGTAGTGCGCCTTCGCGTTCGCGGTGTTGTCGAATTGGTCCGTCCAGACGGCGTTCGGGATGCTCGCTGCGAAGTCGCGTGCCTGGTGGTTGTAGTTCTTCGGGTTATCATACGCGACGGCCGGTACGGGGTAGACTTCTGCACCCAGCATGCGCAGGAGGTCAATCTTTTCTTGACTCTGCGGGAGACCGTAAGCTGTATATAGACGGAAACACGAGGATGCAGGCGTACTTGTGTGTTGGGCATGAAAATCACGCATCTGTAGCCAATGGCTCTGCAGACGTGAGCGAGGCCGATACCGGTGTTGCCAGCGGTCCCCTCTACGACAGTCCCTCCGGGCTTCAACCTAAGTGTACCGTTTTATGAATACGTACTGATGCAAGCGGTCATGGGTGCACTCACAAGCCTCGCTCCTCAGCATCTCGGATTACACCCAAAGCAGCACGGTCCTTGACGCTGCCGCCGGGGTTCTGAAACTCTCCTTTCGCGACAATGTTGCATCCCGTCTTCTCGGAGAGTTTCTTTAGTCGAATCTAATCTCGTGATGGGTTAGAAAGATCAGTTGTGGCGCTAACATCGAGGTCGCACAAGCGGTGTGTTTCCGATGGCACCGACAAAGCCGTCCACGGCTCGAGAAGTGAACGTCCTGACAAGGGACTTTGCCCGCAACGCAGCAGCCATGACCGCGAGAAGATGATGGTGGAAACTAAGCAAGGAAGCCGGAGGAGGCCCGGCCACTCAAGTACGCAGGCGTTTTCGCTGAAGGCGTCATCATGAGCACAGCACAAGTTGCTCAAATTCCGGATACTCGACTGCCCGGCTATATCATCGAGTCTCTCCATGACTGCACGCAGAACACCGTTCTCTTGCCACAATATCATCCAGGATTGCGCATGCGCGTAGCGACCATGGGATATATTGCAGGATGCATGCAGCACAATATCGACGAACGAAACAAAGGCAATGAGCTGACACGACGGCGTATCCATTAAAGTGCGTATACATAGATGTATCGTCGAGGAGGGTAAATAAGATATGTCCCTTAGTGCTTGAGAGGAAACGAGTAACTAGTAGCGGGAAACAGGCGTGTGGACCGAGGTGTCCGTCGTGCGAGCGTGCGTGCGTCGTGCGGGCCATAAGTATCAAGATCTCCAGGAACCGGACGGGTATCGAGCAAAGGCGACGAGAGCATGGGGGTGGATCGGAGAGCGGGTCAAAATGCTTCTACGGTTGACGTTTCTTCACATTCTGCGAGAGCCATTGGAGGCCCTCAAAGAGACCTTCTCCCGTTGTGGCACAGCTAACACTTATCTCAACGTTGCGCCCGTAGAATAGCGGTGAGTGAGTGACAGACATACCTTGGGTGGACGTACCATGACCTATCACGCATGCGATGCAGTCCCAACTTCTCCGTCACCTCCGACGGTGGCATAGCTAGACGGCTTCTGTTGGGCATGTATTTCCAAAGGTAAGATGTGACAGCGCACCTCCTGGCAGATCTTGCTTATTCGCAAAGACCAGCAGCAAACAGTCCTTCATCTCTCGGTCGCTCAATATTCGGTGCAACTCCTGCCTTGCTTCATCTATCCGCTCCCTGTCGGAACTGTCGACAACGAATACAAGACCCTGCGTGCCGGTGTAGTAGTGTCTCCACAGTGGCCGAATCTTGTCCTGCCCGCCGACATCCCACACGTTGAACTTGACGTTTTTGTATGTAACAGTTTCCACGTTGAACCCGACTGCACTCGTCGTTGCCTTTAAGCTAAGTTAGACTGAAATCTCATTCGCGTCACGAACCTGTGGGAATAGTGGTGACAGATTGGTTCAACTTGAGCTTGTAGAGGATGGCTGCAGAGTGCTGTCAGCGCAAGGAGGTGGGCATATGATGGCAGGATACTCGCTCGTCTTCCCGGCAGCGTCAAGGCCCAACATCAGCAGTCGCATCTCCTTGTTCCCAAACAACCTCGCTGCACGAGAGCAACGGCGGTTAGTTGCGGAGTGTTGCACGCTGTCCTGCGTGGAGCTTACCCAACGCTTTCGAAAGATTAGCACCCATGATGAGACCGAGAATCGAGGACTGAAAGAATGTAGGAAGGAAAGAGCGACGGGAGATTGGTGGAGTGGCCGCGAGATAGAAAGGAAGGGAAGTGATCACCACTACGACGAGTGCACGGAAGTCGGGTCAGCGCCACGCGACCTCGGACACTCCCATCCCCGCGCATCACTTCGGCACTCGCTTGCTTACACCAGCTCATAAAACATATCATGATATCCAGCAAATAACCCGTCTACAGCAAGATGTACACTATATACTCCAGAGGTAAGTGAGAGGGGATAATCATATCCGTGCTATCCACTGGACGCCACCCCCGGCGACCCCAGCTGCGACTGATTCAACACCTTCAACCATCCGTCACCCATGTCTGATCGCAACGCCTCTATCCGTGCCCGGAAGGCGTCTGCTTCCTTGAACTGATCTGCCTCGTCTTGCTGCCCAATGGCGGGCTCGTACAACGACGCCGTTACGCGTGCTCGCCGAGTAGCCGACTTGCGCATGGACCCGCGGGGGGAGGTAGGACTGAACGTCGTTCCGTCGTCATGCATGCCACCGGTGCTAGGGCTGATGTCGGTGAGGTGGCGGCTGTGGCGAGACCTTGGGAGCATTCGGACGGCCGTGTTGATGGGGAGCACAGCCAAATGGGCGGGCGATCCCTCAGTGGATGGACCCGCGTCAGGCGCAGAGCCGGTCGCAGAATCGGGCTGCTTATTCTTTGACTCCGAACTGAACGCTCGCCATGGCCGTGCACGGGCCTCGGAAGCGCCACGAACTTGAGAAGCATCCTTCGAGCTGTCCGCCTCGCTAACCTCCTGACTGCCACCGTCCAGGTCCACAATTCGCTTGTTCTTCTTCCGCCGTCCCCTCACAGCCGCAAGCTGCGGTGATCCGGCATGCGACCCAGGAGATGATGAAGATGATGGAGACAACAGCGGGCTACCTTGTGCAGACGATGCACCATTCAACCGTGAGGGGCTGCTGACAGCGACCACTGGAGGAGACACCGCCGAAGGGGGCCGCGCAGAAGTCATCTGTTCAGACGGTGGAGTTGTTAGGTACATCTTCTCGTAGAAACCAGGTGGTGAGCCATCTAGCAGGATGCCTCTGCCCTCCTTGGTGAAATAGTCGAAGCACCGTATTCGATAACCCTCTTCGATCTCTGTCAGCGGGTTGCCCTCCACCCATACTTCAGCGATGTTGGGCAGCGTTGCCAATCGCCCGATCTCTGCGCTCTCCTCAATGAGATTCTCCCGCAGGTCAACGCGTTCAAGTGCCAATAACCGCTCGAGCCCACATATTGATTCTAGTCGGTTCCGGGAGAGATTAAGATATAGAACGTTTCCGAGAACGGTGTAGATTCCGAGGACGGAGTCGATCATGTTGTCTGATAGATTGAGCGAGACGAGATTGTACAGCGACGAGAGGCCAGGTGGAACAGATATCAGGAGATTAGACGAGAGATCAAGGTGAGTGACGGATGTAAGATAGGGTAGTGGGGCGGTTGGGAGGAATGTGAGAGCGTTATCGGACAGAGAGAGGTGCCGCAAGAATGTCCACTTGAGTGCAGACAGCGCGGAGGACTGGGAGTTCTCCTCCACAGGTGTTGGCGTCTCCTCAACAACCGTCGGTCTCTCTTCCGAGCTGGACGTAGGAGGGCTGTCAGTATCGTCTTCGGCGTCCTCAGGCACCGACTGAGGAAGTCGTGTAGCATGAAAAGAGGAGGTGCGCGCCAGGCCTCGAGAGAGCTGCCTTGCGCTCGCGCCGCCGGTCTTTCCCTCGCGCCGCGCCTGGTCGTCGAGCACAGCACCAATAAAAACGTCCGATACATCCTCCAAGCCGCTGTTCTTGATTGACAAGCTCCGCAGGCTTTCTGCTAGCCGGTCCCAGCCCAGCAGCGTACGCGGGTCAATATCGATACAGCACAGCGTCTGCAGGTTCTTGAACGCATCGAGCGGGAGAGCGCTCTCATTCGATACTTCGTTCGCGAGCTCCATGATTAACTTCGCCTCCGGCGCGTGCAATGCAAGTGCAGGGAGCTTCGTGAAACAACTGTAAATGTACTTGAGCTCGGAATCGACGCTCGGTGGCGTCGGTCTGCCCCACCAGCCCGAGCCGAGGGAGAGCTTGGAGACGGCGGATAGTGACGAGCGGAAGGAGACGAATGAAAGGGTATCTGATCTGTCGCCGTTGGGAAATACATTGATGTAGTTCATCGGTCGTGATGGGTTGTCGACGCGCACGTCCAGGGAGCCGACATCGATGCCGAGAGCTTCGAGGCGCATCAGTAGGTAAAATAAGTGATGCATGTCAAATGTGAGCACGACTGGCTTTGCTTGAGGAGCAGCAGCGTTGTCCGAAGCGAACCAGGTCAAAGGATTGAGCACGGACGCCTCTGACACCGCCTTCTTGTGTCGTCTGCGTACAACGGCAGCAGCTGCGAGTCCCTGTTCACGATTCCGGATATAGGTCGCGATGCGCCTGATGTAATCGTCTCCAGGTTCATTCTCCGTGGCCATGAGTGCGATCTGAGCGTGTAGGCGATTGAGGTATAGACTGGTTACGGACGACAAGATGGTGGTGGCTCCTCTGATCGTACACGGTCGGAATTCCAACCTATGAACATGAGATAGACAAGCGGCTTACACCTGGAGCTCTCCTAGTCAAGATGTTGGATGCGCTACTGCTGCAGGATTCGAGGGGAAGCACGAGTTAGAATGGTGCAGGCATGGTCTCGACGGATGGCAGACGGTGACAGGCCTATTCTGGGGTGCCACAGATAAGTACATATATAGTTTTGTATTTACCTTTGATAAAACATTTGTCACACGTGAGGACGCGTAACCCATACGCGTGTGGCACACTCTTGCACTCGAACTTCGAACACTACCATCATCGTCATGAAAATCACGATAAAAACGTTGCAACAGAAGGTCTTCCAGGTGATTAGAGTTTATACAGCAGTGGGGATGCTCTCGAAGTGACCCGATTTGACTTGCAGGTCGATGCGGAAGGCTCAGATACGGTAGGGGACCTGAAGAACAAGATCCACGAGAGCCAGGGACATTCTGTAGAGTCGCAGAAGCTCATCTATTCTGGTATGTAACGCTCAGACATTGAGCTGCAGGCTTGCTGACGAAGAGCCAAAGGCAAGATCCTGCCGGATGCGAAGACGGTGGAGGAATGCGCAATCAAAGAGAAGGACTTCTTGGTGCTTATGGTATCAAAGGTATGTCAAACTTTTCAGTCTATCAGGCGCATATTCATTTTATTTTGCAAAACAAGCCCAAGCCAGCACCCACCACACCTCCATCGACAAGTACAGCCGTCTCGAGTCCTGAAGTGGCTACGCCTGCGGCTCAGCCTGCACCTGAGACCACTTCACCCGCTCCTTCTGCTTCGTCCGCTCCTTCCGTTCTGCCTGCCCCCGCTGTTCCTGCCGTTTCCACTGCCCCGTCTGCCCCTGCTGCGGCACCGCAGCCTCCCAATGCCCCCCTCCTCACACCTGCGCAAGCGACACCAGTATCGGCGCCTGCGGAGCGTGCGTTTGGCGATTCGAGCACTTTCCTCACGGGCGAGGAACTGCAATCCACGATTCAGAACATGATGGAGATGGGTTTCGAACGGGATCAAGTCATGCGTGCCTTGAGGGCGAGCTTCAACAACCCTGATCGGGCTGTGGAGTATTTGTTCAGTGTGCGTTCTCTTTTCTTCATGTTCGTGTTGTATGATTAATCCCGTGATGACTTTCGCTAGGGTATACCCTCGCATTTGGAAGCTACTGCCGCTGGTGGTCAACCCGCAGCCGCGCAACCTGTGCCCGGAGAATCGGCGCCAGCTGCTGCACCAGCCCCGCCAGCCCAACCAGCCCAACCTGCTCCTGCTTCTAATGCTCCCCAGAATCTCTTCCAGGTGAGATCGCCGTCCCTGAATCAGTATCAGCCTCACTCACACATGCGTAATATCAGTTGGCTCAGCAACAGCAGCAGCAGCAGCACCATCCGAATCCTGCGGGAGCGGCTGGCGGCGCCCCGGCCGGGCTCGATATGGGTGCCCTCCAGAACCATCCTCAGATGCAACAACTGCGCGAACTCGTAGCACAGAACCCCCAATTGGTCCAGCCCTTGATCCAGCAGCTGGCAGCTTCGAACCCTCAGCTGGCTCAGCTGCTCGCGCAGAATCCAGAGGCGTTCTTACAACTCCTGGGAGGTGCAGAGGGCTTTGATTTCGACGGTGAAGAGGGAGTTCCTCCTGGTGCTCATGTCATCAACATAACAGAGGAGGAGCAAGCGGCAATTCAGCGTGTAAGTGCTTAGCAATGTTTGCGATCTCAGACATAGCTGACATCACGTACAGTTGGAAGCGCTTGGATTTTCTCGGCAAGCGGTCATTGAGGCATACTTTGCGTGCGACAAGAATGAGGAGCTCGCGGCCAACTACCTGTTCGAGAGCAATTTCGATGATTCCTAGATTGTCCTGAAATGTTGTGGATGCGGCTCTTGTGTATAGGTAGTACCATGTTTTCCTGTAGTGTTATCAACGAATATGCATGTTTCGCAGCCGTGAAAGGTATCTATGTTGAATCGATTCAATGTAGATGGTCGGCATGTTCAGGCCATCGGCTACTAACACGTGAGAAGCGCGTACCGCGTATGTGGCCATACGCGAAGTCGCGGACGCCGCGATCGCTCTTTATCTCATGCCACATTCAGCTTCCCCTTCATCATGTCTGCCTCTATTCGTGGCCCGTGGGTACTCGATTATCTCAAACGTATCGCTGAAGAATACGGGGGAAACATGGCATCTGTCCCGCCGCGTCCCAAAGGAGTGAAGGCACAGATACTGCAGGTCAGTACCGCCGCGACACTATGTGCTCGATTGTGATTCTGAACGCTGGTTTACGATGTCAGTACTTGACCTACCCTCGTTCGGAAGATCCTGATGCGTGTATATGGGCGATTCTATCCGATAAGACGAATCACATTCCTGCGCGTTTCACCACAGAAGCTATGAAATCGTTCAGGGAGTACGTGCCACCCCCTACATTTTACCTGCTGCAACAACCCCTCTGCACGTATTTGCACAAGACATAACCTCTGACTGCACGGTCGCCTCCTATATGCGACCTTCTGGTGCCTGGAGTGGGTCATATGTATCCGCATGTCCCAAGTCATACTAAATAGCATAGACCTGCAATGGGGTTGTTAGGTGCAGGGTCGGTGATAATGTTCTGACGGTTGAGGTCACTCTCCCACGCAGGAACCCAGCATTTGCAGGCAAGACTTTGACAGAGCACAAGACAGCGCTTGTTGTCATCAAAGACTTCCGACCTTTCTTTGCACGTATTCCCACTGGAAGAGACAAGGGCATGTCCAAGTCGGAACATCTTGCCTTGGACGTCGCATCTTTCGACTTGAAGGGCGCTTACAACGAGCCTATGTGGGGAAATCCTGGTGATATTGAAACAAACACAGATATGGCGACATGGGTTGCTGGCCTTCGACAGGGAGGAGGAGCCGGGTGAGCAGCATACATCCCATCATCATGATCTTGCCCATTGTTCTCATGGTCCACGTGTCAGCAACGTTCTGAAACTCAAAAAGTCTGCGAAGGAGCGACGTCCTGAGTCTCCTGCGGAAGAAATAGCGGCCGAATCTATGCAATCTGCTAAGAAGGAAAAGCCGACGACTCGGCAGGGTGGTCCATCTTCTGCAAAAGGAAGGTCTCGTCAAGATCAAATCGATACCGCTTCTGTTCCGCCTGCGGCTCATAAAGGCGAAGCCGCCGAGGCACCCGTCGATTTTGCCCGGGAATGGAGAAACAGTTGGCGCGTGCGTGTTCGCCTCTTACATACGCAATGCTCAGCTGAGCTTGCAATGGGATAGCAATGCCTTGGAGAGCGCATCGGGCACATCTTTTCCGCGCATGCCCTGCACCTACTGCGGGAGATGTCCAGTGAGTCAAAACAGCGCTTAAGATGGCCTTTCGTTGATGTTTTGTAGCGGATGACGAAGGCGATTCAAGAGGCCCGCAGAACCTCGAAGGCGCCATCAAGCCAGCATTTTATGACGAAGGTTCACCCAGACATGCTGTAAAAAGTGAGTACACAGGTAGCTTATTATAGCATCCTCCATCATGTCTCATTCGCTGGTCGTGAATTTGATACAGAGCGCAATCCTCTGGATATGTCGTCAATTTCATGTTCATCTAGAGCTCAAGAGTCGAGCGACGAAGAGGTGCCTGGAACACCATCTCATTGGTCGCCCTCGGTTAGAGGCAGCCCAGTGCAAATAGCCGATGCTGAAATAGAAGACGCTCTTGGCGATGTACGTACGCACCAAAAGGTGATAGGACCCAGATCATCTGCAGACGCTCAACGGGACGCGTCGAGCCAAAATGCTATTCAGGCGGAAGCGGTGGAGTACATGTTGGCTGTTTCTCTATCATCCTACCTATCTGCCCCTCCTGCAGCTCAGCGACGTCACCAGGCCGCTCCGTCTTCCCCACATCTGCCTTCTCCCTCACTTGTTCAGATGTCCTCAAGTGCCCCTAAGCCTTCTTTCGCGGCAGTCGCAGAGCCCTCAGTCTTTATACAACAAACTGCCGGCCTTACTACTCAACCTCCTCGTCCAAATGGACGCAGAGTACCTCTGCCCGTATGTAGTCGTCTATCACCTGACCATGATGATACCCGAGTCCTCGTTCCGAACTCGGATGTCTCGGGATCAACCTCACAATCTCAGTCTCTCTCGCAGCAAGGCCCCCCGACTACTTCTTCCCAGAATGGAGGTCGCCAATGGAATGGTCTGTACCAGCAATCCCTGTCATACGCTTCCGAGTCGCAAACTGGTAGCCAAAACCATGTGCAAGTGCATTCGCAGTCTCAACCCAAGTCTCAGCAACTTGACGAAGTGGAGACGTCTGTGGCAGAAGAAGAGCCGCTTCCGCAGGGTCTTTATAATCAATCCCTTTCCTATGCTTCAGAATCGCAAGGCGATGTCAGGGCGCCTCCTGTGCTGCAGTCACAGCCTCGGACTGAAGCTCAATCACCAGGTGCAGGGCAAGCCACGGCGATGAAAGCTGAATCGGCTAGACCAGCTGAAGAAAGGCCCTCTCGGAATGCATCTGCCTTACCTCAACCTGTTGCCGAGGCTGCCATACACGAAACCGTGAGAGCGCATGATAACGCGGATGTCGATGGCAGTGTCACGGAAGAGGAGGAAGAGGGGGAGCTGGACGAGCTCGAATCAGATTCACCCCGTGATGTCACTCATACGCAAGCCATAGCGGGGGGACCTGAATCGTTACCGTATGAGGAAGAGGAAGAAAGTGACGAGGAGAAGGACGTTGAGATGCATCTCGCTGATGCAGGCCAAGCGACGGTGGGGGCCGATGTTTTACATGTGAAAAGGCCGCACGCCCTGGACGTTCCAAGGGGACTGGATCGGCAAGAAGCTTCTATGAGCAGCCTCACTACTGACGTCGCAAAAAGCAGGCGCTCCTCGGGTACTACCTGGATTCAAGGAGCCACTCGAACGCAGACGATGGCGTCGTACGCACATAGCCAGGACTCTGAAGGTCCCGCTCCTCCATCAAGTCCGGACGTGTTCATAAGCCAAGAGTCATTCCGAGCAAGCCGCTTCAGCCTTCCCACCCCCGCGCCATCGTCCGTCCGTTCCAGTACGCACAGCGCGCCTGAAGCTGGGTCTTCGCACATGCCGCTGAAGCGAGGGGTGTCCGACACGGTAGGAACGAGAGAGGTTCCTGGCAAGAAGAAGCAAGCGGGTCCGTCTAACGTGGGCGAACATGATCCTGAAGCATGGAAGGAGCCGTCTTTCATGCAAAGAAAGCGCAGTGCAAAAGGGAAGGAGAGGGCTGTTGACGTTGAGCCAGGTTCTTCCAGGAAGTCTACAGCTCGTCGCAAGCATGCGTTGTCCTCTTCCTCATCAGAATCGGAAGATGATCATGCACAAAAGAGGCGAAAGCTATCAAGTGGCGCGTTTGAGTCAAGTCGCGCCCATGGTGATCTCAAGAGGTCGGTAATTGTCAAGACAGAACGTAAAGTAGGCGAAGCCAAAGGTCACAACGAGGTTCGCCCAAGAGAAATCGATTTTAGGAGGATTTCGCAAGGAGCGTCGGCCAATCCTGTGTCAAGTAAGACGCCAGGACCTGTCAAATCCAACGCTGCGAGTGAGCCCGCTAATGGGCTGCGACCGACGCATAGACGCAGCGGTGCTGCAAATACTACCAAGGGAAAGGAAGTCCAGTTTATCGACCTTAGCTTGATGTCGAGACGCACTGAGAGTTCTCCCACGCGACGCCGCCGTAGCTTGCAGGCTGCAAGTGCTGCTGATCAAATCAATGTGTCTTCCACCTCACGATCACCGCTGAAGCGGACTGAAATCCTGAAGCCACCAAAAGCCGTAAGGATGTCTGTCGGCGGCTCCGCGTTAGGGTCGGGGTCAAAGCGGCATCAGAAAAGCCAGCCGGTTGCGCAACCTCTCGGACTTCAGGATCTCAAGAGCTCTGGGCGTAGGATGACGTCTGCTCCTGCTGCGGCTGTAGAGACATCCAGTATGGGTGCAGGACCGTCTACTGCAGCTGGTGCGTCAGCAGCGATGTTGCTTGGAGGATACCGACCCAATCTTGAGATGGTGAGAGAAGAAGGAGGCCCTCCGTTGGTGACTTGGGATGAACTCACGCGGATTCTGCTGAGAACGGGAAAGGATAGGTTCAAGCTGAAGAAGGCGAAGGGGAAACAAAGACAGGAATGATCACTGACGTTCTAGGCCGACCGAGTGTATCGTGAATTTATACCGTATCATTATTTCCCAGCAATTGAGATATCACGTTCTGATCTGTCCAACCGTAAAACTTGAGCTTGAACCGCATTGGTGGTGCCCAGTCGGCTGCATGGGAGGGCGTGTCTGCAGCGTTCCGCACAGCCACAGACCGAATTCGCTGCGCCACAACGTATCTGGAGACGCGGCCCACGTGACCGTTCCAGTCGCTTCCAACTCGGTCATTGTTGTTCGCGGTTGCGCGTTCGCACAGACTCGTCTCTCGTCAGGCTCAGCTCGTTCGCTTTCTCTTCTACATCCAACCCAGCTCGCAACACGAGACCGAGTGCGATGGCGGGCCGGCGCAGAACTGCGCCAACCTATATCCGACTTAGTGGCCAAGATGACTCCGATACCTCACAGCAAAGCTCTGCCCTGACAAACAGCAATGATATCAGACGATATACTCTCAACGATCCACCAGTCCGATCTCTCGAGCCAACGCAGGTACAAGAGGTGGCCAGTCAACCTTCACCGGTGCTACACACGCGAATCTCAAGAACCTTTGCCATCCGCAGCCCTTCACTGACTCCCGTTCCCGAGGTGACTGAAGAAAACTCTAGCAGAGGGGACAGGTCGTCGGTTTCACGAAGTAGCACGTCCTCTGGCTACACATTTGTTGACAATGACTACACGTACGGCGATTCGAAGGACTACTTGCCAAAGGCAGACCCTCCGCCGCAAGCCACTGGCTACACTCCTTTGCCTACCATAACCTCTGGAGAGCCGTTGAGATGGGACGATGCGAAGTTTTCTGGTGACAAAAATACTGTCGTCAAGAAGCAAACCACCGGTCCGCCACAAAGTGGTAGTAGTACTAGATACAATGCCTCTCTTCACTCCGGAGTTAGTCAGACCCCCGCTAGCACAACTTGGTCATTGCCTCAACAGCCGCCTTCCATCTTTAGTCCTCCTACTCATGACACTGCGTTGCATCCTGCCCATGCAGGGTATTCACAGCCACCATCAATCGCCACTCCTTCTACTCCTAGTTCCGCGTTACAACCTGCTTCTACAGTTTATCAAAGACCACCGTCGATCTTCAGTCCACCTGCCCCAAATTCCCCGCTGCGCTCTGCAAACACGGGGTACACGCATGCTCCGTCTATTTTTAGCCCTCAGTCTGTGAACACTGCCCTCCAGCCAGCTAGCACGGGGTACACGTATCGCCAGTCAGACCGATCGTCCCCGTACGCTGTCTCTCAAAGTATGTTCGACCATTTCCAGTACGATACTGAATCCTATGCGTCGGGGATGTATTCCCGCCCGTCTTATCAAAACCAGCGCTCCCGGTCTCGGTCTCCGACTCCCGCAGTGGACGACGAGGACTACGAACTGGTTGGAAATGGCAGCGTCCATTATACTGGCCTTCTCCAGCCACAGAACGGTGAACATGAACGGAGCACGGTTGCAGAACAGGACACCGGCTACCAGACATCCACAATGTACGACAACGGTGCATATAGCGAGACAGGCGAAGGAGCGTACGACGATCCCGAGAAGGAGACACTCTCAGGGGAGTCGATGCAGCACACTGATCCCGAAACGCCCGCCGTCAGTACTCGTCACTTTGGACCTGTTCCGGCAGGCCGGATTTTGCGTCGACACAAGACGAAGAAGACAGTGCAGCTCACTAACGGTAATTTGGTAGTGGACCTAGAAGTACCGCCGAAGCTACTGCTGCCTTACAAAGGAGGTCCAGAGATGACGAAGATGAGGTACACGGCGGTGACCTGTGATCCTGATGAGTTTGAGCATAAAGGCTTCTTTCTGAGACAGAATGAGATGGGACGGACTACGGAACTGTTCATTGTAATCACAATGTTTAATGTATGCTTGTTTCTCGTCATTTTTTCTTTCATTGACTCAACTTTCGCTAGGAGGACGAAGTCCTCTTCTGTAGGACACTTTACGGGGTCATGCAGAACATCTCCCACCTCTGTTCTAGAAAGAACTCTCGGACATGGGGTCCGGATGCCTGGAAAAAGGTCAGCATGTCTAATCATCAAGCGCTTTTCCGTATTGACCTAGCAACGCCAGGTCGTAGTGTGCATTGTTGCGGATGGTCGGAAGAGGGTCCATCCACGGGTTCTAGACTGTCTGACGTTGCTGGGAGTGTTTCAGCCTGGAGACCATATGAAGAATATGGTCAACAGGAAGGATGTCACGGCTCATTTGTTCGAATACACGACCTCCTTCGCGCTTGATCCGAACCTGCACTTCAGATATCCCGATAAAGGCATCGTCCCGACTCAGATAATCTTTTGTATGAAAGAGAAGAACCAGAAGAAAATCAACAGCCATCGGTGGTTCTTCAACGCGTTTGCGCCTATGTTACAAGTGAGCTATTTTCCGGATGGTGGTGAGCTGGTGTTTAGTGATGCTGTCGTAGCCGAACGTGTGCGTTCTCCTTGACGTCGGCACTCGACCCGCACACAAGAGCATATACTACCTGTGGAAGGCGTTCGACATAAACTCGAATGTCGCCGGGGCATGTGGGGAAGTCGCCGCCTATAAGGGCAGGGGATGGTCCGCGCTGCTGAACCCGCTTGGTATGTATCTGGTACCTTTTCTTTGACTGCGGATACATCTAGATTCACGCTTGGCAGTTGCGGCGCAGAACTTTGAATACAAGATGGCCAACATCCTGGACAAGCCTATGGAGTCTATCTTTGGGTACATCAGCGTGCTGGTAAGCGTCTACGATCTTCGGTGCACGCTCCCGCTATTCATCCATCCGCGCTTCCGCAGCCTGGAGCGTTCTCAGCCTACCGGTATGAGAAACGGTTGATGATCCTAGCTTTTTATGACCGGATTGTGTGTTGTAGCTATATAGCACTGCAGAATGACAAGCAGGGAAAAGGCCCTCTGGCATCGTACTTCAAAGGAGAGGTGCTGCGCGGCCAAGATGCGGACATATTTACCTCCAACATGTGTGAGCACACGTGTTTTCCGACTTCTGTGAAGTCGCCGTACTAAATCGCCGGTCACAATGCAGATCTCGCTGAGGATGTGCGCGCAATCCGTTGCTGGTTTCTTTTGAAGATCCGAATCTGATCTCCTCGCTCAGCGCATTCTTTGCTTCGAATTGGTCGCGAAGGCAAACTCGAATTGGTGAGATCCGCTTGCTCGGCGTTCTGATTTTGCGGAGATCGTTTACCCTGGCGCGCCGCAGGATTCTCAGATACGTGAAGAGTGCGCGAGCAGAGACCGACGTACCGGAGGCGCTTCCGGAATTTATCATGCAGAGACGGCGCTGGCTCAACGGGTCGTTCTTTGCCGCTACCTACGCCATCGCTCATCTCGGTCAGATCCTACAGTCGGGCCACAGCTTCGGCCGGAAAGTTGCGCTCGTGATGGAAACGATTTACAATATCATCAACCTCGTTGCGGCATGGTTTTCTATTGTGAGTTGCGGCGCAGTTGTGTGATGAATGGTGGCTGAATATTTCTTGTTAGGGAAACTTCTATATATTCTTTGTGGGTGGTCAATAGCATGAATGAGTTACTCCATGCTTAGTGCTTACCATGTGTGCCAGATCATCTTGACTTCCTCCGTCGAAAATGCGTTGTTCGGTGTAACATGGATCAGATCCCTCAACGCTGTCTTGCAGGTTAATTGGCAGATATATGGTATGTACGGCCAAAGCTGACCACCTTTTCTAGTTCATCACGGGTAGCATCGTCGTGGCATGTTTCCTCTTCTCGATGGGCAACAAACCTAGAACGTGAGTTCCTACGGCGTACTGTCCTTTGCTCCTGCGCACTGACTCTGGCGAAGGGCAAAGTGGAAGTACCAGGCGTCGGCAATTCTGCTAGCGCTGATGATGGTCTATTTGATCTTTTGCTCTGTCCTTTGCGCCATCAGGGCCGCTACCGTCGGTGGCGCATCGTATTCGACGATGGTGTTCAGCATCATCATCACCTACGGTGGTAGGTTCTAGTTTCGCGAGCGTCATGTAGAGATCTTAGCTCTGATGCAAGTTCTAAGTCTATGTCTTCTCGAGCATTCTTGCTCTTGACCCATGGCATATACTTACCAGTTTCATACCATACCTGCTCCTGTCCCCGACATATATGAACATTCTTAGCGTGTGAGTCTTAAATGAAAGCTATCAGCCAAGCCATACTGACCCATCCTCAGCTACGCCTTCTCAAACTTGGATGATGTGAGATTCAATTTCTACATGTTACAGGGTGTCATTTGCTCACAATCACGCAGATCTCGTGGGGCACCAAGCAAGATGCCGATGTAGAATCGGATCTCGGCGCAGTCATACAGAACAGCGACTCGCAAGTAGATGTCGAAGTGCTCACGGACGATGCAGACGTGAACGGCATGTACGAGGAAGCGCTTCAGAACCTCAAGTTCAAAAAGCCCGTGCCGAAGAATACAACCCCGCCAAGCGTGGCGGAGCAGGAGCAAGCCGCAAAGGACTACTACGCTAACGTTCGCACGAATGTACGTTACTTACAGTGCAGCCGCTTTGTGAGGACCCGACACTGATTCACATACAGGTCCTCCTGAGCTGGGTCCTGTCCAATGTATGTCTCCCACTCGCCCTTTCGCGCGCATACATTAAGATGATATCTACAGGCACTGTTGCTCGTGGCCATCCTGGGCGGCGGAAACGCCGTGGACACGTTCAGCGACAACGGATCGATGAATCGGACAAGGGTGTACTTGACGTTCATCCTCGCCTTCGTTGCACTCTCTACTATTGTCGTAAGCCCCAATGACCTCTCTTGTCACGCGATAGCTAACGATCGACTCAAGCGTTTCTGTGGCTCAATGATGTACCTCGTAGCAAGGCTCTTTACGGGCTGACGACTCGTACCACGCACAATCACTCGCAATGTATCACCGGTGTATAATCTCGGAATCTGGTCTTGGATCTAGGACCTCTGGACGGCATGTTATTTGTACAGAACTTGTGCGGGACTCTTGTAGGACTAGTAGGAAGGTAGAAGGTTAGAAGCACACGGACTCGACTAGGCATCTAGGTTCTATCTGATACCGGTACATCGTTCGTCAACCAAACAAATAGTCATGAAACGAGCGTCGAGGCGAAATCTGCTGGACACGCGGGGGTTCAACGCGATAGACTCTCTGAGGCTGTCTCCTGGCGGGCGAGCGCGAGGGTGACGAAGCAGAGCGCCGCTGTCGCTCCCATATGCGGGAACGGAATGCTGCATGGCGCATCTGCGGCACCACTTGAGGTGTACTGTCGGCGTCTTGCAGTGTGAGCGAATGCACTCCATCCGAGAGGCCTTGCTCCATCTCACTGTCCTCTGCGTCCGCGTACCCGCCGTCGACGGCGAACCACCCGTCATCGGTCATCAGCGATTGTGATAATGGCATGGGCGAAACATGCTGGGACGGAGGCACAGAGGCCTCTGCGATGGGGGCGAGGTGAGGATTGGGACGCGAGCCAGTGTCGCCGTCAACGTCGGAGTCGATGCCCGTATCCGAATGGAAGTCGCTCTCGGAGAGGAGGTCAGAGTCGCTGCCAAACTCAAACACAGAGGCTGCCGATTCTAGGTCTGTCATTGGAGGGGTTTCAAGGGCCGCGGATGCGTGGGGATTGGGACGCGTGATGTTTGGGCGCAAGAGGTAGGTGAGACGTTGACCTGATGTGTCTTTGCCTAGATGCGGCAGATGCTTAAGCAATGCTGAGAAGCGAAGATGGGGTGCGACGTACTGAAGCTGACAACCTCATGGTAGCGCGCACAGCAGTGTACGACGTACCGTACGAAGCCATCGTCGGCAATCGACCAAACCAGCTGCAAGGGCGTCCGTAGGACCTCCTTGATGAGGTCCGAGCTCCCCATCGGCGATCCAGGGATCGACATTTCGGCAGCTGCATCAGGCGACAACATGACCCCGCCGCTCTCCAGCCAAAGCAGTATTTCATCCTCGACCTCCTTGACGAGCAGCTCCGTCCGCGGCCCGGACTTGCGCAGCACGCGGCGCATGCCCTTGAGGCTCATGGAGAAGCGGCCCGCATTGGCAGAGCTGGGCTCATAGGCAGGGGGCACCACCGGCGGAATGGCGTTATTGCGCGAGAGGTACTTCGGCAGAGGCTGGGGGAAGGTGGGTTGTGTATAGGGAAGGGGGACCGCATAGTCTCGCTTCGACGGCGGCACGATGTGTGCGTTGCCGGCGAAACGGGCTGCATTGTATTGCGAACGTCATCGACGGCCGGATGGAGAGGCACGAGGCGAACGTATGAGGGGTGCTCTAGAGTTAGTTCCTGAGGGTGACCGCTCAGAGGGGCACCCACCATTCTCCCTACGCCTGACCCATCGCTTACCCTCCTTTTCGTCCCGCTTGTTCTTCTTGGGCACGACAGGGGCGGCAGCGACGGCTTCCTTCTGAGCAGCTACACGAAGATGCGCAAATCGGTCTCCCACACCCGAGCTGCGTAGGATTGCTGGGAACGACATAGGTACGGGGCCGTCAAGCCTATCGACGGCATCGGCGTGGCTAAGGGGCATCGGTTCGATGGCAGCTACTGTAATGACCTCCATAATTGCTGAGGAGACTGCACCGAGAAGTACTGTTCACAAAGGTAGTGGAGTCGGCCCTCTTGTGAGAAATATGACTGTAGGTCCTGTTCGTCGGTCCCGAGAGGCAGTGGTGGGTCAGGGCGAGAGCAGAGTGCGACGTTCCTCCACATCGGGCATCGTCTCAGCCACACCCCCACATTGATCTCAGCACCCACTACTAGGCATCCTGCGGTTATTTCTGTCGTCCCTCCTGGCAAAATACGTACAGCTAGTCGATGATATGCAATTTCTATGTCATCAAATCACCATTTACAGGTGTGAATGCTGAGTGACGTGGGTAGCGTTTCTCTATAGTGTCTACTTCATTACTACGTTTACGTGTGCATTTGCAGCTGCCGCCGAACGATACCGCGGGTGCACTGGCCCAGAAATAGGTCTCATCAGCCCTAGCCTCGTCATCGCATTCCGTCAAGGCATTGAATCTGTTTATAATCTGAACGTTCACATCCTTCCCGTGCCAAGGTGCTGCAGGTTACTCAGCACGACCCGCAATAGTATCTTGTTACACGCTACATAGAGGGCCCTCGGAACACGTTTTTAGCGGACAACGAGGACGTGACAATCCTCGGTAGAGGTTGTGTGGGATTTACCCTGCATGATTCGATTACGCAGCAAGCATGTGGGTCGAAGGGGGCCGGTTTGGCGTGAGTGGCGATCTCTTGCTCAGTCCGTTGTAGATGAACTTTAATTATGAACCGGGTATCTACAATGACGTTCAGCTATGCGACTGTGTCTGAGGTTTTTCGAAACGATGGTGCCGTTCTACGAATTGTTGATTGATGAAGCTCGAAGATTAGCAGAAGTCTCGTGGATAGCGGTGTTTTGATTTCTGCTGTCATTCTATGTTCTATGCTGTTTCATCTCCTCCTACAACAGTGCGTTTCTATAAGCCATGGTTGTATTGGATATCTTGCCGTCAAAGATCCTGCCCGACCAGACCTGCTGCAAAAGATGAAGTCTCTCGACTCGAATATACTATAAAATGAACCAGAGATGTGAATCTGTCGTGTCCGTGTCAACCACCTAAGGGGAAGAGTATTTCATATAAAGCGTTGGAACGTCACGTAGGACAGCCATGGTGGGCTGTTGTCACGGTGCACATTCATGGTAAAATTCTATTGCGCCAGCGTTGTAGGCTTGTTCGCGATCCTCCAAACGCCTCGAACGCTAGTATCATGGTAGTGCACTTTCCCGATGGCACGCGACAGATATATCCTTGCCATCATGACATTGTCGACTTCACGGCTCACTGAAGGCATCATTGCTATCTTTGATGCAGACTTAGGAACCGTGTGCTGCATACATTGAAACTGTGAGCTAAGGTATTACGATGGAATGGTGCATACTGACAGATATATCCCGTCCGGATTTTGCCCGTAACAACCAGGCATCGCTTCCGATTCCTTAAGCACGTCTGCCTCTGCTACCAGCCCCTCCTGCCGGTAACTTGCGTTTGCGGAACATGCCTCCTCCCGAGGGTGCCATCGGCGCGGCAACGCTCTCTTCGACCTTTACAGACGTGCTCTCAGTCTCGTCAAGGGCGGAAGGTTCCTGCTTCACCGATGCCGGCTCAACGACCTCTGGTGCAGGAGGCTCTTCCTGTTTGACAGATGCTCCGTCGCTTTCTTCCTTCGCCTCTGGTGATGTCTGCTGTCCTTGTGACGCTTCGCGCGACTCCGACCGCGTCTTTTTCTCACCGGGACGGGTCCATCCCTTCGCAGACCATTTCGGCAGGGGAGTCGCTGATGATCCACTGGCGACTGCTGATTGTCCTTGGGAAGAATCTGGAAACGCGGCTGGCGGTAATGACCCTTCTGGCTCTTCTTGCTTCTTCACCTTGGTAGGTATCAACCCAGGGTCGTAAACTTCTCCCAAGCCGACCCCGACAGTCCGTCTACGCAGCTTGAAGTGTCTCGCATCTTCATTATCAGGAGGCTGCTCCGCCTCTCGCTTCCCATAACCCTCTTCTGCCTTGACAGAAGGTGTAGACTCCTGCTCTGTAGGAGCAGCCGACTCGGCTACAGTCACAATCTCCCACTCGCCCGCAACGCCCTGAATCCTGTGTAGCTCCGCTTCAGCCTTTAACCTCTCCGCATCTGGGTCTGTATATCCAAGCGACTCTGCAGTAGAGTAGTCGGCGTATGGATTGCCTGGTTTCGGCGCGGGCTTTCTGGCTGCCGCTGATGTAGAAGCCACAGATGTACTGCTGCTTCCTGGCTTGACCAGACCTGTGGATACGTCCAGTGCGAACGCAGCTTTCGCAGCCTGCAAAACATGCGTCAACCCATCTACTTCAGCACACGATCGTATCCTGGACCCACCTGCTCGACTCGAGCCATCTCTCGCTTCTCCTCATCCTGATCCTGCTTCCTCTTCTCTCCTTCCTTGTACAGTCCCCTCACGAAGCGTTCGACATTCCCCTTGTGTCGCAAGCCGCTTTCATGCTGCCTTCGCGAGGGTGCATCATCCGCGATGTAGATATTGCAGTATTTGCAGAAATACTTCTTGTGCGAGACCCAATATTCGCTCATGGTGGCTGTAGGTAGGTCTGTTTTTTGACGCGGGGGCTTGTCCTCTTCAGAGGTCGGTTTTTTCGAGCGGAGATGAAACTCTATTAGGAGTAGGCTTTTCGGACTTTGTAATCGCGTGTAATGTTCGTTCCGAGAGTTACGTTTACTATGTATCCCCGCCTTGCTTCTCCTGCCATGTCTGCTGCCGCTGCCACTGTTCTCGCTGCTAGTCTGTCATGCAGTGGAGCTACTCAGCCTCTACGACAACCCATGAATTCAACTAGGGCTGCGCACATGGATATGATACTCGGTGAGGTCCAGAGATGCGGTTGGACAATCGGCTCCTTCCTGCTCGACCTCTTCACTCTGCCCCCGCGCTCTCGAAAGGACAAGGATATCGCGCCAGTATCCCAGCTCCGTATCCAGATGGTCTCGAGATTTTCCCATGGAGAAACGAGCATGAAGGCCCATCATCATGCATACTTCCGCCACTTCGCACGTCCACTGCCATCCAGATCAGGGCAAAATCGTCACAATCCCTTGTGATACGCACGCTGTCGGTATCTGCCAGGATAGTGTGCTAAGTTTTCGTCTTCACATTGTCATGGTTGTGAGCCTTTTTTCGGCGAGTGCTCGCATTCTTCATTTCATAATGTTCTACAAGATTATTGGTAGCTGGCCGTTTGCTCACACTGCACACATGGAATCTATGCGCTCGGAGGATACTTTTCAACTTTTGTAGACTTTCTCCGGAAGTGCAATCATATTGTAGATTATCAGAGTCTATTGGAGATTTGCTAGATGACATAGTAGAATGTACAGCTAAGGGAGTGACAACATAAGCGGGCACAGATGCGAAGAAGATCCGAGCGCGCCTCAGACGCGTCGCGACGCGTCAAACACAACATTGTGCTTTGTTTGTAGTCGCACGTGATGTCGGACTTCAAATGTTTGCCGCCCTCCCGACAAGGGCCCCCCAATAGAAAGCAGACGTCAGACAGACAAGGATATCCGGAGCGTTCCCGTGGAGGTTTGAAGGAATTGTCTCGTCTGCCCACGGGAGACTAGCTGTAGGTAAAGATGTCGGTCACGCGTGACGATCGTCGCTCAATTCCAATATCTGCACGATTGGTGCATGTGTCTCCGCTAAGTCCCTGCAAATCGTACAGCCAGACTAGCAGTTGCGATGACTGGAGCGCAAGAGAATGACTACTTGCAGTCAACTGTGGGTTCCATTATAAGCTGGGGCAGTGTGACGATGACTGCGTGCGGTACATACAAGGGACGTTAGAAATACATGATAAATCCATGATGGCTATATAGATAGTAATGTGGTGCATGTAGATAGACGACGGCATGCGTCATGACCTTTTCCTTCTGCCTATGTTATTGTCACTCCCATTACGACGTTCATGCGGGCGAAATCCCTTTGACGGGACGGGAACGGAGGCGGAAACCTGAGCTTCCTTGATGGCATCTTCGCTTAGGCAGAAGTCTATGTGGGAGTTGAGACCGATGTTGTCGGTCCGCATGCTCTTCCCGCAGACTGGGCAGGTGAGCATTGACGTGACTCCGTCCTGCTCTTTGACTTCTTCCACTGGTAGATGAGACGTTGAGTCCGATGGTGGTTCGTTAGATTCCAACGCAGATGTAGGTGGAGCGTAGGCACTACGAGGTTTTTGCGACCCAGACGACGTCGGCTTATAAGTCCGTGCCCTAATGGATGAGGAAGGAGCCGACTTGGGAGATCTTGGTGGCCTCTGTGGGCTTCCTCGTGGAATATACGGTTGCTGCACATCGCTCGAGTTCCCGTCTATATGATCATCGAACGAGTGATCTACATTCAAATCGTCGTCCAAATCGCCATGTTCATGGTAGCCGGGCATCGCATCTTGATAACCGTCCTGAGTCAAATGAGGCTCTTCCTCCCATTGTTCGGCCTCGACGCGTGCTTTCTTCAAATTCCTGGATGACTCTGCTGAATTGGCGGACTCGAAGAACTATAGTGGTTGAACACTATATGATGAGGTCGTCGACTCGTTTATCATAGCTCTCATGTACGTACTCTCTTGATTCCGCCAGAGTTGTTCTCCACTTCCGCTCTTAAATCTTTCAACTTTGTTACTCTCAGGCCAATTAATCGAAGGGTTAAGGGAAGCTCCGGTATGAGGAGATCTTTGCCGATCTAGTATAGGACAATGTCAACGACGGTGCGCGTGCTTGCATGACTGCTTCTACATACCGCAAATAGGTCTTCTTTATTTGTAGATATACATCTGTCAAATGACCTGGCACGCGTGAAGACTGAGGCAAACAAGGGGAGCAATTAATGCGCGCAAACAGCCTCTTGTGATAAATTTTACCTTGATATGTATCTAGTTTATACTTCAAAGTCACCGTCTTGCCTGTCCACCCGCCATCATTCATGTCGCTCTCAAGCTCTGCCGCAACCTCCTCCAGCTTCTGAAGAATCTTGCTTTGCTCTTTGAGGGGGGTAAACGTGCTGTACAAACCAGCACCACGCGCAACCGTTCGCAACTGATGAGCTTCGAATGCTGCGTGACTAGGGTGTAGCATACCGTTCTGCGCCGATGCTCTTCCGTTCTTCACGTTGCCCGGGCTGGACGTCATTTGAAGCAATTCCCAGGTAGGCTTGCAAGAGGAAATGAAGACCGAACTGCTTATCCATCATCGCAACGATGGCTCTGTGGGTGAAGATATCTCCACATGTCTAGGTGTAATTTTACGTAAGGCTCTGTTCTTGATTCGGGAGTCGTGATCCCGTTGCAGACGATGAAGAGATAGCACACATAACGCTCACCTTAATGCCTATAGAATCGAGCAACCGTTCGTTCACTCGACCGACACCGGGCACTTTGCGAATCGATAGGTCATGCATGAAAGCCTTGATAGCCTCTGGATTGAAGTCGAGTTTGAACTGCCCATTCGGCTTATTCTACCAGGAATTTATGAGTTGGCGTCCTCAGCAGCAGGGCACCAAATAAACCTTGTCTGAGCAGATCTATTGTATGTCAGCCATATACTGGAAGGGCTTACGAGATGAGATGAGCTACCTTTGCGAGCATCTGATGCGACACGGTTCGAATAACAGTCGCGGCTGACAAAACTGATGTGCTTGACGCACCTTGTTCGGAGCTATTCCGGCGCTGACCGTAAGGTCAGTTTCCTGCTTGACTGCTTCCCGCATCTGCCGCACGCATTCCTCGACAGTCAATTGATGGTCCTCACAGTAGGCAGTGATGCTACCACGATGAAGATTACAAGTCAGCATAGGTCAAAGGGCTTTCTCCAGTGCTGGTCACAGACCAGAGACTTACTTCAAGTATCCCTCATCGCATCCTGCAGCGCACATGTTGGGGTCGTACCTCCGGAATACATCCATTACCTGCTTAGACATCTCCGTATAGCGGCCGAAGCGGTTCTCCACGAGGATCAGGTCAGGACATAATTTCCTCGCTACGAAAGCTAGATATCCGCATGGGCGTGCGTTTCAGGACAAATACTCCTGATGTGGACCTTAACTCACATGCCATCCCGGATCGCACGCCAAATTTGCGTGCTTCATACGACGCAGTGGTCAGGACCCCTTTGCCTACCTGACGACGAGGAACCAATGGTGAGGCCCACGTTCGCGGTCACAGAACATGGTGAACGCTACCGCAAACGCCTTTCCCTTGAGACTTGCATTATCCAGTAGCTCCACGCTTGCATAGAAGGCGTCCATATCGACGTGGACGATTGTCTGGCTTAGGTCGCGATGCTGTTCCATTCGAGCCAGCTGACAGCATTCCAAACATTGGCGTTCGAGTTGCAGAATGATGCATGCATCAGCTTACCAACTGATCCACCCCCTGTTCCACGCTGGCTGGAGCACGCCTCGGAATCAGAAACGTGGAAACCGAACAGGGGGACTGAGCGCACGAAGATCAACACCCTTCAGAACCTCATCACGCTGCTTCAGCATGCGAGCGATCCTCTCCGTCAAATCTTTGTCCTTCCGCTTCTCATTCTGCACAGATCAGTCACGTTAGATGTGCCTCGTAGTACACCGACAGAACTGATGACAACCTCGTAGAACTTTGAGCCCCTCGATACTTCCGCAATGATACGGTTGATCTCAGACTGGTCCTTTGCAAGACTACAGGATATGTCAGTATGGTTTAAATGGATAATTAAGTGCGTTTCATACCCGGCTTTTGTTGTTGATGGTCCGGCAAGACGCTTTACTAGACTCTCAGAATCCGGTGATGGGTTGGGAGCAATCACTTCGTCATGCATATCCGGTGGGTACAGATGACCAAGATCAAACAAAGCAGCGGGTTATACTGGTAGATGGATTCGGTAGAGAGCCTGCGGGGCAAGAGCACATTGTCGGCGGACTGTGCGTAAGGCCACAACATCAAGTGGACACTGGGCGCCAAATGCGGCCGCGCAACCTTTACCTGACGCGGTCTCGTGACTTTCATAATCCAGCACGTGCAATGTGGCCACGCGTTTCACCGCGCAAGGGGAAGAAAAATGAAGCACTCGCCCTCGCTACCCAGAGGCACCCTCGCTACCCAGAGACACATAACATATCGCAGGATGACGTTATTGGATAAGGGCCAACTTATGATCATTATCCGAATCACTCCTGCACATATCCATCGTAGAAGCGACATCTACCAACATCGCCTTTAAGACTGAGAGGATGCTTTCAAGGCAGCGTCGACAATCTCAGTCATTGCTATCACAGCCTCCTCCTCAAGCGTGTGCCCAACAAGTTGCAAAGAAACGGGAGCATTATGATAGATGGCAGGATCATCTAGGGGAGACGGAGCTGATCAGCATTGCCTGGTCTGACAAGAAGAAATTAACGAACAGGTGTTATAGTTCCTTTCATCCAGCTCATTCAAAAATTCGTGAGGTGGCTTCTTCGTGTCCACGGAAGGGTCCACCCGCGTGACGGGGAAGACGCATGCAACGTAGTCCAAAGCATTCCAGACTTTCGTGTAATTAGTGTTCCTATATTGCCCATGAGTTAGCTCCTCTCATGCAACTATCAATTGAGCCAATATGACGCACCAGTTCTTTCCATGAGGAGGGGCCGGAAATGGGGCACCGGGACAAATGATTGCATCAACAGGCCTTCCGGTTCCGGTCACCGCCTGCGTCTTTCGCCAGTGATCGAGGTATTCCTTGCGGAGTCCCGCCTTTGTCTTGTGGATTTGCCACATTTGGTACGCAGAAATACCCGCAGGACCGGGCCGAACAGAGTGGTCCGTCAAGCCACCATCCTCTGCGGGGATCATCGTGGATATGATGGGCTCTCCTGTGGCCGCAGTGGTGTTCTTAAAATCTTCGGCTGAGCCAGCTTTCCAGACGGCGCTCTAAGTGACACAAGTGAGTTATATACCTGGATCTTACCACACAACCCACAATCGCGTTTGTCAACTCCAGGTGCTTCAGCGGCTGCCAGTCAATCACTAAAAGGCAGGTCAATGCGTGTCTGCACGTGAATGAAAAGGAATCCACCATTATGCCCGGCTGTCAAGAGTGCGTTCTTGGTCATCTGAAGTGCTCTGGTGATAGGCGGTTGAGGGATAACAATCCGATCATCCCACATAATCGCAAAGCAAAGATTTTCACCGCCACCATGTTCTGCAAGCGCGTATGCCTCCTCGTCCCACTTCTTGCGAACAGCGAGCGGATCCTTGAGCCATGGTTGTCGGCTTATGACCGCCTGCATGAATCCCTTGATGCCACTCAAGCTATTCGAGAGCGGGCCCAGGACGGAAGGAATCGAGTCTTGACCGTACATCGAATTCACAGCTCCTTCATACGGCACGCGACCATACGATGGACGCAGTCCATAAATGCCGTTGAAGAGGGCAGGTATACGGATAGAACTGAACAGATGTTTGATCAGTCTCGTGCACTGCTTGCGCAGGCCTTCGGTCGTACCCTCCAAGGTCTGACCCTACGCCGAGCGGACTGCCCTTCAGATGGATTAGAGCGCCTTCGCCTCCAGACGAGCCGCCGGATGTCAGTGATCGATTGGCAGGATTGGTCGTCCGGCCGAAGATGAGGTTGTACGTTTCCGGCCACTATTGGACACAATCTATGAGGTAATCACGAGAGATGGGTCGCAAACAAGCACATACCATCAAAGTTTGCGGCACATTCGTCCTCACGAACGGGACCGCACCACATTCATAAAGTATTTCGACGAGGACGGCGTCGTTTTCGGCGTACTTGCCGATCCATGATGCATAGCCTTAAAGTCTTTTTCAGTGATGCAATGCGGTAAAATCCCGGTAGATCTGACCCATCGTGGTTTCGAGACCCTTTATGGCAAGCTGGTCCTTCAACGAAACAGGCAGCCCGTGAAGAGGTCCGACAACTTTGCCTGTAGACTTCAGGTACTCATCCAACTCGGCCGCACGAGCCAAGGCTCGCTCAACGAAGACCTCAGTCAGACAGTTAACCTGCGTAACCGTATCTCATGAGCAGAGAACCATGCACTCAATGTCATGAGATGTACCAGTTGATGAGCAATGATCGCCCTCTTATAGAATGCGGTGGTGACTTCCACTGATGACCATTCACCGGTGGCCAGTTTCGCCAGCAGAGCGTTGACATCCACCTTACACGTAATTTGTAACTCCCTCTCTGACAGAAGGCCGCACTCCTCAGGAAACGCAGTGACGTCGAGGACCGTGTCCGGCGGAGGGTCAATGAGCCAGTCCTTCGGGATGGTTACCTTCTGGCGTTGTCTCTTGTCTGCAACGAGGTCCTGCCAGCTCTGCGACATGGCTTAGAGAGATGGGACGTTGAAGGGTGTGCTCAAGAATCGTGAGAATAGATATGAGAGCGTGGACAGCCAAGCAAACACTGGCGGATACGCATTCAAGTGCATTTATACTAATTACCCACAGCATCGGCCTACCGGTGAGAAAGATAACACTATCGATAGAACACATACTGAGAGCACGCGATAGAGGCGGTCTTATATGGCTAAAAAGCCGGAGGGTCACAATGCGGCCGTTATCTGGCATGCGAGCGGGGGACGCCGAACCCAGAGAACGTCTTGGTTTCCAAGGAACCACAAGAACTACAAGGCAGAAAGTCAGCGGATTCGTCCAATACAACAGTCAGAACGGAGAAGAAAGCTCAGAAAGTCATTTATGTCAGCGATACACTGCGAGGTTTTATCCAGGCCGCGCATCGAGGTCTACTAAGAGGTGCCAAAGGTGGTTGAAAGTACAACGCTCTTCATAGCAAGCAGAGAAAGAATATGAAGAGTGGAAGTCGTCGCACTCACCTGCAAAAAAATCCTGAGAGGAAACGCCTTGAACGAGCCGGAGGACGAGCTCGCAAATTTTATCGTCCTGGCGTGTTGCTTTGCTTTGCATCTATTTGGTCCATCAGATCCCGTTCGATCAAACATCCAGCCACTGTATTAGATCGTCTTGAACCTTGGCGCGCTGGCGGCCACCGTCTAACACTTCGCCAACCCCATTTGCATATTATAACGATCATATTCATATGTGCACCCTTCATACATCAGAAACAGCATGGCAATACTGTAGTGTCTCGACAATGTCCGAGTAGTATCATAATAGTATTTGCAAATAATGCATAAATCATCACTTCGGCTGTAGAATGGGCGGTGATTCGGAAAAGAAACAAAGACTGTTTGTCAACTGTCTTTCTCGGACTTCCGAATGACAGTCACACAGGCGACGACAGAATCCCAGATCTCCGTTTCAGACGACGAAGGTGGGGAACGGCCGCTCCTCGATAGCGTCGGAGTGATTGGGCTGGGCACTCCCTGTTCGATGAACGTCATCGGCGTAGGCACGGAGGACACGAACAGTTTCAGAAAGCCAGCCCCAGTATCCGCCCCATCAACGAGCGAGAAGGTGAGCGCCTCCGAGTCTGCGGTGTCAGAACCAATGACTAGGTGGTCATGTCTGCGCAGAGGTGGGTTGGAGACGGCAGCAGAATCGGGATGGTACACCATGTTGATGCCGTATCCGCTCGCATCCATGTACGCGAGGTATGGCCAGAGATCGTGGTCCGAGTAGTTATGTATCACGACTGCATATATCGAGTTCTTCCCGTCATCGACGATCTCCGCCTTGCCGTTAACGAGGAGGTTACCACTCGTGCGCGTCCATGTCGACGCATCCAGGCGATAGAGCTCCATGGTCACACGACCGAGCAAAGGACGCGCCGGGTTTTTCCTGTGAAGATGCAGATGGAAACGTGCGGCATCATGTATGATCCGCAGGTCACTGTTCGTGCGCTTGCTCGGGAGCTGGATGATGTGCCGGCAGTTCGAGGATATCATCGGGTCGTGCCTCTCCACGACGAGCTCGCGGCGGCGCAATTTGACAGAGATATCCGCCTGTGTGGCGCTCTTCACGCGAAGTATGTTCATTCCATGCTGCGACGCGGCCTTCTCAGCGTTCGAAGTGATCTGTTTCTTGAGATGACACCGCCGGATGATGGAGAGCAGAGACTTCCTGATGTGTACGCGGAACGGAGTACGGTTGTTCCAACGGGTGATCCGCGCCCATCCTTCGCGGGCAAAGTTCTTTGCAGCAGATTTCCGCCGCGCGAGACACCAGGTAGGGTGGATCTCGACCGCAGAGTAGGTGGCGAGGACAGGATTCAGAGAGCCGCGTCGGTTGTGCTGGTGGATGCTGAACTCGGTGCCCTCCATGATCCCATGTATGGCACCGGCATCAACGCGCACCTTCTCGTGATCATAGAGGTCGATAGCCACGTAATGGGCGTCAGGGAGGAAAGGGACGCCGTCGAATGGTATGCGATCGGTGTGTCTCCCGAGCGAGATAGCGTGCTGGTGATCGTCCATGATATCGGACACTGCGTGGATCAAATCGGTATATGTGAGTTTATGAATGGCCATGCGGTCCTTTAACGTCATCAGAGCATTGGTGAAGTTCCCGCCCAACTTGCTCTCCATGGCGGACGAGCCACTCCCGCAAGCAGCCAATGTGACGTGCGTGCTGCGGCTCGTGGAGGTGAAGCCGCGGCTAGAGCCTTTTTGGCCGGCGTGCAGAGATGCACCCTTCCACAGGCTCGAGATGAGGTCGGCAGGAGACGCCTTGTTGGTAGGCGTGTAGCGGACGTGCATCCGCTCTCGTGTCCCTTCCGGGGTGCGAGGAAGGGCAAAGCAGGTGTCGAGCATCAGCGTGATGTTGTCTCCCTTCGCTGTGCAGAGAACGTCGATCATCGCATACAGCGAGCGATCCGATATACCCGCGATCCGGCCGTCGACGGTCCTGGTATCGTGGTCGTAGGGACAGAGCACCTCTACCTCTCCCCGGCCGTTCTCGAACCAATGAGGTGGTGCACGGACACGGCTCCCATGTCCAGAGAAGTAGATGAAGATGGCATCGCCAGGCTCGATGGCAGGATTGTTGACTAGGTGAGACATGAACGTTTCCTCGATTTTGCGTTTGGTTGCTTCGGCGTTGAGGAGGAGGCAGATCTGGTCTCGGGGGACATGCAGATCATGGGTTAGCCAACGCTTGATGTTCTTCGCATCGTCGACGCAGGATTGGAGGTTCCAGATGTTGCCGGACTTGTAATTATCGATGCCTATGATCAGAGCAAACACACGTGTGGCCATCCTGAAGAGCAACCGAATGTTAAATGTATCACTGGAAATGTAGAGGATGTCGGCTTACTTGCTCAATGTGACATGCAGGATGTGAGAAATTGAGGGTGTTGGAGCTCGCGACCGAATGCTCCCGACCATTCTTATAGCGTATCGTCATCTATGGGATAGTGATTGACATAACGTACGCGTTCACGCATGTTTTCATTTGTAGGTGACGAGGTCCACGAGGACAGACACAGCTTTGGCACGTTGGCCCAAACACAAATGCAACGTCCAGATATGGAACAAAATGAGCAACATCGACTCCCACCTTATGAGGTCTAGGTGTGTTAATGATTGTCCAAATAAGATAGCTGACATCCTCCGTTGTATGTATGGCCCCGCGAAGAGAAGCAATCCGAGAGAGTGCAACAATAGTGCAGACCGGGTATCATTTCCGCCTTTACGATATGGATATCAGACTTGATCTTCGACCAGCCAGTCTGGCTAAGAACGTGATCTAGAGACGAGTCACCGTGACGTCGCCTGAACACATCAAGAGCGGAGAAGATATGAGTGTGTTTTGCGCGTACATTACTCAACGTAGTCGACATGGGCAGCCAGGTTGACACGTGTTCCACAGCAGCGCAACGGTCGTCGCGGTCAAGGGTTAGTGCTGCCCGCAGTCCAAACGTTGGAAAGGAGAATTCCGAATGGTGGAATCAAGCGAAACTCGCAAGATTTGGGCCGTAGGATTTTGCAAATTATCGCTCAGTCCAAGCGATCCCAAGCACGATCGAACGATCTGGCGGGAAGTCTTCAAGTGATCCGTCCCTGAAAAGTAAACGCACAGTTTATTAGACTGTCCAGGCTGACACGGAGTGCCATGCACACAGAGCACGATATGGGGGCATGAAAGCTTGAAAGAGTCTCACTGTCCAGCCACGTCGGGCATCAATGATCATGTGATCACGCGCGTACCCTGATTCGTCGTGATCGTCCTTGAGCTCTGCTCGCCACCCATCCCTGCAACGCGACTAATTCACATACAGACCTGGAAACTGCAACTGCTCTGCAGAGGAAGAGCAATAATACGCTGCAGACACGCTTTATCCGCAATTGTGATCAAAGTAGAGGTGAGTTGCGACATTTGGTACGGTTGCGCAGCGATCTTCGTCTGACGGGCAGATGTCGCGCAAGGGCGTGAATTTCGAAGGTCAGATAGTTAATAAGACCATATTGTCGTTATGAACTTTGTGTGTCAGCAATGCAAGCAGCCGCTGCAGGTGAGTGCATCGCCACCACTCATGATCCATTTCTCTGAGCCAGACACAGCTTGACGCGTCACTAGTGGACCTTTCTCCGTCCGCCTATGATATGGTTGCCGCATCCTTACCGCCTGCACCCCCCAGCTATACACGCCAGATCCCCGATTCCGAGAAGCTGACTCAGCTCCCGGCGCCAGCCTCTGTCAAGGCAGCATGGCAGCAGGCCGTGCAGGACCGGTCCGCGTCACCCTCCTCCTCCACCCAGTCCCCGCGCCAGCGCAACCCATCGCAACGCGCAGTTGTACAGCCCAACGAGTCCTTTGTGCTACTGCAAGATAGCATCGTGCGCAATATTCCCTCTCCCCTTCCCACGGCTCCATACACCAAGAAAGCGTCGAGTGCAAAGGCGAGGAGCAGAGGTGCACCGCAGGCGGCACCCGAGGTGATGCAGGAGGAGACAAAGCACCCGAGCCCTTCGCCGCTGTCGCACCACCTGCGATCCACGCTGCGTCTGTTCAACCTGCTGTCGAGCCGCACCGATCTAGATCATCCCCTGTGCGCGGAATGCACGGACATCCTGCTATCGGAGCTTACACGGCAGCTCGAGGAGACAAAGAGGGAACGTGATGGCTATATTGCCTTCGAGAAGGAGGTGAGGAAGGAGAAGGAACGTGACGGAGACGGAATGAGCAAGGAGGAAGCGGAACTCAAGATCGAGAAGCTGAAAGAAGAAGAACGCATTGCGATCGCGAAGCTCCAGGCAGCTGAGCGAGAACGGGAACAGCTGACTGAAGAAATGAAGGCGCTCGAGCTAGAAGAGAAGGAGTTGGAGGAGGAAGAAGCAGAGTCTGTGTTCACGCAATATTTGCTCTTCGTGTTGATTCACGCGACTTGCAGATTTTGGCGAATGCACAATGCCCACCTGCTCAAGTCGGCAGACCAGGCATCACAGCTCGCCGCGCTGCATGCAGCGTACGCAGCGGATTCCGCAGTCTTGGAGAAGCTCGAATGCACGAACGTCTACAATGATGCGTTCTGCATAGGCCACGAAGGCGTGTTTGGGACCATCAACGGGCTACGATTAGGCAGAGTGCCGGGCGTGCCGGTGTGTAGGATCGAAAAGAAGGTGTCACGATCCACACTGATGACACTGCAGGTAGAGTGGGCAGAAATCAACGCTGCTTGGGGACAGACGCTGTTGCTTCTCTATACAGTTGCTCGAAAGCTGGACTTCACATTCGAGAAGTATACAACACTTTGGCTTAATCGTATATACTGTTGCTGATTCGACGATGCAGCTATCGCTTGGTGCCTATGGGCTCATTCTCGCGAATTGAACGGACGACCGGGGACAAGGCGACGTACGAACTGTACGGCTCCGGGGACCTGCATCTCGGGCGTCTGCTGCACAATCGGAGATTTGACTTTGCCATGGTGGCGTTTCTGGACTGCCTGAAGCAGATCGTGGACTACGCCAAGGCGCAAGGTGCCCAAACCGAGTTCCCTCAGTGAGTGGTGGCGTGCGCTCTCGGGATGACAGCGTGCTCACCGGTCCTAATTGCATCAGGATTGTGAAGGACAAGATCGGAGAGGCGTCTGTCAAGCTACAATTCAGTCAAGAGGAGGCATGGACGCGGGCACTACGGCAAGTGCTGCTGGCCCTCAAGACGTTGTTGAGATGGACCACGAACGGAAGCAACGGCTGAGGCCGGCTTTCTTGTGTAAAACACTTTCCGATCTGCGTGTCCGCGGATCAGCGTTGAATGAATCGAAGTTGGACGGGGATACTTGTATCTATGTATCATAATGTGTTTCTAAGGTGTAATATCATGCGGAACAGCGGCGCGATGTTGAATGTCGCCGCGCTGAGTACGAAATGATGAAGCTTGTCGTAATCCTTGATCGGACCGGGCTAGAAATCCGACTATGGCGGATTTGGATTTTGTTTGATTGGTAAGTCGCAGACTTTGTCATCAATTCGACGCTCCTCGTATAATTTGCACTACTGAACCCATGCGCCTCCGTCTCCTTGCTCTTTTTGTTCGCTCTGTCTCTTAGTATCCACTTTCATGGGCCTCTTGTCGCTCGGGACGCCTCTCGCGTGGGATGATGCGAAACACTACGCAGATCACGTCAGGACGCACGGCATCACCCAGTTTCTCATCATATGGGACACCCTCAAGGACAGGTGCGGCGACGAGCTGCTTTGGGGCGATGAGGTATTTTGATTTCGAGTGAGGCTGTGTTGTCTGGCTGATGAGGTCCCGACGAGATCGAGTACATGGTCGTCGCCTTCGACAACGAGGGCAAGAACGCGAGACTGTCCCTCAGGCAGACTGAGATCCTCGCCAAGTTAAAATCTATCACCAACGACATCGCAGCAGGACATGGCCACTCGTGAGCGCCCTCACATGCTCCCCGAGTGGGTCCTTCACACACTCTGTCAGGTCGTCTGTCCCCACATTTCATCCCGAATATGGGAGGTTCATGCTCGAGTCTACCCCGGGTACTCCATACACTGGATCATTGACAGACCTGCTTTCGGTCGAAGGTGACATGCATTACCGGTCAGCATCCTCATACATCCCTGGGCCCGTCGGGAATTGACCAGAGCACGGTAGACGGCGTCTGGCCCGGAAATACCTCAATGATGAGGAGTTTCCTTTCACCCTCACGTCGTTTCCACGTATGGGCACGCCGGGAGTATTCACAGAGCCTTACTTCGACCCCGCAGATGCCGTATCCAGCCATAGTCTCTTTCTCCCAGAGGAGATCACCAATCCACACGTGCGCTTCCCGTGAGTAGTGTTCCCTTGGTTGTGGGTGCGCGTTTCCTACAGCATGTTTCCTCTACGATTGTCTCCAGCACGCTTACGGCGAATATTCGGCGGCGGCGTGGGTCCAAGGTCGCGATCAACCTCCCGCTCTTCATTGACAAGAACACCCCGCGCCCGTTCGTCGACCCCACCATCCCATGGCAGCGGAACGTATACCCAGAGGACCCTGGTGCGGCTCCCGTTTCATCACACAGTGCATATTCTATTCCTAATGTCCGCGCCCCGCGTGAACAGAGGCGAAGCGCGGTGCCGCCAAGATAGACCACATCTACATGGACGCGATGGGCTTCGGCATGGGCTGCTGCTGTCTGCAGACCACGTTCCAGTCATGCAACGTCACGGAGGCGCGTCGCCTGTACGACGCGCTCGTCCCCGTCGCTCCGCTCATGGTGAACCCTCTCCTGCGTCCTCCCCCCATACTGGCTGACCTGCGTGCCAGCTAGCGCTGACGGCTGCGAGCCCCCTCTGGCGTGGCTATATCGCCGATGTGGACTGCCGGTGGGACGTCATTTCGGCAAGCGTCGATGATCGCACGGAAGAAGAGCGTGGCCTTAAGGTGGGTGGGCTGGCCGTGCCGCCATGTGTGTTGACAGCATCCTGGGCTGACTCACTGTGCTGCGGCTTATCAGCCGCTCAAGAACGATAGGTTCAGGATACCCAAGTCCCGATACAGCAGCGTGAGCCTGTACATGTCGGACTGTTGGATGAACCGACCGGAGTACAATGACATTGAGGCGCCGCACGATCAGGCTATCTTTGATCGCTTGCGGAAGCATGGTAGGTCCAACAGTTGTCAGGACGTGCATGGGCTGGGATGCTGACCATCCCGCGGACTGTATGCAGGCATTGACGCGCTGCTCGCGCGACACATATCTCATCTGTTCATCCGCGACCCCATCGTCATCTTCTCGGAGACGATCGAGCAGGACGATACTACCAGCAACGATCACTTCGAGGTAGATGGGACTTGATGACGTCGCGTGGGTGACCAACCACTGAGCGTGTGCGCATGACAGAACATCCAATCGACGAACTGGCAGACCGTCCGCTTCAAGCCGCCTCCGGTGAACTCGGCCATCGGCTGGCGCGTCGAGTTCCGCTCGATGGAGGTGCAGACGACCGATTTTGAGAACGCCGCGTTCTCCGTCTTCGTCGTTCTCCTCTCGCGCGCGATCCTCAGCTTAAACCTCAACCTGTACATCCCCATCTCCAAGGTGCGCTGAATGCTGACTGCAGTTTCGTGTGCTGTCATTGACGATGCTTTCGTTCGTGCAGGTGGACGAGAACATGGAACGTGCACAGAAGCGAGACGCTGTGCACTCGCAGAAGTTTTTCTTCCGGAAGGACGTCTTTCCGCCGACCAGCAGCTCCTCCCGGGCCTCTAGTAGGTGCTCCTCCTGCTCATCATCGGGACATAGCTCGCCCGTCGATGGCGCAGACGATGCGCCAAAGAAGGAGAGGCGATTACGGAACTGCTTCCCGCCTGTTCCTAAGCCTAGCAATGGCTACCTGCAGAGGCCGGTGGAGGAGGAGTACGAGGAGATGACCATGGAAGAGATCATGTTTGGGAAGGTAGGCTCCTTTAGTGATGCTTCTTCGAGACTCTGGACGGCTGAGTGTTTGTGTTGTAGCGTGGCTCCTTCCCTGGGCTTTTCCATCTTGTATACTCCTACTTGGATACCTTAGACATTGACGAGCAGGAGCGCATCAAGCTCGAGGAATATTTGGATCTGATCCAGCGGAGGACGAATGGTACGTCCTTCCGTCTCTACTCGCTCGCACCCTCAGAATCTCATCAGCGAATTGCAGGATCGCTGAAGACCGCAGCATCTTGGATACGCGACTTCGTGCGCTCACACCCCGCTTACAAGTTTGACTCGGCAGTCAGTCAGGAGATAAACTATGACTTATTGCGCACACTAGAAGAGATGTGAGTTTTGACTGGACTGTCTTTGCATCCGTCGTACTCATACGTGGAAATGCAGAGAGCGTGGAGTCAAGAAGGCTCCAGACTTCTTGCCTAAGAAGATGCAACGCGATCCGCAGCCCAACGTTGTGTCTCACATCTAAGTTATCGGAAGTACTTCGGGACATTTGTCGCGAGCGCACGCACCTCGCTATTAGATTGCAATTGATTCAAGGTTGGAATGCATGCACATCGGCTGAGCCCGCCGGAAAAAAAACGAAATAGGCACATCAGTTCACTATACAGCTAGATCGGTACAATTTGCTATACATTATGCGTGTATCATAGATCACAGCTTTCCCCTGTGCCTCTTGAATGCTTCCTGGACACCTGAACCGGCAACAATGTCCTCCATGCACCTGCTGTCCACCTCCCTGCCCTTCTCGGCCAACTGCACAACCCTCTCGGCCATGTTACGCGGAACGGACACCACACCATCCTCATCCGCGACCACGTAGTCTCCTGGTTCGACACGCACTGCAGGGAGAGGATCCTGGACATTGGCTCCTCCAAAGTCCGGCGCTATCGTGAGAGGCACGTTGACCGCAGACGGGCGAGTGAAGGGCGACTGCCCGAGCGTGGAATGTGCTCTGGCGAAAACGGGAAAGGCGGAGCTACGGTGCTCCGCGAGGTCCCTGCACCGTCCAGAGATGACGACGCCGATTGCACCGCGGGCCTTTGCGCCGGCAGTCATGAGTCCGCCCCATACGGCATTCTTCACATCTGCATCCACAGGAAGGGCACAGAGAGAGACACGTAGGACGTGCAAAACCCAAGACAAAAGAGTGAGCGCGCGATTCGGCGGTCAGACTAAGAGGAAAGCACTGAACGAGGCGGGGCGTCGATGACGATCACGGAGCCGTGCGGCGCCGTGTCGACAAAGTGTGCAGCGGGCTTCGGGCTCGTCTTGTCTGACGCGAGCACCATCTGCACGGTGTATGCAGGTCCGCAGATGCGCACGTCCAACGGGCCAGCGTGCGGGGAGAGCATGTGGATGTCGGGGATGAGACCGCCATGCGGGAGGCCCAGCTTGATGAGCGCGTCAGAGATCTCGCAGGTGGAGAATCTCTTCAGAGAAGAGACGAGTATTGAGGACGACATGGCTCGCTGAGGGGTGCGAGTATGCCCGGTGAGCAGGGGTTATGTAGCGGACGTTGTGCGGTGGGAGGAGCGGGAGGGAGGCGGAGGGAGGGACCGTGTCTAATCTAATCATAATCTTGCGGTTCATCTAATCTAATCTTATGTTCTGTAATTTCCTCTCGAGCGCTTCGCCATCGCCTTTACTCATGATGCCGAGTTCGCAACGCTCAACAAACCCATAACGGCTCCTGATCTCCGAAAACTCATAGCCTACACAAGGATAACTGTGTTGCGGCCCATCGTGCCGTTTAAAGGCTTGGTCTCACTTTATAGTGTACTACATAAAGCCTCCGTCAATCCGAACTGTGGCTCGATCTTGGTGACTGGCAGTGATGCTCGGACTTTCTGGCGATTCCTCAGAGTCGCTATGGACGAGAACCTCTCGAAATGTGCGGAAATATGTCCGCAAGGCAAATAAAGCAATTATGCGCTCTCACCGGGTTCGCATTCCGAAGTGTGATATGCCTATACGGTTCCGACCGGTATGTGCCTCTTCCACGGTGCAGTACCTACGATGCTCATGAACCAGGGCTATTAGTGGTTCCTCGTCTTCACCGCACTCATCATGCTCGTGCTCGCATTCCTCGGATTCACGAACTTCTCGCATTCCCTACCGCTGAACGACAAACTCCTGCACTTTATTTGTTTGTGCACCGCCACCGCCGTTTTCTACTTCATATTCGATGTGGAAGAGTGCGCTCGTCTTCGTCCTTATGTTCTCAAACGATGGATGAACAATCACATATAGAGATGCCCGCCGTGTATGGTTCTGGCGTAGTGCGCCTCTCATCATTACCGGAATTACCTGTTTTCTCGTTGGAGGTATTGTCAGCGAGTTTGTCCAAGCTATGCTTCCGGTGCGTTTTAAAATATATTTCAATTAGTCACATATTAATTACAACGTGATCATTAGTCCAAAGAGTTTCAGATTGGCGACATTGCGGTAAGAGTTCACGTTGAGGTATCCGCCCGCACCGCTTGCTCATTCAACTGCCGCTGCAGGCCAATCTTCTGGGCTCTAGCATAGGCTTGTACATCTCATACTATCTCGAACGATATTATCGCAAGAGACGCGAAGTATGTATGTTTTCTCCCCCTCGCCTCACTGATGATTTATATGATTTTTCCAGATTTCTCGACTGTACCGTCCGCTTAATGACGACACAGCGCCAACGGATGATGAAGACGAGGAGGAAAGCGCGCTTCAGCTCCTTCCAAGTCATTACCAGCCAAGCTCGCGAAGCACGCCGAAAAACGGTCGTGCGAGCACCTCAAAGGCGGACGCAGGTCCGATTCGCTTGGGCGACGTTTGGAACGAAGGCGAGGAGCTGTTTGGCATCGGCGAGGATAGCGACGAGGAAGACGGGGACAACCCTGTGCATACAGGCCGGGTACCCGCGTCCAGTGCGGATGGTCCGAAGATCGTAGTGACGAACACAGAACCTTAAGCATGCATGACCGTTGTCACAGACGACAGATTTTATAGGCCATTACTATATATATGTATGTCTTGTCGAGACTGTCACTCGATGTCGCTGTTGTACCGGTACCTAAGAGAGCACTGTGTCGAGCCATGAGTCGTGCTAAAGTTCATGACGGGGCAAGTCGGCCATCTGCAGTACCTATAGCGGGGTGCTCGTTGCTATCAGTCTCACGCGGACACTGGTATGGATGCTGGTCGACGCACATATAGTGTTCAATCAACAAGCCTCTTCGATCTGCCCGTATTTACCAAAAAAAACCAGAACGAGAGCTGATGTCCATTCTCAGCAATGAACGATAGAAAAACTTATACAAACCCCTGCCAGCCTCCTCTAATTTTCTTCGTAGCTCGGTGGCGCCTCGACACGGTCCGTCTGAATCTCCACCATGACCCTTCGCAAGTTCTCTACCTCTGCTCGCAGGCTGATCATTTCGTTTGGCGATGTCGAGGAGACAACGGTCGACGGCGGCTCCTGACCGGATGCTGGCACCGTGCCGCTGTTTTCAGAGGTTGCCAGTGGTTCTTGACCTGATGTCGGCATGGTGCTCGTAATGGAAGGAGTTAATGACGTCGACCCGGAGGCATGCTGCTGCCCGTGCAAGGCCGATTGCATGTGCTCGCGCAACTTTGACGGTATCAAGGGGAACGATTCAGCCGTGCTCTCCATCCCAGTCTGCTCGTTCATTCCGTATGGCGTGGCATTATAAGGGAATGGCACCGGCTCCGGGTGTTCTACGATGAGATCCTTCTCAATCAGCCGCGGCATACGCCGCGACCTGCGTCGCCACAAGAATATGGCTACGAGCACAGCGGCTAAGCCCACGACGCCGCCCACGACGCCACCCACAATAGCCCCGATGTTCCTGGAATTCACGGACGGCTCTGACACCGTCGGCATTGGAGAATTGGGAACTTCGATTGCCTTGTTTGTCATACTATGAAGAATACTCAGGCAATTTATATACCGGTAATTGTGAAACACTCACTTGAGTGCCAACAAGGCAAACATAGCACCTTGTGCCGGCCTGACATGCAAAATGAGGTTTATCTTTCCCAGTGCTATGTCGCACTCACAGTGCAGATCCTGATATGGCCGACCCGCTCCCCTCGATTGAATACACGGACGGCCAAACACCGATAGTGAGATTGTACGACGCGCGATTCCAGATCATATCGATCAAGCGATCACGGGCCGTCGTGTCGGAAACTGTGGCAGCAGTGAACGCCAACCAGCCTGAAGTACCATGAATAGTCGAGCAACGTCACGGACATATCAAGCGCCCATACCTGAATTTCCTGTGGTATTGTAGTTGCTGTCAATGGGCAATCCAAAGGCGCTACCTGCAGAAGCACACGTCAACGCTGACTTCGCGAGAATCAAGGATGGCTATGCCTGCCCGCGTACTCGAGAGATCCAGGTAGTAGTTGGACTGAAGTGCATGCAGCTGTATACGATAATGAGTATCCGATGGTTGAATGTCCAGCGTGAAGACTCGCCGTGTCATCAATAAGCCCTGTTTGCAGCAAGCTGTCGGCGTAAAAGTTGTACATCAAGGCCCACGAGTTTGCATCTCCATAGCTGAAAAGGACGTTCTCTTGGTTTGAGGCCAACGCCAAGGAATGCCATTCGCTGGCATAAGTGGAGGCAACTGACTGAACGGCAAGTTAGCGTTGGTAGTCCTGATCTCCGAGGTCACGTACTGCGTAATGTTGTTCATCTTCGCTGGCCCCATACGCTTGACTAATCTCTGCCATCGCTCGAATCCCGATGATACCTTTGATTGCGAGGTTCGTCATGTTTGCCATTTCTTCACCGTCCGCGGAAACCCTGTGCGAATGAATGGATACGTACGGCATTGCAGGCACTGGGGAATATGACTTACTGGTAGGTCGGAATCAATGCGTTTTCGACGAGGTAATCGGCCCACTTTGCCAGCAGGTCATACTACAGCAGCGTCAATGAGTACTTCGACTTTCATAAAACGCAGATCACGCACATATTGGCCGATCAGCGATCCATCTCCAGAAGCTCTCGCATGGGCCAATGTCATTATGAGCATGTTTCCAGACTCTGAGATTTCTCCATTTAGGACTTTTCATGCAGCCGAAAGAACCGAAAGCTTACGTTCAACTCCCTGATCAATGACTGTCGAGTCATCACCGGATGCGATGGGATATTTCAGACCTTTGACAGAATGAGCTGCCGCTCATCATTGCAAGAAGACAGAAACTGACCAAGATCACTCGCCGCATGGGGAAGATTGTACGCACTGCCGGACTGGTATTCGAGGAGAGGAGCCAGTAGGCCTTTACCGAAAGACGCATTCAAGTACAGGAACATTGGAAAAGAAGCGTACATGACCTCGACCGGGTTGACACGTCTATGTAGAGCCATCATATCAACCTATGCTCCTCATGAAAACAGTCTTTCGCCCACCTGTCTGTTCCCATATTCTTCATGAAGATCATCACATCTGAGATATCCCCATTGCCATCCGTTCCCTTTGGCACCGTGATGTCGATCGCACCAAAAGCCTGGCGTGCGGCGAGAGATATCAGATCGCTGTATTGTGACGTGATCGAAGAGGCATTCTGCATCAGCTCATTGTCCAGTGATTCAGCCCTGCTCTGTGCATCGGGGAAGTTCGAGACGAAAGTTTGGATCTATATCCATAGTCAATTCAGGCTTGGGCTGCACATTGCTGTGAACAAACCAGATCTGTGATCGTCGAATACTGAGTGACATAGTAAGGTCTGCGGAGCTGGGTATCGCCTGTGGATGTTGTGTATTCGATCGAAGGATCGCGGACGTAACCGACTGACCACATGATGGGAGATTGAGTGGACGTTATGTTTCCAAGGTCCACGGAAAAGGCAAACAGGGGAAAATTACTGTATCTCACGTCAGATCACCACTCATCAATCTCTGAGATGTCATGCATTCACTCATCGATACCACGGAAAGTTAGGTTTGATGTGTTCGTTAGGTATCCATCATTGATGAATTGGTCTCGACAAGGTGCATTGTTGCCAGACTGATACGAGTAGTTGTAGTTCTGAGCGATTTTAAGCGGAACTCATATGGAGGTTAACCACGGTATGAGGTACTCACAGTGGCCATAGCATAGTAAACTGTTCCATCCTCTGCCTGGTCCGAGTCTTCGTACTCGTCGAACGGGTATGGCGTCTGGAGCTCAACGGCATGGTAGACGACTTGGGAAGTAAGGGTCGTAGTCCAGTTCACTTGGGCGGAGCGATCTCCAGACGCCCACTCTAGTGTACAGTACCAGTGAGGCAGAGAACATCTCGCCTTCTTTGCGATGTGTGACCAACCTGCGCTGATGTCCGAGTACACCTGTACTTCGTGAACTTCGCCATCGTTTGACTGTGCTTCAAGCACAAGGTAAGAGAATGGGATAGATTGCTGGACCCAGTCCGACGGCTACGAGGGGAGCGGTGAGGTGGTGCCTATAGTCATGTGATGGCGAAATACCTCTATTGGCGTAAGAAACGTGATGGTTAAATCCATCCGACCGGCCTGAACTGAGTAGATTGTACGTGTAGGGGTGACTTGAACGGACGTTAGATTGGTTGCTAAAGGTCCATCATAAGCTCCCAGCCATCTGTAGGTTTCGTTGTCGATACGGATATGACCGGCCCACCCAAGAATATTGTTCTTCAAATCCATGTGAGCATTTTTGGCACATAGTACGAGAAGAACGGAACGAACGGTGGTGTTTGAAACATCCCAGAATGTCGGCCATTCATTCGTGACATTGGTACCATTGGTGGTGGCCTGCCAAGCACTAAAATACGGAGAGCGCACAGCCAATGGAACAGCCGCGGGCCAAAATGTTTGAGCAGATGAAACACCCTTAGTCGAGATCCCTAAAAAGAGAACAGAAAGGAGGAGAAGGTATGGGACGCCTCGTATCATAATCGCCATGAATACGAAGGGGATGGGTGAAGGTCAAAGACAAGAAGGTCATGTGGGGATCAGGCTCCACCGGCTGTCCGCATTATATGTCGGATCTCGTAAGAGCTAGTAGCGTTGATTTGAAACTTTGATTGTAGCAGTCAAGTCGACAGCTGAGCGCTGTCAACCGATAAGTTGTCATGGGCCTTCGAGCGCATGTATGCCCTACATCGCCTTTGAAGCTCTGGACGGGTTGGTAGGAAGAGTCCCGGATCACTACGTTGGCATCATAGGCGCAACCGCAGATATGAGTGGAACTTACTGAAGTCAAGAGTGTCAGGTTCAACCGTGGACGCGGTAGCCCTGAAAGGCTAATACAGGCTGACCGCCCATCGCACAGCCTTCGACTACTATGCAAAGGTGTCACTTAGCGACTTATTGAGTTTAGTGGGATTAAGTAGACGCTATGGGCCAGGCGACTAAAATTGCTGTCATGCAGCGCTTGCTTAGTTTGCATGCTTGCTTGCAACGCACATCGATGGAATGCATTGATAGTCAGTCACATGCGAGACCTCAAAATGTGCCAGGATATGGCCCTTGACGTCTGCATAGCCACGGCGTGAGACAGGCTCAGCCTCAGACAGCGGCGGGTGGCCCAAAGCTTTGGAGTTTGGCAAAGGCTACGGAACCATAGCCACTGCGTGTTTACTACCGGTAGGGCTATTGAGGGAGTACGAGAAGAAAGCAATGCCAGCACTTATATGCCATATGACGAACTTTGTAGATTCAGGAGCATGAAATTTGACATCGCGCCTTATCGCGCCGCCGGCCGTCATCAGCGTGGTTTCAGGTCAGACAAGGATATCCGGAGCGGGAGTCCCACGGAGATTGAAGGAATCGTCTTCTCTGCCCACGGAAGATGTCTGCTGCAATTAGCGCTCAGCACAACTTTTTGCCATAGATTTAATTATTTTGGATCACACTTTGGGATATAAATCTACCTCATTGTTGCAAAGATCACACCTTAGAATGCATTTGCAACGATGCTGCAGTGGGTACTATGCTGCTATCGATCAAGAATGGCTCGTGTATACGCTGTGGGAAGTTCGTTCATTATCAGCTACTACAAGTACGCGCTCTAGTACACTTCGTTTCGCATTTCTTTGGCTCCGCGCCACGTCAGCCCTCCCTCACGACTTCCTCAACCGCCTCCTTAAAGATCTGGCAGCCCTTCGCCAAGTCCTCTTTCGAAATATTTAGCGCAGGGATGAATCGGATCACCTCGTACACGCTCGTAGTCAGAATGAGCATGCCCTTCTCCTGGCAGCGCTTCGCCACACGTTTGGCCATGCTCTTCGGTGCAGACGAAACCGTGAAGCGATCGTATGCGCCTGTGCCAGTGGGCGAAGCAAACTCGATCGCGACCATGAGGCCCTTACCACGAATATCGAGGATGTAAGGCGCGAGGGCTGGGTCGGCGCGGAGACTATTCAAAGCTGCGAAGAGTTCCTCGGAGCTGCGCAGGTGAGGTGAGTATGTCGTAATCGATTGACGTGCGGCTTCGCTACGTACCGGACGTTGACGTTTTCTAAAACGTTCTCCTCCTTGAAGGCATCTGCAACGGCTACCGCCGCTGCACATGCGACTGCATTACCAGCATACGTTCCACCCTACACACACAGCTGAGTATAGAATAGCATGGCTCACGATTTTGTATAGACTTACCATGGAGCCAACCTTCAACTTGTCTGTAAGCTCCTTTCGAGCAATTATACCGCTCAGCGGTAAGCCATTCGCAAGGCCCTGATCCGGCCACCATCAGCACACCTCTATCCAGGTGCGTCGCAGACGCTCACCTTAGCAATAGTCATGATATCTGGCCTAACACCCGAGTGCTCAATCGCAAACATCTTGCCTGTGCGTCCAAACCCTGACTGCACCTCATCGATGATGAGCATGATGCCCTCCCTGTCGCACACCTCGCGGAGGCCGCGCAGGAATTCGGGCGGCGCAGGCACGTATCCACCCTCGCCCAGGACCGGCTCGATGAGGATCGCAGCGGTGTCGCGCGGCGCGCTCTGCTGCACGAGCAGGAGGTGCAGCTGCTCGAGACAATGTGCAGAGAGCTCGCTGGCGGAGGTAGAGGACGGTCGGCCGCATTGATGCCAGAAGGGATAGGGGAGCGTAAATACGCCGGGCTGGGAGAGGGGGGATGAGGGTGGGGGGACGAGTAAGCTGTGTCTCATTGATGACAAGTGAGAACTACGCTCACCATAAGAGGAAGGACTCCTTCACTGTAAACCGTCTTGCTCTTTGTCACAGCCATCGCGCCAAATGTGCGCCCATGGTACCCGCCTGTACAATCGACAAGTTGAGCGGTCAGATTCAAGGCGACCATATTTCGGGACTAACCCTGCATAGCAATAATATTCTGACGACCGGTAGCCGTTCGCGCAATTTTGATTGCAGCCTCGATAGCTTCGGAGCCGGAATTCCATAGGAAGAATGAATCAAGCGAGGGATCCGGCATCAATGGTACAAGCCTTTTGATGAGTTCGATGTATGGAGCATGCCAGGCGATGCTACACTGTTACATTGATAGAGTCAGTCAAGCATAAGAAATAAGCAACAAAGAGACCGCATATAGCGACTGGACATAGCAGTAGGCTTACACACCTGCACGTGAACTATATTCATGCACTGTTCAGCGGCTGCTTTGCTGACCTTCGGATGAGAGTGGCCTATCAGAACAGACCGCATATAGCTGTCAGAAATTTCGCACGATTCGTGAGGAACGACGACGCATACCGAGATTTGTTACCCCAATGCCGCTTGTAAAGTCGAGCATTTCCTGGCCATTCTCCAGGGTTACATACGAGCCCGAACCCTTCGTCACGACAGCATCTAAGCCGTGTCCTAGACCCTTCGTGACATACTTCTGCCCATACTGAACAAGTTCGGAGGGAGTTGAAACGGACGCCATGCTTCTGCGCTGCTGAGAATTTCTAGTTGCGTTGATCGGCGAGGGACGGGAAGACAGTGCTGCAGTACACTGTTTGGAGGCGATCGCGGAGCTGGAAGAGAGGACCCGAGAAATAAGTGAGCGTTGAGACATGACTTTGGCAATGGGGGCGAGATGGTGAAGAGGCGATACCGACGCCGGACATAGCGCGGCCTTTTTGTGCTTCCGGAGGGGTATACAGGACAAGACAAATCAGACATCGGGCACATATGCAGTGCCATTCAGTACGCTTCTCCGGCGTAGCGGCGGACGTGTGATTTGCCGTCCACCGCAGCGAACACTGTGGCCAAATGACGACACACTGCCTTCCGATCTCGCCTTCAATACAAACGAGCATCCAGGAGGAGCAATGATGCTCAATATCAGGTGATTGGCAGCGATCGAAGAGAAGTCAAGGTGTGATATGCGAATTACGAGGTCCGAACGAATGGGGCTTCCGCCGAAGCGTGACCCAGCTGCCATATATACGACGCTGTGGAAAGTCAACACAGTGTAAGACTGGTGCCTTGGCGGCCAGAAACCCACGCGCTGTCAAATATCCTCCCGCAAGTAGGATGTCTGTGAAGGATTGCGCACAGGCACGTCGGTGCGTTGAACGTAACATGCAGATGAGCGCCGCTCCCTCCGTAATGGACGGAGAATCACATCCCGCGGGGGTAAATGCACGCGGTTCGTGATTATTCGCGTTGCTGTGGTCGCATAGCCCGTCTTCTATCAGACCACAGACAGGGGCAATCCCAAGACGAGTACGAGATCCGCTTGGAGACACACCTTGAAGCAGCACTAGACAACTTTGCGCTGTGACGAACGGAAGAACGAAAGAGGATGCTGCTCGATGTACGAGGAGAGGCAAGGAACATAGCAGTGGAGAGCGAGACGGGGCGATGCGGACATATTTGAGGTCGAGGAGCGATTGCGGGTGACTCTGCGTCTAGGAACTGGCCGCATGCGATCCGAGCGACCCACCGATCGTTTTGGCAATTCGCTTAGCGGTCGCGTGACGAAATGCTGTGATGTGACGTAACAGGCGTTTAGTGCTTTGTGGCTGAAACGTTCCTCGCACGGCCTGCCACTATGCTCGTACGGCTCTCGAGACTCGCACTGACTGAGTGACTTTCAGGTCTTCTGCACTTCACAGTGCCTCGCCTTGCTATTACAGCATGACATGAATGACCCCATCTACTGCTCATATGTTACCAGCTCCTTTTGGCTGACGCGTCATGGGGTGCCACTTCGCAGGCGCTGACAGCCTGGAGGGCGGGGTAGAGCGGGTATAGGCTGCGCAGGTGCGCATCGCATTCCATGAATTATACAATAGCTTGCCACGCAAACCACCACGATGTTGGTCATGTACCTTGTGTTAGCGTACAAGCTCATCTATGAGGATTTGATTTCGCGCTGTTCTCAATTCAACATCATGATGCAGCATTGTAACACGCCCATCTCCTGACATTGATTCTCCCGGTTTTTTGACGTCCTGTCGTCGCTGAGCGCGGCAGCGAGGCCATCACGGAGTGTTCGCCATCAGCCACCTGCCGCCTCCAATTGTCACTCGTCACGCTACCGCTAGATCGGTGTGATCGATAGTCAAATACGCAACCGACGGTACACACGACGGGCTAGCCGACCAGGAACATAGCCGAGAGTTGTTCTGCTATTTCTGCTGCCCGCTGCTATCATAGCCTTCTCCGCAATCGGCAAGCAAGCGATGCGCCCTTCGCTATGCCTGGGTTCTCGCTTAGCCTCGGCTAGCCATCTAACTTTATGCTTGTCACCGGTCAGCCTTCCCGCGTAGCCCTGCGCTACGCGCACATGCCGCTTCATTTCGCCTCTCATCTACCGCAGTGAATGGATCGATCGACGAAAAATGTCTTTCTTGTTCAACACAACGTTCGCCCGCTGTCTATAGAATGAATTGAAGGGTTCAGGTCGAGCGGTGTGTTCGTGGAGCCATTCGTATCTCAATTCACTATGTTTCGGCTAGTATATTTGTAATGACCCGCATGACCTATCGAGCAGAGTCTTTGCCGCTGCACGACGACCAAGCCTCCGCCACGCATACAGCCGCCTTGCGGTTCAGCGCAAATGCACTCGCGTTGCGCGAGTAATAAGCTGTGCTGCAGCCATGCCGTTATTGTCTGTCGGCTACGGCCTTCTGAAAACCCGGAGAGCAATTTATGACAGTTGAGTCATATGAACTTGCGATAACATCCTTGCTGCCTGACGACAGGGGATATGTACAGTCGAGGCCTATTGTCACTGCAGATACCGCCATGGCGAAAAGCCAAGTCGTTTCCGCTTTTGCACTGTGGGCGATCCGCCAAGGGCAAGGGCTAAAGCTAAACGCTCATTGGTGAGTGGAGTCATATGCTACTAGATGCCGCACTGTTGGGACTTGGAAGAAGGCATGTGAGCGCTCAGTCATCCTCTTTCCATGCAGACAGTCCGCGGAGTGCAATGACACTAGATATGTCGTATTTTAGCACGGATTCAAGGTGTAATCTGGTCCGGTAAATTCACTTACCAGTCGAGCTGGTCTACTTGCCCAAGTGGTGCTAAAGTGTTCACTAGCAGCATCCAATATAGTTCAAGCCAGATACATATTTTGAATTTATCTTCAGCATCGTGTCGTCCTCAGTTCGCTAGAAAGAAATTTACAACGAGATTCCGTCACATTTCGGTCGTTATGACATCTGTCGACACAATGACAGATTTCCTGTATTGTTATATATGGCGGCTTCATCGAAGCAAAAAATATATTCACCTGGTTTATTGCGTATTATGCCGTGATGCACAATATGACGATGTCCGAAAAGGTGTGGTGAACGCCCGATTGGTGGACGCGGTGGCCGAATATGGCAATGACGCTGCCCGATCTGGTATGTCTGCGGACGATGATGTCACGAGTGCCATCTACCCCACGTCTCGCGGGGTGTCACCAGAACATCTGCACACATATAAAGAGAATCTTTGCCTTGGTGACACCAGATTACATCTTCTTCCCCATTTTCATCCTCTCCTAGAAACTCTATTACTCGATTTCAGCGCCGACGTCATTATGGCCAACAAGGAACTCGACCCTTACACAGCAAAGGCGCAGAACAACAACGCTACGCCGCAGGAGAAGATCGAGGGCCTCCACACCATCGTAAAGGCCGTCAAAACCGGCATGCTCACGACGCGCACCGCGGACGGCAGTCTGCATGCTCGTGCAATGGCACCTGTCGGGCGTGAGCACTTGGCCTGACGCGCATATATCGACCGAAGCTGACATTATCGTGTCTTCTCATGCAGCGTACAGCCGTACAGAGGTCACACTCGTCTTCGTTGCTAATCGCGCGTCAGCCAAGTTTGATGAGATTGAGAACGATGCGCATGTGAATGTTTCTTTCTACGACCAGTCCACGACCAACTGGGCCTCGTATGCGGGGATTGCGAAGATCAGCCAGGATAGGGAGAAGATCGCGAAACATTGGAGCCCTGCGTGAGCGATCAACGCATCATATTCAAGTTCCTCTGCTGGCACTTACTCATCAAACGCAGGACTGCAGCATGGTTCGGCGACCTTGGCGACGGTGTACATAAGGGCGACCAGCACGACCCACGGGTTGCGGTGATTGAAGTCATCCCTACAGAGATAAGATACTGGATCGCGACGCAGGGAACGTTGGGACGTGCCGTGGAGGTTGCGGTGGGCGCTGTGACTGGGAAGGCTGCAGCACCAGGTGAACTCCGGACAATCACAAAGGCCGAGGTATGTATTGTACCTCGACAAACCCAGAACAGACGCTGATTGCACGGATGGCTGTGCAGATTGAGTTGTTCCAAGGGCTGCAGTCGAGGCAGTAGACGGCAAGCCGGTATTACGATTAGCATGCAGCCTTTAGCTGTTGTACAACAGTTCTTCCAAAAGTCTGTTTGTGCGTTTCATGATCAGCACAGCGTCCTGCACTGAGAAGAGGTCCGAGGAAGTCGAGAAGAAAGAGACAGCTCTTCGCCGCGGCTGTCTTTAGTATCACGTGCGACAAATTCCACCGCCACTGGCAGATGGCGCTTCGACTTTCTCCTCTACCCCAGCGGTGGTTCCTCTGACATCCAACAGCTAGCCAGTCTTCCGGAGATTGTATTATGTGGATCAATCGCTTGCTTGCTGCTTCACTACTCTGCGAAGAATGTGCTTCAATTCCCATGGCCGCTGATCCCTACCTAACCGCTATGTTCTGCTGCACCTGCCCGTGACAGGCTTCAAGTACTTACAGCATGGCGAAAGATGAAATGTTTGAACGCAGTTGCATGTCTATGGCAACAATGTTAATCGGTAACAGTGCAGTCATGCACAATGCAGAGAAATCGCGGCGCTTCCCTGGTTACGCTTATCGGCACCACTGCTCAGACCACGTTCAAATGGCTCATTGAAGGTTCTCAGCTGTGTTGGAAGACGCATAATGTTCAGGAATATGGCTTCCAGTGGACATAATGAGTATCCACTGTCCGATCGCTCATACAGCATTTCGTGTGAGTCCAACAGACTTGATCGCAACGCTCACAACGCTTGACATCTGAGGCGCAGGTTCCCTCCTTTTCGTCGGCCAATTCAATACTCCCATCGCCTCGCAATGTCCCGCGCATACGATGCGTCTTCCGAGATATTCTCCCTTTACTCGCACCCTATGACGCGGGCAAGCTCGGTCACCGATGATTCCGACCCTCTGGTGACGCCCATGGATGAAGCTACCATTATCCAAGGTTCAAAGTCCAACTTTTCTGGAGGGAAGACTTCTGGCGATTTTGTCCGCGTCCGATCGCTTAGTCCCGAGCCATCACGATGCCTCCCCAGGGAGACGCGCCTCGAAGTGCTTCATGAGGTCGGCGAGCCGGATATGGAGCCTTATGGACCATATTTCTCCCTTCCACGCGACCCGACGTCTACTTCGAGCGGCCTTACACGACGGCGGACGACCAAGGAGCTGATTGGGCGGTTTGAGTCGATGACGCCTGGCGCAGAGACGAGATCGACCGACCCTAGGACACTGGAGCAGAAGGCCCGCCCTGGTGCATATCCTGCGATTGAGAAGAAGGAGAAGGGCCGCTCGCCTCTCCGCCAGTCTATCCGTAACATTCTTTCCGTGTTCAGGAAGAAGTCCTCTGTCAGCTATACACGTCCTGCGATTTCTGAGCAAGTGGATGTTTTCTCGTCGATACCAGTGGATTCATCGTCTCGATATCCTCCGTTCGTGCAGACATCCAAGCCGGAACGAATTGATGACTCGACGAACTTTAGCATCTGCACCACTCCGTTAGAACCGGCACATGCGCGTCATTCTGGCTCTCTTCTCCATCTATCGCCATCCGCTTCTCCCGATATGCATCCAGTGTGGACGAACTGCAACGTTACGCTTCATTCGACTCACATCCTCCTTACGTGGCATACGCATCACGGCAACCCACACACAAACGTCATCTCATTCAAGGCCTGTGTGGATGTTCGGTCTCTGACTCAGCTTGACTTGGACCCGAATGAAAGAGCTCTGTTACCATCGGATGCAGGAGAAATGAAATTGTTCGAATTGTTGTTCGAGGGCAGACCCCGGGAGACGTTCGCGGCAAAGTCTGTCCATGAGAGAGCAACGTGGGTCAGCAAAATATGGTATGCTTCAGAATGCTGTCTTTACATAGACTCCATGTACTAAACGTATATCAGGGATGCGATTCTACAAGCACAAGAAGAGAGGACAGAAGCTTCAAGTATGGCTGCCGCCCAAATCATGTCAGAGATCAACGCAGCCGCAGACAACCTACCTGTCACTCCATATCGCCAGAATATCCATTTATCAGTTTGTGAAACACCAGCGGCCACTCCCTCGTCGAAGCTGAACGTCAACCGTGCTCTACCTAGCATTCCAACTACCACATCAGACAGCCCAGCTCCGCGGCTTTCATTACAGATTCCATCCAGTACACGTTCCTCTCCATCTCCTGCGCTTTCTCCGCTTCCAAGGCCGCCGACGACTCCGACCAGGCCGTCTTCTCTGCTTTCGCCTTCGACACCGACAAGAACGCAGAGTCCCTCGATCCGGAATCTCGATCAGCGCTCGATGGTCAAGCAGCTTCTGGCACAGCTCGAGAGAGGGGAATCACCCTCTTCTCCTGTGCGTTCCTCTCCTGCCTCCATCGGATCTCCTACTCCTATGCGTGCTCGAAACGCAGCGGACACAGGATCGACTAATCCTTGCGCAAGTCCCGCTTCGAGCGTGGGTGCCTCTTCGATACTTGATTCGTATGGCGGGCCGCGTGTTACGTCATCTCTCTCAGCATATTCGGATCGCTTGACATCTGCACCGTACAGTCCGCGTCCGCTCTCAGCGAATTCAGATCGTTTAACGTCGGAGCCTTCTAGCGCAAGGACGCCGACAGCTTCCAATGAACGTTGGAGGCCGGCGATGAAGCAATCCACTCTACATGAACCTTCCGCTCTTGATACGACTGTCATATCGCCCGCTTCCAGGTATTCCACGGACGATACTTCCCAGATCGGCCCGCCTACATCAGCAGATCTCCCTGCATCCGTTCTGCAGGAAGCTGATCCGCAACCTAGTCGTCGTCCTATCATAAGGTTAGATACGGACACCAGCGCGTGGAAGCCGCCTGTGGTACTTCGTGACGAGCCGCCAAACCCGCATCCGGATCCGATAAACATCGAGCTGCAGAGCATGGTAAAGGCTGTAGGACAGTCCGTGAGCCACCTTCGAGGACAATCCGAGGTTGATGGCACTACCATAAAGGATATACGTCTTAGGGTGAACCAGATCCTGGAGGAGATCCGACGTAGACCCGCGCAAGATGTGCAACCCACGGTGGATTTGTCTAGCATCACGGAGCAGCTGGAGACGTTGCGTTCAGAGTTGCGGACTGTTCAACAAGCAGCTCCGTCAGCTGCCGCTGAGCCTGCCGGGTTGTCAGATATGCACGCGAAGATGGATAAGCTGATTGCGTTCTATGACAACCTAGAGGGCAGTCATAGTCTCTCTTCTCAGAGAGAGGAGCCAAGCGCAGAAATAAACCAACAAGTTTGTCTTGTCATGCTCGACTGTCGCTGTCTGTCTCACCAGCATTCTCTGCAGATTGAAGAAATTTTGTTACTATTACAGAATGCGCAAGATCAATGGGCAAAGCAGAACGAGCAGCAGACAGACAGTGTACGATACCTCAATGAGTTGAACACTGTAAGACATGTTGCGGCAGATGATTGAGATGTCGTACTGACAATTCGCAGTGGCTCGAAGCCTTCGTCAACCACGGAACTTCCCACATCGAGAGCGTCGCCGCGGGCATCCAGCAGCTGTGTAAGGACCTCGGTCCCATACCAGAGCTGGCAGAATCTGCCGAAGGCGAAGAGCCGCGATCGTCAGGCACCCTCCTGGGAGATATCCGCAGGCTGCTGATCGAGAACCAGAGTCGTGAAGAGCAGTCTACGGCGTTGCATGCGTCCGTCAATGGGTTAATCGCTGCTGTTCAGGAAGACCTACGCAAGAACGCAGAGGCTCGAAATATGCTTAGTATGTGTCATGTCAATGCTCTTCCCATTTGATCGCAGGACTGAAACTCATTCCCAGCAACTGAATCTGTGGTTGGCCTTATAGATAGGCAGAGGCAGGATCATGAACGGATGTTGCGTACTCTTGGCACTGGTAAGTCGATCACAGTAAGTCGTTTTATGTGGACATGTCTGATAGATCATTGCTAGAGCTTTCCAACGAGATCCGTGGGGAACGGTTGAGGTTCGTGGAAGCGATGAAAGAAGCTACCGCCATCAACGTACAAAGTTAGTCAGCCCAATAAGGTACATGACTCCTTGACTGACCGTAGCGTTGCTCTTAGTCCATGTCGAGGAGTTTAAGAAAGAGCTGACCAGAGAAGTCCTCCTGATGACGCAAGAGGTTGGCCGATTGCAGCGAGAACGTCAGGGACTAGAGCAGCAGATCGCAGATCTGTTCGCATTTTACGCCAAACAGAAACAAGTTGGCGCGGTCTGTGTTTGACTTGACATTCACGTTGAGAGGTGTATTGATTGGAGACGTGTCTTGATCTAGCTCCTGCAATCCTCGACGCGGCAAAATATGCAGGGTCAGCCTCGTCATCAACAGCTGCAACTCGCACCTCCCATATCTGGAGGACCGCCTCCTGCAGGAGGAAGGCGACCATTGCCTAGTCCTACAACAGCATCGAGGCCGGCATCTTCATTCACATGAGATGGAGAAGAGAATATGAATCTGATGTGGTCATAGTGACTTCGTGGTAGTCTTGATGATTCTGTGGTGATTTTAGCAGAGAGCCCACTATGACACTGCAGTTCTTGTCCTTGCCCGCTGTTGTAAATTGCGAAGCACGACTATACGATGCGCGACGCGCATATATCAGGGACGCGATGCTCATGTGACCGTGTCATCAGCACCCGGCATCATCCGGACCAGCGAACGCCCGTGCGAGCTCATCGTCCCGCACAGTCCGCACAGTCTTTGAATCCATGTCTGCGCTTCGCCTTGTGTCGTCTGCTGCCCGGAGGGCGCCCAAGACGTTTGCGTCTGGTCGTCGCGGCTATGCGGAGGCCGCTGACAAGATCAAGCTCTCCTTGGTCTTGCCTCACCAAGTGTGTCGGGATCTGTTCTTAATGCCGCTTTCCGGAGACTGATGCACGCAATGTAGTCCATCTTCACCTCGACAGAAGTCGTGCAGGTGAACCTCCCTGCTGCAACTGGAGACATGGGTGTTCTCGCGAACCACGTTCCGTCCATCGAGCCTCTTCGTCCTGGTGTCGTTGAGGTCGTTGAGCCGGGCAATGCGTCAAAAAAGTGGTTTGGTGCGCACGCCGTATCCTCACACTGTGTGTCTGCCTCATTTATATCTACAGTGTCTGGCGGGTTTGCCACTGTGCATCCCAACAATAAACTGACCATTAATGCGGTGGAGGCTGCACCGTTGGCGGACTTCTCGCCTGAGGTGCGTTCTGAAAGTATATTTTGGACCTTCCTAGTATCTGATGCATGCTATTGTAGGCCGTTCGTGCTAATCTGCACGAGGCGTTGAAGGTTGCTTCTGGTAATGGTTCAGAAGAGGATAAGATGGAGGCTCGCATCGAGGCGGATGTGTACGAGGCGCTGCAGTACGCACTGGGCTCCAAGTAAATTCACATCAATGAATCCATGGTGTATTACTGCGACGTGTAACCGTGTGATGTCCTGACCACCGTACTCCTTCCTTCGACCCAAGACGTGTCCGAGTCCACTCGCCGCACCTGTTCGCTCGCACTGATTTCGTCGGAATATGCCGAGACGAGCGTCTCTATCTTTTTCGCGGAGTCTTCGTGTGCGTATTCCTCCGTCATTACTTCCACGCCTTGTGTGAACTGCCTGCTAGAAGCTTGCGCAATTGAAGGCCAGACCGACTGGAGCTTTTCGCGCAATTCCGATCATCACCAATACTAGCGTCTACGCGATAACACATTTACCCTTCCTCGCTCACCCTGCAATTACCCGCTGGTGTGCTGCGCCATTTATACCCGTATTACAATGCTCAGGTTACCATTGACCTTGGACGATGTCGATCTTCTACTAGATGAGCCGTTCCTGACTCAGTTCTGCCTCCGCAAGGAGGCAAGCAGCAGTAGAAGTCGCGGCGTGATCGATTGGAACAAGAGAATGGAGAACGAGCTAGGGCCAGACGATGTGAGTACAATATAAGAATATATCCACTCGATGCGTTCATTTACGATATATAACGTTCTATTCAGCGCATTGCAGCTCGAAAATGGCTGGAATTCGCGTTTGCGATCCAATCCGATGACTTCCAGGATCGACAGCAGATATCAGTCGAAAATGGGGGCCTTGCAATATTCATCGAGTTTTACTGGCGTCTCGCTCAAGGAAGTAGATCGGACGCAATCTGCTATCTCAATAAAGAACGCCGCAATAGGAATTTCGCGTATTTGATCACATCCAACACCTTGAGAGGCCAACATATCAATAGCGCCGCCTTGGGGGCATTGCGGTCAGATAGCCGGCCCAAAGAGAGAAAACAGAAGAAGCCGAAGAAGCATAAGCGAGCACGCGTCGATTTCACAGATCCCTCTGATGGCGAGGTCAGTCAGGCTGAAGGTGATTCTCAATCCTCAAGGTACTTTCGAAGTAAACAGTTACGTAACATCGTTTGCAAAAATGTTTCAGCCGCTCAAGAGCTTTCAATGAGCATTGAGAATCATTCCAACGAGCCTCAAGATGGTGAGGGATTTATCGGTTGGCATTCGTAATCGTTCAGCGCTGATGCGTCGGGCAAGATGCACTATCAGACCGGAAATTTGTCGTTCAAGATACCCCAACCACTGCCACTGCGGAACAGCCGTTTCTTCCGATCTCTCAAACTGGCCAGTCAAGCTGCTTGACAATTATTGGCAGCAAGCGTAAACACACTGATGCTACTGGTTCGCCGTCGTCGTGGTGTCCACCATCTGATCATGAGGCGCCATCATCTCTTGCTCCTGGCCGCTTGGAGTCAGTTCCCGATGTCATTGACAGTGATTCTTCATCACTGACAGAATTGACGAGCAAAGATGCTTCTTTGGAAGCCGACACGCCCGCAAATCAACTCGGCGATGTGCGATATGCCAATTCGAAAGCTCCTAGGAGACGACTGTCCAGCAGACTCGCCGCGCATAAGGACAGACTCTCGGTATTAGCCAAAGACATGAACATGTTCGAATTTGAAAGTCGTTATGATCAAATCGGAGTAGAAGCGCAGGACAATTCGCCCAGGGCTTCTATCAAAGTTCCTGTGCGCCAGCCGATGCACGGCAAGGAAAAGTCTGGAACGCTCAGGAAGAAGACATCTAAGTCCATTGCCAAAGACCCGCGTCCCTCTGAGGCCCTCCCGGCTATCGCTAAGGCACAACTCGTACTTGTGTCTACTCAACAATCAGTCGTAGAAAGCGGGGAACAAGAAAGCATGGTTAGCCAGCTGCAGAGCAACATTGGACGTGAAGCGCCTCGTGGAATGTCTGCAGCTACCACTCAGCAGTCGTCATCTCGATCACGCAACAAACGAACGCTCGGGAGGATTCATAAGAATGACCCACAGCGTGCAAAGAACGGGAGGTTCCAAACATCAGACCGAGGCAACAAGAAGCAAATGAAAGAGTCACTCCCAAGCCGGGATGCGAAGCGACGGCGCGGTGACAGTGACGTTATGGGTGGTGAATTGGCTTCTGCATTGACGAGCGCAGCAGGAGTACAGAAACAAACGCGCGGCATGCAGCGCGTCTCTTCGGAGCAGTACCTCAACGAGACCCATTCCGTACGTCATTCATTCCTACTCCGCCATCACTCCATTTAATTGAACATCTTTCAGACGGGCTCTGCTCGACCTGTTGTGTCTGTTCAACAAGCCAACCAGAATGATCTGGAGCATGTACTACCTCAAGCCACGCCCGATCACCGTGCCAGTACGACGCGCAAGCGCGATCGAGTCGTATTCGATACTGCGAATTCGGAGAAAGTTCCTGATAAATCCTCCGCTTCCAGCACCCCGCGTCAAACTGTGAAGCTACCAATTCGCCGTCTAGGCCGTCCAATCGCAGCCCGAGTGCACGATGTATCGACTCCGTCCGCGCTAGGGCAACCCGCCACGTTTTCCGACTTTGACGGGATTATCAGAGATGCTGCAACGGAAGAGATTCTGCGTATGGACGCGCCGGGCATGGCAACAAGCGATTGGGAAGATGCCGACGAGAATGGCGCACAAGGTTTGCCACCCGACTCGAGCGAAGATTACACTCCCTTGAGCAAAATCGCCGCTTTCAGAGAGTCGAGTACGCGCACCTTTGCCGATCCGGGCAGCGCAAACGTATACGTTGAAGGTGGACCATATTTTATCGTTAGCGACAACGTGGAGACTCTTCGAAGCGATTCTTCTCGCAGTGCAACAGCCGTCGAAAATGATCACCGACCGTCCAAACTCGAAACAGCGCCAGAGTATCTCCGGCAGTCCTTTGCGCCTCCCGCAGCTGCAGCGCTTTACGTGTCTGATACTCATGGCGATGCTCCGCGACCTCGCTTACACGTGAAACCGCCAATTTGGGCAGAGGTCTGTTTAGGTTTGATATCCACGCGATATCATATTGATGCGCTATCCAGTCGAGACAAGAGGTCTGTGAGTCCTTCGACTGGTTTAGGAGTTATCAAGGTGGCGTATACTACATAAGAGACATGGTGAAGGGTTACCTATTGAGTGCATTCTCCTCAAGGTACGTCTCTCGTTGGCTTGAAAACAGGGTGGAGCTCACACGTTTTAAGTCGCGATGTCTTCGCCCACAAGGGCCGCCTTATCGTATCGCATGGGTTCGTGCACTATCTGTCTGAACTACCTGTGCTGATCTCTTAGATTAAACCGATCAGTGGCGGTAGGGCAGAAAGCTTGCATACAAAGGACGGGGCCAGTCAAGCGCAAGAAGCGGATGACCAACAAGCGCAGGACAAATCCGTGCGCGCCCTGTTGAACACACATCGTCTAGGTCGCCCCATTGCTCTCTTGGTGGATGACAAATATAGCTTGTTTCCATACGATTTGGCTGGGGACCGGTATACCTATGTTGTGCTTGGGTTTTATCGTATCGCACATGCATGGGGTAAGTTGCACCGATAGGCGAGGGTTCTCTCCGTTGATGAATCTATTGTAGCTGAGCGACAACCGGCAAGTAACGCGCGAGGGTATGTAGTTCGATACAAATTCGCTTTCCAATGGTGTGAAGAGCAAGGTACTCCTTGGTGGTTGACAGCGCATAGCTCGGGACAAGGTGACGTGTACTGGTATCTCACATTGGACCGCCAGACTGAGGGTTGTTCAGAAGCTTGTGATGTTACAACCTCAGCCGAAGACCATGACCCCGCTGCTGCTACAGACATGTCAGTCAGACTCAACCCACCATGGTACGAGTCCTGGTTCGTCTTGTGCCTGCTGTTGCTGAAAGTGGCGATGATAGCTGCTCAGAGAATGATCTTATCGCATTCATGTGTCGATTCTGTCGAAAAACATCACCGATGATTTACGTTCAAGATTGGATCTGCTTGTCACCAGAGTGTGAAGCTTTCTGGCGGACATCTCAAGGCGACCACCCTCCAGCAGATCTGCAATATTCCGCGGACTTTCTTCAGTTGCTGCACTTCGCCCCGGAAAAAATGGAGCAGCTCAGGCCTCCTTTACCTGTGACGAGAGTGCAAGGTGGTATTACCACGAGTCGTATCTTTTGCAAGGGGTGGCATTGCGTCAAATGTGGACGTCTATCTAGCAGGTCATTTCTTGATTGTCTTGCTTGAACTTAGCTCGCTCATCGTATGATAAATAGGTATATGTGGGAGCACTGGTCGTGCAGATATTGTGGAGTACAAATCATGCTCCTGAGATTGCCTATGACTTGATTCACAACTGATACAGGAGACACACGCGATTCCCGGACGAATCAGGCAGCCGAATGAATTCTGGCGTCAAGGAACGCCAAAGTTCCACACTCATTGGGTCGCACCAGATTCTGGTGAGTTCAACATCTCTATAAAGCATAACCTGCTTCAACTGGCTTTCAGGAATCGTAGTAGCCCAGAACAGGTTCTTCAAGACGGGAAATTCCTTCAGTATGGTACACACGTACCTACTTCCGCATTCCCGGTCGGTAACTCCCTACATCCTCCTCTCCCCCAATTAACAGCGCTGAGATGCCTTGCAGCGGACGAATCTATTTGATCGTCGGCAAGATCCCGATCAATGCAGACGCCGATGAAATATTCCGAGAGTATCAAGAACAAGCGGCAAGTGGCAAGCTTCTCTTCCGAAGATGGCCATTACGAGCTGTATGTACCCAGACCGCTGATTTTCGATCTTCTTGGACTGAATTTCATTCAGCACAAATGTACGATCATTTGTCTCTTTTGTCGTACATATGCATACGTGTAGAGTTCGTCACAGGCAGAGGTACACTATTGACAAATTATTTCTCACAGAATTGTAAGTCACAAATATTCTATTCTCCACTGATGCTAACACTTGCAATTGCGCATAGGCGGCGAACCATACCAGGTACGAGGTGTCGCTCAGGCGTATGATCAATCTCGCTAACCGTGCATAGTATGTCGGAGGAACAGACCACACGGTCCCTTGGGAGCATGCACCGAGTGCTGTTTGCAAAGCTCGCGATCTCATCAACCAACGTATCAAAGAAGCTCTCAATGACGAATATGGGTTCAACGAGGTCCTCAGTGCAGCATATATGGAGAAACAGAGCATGGCAGTGAGTGATAGCTCACCCCAGCCTGCCCATCATTGCTTAACGGAGCAATGATAGTTCCACACTGACAACGAGGTAGGATTGGGCCCTACCGTTGCATCGTTGTCGTTGGGGTCGTGTGCAAAGATGCACTTCCGTCTACTTAGTCGTTACACGGAAGGCACCGGGAATGGCCTCAGCAGGAATGCGCTTACTCTGTGCCTCCGTCATGTAAGCCTAAGGTCCATCGTTCATGCCCCCCTTTAGCTGATAACGTTCCAGGGAGATATTCTTGTGATGGAAGGCGCCGGCGTGCAGACATATTATGAGTGAGTTGTCGAATTTGACTGGGCCAGTCAGCGAAGTTGACAGTCGACGAGGCATACTGTTGTACCGATGAACTTCCGCATCGCCGCAACTGCACGTTCCATCGATAATAGTGGCCAGGTGGCAAATTCTGCATCTCTTCGATCGCCACGTTAGTCATCCGCCTTTTGCGCTGCTCGCTCAGTTATTCTTGAGATCTCGCAAAATTTGTTGCTCGCTATATTTTGGTCAACTCTTCTACATCGAGATCGACAGGCCTAGGTAGTTTCTATGACAATGATTAGAGACTCCAATACGCCGCTGCAAGTGTGTTTTCCCGCATTATCCGGAACCGCAACTGCCGGCAATTTCCTTCTGAACGTTCATGAATCCCTGAGGGTATCTTCCACGGGATCTTCACCAGCACGAGGACTTGAGATGCTCTCCTTGATAGGCTCTTCCGCGTCAGATTTCGGTGGCGAAAACCTTTCATGACTGTCGACGATTTCTTCCTGCACTTTCTTCTTGAAACCCAGAAAATATTTTTCTCGGAAATCTTTGTGCGCGGGAACATGCATTGAGCCCTCTTCAACAAGATCCTTTGACGCAAATTTCGGTTGTAAATACCGTTCGGTAGTAACTTTGCGGATAGTGATCAGCTGTAAAGGATTTTGAGTACGATGAACGACATGAAAAGATCCCTGCACGCACTCTCCTGCCCCAAGAACCAAAATTTTGCAGTGAGTTTGAGATAACCTCCATGCCGTCGCACATCATTGTCTGTACGTCCAACTCCTCGTACTCATCAGTCACAGTAGGTAGGAAGAAGACAAGTCTGCCATTTGGCTTGAGCATATAACGTGCAAGGACGACCAAGTCTGATGCGAGGGAGGATAGCTCGTAGGGCTTGGTTGGAGGTAAATATGGCTGGTCATCTCTGCGAGGCCATACGAATTAGCACGAGTCAATTGAAAGACGCGACTGCTCACGATCGATTCACGAATGACTGCTTCACCGTCGGTTCTTGCTGTGTCTTACCGGGACGAGCTTTCCTGCCCAAGCGTTTTGCGCCCGCACGGACTCCATCTTTTTGGATCGGTCAGACATGCAATACGTACGTCCAGGAACTAGAATGTACCCACATGGAGGGTCCGTTATTATGGCGTCAAAGAGCTCTCCACATCTCCATGGATTGCGTGTCACATCAAAAGTGCAAAGATCGACAATGCGATCTGCTATTCCGTACTGTTCCGCAGCGCGTATGATTCCAGGCCGCTTGTCTAAGATGCAGATTAAGCTGCAGTAGACTAAGGCTCTTACCTGCTACTCACCTTTTCCTCTCATCTGTCGACCATCAATATCAGAGCCGTACACCAATGCACCGAAATGTGCGGTAGTCTGCAAAGACGCTCTATGTCTGATGACAATCACAGGAAGGTCTGTGTTGGCACTCACATATGCCATGCTTCCTGTGCCGATAAATGGGTCGTATATCAGCTTTCCTGGCGCCGCCTAAGAAGTGGCTCTCGTTTTAGTTCGCGACGGTTTCTGACAAAGTATGACATACAAGGGTTTGATTCGCCATCAGAAGCGATATTTCTGCCTCCATGCTGGTATTTCCGTAATATGTGCGCCCTTTTACGTCGAACTTCTTGACGAGAGGGCGAGCAGAACCCTCCTCTATCTACATGCACCTTCCGTGTTACTCTTCGCATCCTCATTCAAGGAAATAGGATTGCAGAGGTTCGATAGAGCGAACGCACCAACCTGCCTAAGTAGACTTGTCTGAAGTCTCCGTCGCCTTCGCATCTGTCTCTTGTAGTTCCATGTTTGTCGATATCTGCGCATTAAATACATTATTATTTGATGGCGTACACTGCATAATGGGTGTGATTGTTGCGTACATTCCTCATAGACAACCATAATGATCTCAGGGTTCTTCATATCAATCTTGCCCAGGAAGCCCATGTACGAAAAGCTCTCCACAATGTCCTTTTGTCGACTCTGTGGAATTGTGTGATTGTATGCGGTGACGATGAACTTGAACGAAGTATCTTCGATGTAGCGTGACCATGCGTTGCATAGAAGATGATTTTGTTCATGCACTTCTTCGTAAGTCGCGCCTTGAGCATAGAACTCACATAATGATCTATTTGGATGCACGGTGAGCTCGGTATTTTATGAGAAACACTCATGAATTACTTGATGAGGATACATCTCCTCGCTAGAAGTCTCGCATGTTCCTCAGACGCGAGCTCCAGCACCAGAAACGGCCTTGATATGTCGATCTCCTCTGGCAGTGTCAGATCAAACCCATATAGTTCTGCAACGGACCGCAATTCAGGTATTCTGAAATCTGCATGCGCCTGCGCAAAGATGATCAGGTATTTCTGGCCCATCTTCGCCTTGGTCGGCAATTGGTCGGTACTAGACGGTGGCCTGAATGTCAATTCCCAATATGGAAGTGGTTGTTTGGCAAAGGCTTGCCAACCAAACAAACGCCGGCCACAGAGCGGGCCACAACTTCAACGTTATAGCTGTCGGTTCTCGCGTACTCTACTACTATCGCGCTATTGTCGCTGGATGTGCGTGCTTCTGTGATATCATCGTCTTCAGACTAGTCGCCCTTCGCCATTATCATGTCATGGTCATGGTGACGCGCTCATCAGAGCTATTTCCTGTGTTGCTGGCAGTGTTGTCTTCCATCGATTCCGATGGTGGTGAGTCATTCACAATTTCAGCAAATCTTCAGCTATTTTAACTGGAGACTTTATGCCCAGTTAGTGACGATGCTCTGGAACAGTTGAGATCTTTCTTCCCAGATTCTTTATTACTTGCCGCCTTGGACCTTATAGATCAAGATAGCGGTTTGTTGGCGACAATAGGAATTCTAAGTTACACATTCTGACCTGGCTCCTTAGTTATAAAGTACAAAACACCTTGGGGTCGACCACAGTACGAAGTGCTAGGGTCAACCGCCTCATACAGTGTCTTCCCCGAGCTACTGTCTCCTGGTCCAAATCCACTTGGATGCTACTGCACATGCCCTGCCTTTGCATACTCTGTATTGCTGTCCGACTCTCAGCTCATGGTAAGCTATAGACATCTCCGGTCACGCGGATTTAATTGATACCCTACTTTCTGATGACAGTGCAAGCATCTCCTCGCAACGCTTTTAGCCCAACGACTATCCAGATGTGTAGAGCGACCTATCGATCAGGACGACTTTGCTGCTGTCATTGTCCGACAATGCTCTTGAATCACATCCTGCTCTCATTCATACCATCTATTTGTGATGTTGTTATCAGCGTCAAGAAATGTACTAATGCATATACTCGGATAGTACTCGACGTATCAGATACTACGGACGGCAAGAACTTCTATAGCTTACAGCGCAAATCCATGAATTTGTACACTTTCTAATCATCCATGCCGGACCCTGCACGAGAGATCCTCCACTGGAGGAGATCGGCAAAGTCATTCAGCCCCTGCACGAGTGCTCGGAGCTCGTGGTTCGTCGGTACCTGGCGGGTGAGAGAATCAATGCGCATACCCTCACTCTGTTGCCCAGTCTGCTCTTCCTCGTCATCCGTGAGCTCACTCAAGCTGTCATTATCTTCCGACAAATCTGACAGCGGTGAGCATTCACGGGATCCCATCACACTACTCTCGATGAAGGAGGAGCTGGCAGGGCGGGAACGTCCTGCGACACTCTTGCCCTTGACTCCGGGATGGAACGAAAGGCTGTTCGATTGAGCGTGGTTCGTAGGTTTGGCGCCATCCGCCTCGTATCGTTGAGAGATCCAAATTGCGAGCTTCTTAATTTCCGCCGGTTCCCAGAAGCCCCACCAGCCTTCTTCCGCCTCACTTTCGTCGTCATCGTCGCTGTCTTCATCATCATTCTTGGCACGGATTGCACCCTTGGGCAATCGTCCCCAAACGGCGATGAACCAGGACCAACGTTGCATCTCCTTCCTATCCTCCACTGTCAGGCCACCTCGCTTGCGGGTCACCTTAACCTTCCCGTCTTTGCCGGCAAGCAGCTGCGCGGCAGCCTCCCTCTCCGCTTCACTTGGAGTGAGTGCGTAGTACACTCTGCCTTCGCTGTCTTGCCCCAGAGCAGCGTACCGTGGGATACAGGTAGTTTCCGCCACACGATATGCGTGTTCTAAGTCAATGCAGGTCTGTTGATATTGCTTGCGCTGAAGTCTGAGTTCAGCACTGCCTAAAGTAGTCTTGGTCTTCAGCCATTGCGACTTCTCTCTGGCTAGAGCCACCCGAAACTCCTTCGCCAGCTCCTTTTCCTGCATTACACCATTATCGATCTCTTCCCTCACTCGCTGCATTAGGATGGCGGACTCGATCAAGGAGGCAATCACAGGCACTAGCTGTGCGGAGACTGCCACGTAGACACCGCTGGCAGCATTGGCTCCACGAGAGCTGCCACGTAGGTTGTGTATGATAATATTCGGCGGAGAAGGGAGTGGATCTGGAATTTGGAAAGCAGAGGCCGGCCCAGAAGGCATCTCGTCGCGCAAGACAGAAAGAGCGCCCCAGATCTTGTTCAAGATAGCGCCAGACGATTGGACTTCCTCGATGGCCTTTTTTATGCTCTTTGCCATGGCGAAACTGTCAGAGCCTTCTGCGATGACCGACAAGAGACCAAGTACGATCGCTTTGATGCAGGTTTCGCTGACCCAGCCCACCATCTCTTCTCCATTGTTCATCTCCCAAACGTCATCTGCGCCAGCACCTGATATTTCCTCAAGCTCCTCCAGTTGGCTCTTGTTGAGGTCCAGCATGGAAGAGAAACGCAGCAAAAATTCGCGAATGTGTATGCGTGTCTCCGCGGCGCTTTTCGTAAGAGGAGTATAGACCCTGCTCCAGACCGGCTTTGGCGCAGCTTTCACTGTGGACACAGCCGTCGGCTTAGGCACTTTGCGCATAGTGGGCACGGTGGTTCCGGATTGGAGAGGCTCGACAATGCGCTTCGATGCTTTTCTATCAATCTGAGGATGGGGAGCGCCTGCTTTCTTGGTCTTGTTCTTGCGTCCTTTCGGTAGCACGTCAGGCTTTGCACCCTTTTTTCTAACCCATGCAGACATTCTCCTAAGCAGAAAGTCAACCAACACCGCCATAGATTACGTTGCCCATTTCTTACCCAGTAGGCTCAAGTCCTCTCGCCTTGCGACACACGCGACAATTGCACTGCCCCCGACACTTAGGACATCTAGAAACAAACATGAAAAAATCCCGTGACGGGATGTCGATGACTATGAGTAGACTCACTGATAACAATATCCGTCTGTCAGGACGTGCTTCTCCCTCTCTTTCTTGGGAAGGGCGCTCGGCCGTTGAGCCTTGTCAAGGTCGATGTTCTCATTGTACCTGTTCTTCAAGCAAGCTCTGCAGTATTTCAACTTGCATCGTACGTCTGGGACATGAGCCTTTGGGATCATGTGCGTGCAGTGAATAATGTCTGCGAGCGAGGAGTTAGCTATGGCCAACAGAAGAAACCTACACGACAAACCAGACGCGTCGCGTTTCTTGTTGCATTGATGACAATAATAGTGGTCCTCGGACGACATCCCGTGCTTATGCGTCTGATCCTGTACGTGTTCTATCTTGTCATCATGTCGCATGCTGGATGAAGATACTCTGGGTTTCTTGTTGCTGACGTGCTCATCGCGCGCCGCCAATGCATGTGACGCGTCGGAGGACTTCCGTTTGTTCGGAAGACGCGGCGAGCTGCTGCAGCTCGTGAGGCTGCTATCGGAGTTCATGCGCACAGGTCGCAAGGGCGCGTTTTCCTTGAGGCTTGTGGAAGACGTCGCGGCAGGAGCGTTGACTCGAGAAGACTTGAAGGGTGAAGTAAAAGGTGAAGGTGGAATGTCAACGTAAAATGTCTTGTTTCCACTACCCTGCGGACGTTGCGAGTCCGTGGATGGGTGTGGTGGCATCGTGAGGGGTCGATTGTGGTAGCTGATAAAGAAGAGCGACGTCTCAACTTTGAGCCACTCGCGCGTCGGCGTCACTGGAGCGCGTCCCCACGTGACCTAGCCACGGCCACGGCCGCCAGAAATTTCTCAGCCACCGTCGCTTGAGGGCTCATCACCGCTTCCTACGGCCACCATCCACCAAAACACACCATGGCCCACGCAGATCATACCCGAGACCCCTGGTGAGTCCTATCCTTGCCTCACTGTTTAATAATCTACATAGCGCTGACCTGAAGTTGCTATTCAGCCCATGGGTGATTCTTTCTGACTTCGGTAGCGCCTTTGCGATGGGTGCCGTTGGTGGTACCATCTGGCACGGTATCAAAGGTGCTCGGAACTCGCCGCGGGTATGCAGCACTCGCCCACCTACCTGGACATGGTGAATTGACATTGGCCGCATCACAGGGTGATCGCCTGGTGGGCGCATTGTCTGTGGTCAAGGCCCGTGCTCCTGTCACAGGAGGGAACTTCGGTGTTTGGGGCGGCATGTTCTCCACATTCGACTGCGCTGTCAAGGGATGGAGGCAAAAGGAGGATATGTGGAATGCAATCATTTCTGGCTTCCTAACTGGTGGTTGTCTGGCGGCGCGAAGTAAGTGATTGTTCCCGCACACCGAATATATATCCGCCCGCCTGCGCGGCATGCTAACAACGTTTATCTAGGCGGCCCACGCTCCGCTCTCAGTTCTGCGATTGCATGTGGTATCCTGCTGAGTGTCTTTGAGGGCGTTGGCGTCCTCATATCCCGTGTCTTCAATGAGAACACGCGACCGCAACTACCTCCAAGTGAGTTCTTCGTGTCTATGTTCTCCCGTTCATGGCTCAATCTCATTTTGTAGTACCGGAAAGTATGTCTATGCAACCTTCATGAGCAGTTTCTGCATCCGCCGGATTCTAGATACTTTCGCTTTGCTGTCTGTAAACATTACTCACTACTTTATGCCCGTTTTCTCTGCCAAACGACCTATGACGTTTGTGCCTCAATCGCTGTCTCATACTCGGCTTCACGCCGTTCCCAGCCCTTTGGAACGGCTTTGGGTAAATATACTTTCAATATTTCTCGCAATTTGGTTCACGAACAAGCTTCAAGTTGAATATGGTATTCATTGCGGAATAGTTTCGTCCAGATTCCGCTCCAACGCTGCCACTTCCTCCTTCAACTCCTCTATCTCTTCTTTTCGTTTGACAGCGAAATCTTCCAGGCCAGAGCAGGTTCTCTCCGGAATAATCAAGACTCTCTCGTTGAGCGTCTGATCGAGCGTCGTCTGCAAGACATCGGGGATCGCACAGTCAACCATCCGCGTTAGCTGGGGGAATCTATGCAGAACTCACTCTGAGATCCCTCTCAAGGCCCTGTCCGATACGGTCATAATCCTTCCACCACTTCTTCTTCGCCCTCTCGAAGCGACCCACCGCCCACCTCACTCCTGCAACGGCAGCAAGCATGCCCGCTCCTATGGCCGTTTCCAGCTGCATCGCCATATCGAATATTCCAAGCTGGCCAGCCCAACCAGCCCACGCAATACCCATGCCACTGAAGACGCTTCCTCCGATACCGAGCAAGGCATGCTGAGCGGTTGTCTGTAGGCGTGCCGTGGGGAAGCGAAGTTGCTGACGGCGGACGTGTAACGGCTGCAGGAAAGCAGGAGCATCCAAGGGGAACGAGGGCAAGGAGGCAATTTGTGAGATGTTATTTCTGAGCAATGAGGAGCGAAAGACAGAGTAGGATGGAAACGAGTCCAGTAATTTATTGCTGGAATTGGTGAATGACTGCTGAAGAGACGCGAGGCGCCCGGCTTGAAATACCAGCTATACGTTCGCATGAGCGCCTGTCGGACGATGCGTACACCTGTAGACATACCTTGTACTCCAGATCTGTGCACCACGAGCGATCGACAGCAGTGAGAAGAACCTCTTGAACGTCATCCACCCTCCATGGCAGCTTCCACCACGTAAGACTATCCATCACAGATTGGATGTCCTTCTGTGACTGCTGCAGGGCATGGACAACTTCGTCCCCGTCTCCGTTGCCTCCGAACACCTGCCTACCCAGTATCGCCTTGGTCTCCTCCATCCGCCCTCTCCGCCAGCTGACCTCGTTTCGAACTGAGTCGACCTCACCTTGTGCGTCCTTGATGACTGACCCACAAGCAGCCAGCGCATCTCGCACTACTGCTTGTACGGTCTGTGTATGTAGAGCATCGATCACGCTAGTCGGAGGGATGCCATGCACTCCGGCGTGCACGCTGGCTGCGACAGCCTTCGTGACACTGGAAACATTGGATCCGCCAAAGTCGTCTTGGTATTGCTGAATTGCGCGCGTTGACGAGGGTGCAGAGCTGAGCACACGCAGAGCGGAAAGGGCACGCAGAGGATCGACGAAGAGGATGCGGAGGTCTCGGCCGGAGACTCTGAGTCGCGCAGCCAGTTCGGCAGATGGCGTCGTGGTCGTCAATACGAGTACTGCGTTGGGATGATCCAGCGGGAGTTCTGTGCGAGATAGGAGGGACGGCAGTGGCGTACTTGCGGGATTGCACACAATGACTGGGATGTCGGCGAGAATCAGGTCTTTCACTCCGGATTGTTCGGCTCGCGAGGATAGTTCAGTCAATGGAGAAGCGAGTTCCAATAGCTGAACGGGGAGGCCGAATTGCTGAAGCCATGTCGACTGGACTTGCAGCACCTTCAAATCGTCCTGAGTTGACGGGGTAGACCTGCAACGCATTGTACATGATAGAATATTCAGCAGTAGAAGCCGCCTCACTCACTGCATTACTATCGCATCTTTTTGATCCTTCGGTCTTCTCCATCGAGAATGAAGCAATTCCTTCTGTGACTCGGAGGCGAAAGGATCCTCCAATAGTGCAGAGACCAACTCTCGCGCTCCCGATAGATCATCACACCCATACACTAAACGCCAAAACTAGGTCATTCCATCGCACAGCCATATTCGCGCGCTACTGACCAACTATGCGGATGCTATCTTTGGCCTTGGCTTCTGGAGATGGACACAACTCATCGTACGCCCTTGCGAGGAGTTCTTCCCAGAGCTCGAGTGATATACGCGTAGGTGCATTCGCAGAGCTTGAAGGAAGCACGCGAGGCAACAACGACTTCGTTTTATGTAGGGTAGTCAGAACCCGACTGTGCGTGCTTGGACTGGCCACCGACTCGGGTTCCCTTTTCGGCGCAAGAGCAGCAGCGGTCGTAGCCGTCCGGCGAGTTCTCTTCGGGCTACAGCCATGAGGGAGAGCCTTCGCTACCCGATGAACGTCACGAGCAGGGTGACATGCGGATGAGAGCAAGGGCCTGGAGGAGAGCAGACATATCGGCATTGAGCAAGTCTCTGCATATTGTTCTCGATGTGCGCTACGATCGCGCTCTCGCGTACTGTTCCGGGCGTCTACCGTCTAGTGGCGCTTCCTGTAGTACACTTGTGAAGACATCCAAATCGTTCACCAAGTCACTTCAGATGGAAAAGAATATATTGTTTAACGGATATACAGCACTTTGTGACAGTATTACAACAGCAATGACAGGTTGGACGATTTCGGCGCACGTTGGTTTCCTCTTCCCGACGGCGAACAAGCACGCCGGGAGAGTACTTATCCCGAGGACCACGAAAAGGTCTGCGCCAGGACGAGCGCGAACGCTCGCCCTCCCTCAGGGACGCACCTTTTTCACCGAGCTCAAGTTGGTGTTGTACCCGGGACTGCCTTCTCTGTATTAACTTATACGATGCCGGAGTACACCTGCTGGCTAGACGAAGATCAACGCTCAGCTACGGAATAGATAATGAAGAGGACACAAACAGCTTGATGACCGACGACCATGCAGACATAATGGCGGAATTGGGAGGTTCACGCAGGTAGCTTAGTACGTCAACAGTCGGACTCAAGTCGAGTAAGGTTCTGGATCGCTTAGATCGCGGCGAGAAGGTTTGACGTTTTCAGAACGTTACAACTGATCAAGCTCGCTCGTTGCTGCGAAATCTGGTGCTGGTTGTCGGGCTCGCATGTTCCGGGACATTTTGAGTTGCGATGAGATCTGCTCATACAGCTCACTACAAATGAAATGTCATGATAAGCAAAGGAAGGAAATCAAAGGGTGTGCGGCTTACCAAAGTCATCCTTCCATAGCGCCGGACTTGCAAGTTGCGGCAAGTCCTGGCACTTCATGGCCCATGCAGTATTTGTTGCACGCTCTGCAAGTTGGCGCGGAGGGACTCCACTCATGTCTTACTATCGTTCCGCGGCAGCGCTCGAGCCGTTTTTCTATGAAAGAAAAATTGACCCATGGCACAGATAAATGTGTGACTCACCCCGACGGCGCACGTTGGTTTCCCCCATAGGGTACTTATCCCAGGGACCACGAAAAGGTCTGCGCCAGTTGCCCCGGGACGCACCTTAATATTTAATTTGCGCGCTTGGTGCACGCAGTCGTGAGGGTGTAAATGATCTGCGATGACGCGCGAGGGAGGTCAGAGGCATCTAGCGAGTGCGATGATTAGAAACCACTCAACAGGTTTGCAAATTGCTGGCTGTTTGACATGACCTGAAAGTGGGAGATCAAAGAAGGAGACATCTGACGAGCTGCCCCGTCTCGCGAGTTGCTGCGACGACGGCCTCGACTGACGAGCGGCCGTAGTTGCAGACCGCTTCGTCCTCATCATCTACTCACGGCGCTGCGGCGCAAAGATATATATCTCACTCTCACTGAAGAGACACTCTACAGATCGGTGTGGTCAGTGTCGCCCACACAGCGGATTATTCGAAGTACTCACCAGGCTATGCAGACCGGCACTCGCATGTTGCCAGCGAGTGATTACGTCGGACTCAACATGAGGGACTAATGTTGCGTACCACTCATGGCTGACACGCGAACGTTGGCGCGGACAGCATACTTCCATTGCACGTCAAGTTGCGATCGTGCTAACGCATGCACGGGAATGAATGAGCAATGTATGTTAACAGATGAAAGGGAGCAATGCGTACCATTCTCACATCCTTCCGAGCTGTACACCCACTTCATGCCTGTTGCGGGCACGCTTCATCTCCAAGCGGTTCCATGGAGACATTCACTTAGTCGCCAGAGAAAGAGAGCCGCCGGAGTCGCCAGTTGCCCAGCCAAAGATGTCGCCAAAGAGAAAGAAAGGCCGGGCCTTCTGCCAGCGCTTGCGCAGCTGGCGCCTTCGAGAGCCGGAGTCGGAGGTCGCCATAAGTGCCGTTCACTAGAGGTCGGACTTGACTACAACATATTAGGAGGTCAATGATTATTGTATAATGTTATCAACGTACTGCATGGGCTGTATATGAAATTGTGGACCTCGATATTGAGCACGTTCGTCTTGCTTTTGAGGAGGCTCGTCTTGCTCTTGAATGCCATCGCGAAATCTTGCCAGGGAAGCCGGGTCGATGTCGCCTAGATAGAACCCAGATTGTCGTCAAAGAGGGTCGTCCGATGGTTGGTTGCCTCAGCCGGTGCCGGAGGTCTTGAGGTACTTGCTTCCGACGGTGGAGGAGATGACTATGCCAGGCGATAGGTCATGATCGCAGCTGATTTTATGACAAGACCAATCACTTACCGCATGCGCCTATTAATGTCTCGTGGCCTTGGCTTCAGCATGGTCGTCTTGCTTTTGAGGAGGCTCGTTTTGCTCTTCAATGCCGTTGCCGAACGTGAGATGGTGGTGTTGAAACAAAAGCCGCCGCCGTCGCCAGATATGTCGTCCAAACCAGATGGTGTTGTCGCCGATCCCAGGCCTTCAGTTATCTTCTTGTCCAGGTGGTCGACGGTGTGGCGCTGAATGACCCTCGCATTAGATAAATGCTGATATTTGTGAAGGTCTGATCGCTTACCATTTGAAGGCACGGTCTGGGTTGAGAACAGTCCTTCTGCCATTGTGGCGCAACTTGAACGCGTCTTCTTGTTGCCTCTCAGGAGGGCCGCCGAAATAGTTGCGTCTTGCACCGATTGCTGAAAGGACGTTGTTCCTTGGACGCGTCGAGGGTAGTGTGGCGTTGGTCGACGGTCGACACCCAAGGCCCTTGAGGGAGTCGAAGGCAGAAAAGAACGAAGCAAGGGAGAGTGGTTGCCAGTGGGGTAGCCCAGGAGAGGTCGGGAGGAGGGATGGATGAGGGGATGAGGGAAGATGGGCTGAGAAGGGGGGCCTTTTATACCTCAGTTCACCAACGGCGGGGAGGCTCGTGTTTCGCACGTGATCGCATCGGCTACGACAAGCTAACCAAATCAGGATGAATCGACCTGCCACACTTATCTGGCCATCACACGAGCGTTTATTCTCAAGGCTTGGGCCACGATGCTGATCCCACCGCCATTTTTGCATCCGCCCCTGCGCTCCTGGCAGCACGAACACCATGTCTCAGCATGTCATCTCAAGTGCTATCCAGCTCTGGCATCTGGTGGGAATGGCGGAGGAGGAGCAGGAGGAAGGAGGGTGCATCGTGATTAGACAACAAATTACGAGCGCCTATCATGCGGGCCATACTGGTTGTGAAGGAATTGTGAAGGGCAGTGGCTGAGACCTGGTCTGAAACAGTGGCCCTCAGTGATGCAACGTGTTCTGCACTGGCCCCAAAATGCTCGGTCCAAGCCCGTCCACAGACCCCTCGAGCCCTGCGTCCACCGCAGCGTATGCAGTCTCCTCGCCGTTCACAATTCTCAACCGTCCATGCAGACGCTGGTGCCAGGGCCGCGGAGGCAATCTGGAGCCTCAGAGGATTACGTGTTATCGCTGATGCTTCCCAACGCGAGTCACTTTCGCCCATTTTGGATGGATCTCTGATCCGCAGCAACTAAGCGGACTGACCCGAACAGGCAGGTGCTGTCCTCGTTGGCCATCCCGGCGGAGGGGTAACGCACGCTCCGAGTCCGACCTTCCTGCTACGCTCAACTAGTCCGAGTCCATCGCTCAGTAATCCGCTCTCTGAGGACAACGCCAGTTGGCTGCGTCGAATGGAGTGGCGAAGGATACTGAAGGCGCGACGCCACAGAAGGCTACAGAGAGCCGGACCATCGAGAGATGCACTGACTGGGGCAGAAAATTGTACAATAAGATCATGTTACCTTCCATTAGCCGGAGGCTATGGCGGCCTCGTGCCGCATCGTCCGAAACACGCGCCGCTTTTGGTTCTTGCCACCCTGAATTCCGACACCAAAATACAACACGAGGACAGATGGCGCGGCGGAAATGTAAGTCGCTAGCGTGGAAGATCTCCTGCACGATGCGGTACGATAATGGTGTGATTGGTAGGTACAGGGAGACAACCGCTTTTCTAATTAGTAATTATTGAACCTGCACCTCAATACCACAGAATTCAGACAGTTGAGGCAAGAGCATGCGCATGAACGCCTGTGTCTCTGATTTCCCGTAGGCGTACGCCCACAACGGCCCCAACCACGCAGGTCCAATTGGGAACGCGCTGACCATCTCCACTTGGAGCGCGGCTGGGCTCCTCTTCAACCTCGGCAAACACATTCTGACTTCACTTTCACCAAATCTTCCAGCGGAATCCAGCAATCCTTCGTTCTCTCCGCTCACGAGCCCACGTCTCATATGTACGACATCAAAAGTCACCAAGAGTTGTTCTGGACATGCTCGCGCGAGACGCTCGAGTTCCTCGTCTAGCTTCTTCCAGTTCAGTGCCGAGATGCTGTCCACAGTGTAGATTTCGAGGATAAACTTCACTCGCCGAAGGTGATGAACGTTCACTGAGGCCAGCGCAGAGAACACCCACTCGGACAAGTCGAGCGCCACATTGCCGGACGCAACAATGTCTTACGGCTCCGCAGCATCCAAGCGAATTTGTAGACATAACATAGAGAGATGATGGCTCCCAGACAGATCCAAGACTGCATATGGAGGGTCTGTCAATGGTGTAAATCGACCGCGAGCACGGCAGCTCAACTCACAATCTCCCTGTGAGGTCTGGCCTGCAACTCCCAGCTTCAGGTGCTTTAGCGACTTGCCGATTGATTCAACCATAAACGCTATCATAGCCATTCCTTCATCGTCAACACCATCGTTAACAATTTCCAATGACGCCAAAGAAAGCTTGAAGGGATCCTCTGTGAGCCACATCACGATCTCCGACGGCACGTCCTCTAGTATGAGCTCGGTCAGCACGATCGGCCAAGTGGATTTATTTATTGCGAATCTAGCGCTCCAAGGTTCGCGACACCGTATGCCGGACAGACGCAAAGACTCTAATTGAGAGCAAGCGTGTAGGATATCGAGCAGATCATTCATGTAACGGAATGTCACGTTCTGCAACCGGAGGCACTTCACTGAGCGAAAGTAGGTCGGCAATTTCTCTCGCGTGTGTCCCGATATCCCACAGGAATGTCTCCCAAAGTCTAGGCTGAGCTTCTTCAAGTTCTGAAGATGGGGTAAGAACTCTGGGAGCATAGCACGCTCCGCGGCGTTGATGAACGATACCGACAGTTCGTACACGCACAAAGCAGCGCTAGATGACTGGCGAACGATTTCTGAGAATTGGTACGTGTATGAGCGCTGATCCTTTGCAGAATGTCTCAAACGGGGGAAAGTGAGGTCGAGGATGACGTGGGCGAAGGAGTGGTGTGCGACGGCACAGTTTATGAGTGTACGTCGGCGTTTAGGCATGTCGGGCTCGCTTGGATCGTTCCAAATGTATACGAAGATAATCTTCCACGCAGCTAGAGGCTTCCATGGCGTCTCGGTCTGCAAGAGCGAGGCTTTCAATCATCTATGGTCAAAACAGCTCTCTGAGTTTTACATTTGACCTGTCCGGTAAGACTTACCATATTAAACGAATGTACGGAAAGGTCACTGTCAATGGCATCATGGTTTTGGCCAATAGTATTCGACGAGTGCAATGTACTTTCCCCGAGAACCTGGGCAGGTGCCGGATCACCTTGGGCGACATCTTGCCTCCCGCGTACGATCCGGCTGATGAGCTTCTTCGACCCCCGGGACAGACTAAACGGCGAATGCTTGGAACGGTTCATTGGCTCAGGTTGGGGGGAACCGATGGTTCCTGCTCGTAGTAGTATGCAAACTTTAATCATACCCAGAATAGGCGCGTTCGCGCCATAGTGGACAGGAGTTTCCCAGGCGGGATGCCCTGCATCACTGCGTTCGAGATGGTTACTAAGGGTCCGTGTCATGCACAGGAGTTGCTGTGAGAGACATCCGAGATGGCATCTCTCGATCAAGCAGCAGCGACCCGCTGCCTTGAACAGTCGAGCATGATAGGTATATGAGCAATCAACGTCCAATAGTATAAGCACTGCGCTACCTCCAAATACAAAGCGAGCCAAGTTTTAAAACAACTCAGGTGAGGTATAGCAGCTCTTGCATGCAAATCATCCCTCCGTTTGCGATTCAGTCAATATCTCCAAGGATGAATCGATGACGATTCTAACCAACCCGCAGTGACAGTGGTTATATCCACCTTAGCTGAACTCGTCAGCAACCTCGGCAGGCGTCTCTTGATCGTGTCGGCACTATAACTCTCGGCAGTCTCATCCTGGTTCACAAAGTTCAGACGGAACAGCACCTGAAGCTGTTCCGGAAACGCTCGCATCCGCGCAAGCCGCTCCAGATGCTCGTCTATCTTCTCCCAGTCCAACGCCGACAAATCGCCTCCCTTGTGGAACTCGAACACGAAATCGATGTCATGAAGCTGCCGAGAGCACACAGAAGCAAGCGCGGAGGATATCGATTCATATGTGCTGGAGAGCATGTCGTGGTCGCACCTGTGGCGGAACTTAAGATGAAAAATCGCGTCGACTTCCAGCGCTCGCACAGAGCCCATGCGTATTTGAAGATGAAGATTCGATAATTGTTCGTTCCAGGACAGATCGATCTCTGTACAGGAAAGAAGTAAGCGAACACTCAAATGTGGTGGGTTTGAAATAGACGGACGACTTCTCCAAACTGTAACTCCTAGTTTGATGTTCTGCAGCGACGTTCCGACCGTCTTCAGCACGTGCTCTACACTTGCTAAGCAAGATTCATCTGACGAATCATCCCAAAGGGCCTGTAGAGACTGCAAAGAGAGTTGGAAGGGACTATGTGTAAGCCATGTCATGATCTCTGACTGCGTGTTTTCCAACGATAACTCCTTCAGCACAACCGGCTGGAGTGACACGACGTTGAAAACTGGTGGATTTTCTGAGTTGTCACAATGAACGTGAGATAGACACAGCGATGACAATTTCGGACAAGCGCAGAGAATGTCGAACAGGTCATTGGCAGTGTCGAAGTCCGCGAAATGCAGGTGGAGGTGCCTCATGGAGTGAAATACGTCGTCAACTTGTCTCGCATATGTTCTGCCACTTCGTATGTGCTCCCGTTAAAGTCCAGAATGAGCGTCTCCACTGCATGAAGCCTAGGTAGAATCGCTGGAAGGGTCGAATGCCAGTGCTTCAAGCTCCAATCGATCGAGATCGACAATTGGCGTACGCACAATGCGACGTAAGGCGAGTGCTGGAGGATGTCAACGAAATGGGCGTAATTCGGACGCTCTGATGTTTGGGAAAGCCTGATGGTGTGGAAGACGAGTTGGCGGACGATAAGAGAGAAGGTACGGCATGTCAGAGCACAGGATGAGAGCGCACGCCGACGTTCATAGGCATCCGACCAGTCATGCCAGATACACGCAATTATGATCTCCCACAACTCGACAGGTAGCATTGATGCAACCGCGGATGAGGCTGGGAACTTCTACATAACCGTGAGTGCGCGAACTTCATGACCAACTGTGCAAGCTTACCGCACGAGCAGACGCGCCACCATGCCTTTGGCCGCGCCCGCATGCAATCCCATTGAAGAGCCTCTCAACCCTGCGAACAAAGCCGGGCAGAGGAGTTTTGAAACGACCCATCTGTTTGACAGACAGAGACATGCAGTGCCTGCTGGAGCGCGTACGTACGACGGATATATCAGGCACGTTCGCACCATTGTCAAGAGCTTTCCGAAGCACCGAAGCCGGAGCAGCGCCGGATCATTTAGTCAGGATATAACTTAGAAATCGCATCGTGCACGGGGTTGCTGATGGTAGCAAACAGGTAGTGATTGCGCGAGAAGTCCTCTACGAAGAAGTCATAAGCTGCTGCATAAAGATGGCGAATTTAATTTGAACACTGCGCGGGCATGCGACACGATTGACCGGCTTTGAAAGCATTGCGTGCCGTCAGCTAGCAAGGCGATCGAGTCATCGAGCGTTTAAGGCTATCAGACTATGCACAGGGCGGCGTTGATGTTCTGCTGAGCATTTGGATGAATGTTGCCGGGAGCATCATCAATGAATCATAATGTACGGCTATCAACCCGCAGTGAAACATTCGACTCCCATCTTACTACTGTGACAGTCCATCCAAGATCTGATCACAGCCTCGACAAGCGTACCCTTACCTCCACTGTGCGAACATCGCTCTCCGTCAAACAGAGGCGGCGTTTCCGCACGTTCAGACATCCCGAGCAGATCCTTCGAGCCAAAAGCCCGAACCGCTGCCATTAAGCTGCATCCAGGAGCACAAGCGGAATATGCTTCACTGCTTTGCACAAGTCTACACAAAAGTTTAGACTGAGCAACTTCACCTCAATAAAGGTGGAGAGATGGCTGGAAGCATAACTCACTCAAAGTCTGGCTCGATCGACAACGACAGCTCACTCGTATTAGATACAGCGACAGTTGCTGTGAGACTTGAGCGAATTGGACACAACAACTAGTGTCCAAGTTCTTCAAGAGACTCAAACAATGGAGCGACGAGTGGATAGACGATAAGGATGAACGCGAGAAATGGAGCAGGACCGGCTGTTAGCGTCTTCCAGCAGCAGAGCACTCGCCTCCCCTCGTGAACCCCCTCCCGTTTGTCGCGGATACCTTAAGGAACAGCTGTCAATGAATCCAAGAGGTGAACGGGATATCTGGGTAAGGCTCGATGGTTCTATTGAGCCAATAGCTGCACAGTTAGCTCCAACTTACGTAGCCAGCACATCTCTGATGCCACCAGAGGAAGTTGGACGGCGATCGCGGGTTCACGAACTCGAGTGAGACGCTGAGGGGGTGGTTGTCGATGATTCTCGCGGCGAAGGCAATACAGCGGCTGCTTCCCGCGAGACTGTTGGGCCATCCCCGTCATCAGCAGGGTCCAATTTGCGGTCGTAGGAAGGAGTGAGGTATCGGAACATGTCGCATCATGGGACACCACGCGTGCGGTAGAGATGTCGACAAGCCTGCAAAGCTCGTGAAACTCTGAAGCTCCGTGAGCAACGACTTGATATTGAAGATGGTCCTGGTTGTTTCGAAGTCATACAAGAGAGCCTGAAGTAATCTCATTGAGCAGAAGTGTAAGGAGAAGTGTAAGGACAAGTAGATGATCGAGACCACCGGCGCCTGTTGTGCTATTCGCGGACATGCAGTCACACTGCCAATAGGCCATGCTCCCGTCGCCCCTCTGACATTTCTTCCCAGCCATCTCCTCATATTTCTCGCACTGTCTCCTCTTTCCGTTCTCATCCTCTTTCTCTTCTGTGTTCCGTCGATATCCCTCAATAGCGAGCTCGGCAGCGTGCTGCGACGGTACTACTAGACTCGAAACGCCCTATACTACCGCTGCGCCGCTTATGTCCCTACGAGCTCATGCACCTCTTCTGGCTGCGACTATGATCTACCATCTACCAATGTCGTGGGCAATCTCCCTCCTCTGGCTGGCATCAGGGGTCCGCGCACAGACTCTAACTCCCAATGCGCCGAGTACAAGCCTGGCGATGTAAGCAGGCCCATGCTTGTCCCTTACAGCGAAGCAAGATCCATTGAACGCACCACTCTCTTTACATAGGATCATCCTCTATGCGATCACTGGCTGTGTCTCTGCTCTTTTCTGCATCGTGATTATATCCGGCGTACGTACATACCTTCCCCTCGTGTGGGTCATGGTGATGGTGCGATATCCCACTCTGGATAGGACATGGGACATGCCGTTCGGCATTGAGTGCGCGCTATACATCCTGAGACGCAGTCTCATGTGTCTATTTAGTATCAGTGGTGCCCATCACTGGTGTACGTAACGTATAGCATGCCTATCATTCCTCGTATCTTCCGTTGCCGTGGGCTTGGCTCCCTTGATGCGTCCATTGATTGACCACGTCCATAGGCCATCCGTGCCATCCGACATCCCGAGCGCTATGGCCCTCGTGCAGGAGACGGCCAATACGGCAGCGCACCTGCGCAGAGTCGCGCTCGAGGCTTGACCCGTGCAATCCTGGATACGTTTCCCGTCGTCAAGTTCGGCGTCGACCCGTCCACCACGAACGCTCATACGAAGGACGTAGAGAATGGCGAGAGTATCGAGATGGAGGATCATGACAAGTGGGAGATAGTGGAGCATGAGGGTGCACAGAGTGGCGACGGACACGTGAGTAAGATCAGCGTCAAACCAGGAGAGCAGGACGAGGCGGCCGAGGAGAGGAGTGACCGAGATGGAGGCGGGGAGGAGAGGAACGAGGGTGAGGAGCAGGAGGAGAAGGACGTGGTCGACGAACTGCCATCGTTTGCGGAGAGGAACGAGTCGCCTGGCGCAGGCTCGTCACAGGCTGAGGCGGCGCCTACAGCACGCCCGCGTCTCCGGTCAGGGCGCTCGCAGGGCGAGTCGTCTACCGGTGAACGGAGTGGCGAGCAGAAGAATGTCGTTCCAGATGCTATCGGGCGTGAAACGTGCCCTATTTGCATCGTGGACTTTGAGGAGGGGGACGACCTACGCGTGCTGCCGTGTGAAGGGCACCATCGATTCCATCGCGACTGCGTGGACCAGTGGCTACTGGAGCTTTCTAGCAGCTGTCCGATTTGCCGACAAGGTACGCCCGTATTATTCTGTGCCCGCATCACGATTCTGACCGTAGCCGGCTGGTCGCCACAGACTTCCATGCATTGGAAACCATGATGGCAGGAGGGGCTGGGGACGACCTCGAGCCACCTCACCTGCGCGAGTCCTTGCGCCCTCTGTCCACCGCGGCGGCACGATTCTCACGTTATCTACATATCGCGCGGAGGCGGCACGGAGACCGCCACCAAGGCCGGGAGGACGGAAGCGGATACGACATCACCGACCCTCCGATGCCCATGTCCGCCGACATGCGCTTTTGAGACGGTCCCCCTTCCTTATATCTAGGGTCCTTCTCGCCTATGCCCTCCACGTTTTTCACTGCCTTCTGTTCCACTACCCGATCGACTTGTGCAAGATGCACATTCGTTTCCACTGGCATCGCTTCAACTCTATTTGTACTTCATGTTGTATCGGATCATCGCTGTTGTTTCACTTTCTGTAGTTCTAGCCGGTATGTACTCTTACGCTGCTTGCTTGTCGACACCCTCGTCCTCAATGCATGCCCTAATGTTGTCGCTGCTCGCTGTGGCACAGTGCGCCACACAGTGGCGAATCGGACGGGCGGCTATGGGCACGGACAGTTTGCCGCTGTTTGTACACTCGACTGGCCCACCGCGTAATCATTCCGCCGCGCCCAGTGAAAACGTGTTTCTGGCCATGAGGCAGGGTTTTGGCCACTGATGGCCTCTCCAGCGATTGCGCAAGCGGGCTGTGCCGGCTCGTGAACAATAAAATTTTGGCGATAATAATTGTTGGACAAGGGCACGAAGGTGAGAGTTCGCGTTTGGGTGTCAGGTTGGCTGGCGCAGAATATTCAAGCGGTGGGACACATCTTATCGAGATCGGTCGCCGATTGCACTAGACTATAATATAACGTACTCCGCGGCGTAGATTCACGTGACGAACGCGGCCATGAGGCTGACCCTGCGGCGCTATGTGTCTCGCACTATAAAAGCCAACCCTCTTCCTGGCCATTCCCACCCATCCCTCCCCCACCAGCATCCTCTCCCCTCAGCGCCTCCTCGACTGTCGCCTCCTCCCTTTGCTTTGCCTGTGCCTTCTGTCGTTCAACGTTCTCAAGACTGAAGACCGTGGCCGTGACTACGGGTGGAATACCTCAACGCGTGAGTTCTCGTCCATCATCAACACCATCAAGTCCATCGGTTGCCAGAGGCGAGCCACACTTGCAAGATGCATATACACCGGTCTCATCCGCGGGTAAGTTTCATATACATCTTCTCTGTATCCATAGCGGTAGTCGTGGCCACACTGGCCTGTTGGTCACTGACCTCGCGACCGATGTGGCGCGTGGCTCAACCTGTAGTATACGCTTTGTGGCTCTGGTTATATCATATATGTAGGGGTGTAGATGCTGATGCGTTCTTTTGCCAGATGTCTACTTCAACGCGCCACAAGTATTCGTTTCAGCTGTCAGCCGCGTCAAGCACACCCACTTGCAACATCGAGGCGTATCGAAGAAGGTATCACAGTGTTTATCACCTATGCTAGCTAAGGTATGGCGCGTGATAACCCCCCATGTATGCGTGCCTCGTGGCTGACATGCTCAGTATTGCCTTTGACCGCAGGACCACTCGGCAACTTACTGTCGACTACTCTGTGGTGACAACACCCTTCGGGCAACGACTTCATTGGTGCTGGCTCTTGTGAGTACTCTGTGCCAATGTAGGATGACTGTGGCGACACCTTTGGCGCTCTGGGAACTTGGTGTGGCGACTCTTTGAGGCGAAGTTCTGCGACGTGACCGGCGACCCACAGCCACCGCCACGGCTATCGACGGCGACGACCTCAAGACGGAGACGAAGACGCTCAGGAGCAAGATGAAGCAATCCAGGTCCAACATACACCCACTTGACAACCAATACGGTGCGTTGAGTAACCTTTTCTTTCTACCATGATGTCTCTGAATTCCTCTCGAATTTAGCGGCCACCGACATCTAGGCGAGGCGCGAATGGCCCTCAACGTTTCCGGCATAGCGACGACTTCCTTACTTGATTCTCATGCTGCTTTCTGTTTTTGGACTGGCTCATGTCCCGGGTTGGCTCTCGGCGAGTTTCGTTTCCCGGTGGCAATATGTTCTGATGTTGTACCAGACAGCCTTCAATGTCGCCAGTGGCGACATGGATGGGCAACGTGCAAGAGGGCAGGCGGGAGGGCAAGGCTGAAGATGCAAGGTGGGCAAGATTCAAGATGGAAGGCGGGAGAGCAAGCCGCAATCCGCAAGATAGGCAAAGTTCAAGGTGCAAGAAGGGTGGTGGGAGGGCAAGACTCAAGCAAGGCAAGAGTGAAGACGGGCAAGACACAAGATGGGTGGTGGGAGGGCAAGATTGAAGACAAGCAAGATGCAAGGCGGAGGCCGGTGGGCAAGAAACAATGCGCAAGGTAAGAAGACGCAAGACGCAAGATAGGAAGACGTAAGATTCAAGGCACGAAGTCGTGGCAAGACGGGCAAGACGCAAGGTGAGCAATCTAAAGCGCAAATTGGGTGGTGGGAGGGCAAGATGGAAGACGCAAGATAGGCAAGGCGCAAGTCGTGTGAGGCGCGAGGTGCAAGATAGCAAGATCCATGGCTCAACAGGCAAGATGGAAGACGCAGCGCAGGCGATACCGAAGGCACAAGACGAGCAGGTGAGCAAGATTCAAGGCGCAAATTGGGTGGCGGGAGGGCAAGATGCAAGCGCAAGATGGGAGGCTGGGGGGTTCAAGATGCAACACGCAAGGTAGGAAGACGCAAGGCGTAAGGTGGGAAGACGGAAGACGCAAGACGCAAGGAAGGAAGATGCAAGATGCAAGGCAAGAAGATACAAGGCGCAAGATGGGAAGACGCAAGACACAAGATGGGAGGGAGGTGGGCAAAACGCAAGTCGAACGCAAGTCGAACGCAAGACGGGCAAAATGCAATAGGCAACGCTGTATGGGCAAGATTTCTGCCGCGGGGGGAAGACGCAAGAATCCTGCTGAGCAAGGTTCAAATCGCAAGGCCGGCAAGATGGCTCAAGATGGTCAAGGCGCAAGACCCAAGGTCAAGATGACGCAAGAGCAAGATTCATGCGTAAGATGGGAGGTGGTGGGCAAGGCGCAGGTAGGCAAGGCGGAAGACCCAGGACCCAAGACGGACAAGACCCAAGATGCGCAAGGCTCGAGATTCAGGAGAAGCAAGATGCAAGGTACAAGGTCGGCAATATTTAGACGCAAGATGGGCAACACTCAAGTCGCAAAACGGGCAAGCCTGAACACTCAAGTTGAAGAGATGCAAGGCGCAAGATGGGAGGTGGCGGGCAAGACCAAAGGCGCAAGGAGCAAGACGTAAGATGGACAGGACGCCAAGGCTCAAGACGGAAGATAGGAGGCCGAAGGGCAGGATGCAAGACTCCATGTGCAAGACCAAGGCTCATTACGCAAGATGGGAGGATGGAAGGCAAGACTCAACGCGTACGGAGGTGCAAGAAAGAAGACGCAACACGGACTGGTCTCGGTGTGCAAGCCATGCAAGACGCAAAGCGCAAGATTGGCAAGGCGTGAGGCGCAAGAATGAACGCGCAAGTCTCGACAAGATGCAAGGCTCAAGGAGGAAGGCGGGAGGCAAATCTCAATAGGCAAGAAGTCAAGACTCAAGATGACGGCGAATGGGGACATCCAATTCGCAACCGAAGGTGCCAGTAGGAAGACAACGACAAAGTCAAGGCGAGGCACTTACCTATCACAAAGGCGGCATCTCGGGAACATTGGTACGTTATTCACTCGATATTTATCAAGCTCATCGACAGCGCTTTATAGGATGGTGGCGAGCATGAGAGCATCGACGTAGCATTCTGGTGAGCCGCATACTGACCGTAGCTAGCACTCAAAATTTTCGTCGTCAACGATCAACGATCGCAAACAGGCTTCGCGTAGATTGTGAGTGCCGCTTATTGTCTATCTGCGACGGACTCTATGCTAACGCGGTACATTACTGCAAGGATTGTCAAGTATGTACTTCTCAAGAATGAAAATGCAGTGGCAAGTTGCGCTAGAATGTTATGGAAAACAAAGAATCGCAATAAGGTGCGTCCCGAGGCATGGCGCAGACCTTTTCGTGGTCCTCGGGATAAGTACCCTTCGGGGGAAACTAACGTGTGCCGTATGTTGGTGAGTGGTCAATCAATCTATGCCGGTGACTGTGCTGGCTTCCCATTGTCCACGAGACTGTGATGTGACTACAAGCATTGTAACGTGCAGGACCGGGCCTGGCATCCTTCTGGCCGCTTATATCATTGCCTATATGGTCCATGTGGTCGGTAGACTTGTTTGCACCGATACTGTAACAACGTAAAGTGTTGAACCTCCAATGGCATTGACCTTGTATGTGTCCTGCCGTGTGCGAGCAGCTTTTTCATTATCCGTTACCGATGTGTGCTTTGCAGGAGAGCTGCCCCAACGGTCGCTGACGTCTGTCTGTCTGCACCCGCTCGAGCTCCGGGTCGCGCCAAGGACACCAGGGACGATGGATCGATGACGGCCGAGTTGGGAGCAATCCTAGCCTGATTTGGAATGGCGCTTGCCATAGCAGGCAGGTGAGGAGAGGTGAGGTGGCCCCCGACGCGGTGCATCACTGGTCGCGATGACGTCGCGCACCGAGCGACGTTGCATGCGTCATCGTCTGTCCTGTCTTCGGTGGCACCCGTCTTTGCCAGCCCACGGAGTATATAAGGACACGTCGGATGGCATAGACCCATCAACTCTTCTCCCCTCGAATACCCACTCAACCACCCATCTTTCTTACCACTTTCATACAAACATCTTTCATAATGTCCGACACCGGCAGACAATCCATCTCTGACAAGCTCGGCGCTGCTGTCAAGGTGAGCTGCGCTCTTCGTTGTGGTCTTCGACGCATCGTGTTCATGGTTGTTTTCTAGCCCGACTCCGAGAAGTCGACCACCGAGCACTTCGGCGACATGATCAAGGGGAAGGGCGATTCCGCTGCGTCCTCCGCGCAGCCTGAGGTCTGTGTCCGGAAGACTGTGCGTCCGCTCCACACCGCTGACAGTTTGCATCGCTAGTCCGAGAAGTCGTACACTCAACAACTCGGTGACACGTTCAGCAGCAACTCGAACGAGAATCAGGTCGGTACTCTATCATACCTTTGTGTCGTCATGTATGTTGACATGTCTTCCTCACAGTCTTCGGTAATGGACAAGGCGAAGAACGCCATGGGCATGGGTAGCAACAACAACAATGTTTGAGCGCGATACGTTGATGTGGCGATACGTTGATGTGTCAATACGTGTACCATACTAGTTTTGGCTGAGCGAATTCTTTGTACAGTATTGGTATGGCTGCGACGTTATACATGGATTCGTAAGATGCGCATTGCCACACCTGAATAGCGTCGTTCCAAATAACAGAATGGTATTTGGCTATTTCTGTAATGTCAGCTCCGCTTTACGTAATCCCTAAGCTGCAGTTTGACCCTTTTTCGGAAATTCCGACGTCATCGCTGTTCTCCGCAGCTTACCTCATCGGTTTCCGCTTTTGTCACTGTGGCGTGTAATTGCGCCAGTGTGTAACAGCCACAAACCATTGCAGGAGCTAAGCGGCGACGTAGCAAGTTGGATTAACAAATACGTTGCAATAAATTGCTTGGAGATGCATCGAGTGAGCACATTGCCTCAATGATTGAACTGTTGATGACAGTACCTGTGCAATAGCCCACATTCTATTGAGTGTCGATTCCTCTTGTTTCCTGGTAGGAGGAGCGTTGCCTGCTGCTGGACAGGCGGACGCAGCAGCAGCAGGCATGATGGTCTTGTCTGGTCGTTGCAAAGTGGCGTTTGATTTCCACAACATCTATCTATTGAAGGATGGCCCTGATCCTCTATCCTAGGAGTCATAGCGTGCTGCCGTTGTCCACGACTTTACTCCACGATTGTAGTTGCACTTCCCTTTCTGTCATTCTGCATGTTGCTCGTGTATTCAGCGGGCCTTTCGCAATCGTACCCGCTCGCTCGTGTTACTCAACTGTACTTTCTCCGGTACCTGTTTGTCTATTCGACCCTGTTATAGTTGTACTCGGTCGCTCATTTTATCGTATTACTCTGCTGCCCCGTCTTTTCGAGATGCCTGTTATTTGAAACCGGCGCTCGTCGCCTCTTCACCCAAGTGTGATTCGCTGCGGAGTTAGTCGCGGAACTTATTTCATCCAAATTTGGAATGGCACTTGCCTTAGCAGGCAGGTGAGGGACACGATGCGTCATTGATTGGTCGCGATGACGCACTGAGCGATTTTGCTCGCGTCATGGTCTGTCTTCGTTTCAAATGCCAGCCCGCCGGGTATATAAGGACGCGTCGGATGGCCTTAGACCCTTCAGCTCTCTTCCCTCGAATACCCACTCAACCATCATCTCCTTGTCACTTTATACTTGAAACATTTTTCATAATGTCCGACACTGGTAGACAATCCTTCGGTGACAAGATCGGCGCTGCTGTCAAGGTAAGCTGCGCTTTTTGGTTGCGGTTTTCGATCGTCCTGCTCACGGGGGGGGTTTTTTTTAGCCCGACTCGCAGAAGACGACCACCGAGTCCCTCGGTGACACGATCAAGGGGAAGAGCGATAATGCCGCAGGCGCCGTGGAGCCCGAGGTGTGTATCCGGAAGACTGTATACCTGCTGCACACTACTGATACCTCGCATCGCTAGTCTCAGAAGTCGTATGCTCAGCAGCTCGGTGACAAGTTCAGCAGCAATCCAACCGAGGTCGGTCCTCTATCGTGCCTTTGTGTCGTCATGCATGCTGACGTGTCTTGCTCTCAGCCTTCGATGTTGGACAAGGCGAAGAATGCCGTGGGCATGGGTAGCAACAAGAACGTTTAAGTGCATCACGTTGATGTATCGCTACGTGTACATTAGCCGTGGCTGGACGGATTGTTGTACTGTATCGGGTATGGCTGCGACGTTATGCATGTACTCGTACGTTGCACTCTGACATCTGGAGAGCATTGTGTGACTTGTCGACGCTTGCATTGAACGAGACGCTTTTCATCACATTCACGTATAAGCGACGGACACCATCACAGCCGTGCGCGATAGTGGCTGATGCCGGTGGCAGGCATCAGGTTCGGGAACACTTGGCTCTAAGCGGATTCCACATGAAGTTGACATGATCTCGCCCAACACAAAGTGTGTTCAGGAAGCCTTATACAATCTTGATGGAGGGGAAAAACACGGCGAGCACATACATACAGATACGGTCTCCGTTACATATTGCCCGAAGCGATGCACAAGGGCCAACGATCAGCCGGAAAAGTAGAGCGCGGGCCCCGCGACAACGTGCTGGTTGAGGAAGGAGATATTCGCAGGCGAGATCATCGGATTGTCGTCCGTGACCATCGCAAATCTGCCAGCGCGCACGTCAGCACAGCTGCATCGAACTTCTCTACAGGGAGAACGTGGCGCACGTACATGGTTCCGTTGTACGTCGAGAACGTATGTTTGCCGTATATCTCTCCACCCGGTTGGTATGTCACGCCCTTGTTCTCCCCGGTGATCGTCAATGGCGTGTAGGTCGTATTGAGCTGCGAGATCCACGCGACGTACTGTGCACCGAACGTGTCGTGTTGCCCATCCCGCTTTCGAAAGACAAGTGGCGCTACTCACCTTCGGCTCGCCTGCGGTGGTGTTCGTAATGTACGAGCTGTTTGGGCCGACCGCCTTGCCCGGTGACTCCCAGATGAGATAGACCGGCTCGCCGGGTGCGGTCCACGCGCTGTGGTTCCGTGTGATCGCAGGCAGCGCGAAACCCGTTTCCTCAGTGATGTTCGGGTTGTTCTGAGGCAAAGCGATGGGCCATTCGTATCAGACAAAGGACACGGGTGCGGACAGGAAAGGGAGGGATACGCACAGCGATGTACAGTGCGGGAAAGTTCTGAAACTGGATGCGGGTGTTCTTGGCGGGGCACGCGGTGAGATAGGGCGCCATCAGCGTCCACTGCATGCTTTGCGTCACGGCGGGTGTGAACCAGAACTGTCCACGGGCAGCTCAGCACATTGCAGGATGAAGATGAAAGGTGAAGAGGGAAGGGGGACGTACGGGCATGGGAAAGATGCCCTCGAACTGGCGGAACACCATCTGCTGGCGCGCCTCGGTGGTGACTGCTTCGAGCAGCAGCTGTGCTGCGGCGCGCGAGTTGAGGTGCTCGATGAAACCGTACGTGCCAGACTCGCCGAAGCGTGTGACCTGGCGGGCATTAGCGGTTGCTCGTTGATCGGCGAACTGGGGGCAGGAGGGGGAAGCGGGGAGAAGCACGACTCACCGCTTCGCAGAACTCGACGAACTGTCGGACCGTCTGAAATGGGTAGGAGTAGGTGCACTCCTTTGAGGCATTCTTCGCTGGTGACCGTTGCAAAAATGAGTATAGGTTGCTAAATAGAAAGGCTGGATGATGTCTGAGCTACTTACGTCCGAGCATGTTGCTGATCATGATGGCATGGCCGAGCTCCTGGTCCGCCATGAACTCAATCAGGAACCGGTCCGCCGCGTTCAAGCCGGCCTCTTCGAAGTCTTCCACGGAGAACGTCGCGAGGCCATGGTGAAACAGGTCGAGCTCGATGTACTCCTGGTGCAGCGCGAGGTTCTGCGTGCGCAGACGGTTAGTGTATGCGTCTCAAACTGGTCTCGACACGCACGAGGGACTGGTAGTCGAAGTCACTGAGGGGCTGGTAGATCGGGTTGGTGTTGTTCACATCAAGCCCCCCGGGCGGACTATAGGGCGCAGCGGCAGCGATCAGTGCACCGGCGGCGAGGACGAGCAAGATAGAGTACATCTTGGAGGCAGGTCGCGCTGCGTATGCAGTCGGGCCTCTCCCGCCGCTCTACACCTCGCATTTTATACGCGTCGATGCAAGCCACAGAAGACGCCTACCGGGGCCCGTTACGTTTGAAACATTCTTTCGAGATCGCGCCATACTCGAGCGTGAAGATCACCCGTACGCGTGACGCTTGAGGATGAGCTTTGAACGATCTTCCGGGTGGCTAAATATGCCAGGATGGCTCTGGCTCCTCGATTCGTTCGTGATTCATACTTCTTTTCATGAGCGTTCGGCGATCGCACAGGCGTGACGCTCTGAACAGACGCAGGCGCGCATGCTAGTGCCGTCCAATCAGCATCAGGGGAATTGGAATGCAGGGCGTACAGCATCTCTCTGGATAACGTTCTACTCGCGAGAGACCTCTCGGCCTGTACGGCACCAAGAGCGAGGAGGCTTGGGAGGGGCGGATCAAAGGTGGCTGTATGCGGGAATATACTTCTTCATCACGATAGCGGTAGACTATGCCCTGGCGACTGGCGTACACATGCCATTGAGAGTTATATAGCCTGAAGTCAATGGGCTTTTCGGGCTTGCCGTCCTTGGATTGTTGCGTCATTACATACCTCGTGCTCCGGATAAATGGTGGGTGCAGAGGCGCTGGGGCCGGCGAACAGACATCTTTGGGTCGTTGTAGAAGCGAGAAAGGAATGCTGACTCTACCAGAACGTCGCGTCCCGGAGAGCGCGGACGCCCTGAATCATCAGGTCGAGGATGAGCGCGCGAGTTAACGGCAGTTGCTGTGCACACCTTTTGGTTATCTGTTCCGTCTATACTTTTCTAGGCATTCCCTATCATAATATCTGTCGGATGTCTGGTACAGAAGCGTGACGCTCAAGCCTACTAGCTTCGCAATTTCAGATCGTTACGTGAAACATTCAACGGTTTAACCTATCAGCGCAAACTCACCTCGGTTCGTTACGAAAGTCCGCATGCATAAAATTCTCTCCAAGAACACTCAAAATAGGCCTTCTTCCACGTTGGTGATTGCATACCGACCGCCGAACGAGTGCATCGCTCCATCGCAGCGGTCCAATCAATCAGCATCGGAGCTCCGTTGTTCCATTGGCAAACGTTGCCGACATTCATAACGCGGAGCATTCTGCTTGCGCTTCTGCAATTCCTTGCAATTCTTGCCCCCTAGAGGAAGACCGAACGTATCAGCATTGTCGAACAAATGTGCGCTTCGTCGGGAACTCGCATCACACGTTCGTGTTTATTCAAAGAAGCCTTGATTACGAGTATTGGGCGTCACGAAGCACATCGACTCAAGCGTAAGAATGACATCTGGTGCGATCACGGACCAGGGTAGAATACAGTTGAGAGACAAGCAATCACCGACGAGGTGAGCAAAGGTGCCGCGAGCACGTGATCAACGCGCTTGTGGCAACGACTCGCCCATCCAGGAGAACGGGAAACTGACGCGTTACGTTCTTTCCCACCATGCTCTCGCTGCGCAGTTTGATGTCATCTGCATCTGTTGCGCAGTCTAATTCAAAATGCCGAGGACCAAGCCTACTAGCTTCGCAGTGACAGACCGTTACGTGAATCGTTCAGCGGTTGAGCCTATCAGCACAAACTCACCTCGGTTCGTTACGAAAGTTCGCATGCATAAGATTCTTTCACAGAGCACTCTAGATGGACCTTCTTCAGCGTTCATTATTGCATATCAACCACCGTACGAATGCATCGCTCCATCGATGAGACAACAAGTAGGGTACTTATCGAGAAACACGAGGATGAGACCGCGCATATGGATGATGTAGTGAAGGATAGAAACAGGCGATACCAGCACTACCTGTCGAGCAAAAAGATGAGCAAAGCTGAGTGTTCACGACAATCATAACATCGTACATCAGTGTGTGACATAATTCATGCCAGGAAGACCTACGCGGGTTTGTTGTCCACGCTGCCAGCTCCGATTCGTTCGCGCGACCAGTCCGGAACGGAAACACATGGAAAAACACTAGCATGTGCAGACAGAAAGATGCCTTCGAAGGAAAGCTAAAGGCTGGCGAGCATCCCAAAGTACCGTTGGCGCCTAAAGTACGGAAAGAATCCACATCGGACCTTCCCCTGTTCGAGGTAGCCCTGACTGATTCCTAGTCAATGACGAATATGTGAGGTAGCTGGCAGGATGACGGACCGAACTCGAGCACGAAAGTATTCATGTTAGAAAGTCATGATGTAGGCACAAGAGGCGTAATTCAGGAGTCGAGCACATCAAATTAAATCAATACTGTTGTGTATAAATCATTCGCGTTGCAGTAGTGAAAGAGAATAAGACTCATAGGAACGACTTACCGAGATGGGAATCAGCTGGCAGTACACCAACCCTTTGTCATCCCTCCATCCATCAGGCATCGTCCACGTACGCGCCTCTGCTGGCTTATCCGGACAGATGAGGACGTAGTTCGATTTCATCACAGCTTCTTTCGCGCGTTTTGGCTTCTTTCGGGATACTACCGAGGCAGGAAGGCTCCGTTTTCGTTTTCGTTTTCGACCTGCGATACTGCCCACCTCTTCGCTCATTCTCCTTTCAATATCACGTATCTCTTGCGGACCACTTCGTGTGCGCTCCTGTGTCTGTTGACGAACGAAGTCTTCGACACTGCTAACGAGCTCATATCCCGCACTCGCTCCATGATGCCCTGTGCTCACTGTCATCTGGAAGATCCATATGGTCGCAGTCACGGCGTCATCAGTATCACGGTACTCCACAAAGGACGAGTCAAACGAAAGGTTGTCTTCGGCACTCGGGATGTAGAGATAATGATCCAACGGCAAATCGAGCTCCAGATTCTTATCCTTCTCGAACTCGACATGGACGATTTTCCTAGATCGAATGGGAAGGCTGAGAAGTGAAGATGATGTGGATGAAGGCGGCACAGATGATGTAGCCGTCTTGAACGTCCGATGGTTGTTGCCTCCATTATGCATGCGAATAAGGTTGGGGAATCCAACAGGAACTGCGGTCGAGCCAGATAGGTGATTGTGTCCCAATGTCTCGAAAACGAATCCACCAAGCGAAGAAGCTTGAGGAACCAGACGACAGACCGCCAAGAGTCGCTGCGCCTCTTCATTCTGAAGAGATCCTAAATGCCGCTTGACTTTGACGCCTATATCACCAGACTTGAAGTCGATGACGAAATAATCGTTCTGGTAGATGTCGCCAGTTCTGGCAACATCGACAGCGACTAGGCGATAGGAAGCCTTTCCAGAACTTTCATTGTTCTTTGGAAGGGCCCTTCGAAGCTCATCCCAAGACGCATCTTCCAACGCCTCGATGTGAGAATGCTCAACCCCCTCAGGCCTAAAGACGCCTTCGTAGACATCGCATGCAGAGTAGCCATACAACTGATCACGTTCTCGAGGGTCTTGACCATCATTTCGCGTGAGAGTTTCTCGGATTCTTCCTTTCCCATCTTTTCGAAAGCATGTTCGGCGCCACCGTGCTCGCTTCGATCGTCATAACGAGTGGGCTGAGGTTCCGAAGGATCCCTTCCCCCCTAAGAATGCTGACCACTGTTTCATACAAATCGGCGTACTCCTCCTGTAGTTCGAGACTGCAATGGTGGCGAATCAGTGTAACTCTCCGACCAGACGACTGAAGCCCAGCCCACCCCGCCACAAGCTCTTCGCGCTCCCACAGGCGCAGACCCCACGTCAGTGCCTCTCGTTGCTTCCGCCATTCCTTGTATCGCTTTCGGTCTAGAGAAGCAGCATGGATAGGAAAGATAGGCGGAGATGTCAACTCTGGACTAGGTTCTTCAACCACTTTATCGGAGTCTATCAATCCCCAGATAAACGTGCCAGGAGGGGGTTGAGGAAGATGACGAGTGCCAAAGACATTGCCCTGAAATGAGTATACGCCATCAAAGTGAAACAGATAAATTGCGTGTCCATAAGAAAACAATATGACTTGGTGCTTTCTCAACAGCCGGGTAAGGGCGTACCACAACCAGACGGATTTACCTAGGAAGAAGTGGAACGGTTCATCACCGTCGCATGAATGACGACAATTGCAACGTACCGATTCCGGGTTGCCCAGTGAGCACTATCCCTAGACCAGATGACTTCAAGTATAGTCTCCACGCTCGATCGAACACACGCCGATAGGACTCCAGAACGAGAATGTCTCTATCCAAGTGGGGAAGCACCTGCATGTCCAGCGAGAGCGACAAGCGATAAGGGGTATGACCGTTGTCTTCATCAGACTGGCTTTTCGGGAGCGATTCTGTTGCCAGCCAGCGAAGGCATAACGCCTACTCTGAAACCATGGCTGCTGTCTTATTGGAACTTTCGAGTTGTTGAGCGCTAACCAGGCAGGTTGTCACGCATAACGCAAGTCACAAATCCATCGTATGTTAATCTTCAACCTGAAATGCAACGCTACCAGACGTTCGTCGACAAGTCAGTCGACATTCACATGCAATCCTCCATATTTCTCAATCGCATCATGTCTGCCGTACGTTACGTTCTCTCCAACCATGCTCTTGTTGCGCAGTTTGGATTTTCATCCGCACGACGTACGGGAGTGATATGAGTAGGCCGGGAGTGATATGAGTAGGCCGGGAGGCCCTGCACTTTGCCATACTGGATGATTTTCAATCCCAACACACAACGACAAAAGCAGGCGCACTGAATCATTCCCCTGGCTCACGGCAATATATTTATCGTGTTCGACACCTATTGGCGCGTGATTTACGTGGCATACCACCAACAGACCGTCACTTAAAATTATCTTCACAACCTGCTCGAGGTATCCAACGGAGGCCTGCCATACGTCGCCTGCACGACCAAACCCAAATCAGCCACACACCCATCACAGTCCACCAAAGACATACCACACATACCAGCGGCTCCGGCTTATTCTCCAAAATCGCCTCAATCTTCTCGATGATCTGCGGCGTCAGCTTCGGGATGACCTGCAGCGCCTTCAAGTTGTCCACCACCTGCTCGGGCTTCGACGCTCCCAGAATGACGGTGCTCGTCCCGGGCTTCACCGCGACCCACGCGAGCGCGAGGTGGGCGGCGCTGCACCCGAGCTCCGTCTCTGCGAGCTTGGTCAGCGCGCGCACCTTCGCGAGCTTCTTCTGGCCCTCTTCCTCGTTGAGCGTCTTGAGCGTATTTTGAAAGAAGTCTTTGTGGTTCGCGTAGCGTGAGTCTTCGGGGATGCCGTTGTTATACTGCAAACGAGCAAGGATTAGAGTGGAACGTGCGGCCGGGAGCAGGACGGATCTCTCACCTTCCCTGTGAGAAGGCCGCTGGCGAGCGGCGACCAGACAGTCGTGCCAAGCCCGTACTTCTGGTAGAGAGGCCTGCGTCACAAACACAATGAACTTTTACGAACTGACTATACAAACCAGCCAGCCAGTACGTACGCGTACTCCTTCTCGGGACGCTCGCGGTGAAACATACTAATCGGAGTAAAGTCAAGAACGCTGACAAAGCCGAGGACGACAGACGCACTGATGTTGACATTGCTCAGCAACCGGACCAACCAGGCCGAGCTTGTCGGCAACATCTATGCGAGACAGCTTGAGTCAGTATCTCGGTGAGGTTTTTGTGCGCGGAACGCACGTACGGTACGCCTCCTCGAGTTCACGCGCAGACCATTCCGACGTGCCCCAATAGAAAGCCTAGTTTTGACGCACGCCGTGAGCGATTGCAGTCGAATTACGGGGACGATGAAACGCACCCAGCCCTGATCGATGACAAAGTTGAAGGCGCGCACGATCTCCTCCATCGGTACTAGTGCAAGCGTCAAACGTAGCTACCGACACCACGACACCCATACGACTCACCGGTGCTGTCGGGACGGTGCGCGAAAATCACGTCCACGTAGTCCATCCCAAGCCGCTCGAGTGATGCTTTCGTTCCCTCAATAATGCTAAAGGTAAATGTGGTCATCCGCCCGCTCCAGCGCTGCAGCAAGCCACGGCCACCTACTGCTTCCTCGACAATCCGGTTCCGTTCGGGTTTTCCCTTTGAGGTCCCCAATAGAGCTTTGTCGTGATGACGAGATCCGTGCGGCGCAGACCGAGTTCGCGGATGACACGGCCCCTGTGCAACGCTATCAGACACATGGTGTGGCGTTGAGAAACGGAGGGACGTGCATCTCTTTCTCGGAGTTGCCGCTCGCATAAGTCTCCGCAGTGTCAAACCTGGTAAATAGATAGGTCTCAGCAAAAACGACTGCATGAAATGCTCATTCGGGCGCATACATGTTGATACCATTCTCAAAGGCGACTTTGATGATGTCCTGGACAGTCAAGCATGAATGAGACACACTAAGCATTTGCGCGAAGAAAGCAAGCACCTTCACAGGGTCGCCGATAACAGTCCCTCCGAGCGTAAGCCCTGCACCAAAGCTCAGTGACCCACGATTCGCGTAACCACCACACGCCAACACTCACATCCTCCAAGCGAGAACACAGGCACACGCAGCCCACTAGGGCCGAGCCTACGGAACGGCATGCCCTTTGTCTCGTACTCGACGATAGCAGTAGACATCTTCCTGTCGATAAATGCAGAAACGGGCCTTTGGAAGCGTGCAGCGCGCGCGAGCCTAGAGATAAGTGCGAGCGGAGAAACAGAAAGCATCCTCCCTCGGGCAAGAGTGCCTTGTTTTTATAGCTCGGGGACGGAAGTGGGTTCCCCAGCGTGCCGAGCGGTCGTCGGGTATCTGTCAGCGAATGGGGCTACAGCATTTGCGATCGTCGAGGAAGGGGGTCATGGACGCCGTATCGCATGCGAATCCCTCGGCGAGCGTGTGGGCCTCCGCCAGATATGTTCGTCCGATATCCAGGGCATGCGAAGAGTTCTCGTAACGACCGTCGAATCTCGACGGTGTGCGCGGGGTAACCCACGATGAGCGGATATGCGGCGGCGTCATCTGTGCGAATTTGACGTGATCGCCGGGTGATCGACCTTCCTCTTTCCACCCTGCAATGTCGACTAATGTGAAAGCGTAAAGTCCTCCATGCTTCAGCATTCAGCTCGTCGACGGGTCGAATCTCAGTGCATCATGCTGGTTCGATGGTGAGCGTGCCTGTCGCTGATCGCACCAAGACAATCACTCTTCTCCACCACGAAGCCATGGGCCGCGACAGACCGTGTTTTCGACATCTCGGCTTGCTCTCATGACGGGTCCTCAACTGTCTGGGCTGAGCTTGAGGGCTTACAGCTTGGATGCGCTAGATCACAGTGCTAATGCTACAAATCTAGACGATAATGATACATCGAGAGATCCGTGATCTGTCCTAAATTAATGCGTAGTGTTGGAAGTGCGTATGATGCGATGCGACGAAGGGGTATAGTGTAGTGGAAGGGCTAGACGAGGTGGGATGAGGGAACGCGGTGAGTGTTCAAGCCGTCAGGTCTGCAAGACCTGTCATTTATGCTGTCTCGCTTTCATCCTCTTGTCTGCCTCTCTGACAGCGAGCGGCGCGTAACTAACTCACCTAGCGATCTTGGCGTTCTCCTTGTCATCATCTTTCTTCTGCGCCGCTGTAGTCGCGGCATAAGCATCCTAGCGCACAGCGCATATCAGCTTGCATCTTCCCGACATTTAAGACGGCCCAACACTCACCGGAGGGAACCCCGCCTTCTCATTGCTCTCATTCACCAAACGCTCCCGCAGCGTCTCCAAGCTCGCCTTCGAGACCCTCGGACGAGCAGCAAGACCCTACCACCACGCCACCACACTCGTTAGCTCCACAACCACCACAAACACTCGCACCTTGCTACTCACCTCCTCGAAGAGATCGTCCTCTCTCTCGGGCCCCGACCACGAGCGCACGCGCCAGTTCGGCACCTCATCGCCCTTCGACGGCTGCCGCTTCCTCCACCGCGCATCCATTTTTCTAAACCCGCTGTGCGCCCTGTAGTGGCGGCGCTCCTCATCGTCAACATCCTTCCGTTCTTCCGCTGGCGGTTGCGCTTGTTCGGAAGACTGGGAGGCTGCCTCTCCCGCGGGCGCCGATCCCGCGGTATGAACGTCTTCAGGTTTGAGTTCGGCAGAGGGAACGTTTGGTAGTTGGACAACTGCCTGCATCACGGGAGTCGATTCCATAGGGCATTTGGTAACCGTTTGAAGTCCAGTGGATGCATGCGTCGACTCCATAGCACGAACATCTTCAGCTTTGGATTCGGCAGAAGAAGTATTTACCTGCGGAGGTAGTTGGACGACAGCCTGCATCACGGGAGTCGATTCCATAGGGCATTTAGTAACTGTCTGAAGTTCGGTGGAGGAATCGTGCCCCTGAATGAGCGGTTGGGCGATTCCGTCCTTCGTAGGAATCGACTCGACAGACAGCACGGTAACCGTCTGGAGCTCGGCGGAGGCGTCGCGCACCTGTGTGAGAGGCTGAGTGACTACTTCCCTCGCAGGGGTCGACTCCATGGGCTGAACGTCTCCGGTTCGGAGCTCGACAGAGGGTACGTTCCAGATTACAGAGGGGCTGGCCGCGGAGCGAGTGCGAACCTCAACATGGCCAATTCCACAACCTTCTGTCTTCTGCTGGGTATAAGCGGGCGTCGAGATGGCGACTGCTTCCGCAGGTCTCCAATCATGAAGGGGTGTGTTCCCGATCGAACTTGCAACAATTTTGTCTTTCTTCACTACCGGCGAGGGTACAATGATCGTCACGTCTTCAAGGCTAGGAGTAATCCCGGGAGAGGGGTCATCTCTGATCCGCAGCTGAGGCATCTCCTGCATAACAGATGTGCTTTGCTGTTTTCTCTCGTTAACAGCAGCCGCCCTGTTCAAGCCGCTTTCCACAGAAGTCGACACAACGGTCTGGGAAGCAAAATTAAATAGCAAGTCATGGAGAGCCAAGCCTGCACACTACCTTGTCCGCCTCTTCCTCCTGAACTTCCTCCTCCTTCTTGATTTCAGTCACCGCGATTTCACCAGGCTTCAGGGTCATGCGCTCTTCCGTGCCGATCGCCTTGTCAACGCGCTTTGGAACCCAAGGCCTCTTCGCCGCCTGTGACTTTACGATCGCTGTATTCGCCTCCACTGCATCTTCAAATATTGGTTGCGGGAGCTGGATCGGTCCATCTGGCACCATGTCTGTTCCAGACAGCTTAAACTCGAGCTGGCACTGCTGATCGAAAAGGTTGAGGTGGCCGTCCATAAATGGTCTTCTCGGCTAGATTACACTACGTTATGGATCAATCTTCGCTAGGAAATGCAACATACCCGTATGCTTGCGTATGGGTCTACCATGAGATCCCGGCGATCGCGCATAGACGGGGCATCGGAATCCTGGAATGATTTACAGTGCGACCATGAGCGGTGTGAGTACCCGATGGCCAGGATCATACCTTGCATTCCCTAACCTTGGACTTCCCACAGATCCTCCTGAACAGCCAAAGGCCCGTTTTAATCAAGCCGGTAGTACCTGCGCCCACTACCGCCACGAAGATGACGAAGAATGTTTCCCGCACATGGGACCGACTCGGCCGGCTGAAGTTGAAGTACTCAGGATCTACCGTGACCTGCATGTCGATTGGTCCCGATTTGATGTGGCGATACAAGTATGTGGACTCCAAGGGCGGCAGCTTGAAACCGAAAGGAGTTCGTTCCCTCTGCTCTGGCGACACTACTTCCATTGGCGTGAGCTCTGAAGCAGGAGGAGGAAGTGCAGAATATGCTGGGGCTTCGATGAGCCTGTCAAGCCACATATCGACGCGGCTATTTGCAAAGCTGCATTGGCATGGTAGTGAGACGTGCGAGGGCGTGCGATTCCATGATGCACACTCACCGCGAGTCATCGAGCAGCTTCTTCAGGCTATCCGCGACGAAGCCTATCTCGTACAGGTAAGCATGTCGAACCACAGGCGAATACATGGGCATGAGCCCGAACAATCCGACAAGTAGGCTGGAAAATAAATACGGGAGGAAGAGCATAGTGGATAAAATACAGCGGGATGGGGGCGGGGCCCGTGGGGTATCGCGAGCGGGAGTGTGTCGGACAAAAAAGAGGCTTGTGGTGGTTCGAAAGAGAGACCGCCATCGCGTCGAGGATATGTTGGACCTCCTGCGCTGACGTCTGTCAATGTCACGTGGAACTCGAAACATACCGCTAATGGCAACTGGCTTGCCTGTTTTGGCCGAGACAAAGCGCTCCCTGACGAGAAGTTTGATTCAGGCGTTTTGACTACTGATCAGGTGGCGCGTGGCCTTGCCTGGTCGATCTGAATGAGACAGGAGAGACCTACACCGTATGTATAATCCCACATAGGAAGAAGCAATGTTGCAATCTCATGAGCAGTTCCGAGAATATGTAGGGACAGCAAGGCCATTCGGCTGCTCGAGCGGAACCTGGACTTCAAAAGGTTTCGATAATGGTACAAATTATCCAATGAGAGCTTAAGGAGCTCATTGGAACATTGGCATGCATGCTGCCATGATTACTATCGAAATCTACCGCGTAATTTATCGCGTCTGAACTGGCACTCAGTATGTGAGCAGCGTGGCTCAACTTTGTTTTTGCATTCATCCACCACGAACGTACACAATACGAGCAGGTAGTCTACATAAGTCGAGACAGGCTTATATAGAAAATAAAGTACTTCGGAGTCAAGGCTATAAGAAATGATGCGTGAAGAACGGGATGGAAGAAGATGCATACGTCGCGATTTCGCACATCAAAACATCAAAATCACAATTTGAGCACACCGAACGCAACCCAGATAAAAGCAAACCATGCAGACACAGCAAACGATTCTTACGTCTTCGTGTTCATGCTCCAAACAGAGTGCCTGACATGGACACGTTGCTTGGCGATGGGCGGTGGAACACAGGTGCGCTAACCGTGGAGAAGAAAACCACTTTGTCAACTAAACACGCGAAGCCACCCAACCAGACTCACCTAGCAGGCACAGCAGTCCTTCTCGAAATGGGCGAACGCGGGTCAGACGCAGCATCAATCACCATATTCGACGCATGCATTGGCTGAGACAGCGCTAGGCCAAGCGGGCTCAGTGAAGGCGTCACCTCCGCCGATCTCTGACCACGGCGCGAACCACTGCCGCTCGCCTGTACGGTGTTCCCAGGCGCGTCATACGTCTCCTCACTGTAGCTGCGGACGATCGTGCTGGGAGAAGACGGTGAAGCCACCACAGGAGCGCGAGATGCAGGCGAAGCAGATTGCCGTTCGCTCTGGCTGCGCGCGAGCGCCCTGGTGGCAGACGACGAGCCAGCGGGGGTCGTGCGCGCGCTGGACTTAGAAGAGAACATGCGCGTCTCGGGTTCCGTCTGCACGCTGCTGCTGCTGTATTCCTTCTTCAGCGTGCGCGATCCACGCTGGCGGGGCGTCGAGCCTGCGCTCCCGCTGCGGCTAGAGGTGGTGGACGGTCTATGAATGGGACTAGGACGAGGAGCGGGAGTATCCGCAGCGCTCCCACCGATGCTTAGGCTGGAGAAGAACGGCTCGATCTGCGTGATTTCCGTAGCCGGAGAGTCGTTAGCCGTGGTCTCGCTCTTGCCCACGGGAGATTGCACTTGGAAGCGTGTCACCTCGAGCGAGCGCACCGTGCTATCTGCAGGAGACGAAACGTCTGAGGAACCCTGATATGGGCTGGGTGGTTCATCTGGCAGAATCACCGATACTCCCGTGTCCGGCGAGGATGGAGGAGTCGGGACAGGACTGGTGGCAGGTGTTCCATACTGGGAGACACCTGAGGATACATAGCCAGAACGATCAGGCGAGGATGCAGATGACCTTGCCGCAGATTGGGGAGTTGCGCGGTCACCTGTGATCAGCAATGGACTGGGAGTACGCTGCCGCGCCTGTGTGGCTGCTCGACGTGTATCGCTACCGGAAGCACTAGCAGGACGCGCAGCGGATGCAGTGGCCAGTTGCACACGGATTTCTCGCGGGGAGTGTTGTCTGGAAGACCGCCTAGCACGCGGACTTGGAGGACTGTTCATATGTAGGGGTGATGGTGGGACCGGAGAGTCTGTGGGTCGTTGGAGCGTCTTGATCCTACCTCCTGCCAGCGCATTGGCCCATTGTCGCGCCGCCTCTGCGCGAGTCGCGTAGCCCTTGTAGCAATTTCCAGGTATTTCTGAAGTGTAGAAATTGCATTCTTCCCTGCACACAACTGAGCGCGTGAACGATGTCCTCGGCAATTCGATGCGCACGTACCAAGTGGAATATACTCCAGGTCGTGTGCCTCTGAAGACCACATACGCGACTTTCGTTCTGCCCATGACGACGACAGAGAGTCCGCATTCCCTTCGCGAGGCTCTTCACACCGAGTGACGCCTGCGGGATGAATGGTGTTGGGACAGTAAACCACGCATCGTGATAGCTCCTGATTTTAACTTGGCTCCGAAACATCACCACAATGACTGATGCTGTGCTTCTGGAACCTTCAGAACGCATTGTTTACCCTAGATCTGATAGAGCGTGCGAATACTACAGGCTAGTTGGCGTTGTTCGCTTTGCTGTTGCGCAACATCCCCCGGGTTGGTTGGCATGAAGCAAGATCATTTGTGTTGGAAGACATGAGACGACGAGCCTCTCAGACTAACGCGCACGTTCTCGATCATAACTGTCGAGACTCGAGAGCGCAGGCTCAAGTGCAGCTCAAATCGTCACATCGGACTCCACCTTGAAGCCAGCAACCTTGCCATAACAGGCAACGATCGTCGGCCAGACATAACTTGACACTCAGGAATAACCGACTTGCAACAGCTTGCAATGTTGTGATGAGCAGGAAATGTGCACATTCATGACAATAAATAAAGCCTATAGCTGACTGACTTTCCGAACAGTTACAACGCGCTACAACTCCCTGCAGACCATCTGATCATCTCACCGACAAGTGAGCCGCACAGGAATTCGGCTAGATTCTCAGACGCGAAATACTGAGCTCCAACTGAGTCTCACTCGCGCCCAGAGTGTGCTCTCTTCAACGCCTTCACATTCACTCCCTAATCGCGCTCCGATACCATTGATGTCTCCTGCTTGTCACCGCCTCTGAGTGTCGTGTTCGGAGCAGCTCGAGTCAGGCTTTCGAGCCTTTTCCAGTACTTCATTTTTTGCTTTTGCATCCGCAAACGCTCTCTCAGCTTCCCCCTTACTTTTGAAGCTTTTGTACCGTGCTCCTGAACAGCCAGCGGAGTTCAACCGACAATCAGACCTGTGCACAATCCGGCGCAATGAATGATCTCTTCAAGACACCCAACAAGAACTTTCTTACCAGTTGTCGTAGATCCCTGGGCGGATGCCCACAAATACAACGTAGTATTTGCCCTTCTGAGTCTGTACCATTTCGCCATCGGCGTAGATTAAATTTGTGACGAATATCTCACTCACGATAGATTGGTCCCGCCAAGGGTTTGTAGATTTTGCGAGATCCCCCCGAGAGCTTATAAAACCTTCTCTCTGTGCGTCTTGGAATGCATTCTCCGCCTCCACCCTACTGACAAACCCTTTAAAGCTGGCCCCGGGAAATTTGTCGACGTTAGGCTTGCAGTCCTTCCTGCTCGCAATTTGACGGGATGAACGGACTTCTCGATATGCATATCAGACTTCTCTCACCACGTATCGTAAACCCCTGGCGTTCTGCCCCTTATCACCACGTATGCAGCATACAAGCTTCGGCCTAGCCCGTTCTTCGCCATTGAATATTGAAGACCAAGGTGGGATACGAAACGCCTGTGCCCAAGGCAATGGAGAGAACGATGGGAAGAAGAGTCGCCTGCCGAAGTCCAATCGTCAGTTTAAATGTCTACGACCATGTAAGCGGCGAACGAATTATCTGATTGCGGAATGTACTATCGCTTGAATAATCCATCACGCGGGAGCAGAACGATGTGTCAGTTCATCCAAGTTTGTTGAGTGCTTTGCGAAATCCGATACCGCGTGTTTTCCGCGCTGCGGTGCTATTAAACCTTGTTCTTAGATGGATAGAGACATATGACCATTCCATCAAGGATATTCGAAAGAACGCCTGATGATATCACGCTGAAGGTGCAGCAGGATAGCCCACAATATTAGTTTGAGACACAGGTCATGCGACGAAGGCATGATGAAGATATGCACCATACATTACCACACAGCGTTACGTTGCGCACGGGTTTCTCGCGAGAAGCGTTGCCTGGAAGATCATCTGCGACGCGTTCCTGGGGTTCTGTTCGCGTATAGGAAAGATGCGGGGGGATTTCGGGGAGTCTGTAGGTTGTTACATAAGTGTCTTTTTTGACCCCTACCATTATCCATCATGCATCACTCAGTGTGAGAGTCCCATGTCGCGTCGTGGATCGCATCATCGCGATCGGGAAATCACTGTGTCAAGGTGCAAGTACGGGTAACAGTCAGAGTCGGCACTATTGAAAATGATCGCATAGCTTGTATGATGACTACTGCTCCTGCGCCAACTCGTACGTCTCACCACCCTCAGTGATACCCTGCTCGTCTTCCGTGCTATCCTCGACATTCTCAGGAACAAGAGACGCGTGCTGGAGCTCGGCGCCAATGTTGCCATCCAGGCGGGAGGGAAAGTCCGGAATGTTCAGGGTGCTGTGAGAAATCGTATCCACGCCCGCGCTGTCGAGGGATGCCTGGCGTAGGTTGAGGATGAAGCGTGATATCAGGATTGATGAAATCCTGATTGATTCGGTAAGCATGGGTTGAGCTGAACTGAGAATGATCGGTCGCTTACGGTGGCAGGAAAAGTGAGACGTAGTTTGCATAATCCTGCTTGCACGTTACCTTAAAGTGGCCATGGAGTTGTGTGGATAAACTTGCCTGTGAATTCTCGTAGCGGAGTGTAATCACGATCTCGAGGATGTTGAGAAGCAAAAGGGCCCTGATGAACGGTAGAAGAACAGAGTCGTGACAATGCACTGTGACAGAGCCCGACGTACATGAAGTAGAGCGTGCCTTGAATTGGTTGCTCATAAGGCTTTGCATGTATTACCCAAGAGAGCCACACATACTCACCGTCTCTCATCAGCACCGTCGAGATCGATCCTCTTAGTTGTAACTTCCGCACTTCTATAGCGAGTCGGAATGTTTTGAACCAAGTGAGAAGGACCACGATCAGATCGGATGCAGCCGGGCAGATGCGCGCGACGAAGACGACTGCAGGAATCTTGCGTGTCAGAGCAACAAGTAATTGATCTTCTTTAAACGCACGTCTATGCAAAGGAGGATAAGTCCTGGTATTGCCAACGTCGGAGGTGGACGTGACACTTACTTCTTCAGTAACGCCGTGGACTCGCGTTCATTATAGCTACAAACTGGATAGCTGCCTATGTAAGTGATGAACGCGTATGGATTTCTTATATCTGCAAACTGCCCAGAGGTGCTCAACATACATATGATGGCGGAGAACATGTATACTCACGAGGTTGGCGCCGACTGGCGCTAGCCCCAATAGCAACACTAGCAACGCAGGGATGATCTGGTGTCCACTAACAGCATACGTACGGAACGCGGAAAAGCCTAACAATTTATCAATCAGTCTCTTCATGAATTTGAGGTCGAATATCTCTGAGTTGCTGTCACAGCCTCAAGAACAATAGTCGTCCCGCTTAACAATAAGCCCACAGCCTCACAGCTGCGACAATCTATTAATTGCGCTGAACATACGGTGCGGTCGTCGCCGCTCACCTCTGTGCGTGTGGATCGTAAGTGTTTGCTTCACTCGCAGCACGACATGATACGACTTACCAGTGGAGTATGCCACCAGATGGCATCCAGTGCGAAATTAATGCCTTGTACCACGAGCAAATAATGGTTGAGGGCAAAGATGGCCGTGACAGTGGTCAACCTGGCCTGCCAGATGACGTAAACCTCTTCGGAAAAGGTGACGATGTACTCAAAGAAGATGAGGGCTGAATATGTCCAGTCTGTGAGTCGAGTTCAATTGCTTAGAATGGTCCACCCCGGGACGTACCAGTAGCTGCGAGATAGCAGCAGCCACTGATGTATCTGTGACAGTGATCACAAACTGGTCGGTTGAACGCCTCGGAAGGTATCATCGTCCTCACCCTTCATGTAAGATAGTCGCTTCTTCCTGAGCCAATATGCTTGCAGCTGACGCGTTCGACATTGTAGGGGTATCAACGTCAGTGACAACGACCAATGCAGAACGAAACAATTCTCGGAGGGACTTTAAGGATGCCCATCGGCGCGCGACTCATCGCATTATGTATGTCTGATTGATCGGACATGGACGCAGAGGGTTAGGTTCAGATAGAGACTTGCAGATAGCACAGGTGTTGGATATTGCAGAAGAAACCATCTGTCGAACAGAACAGCCGTATCAGGCATGATACTTCTGGTTCTGTCAACTGGAGGTCACAACCCACTGGGATCCCAGTGCTATCCAGAGCGCCTCGCGCACTGTGATGGAGGTGAGCGGCCAGACCGCTGCCGTTTTCATGCGCCTGAATATACTTGCTCAATGTCGTAAATCCAAAGGCACCCATACTTACTGTGTCAATGAGATCTTGGCGTGCTTTTTGTTCTTTCATCCTGTTCCGGACGTGTCCTTGATCCCTTTCGTGGAAGCTCAGCATGGAAATTGTGGATTCATACAATCTCCTGCGTGGCCTATCACAACCGACGTGATGGTCGTCTTTGCAATGTCCTTTTTCGTCTCTGTAATTAGCTCTGGCAGGCGAGACGCTGGGACACTGCAGAGCAATTATATCGTTGGAATCCTCGTGTTAGCTAAGAACCTCACCAGACGTCTGTGATCCACCCGCGAGCGCCGGGAACCAGCTTCTGCTCTCGTCTTCAATTTTCTGGATGCCGGATTGAATGTCTAGTGATAAGGAGGGAGACGAGGATGACAGGATCGGTGGCAAGCGCTCGATGATGATGGGTGTTACCAACGTGAGATAGGGCCATTCGAAGCATGAAACATGTTGAGGGTGCGCTCGAAGGTTTGACGTCCGTCAAAATCTCATCACAGATTCAGGGCCCCTGCACAGGCCCACACTGGGTGATGCGGTGTGTTGCAAGTTCAGAACTCTTTCTCCATCATATTGGCACTCACCTTCCTCTACTCGTGTGTATGGATCCCAAACTTTACATGACATCGAGTGCTTAGTTGACAGAATAAGGTGAACGGCTTGTTCTGCCGGCCATACTGTACAATTTTAATGAATTCGGCGCCCTTACGACGCGTGACAGCTTCAACGATTCGACACATTGCGAAATTAGGTTTTTTGACGCCCATGCTGTGGCCCTCCTACGAGTCGTAGCGAGCTGTGTCGTGCCGACATCAGCCTAAAGGTCTTTTCAGACCTAATTAATTAGTATATTCTGCGCGCCTCTCTTGAAGTATCTCGGCCCAGGACTGTTACTTGTGATCTATGCGAAATGTTTGCAGGAGTGGGCCAACCATATCGTCCACATTCAAAAGGATTCACAGGGCCACCTGGTACCAGGCTGCGAGGTGCAACAGAATGATCCACAACATTAGTTTGAGAGACACAACGCATGCGATGAAGGCATGGAGAAGAAGCCAGAACGTCCGATGAAGAGGTGCAATACACATTACCATATCATTGCGACAGCATATAGAATAAGAACAATCCTTGCCCGAAGGCAGCTCCATCAGTTTCGTGATGAGACCGCCAAATCATACTGCAATATACCCTCCCCGACTCGCACTTTGTCGTGGCCGCACGGCAGAGCATAGATGTGAGACAACGTCGCGGAGCATATACGGGACCTCTCGCCAGAAGTCTCGGTGTCTGATGAACCAAAGGATCACAGCGGGTGAATCTCCGGAGAGAAAGGTAACGAAGTGTATACACGCACGGAATGAGGTCCATTCCTGATGCGCCGTACGTCGTGTAATTGTAGTATGCGCCCAGTCCGAAGTACGCTAATAGCGCCAGGAACAACCTGTGGGAAACGTCAGAAAATGTGCGCGCAGCATGCCACATCGTTGTAGATACACGCACAGTAGGAAGAAATACCCAACGCCCGAACCTATAGACGTCTTCGATTTATCATCCCCCTCACCCGCATCTTCGTTTGGCTTGTCTGAGGATCCATCATCGGACGATCCGCAAGCTGCTGGTGTGCTCCATTCTGCGGACATTTGTGAGCCGTCATAGGAGAGGAAAGAAGGTTCCGAGTCATCCGTTGCACAAAGCAGTCTCAGATGGAACGATTGAGGTAATGGGTCGGAAGTTCTGGAGGTGGGATATGATGGGCCTTGGAAGGTGAGCGAGAGGCCTTTCGGTGCTGAGCTCACAGTAAGTGACGATATTTTAGACAATGGAGATGTGTGGTGATGAGAACATGAGCGCACATGATAGTGTAGAGTACTCTACGCCGGAGGATGTCGCGAGCGGGATGACAGCCACTATCCGGTCGCCCTCATCGCCTTTGCGGTTCGTCTTTGTCAGGCACGCCCGCGTTCCTGCGGGACACTGATCGTGAGACACCACGCAGACGGCTATGAGCGAGCAAGCACCTCCACGGAGCAAACAGAATGCAGACGCAGCACACCTACCTGGTCCTTCTCATCCACTTCTCCCAACTGCTGCAGGTTTGCACACAGGTTAAACCTGACAGTATCAACCATTGTGGTGGGCGGTGTACTCCGCTCGCGTGTAATGCTCTGTTCGCCCGCAAGTGGTGTCAGGTCGTAACTGACGTTGTCGAGAGAGATGTGGCAGTCGAATCCGCTATCATCTTGGGCATGTACGACGGAGGAAAACAAGAGCAGGGCCATTGCATGCGAGCAAAGGGCTCGCTTTCGTGCAATCACCATTCTGTCTGAAATGAAGTAAAGCAGAGGCGGTCAATGACAGTGGTGGTTGCGTTGCAAGTGTTTCGGTGTGTCGGTGCAAGGCTACCCGTGTGCTCGGTACGCGGTGCGGGGACCCCAGTGGCGGTTGGAGCAAGACCCCGTAAAGAGGTCGGTTACGCGTCCGCGACGCGTAAGTTGGCAGACGCCACTCGCCGCCACAAGCTCGCAGCCTCATTTCTTTGGACCCACCATCACTCTCGCGTTCCAAGACTGCTGAGTGCTCAAGGATCTTTCTGGCGATGGCGACGATTGAAGACCTGATTCCTCTTATCTACCATGAGCAGCAGGAGCCGGGATCGATGCTTTGTGCTCAGCATGCCTTAAACTCGCTGCTACGTGAGAAGCAATCGATTCTATTCCGTTATGCCTTGCTGAAATATCTTGACATCATACAGAGGGCAACTATGTCAGTATGCCGTATTCATGAGCGTGTCGCATCCACTCACGCTTATTTGGTACAGTTCACCGCACCGGATCTGTCTACCATCGCTCTATCTCTAGACGAGCAGGAGGCGGCGTTTGACGAAGACAATACTGGGCAGGCTAGCACCAACATGGACGACACAGGTAAGTCATCCCGCATTCATGTCGCTCCTGTAAAACTGATCATGGCTTCAGGCTTTTTCTCGGTACAAGTACTGGACAACGCGCTGCAGGTCTGGGGTCTCACGTACGTGTGGCAGTGTCGCTTCTAAGGGAGAGCTCACAATTGTGACGTTCATATGGTAATAGTCTGGTCCACTGGCGCAGTGAACGCATGCGGCCGTTCCAGCAATATCCACAGTATGTCCTCGGCCTTGCTCCCTCGTGAGCGAGAAAACGATAACTATATGTAGTATGCAGCTTGCATTCATCCTCAATCTTCAACAGCACTGGTACACCCTGCGGCGCTTCGGCATCGATCCCCCTGATCCTGACCACGTTGGGCACTGGTTCAACTTAAACTCGTTCCTACAGCAGCCGGAATGGATTTCAAAGCTTTATCTGGACATGGTACTGCAACAAGCAGAGACAGACGGTGCGCATTATCTCCCATTAAACTTCCATCAACGCACGCTGAACATCGTGCGACGTGCAGGGTACTCGGTGTTCGCGGTGGTGCAAGTAGACCCGGATGCCCTGCTCGCTCTGCCCCGCACTTCCGCGGACCACCTTGCCGCGGTAATCCCAGACCAGCCGAGCGTTCGCCCATCTAGGACAGCAGGATCATCCTCGCAAGCTGCTCCGAGCGCGCAAAGTCTGGAAGGTTTCGAGGACGAAGACATGGAGCTCCAGGCCGCTCTGCAAGCCTCGCTCATGGGCATGAACACTGAATACGAGTACCCTCATACTCACACCTCCGTCCCGGCGCCGCTGTCATCCCTCCCCGGTATCCCTTCGCGGGGCATTTTCACCTCCACGCACCGCTTCGACCAGAATGAACAAACACCACAGTTAGCGCCGCCGCCGCTCATACCCATCCAGGGTGACGACGATGACGAGATAGAGGCAGAGTCCGAGCCCGAGCAGTTGGAGGCCGTGAATACCGACCCGGTCGCGGCGAGCATGGCGCGCAACCGTGCCTTCCTGCAGGCAATGCAGCGCGAGCAGGAGGCGGCGTTACAGGAGGGGTACCCGGCGCAGATGGCACGCTTTCAGGCACGCCACACCGCAGAGCAGGAGGAAGAGGAGGAGATGCTCCGCCGTGCGATAGCGGAGAGCGAGGCGATGGCCCGGGAGCGCAAGGAGGTGGCCGAGGACGAGCAGCAGGCACCGTCACAATCTGCCTCTGCGTCGGTGTATGACGAGCCTCGGGTATACGACGACGAAGACGCGGAGCTGCAGGCGGCGCTAAAGGCTTCCCTCGAGAGCGTCCCCGAAGGCTTCACGATGCCGGAGACACCGCCCCCACGGCCGCCCCAGTCATTGCCGAGTGCGAGCACGTCGGCACCAGCTGCGCCGCCGCCGCCACTGCAGCGGGAACCTTCAACCAAGTCTGAGTCAGAGGGCTTCGAGACAGAGTCGGAGGCGGAAATCGAACCGCCACAAGAGCAACTAAGCATGGAAGAGATTAGAAGGCGGCGGCTGGCGCGGTTTGGGGGTTGATTGGTGTTGGTATGCAGCGTCGCGCGATGAGTGAGTGCAGGTTTTCAAATTTTTGTATAATAATCAGCACATAGACTACGCAGTGCTCGAATTGATATGCTTCGCCAGTTTGCAGGCTATCAACCACCCGAGCAACGTAAGATGAGACAGTATTTTAGACGATTGACAAGGATGTCTGCTACAATACATGTGTCTACATCTATTATGATGATACCCAAAGGAAGTGAGCGTAATGCGCAAGAAATGGGACGGGAATGAGTTATGCGCAATGTGTATGCGTATAGGTAATGTATCGTTGAAGACGCAATGGGAGGAGACACAGATACAGGGAAACACGAGTCCCAATCCAGTCCACCAGTCCGGCATGTCCGTCCGAACGAGCTTGAGTACGTCCCAATTGAATTTACTTTCATAACAATACGGAATAACGAATCGCGAAGGAGCCAAGGAATCAATCCTACATATCATTACCAAGTTAAAGGGAACTGCGATGCCGGACATGTATACCGGAGTCCGATATGGACATGCACGATGGTGGTCATCAAGACCAGCAGATAGTCAATGCTGGTCCATCGCGGCGGCGATTTGGCTCTTAAGCCACTTGACGAGCACTGCCATTCTCTCCGATGTACCCGCTTCTACTGCGTTGGAGAGCGCCTCAGCCTGGAGCACGTCGAGCACGCGCTGACCAACCGCCACCTCGCACTCCTCAGCGCGGCCGAAGCCACTCAAGCAACCCTTGCGGTACTCCGTCTCCGACAGGCCGAGCATAGAAGCGACGGTACGCTCCCGAATGGGAACCCCATCGCCAGTTGTCGGCAATAGCGTGCGTAAGAGAACAGGCAACGCAATGAGCATCGGAAGGTCGGCAGTGACCACCTCCAGGTCCGCTTCAAATTCCGCGAGGCTGCTCACACTGGAGCTACCAGGTCGCCCACGCAGAACTGCAGCGTGCGATTGGACTGACTCGAGCAACGCTGTGAGAGCGCTCAGGGCATCGAAGGCCTCGTCCACGGCCTCGCGGGCGATACGGGTCGTCTCCTTGTCTGCAGACGGACGCGGGAGCATGTAAAGCAGGTTGCACAGCGCACGAGCATCAGCAGCGGCTGCGCTGCCTTTGGCGACGGTTGTACCCGGAGAAACCGGACGGGAGGGAGGCAGCTTGAGAGTGAACCTACTCGCGGAAGGCGTAGTAAGCGTAGTAATTTGGGTAGATACAGGGCCTTGACGCTTGCTCTCCTTCCCCTTTGCATATGCAGACGGAGGGAGCACGGGAGACGAGGGTGGGGTGGGAAGAGGAATAGGGCGGTTGGACAGAGCGACGAGACCCCGCCAAACCAACAAGATGAGAAGAGACGCAAGGCTGTTGTCTGCGGTTGCCGAGGTAACGTAGCGAGATAGACCTCGAGCATACACTGGCATCAGACCCTGCAAGGCCATGATGGACGGGTGAGGTAGTGGAGACCTGGTGCCTTTCAAAACGCTCGGCGCATTAGACGGGGTCTCCAGTGCCTCCAAGAGCGGCACCATTTCGTTCTTGATGCCGTTCATCAACGGGTCAATAACCCTCTTGACTACAGACACGAGTCCTTCACGGATATTCTTCAGCCCGTCGCCTCTCATATCCGTCTCCAGGCCCAAGCCCAATCCGTCAAACGTTTCGAGCAGCTCGCCCGCCAGCGTAGCAAGTCCTAAAGCATGCAGCTGTGTCGCATTGGGCGAAGGGTTGTGCGGCGTCGGCGGGATTGGATCATGGAATACTGACGATGATAGCAAAGGCAGCAGATCGCTGGATAAGTTCGACAGGAGCACCGAGAGAGGTCGTTGAAGGATCCGAAGGAATGCTCGGTACAGATGCGGGTTCTCACGCACGGCTTTTACTTCCCTGACAGCGGTATCAGAAGTGAATGAGACGTACTACCGGCAACAATACTCACTGGGCAATGAGGGCACCTAGAGCGCGTCCACGTCCTGCAGGGATCGGTCGTCTCCCATTCAGCAGCTCATGCGGTACGCTTGGGCCGCTAGACTGAGCAAGTGCCTTCGATACAGCCTCACTAAGCCTCAGACTCAGCACGTCCATGTACGAACCGTCCTGTACGGTAGTGGCGGGGGCACGTCCGGGCACCGGTGAAGGAGAGGGGCGTCTGAAAGTGGCTAGAGAGAGTCTTGAGAGAGGACGCGGAGCCCGGTCGGGACTCATAGTTGAGTCAACGGGTGTGAGGACGGGGGAGGAAGGACGAGTGGCAGGACGAAGAAAAGACGGCGTCTTAAGTGCGCTGTACATTGCTTATGTAGTGATGACGACGAGGTCGGGCGTGAGAGGAGGCGGTTTTATGAGATGATATGTGAAGGCTGCAGGTGGGTTGCTTCGTACGAAGCGAGAGGTAGCGCGACGACAAGAGCGATGGATTGTATCTGACCGGAGCAGGCAACCTGGATCCGATAGTGTGACAGTGAATTTATCCCATATGGAAGAGCTGATTGTTCGAGGGTGTTGAGAGGTCTGCGGTAGGGCAAAAGATCCTAAGGAGGCCTGTCAGTGTCAACAAGGAGGAATGCGAGCGGTCCGAAGAGAATGTTGTTGATGTGGTATGTGCTACAGAACGAGTCAGCACGTCGGGCCACGAAGACAGCTGCCCTTGGACGCACCCAGGCAGCGAGGAGAATATCATGAATTAATCGCGGAAAGCACAGTGTGGTATGGTGCGGCTGCGAGGCAGAGGGGCGAGAGGAGAAGGAGAGATCCTTGCAGACGAAAAAAGAGCAGCGGAGCGCTATAAGGGCGGGTAGGATTCCCACGAGCCGGGTCGGACTGGATCCGCGTCGGTTATCGCATTTGGCGCCCGGAGCTACCTCTTCCTCTCCCCCCGTGCTCGACCTGCCACTCGGCGAGTGACTCGCCCCGCTCCGTGGGCTGACTCTGGCCACATCGGGCCAATCTGCCCTGATATACACGGCTCATGGTGAGACCCTCCCAACGACGACAGCAGTGGGGCCTTGCATGCGACCTAGGCGTTACCGCTCTTTCACATCATCCATCCACGTGCAAAACGACCCGTCCGTTGATCCTGGTCGTCGTGGAGTCCACAGTATGACTTGTTCGAACTTTATGTCGAGATGGACTGCCATGGAGTGGACGGCCTGCGGGGGCGCACGTTCGATCGCATCGCATAGCGGCAAACGATCTGTTACATCGATATGGTGATTCTGGTATACTGCAACAAGATGCTCTACTCCATCATTCGACACATAGCGCTTTACAAGTAAACGCGGCCTGCAAGATTGGATTACTATGCATCGTGTGCGCAAGGAAGGTTCAGACTAAGGGGATGGGAAGGCAGCTATATGCGCTCGGGTATCCAAACAAGGTCAGAAACTCCGAGCCGCCTGATGTGGATGCGGCGGCTCAGACGTATAAACAATGAAACAGGGATCTGTCATGGGTGGTCATGAATGGTCGTAACGAAGATGCTATTGATCCGCCTTCTGCAACACCACGGTGTCTGATGACCTATCAGCTCCTTGGCAATCTACAAAGTCCACGCCGTTACGGTCTCCGCGAGACCGTTCAAGTTGTCCTGGTAGTTGATGATGCCTTCATTGTTGACGCTCAACTGGTACGTAGTGTATACCGTGTTCAACCCGTAAATGGCGATGTCGGTCGCGCCATTTTCGATTTCCACGATCTGTGACTGACAATTATAGTCGTCATCACAGGTCTCAGCGTAGTCCTGTATAGCAAGCTGTCAGAAAAGCCAAGAGATTAAGTCGGAGCAGTGGCAAACCTGGAAGAAGCTGTAGTGCCCGGCACCTGCGTAGATCGCAAGGATTAGCAAGGCGCCCTCCGAATGTGTGGTAAGATTCGCCCACCATATACCAGAATGTTCGACGAGGTTGAATCAACGTACAGGGCCCATGCGGCGTTCGCTGGCCAGGAGGAGGGATCTCCGTACGTGCTACTCGGAATGAATGGAGCAGTCGGACCGGGATTCGGTTGGAAGTACGGCTGTGCGGTACGTGAGTGATCCATGCTCAACGACCGCATCTAGCCACTCACTGTCTCTGTCTGGATAAAGCCCAGGTAATGATTGGTGGCACCCATCAACCCATACTGGTACATGATGTGGTGTTCACCTGCAAACGCCGTCAATGCTCAATACCAGTGTGAAGTGAGATGAAGTCAAGCGCACTCGCTGCGGAGGAAGAAGGCGTCAGAATCGACTCAGGGTCGCGAAAGCACGACAATACTGACAAGTTCCAATCATCCATACCGGCCCCTGTGACTCAGATAATATACCGCGAGCGCTCCAGAGAGTCAGCTGCGGGCTATCTGAAGGAGCGTGTCAACTTCTGTGAAGACCGGGGAAGGACTATTCTATCTCGCCTACCTGATGCGTCCAAGTCATGATCCGCGAGCCATACCCATAGCCCCTACGCCGCAATCATCAGGTTGTGCACAAGTCCGGAATCGAAAAGTCTACTTCGAGATATGCGCTAGCTCCAGAAGTGATGTAGATTCCGAGGAATGCTGCGAAGCAGTCGCTATTGCCACTAGTCGTCGTCGAAGCCGGGCATTGCGAATCCTGCAAGTCCGTGCCATCCCCTGCGAAAATGGTGTGCAAGAAGCTCGGAGACGCAATGCAGCTGACTCACTGCCTCCAAGACTGTAGAAACCTGGTATCAGCAAGTTTCGTGCAAGTAGCGAGAAGCACACTGACATGATATAAGTGTCCCAAGTACCGGCTGCACCCTGTTCGCCGGCAGGATCATGCACATTCCATTCGACAACTATCGCTCCGGCAGCTAGAAGACGAAGACGCGAAGCGTGAAGGCACAATTAGCCGCCTGTACCTTACGCCAAGCAGGTGCGCGAAGAGGAAGCACGCCACCCACCGGGTCCCTGTGTCGAGAAGATCATGTCCGTGATCTCCGCGACGCCTTCGTCGCCCGAATTCTCGCCGACGCGCACAACGACCTGAGGAGCGTTGTAGTTCTGGAAGTAGCTGCCATAACCCATGATCGTGGACCATGCCTCGCCGACGACAATCGTTCCCGCAGGAATCGTGATCGTTGAGGACACCATGTAAATGCCTGCATCGAAGTAGATAATGTAGCATCCGGCGTACTGCAGGTCGTTACATGGTCTGTCACCGAAAAGCAAGACAGCAGGATCCGAACTCACATTGTTGAAGACGTCCTGGATTGCGGCTGTATCATCCGTGGACCCATCACCCGTCGCGCCTTGGGATCTAACACTTATGAACTGGCTCGGCGAATAGTCGATGTATTGCGGGTGGCCCTTCCCGAAGATCCATCCCGTGCTGGCTAGCAATTCGGAAGGCTTCGAGATTGCAGTAATATCACCTTGGGTGAAGGTACCGGTCCCGTCTGAACCAGAATACACGTTGCCTTGTGCCCAGCTATTGATAGTGTACGTCCCACCAGCAAGCTACGGAACAAAATGTCAAGGCCAGCTGGCTCCCTTGTCAAGCGATATACATACCACAACGTCGCTGCTGGAGGACGCGACAGCGTAGCCCACGTTGGTGAGTGCAATATTATTAAGGACGATGGACCCGTCAAGAGAACTTGATACAGAAGAGGGTTGGATGAAATACGTGACGTCTGTGATGGCCGCGTCGATGATATTTTCGGAACCGACACCTTGAGAACTCCCGGATGTCGTGCCGGTTGTCAATGCGAAGCCCACCTGCACAGGACGTTCACATGGAGTTTCAGAACATCTGAAAGGCAATCATCGCACCTCGCAGTTGTTGATGGTGATCCCTACGAAGCAAAAGATCAGCATTGCAGCTAATTTACAAACGAACAACCACCGACCTTGCCAAGTCCACCCCCAAGCCCATATGCCATAGACCTTTGCAGACTCCAATCAGGAAAGAGAAAGGCTGCATCTTTGATGTTGATCTCTTACCGCTGTGGTCATTTGATGCGGGTATCGTCAGTCGGACTGCCTCAATCTGAATAACAAGATCTTCTCACCAGTATTGGCATTGTTAATCGTCACGTTCCGGACGGTGAACCTGCGGGACAAGGACTTCATATGAATCGTGCATGAACTCGACGCCAAAAACTTACTGCTGATTCCCAACCTCCAGGCCGTACTTCCCTCCGTTGAACACCATGTCTGCGTCGTGACATGAGACATGGTTTCAAGATGCGGCAAATCCACTAACCTCCCATGAAACCGCCGCTGTTTATCGCCGATTAGCGCTTGCACTTGGCGCGGAAAATCTCAAGCGGCGCCTACCTTCCATTCTCCATGTACAGACCTACCTGAGTGGTATCCGAGGCCGTGCTCATCTCGAACACCAGGTTGAGGAGTGATGTGGACTGTGAGACCTGCCAGTGGATACCGTATACTCCCGAAGTGGCCGACGTTTGTGTGAGGTCAAACACAAAGTTCCGGACCGAGCGGTAGCTGCATTCATATATCAGCCAGATACAGGCCACTTGATGCAGAAGACCGCTCACAAATTGTCCTGGTTCGTGTACCATTGCGCGCCGTAGCCGTTCGGAATGTACGGGTCTGCATCTTTGTGACAGACATATTGTCAGCAGAGTACATATACCAACCACAAGACCTACCGACGAGGGCTAGTCCAGAGAAACTGGAACTTGCCAAAAGGGTGGGTGGGACCTTCGCATCGCCAACGAGCACGGTATAGTAGTACGCGATGAGAGGCGCCGAAATGAGGTATGTCCTGTGGGAAATACGATGTGAATTTGAATTGATATCGCATGTAGATGTGCAGACCTACCCTTGAGGGAAGAAGACAACGGCAGGCGTGGTTCTTCCATAAACCATGTCAACGATAACGAGAATAGATCGAACGATATTGGCTTACGTAGACGAGCCACACCCGTCTCCACAGCGCGAACCAGAGGAGATGGCGTCGCTGTTAGTGCGCTTCATGAGGCATGCTGAAATCACAGAACCCCGAGACTCACTTGATGGCGTCAGTATCATCCGTGACACCGTCACCCGCGGCTCCGTAATCCTTCACATTGCGGAAGACCGCGTACGTGGAGGGGTCAGAAGCATATGGCGCATACCCTTGGTGAGTGATGTCTTGCAGCCAGTACGGATCGCTAGCTGACGCGTTCCCTGCACCAAGAGATGCGGTACATAGAGACCCAAGCCCAGAAACCCCCAAGATGGCCGATCCCAAGACAGTACACAGAGCGAGCAGGGCAGAATGCGGAAGCATGGTCAACCCTCGAACAGGAGACGTCTGGAGAGGTACAGGTTAGCAGGACCGCAGACGACTTCGGGGCACGGACGAGCGAGCTCATGGTGCGTGCAGTTTATATACGGTCTCTGGGTCTCAGCGTCACGAACATGCATCTTGCAGCTTCAGCGTGAGACCGAACTGCGTAAAATAACTAGGCCCGTGATGGAGAGGCTCGGCGAAAATGCTTGCTTGCCACCACAACGTGATATCTATAGATGAATGAGTCCGCGCAAAAGAGGTGAGCTTCTCCCGCCTCATTGCGCACAATGCGACGACAGAAACCACACAATGGCTGGTACTGCGTCCGACCAGCGCCTGTATTAGACAAGACGCGGAACATGAAGTGGGATACGACGGCCTCATAATGCCGCGATGAATGTTCCCGGGAGGCGGTTTGCGGACAAAAGGACACTCCGAGCGAGAGAACGCCCGTGGAACGCGTCTGTCGCGCTCACGTGGTACAGGTGCACGCATGTGGAGATATGGGAACAACGAATACCAGTTCTCACCTCAGTGCAAGGCTCGCGAAGAGAAGGAGACGGACAGGGAGTGCAAGAACAGCTGAAGGACGCTTTCGTAGTTATACGTTGGGTAAGTTCGATAAGATCATGCGGCGTCACGGAAAACGAACAGCGCAGCGCGGCCTGTCGAACATGCAGCGACTACGAGAGTCGCGTAATCGAACTCCCACCGTGATAGATGACTAGCGTGTCGTCACTGGGCAACTTGGTGTCCGTTATCGGCTAGTGAAGAAGGCCTCCGATTGGAGACACCTCTGAGAACACGCCTCCATGTGAAGACCCTGGTATCCTATAGCACAACCTCATTGCATGATGACGACGGTGCGTACGAAGCAAACCGCCCAACTTGTCGGTTTCAATGTGAAACCAGCGCCACAGCTCTCTCGCAGCTCCCAATAAGGAAACATTCCCGTCCGTTATGGCAATTCCGCCTCAATTTATGCAGAGTATGCTTGGAAGCATGGAATAAATCCTAGGCTCAAGCTAAGCCTCTAGTCTCCGCGGAAGGCAGTTTGAGGAATCTCACGTGGAGCGCTGATCCTTGAGCAGTTCCGGATGCCTCTGGCGATCTCCGCGGACCTCCCATGGCGGGCGCGAATTCGGTTCCGCCATGGCTTGTTATACCATGCCAGTAGAAATGCCGGTCCATTTCTGGCTTCATCGCCTGACCCACAGGACAAAGGCGTCGGGCGTTAGGGTACTCCGTCAGGGACATGCGCGTAGGGAGGCGCGTCTCGGTGTTGCTTCGGAACTGATAAACTTCAGTCATGACCAGGCACCAGTCATGCGGAGAAGAGGGTGAGATCGATGGTGTACTCAGACAAGGGAAGAAACAGAATCCAGAGGTCATAGGAGCACAGTTGTCCTGCAGGCAGGTACCATTGCACATGTGCTGCCTCGTCAGGCGGAAGAATGTCAGAGCAGCAGAGGGTACCGCTCTACATCCGGGGCCAGACCTCACGGACGTCCGTTGCTTCTACGGGACTGTGCTTGCCCAGAAACTTTGGGGCTGACGAGATATCAGCTTGCGTCTGACCTCGCGAATCACTGTTGGTGCACATGCTGGTGGGCGGAATGCTGGGTCATCTGGTGTCATTTGTGAGACGCAGCAAAAATGCAATCGATGCAATCCGGATACAGCGTCCTTGGATGGTCCTGCATGGTACCACTGAGGGCGACTTGTTCAGCTGATGGGCATGTCTATGGTAGCGTATAGTGTTTCGTAAAGTTGCCAAGGTGCACAGGATGGAAGTATCAACCCATCAGATAGGATATAGATACTGTTGGCGTTCGATTAAGGGTGGGTATAAAAAGTGTGCAAGGTCTGGATCACTTACGGTTCTATCTGTATGATCTTTGCAAATTGCATAAACTTCAATGCATGCATGCCACGGGGTTTACGTGTAGCTGAAACAATAGCACACCGTTGATTGAATCGGGGCATTCAGATTCGCCCCTTAATGAGTGAATGAACTATATCATCTGCTCATACCCATTGCCATGCGATGCTCATGAGCTTCAGCAGTCCTCTCCTATGGCTATTGAACAAACGGCGTTTCGTACCTTCGCATCTACAACTAAAGCGACTGCGACCTAACGGTAATGTCAAGCGCACTAAATTCCCAGGAGTGAGGGAGCCTGGGATGTATCCAGCTCAGCCCAAGTGTTCCAGAAAAGCGTTCGAGATACCCGTAAGCCTCCCCTCGTCAGTGTATAGGAGCCAAACCGGGGAGATTGAACCCGTCCGGTAGTAGCGCAGGATTGCAATGGTGACGCACCCTGGCACACCTTGCCAGCTACAACGTGGACTGTGGTTGTTCCGGGTTGTTATGCGCGGGCTTCCATCCGTTTTGACGGAAGCTGCCTCTGTACCAAGAACCTGTGGAAGCACCGTGCGCAGCACCGTAGTCGACAATGTGCGATACCCTGCTGGCACTTCCGGCGGTGATACGGTCTCCTTTCAAGAATTTGAGCGTAACAGGGTCGTCCAATTCTGCTAGCATCAATCTGACAGTTGAGCTGACCGCAAACAATTCATTCCATTTGTTTAGCCATGAGCGTTATGTCGACGAAGATAGGAACGCGGTGGACGGCAGCACGCGCGATGGCTTGCTACTAGTGGCTATTTCGTTTTGACGCCGATCGCTATCAGCATTGTGGCGTTCCGTGGTATGACACTCCCGATCCGCCTCCAGCTGCATTGAACCGCATTCTTGTCGCCCACTGGCTACCCACTGGCGCTCTCAGTTCCATGATGATGTCAGAATCGGACAGAATAAGTTGGAATACGCTGGCGGCGGCCAATTTCAGCTTGCAGCATTGCTGAAATTATAGCGGAAGTTACGGTTAACGATGATGTAAGTGCGTCCAGGCGGCGGGATCCTTGTCCAAAGCGCCTCTGACCCGCCATTGGAGCTCTATAGTTGACCTCGTTCCGAGCTTTTAATGGTACTCGCTCAGCTTCCAAAAGCGCTGCCGCAGCTCCTGGTCGAACTTCCAAGAAGAGTCATCCGTTCGCAGTGCAGAAGGAGGGTGGAGGGCCCACAAATAACCTCGTGTTGTTCCATATGTTACCGCTCGGCTCCCGAAGGCCATCTTTGGTCTACACAATGACGCCCTCGTCATTCTTAGCGTCATGTTTACCAGTGGGCCATGTCATTTGCTTAGAATGAAGTCATGTTCGAAGCTGGCTGCCGTACAAAGCATCACGCTGGGTCTTCTGTCCGAACATATATACCATTAGATGCGCCGGTCAGTACCCCACTTGCAGCCTTGTCCCTCTTCCTCACCATGCGCAGCCTCGGCCTCTTCTTAGCTTGCGGCGCAACTTCGAGCCTCGCTGCGTCGCTCCACTATACCCCGACTGGAGGATTGGATACCAGTGGCTCTTTACCTGTATATGAGCTTCTGAGTGACTTTGACTATCAGTGTCTCGTGCGTTCAGTGCTGTAATGTCATGGAACATATCTAATTTATCAACGTAGAACCTCGCGATTTATCAAGAATTGATAGAACTGGACTTGTTCCACAATGGTCTCGCGAGGTACTCGGACCAAGATTTCGAGGACGATGGTCTCACTGCTGAGGATCAAGCCTTGATTGAAATCATGGCTGACCAGGAAGTTGGATATGCCACAATCATTTCCAACATGTTGGGCCGTGAGTATACCGCGCAATCAGTACGGAAGTTAAGTAATAATGGTTATTTTGCTCGGTAGCAAACAATGCTTCAAAGTCATGCACCTATTCCTAACCATTCCTCACTGTTCGCGAATTTATCATATTCAACGGAGTGGTCCGTACTGTTTTGTCCATTATGTCTGGCCTCGCCGCTCAAAGCTCTCCTTTCACAGGTCACTCGATTCGGCGAAGCTGGCACATATAATTTACTGGAGCGCCTAAACTCTCGTGCCGCGACGCAGCTTGCGCTTGAAGCGACTACCACGGAAGTTCGACAGCAGATGGTTCTCCGACATTTTGAGGGTGTGTTCCCCATGCCGGTTAGTTATGTCCAACCATACAAATGACAGTTTTCACTGCCATCGTCACGCAGTTCTGGTTCACGCCGGCTATCACTCAAAGCATGCAGTGAACCCTCATGGCTCCGTACATCACGGCATGTCCTGCTGAGGACAACCGGGCGCAGTGGCAGAACTTCCCTGCTTTGAACATCTCGGTGAGTGTTCAACGATTAAGGTACATATACGATGACAATATTTTATCCGTTTAGAATAATCCCAACGTCTCCGAGGTGACCGGCTGGGCAATGCCTGCTATCACTCAGAACCATAGCGCATGTATGGCGCGTGGACTTGTCCTAACGACACGCTCTACCTTTCATGGGAACCGCCAGGAAAGTCCGTTGGACCGATCAACTCCTACATCACTGCTACGACTGCGGGCGAGCCCAAGGCAAGTAACCTATCCTTCTATTCAATGCGTGTTTCTTTTCGCTTCCCCTCCCTTTTTCTTCATGCGATGCCCGATTTCTCCTGTCGCCAATCTGCGTGAGAACGGAATAGCAATGCTGACACGATTGGTTGCGGGATACACAGTATGTTGCCTGGATCATGCAGTAAAACACTACGTACACGCCGTTGACGAACGTCAGCGGTAACAGCGGTCAGACCATGCAGCCCGGAGGCATGATCTACGGGGACCATTCGTTCCCGACGTACCCGACGTACAATGGCACATTGTGAGTATTTCGCCATCTCTCGTGCTTGACGCCGACGTTGAATTTATGCGTCTGCAGGTTTGTTGTGGTGACGGATGACGACCCGGCTGTGACGCCTGCAAATATCAGTTACTCGAATCAGCATGTTGTGGCTGGTCCTGCAGCATACTACGCTGGCTGAGCGGATTGCGTTAGCATGAATCGGACTTATTCAGGATCCTGTTAAGCTCTCGAAAAATGGACTGTGTCCAGTCATTAGCTTTCAATATATCTCTAGGACTTGTCGCAATGTGTGAATAGCTGGTTGCCATCGATTTCCGCACGAAATTCAATTTTTCGTCCTAGGCAGAGTGCTGTTTAACGGGGTCACTACTATCGATCGGAACATTACAGATGGGAGCAGAATGTGACAGCCGTACCGATTCGTTGGAATGGCAGATCGGTTTGGTTCGCTTGAACGCGTGGCACGTGCCCCGCGATCAGTACATCATCGTTGAACGCGCATTGTGCTCTCTTGCCACCACCTCCCCCAAATCTGTCCGTAACCATCATGAAACGCAGCGCAGAGAAGCAGCTTACAAAGGACGAGTATGAAGAGGATGAAGAAGACACTGAGGTGAGCGACTCGTTTCTCTAGGCCGTGCTGGTGATGGACGACATTCCAGGGAGGATCGCCGTCTACGTCTGAGCAATCTAGTTTCAAGAAGGCGAGCGCTACAGCTCTGGCAGAGAGACCGTGAGCCCTCTATTTCCTGCTATCCAAATACATGTGCTTACTTTAGTCAAGAATGAGGTCTTTACCCAAACGCGGTTTGAGACAAGGTTTAGCGCCATCACTATCACCATCGCCTTCTTCTGCAGAAGAGGTAGATAGTCCGCTCCCGTCTTTAGCATCTCAGTTACTCATAGGGGTCTCAGGAGCCATCAAGGCCCAAGTTCGGCGGGTTCGGCGGGTTCGGCACGTCGACTACCACAACGTCGGCTTTCTCGCCGCAAGCGACAACGATTGCGGGTGCACCGTCTGCACAGCCGACTTCTGCAAGAGCTGAGGTTGGTACAGCGTTGTGTTGGCAGTGCTGTTCATCCATATAATTTACAGGCACCGAGGTTCGCGGGATTCGTTGGTTTCAGTGGCACGGTCTCGACAATGAAACCATCGGAGCCACCTGCGCCTCAATTACCGAGCAAGCAGCTGGCCCCTGTGCCTTCGAAAGAACCGTTCGCTCCGTTTGGGTCTTCGTCCATGCCTGCGCCTGCGCTGCCTCAGTTGGCTGCTCCCTCAAAACCGCCACCGGCACCGATTGCATTCGCATTCACGACTTCAACTGTCAGCCCGAGCATCAATAAAGCCTTATCCAAGAAGCCAGAAGTAGAAGAGAAAGCAAAAGACCCCACATTCGATGCGCAAGTCGAATATTATACTAATATCCGTGGGCTCGACGTATCTTTCTCATCTGCAGTACAAGATGCTATCAAGGAGGACCCTTTTGCGGACCTCAGCGGCTTTTTTGATCAGTACAAGAGCTATCTTCTGTCTTTCAAGACAAAGTTCGATGAGCAGCGGAAAGCGATAGCGAGCGCATCCGTGCTGCCAGCGACGGCTCCGAAACCTCTGCTCGCCGAAGCTGCTACGAATGGCACGCCGAGCTCTGCATCCCCTGCTGTGCCGCCGACGCTCACGATGCCAAAGCCTCCCGCCAGTTTTGGCGCGTTTGGATTACCTTCGACGACCAAAGCACCTTCCTCTGTGACGACTACTTCCACGTTGCCGTCTTCCAGTGCCACATCGGCATTCAAGATGCCCACTCCACCATCTAGCTTCAAGGGGTTCCCTGTCCCTTCTTCAACACAGGCGCCTCTTTTCAAAGCGGACGAACCTGCGAAAAGCACTAGCACGGAGAGCTCGACCACGTCGGCGAAGCCAGTCGATTTCGTTTTTAAACCCTCAGCAACTTCAAGTCCTCCAAGCGCCGTACCGCCAAAAAGTGCATTCACATTCACATTCGCTACTTCGTCTTCACCCTCCTTGCCACAATCTGGTTCCGCCTTCTCGTTTCCTACTTCCAGTGCGGGGAGTTTTGCGGCGACCACAGTCAACAAAGGGGACGGTTTCTCGCCGAATAAATCAGCAGATCTCTCTATGACGAACGACACGTCCAATCCCTTTATCGTTCCTGTCGGCACCGCACCCTCAGGCAATCTGTTTAACAGACTCAAGGATGCAGGCAAGAATGCGGAAGAAGATGAGAGGAGTGATACTTCGTATGTGGCTGGTGCGGGCTTTGCGCTAGGTGCGGGTATCTTTGGTGGAGCGCCGGCTTTCGCCACGCCGAACCAGTCGACATTGACCGGTTCGTCTACCTTTGGTTCCGTCTCGCCGAGCAAGCCAACAGCATTTGGGGGAAGCCTTACCAAAGCAGGAGGTGCATTTAATCCCGTCGGCTTTAGTTTCGCCAGCCCTGGAACACCAAGCGGAGACAAGTTCACATTCGCAGCGAAGGGCCCTGTGTTCCCTTCGACACCGGCACCAACAACGGTTGAATCCAGCGGAGCAAAGGAGCAGACGCCACAATTGAGCCCGGGTGCTCCTGTTCCAGAGGCCGGGGGACAAGCACCAAGCGGACTCCTTCCGACCTCTGAGCATGACATGGAGGGAGCAGGCGAGGAGGATGAGATCACTACGCATCAGATCAGGGGCAAGGTATTCCAATATATGACGGGTGGTAAGGAAGCCGCTCGGTGGGCTGAAATAGGCATAGGCGAGTAAGCTTCGTATACAGTGCTACGTGACGTTTTAAGTGATATTCTTCCTGAGCAGGCATGCTGCGCTTGAAGAAACACAAGCAAACTGACGCGCGGAGGATGTTATTGAGAAATACCGCTACTGGCCGTATTACGGTTGTGAGCAGAAATGATGCGTTATGGACCTCCGCCTGTGCTGACTACCATGCCTCAATGCAGAATTTCGCTCTCTACTCCGGAATGAGCCCTTCAATTTCGAAAAACGTCGTAACTTTCGTGGGTCATGATGAGGGCGCCCCGGCGACATACAAGTTTAGAACGAAAACTGAAGAGCAGGCGAACGAACTCAAGTATGCTCTTGAGCGCGAGATTGAGTTCGTACGTGCCAAGTCCGAAGAGCCGTCATAAGCCATAAAAAGAGGAGGTATCTTCTGAGGTTTTGCTTGCATTTATGTGTGTGTTACATAGTTTTGGAGTAGTCGGCACCAGTCATGTCCGTGGTATGTATGTGGACTTCGTCAATATACTTAAAGCTTACATCTAACGTCCGTCCATCCGAGATTGCGAAAGAACAGAGTAGACCATTACTTGCCAAAGTGACTTTGTGCATTGTGCCATGTTGAGTAATGGACAAATGCTTCGCTGAGCAGCATTTCAATCTCGTGGTCTCCCCAATTTTGGGTAGGGAGAGATTGTAGAAACATAATGATGCCCTGTACCGAAAAATGTACTCAATGTCATCGGTAATGACGATGACTGAAAGCTCGCACCTGGAAATCCATCTGTTGCAGCTTCTTGCTCCACTGAACAAGGAACGCGGAGCAAACATACAGGTGAAACTGAGAAAAGGCATCTGGACCTTCGGCCTGAACGAAAAATATCTGAGATCATGGCAGTTCCACCACCACTGGTGGGCTCACCAGATATGTGTCCCACATGCGAATAGTATTTTGCACGCTTATCTCGCGCATCAGCAAGCAATTCATCCAGCGGAACGCAAATTGCATGAACTCGACGTTCTCAGCCTGCAGGTGCGCCGCCAATGGCGCTGATAGGACAAAATTCGTCAGTTGTTTTGAAAATCTGGATGCAAATAACATACCATCAATCCTAGCGACGAGCTCTGCCATGCGTTTGACACTTCTGTGTATGCCAGGCTGTGTTGCGATATAATTGTCCTGGATGCCGTCCAGCAATCGAGATAGGCACCAGAATGTGTCAGCCTCAATCGCGTCGAGTACACTGGTTGGTAATATAGCGGGGTCAAATTCCTCCGGATCCGAGTCTGTCACAGGATCAGCCGGACGACCTCGAGGGCGAGATAAAGCTTCATCATACCAATATATGCTGACAGAAAAACCTGGAAGAATGGTGTTACAAGGTCATTGATGCCTTGGACATAACCACTCGCGGGATGCCTTATCGCCCAGGCGTAGAGTATTCGTTCAAGGCTCTACGAGTCGATGAGTTAATCCCTCACAGATTCGTGAGGTCCCCGACGCACCCTTTGAGTAGATACCTGCATCCATAACCGTATTCCAGGCCTCGTACGTGGAACATCTATCTCAATCTGATGCCAGATTTGCTGGTCAAGTCCTTCACGATCCCGTTTGAAGGCAAGCTCGACTAGCGAATAATACTCCTGTCTTTTCCGAGCCAAGGCAGCCGTACGAGCGAGATCAGCAAGGGGAAGATAACCCTAGCAGATCTACGTTGAGCAGAGGGAATTAGCGTAAGGTGTAACACGCACCAGCAACAATGGCCATGCTATCGGGCGTAAATCGCTTGGTACACCGTTCCAAGCCAGCTTGCGTAGCTGAGCCATGTCCACATCTTGGCGGGTGATGCAATCAATGAACTTCTGTCGCCTAGTGGAACGGGTTGACTGCTCATGATCCACATTTTCCGAGCGCGGGTCGAGCTCTACTCCATCTGCACCTAGGCGAGGTTTGGATCCTTGATTCGAAAGCCGTTGCCACACAAGGTGCAATGGATCTAACTGGCGGATGAGAGGTCGGCGAGAATACGCAGAGATGTCTATGTGTACCGTTAACAATCTCTTCAGCGTCATCTCTTACAGAGCCCTGGCCTTGCCTCGGTTTAGAGTGCGTAACTGCCGCTTGTTCTGCGATTTCAGGCTCGAGCTCGCCAACGATCATGTCACCTTCCACGTCATCATATGCTCCTCCATCGTTCACTTTGTCTGTCTCTCTGTGTTCGAGATTGTTCTGGTTGTCAAAGGACTTGCTGACGATCGTCCAGCCGTGTTTCGATGGCTGCAGATCTTGCTTTGGAGGGTACGAACTCGGACTTGGGTGACTGACGTGAGTGTACGAAAAGGCTAGCGTGGATGAAGAGTTGTTTAATATAGGCCTCGGTACAGGTTTTGGGGCAGTCGTGGTCGCGGTCGCGGCAGTGGAGGATCCTTGCTTCGAGCGACTCCATCCAGTATTGCTAGGCGACTCTGAGTCGGATCCGCTGTCCCACGCATCGTCCTCTGCCCAGTCGGCTATGGAGTACGAAGAGAACCGGTGCGAAGGATTTAAGCCGATATGTGGCCTTGCTGGCGGCGGTCGAGCACTCATTTTAAGCGAGTTGGGATGTGAGTTAGTGCGTTATGATTGCAGTCGAGGAAGAACAATATTGTGATCTGGGCGCGAAGCGCCATGCATCACGACCAGCGTGTATTTTGATCGCAAACTATTGGGGGTATAGCATACTTCACAGAGATTCCAAAAAACCAAAGCAACGAAGAAGCAACATAATCATAGGTGGTGGGCAGGGATCATAACTTAAATGGGCACATTCCATCTCATGGGCAATTTCGCGCGGGGTATGTCAAGCGGCAGTGGCAGCCTTATAAAAGTCCTCCTCTGACCACCCGTAGCACCGTTTCAGTCTCTTACTATACTCCTTCAACTTCACAGGCTGGAGCGTTGGGTCAGGATGGGCTGCAAACAAACGATGTGGTGTCAGCATCGCTTAAATTATCGAAAACGCTTAATGTACTCACGTTTGTGGAATGTAATCGGCTGAATTAATGGACTCAGCTTCACGACAGGCAGAAATTGAGGAATGTGCTCACCGTATCGCGCGGATCCGGTGGATCAAACCTGACAGAGGAGCCAGCGGTACTTGGATCATATGTGAAGCCCATCTCACGCATCACCTTCACAGCTGTCAATCACAACTGGAACTGGGCCACAATTCATGCGCTGACCTTCAAGAAGTTCTCCCATTTCATAGGAGCAAGGCCTCTCTTCTCATCCTCCGAAGTATTGAGTAGCTGATGCATGTGGACCTTGGCCTTCGATGACAGCTTATGGAAGAAGCTGAATTTGCTCCCTTGCTTCGAAGAGACGGTATCTTCTTCCGTCTTATCCTTCTTCCCGAAGCGATTGAATAGTCCCTTCTTTTTTTCTGGGATGGGGACAAGGTTTGCATAATCCGGCCTTGATTTGATCTTGGTCTTGCTATTGTTCAAACCTTCCGTCTGCAAGTACTTACGGGCAGACTGTGCAGACTGTGTTTGTTGCAAGGGCAGCGACGTCGTCGACATGTTCGTTAAAGTCGCCGTCGAACTGTTCACAGATGCCTGGCGCACAGGCTTTGACGCGTTCGCTGTCGACGGCGTTGCGGGCACACCATTTTTCGTTTGAGCCGACGGAGCAGATGGTCTGACACCAGCTGCTTGTCCCTCTGATGCAGCGTGGATAGCCGGGGTAGTCGGCGCTTGAGGCATACTCGTTCCTTGCTGCAAATCTGGAGTTGCAGGCTCAGAAGCCGTCGAGGGTTTCTTCTTCTTCTTTGACTTCTTCTTTTTCTTATTCTTGGCAGCAGCAACCTCTTCCTCATCTTCTACGGTCTCTACAGTAGCCTTGCGACTTTGGGAACCTGCCTAGAATGTTAGCTCCGCAACGGGGAGAACGTTAAAGAGGAGTGATGGCAAGACTCACCAGTGGTCGTAGAAGGTGCAGGCTTTTCCGTAGAAGCAACATCAGGAGCGCCTGGCGGAGGCGGAGCGGCAGGCGCTGTGGCCGCGAATGCATGCCTTGGTGTTGTGCGATCGGTGGTCTTCAGAGTGGGGTTAGAAGAGAACATACGCCCTAGACCAAAATTAAGCAGACTGAGACGAACAGACTGAGATCAAGTTCACCTCTCAAAGAACCCAGCAACTTGAGGAAAGGATTGCCTTTCCGTTCTTCAGCCAAGATGTCGGCATCTGGTGCTGCATTCCTATGGTCAAGGTATTCATTGGCTATGGCAGTGTCCATAGCCTCTCGAAGCATTTCACGAAGCGCATCCTCCTCATCAGTATCGTAACCACTCTCGCCGTCATCTTCATCCTCTTCATCCTCGTCATACGAATCGCTTTCATCAAAATCAACTTCGTCGGAAGAATCTGATACGGACTGCAGTGACGGCATCGAACCCGCGCTCTCGTCACCATCTCCGTTCGTGATCGCAAGGGGAGCCTTGCGTTTGCCACCAGGTTTGCCCGAACGCACCAGAGGTCCGCGGTCGTCGTCCGAGTCGTGGTCAAACCCTGCAGTATCGCGAGGCACGTAGATGGCGTGCCACTGCGGGGTCCTATCCTTGAGGTCGTCCAAGTGCCATAGGGTATCTATATCTTGACCACATTCTGCCTTATAATTCTAAGGCAATTTGATCTCAGCTAAGCGAGATCACTGCAAACGGGCTGTCAAATTTACCAAGTTTATGGACTTCCACATGTGCTGCAAGACGTGTGATTTCTTTGTCACAGATAGCGGGTATATGGTGTCTTTGAAGTTCGCACACATCTTAGATGCTCTCCCAGAGAAGACCTGGCCGTCAACCCAGTCCTCGTAGTCCTCGGGCATTTGCCGCGGCAACTTCTTCCAGGCTTCACCGTCGGGTCCCAGCAAGGGACTCTCCAAGTATTCTTGCAATTGCACGACTACCTAGGAAACGTTGCATCACCAAAGAACATAAGCGAGCTGCACGAAGCCCTCCATCTTGCTGTGGGCCGCGAAAGAACGTCGAACCTACCGAAAGATCACCCACTGCATCCCAGAGCGCCTGTGGAAACCGTTTCGCATCTCGGGGAGTCTCCGCGATAGCGTCATGCAGAATCTGATATAATATCTGCTTTGGCATTGAGGATTGAGGGAGACAGAGTTCCACGATGATGGAGTCGATAAATGACTTGTGAACATCTTTGAGTGCACTCCAGTCGAAGACGTACTCCGGTTCGTCCAAGTCATCCTCTTCAATGCGCTTGAAATACTGGTGATAATGAGCTATTAACAGTTGAAGTGAGCGGCTGAGGAAGTAGAGGGTGCGAGAAACCCACGAGCAGTCGTTGCTAGAAGAGCAAATTTGGCCTGTCCCGCTTGTGCCACAACGTTCACAATGTCATACAACACGAGGTACTTGTCTCTCAAATTGGCATCCTTCTTGAGTTGGCTCTTGATCAAGCTATCCTCAACTCCTGCTTCCGCTAGATCGCGCAAGGTGTCCCCAATGATCCTCCAGGCGGACGCCATCATATACGCATTGTGTATTCTGCCGAGGCACGTCGTGTAAAATGTTCGGCCACTACTTCGGTGTTAGATAACACTATACCTGGCTGCAACAATTGAGGAGACATTGCTAGCGTTGCGGAAGGGATCAACAGCATTTCCGCTGAGGTTGTGGGGCGTACGGGCTCTGACTTCGGCTTCAATTTTTGCCTGGAATAAGTCTGGATCCTGCAAATCGCTGATCTCATCCAAGCTCGCTGTATTCATTCGCGCAGGGATAGTATCAGATACCACAATAAATTGCGCAATGTGGTCGGACTTACCCGCCAGCATAGAATCTGCGATCTTCGCACATTCTTCGAGTCTGAAAGGCGTCCCTAAAGCTTTCTTCGACTGCTCAATTGCATCCTCTACGATATAAATCGGAAGAGTAAGTCTGCAGCATAGCAACTACAAAGGCACTACCCCACCAGCCAGAAGCTCGAGTTTCTCCCTTCCGCTCATTTTGCCCACGGCCACAAGTTCTCCCGTACCGCGGGCACCATATTTTCCGTTACGCAAGACGAGTGCTTTCGCAGTCAATGGCTTGTTTCCGTTCTCATCCCTTCGTGTAGGATTTTTCGCGATGACATCCCTTTTGCCGACCGGTACGAGGTCTCGCGATGTAGACACAGGGGCTTTGGCAAGTCGTCCGGATGGGGGAGCCATCTTCTTCTTCGGCTGCAGCCGGCGTGCCGTGCTTGTACAACTTTATCGCAGAGGTAGAGGGTCACAGAATGATGAACGGAAGCAAGAGAGCGACTCGGAGTAGGCAGGGCGATCCTGGACAAAGCACGAGTCACGTGTACGCGTACCCGTTCTGCATCAAGATTTGATTCTTAACCGATGCAATTTTTGGCCCATCACCGTCCCCATCATCGTGTTTCGAACGCGATTTGACGCGTCCAAGTCCTCAGAATGTCTCCGTAGGACGTCTTGCAACGACCACCGACTCCTTCCTTGTACGGAGTGCCTTCCAGGCAGAAGAGGCCCATGTCGAGCCAATATTCATGCGAATCAAATGCTGTACAAATGTCAAACATCGGCTTCATTCAGCAGAACGCGCAGATGAAACATACCCAAGGAGAGGTCAACAGCGGCTGTGCAGCTAACGCCGGGCATGTATAAAGATGTGTCTGACCATCCATGACCGCGGTCGCCGCTCGGCCGCTTACGACGTCTTCGCCTTCAACCCTCTGCTGGGCAGAGTCTTTGATTCAACCGTTTCTCCCTTAAGTCGGTCTTGATGGCTGCATTTAACGTTACACGTGAGTCAATTCTGCATCGTTACCCTGACATACACTGATGATGGGCACATATGCGCTCAACAGTTGATGACAGCTCTCCTCTCATAACTTACACTCCTTCTAATGCATGGCATGACACTCCGGCGAATGATTTCGCTGCAAAGCTCTACTCGCGCTCGTCTCTGCATACGTCGTCAATCGCAGGTGCGGCCGCAGAGCTGACGTTCAATGGAACTGGCCTGTGGCTCTATGGCGGCTTCAGGCCTTCCTACGGCTCTTACGCGGTCTCTGTCGATGGCGCACAGATTCTACGTGCGAATGCAACCGCACCAGACCTCGAATTGCGAAGCCTTCTTGCCGGGGTCTCTGGACTCGACACGGGACAACATACGGTTACGCTGACGAGTGACGGAACGGGGCCGATCGACATTGATTATGCGATCTTCGAGACGAATGTGGGCACATTAGGGTAGCGACACCATTTCATTCTGTACGCATAGAGCCATATGCTGAAGTTGTTAACAGAGCCTCCCTTACGAACATCACAGTTGACGACACGAACAGCCAGATGCAGTACAGTCCCTCTGCATCGGACTGGCAGCAGGATAGTAGCTCGATGTTTTATAATGACAGTCTGCAGTATGTGTCTTTCGCACGAAGCAGACATGAATGGGCCTGACGTTGCTACAGTTACTCTCAGACTACGGGCGCGCAAGCATCGCTCTCGTTCTCCGGCGATGCCATTGCTGTCTATGGGACTGTCTCGCCGTTGCACGCCAATTACACGGTATGCCTGGATGGAGTAATCTCGCAGGAATTCAACGCAAGCGATGTTCGAATTCTTCACACGCAGGTACGGTCGCCTTAGCCTGTTAGATGGTTGCGAGACAGACTGATACCTTGATACCTCTCACGTAGACATTACTCGTAGGTCTTTCTCCGGGTGCCTACCAGCGATGCCGGCTGTCTAACGTAAAATTGGCTACTCCTAGTACTTCGCGCAGAATCTGAGTTCAAGCGACCACAAGCTGGTCATCACTGGTCTTGGAGCGAACGGTACAGGGCAATACGTCGACATCGACTTCATTAGTATCTACAGTGCTGCAAACGACTCGACCGCCACGGCAACCCATGAATCTGGTTCCTCTGTAGGTTCTGCCACGAGTGGCAGCTCGACAACCGGCGCTCCATCCGTTGTGGGAGGGATGACGAATCCTTCGTTGAACAGTGCGGCCGATAAGTGAGGTTATCACACATGCCCTTTTTTTTAGTGATGCTGACAGCAATACAGTGTCGGGGCCCGCCTTAGTGACTCGTCTCGATTATCGAAGGGGGCCGTCGCTGGGATTGTCACGGGCACACTCTGCGGTCTCTTGCTGCTCCTCCTTATCCTCTTCTTCTGCTTCCTCAAACGGCATCGTGATCATTCTCAGTCCGGTCCTCATTCCGAGAATCCATCGCCTGTGCTGCCGATGCAAGAGCCTGACTTGGAGGCTGCACGTCAATTCGAGATTGGAGATGAGGATTTACACGTAGCGGACAAGGAGTTTGACGAGCATGAGAAACGGATGACAGGCGCTACGTTCGAATCGACGTGGTCGCAAGGATCGTATCGGTCGTCGACCACCCTGCGACACACCGAGCCTCCGCTGCCGAAGTGGGACACGTCTGCGCCTGTGCCGACGCTGATGCTCGCCTCTCGCGATAGCACGCATACGCGGAGCGTGTCGGACTCGTCGACAATGGTAGCTGATGAGGTCGCGCGTGGGCTGTCGGAGGTGGTACTGAGTCCTCCATCACGTCCGTCAAAGGTGCGTCTCTCTATGTGATTGTTTGCATCATTTGCGAGGAGCTGTGCTGATTATAGATGTCGTAATTGTCTAGGGCGCGCCTGTTAGGCCTCCTCGACCGCCTAGTTTGGCTATGAGCGTGACGCGGTACTATTTTGAGGCCTAGCAATCTGGTGTGGCACATGTCCGAGTTTAACCTGTAACAATTAATCCAATGCTGGCTGTGCTTGATCTGTGCGAATGCCACATATAATGTACCCTCGGGCAAGTCTCATTGGAAGTCGTCGGCGTACAATTATAGTGCTTCTCTGACCGATTGCATGAGTACGCAGAAACAGGCTGTCAGAGCGTGCAGACCACGAGGCCGCTTCGCTCATTCCCATGCTGTTGCGATGAGGCCGCCTCGATGGTCTGTGTCGACAACAATTTTTTTTTTGTACATTTATTTGTATACCGCGCTATGCGCGGTTAGAGTCCGACAATATTCCAAATCTCTCGGATCGGTGCCGACAATTAACCGACAGGATTGGCAAGGGATAACCTTGAACGACCCAAAGAATGGTTTGGATGAGCTACGAGCAGCCGAGGATCCAAGTTCACTTGGATCCTAGAAATAGACTATTTGGCTGTCAAGACGAGTTGGCGGTTGCTTTCAATTGTTGACGCGATCGAAGACGCTGGGATGTGACAATCACCATCCCAAGATATTCCAGCGCTAATTGTCGTCGTCGCAACCGTAACTGTCACAATCGCCCTCTCAAAAGGCCTCATTCGCGCCGTCATGCCTTCCTCACAGCACCGTGCATCGTCCGCCTTCTGCTTTTTCCCCTTCTTTCGTTTTCTTTCTCGTTGGTCGAGCTGAGCTCGCTGGAACCACCGGTTCTTGTCTCGTTCTTCTGCTCACTTGAAGCAAGCACTTCCACTGTTTTCTGCCGGAAGGACAGCCCTCGGTATACCGCCTCATTTCTCTGCCTCTTTGTCCGTCAACGTTCTTCAAGTTCCGTGATTTGCGCAACATGGGCAACCTGATCTGGCACGAGTGGTCTCGCTATGTCGCTGTTTCCGCTAGCCTTTGTGAGTCTGAGCCGTCTCGCGAGGGCTTCCATACTTAATAGAGAACTATGCTGCTCTGAAGACTTGATTTGGGCGAGCTTTTGGGGCATGTATTTCCGCAAATTCTTTTGGGACTTCATTGGCGGTACTCTACGCGACCCTGGAGGACTTCAGTGAGTCGCAGGGCTTGTGCCTATTAGGTGAAGAACCATTCTAAGTGGTGTTCTCATTTACCTCTTCAGGCCCTCTCCGAAAGTTGCATTCTTCATTACAATCATTGTGAAGATCCCGCTCGTCCAACTATTGTCCATGGCATCTGGCTTCGCGATGGTCGCATTTGAATACCCTGCGCCCTTTTTGAAGGGAACTGCTATTCATCGGAGCTTTGTCTTCCGCATTGTATGGTTGATCCTGCAAGCCTTCCTCGCTGTCCTGTTCTATCAGGTGAGCTCAGGATGTCAAAACCTGCAATTGTCAGATCTAAGCTGGATGGTTTCCTTAGGGCACGAATGCAGCTCTTTATTCTCTCGTTGCAGCCATAGGTTATGGGCGCGCTATATCACTTGGAGAGACGATGGAAGAGGCGAAAAACAATAGAGGAAGAGGCGGAGCTGCCTAACGCTTGCTTCCTCAAGGACGGACTTCCCGGAGTACGGGCTGGCTTCATCTTCTCGCAGACTACATTCATTTCACGCTCCATTCTTTTTGTCACTCTTTATTGGTCCTCGACCTACCTGCACGCGGTGATCTGGCCTGTGGCCGGAACTGTTTTTTCTCGCTTGTGACCGACTTCGAACTTCTGTTCTGTTTTAGTACTCGACGTGTTTTCTATGCGCGCTCTGCTGTATCTCGCACCTGTACTCTCTGGTAGAAATTAAGAGATGTCTCGAATTTCGCTTCAATAGGAACCGTGTAGCATATACCTAGGAACGATCGGTGTCGATGATCGCGCGAAAACAGCTCGAAGCCCCGTGCTCCTCAAATTGAAACGCCATGGCCATGTGTTCTTTGGAATGGCTTCGTGCTTCGGTGTTTTCTGCAGCAGATCCTTAGTGTCGCCAAAGTTTGCATCGTCGCGTCTCGCATTCTGTCAAACGCAAGTCCGCTTCGCTCAAACTGCGACTCTGTCTAAAGATTTCGCGGCCCGCAGGCCTCCCAAGTTGAGCTCGAGGACAGCGATTTGCACCAGGCTCTACAGTACATTCTCTACCATTGCAAACTCGACACGGATGCGTCAGGCTCTCGAAATCATCAACACACTTCCGGACAGCTTTCAAAGGGCACTCGAAGCCGGGGACGTGCTGTTCTTTCCCTCCACCGTGCACAGATATGTCGAACATAATGTAGAGGTAAGCATCTATGTCATCGCTACACTATGAACTGACGATACTACCATGTATGACGATATAGTTCGAAATCAGGCTGTGTCCAGCTTTGCAGAAAAAGCCGCAGCTGCCCATGCTTGATTTCTCTACGGCGGTGGAGGTGCAGCCCAAGAAGTCCGATCCCTTTGCGCCCCCATACGTGCCGAATCTGTACCTGGGCGAGCTGCGAGACGAGCAGGAGGATGCGGAATATGTCATTTTGGTTCGTATCGAGGACTCGTGAAGTTGATGGGGAGATTGAACACGCGTATTGTCGTGATGGCAGTTCAACAAATACTCAATCGTGCCACATCATTTTCTCATGGTGACAAAAGGTGCGTGATTGTTTCGCCATGAGACGTTGTGAAGATGGTGTTGAAGATGGACCGCTTGCGTGCGTCATAGAATACCAGCCACAGACGAAACCGCTGCTCCCTCCTGATCTCGTGCAAGTGTACATGCTTCTACTAGCTGCCCAAAGAGCAGGAAGGCGTTTCTTTGCATTCTACAATTGTACGCTCTCTCTACTCTTCGAGGGGGCATACCTGACGAGTGGCATCGCGTAGGTGGTGACCTGAGCGGAGCTAGTCAGCCGCATAAACACGTACAGCTACTACCCCTTGAGGACGACGGCCCTCCAATCGAGCGTCTGGCAAGAGCCACGAAGATCGATTATCCCGGTAAGGACTACGGGGATATCAAGCAGACATCCAGCTGATCAGCAACATTGCATTGTATCCCCAGATCGACCATTCGCCCTCGAGTCACTACCATATGCGAACCACGTCCGACGGCTACCTCCGAGTCTGGCGATGGGAACGTACGACGTGCTCGAGCGCACGCTCGCAGACGCATTCCTCTCGCTGCTCGACCTCACCGTGGCCACCGTGCGGCACGACCCGGAGTACCCGTCTGGCACGCCGTCGTACAACTTCGTGCTCACGCTCGAACATATGCATGTTATCCCGCGAAAGAAGGAGAACCACGTGCTGAGCGAGACAGGCGAGCCGCTGAGCGTGAATGCGCTTGGGTTCGCAGGTTGCCTGCTCGTGAAGAGCGAGCGCGAGCTCGAGGCGGTCAAAGGCGAGGGGGTCGGGAAGATCCTGCGGGGTGTGGGCTTGGAGAGCGTGCATGACATCTTGGCTAGCGAGCACCCGGATGATCTAGGGGGCTTGCACGATGGCGAGCAGGCGAGTCCATGAGAATGTTTGGACGGAGAGGCGAAGGTGAAACGGGCACTGGTACGTTTGTATGGCGTGTAGGGGTCCGGGAGACATGGAAGCTCACTTTTAGTTGAGGATTCGTCATCAGTCGAGGTGCATCCACCACTAGGCGAAGTGCAGCACGCTCTACGCGCTGCACGGCGATGCATATGGCCAAAGATGAAATGGCTTAGGAAGTACTTTCTGCGTCGTTAATATAGTGATGGCCGAGAGCTTGAGCTAATGTGCCAGCACGTACTAAGGATAGCCACTAACCCATGCATACATTGAGCTTGATAAACGGAGATCGAATGCATATCCATTTCGCAGGATTCTTCTTTCTGCACACAGAAAACGTAGCAGCTGGTACCATTTGAGGCCATCTCGGTAGCAGAACTCAGGTAGATTGCAGAGAACGAGATGCCCTACGAGACCTAAGCGTTATCGCAGGTCTGGGGTAGCATTCATCGCTTTCACATAGCTCTGCTGCGATACTTGTTATGTCACCGGAGACAGAGCATTCCCTTCTCGATGCGGAGACAACGTATGAACGGATCCACTCGATGCGCTCTGACTAGTCGCCGGATGCTCTATCGGTACCTGGGCTAAATTTCATATAGCTGTCGTTTAGGTATATATATTGGGAGAGGAAGACCCTTACTTCATAACGATTTGACAGGATCGAGATGCGTTATGCTGCTGTGTTTGGGACAAACTGACATGTCCAAGTAACGCACGGTCTGGCCGTCGTCAATGGTCAATAAGCTCGGACTGCTTACTCTGACCTGCTTATTGGTGATGTGGTAAGTATACGGAGCTATCTGGGGATCAATCTTACAGGCCCGACCTCTCCGGCAATGCAATATTAACAAACACTTGAGTTCACGAAGTAGCTTCAGCAGATGACAGACGAGGGCTTCATGTCTTGCCTGTCAAAAACCAGAGAGGTCTGATCCGCGGCCGACACTACTCCATGATAAGGGGGCGACTATCCGATGCAAGAACTGCAGAACATCGCGTTCGGTAGGCATCACGTCTCTCTGGCTGGTGTCAAGAACTACCGTAAGCAAACGAGTGTGGGAATGAGCCATTGAGGACTTAGCGGCAAACGCCAGATGTTACACGCTCGGTCATAGAGCTTCTTCAGTATCATCTTCCGCATCGTATCAACAGTCACTTACGTCCGGGGATGTGCAGTAGACTCCCGGGGCTGGTCCAGACGCCACCTCCATTTGGCGTCACAGGGTCCTCAGAGCGCGGTTGAAAGCTCTCCAAATAATGCATAGAGTTGATTCGAGCTAGACACCGCGCTACATTATCATGATCGCTGTTCAGGCAGAGAACACGGAGCGTGTGAAGCGTTCTGTCCTGAGGATGATCTACCGCGCACGGATTCAAAAGCGGGGATGACAGGGCAGAGAAGCCATTTGGAGAACTGTACCGCGACGGCGAGCGGCTGCGATGTGGCCTACCCTGAGATGGATTAGCGGAAGGAAGACGGACATTCGCGATATAATAGGAGTCCCGGGAGAGGTGAGCCGATGGCTTTCCTCCCCCCGGTCAGGCGTCAATCCGCTGACGTAAGCAACAAGGCAGGCATCTGCCTGGAGTAAACTGCGCTACTCTGTTCCTCCCACCGTCATGTCCTCCTCGTCCACCACTGCCTGTTCACGCTCGCCGTCTCCCTCGCCGGCGACACCAGAGTCGACAGACAGCCCTGACACCGTGTTTAACCAGGACGATCTATCGACGTGGTGCAAGTCTATCTCCCCTTCGGGATATCTCGTAGACGACGAAGCGCGGCTATCTGACGCGAGTAAGGTGGAACAGCCACCGTTATTCGAGCTGGAGGATCTACTGCAAAACGGTGCATTTCAGGAGTATGTTTCAGCTGTCGCCAATATCTTGACAGACGCGTCTCATCTACCTTGTATCACACAGTGCAAGCCCACCTGGACTGGACGGCAGTCTTGTGTTAGATCCTCGGATTCTGTCCAAGCTGGCTGTTCCACATGGGAATGAAACAGCCAACGTATTCGTGGTGCCTCACAATTCGATCAACGATACACAGCCCGTTCCCCCACCACTTTCTCAGCCACGCCCAGACCCCGTTCTCACGTCGCAGCGCATTGTATACCCTCCGAAACAACTTTGCTACAAGTATGTTGCCATTTGCTGCCATCAATTACGGCGTACTGAATATCGATCTTCCCGCATATAGTCTGCCTATCATGATCCCGAGCATCCCCGAGGGTGGCACCAAATCCAGAGTGGAGACGCAAGTCCGCCTGACCGTCGATCTAGCCCACGCGAGTTCTTCTACTGGGGAGCCCCTGAAATACGATCGAGTGGGGACCTGGAGGTGGCTTAGACTGCCAAGAGGAACATCAACCAAAAAGAGAACGCGTAAGGAGGGCAAAGTTGGTGAGTCACCCATATTTGCCCTTGCGGATCATGTTTGAACCTCCCCTTACCGTCAGACGCTCCTCCGGAAGACACGTTGTTCCTCACTGCGGAAGTGACGTGTTCCTCAGCTCCTCATACGCGAGTGACATGCTGTTCTAGTTGCCAGACCAGAGAAGTTAGTGCGAACAGGCGTTTCTTTCTCGGTTAAACACCAACTAATCACAATGTCTCTAGGCCAAGCGGGTCGCCAGGAAGATCGCCGCACGTGTCAGACCAGCTCGTTCTGATACAGAGTCTCAGGACGAGGCTCCCGTTATTCCCGGCCGGGGAAAGCATGAAGACAAGTCCAATATCGTTCAGTTCAACTGTCCTGAGGTTCTCGACTTCTCCTATGGTTCAGTCGTACTCCCACTTCGCATTACCTGCTATTGCCGACATCATAGAGAGAAGATTGGATTCAATGTCCACTTCACAATGCTCGACCACTCGGGCCGTGTAGTTGGTACAGGAATCAGCAGACCAATCATGATAACTGACGATCACAAGACCACTGGTGCTAGTGCGCAGAGACTCGCGCAGGCTGCAGGTGTTGGAGATGTGCAGCAAAGCCCTGAATGGCCCCTCGGAGACTCCTCAGAGACTGGTCAGTCCATGAAACGCAAGAAACCGCGCGTTGAAACGGGTTTGGAACGGACGAAGAAACGGACGAAACCCTACGACGTGCAGCGGAGCTTCGGCAGAGCTGTGCGAAGAGGCAGCACTGCTAGCCTGGACTCGCCGTCGTATGTTACCTCTGCTGCTGCGACCCGAGCTTCATCGCCTCTGCAGAGTATCATGCAGAGCCCGATGTCGCCGTTCACGGTTGAGCCCGAGACGCCTCATATGCTTGATTCTACCAGCGTTCAAGAGACTTCCGACAGTCTTGCGTCCGCGTTCGATTTTTCGTCCCCCATTGGCGTCCATTCTCCTATATTTGACCCCGATATTGTTATGACCCAGCAATTCGACGCGGACACGCTTTCATCTTTCCAGCAACTGGCTGTTCCATTCGGCCCTAGCTCATCTCCATCAGCTGCATCACTGACTTTGGACCCTGCTCAAACGTTGAATGTGCCATCTCAGGTTGCCTCGCTCATGCTCTTCGATCAGAACCCTCCGCCTCCTATCTCGAATCTTCCTGCTCCTAGAATCCACCGCTTGATACCGGCGTCTGGACCTACGTATGGAGGTATCGAGGTGACTGTGCTAGGTGCCAACTTTCACCCGTCGATGCAATTGAATTGCGTCTTCGGAGGTACAGCTGCAAGCTCGACACAACGCTGGAGCGAGAACACGTTGGTGTGTATGCTACCACCTCGGGCCACGCCGGGCGTGGTCACCGTGTGGTTCGAAGGTATGCAGAAGGGTGAAGACGGTATTCCGCCGTGCTTGTTCACGTACCATGACGAGACCGACAGGGCATTGTACGTCATTCACTATCCCTTGTTAATGAAGTCGCTAATGAGTGATACGCGCAGGATGGAGCTTGCTCTTCAAGTTGTCGGATTGAAGATGACAGGGAAGATCGAGGACGCTAGAAATGTTGCTATGCGCATCGTCGGGAACACTGATACTGAAGGCTCGAGCAGCGGAACTCCCACCAGCGGGAACAGTTCCAACCAACTCGCGAATGCAGTTGATGTACCACTTGATCTTCGCCACCTGCTGCTCAGTCGCACTAGCAACGGCGATTTTGAAAGTATTCTATTGGACTTCCTCTCCATCCTTGACTTGGCGATGGACGAAGTGCCAAATCTGGATTACTCTGCCATCTCCCATCAGACCTCAAGCGGCCAGACGCTCTTGCACTTGGCGACGATGGCGAAGTTCCCGGCCTTGATGAGGTCGTTGATAGATCACGATATCGACATTGACGCGCGCGACAAGAACGGCTGCACTGCCTTGTTTTGCGCGGCCATCGTGCAGTCCGTGGAATGCGCAAAGGTGTTGGTGGACGCCGGGGCGGCGCTGGATGTCGTAAACGCGTTGGGCAAGACGCCAGTTGAGGCTGCACCTGCCGGCTTTTTCGAATTCGCATCCTTGGATGCTGATCGTTGTGATGGAGACGATCGTCTCATAAACCAGGACGAAGAGGAGGCAGCCTGGGGAGACGTGGAAGAAGAGTCTGAGTCAGACGTGGAAAGCAAGTCATTGTCTAAGCGTCGCCTTGGCCGCAAGTTACCTATGCGGAGACGCCGCTCGTCTCACCGTCTCGCCGAGGTGGACAGCAAGCAACGGCAGTCTCCCCGCTCGTCGGAGAAGAAGGCGCTCGAGGCCGGCCTTCCAGATGAGAAGCAAGTGGCTTCGTTTATGGAGACGCTTTCTCGCACATTGGCGCAGTGGCAACATCCACAGGACATGATCTCCAACATGCCCAATCTGCCTTTGCCTCACCTTCCCAACCTGCCTGGTATCCCAGTTTGGAACGCACTTCCACAGATGCCGGCCGTCTTCCCCGTCTTTATTCCTATTCCCGCCCTGTCTGCTCTCTGGGGTGACAAGCGCGCAGGCGAGAAAGAGTCTGTAGAAGACGACAAGAATGCTCAGGCTCAACCGCGACTGGCAATGTCGACTATCCAGGACTGGAGAGCGTTCTGTGAGAAGTGGATGACGCAAGTTGCTCTTACGCCGAGAGCATCTGAAGAATCCGACGCACCCCCTGCGTATTCTCCTAGAAGCTCCGACGGGATTGATGTCCAACCTTCGTTGAAGGCCACGGAACCTATCGCCTCGTCCAGTGCCGTTAGACATCCTGACAAAGGTGTCTCTCGACATTTAGTCCACGAAACTGTTCCAGTGCCTGAGCAACAGGTACAATCATACGGGTACAGGCCGGCGCACAAAGCTCGGAAGCAGCAGAAGAAACGTGAGTCCGTTCCGTGCCATGTACGTTTTCTCATGCTAAACGAACAGCCGTTGTAGATGATCGTATGCTTGTACTGTTCTGGATTCCCATTCTCATGAGTAAGTGTATCGATTTTAATGACATGTATCGCGGCTGACAGGCATCTCTGTAGTCGGTGTGGTGTGGGCGTTTTTCCATTTCATGCGTGTGGCTTTTCACGCGACGAGGGCTGTTCTCACATTCAAGGCTGGATTAAAGGTGTAAACGTGCGGTAACTCAGTTTTGTTCGATCGTCTGCCATAAACGCTGTCTGTCTGTTCTCAAACCGCATATCCCGTATTCGTTGATACAATAATTTGTCCTCTGTAGAAATTGCCTGTACCCTGTAGACACCAGCATTCGGACCGATCGAATTGATCTATTTATTGACGATGGAACGCTACTGCGTTGTTTATTCAGCTCAATATGAAGTTACGACGCGCCTGTGACGGCCGCTTTTTGAACATCAATGCAAGAGCAAGTCTTTGCTGCGATTGCCATATGTCGGCGGTACAGACCGCGCTGCGGACACGAAAGAAGAATGTTAGCGGGCATTGCAGGGCACAGCGCAGAGCATAATTACCAAACTGTTGGCGCGTGAAGTTGACAAATGGGCCGACACCTAAGCTGCCATGATGTACTGCGCCTTTTGTGATCCACCATAGCTTTCAAAGAGAAGTCCAAGGTGCCCTGTCTCGCCTAATTGCGTCCAGGCCGGAAGAAGAGGCTCATGATGACTATTGACTTTGGATAGAAAGCTATTTGTTATATATCAGACAGCATCGCCTGCGTTAAAATGTACGTCGTTGCTATTCCCTACTACCGTGACACTGCGGGTCACTCCGTCGACAAGAATTCCAATATATGACCGATCGCGTATCGTAGAATGTCTTAGTACCGCTTGGGGCCGCTGCGACAGTCAGAAGCGCCCTAAAAAACCTTTGACCCTCCACATGCAATCAATGTTCTCAAGCTGAGTGAAGGACGAGAGTCATCCATCTGTCAAGATGGAGTTTGGACGACTTACTAGTTGTGCGAACCCATCCTCGCACACCACTCTAGCAACCAGTGCCTCCAAGTCAGCCCGAGGTAGATCATAGAGCGGTGCAGTTTCCTGAAGAGCCGTCACAAGGTCTTGAGACAGACCATGCTGTTGCACGTTTGTTGCGGTCGCCGCTTGTGAGTCTGTGACTGGCGTCGAAGGCGGCATAACATTCGAAGAAAGAGAAGGGGGTGCCATCGGAGAATTACGGTCCAGTACAACATTTATTGCGGGAGCCACAGCAGAAGATGGGGCAGCAGCGAGACGTGCCGTAGAGTATGTTGGGTCACTGGTCGCTTGTGATGATCCGGATTGAGCATAAATCGAGCAGTCGGCCATTGCGGAGGATGCAATGACGGCAGAAGAAGGTCGGATGTCGTCAGACGATTGTACGGCCGGGAAGTCGACTTTTCCAGTAGTGATATTGTAGTCTCCTACGCTTGTCCGGTGTACTGGAGGAAGGCAGCTAGCCGGTGTTGTGTACTGAAATTGCTGCGTGATCGCCCCGTATGGGACAGTAGAACCAACGTCAGTATAGGGAGCGCTCGTGAATCGGTCGCCAAGCGATGGACGATGATCCAAGGGTAGCGCAGTAGCAGAGGGGAGGAACTGAGGATGGGGGTACTCAGAGACATTGGCAGACATCAGACCAGGCTTGTTGAACGTTTCTACCTGTGTGGCCGGTGGCTGTATACGCATAGAGCTCGGAGTGGTCGACGGAGCGGGGAGTGTCAAAAGTCCTGAAGCTGGCTGAGGCCGAATAGCGGAGCCTGCTTGCGTCGTAGTAGCGGTTCTAGCCATGAGACGTGCAGGAGCCGGTACGGGATTCGCCTTACAGGGACATATATATTTGATAGAGTCGATGAAGGCGGATGCTTCGGATGCAGCTTGAAACGTAACTTGAAAGCGTCGATAGCTCTATAACTCCATTTATGCACTCTTCTTACAAAAACAGCTGCATGTATGCGCACCGGTGTTCCACCAGAAGGGATGTGGCGCGGGTGAAGATAACGAATGCCTATTACCGCATCACGATAAACTGCTTTGAGAGGAAGGCCTTGCGGAGTAATTTGGCGCTGTTGCAAAGAGGCCGGAAGAGAGAAAGTCAACAGGTCCAGATCCTCCTGTGTTCGTTCATAGGCGAGGTAATGTGACGACTAATCATGTTTGATTGGAAGGTCGTACGCACGAAGACAATTTCGCGTTGGTCAATGTCCATAGAATCATTTCCGGAGCCTAATGACCATAAAATTCGAGTACGGAATGACTCCAAGTCTCCCTTGGAGGTTTTCTTCACATCTACGACGAGATGAATGACCGGATTCGTGAAATGCTGCCACTCTTGTTCATTGTTTTCGCCGCTTGCATTATGCTGTCCATAGGAGCGCGAGTATTTGACAAGGGTATAAGTCGTAGTTGCTGTAGTTGAACGCGACATTTTGAGTCGAGTTACAGAGTGAAGGGACCAAGAGCAATTGACCAAGAGCAATTGACAATTGTTTCATAGCAAATACTAGACGCCGCGATGACGCGGTCACATGATCGCGTCTGGACGCGCTCAGCATCGTGGAACAATGACCTTATAAATTATAAAGCATTCTGTACAACCGAGAGATAGGTATCGATACTATAACACAATGAGAAGAGCACCCTGCGGGTTCGGATGTTTAATTGCTGCTCGGCAATCTCTCTGAAATCCAACGGATCAAGTTCTCCGGGCTCCTCGACTGAATGTAGACGACCCCCGGCCCCGTGAACCTGCACAAGATGATCAATTACTTCAGTTCAGAGTACAAGATGCCTAGCATGAGACACACCTGCAGACAGCGGCATCGTCAGTCTGTATTGTAGAGATGATTCCTCCCGCTTGGATTTTTTCAATGTTGTATTGGCAGTTCCACGCCACGAGATGGTCATTGTTGACTGAACGTAGTCTTCTTGAGCTCTAAGCACCGCATACATAGTACTAAGGTCACTTACCGACCCATTGCTCGCCGGGTTGCAGCCGACGGGTAATGATCGCGCCCATCCCGTGCACGAACAGCATACCTACACCGGTAGCCTGACCGGTGAAGAGGCCGTGTCCTGAGACTGCAGTATATGTGTCAGCAGCTATACGAGCCACAGTTAAAGGGAGACATACATAGCATCTTTCCGAAACTCTGTGCTTTCGTGGTCATTTGCACGCCTGTCGTCGCCGCAAGGAAAGCGTGCTTCCCGAAGAACCATGGTGTGCTGCCGTCCAATTGAATCTCTGCGACATCGCCCCATGTTTCTGGCGCCATCACGACCTCTCCTGGGCCAAAGAAGTGGGCGAATGACAGCTTGATAAGCCATGAGGTTGTCAGCAACGATAGAGTCTTGTGGTGGACGTGTTTCTCACCTCTCCTCCAGTCAGCAGCTTCTTCCAACTGAAGTTCATCTAGTCGGCATCAGTCAGACATACCGCAAAAATGCACGAGAGGAAGGAGTGCCTACCTTTCCCTTGATCTGCACTGTAGCGTCCATAGACACCATAGTGCCGGGCTTGCCAAGCACCTCATAGCCAGGTTGTAGCATCATGTAGAGCATGGTGTTCCCATCACGATGGTCGATTTTGTACTGCACCCCCTCGAATGCACCAGTGATCTTTGGACTGCCAGTGCTCGGACCTGCCTGCGGCGGCGGGGGCTGAAAGGAGCCGGAGTTGTTAGAGTGGTGCATAGGGGCCTGAGGATAGCCAGGAGCGTAGGACATAGTGCGAGGCGTGAGCGCTGAGTGGGAGATTGTTGATACGTGGAGTGGTATGGAGTGGTAGGTTTCACGAGAAGCGTTCGCTGTATTTAACAGTGACCAAGCTGCCGATGTTCTGGATGTGATGATCAGGGCATCCGTGAAACCCGCCACCTTGAAATACTAAGTACTAGCGCCAGCACCGACCTGTGTCGGATCAGTGATCGAAATGATCATGACCTTCTTTCAGGTAATAAGAGCGAAAGCCGGTGCAGGAAAGCACTATTCACCGCCGTTGATGGTAGCGGCCAGCAATTGTTTAGCGATAATCAAGCACAGCATCAATCACTGTCGAAGATGATGGTGGAACTGCCAACGCACTGATGCATCAGCCTCTCATCAGCTTCTCCGCAACAGGTTAGATTGCAAGCGACAGAACCTCCTGAGCCATGCCAACGATCCAGTTTTGCCGAGAATGCAACAACAGAGTATGGACACAACAAGTCATAACGCAGACGGCAGTACAGAGCGAATATGCATCCAAAGGAATTCGGATAGCAGTATAGTACAGCGTCTTCACACTTGGGGTTATCGTGAAGCCGATGGAAGTTCGGATACACAGCGATGTGATACTGATGAGTGAACAAGAGCACCTCTAGTTAATGTATAGGATATCCTCTGCATTTGGCCACAAGACGGATCCGATGTGATAGCCAGGGCGCGATGAGGTAATCCTAAGACAGCAATACCAGCGGCACTTCTGCTGCGTAGAAAGGTAGAGCATTCACAGCTATGTTTGACGGTGGTGCCATGCCATGTAATTCGTTGAGTATCGGCTGCGTTGGCGGGAGATACCAGTCTGAAGGAATTGCGCGTACTTCAGAATATCCCGCCATTCGGCATTTGAACGAATAGCAACAATGCTAGATATCATTCGTCGAGACGCCGTTTACGCGGAAAGGGAGAACGAGCAAGACTATCGACGAGCAAGATGATATGACGATACAGTACCGTTGTCCCCATACACCGTGGTGCTACGGCACGGATACGCGCTCAATCACAGACTAGCATTTTGCGGTCTGCGGCGTTGAGCAAGCAGGTAGATCCTGGAGGCCGTTGATTGACATCCGAATGTCGTCAAATGAGATTTAAGTTTGAGCAACGGCTGGCCTATGCAACCGAGGCCAATACAATTGGTCGGCCTAGCTAGCCGTGCAAGCCACGTCTTCATTGATCTAGACAACGAGGAGCTACAGCAGGGTATCAGAGCGCAAGTTCTGCCGTCGTCCGAGCAAAAGAGCCGAGTCCGCCACCGTCGAGGTCCGCGTCGCGTGCGGCAGCGCTCGCACTGTCGCAAGCTATCGCTCCTTGTCGCTCGGTGTCGGACAGTGTCGCAAGCTGTCGGTAATTCGTCGTACGCTGGAATGGGTATATTTTTGAAGCCCAACGGTCTAGGAGCCTGTGCAGCACGAGAGATCGGCCGCCATGAGTACGTGGCTGCGTGTCAGCCACCAATTAAAGGTCCGCGTCGCACTGCAGCGCTCGCACTGTCGCAAGCTATCGCTCCTTGTCGCAAGCTGTCGCTCGGCGTCGCAAGCTGTCGGTCAGTGTCGCAAGCCGTCGGTATTTCGTCGTATGCTGGGACGGAAGCAGTCCGCATCTTTAATCGTTAAAAATGCATTCTTGGTGTGCGCACGTGGCAGTACGTCGGCCAAGCTCTGCCAAGCTGCAGCCCAAAACGGCGCGCAGGCCATCATCAATGAATTCCTCCATGCTACCTGCGTTCATCGATTGCATCCACAAGTCGCGCGCCTTTCCATTGTCCATAACCTCGACAGCGACAATAACATCGTTGTCGCCCGTCGCAAGACAGAACGATCTCGGGAGCGCCCTTGGAGTCGAGGAAGTGGTAAGTGTAGGTCTTTACTGTCTCACTCTCATGACTAATCCTGCCCGGACGTTAAGCAGCCCGAACGTCATCATGCCCGCTGTCTCCATAGTCGTCGACGCAGAGACACCTAAGCAGTCAGAGCAAGCAGAGCTTCATGGGTGAGCATCCTACTAGCATATTACCACCGGCCGCCCTCCTTGACACTAGACGCACCGCAGCCACCGTGCCCTCACTCCCATGATATCCGGGACCGTCACCGGCGGGATCATCGGGCTCATGTGGATCGTCGGCCTCCTCCTCCACTTCTATCGCCGCTGGCGCGGCCACCAAGCCGTGCGCTCCGCAGGCCTGCGAAATCATCGCGAGCTCGACATTCTCCCTCCCAAGCCTGAGGTGTACATCATCCCGCCCGATCCCGCCATTATTGAGGGCAAGTGTGCCCCTGGGGAGCGTGTTATATTCGACGACCCGAAGGCAGACGCCGATGGCGCCCCGCGACATGTAAAGACCGTCCCGTTCGCGCAGACGGAGAAGACGCGCAAGCAGAAGGCAATGGAGGTCAGCGAAGCATTGAACAGCACTGAGCTGCGTATTGTTTCTGCTCCGCAGATGCAGACGATGGCAGATGAGCCCTCACCGATCGCTCGTGGCCCACCAGTTCATCCTTTCGCTCCATGACGCAGCACTGGCCCCTCCAGCGGCTGATGTCGACGCTCACCATCAGGCCCATCACACCTTGCTAATGACATTAAGCTAAGGGGTTTTTTTTGAACATCCTTTGTATCTCACAGTGCATTATCACGGTCTTCTGAACCACTACTACCTAGCAACCCTCACGATACCACTCACGTTCCGTTGAGATTCCCTTGTTGTACTCTATGGACATATACACGAATACGCTTCTTTGTAGCATCACATTGCGCGCTGTGGACAATCTCCCTCGACTTCGAGCCCTCAATTACTTCAGTCAGTGTACGCGCCCAGGTTCGCGGGGGCGACGTCACGCGCATAGCGGTACAGCACGCCCCTACTCACGCGCAACTTGTGCGGGACAGCCTCCCACTCCTTCTTACGGCGCGCCTGCTCCTCCTCGTCGACGAGCCAGTTGATCGTCCGCGTATCAGCATCAATGATGATCTTGTCGCCGTCCTTCACGAGAGCGATGGGTCCACCGAGCTGTGCCTCGGGTACGACATGGCCTGCGCACAGCACCGCTAAGCATGGGATCATTGATTGCGCGAAAGAGCTGGTATGCTAACCGATGATGAACCCTCGCGAGGCGCCGGAGAAACGGCCATCTGTGATGAGGGCTGTCTTGCCGCCCAGACCTGCTCCCATCAGAGCACCAGTCGGGCCAAGCATCTGCACGATATCAACGATTAGTTTGAGACATCGTTTCATGGGATGCGGTGCGACGCGCCTCTGGCATTCCTGGCGCACCCTTTGGGCCCTGGTAACGGAAGATCAGCACCGTGCCCGGGGTAATCTCTCCGGCTTCTAAGGCGGGGTAGAACTTGTCGAGTCTATCATCTGTTAGTGGCGTCACTAAACGACTGAGAAATGAAACATACGAGTCGAAGCATTTCGCGACACCCTATATGTACGCGATGATCAGCCTCGCGCATCACAAGAATCCGGATCATCGCACCTCGAAACGCAATCCCTCCTTGCCAGTCAGCTTCGCAACCGCAGTATTAGGTGCGAGATTGCCGCGAAGGATCGTCAAGTGGCCAGTCTACCCAGCATTAGTCATCAGCACGGATCATACGAAGACCATCATCTCATCTCGTACCTTCTTAATCGGGTTGCTCAACGGGCGAACCACATCTTGGTTGTCGAACTCGAGGTCCGGGACGTCCTCGACGTTCTCCGCCAGCGTCTTCCCTGTGACGGTCAACGCGCTCCCATCGATGAGATCAGTGTTTTTGATAAGATACTTGAGCAGCGCGGGGATGCCGCCGACTTTGTGCAGGTTCTCCATCAGATACTTGCCCGAGGGCCTGCACAACGGATATGAACGTCAATGCAGTGCGGGAACGGAAGGAAGCAGAGACGCACTTGAGGTCACAAAGGTACGGCGTCCTGGCCGCGACAGTTACGAAGTCGTCGATAGTGAGGTCGACGTCGGCAGAACGCGCCATCGCAAGGAAATGGAGCACCTGCAGGGGAGAGGTAAGGCCATGATATAACGTGTCAATATAACGTACAGACCGAGTTGGTTGAGCCTCCCAGAACATTTACGATGGTGATTGCATTTAAAAAAGACTGGCGCGTTAGGATATCCCTAATAATATGATCGGGACCACGTCAGAACAGCCTCATTTCTGCAAACCACATGCATACCTCGGCTTCAAATCTAATTCAAGCAACCTCTTCATGTACTTCCCCGCCTTTACGCATTCCTGCATCTTCTCTGTTCACGCCAAAGTCAGCGGTCCATCGGTTCACACACATGACATGCTACCAACCCGCAAATGTCGCCGGCGTGCTGGATGAATAAGGCAACGACATGCCGAGCACCTCCAGCGCACTCGACATCGTATTTGCCCTGTAGATGCCTCAGAACAATGCTACACCGAATGATTGGCGAGAAAAGCCGCACGGGAATTAACGTACGTGAACATGCCTCCACATGCGCCAGGGCCTGGGCAGGAATGGCGCACGACGTCAAATCGTTCCTCGTCCGAGATCTTGCCGACAACGTAGGCGCCTGCAGTACCGATGCTAGTTCAGAATGACATGCGTACGGTTGACGGCAACATACCGTAGGACTCGAAGGCGTCGGAGACGTTCATGTCGTCGCCCTTCTTGACACCAAGAGCGGGACAGTCAACATTGCGCACACCATGCTGGATCGTGCCTCCGTAGACAATGATGGTGGGCCGGTTGTGGCGGGCAGCAGCCATAACTGTCCCAGGCATGTTCTTGTCGCAGCTGTCATTGAATCGGATCAGTCGGACGCTCGCGCATCGTGCACTTTTAAACTAACCCCGGGATGGAGATGTTTCCGTCATAATATTGTGCCTAGGATGCTGGTTTAGCTTGCTAGAAGAGTATCGGGGAGGATGTATGCACCATTGTGACCTGTCCGAATAATGAGCACAGTAGTATGCCGACAATTAAAATCGACGTACGGCCTCGATTGAGTCGGCGATCAAGTCACGACTCGGGAGCCTGCAGAATGGTTGTGTTCACATTGTTCAGATACAATATTGACGTAACGTACGAGTATCTCATGCCTGAACGAAGCAATCTTAATGTATGCTCGCAGAGAACGTCTATAATGACTTACCATCAGTACCCATGGTAATAGCATCGCTACAACACATCTCAATAATCCTATTTTTGTAGTCCACACTTGCAGGATGCCATACCTGACACCGATAGTGTTGAACGTAAGCCCAACAAGGCCCTCCTGCTTGCATCCCTCTTTGACCTTGACCGCAAGGTCCAGCTATACACGCGCGTATAATCATGAGCAGAACATCCAAGTGTACATCTTTATTGCCAAGCTTACGAGGTGGAAATTGCACGGGTTGCCTATCTTCAGCTCAGCAACCGCGTCCTATACAACTTGGGCAAACGCACCTTCCCACCAGACAGGAGAGATACCAATCTAGGCATGAACTAATGAGCACTCGTCCAAAGAATGTACAGTAGCGCGTGATCCCCACCTGAGGCTTATTCATGTCCTCTTCGGTCAGGCCCACGGCGTATACTTGCAATTTCATCAATGACCTTCATCTCCTGTATATTTACAGAAACCTACACATCGCCTGGGCACCTCCTCGTGCCTGCGCCGACCTCAGTACGTTAAAGACGCGAGTTCATCTCAAAGACAGACCTTGTCCTGCGTGATGATACTGGACCATTTGTTCAGCTTCACATTGCTGGGCGTGGTCGACGCCTTAGGCACAGTATGGCTGAGTGATTCGTTCAACCCAATCAGACTCACGACCACACTCATCCTTCGCTGCACTCACATCTCAACGCCTTCGGACATGGCTGCTCAGCTCAGGGAAGATAGAAGAAAGAAAGAAAGACGATCTGGGGAATACAAGCACACGCATGACGTTCATCCGCTAAATACGAGGATATTTTTTGCGAAAGAGGCCGGAGGGAAGCACCCAGGCCTGCACGATCGCGGACCGGGGAGGGGTCACGCTGGGAGCCAGCATCGCGGCGTCGCGTCACCTCGATCACGCGCCCGAGCTCACAGTCGCCTGCGCCAATAAGCACGCGGATATTAGGATTGGATATTACGATGACAGTGGTTGCAGCCACCGAGCACTGGCCCCCTACTCTACATCGATACCACCTCCCTAGAAATCAAACCCTTCCTTCCGGAAAGCGTCCACATCTGCCGTCGACTTTGCCATGTCCGCCAAGTCATGCCGGCCCTGCATCGCGCCATATCAGCAACCTGTTCGCACAGCAACGCAAGAACGCACCATCGCTAAAAACACTCTCCGGAGTGTGTACCACAATTGGTCGCTCTTCGCCCCAGCTGACATGTCCTGCATCGCCAGCGCACTCAGCAGGTGCTCCGCGGCCTCCTTGTGCGCGCCAATGTTCAGACCTGCCGGATCAGCGGAACGGCGACGTCAGCATTCTAGTACATCCGGAATCCCGAATAAAGAGCGAGAAAACACGTACATGCCACGCCTACGTTGTAAATGGCCCGCGTGTACGTCGGACGCAGCTGTAATGCCTCTCTGTAGGCACCAAGGGCTTCCTCGGGCTTGTTGCCGTTCGACAAGGATGAGCCCAGTCGATTCCAGAGCAAGTAGTCCTGACGATGGGTGAGACATCAGCGCAGGTAGAACGGCATACGGGACTCCACCAACCTTCGGCCTGACGACAAGTGCGGCCTCAAAGCAGTCCTTCGCACGGTCAAAGTCGTTGCTCGTGTAGAACAACACCCCCAGCGCAACCTGCACATCCGCATCCATCTCACCTCTGCTGTACTGCTCTCTCGCGAGGCTGAGGTATGCCTCCGTGACGCGCTCGTGCGAGTGCCACGACGACTCGGACAGCGACTTCCACGCCTCGTCGGGAATCGGGTGCGTCGGGAAGCGGTCATGCAGCCACCGCAAGAGCATCGTATGCGATGCACGCTCGAGCGACTCGTTCGTGTATGCTATCGCAAGAGACTGCACGTCGAATGTCATAAACACCGTCGCAGGATAAATTCGGAGAGTAGACGCACCAACATGCCCTCGCCATGCTTGTCCGTCTCTTCTGCCCTCCTAACACCCTCTGCTAATGCGCGTATAGCGGCATCCTCACGCTCGTCCATACTCCTAACTTCACCAAGCAGCACCCACGCCTCATATCCACCATTGCCAAGCTCTCCCTGCTGGATCGCGGCCTCCAACAGCAGCGCCACCTCCGACAATGATCCATTCTGGTCAAGCAGCGCCTTCGCTGCCTGCAAATTGGACTGATTGGGGGAGTTCCGGAGCATATACTTATTGTCCTTTTCTGTAAATGCAGAGGGATTAGGATTGCGATATATAGTCAATTGGCTGGTTGCACACACCGAACACGTAAGGGTCCAATATGGGCAATCCGTCTTCCGTGAATTGCATGCTTCCATCTTGGACAGAGTCGAACCCACCGAGGCCGTCCTCCCACGCTTGTTGCATCGACTTTCCATAATCATGTTCGTACTCGCCGTCTTCACGCTGCGCAGACATCAGCTGGTTGAATTGCGCCTCCCATTTCGCCATATCATCCTGCGGAGGAGGCAATTCCGAATGCTGTAGCGAGTCCCAAACTCTGCAATGCAATATGCATATGAGCATTGAACCAACGTAGTGCGAGACGGTCAACGCACTTTTGGAAATCGGTCTCATGCTGGAGCGCTTCTTGCTCTTCGCTTTGGCGCAGCTCGCTCGCCTGTGCGCCTTCAACAGCGGCAGTGCTGACATCGTCCTTTTCCTCAACGATCCTGCCACTTTCCTCTATCGTAAAGGACTCGAATGCCTGTTTGAACGCGGCCTCCATGTCGATCTCCTTGCCCTTTCCCTTGCCACTAGCTATGCTCTGCAGCGGTGCGCCATAAGCGCTGAGATTGGACCCATACATCATCCCAGAGCCTAGCGCTCCCCGGTACAAACTTGACTGCACATAGGGTGATTGCGCGTCTGCCGAAATGCGTCAGCAAGCACGGGCAAATTGAGGTTTGTGATACTTACAATCTGGTCTCTGAGCAACTGAGCGCTGTGCCGCCTCACTGGGGTCACTGCTAAACTCCGTTGTCCACGCAAAGTTCTGGGACAATGATGGAGCATCGCGGGAAGCATGCTCATGCGCGAATTGCATTGCTCCAACGTCTTCCCACGCTTTGTTCAAGTCGCCACCCATGCGGGGGACGGACACCTCCATGGGGCGGCCCATCTGCGGAGGAGGATAGTGTGCGAGAGCAAAGGCGGGGCCGGGGCCGGATGACGTGGCATTCCCGTCGAAAAACTGGCGGGCGAGTGCGAGGTCGCGTTCATCGCCAGGGGCGGAGGAGGTGCTCGGCAGATGATGAAGCTAATTCATGTCAGAATCATATCTGAGTCCATGATTGAGAGGTGCTCACCCGAGCAGAAGATGGCCCTGCAATCCTGTCCTGCGCATTCCATCAGCAGCGGAACCAGTCATGGATGCGTGCCAACACACCTGCTGCACGCTGCGATCGCCCTCGGTGTGCTTCAGCACCTGCGAGAGCGGGTTAAACGGCACGGCACATTCTGAGCCGGAGATGAGACCTTGGAGAGACATGATGGTATGGGATGCAGCAACAGACAAAGAGCCAAAGAGGGAGGTCAAGTTATTGGGGTCGGAGAGGGAGCACGGAGGCTCAAGTTACTCAATCCAGTGTAGCGTAATTACGCTCCGGCATATGCCGTGCGGGGAAGAAATCACGTTCCTAACAAGCGCTCAAGGTAGCTTCGACAAGCACATTTGACTTGTTTTGTTTGATATACGAAGCCTATGTACAGAAACTCGAAGCAAATACACCGAGCTGAGTCTTACGTTACGTTCGTAGAGATATACTACACCCGAAGAAGATCATAACACTAATCATCACCTTAGCGATGAGCGACTCCGGCTTCCTTTAGTTTGCATCGTAGCTCGGCGGCGCCTCGATGCGATCCGCCTGCAGCTCCGCCATAAACCTCCGCAAGTCGTTCACCTCTGCCCGCAGGCTGATCATCTCGCTCGGCAATGGTACGGAGACAGCCGTCGACGGCAGCTCCTGGCCCGATGTCGGCACTGTGCTTGTATTTGCAGAGGTCGACGCTGGCTCCTGACCTGACGTCGGCACCATGCTCGTGTCCGCAGAAGTCGATGGCGTGGACTCCGCCGGGTTCTGCTGTCCATGCGGAATAAGGTTCATGTGCTCACGCGACTTCGACGACATCAGCGGGGGAGGGTCAGTCGTGCTCTCCGTCCCCGTCTGTTCGTTCAAGCCGTACGGCGTAGCATTGTAAGGGAACGGTACCGGCTCTGGACGGCCTGTGATGAAGTCCTCTTCAAGTAGCGGGGATGTGGACCGCGATTAGTACGTCGCCATAAGAAGACTCCTACGAGCACAATGGCTAAGCCCGCTACGCCGCCGACGACGCCACCCACAATGGCCCCGACGTTCGTGTGCGAGTATGACGTCGTGATCGTTGCGGTGGAAGAAGGGGGAATTTCGATTGTTTTGTTTGCCATGCTTCAAGAAGAGCTATACAATCTTCTAGACAAATAATTGCATCACACTCACTTGAGTGCTAACAAGGCAAACATAGCGCCTTGCGCTGGCCTGAGATGAGGAATTAAGGTTTGTCCTTCTTAAATAATGACATCACTCACAGTGCAGTACCATGTTGGGCCGAGCCGTTCCCTACAGTTGAATACACGGACGGCCAAACACCGGCGGTGAGATTGTACGATGCGCGCTTCCAGATCATGTCGATCAAGTTGTCACGGACAGTTGTATTTGATGTTGTAGCAGCAGTGAATGCCAACCATCCTGGTCCGCCATGAATGTCTCAGACAAACCGCGAAGATATCGGGTATCCGCACCTGAATTTGCCAGCGCGCTATCAATGCTGTCGATGGGCAATCCGAAGGTGCCGCCTGAAGAAATGGGGTTAAACGTACGCATGTGAAGGTCAAACGATAGTTGCACCTGTATCAGCATCCGAGAGCTCCTGATAATAGTTGGACTGACGTTCATACAACTGAATGCGCCATTGAGCATCCGATGAAGGACATATAACGTCAAGCCCACCGTGTCATTTATCAGTCCTGTTTGTAGCAAACGGTCGGCATAGAAATTATACATCAGAGCCCACGAGTTTGCAGCCCCGTAGCTGAAAAGGAAGTTATCCTGGTTTGCGGACAACGCCAAGGTCTGCCATTTGCTGATATAGGTAGAGGCTGTTGACTGGATGCCAAGTCAGCCATCACAGTCCGCATTTCCGAGGGTGACGTACTGCATAATGTTGCTCGTCCTCACTGTTGCCATACGCTTGACTAATCTCCGCCATCGCTTGAATTCCAATGTTACCCTTGATTGCCAGATTTGTCATGTTTGCCGTGGACTGAGAGTCTGCGGAGATCCTACATGACAATTCTCAGCAGTTTATACTATGAAACCCTCGATGAGTACTGCGATTACATCATAAGCAGATCACATACGTATTGGCCGATCAGTGATCCATCTCCGGAAGCTCTCGCATGGGCTAACGTCATGATAAGCATGTTCCCAGACTCTGGAATTTCATCATCAGAACTATTCACTCGGCCAAAAGAACGATGGCTTACGCTCAACTCCCTGATCGAATGATGTGGTGTTGTCACCGGACGCGATCGGATAATTCTGGCCTTTTACAGATTCAGTTGCCGCTGATTATTGTATAACAGACATAAACTGACCAAGATCACGCGCCGCGTAGGGAAGAGTGTACAGATCGCCAGACTGATATTCGAAAAGAGGAGCAAGGAGGCTTTTACCGAAAGACGCATTCAAGTAGAGGAACATTGGGAAAGAAGCGTACAGAATCTCGACCGGATTGACACGACTATGTGGAGCCATCGCGTCAACTTACCGCTCCACATGAGAACAGTATTTCGCCCACCTGTCAGTTCCCATATTCTTCATGAAGATCATCACATCTGAGGTATTCCAGTTGCCGTCTGTCTCGTTTGACACTGTGATATCGATCCCTCCGAACGCCTGCCGTGCGGCGAGAGATATCAGATCGCTATACTGTGACGAGATCGAAGAGGCATTCTGCATCAGCTCGTTGTCCAACGATTCAGCCCTGCTCTGTGCATCGCTGAAGTCCAAAACGAAACTCTCGACCTGCGATATCGTGAGCTAAGGCGTAGCTTGAGCGTCAACATGGACCAACCAGATCTGAAATGTTCAAGTACTGAGTGACATAGTAAGGCCTGCGGAGCTGAGTATCGCCGGTGGACGTGGTGTATTCGATCGAAGGATCACGGACGAAACCGACCGACCATACTATTGGAGATGGAGTGGACGTGATGTTTTCCAAGGTTTAAGGAGAGCGCGGCTATGGGAAAAACTCTATGAGTCTCACGTCAGCTTCCCACCTGCCAGTATTTGGAACGCTAGCTATATTTACTCATCGATCACCTGAAAACTCGTGTCTGTGGTGTTCGCCAGATATCCATTGACAATGAATTGTTCTCGGCAATCCTGCATTGGGCCAGCTTGGTATGTAAGCGCGGAATTCTGGACGCTCTTGAGCATTCTCACGCGGAAAAGTGCGATATGGTACTCACAGCGGCCATGGCGTAGTAAAGCCTACCGTCACTCGCCTGGTCGTTCATCTCAGTAAATGATGATGGGCTCTCGAGTTCGGCTGTGTGGTAAATGACTTGAGATGTCTGAGTCTGAGCCGTATTCCATTGCACGTAGGCAGAGCGATTTCTAGAAAGCCATTCTTAATAAAAGTTCGAGTGAGAATAGAGAACGTTTCATTGTTGTTGCGACCAACCTGAACTGACGTCGGAATACACCTGCACATCGTGAGCTTCGCCGTCATTCGATCGTGCCTCAAGCGCAACGTAAGAAAATGGGATTGATTGTCGTACCCAGTTCGACGGCTGAGGGAGAGTGGTGAGTAGACACCTGAAGTCATCTCAAGATGACAGACCTCTATTGGCGTAAAGAAGGTGATATTCAAGTCCATTGGACCGGCCTGAACAGAGTATATTGTCCGTGTGGGTGTGACCTGAATGGACATAAGGGTGGTGGCCGTCAGGCCTGCAAACGCGCCCAGCCATCTGTAGGTGTCTCCGTCGATGCGAATATGACCTGCCCACCCAACGGTATTATTCTTTAAATACATATGAGCGATTAAACGAGTAATCTAAAAAGAACACAGCGTACAGTGCTGCTCGAAATGAACCAAAATGTCGTCCACTCATCCGTTACATCGGTACCATTGGTAGTGCCCTGCCATGCACTGAAGTATGGAGAACGCACAGCCAACGGAACAGCCGCAGGCCAGAACGTTTCAGCGGAGAAAGCACACTTAGTCGCGATGATCAAAGAGAAAACCGAGAGAGGAAGGTATGGGACTCCTCGGAACATGGCTGGGATATGAAGGAGATGGAAAGTCAACGTCAAGACGGTCCTGGGAGAAAACGGCTGCACAGCGTCCTTTGGTACCGCTTTGATGTAGGGCTTTGATCCAAGCATTCCGTTGACAGCTGAGCGCTGTCGAAGGTTGTGCATCACGAACCGCCAAGCTGGAGCATATATTCACGTCAGGACAGCAAACTTGAAGTTCAGATGGTGGGCTCCCTGTGATTTTATTTGAGCCAGAGTCGGCCAAAGTAAGCCCAAATATCATTGGTGGCGGTAGCCTGCTTGCTGCCCGGGCCATAGACACTGATGAGATAGATGACTCAGCGGTTGACCAATGATACAGGGTCCTCGGGCTGAGACAGAGATTATAGTCTCGTACCCAGACCACTGAGCTTGTAAGCGAGACACTGTACAGTGTACATGCACTGTCGGACAGCTGGCGTCCTGGGCCTGGCGTTCCGCGCATCATGTAGGGCCGCCCGGTCGGTAAACCGCATCAAGCAGTCTTCATCAGTCAACGAAATTGCAGTCGAGAGTCGAGACTGAGGCTTCTAAGTGACTCGGAGCAACTCGCGGTTCAGCGAAACTGGTTGATGAGTGGATGGCTTGCGCTTGGATAGTCCTATCATTATCTGACAGCGGCTGCAGCTGCCTCCAAGATACGTTTATTTCATGTGAAAGCACTGCCGTGTGAGACTACGTTCAGAGCAACTTGTCGAAGAGGAGCCTCCAGGACGTATTACAATTTACCACCACACAGCATATTACGAGTCGACGACAGCCACTGAGTACCCTTCTTACTTAGCAAGTTGATGCTCGGTAGCCTCTCATGTATTCTCCCCTCATTACAAACCGCGCAGAGCGCGGTATAGATATAAATGTGCAAAAAATAAAAAGCCATTTGATTTAGGCAGTCAGCGCCAGCCTGAAACAAGCAATGGCGCTGCCAGTCACAGACGCGTCCGATTGACTCTGATGTTGCTCGACGGTGGCGGGTCCAGGGACCAGCGAGCACTGAACGATACTACTGAATGCTGAGACAAAGTGAGCTTTTGATGCTCGGGAGAGACTCTATACCGTCTCCAGAGTCCCTCCATATTGACGCGCTTATATGTGACACAATTGAGGCTTGCAATAACATGAAGGAATTCTGAGCCGGTCCTAACCTAGCGCCGCGAGTACAGCATTTGTGAACTCGAATTATATTGTACACAGCTGCAAGAGCTGGTGGAGGGAATATCTCATGCGGTCCAGCTGTCATCCATGAAACAACGACATGCAAAAATCATACAACAGCCGTAGTAAACGACTTATGCATTCTAAGAAAGCAGAGCAATGTCCGTTATCAGGAATGAGCGACCAGACGTTCGAACGGGCCCTTGCCGGCTTCCTCTAGCCCTCCGCATAGCTCGGCGGTGCCTCGATACGATCCGCCTGTATCTCTTGCATAGCCCTCCGCAGGTTCTCCACCTCCGTCCGCAAGCTGAGCATCTCGCTTGCTGATGGAACAGAGACATCGGTTGATGGTGGCTCCTGACTCGACGCCGGTGCCGTGCTCGTATACGCAGAGGTGGATACCATCGACCCATCGGCATGCTGCTCCCCATGCGAAGTGAGATTCAGGTGCTCGCGCAACTTCGACGGCATTAGTGGGGGCGGATTATGCGTGCTCTCCGCCCCAGTCTGCTCGTTCGAGCCGTACGGCGTGGCGTTGTAAGGGAACGGTACCGGCTCCGGATGATCCGTGACGAGGTCCTTCTCAAGCAGCTGGGATGTGGACCGCGATCTACGTCGCCATAAGAAGATTGCTAGAAGCACAATGGCTAAGCCCGCCACGCCGCCGACGACGCCGCCCACAATGGCCCCGACGTTCGTGTGCGAGTGTAACGTCGTGGCTGCTGCGGTGGCAGAAGAGGGAATCTTGATTGTTTTGTTTGCCATGCTACCAAGAAGGCAATAAAGGTTAGGCACTTCATGGTCACACAATTTCAGGACGCTCACTCGAGTGTCAATAAGGCAAACATAGCACCCTGTGCTGGCCTGAGACGCAAAAATAAGGTTCGTCCTTCCCCAAAGAATGTCGCCACTCACAGTGCAGAACCATCTTCGACAGAGCCGCTCCCTACAGTAGAATACACGGATGGCCAGACACCGGCGGTGAGATTATATGACGCGCGCTTCCAGATCATGTCAATCAAGCTGTTGCGAACAGTTGTGTTGGACGCTGTAGCAGCGGTGAACGCCAACCAGCCTGAATTCATTATAAGTTTCTGAGACACACAGCGAATATATTAAATGATCGTACCTGAATTCCCCAGAGTGTTATCAGTGCTATCGATGGGCAATCCGAAAGTACCCCCTGCAAAGGTGAGGTCAACGCACATCTTGCGAGAATCAAGAAGTGTTGATACCTGTTGCCGCATCCGCGAGCTCCTCGTAGAAATTGGATTGACGCTCATAAAGCTGAATGCGCTATCAAGCACTTTGAGACAGGACATCCGACGTCAAGACTCACCGTGTCATCTATCAGTCCTGTTTGCAGCAAACGATCGGCATAAAGGTTGTACATCAGAGCCCACGAGCCTGTATCCCCGTAGCTGAAAAGGAAGTTATCGTCATCCGAGGACAACGCCAGGGACTGCCATGTGCTAGCATAGGCAGAGGCAGTTGACTGGACGACAAGTCAGTCTCTGCAGTGAAGATCTCCAGTGTGACATACCGCATAGTGTTGTTCGTCATCGCCGTTGCCATACGCCTGACTGATCTCTGCCATTGCTCGAATCCCAATGATGCCCTTGATTGCCAGATTCGTCATGTTTGCCGTGGGCTGAGAGTCTGCGGAGACCCTACACGACAATTAGTGAGCGAATATGACGTTGCAAGAGTAACGAAATGGCTTACTGGTTTGTCGGAGTCAATGTCTTTTCAACAAGGTAATCGGCCCAGTTTTTCAGCAGTTCATACTACGAAACCCTCGATGAGTATTGCGATTTACATCATAAGCAGATCACATACGTATTGGCCGATCAGCGATCCATCTCCAGAAGCTCTCGCATGGGCTAACGTCATGATAAGCATGTTCCCAGACTCTGGAATTTCAACATCAGGACTATTTACTCGGCCGAAAGAACGACCGCTTACGCTCAACTCCCTGATCGAATGATGTGGAGTTGTCACCGGACGCGATGGGATAACTCTGGCCTATTGCAGATTCAGTTGCCGCTGATCATTGTATAGCAGACATAAACTGACCAAGATCACGCGCCGCATAGGGAAGAGTGTACAGATCACCAGACTGATATTCGAAAAGAGGAGCCAGGAGACTTTTACAGAAAGACGCATTCAAGTAGAGGAACATTGGGAAAGAAGCATACAGAACCTCGACCGGATTGATGCGTCTACGTTGGGCCATCGCGTCAATGTACCGCTCCACGTGAGAACAGTATTTCGCTCACCTGTCAGTTCCCATATTCTTCATGAAGATCATCGCATCTGAGGTATTCCAGTTGCCGTCTGTCTCGTTTGACACTGTGATATCAATCCCTCCGAACGCCTGACGTGCGGCGAGAGATATCAGATCGCTATACTGTGACGAGATCGAAGAGGCATTCTGTGTCAGCTCGTTGTCCAACGATTCAGCCCTGCTCTGTGCATCGCTGAAGTCTGAAACGAAACCCTCGATCTACAGGTCATGAGCCAAAGCGTATTTCGAGCATCAACATGGACTAACCAGCTCTGAGATGTTCGAGTACTGAGTGACGTAGTAAGGTCTGCGGAGCTGAGTCTCGCCGGTGGATGTGGTGTATTCGATCGAAGGATCACGGACGTAACCGATCGACCATACTATGGGGGATGGAGTGGACGTGATGTTTTCAAGGTTTACGGAGAACGCGAATACGGGATAATCACTGTGGGACTCACGTCAGCTTCCCACCCGTCAATATCTGGAATGCTAGCCATATTACTCAGAAATTGCACGGAAATCCGGATCTGCGCTGTTCTCCAGATATCCATTGTTGCTGAATTGTCCTCGACAAACCACGTCTTGGCCAGTTTGGTACGTGACTGTGGAACTCTGGACGATATTAAGCAATCTCATGCGCGCAAGTGCGATTTGACACCCACAGCGGCCATGGCGTAGTAAACCCTTCCGTCACTCGCCTGATCGTTGATCTCAGTAAATGATGATGGACTCTCGAGTTCGGCTGTGTGGTAAATGACTTGAGGTGTTGGGGTCGTGCTCCATTGCACAACGGCAGAGCGATTTCCAGAAAGCCACTCTTTCGAAGGTCCGTGTGAGAACAGAGAACGTTTGATCGTTATGGTGACCAACCTGCACTGATGTCGGAGTACACCTGCACATCGTGAGCTTCGCCATCGTTCGATTGTGCCTCAAGCACAAGATAAGAGAATGGGATTGATTGTCGTACCCAGTCCGACGGCTGAGGGAGGCTGGTGAGTAGACACCTGCAGTCATCTCGACATGACGGACCTCTATTGGTGTAAGGAACGTAATATTCAAGTTCATTGGGCCGGCCCGGACAGAGTATATTGTCCGTGTGGGTGTGACCTGAATGGACGTAAGAGTGGTGGCTGTAGGGCCGGGAAACCCTCCCAGCCATCTGTAGGTGTCTCCGTCGATGCGGACATGACCTGCCCATCCGAGGATATTATTCTTCGAGTGCCCATGAGTGATCAAACGAGTGGTACAAAATGAACGCAACGTACGGTGCTGCCCGAGACGTCCCAGAATGTCGGCCATTCATCCGTTACATCGGTGCCATTGGTAGTGCTCTGCCATGCACTGAAGTACGGAGAACGTACAGCCAACGGAACAGCTGCAGGCCAAAACGTTTCAGCAGACAAAGCACACTCATGTGCGACGATCAAGGAGAAAAGCAAGAGAAAAAGGGATGGGAATCCTCGCAGCATGACTGGGATAGGAGATGGATGAAAGTCAAGGACAAGACAGTCCTGAGAGAATGCGGCTGCACAGCTTTCTTCTCATTGTCAGTCGGATCTCACGGGAAGGGAGTAGCGTCGATGTCGAGTTTTGATCCCAGCATTCGACGGTTGACAGTTAAGCGCCGGGGAATGATGAGGTTGTCAAGGCCGCGCGTGCACTAAATGTGCTGGCATTCAGGCCCGAAGCTATGCTATGTTCGCTGGCGGGTCTCGGGGTTTCATGCTGTATCAAGGTTTAATCAACGCGTATCTGCAGATACGAATTCAACTCACGTCAACTGAGATGTCCAAGTGAGCCATTGGCTCAACATTCAACGTCAAGTTACGCCGAGCTCGATCATGAATTCTGGCAAGTACTGTAGCCGCAACACCTAGCTGGTTTTGGCTGTCAAGTCCGATGCTAGCTGGAGTCTGCTGGAGTTGCCAAGAAACAAATGGGTCGGCGCGGCCACTGATCAACTAAATCTTAGCGGTTAGAAGGTAAGAGATGCGTGCGACTCTCGCGGAAAGAGATACCCAGAAGCTTCGCATCCGCACAGGTAGGGCCGGTGCCGGCAGCGCCCGCTACGACTCCGAAGGAGGTGACACGAAGGTCACGAAGGTCACGAACGTCGTGGTCGGCATTTGAGGGCGGGTTTCAGATGGGTTCACAGGAAATATAGGTCGGGGGAGATGTCCGTTCTGAAGAGCGAAAAGAACGATTCAAGCAGGGCAATTGATGTCTCGTGAAAGGGTAGAAAGTTTTTTGAAGTGATTGTTGGACAACGGCAGCCAAGACCGGCACCACGTCCAATAACTCACGACACCACTTGGGATTTGGGTACAAACGAGCAAGGTAACGCTACGTTAACTACCTCCCTTTTAACCATGCCACTTCAGGGCAGGCAGTGCAGCTCGCACACCCGGCGCTTATCCGGCTGCCATTCCTGCAGCCCCTGTACCCGGCTCTGATGCCCCCGAGGTCCACTGCTATCCCACAGTGCCTCCCTGTTGGAAGTCATACAGACTTTATGTCCAGTGGGACACGAACTTAGACGTTCCGCGCGCATTCGCTTATGTAATCACGTAGCCACAAGCGCGCTCGATCTTTTCCTGCTACCTCAGCACTCGCATCATACATCGA